GCCTTACGCTATACTAAACCACAAACACAAGGCACCACACCAGCCCTCACCGATGAGGCCTCAGGGGAGGTGATTGCAGCCACCTTTAGCGAGAAGGAGGAGGTTTTTAGACACCGTGCATTTCCACAGGCTCCAAACAGTAACATGGAGTTACAGCTTCCTGAGCGAGGATCGGCCCACAAGCTGGTTAACGAGGAAGTTGTCAAGAATGCCCTCTTTAGCCAGGGACTAGAGAAAGCTCCAGGTACAGATTTACTGAACTTCAGGGCTATCAGGCTCTTATGGAATCTAGACTCAGAGCGTGTGGTTAGCCTGACTAGGCAGTGCCTTAGGCTTGGGATACATCCACGTGTCTGGAAAACAGCCAAGGGAGTTCTACTGAGAAAGAACGGTAAAACCAACTACACACTGGCTAGTGCGTATCGAGTGATAAGCCTATTGAAGTGCCTAGGCAAGGTAATTGAGAAGCTCGTAGCAGAGTTAATTACAAACTTTGCAGAGGCTCAAGACCTCTTCCATGATGGTCAATTTGGAGGCCATCGGCAACGCAGTGCAATTGATGCTGTAGCATGTCTAGTGGAGGAGATCCATCAAGCTTGGGCAAATAGAAAGTTGGCTGCAGCTCTATTTATGGATATTGAGGGGGCCTTTGACCATGTCATCCTAGCAAAACTGGTAGAGGTGCTCAGAGAGGCTAGCGTGGATGGAGATCTTATACATTGGGTGATCTCATTTCTATCTGACCGGCGAGTCACTCTTGTGATTGATGGACACGTGGGAAAGGAAGTACCGATAAGCTCTGGGTTACCTCAGGGCTCTCCGGTGTCACCCATTCTCTTTGTTCTATACGTTCATGGGCTATCAAGAGCCATTGAGAGGAGTGTGCCAGAGGTTCGATGTCTGTCCTTTGTGGACGACCAAGGCCTAGTAACAGCCGCAAGCTCAGTGAAGGAGGCTTGTAGGATCCTCGAGAAAGCCGCGGAAGTAGCCATTGAGTGGGGGGTGGCTAACGGGGTACAATTTGATCGCAAAAAGACTGAGGCCGCTTTCTTTTATAGACGACACAGACGTCAAGTGGCCCAAAACGTATCTCGAGCCCGGATCAGGGTTGGAGGCGAGTTGGCAACTGTCAAATCTACAGTACGGTGGCTAGGGATACTCCTAGATAGCCAACTTACATGGAAGAGCCACTACAACGCTCGAATTAAGACAGCAAGAAATACGATAATCAGGTTAAACTCACTCTGCAGAGCTAATGGGTTACCTCCAGCATTAGTGAGGCGCATACAGAAGGCTACAGTGCAAGCCCAATTGCTGTGGGGTGCTGAGATATGGTGGCAAGGCCAGAAAACATGGACACAAAGGATCCAGATTCTAATCAATAAGCAAGCCAGAGGTATTACGGGCATGTTCCCAAAAACCCCAATCGGAGCCCTAATCAGAGAGGCAGCGTTAGAGCCAGCGACAGTCTTAATGGACGCTAGAGTAGCTCGATATACAGCGAGGCTACTAGCTCTGCCTGACACGCATCCTACAGCGCAGATACTTCCAGTCACCCTCAGACATGGTGACCTTCACGCACAACCTGGAGAGCAACCACTGGACGACCGGGAATGGGCCTCTAGAGACAACAAGGTGCTAAATCGACTCGGCCAAAGGCTTGCAAAGCACCTTGCTCAACGGTTGAACAGAGACCCCTCTGGAGGAATTGAGAGAACTGAACAATGCGAGCTCCAAGGCTTCCCAGGCTCGATCCGAGTACTTGACAAGGAAGAGGCCCTAACAGAGGCTAATCAACAGCATGCTGGAACAACGTTTTGGTCCGATGGCTCCAGACTCGATACAGGACGTGCAGGAGCCGGTGTCACTTTACAGGCTGTACCTGAAGGCCCCTGGGAACACGTAGAAGTGCCAATGGGCCACGGACACGAGGTGTTTGACGCAGAACTAGTGGGAGTAGCCACAGCCCTTAAATGGGCACTGGAGAGGCAACCTCTTGGTCCTATCTGGGTGTTACTTGACGCACAGAATGCTATTGATCGCCTCAGATCGACAAGGCCAGGCCCTGGGCAAGCCCTTGTTCTTAGGGCCCACAAGGCAGCTGAGAAACTAGCCTTGAGAGGCCAGCCAGTCACAATACAATGGGTCCCAGGCCACTCAGGGATTGAAGGGAACGAGCAGGCTGATCAAGCTGCTAAACGTGCAGCTAGTAAACAAACCGCGCCTGGTTTTGAGCACCTATCTTTAGCGCACGTTAGAAGGGCTTGCACGGAAGCAAGGAGAGCCGCAGTATCTGAATGGGCTCAAATCAATGCTGTACAAGGCAGGCATAGAGATGGACGTGTCTACAAGATGCCTCGAGGTTGGAACCTTGACCCAGTGGCAGGAAAAGCTCCAAAAAGATTGGCTAGTCGATACTACCAGTTAAAGACAGGACATGCCCCAATTGGTACCTATCTATACCGGATAGGCCAACGGGAATCGCCTGAGTGTCAGGCCTGCAAGGAACCTCATGAGACAGTAAGGCATGTACTCTTTGAGTGCCGTGGACGTCGTGCAGGACGAAGAACTCTCTATCAAGCCCTCAAAAAAGCAGGCGTGCCACTGCCTACAGCGGCTGAGGAAAACCCCGAGGCTAGGCTATTTGCTGAGCCTAGAGCGACGCAGGGTTTGCTGCAATTCGTGGCTGAAGCCAACCTATTCAATGATAATGAGCGGACAGCCAGAGAGGCTGAGTCTAGTGATGCGTGGGGGTGGGATACGTTGGAGGAAGGTGGCCTAGGTGTCACATTGGAGGATGAATAGGGGTGAGGGCACACTAGTCAGAGTTTGTACTGATTAGGTGTGCCCACGGGTTTGGAACTATAAGGGATCTCCGGAAGGATTAGCCTAGGGAGAGTACCCAAAGGTCCCTGGCATATCGGCCACATGGGGACGAGATAGTGATTTATTTTTGGATTTTTGTATGTAAGATTCTGATAGGGGTGAGGCCTTTAGGGTCTCACCAAGGCTTCCAGAGGTCTGTCATAGCCAATAGGGCTGGGTACGGACAATAAACTTGATTAATAATAATAATAATAATACTAACACCACAACCACTGCAGCGAAATTGGCGGCGTACGACTGCTTGAGAAGCTGGGAGCTCCGGCTCACCCGGAGCAGTAGTAACAGCTTGAGATGCCTCAACCTGATCTTGTACGAGCGCTTGAGCTTCTTCGCCAGTAATCCCATGCTCAATAGATATCTGTTTCTTAGATTTTTGGCGTTTTTGTTTCTCTTTGCCATGCGCAGCTCGTAAATCACGGTTTTCTTTCTGTACGAGTACAAGATCATTCATAGTCGTTTCATAGGCCTTTGACATCCGCATAATTGCTTGATCAATCACTTGATTTGGGCTTCCTGTACGCTCATTTATACGTTTCGTAATTGTAGTTGACTGGCGTACAAATAAATTGGCGTATATTTTGAGGGGTTTGTAAGCAAGATGATTGTGTATTGCTTGATCGACTCGGAGGGGGTGTTGGTGTTTTTAATTGAATATTAAGTTGTTGAATAACTCGATCCGGATTAAAAGGCACTAATCCAGTGGCTGTGAAGCTATTCCGAATAGTTTGAGCTTTATATGCCACCGTACGAGCCTGTGGAAATGCCATTAAAAAGTCCATTTTGTCGATATGGTTGAATCCAAGCCTCATTCGTTGCTCAACAAGCTGCCCATAATGCCGTTTTAAAACAGCAAAACAGCCAACATCAAGAGGCTGTAAGAGATGTGAAGAATGAGGTGGCATGCAGATTGGAATAATATTATTCTCAGTGCATATACGATCAAATTCTGCAGTCAAATGGCTTCCATGGCCATCAAGAATCAACATTCGATATTTTCCCATTGTACGATCATTAATATAGGGAATAAAATGGGTTTTAAGCCATTCTAATCCTATTTGATCTGTAGTCCAACCATTCTCGCTAATATTGATCCTCCAATCACTTGGAAGATCATCAAACCAGCCTAATCGTACGTTTTTCTTTGCTTTGAAAATAATGTACGAAGGAACAGCCCATCCAGTTGAATTTGTTGCCTCAATTGCAGTCACCCATTCTCGATTCCCAGGCTGTAAAAGCTTTGGCCGTGCATATCGATCGCTTCCAGTAATAACCTTTGCAGATGAGCAGAGTCCCATAGCAAAGCCCGTCTCATCAAAATTGTAAATATCTTCTGGTAAGATCCCATACTCCATCCAATATAGCAGCTCGTACGCGATCAAAATGTTCCCGGATTATCTTCGGATCTTCGCATTTAGCGCGTTCATAGTTATATCTTCGTGAGAACTTCGAATCGATCTCTGGACGGCGTTTAGTCAGCTTGGTTACCCAATTCTCACCAACTTGTTGATTGCCACGTTGTAAAAGCATATAATTAGCCATTTCTCGTACGAGAGAGTGACGGGGAGGTAATCCACGTCGATCTAAATCAAGAACCTATTTGACAAGCGAATCCTCCTCAGATTGAGTTAATTTATGGTTATTGGCGCGTTTTCAGCTCGATATGGCATGCCGTTGATTCTATTTTGAAGAGTTGACCGTGAGATATTATAGATCTCTGCTGCTTTCCGTACAGAGCGTATTCTGCCATTCTTTAAATCAGAAATAGCTAATAGGATTCGTCCTTCTTGCTCAGCAGAGTTTTTTTGATTTTTATTGCGAATTGGTGGCATATTGACGCGTTGAGTTGTGAAGGATCAGTATAGAACGCGTATTCGAATAAAAGTGGCTAACTCACTAGTGTGGCCAACTCACTAGTGAACTACGTTATGTTTGTTATTTGTTATGCTATCTTTACTTTACTAATACAGTCACTAGGTTCGGAATCTTGCTGTCTACATCTGTAACAACGTTACGAGGGATATGTATAATTTAGGATGAATAGGGGTGAGGGCACACTAGTCAGAGTTTGTACTGATTAGGTGTGCCCACGGGTTTGGAACTATAAGGGATCTCCGGAAGGATTAGCCTAGGGAGAGTGCCCAAAGGTCCCTGGCATATCGGCCACATGGGGACGAGATAGTGATTTATTTTGAATTTTTGTATGTAGGATTCTGATAGGGGTGAGGCCTGTAGGGTCTCACCAAGGCTTCCAGAGGTCTGTCATAGCCAATAGGGCTGGGTACGGACAATAAACTTGAATAATAATAATAATAATAATAATAATAATATGTATAATTTAATTACATTCGAGAGCAATCACTGAAGATAAAGCACACAAGGTAGGGTATGGAAAGTCAATGTACTGAAACCTATCTTCCGCTATCCTGGAGCATCTGCTATCTTTATAGTCATATAACTTATACTAGATCTCCCTTTTCCGAATAGCTCCAACAGTCGAGGTGGAGCTGAAACCATCCTCGAACATATAAACCTTCTCCTATTGTAGCTGAAACCCAACTTGAGACGTCATGGGTGCATTTCTTAGAATAGTGAGACCCCCAAGCCTGCTGGTTGTTACAACATCAATGCTAGCCCTCAACGCTGGGAAGCGTTCTGTAACCTACAGGCTGAAGGGCCAAAGCTTGTGCCTATACAGGATGTCAGAACTCGCTGGAACTCAACCTTTTTGATGCTCCGATGTGCTAAAAAACTACAATCAGCATTCGATGAGTTCTGTTCACAATATAACCAAGCTCATTTCACATTGAATCAAGAGGAGTGGCGTCAGATTGAATATCTCCTTTCGATCACTCAGCCTTTCTTCAAATTCACAACCCTTCTTTGAAAGACTAAAGATATTACTATTTATCTAGTTTTTAGTATCTACAATAAGCTGTTTGATCATCTTGAAAAGTCAATCAGTCAGCTTAAACGAAAGAAGGTTCCTTGGAAGCAGGTTATGCTGACTGCTCTTCATGCAGCAAAGAGGAAGCTTTCACAATACTATGCTATGACAGACGAGATTGACAGTGATCTCTATGCAATTGGCACCATGATTTCCCCACAGCAGAAGCTTCAGTTCTTCTGTAGTAAGGAGTGGGATGATCCAGAAACAGATTGGCGTGGACGGTATCGCAAGTGTAATGGGATGTTAGTCCGTTGGTTAGACAGGAGGAATTATCAATATGGCAGAAGGTCGTTCGGTATCTTCAGACTTTCATTAACAAAGGTACTCTTCCTAATGTACAGAGACTGAAGCTTGAACGAGGAAAGCTACTCTCGTTACAGGAAACCTCCTTCTTATGCATACAGGAATCGTTGGCAGGAGATCTCATGTTGTACCCCTACTTGGGGATGGCTTGTCACGGATATCATGTTGTACTGTTTCAGTACTGTTACAGCAAGAGTCTTGAAGATTACTTTGAGGTTTACAAACGACGTCTTTTAGATACACAGTCAGTATCTAAGGTTCAATAGTCTGCAACTGCAATATCAGAACTTGAATTTTTTGCGAGCTAGAGGAGTTATCTGAACCTCATCACTCGTCTTCTGGTTACTGTGATGAGCTTACACAATATCTCGAAAGTAGTAAGTGCAATGCCCCTTGTAAGCAATATAATCTAGATTAATCTTAATTATAGGTACTGTTCGTACACCCCCTCGCGTGTTCTGGAGAGACCATCAACATGAATTTCCAGCACTTGCAAGTCTCGCACGGGATGTGCTCTCGATATCTGCAACTGGAGCAGGTGTAGAGCGGCTATTTATTATTATTATTATTAATCAAGTTTATTGTCCGTACCTAGCCCTACTGGCTGTGACAGACCACTAGAAGCCTTGGTGACGCCCTATCGACCTCACCCCTATCAGAATCATACATGCAAAATTCAAAAATCACTATCTCGTCCCCATATGGCCGATATGCCAGGGACCTTTGGGTACTCTCCCTAGGCTAATCCTTCCGGAGATCCCTTATAGTTCCAAACCCGTGGGCACGCTTAGTCCGTACAAACCCTGACTAGTGTGCCCTTATCCCTATTCATCCTCCAATGTGACACCTAGGCCACCTTCCTCCAACGTATCCCACCCCCACGCATTAGACTCATCCTCTCTGGCTGTCCGCTCATTATCATTAAACAGGTTGGCTTCAGCTACAAATTGCAGCAGACCCTGCGTCGCCCTAGGCTCTGCAAATAGCCTAGCCTCAGGACTTTCCTCAGCCGCTGTAGGTAGCGGTACTCCAGCTTTCTCGAGGGCTCGATATAAAGCCCTCCGTCCTGTACAGCGTCCTCGGCATTCAAAAAGCACATGCCTCACTGTCTCATGAGGCTCCCTGCATGCCTGACACTCAGGCGATTCCCGTCGGCCTATCTGGTGTAGATAGGTGCCGATTGGGGCATGTCCTGCCTTTAATTGGTAGTAACGACTAGCCAGTCTTTTCGGGGCGATTCTCAAGCATAAATAGTGTCCAAAATCCCATCAAGGGTCCCTCGAGGGTCACCCTCACTGACCCTCGTTTGCATAAATTTTAGCGACCTTGCCTAAATAGGATGCATAAAATTGCTGATTAATTCGAATAAAATACCGTTATTTAACGCTGTCTTGGGTAATACGACGACGATTCCTAAAGTGATTCAAAAACTTGAAGGAAATTCTAAGGAATTCCTCTGTATTATAAATATTAGAGTACGTAAAGACATATGAAACTCTCTTTAGAGGGTCTAAATATCTTCGTTGTTGATGGTCATAGAAGTTGTGGGAAAATACTAAATCCAGTTGTAGAAATATGTATTTCAACACTACAGTACTTCCTAATCTACAACAATGGATTCGCGAATTTTTTGAATGCTTTAGGGATTACTTGATAAAACTTTTATTCTCTTGTCCAAAAAGGGCTCCCCTTCTTTGTTAATATGTAGCTAGGCTATAATTCCTCCTTCAATTTTCTGAAGTCTATAGTGTCTTACTGAAATCAAAGAATCGAGGTTTGCTGGTAAGTTGTAACTCGATCACCCTTCAATCTTGAGGGTTTCGGGGGGCGGATAGCTGAAGTGGTAACGGCTATCCTTGGGGCCTCCATTCGGTACCCATCTTCGCTGATTGACAAGGCCGTAGTAGGAATATGAGAGTATGTGGGCTATAATGTGACGTATCTACAGGTTTCTGTTAGCTCCGTGTCCGCGACGTGATAGATCTAAACCCCTAGGTTAGTCACTAATTCAGCTTGCTATGAGTTACGAAATTTTCTGTGAGTCTTTCTTCATTTCTACTTAGACAGCTTTTTTCTAACAACATCTAAAATGGCACAGTTCTCTGATATTTATTCCTCTTCAGCTTATGAAGGGGATACTCTTGATCCTTTTTACTTCTCCTTTTCCAATGAGACACAATCGAGTACTCCTGACCCTACAGGAAGTCAAGGAACCCTTGACTCGGGGTCTGATTCCGGCTTTCTTACTCCATTACCTATACTCTCTATTCCCGATATACTTACGCGTGTTGGTCCTGGGCGGACAAAAACATTCGTTCTATACTCTGATATGTCAAAGGATGAGTTTGTTGCTTGGTGGCTAAACACGGAATTTGGGAAGAAGAAAAAGATTAATTGGAGTTACCAACACATAGCCAGTTGCTGGAGCCAATTCGATCAAGTGGCTGATGGTAAAACTGGTAAACCTGGTGCTATGTGTAATCAATGCTTTAAGGTTCTTGAGCATCCAGCTTATTGCCGCTCTGGAACATCATCCCTTAACAAGCATATCTCTGGGCCAACTTGTCGGAAGTCTTCTTCGAAAAAACCAAATATAAAGCAGCTCCTAGCAAAGGCGGTATGTCCTGTCTAACTGTGATCGATACCGATGGATGTACTGACATTAGTGGATACTCTTAGGGGCATAATGCACTCTCCGAACCTAAAGTCTTTACACAGGAAGTATGGGAGCGGAAGCTTCTTCGACTTCTTGCTATATCACGTCTCCCCTTTCAGTTTATCGAGCACCCCGAGTTCCATGAGGTCATTTCCCTTTCACGACTTGCGCCGATACATCCAGTAATCCCTTCTGCAAAGACAATCCGATCTCGGCTACGGGATTTTGTAAAAGAGCAGCAACAAGGCCTTCCCCAGAAGCTCCCTCAGGACGCAAAGCTTTCTCTCGCAATAGATTGTTGGACGTCTCCGTTTTGACAGGCCTTTATGGCTGTGACAGGCTACTATCTTGATCAGGAGTGGGAGTATCAAGAGATCCTTCTTGGCTTTGAACCACTTTCTAGGACACACTCTGGTATTAATCTTGGCGAGGTGGTTCTTAAAATTCTTCACCAGCATCAAATCACAAATCGAGTGCTTGCTATTACCACCGATAATGCATCAAACAATAATACGATGATTTCGAGCATTCAAGAGTCAATCCAATCTCTTGAGCTCAATAATAACTCGAATATCATTCGGGTTCCATGTATTGCCCATGTTATTCAGCTGAGCCTTAAAGACCTCCTTGGCCAAATGAAAGCAAACCCAAAGAATGAGATGGTAGAGATGCAATGGTCAGAAGACCGTATAGGACCTATTCATGCTACGAATCAGCGAAGAATGATTGTCGATACACTTAATAAGGTATGTTATTATTTATTGTGTTATCTTTATTTTACTAATATAGTCACTAGGTCCGGAACCTTGCTGTCTACATCAATGCCAGTCCTCAACGCTGGGAAGCGTTCTGTAACCTACAGGCTGAAGGGCCAAAGCTTGTGCCTATACAGGATGTCAGAACTCGCTGGAACTCAACCTTTTTGATGCTTCGACGTGCTAAAAAACTCCAATCAGCATTTGATAAGTTCTGTTCACAATATAATCAGCTCATTTTACATTGAACCAAGAGAAGTGGCGTCAGATTGAATATCTTCTTCCGATCACTCAGCCTTTCTTCAAATTCACAACCCTTCTTTGAAAGACTAGAGATATTACTATTTATCTAGTTTTTAGCATCTACAATAAGCTCTTTGGTCATCTTGAAGAGTCAATGAGTCAGCTTGAATGAAAGAAGGTTCCTTCGAAGCAGGTCATGCTGACTGCTCTTCATGCAGCAAAGGAGAAGCTTTCACAATACTATGCTATGACGGACGAGATTGATAGTGATCTCTATGCAATTGGCACAATTATCTCTCCACAGCAGAAGCTCCAGTTCTTCCGTAGGAAGGAATGGCATGATCTGAAAACGGATTGGCATGGACAATATCGCAAGAGTCTTGAAGATTACCTTGAGGTTTACAAATGGCGTCTTTCAGATATACAGTTGGTATCCAAGGTTCAGTCGTCTGCAACTGTAATATTGGAACTCGAGGTCTTTTGCGAGCCAGAGGAGTCATCTGGACTTCATCACTCGTCTTCTAGTCATTGTGATGAGCTAACACAATATCTCAAAAGTAGTAAGTGCAATACCCCTTTTAAGCAATGTAGATTAACCTTGATTATAGGCACTGTTTGGACTCCCCTCTGTGTGTTCTAGAGAGACCATCAACATGAATTTCTAGCACTTGCAAGTCTCGCATGGGATGTGCTCTCGATACCTGCGACTGGAGCGGGTGTAGAGCGGCTATTTAACTCTACTCGAGATGTCTGTCACTACCGTCGAGGCTCTCTTAAGCCTGAAACCATTCAAGATATTATGATGTTTATATGTACATCAAAATTGGAGATTGAAGAGGATCAGCGAGTATTAATCAATGCGTACCTATCCTATGAAGAGATCCAAGCAGTAAAGGAGGAAAAGGATACACAAGCAGATGAGTTTGAGCCAATCAGTGACAAGGATGAGGCTGAGGATGAGGATCAGGATGAGGATGTGGTTGAGGATTATTATTATTATTATTAATCAAGTTTATTGTCCGTACCCAGCCCTACTGGCTATGACAGACCACTGGAAGCCTTGGTGACGCCCTATCGGCCTCACCCCTATCAGAGTCATAGATGCAAAAATTCAAAAATCACTATCTCGTCCCCATATGGCCGATATGCCAGGGACCTTTGGTGTGACGGCTCAGCCCTAGCTTTCGGCTTGGCGTCACTTATTGATTGGGAATCCTTTGAATAAAGGTCTCCATCAATAAATGTGATATCAATCGGCATTGTCATTTGTTATTGATACGCACTGATTCCCTATTGAGATGCGGGTGAGGCAACAGAGGTTTGTATGAGATGGACGTTACTATCAATGAGTAAATATGGGTAGAGGTTTAAATACGGGCTGTTCCTCCTTAATAGATAGTTTTCCTCTTCATACTCAGTTTCTCGTCAGCACTGGCACCTAGATAGTGAATATCACTTGGTTGGATTGGTCGTATGTTACAGCTTCAGTCTTTTTGCGATCGAATTGCACCCTGTTGGTCACCCCCCACTCGATGGCTACTTCAGCTGCTTTCTCAAGGGTCCTACAAGCCTCCTTCACTGAGCTTGCGGCTGTTATCAGGCCTTGGTCGTCCACAAAGGATAGACATCGAATCTCTAGCACACTCCTCTCAATGGCTCTAGACAGCCCATGAACATACAAAACAAACAGGATAGGTGACACCGGAGAGCCCTGAGGTAGCCCAGAGCTTATCGATGCCTCCTTTCCAATGTGTCCGTCAATCACCAGTGTGACTCGCCGATTAGATAGAAACGAGACTACCCAGAGTATAAGGTCTCCATCCACGCTAGCCTCTCTGAGGACCTCGATTAGTCTGGCCAAGACAACATGGTCAAAGGCCCCCTTAATATCCATAAACAGTGCTGCAGCCAGCTTCCTATTTGCCCAGGCTTGGTGAATCTCCTCAACCAGGCATGCCACAGCATCAATTGCACTGCGTTGCCGACGGCCTCCAAATTGGCCATCGTGGAAGAGATCTTGGGCCTCTGCAAAGTTTGTGATCAACTCGGCAACGAGCTTCTCAATCACCTTGCCTAGACACTTCAATAGGCTTATCACTCGATATGCACTAGCCAGTGTGTAGTTGGTTTTGCCGTTCTTTCTCAAGAGAACCCCCTTAGCTATTTTCCAGATCCGCGGATGTATCCCAAGCCTAAGGCACTGCTTTACCAGGCTGACCACGCGCTCTGAATCTAGATTCCACAAGAGCCTGATGGCTCGGAAGTTCAGTAAATCTGTACCCGGAGCTTTCTCTAGTCCCTGGCTAAAGAGGGCATTCTTGACTGCTTCCTCGTTAACCAGCTTGTGGGCAGATCCAGGCTCAGGAAGCTGCAACTCAATGTTGCTGTTTAGAGCCTGTGGAAAAGCGCGGTGTCTAAAAACCTCCTCCTTCTCGCTAAAGATGGCTGCAATCACCTCCCCAGAGGCCTCGTCAGTTAGAGCTGGTGTGGTACTTTGTGTTTGTAGTTTGGTATAGCGTAAGGCTGTCCAACACCGTTTCTGGTCAGGCAGAGAACCCTCAGATGTGCCCTGGAGGAAGCCCTCCCAGCACTCTCTTTTGGTTCTCCTGATCAGTGAATAGAAGGCCTTGCGTGCTTCTCGATGCTCCTCCTCGCTAATCTCACCAGCTTGATAGGCCTTACGAGCCCTGGCATACGCGCTTCGTCTGCCTTGATCTCACTGTGCCACCAGCGCTTAGAGCGGGCACAAACCCTGATTGGTTAGCAGTGCTTGTTCAAGACCTCTGTCAGCGTTCTCTCAATCCACTCTGCTTCACGTTCCACTTCCTCTGTTGAGGTCGAGTCCGTTAGCCTTGGTTGAGTCTTTGCCAGTTCGTTCCAGGTGTCTTTTGCCGCCTGCAGAGCCTCCTTGTCTCCTAGTAGAGCCTCTATCTGCCACCCTGTGACTTCTTTCCTTGTGGGCTCTGTAATCGCCGTTACCGGAGGTTCCCAGCTTGCCCAGATCATAACATGATCCGACGGTGTAAGCCTTTGGCCTTCGATTTCCCATCCAGATAAGGGCCCGAGGGCTTGATTACTGATTGTGATATCAATAATTGAGACCCTAGGCTCAGCAGATTATGAGGTCTTGTTGGTTTGTCAGGGTCATTGTTGATAAAGAGGTTATACCTCATTATTAGGTCCTCCAGGGATCTCGCGTTGACCCTCTGGTCGATGGGGGTATTCCACATCGGGCTATGCGCATTGAAATCTCCAAGAACGAGACATCGGCCCTCTAAAATTGGTCCCCAATCAAGATCTGAAAGGGCTCTTCTTGTAAGTAGGCTCTCTCCTAAGTATGTATGACGTGCTCCTAGCCAGTTGTCATAGCAGTTCACTATCCTCGTACGCCTCCCCTGTTCCAGCACGTCAACCACCATAAAATATGGATGGTTGGCCAGATCTGTACGCGCCTCCACCACTAAATCTCTTACTAAATCTCTCCGAATCGCTGTCACTACCCGAGCATGTTCTCGAGGACCCTCAGGCCAGTATAACAGAAAGCCAGGATGGCTTATCTGGTATTTTCCACGTACAGGGGGCTCCTGGAGACAGGCCATCCCAGCACCAGCCTGTAGTGCTGCTTCAAGGGCTGTATGCACTACAGCGCCTGTACAGGCACAATTGTGTTGTAACACTATCATAGCTCCTCGCTCTGAGGCGCTTCGGTGGCTGGGCTAGGCTCTAGCTCTGACTCGTGAACATCAGCCTCTAATTGCATCACAGGTAGCAAATCTCCTTTGTTCTCTCGAGTCAGTGTCTCTACTTCTGGAGGCTGTTCAGATCTCTGCTCTAGGGTCAGTACTGGTCTTGGAGGGACTATCGCGAATGTCTCATCTGAAGGGATGAGGTCTTGTAAGGAAAGTTCCCTAGTCCTCCGGATAGCTCGTTGACGAGCCTCTCTAGCTCTAGGGCACTTGGAAGATGTGGCCTCGTGTGCACCATCGCAGTTTGCGCACTTGATTACCGTGTGTTGACACGGTTTGGCTGGGCCAACCCTACAATCCACTACTGTACATGAGTGCTCTATTGCCTCATGGTCACCTGCGCAGATCGCGCATCTAGGAGGCCTGCCACCACAAGCCATGAAGCCGGAGTAGCCGATTCCGCAGCATCGGGGGCAGATACTCTCAGGATTTGACTCCCAATAAGGTGCTACTCGATGGTGCTGGCCACCAAACTTGATGCCTTTATTGATCAGTGTTCGAGCTTCCTCTAAGGAACCTACTGTGATCACAATCGTGGCAAATCTCTGGTTGCTAGCCTGTATAGTCTTAGCTCTTTTGAGCCACGTTGGCTCTCGTTTAAGCCTATATGGTGTTCCCAGCTCAATCTCTTCTTGGGCTAGTGCTAGGCCTTGGTCATTATACATGTAGCGGTCCACAGGCACTGCCTGTACCTTAACACGGTGCCACTGTTCGCTAATCTCCACGGAAATAACTGCTGGATCTGTTTGCCTTACAGCGGCTAGTAGAGTATCGTTGTAGACGGGCACGAGGGTGCTGCTGCGAGTGCCTCGCTCTAGGAGCACTGTTAAGGCCCCTGAGGCCGCGTATCCAGAATCGACCGCTCTTACAAAGTCAGGAAAACCTGCCTTAGCAAGGGCACGGTTAAGGGCTAAGAGGATATCGGCTTTCAATGCGGTAGGAGCATCTTTAGGATATCGTCGTCTAAAGATTAGGCGCCTCTCCTCCTTGCTCCGGGTACTTACGGGCTTCAAATTAGTTGTTGACAGAGCCTTCGAGGGTGCCAAGGCCTGTTTCTTATACTGGACGGTTTTTCATCCTCCAGATTGGGTGTTATTCGCGGCAATAGCGGCCCATTTCGTAGGTGCGGGCTTGGTCAGTGGCTTAGCGGTAGTTTCGGGCTGTTTAGTGGTCTTCGCGGCGGTTCCAGGTACTTTTTTGGGGCCCTCAGGTGGCTGTACGGCTTGTTTCGTAGCCTTTGTTGGATTCTGATATTGCGGCTGCGGCTGAGGTGCGGTTGAGTTTATCGCGCGGCTCTCAGGCGCGGCATCTAGCTGTATTGGGGTGGACGCTAAACCTCCCGTGGAAGCGGCTCTTGGCGGTGGCCCGTGCGCCGCAACCTCACGCGTTGCAGTGAAGGGGTCGAGTGGTAGGATCTGACGGCTTTGTAGCGCGTTCACGTAAGTTTCAAGGCTCTCTAGCCTAGCGTTGAGAGTAGTAATGAGGCCCTGTTGGGTATTGATCACGTTTCTGGCAGTCGTCAGCTCCGCGGAGAGCTGGTGGACCGCTTCTTGCAGATGGCCGTTGAGGTCCTCGATCAGGCCCATCACGAGGCTATCCTCTGCAGGAGCACTCGCTGCACGCATTGCGGTAAGTGTAATCTTCCTCTTCGGAGCCGCGCTCAATCCAGACCTAGTTATAGGAGTCCGAGATCCTATAGTCAGCCTTGAGGCCTTCCTTTTCTCGAGGATCGTTCCTGGGGCTTGTTGGGTTTCTCCAGTCTGTCGTGGCGCTTGTAGAGCGTCGCTGTTGCTCAAAGTAGGTTCATTGGACTGTTTCTGACAGTCTCCAAGTCCTGCAAAGAGTGCAGGGGGGGGTTGGAGGTAGCTGTGACGGTGCCTGGGAGGGTGTCGATGAATCAACCCCAGATCCAGGTCCCATGATTTCTGGATCTCCAGTGGCCCCTGGAGGCCTCTCTGGACTTTCCATGAGGGTTTTTCGACACTAAGAAGCCTGCAAAGGCCCTTGGAAAGCTCAATATTTAGATCTAGTTATTATTATTATTAATCATGTTTATTGTCCATACCCAGCGCTATAGGCTATGACAGATCACTAGAAGCCTTGGTGACGCCCTACTGGCCTCACCCCTATCAGAGTCATACATGCAAAATTCAAAAATCACTATCTCGTCCCCATATGACCTATATGCCAGGGACCTTCGGGGATTTAGATCTAGTAAAACCCTTGTCGGATATCAAGCTTCGTGAATTACAATAAACATGATTAATAATAATAATAACAAGGTGCCGAATCGACTAGGCCAAAGGCTTGCAAAGCACCTAGCTCAACGGCTGAGCAGAGACCCCTCGGGAGGAATCGAAAGAACTGAACAATGCGAGCTTAAAGGCTTCCCAGGCTCAATCCGAGTACTGGATAATGAAGATACCCCTTGCAAAGAGCCTCACGAGACAGTGAGGCATGTGCTTTTTGAGTGTCGAGGACGTCGAACAGGACGGAGGGCTTTATATCGAGCTCTCAAGAAAGCTGGAGTGCCGCTGCCTACAGCGGCTGAGGAAAGTCCCGAGGCTAAGCTGTTTTCTGAGCCTAGAGCGACGCAGGGTCTGCTGCAATTCGTGGCTGAAGCCAATCTGTTTAATGATAAGGAGCGGACAGCCAGAGAGGCTGAGTCTAGTGATGTGTGGGGGATGGGATACGTTGGAAGAAGGTGGCCTAGGTGTCATATTGTGAAAGGGTCAATCTTACTGTATTGCTGAGCTGAGCTACATACAATGAGGTACACGTACACGAGAATATTTGACATGGAGAGAAAAAGAAAGGAAGGAAACAAGCTCTCGATCCAGCCACAGAGATCTATATAATCTCTGTGCGTGGCACCTTGCTAAATACAGTACCGCTCTGGCGGTTCCCTATCTGGCAACCCGTAGGGCTGCAGCCCTACGACGGGAATGGCTTCACCTTTGACCTGGTACGGAGCCGGGACGGAGGTGGCTCTGTCACAATATTGGAGGAATAGGAATAAGGGCACGCTAATCAGGGCTTATACCCACTAGGCGTGCCCACGGGTTTGGAACTATAAGGGATCTCCAGAAGGATTAGCCTAGGGAGAGTGCCCAAAGGTCCCTGGCATATCGGCCGTATGGGGACGAGATAGTGATTTTTTTTTTTTTTTTTTTTTGCATGTATGATTCTGATAGGGGTGAGGCCAGTAGGGCGTCACCAAGGCTTCTAGTGATCTGTCATAGCCTATAGCGCTGGGTATGGACAATAAACATGATTAATAATACTAATAATACACTAGAAGATGACGGGCGCTCCAGGTCAGCCTCGTTGTCAGTCATTTTCGAATATGCCCTTATAGTGAGCATTAGGCGGGACTAGCCCGTAACATTAATGACCAATATTGACACGAACACGAGCCTTGGATCAAGGGATTCGGAGCTAGCCAACAGGGATGTTAGTAGGGGATATAAGGGTCGGATTTGCGAAGGGTGAGATTCATGAGTTCTATAGGATAGTTGGAATGTGAGAAAACCATACAGTTTGCACGTTATTATGAGTGCGAAGATGAACCCCCCTACATAACCCTAGCATGTAACTACGTAAACCGAACTCTGCGAATAACCTCATTACTGACCGTCACATTACTCCCCTCTCTGTAAGACGCTTGCCCTCAAGCGCTCGGTTCCAACTCCTCTATCGCGTTATCTTTTCTGTCATCGTTAACAAATTCGTCCCTCTCTGCTGCCTCAATCCATCGTTGCAAGTTCACCGGGGGTCCCGGCTTCTCTGGATATCGATTGTGGAATGACTTCAATTGACGCGGTGCATTCTTAAAATTCGCCGCCAAATACCACCTTGGATTAGGATCATAGCCTAGCCACTTCACCTGATAATGAAGCTTATTCCATCTCATCTTCGAATCAAGGATTTTTTCTACCTCCTACTCTTACTAACTATTAATCTCCACTGGCTTCGCTCTTTCCAAAATCTGACCCCTCAATGGCTTGGTCGATGACACACACCGTAATTTTTCTAATGTAAAGACGTCGTAAATTTGCATTTCTTCGTCTAGCTTCAATCGATAGGCCTGGCCAACTTTTTCGATTATCTTGTAGGGACCTGCAGCTTAGTCTGCGAGCTTCCGACTTGGACAATCCATTCTCTATTCTTTTGTCGATACTATAACTTCATCTCCCATGTAAAAGTCAACCTCTCGTCGGTGCTTGTCAGCTTGCTTCTTTTGACGCTGTTGCGCTATCTCTAGATTACCATGAGCAAAGTCCCAAATCTCTTGAAATCGCTTTACCTACACGCGCGTATCCTTCTCGTTGACAGTGAACTTCCTCGGTGGATCTGGTTTCCTCCAGTCGAACGACATCCTTGGTTAAAACCCCTTTTTGATCATAAATGGTGACAACCCTGTGGAATCTTGAGGCAATAAAGCAGCCGCAAAATCGATAATTGGTAACCACTCTGACCAATCATCTTGAAAGTGGTTAACATATGGTCTCAGGCGTTGGGACAAATACTGATTTGCGATCTCTGTCTGCCCATTGGTCTAAGCATGATCCGCTGTAGACAATGAAATCTTAATTCCTAATATATAGCATACCTCGTTCTAGAATTCCGACATGAACTGGGGACCATGATCTGACACAATAGAGTCCGGTAATCCTGTACGAGCGTACACGTACTTTATCCAGAGTCTAGTCAACTCTCTTGCATCAACATTCTTACGGCATGATATAGATATTGGAGTCTTGCCAAACCGATCAACCACCATGAACACCGTGTCGCAGCCTATCTTGTCAGGAGGATAGGTCATAAAATCTATGGAGATATACTGCCACGGTCTGCTAGGGATTAGCAATGGATTCAATAGTCCTGGCAGTAAGTCTCTCCTTGTGTTTGTGCGCTTGCATATCATACAATTGTCAATATATTGCTCCACATCTTTGTTCCAAGTAATCCAATAGTAATGTGCTCAAACCAATTGCTTCATCTTGTTCTTGCCTGGGTGAGCTGTCGACAGTTGACAATAAATTTTATCTAGTAACTGAGCTCGAAGATCCCCCTCATCTGGAACAAACACCTGATCTTTAAATAACAAGACCTCTTCGTGCAATGTCCAGTTCTTGTCTCCCGTTCTCGCGAGCTCTCGGAATTGCTCATATTCAGGGCTCCTTGTGTTTGCGGCGATAACTCTAGAAATAACGTCTATGGTAGTGTCCATTGGTGATAGCTCGACACTCCCCTGATTAGGAGGCTTATTATTATCTTCCCCACCTTCTTCCTCTTCGACCACACTTAACGAATCTTTTACCGGCGAAGGCCCTAGGCACTTCTTTGGCAACATGAGCTGCATACGCCCCTTCTTGCGGTCAACTGAAGTGCTTTCCCTCCGAATTAATGCATCCACCAGCGTGTTCTCCTTTCCTGGACGGTGCTTAATAACAAAGTGATATTGATTTACTAATTCGCACCACCTAGCTTGTCTAGCGGTAAGGCGCTTCGTCATTATGAAGTACCGCAGAGCCATGTGATCAGAAAGAATCTCGAATCGTTCGCTTCTCTGTAAGCCCACCAGCTCAGCCCTCCATTCTTTTAGGACTAACACAATTGCTAGGAGCTCCTTATTGTGAATATCGTAATTAAATTCTGCGTCGGTCATTATCTTTGAGAAGTATGCAACTAGGTGCTAGTGACCATCCTCTTGTAATTAAGAGAACACTATAGCGATAACTCCATCTGAAGCATCAGTTTCCAATCGAGAAGGCAACTCGGGCTGATAGTGACATAACACAGGTGCACTGGCAAGGCATCTTTTTAGTTTGTTAAAAGCTTCTTGACACTCGGTTGTCCATTTAAATAGCACATCCTGCTGTGTTAGGTAATTCAATGGCTTTACTATTTGACTGTACCCTTGTATGAACTTCCGATAAAAACCATAGAATCCGGGTTTGGAACTATAAGGGATCTCTGGAAGGATTAGCCTAGGGAGAGTACCCAAAGGTCCCTGGCATATCGGCCATATGGGGACGAGATAGTGATTTTTGAATTTTTGCATGTATGATTCTGATAGGGGTGATGCCGATAGGGCATCACCAAGGCTTCTGTGGTCTGTCATAGCCAGTAGGGCTGGGTATAGACAATAAACTTGATTAATAATAATAATAAGAATAATAAGAAAGACCGAATGCTAAAAACAGTGGTGGGAACCTTTCACTCAGTAATGGCCTTGATCTTTTCCTGATCAACCTCAATGCCATCCTTAGTCACGATGAAACCTAGGAACTTCATTTATTCCACACTGAATTCGCACTTGTGAATTGCTGCTTGTAATCTAGTGGCTCGGAGTCGTTCCAATACCATTTTTATGTGAATCTGATATTCTACCATGTTCTCACTATAGATGAGTAGATCGTCCACGAAAGCAATCAGAAATCTATCGAGGCAATCCATAAAGATATCATTTATGAATTGCTGGAAAGTCGCAGGACCATTGGTCAATCTGAAGGGCATGACTTTATACTTGTAGGTACTATATCGACACTGAAAAGTAGTATATTCCTCAGAGTCTAGATCTATACGAATCCTATAGAAACCTTGTCTAATGTCAAGCTTCGTGAAGATACATGCTCGGCTCAGACGCTCAAAAACCTCATCAATCAGTGGTAAAGGATATCAGTCCTTCTTAGTTAATTGGTTGAGCTTGCGGTAGTCAACACAGAAACGCAATCCTCCTCCCGGCTTCGATGCCATGATAATCAGTACTGCAAATGGTGCTCGAGCTACTGGGCTCAAGGAATCCTTTATTCAGGTTGTTGATAATATACTCTCGCGCTGCTTCCAGTTTATCTCCCGACATCTTATAGAGAGGGTTGTAACTTAACTTGTTCGGATTTTCCAACTCAATTTTATAGTCATAAGGCCGGTACAGAGGCAACTTATCCGATTCATGCTTGGAGAAGACATCCACAAAGTCTTTCAGGTAAGCTGGTAGCTTTTTCCTGATTTCCTCTTTTTCTAGTTTTTCCTCTGGGGTCTTTTATCCTTAACAATCTTATTGATCTCATACAAGCTGGTAAAGAAGATTTGACTCTTCTTCTACTGCACTAAGCGATGGAAATCATTTTCCCTAATCATAGCAATGTCAAGTTCCACTAACTTACGAGCTTCAGGATTTCTTTGAATTAGAAGTAGAGGCGGATCCTCCTGATCCTTTATTGATTCCTTGATAAATCGGTTCATCCTTAGGAGTGTAGCCTTATAGCTCTTCTTATATGATCGGCTATATTCCACGGGAACAGGTCTTAGCTATTGCTTCTCGAAAGCCTGGTCTCATCAGTTAGTATTTTTTTGATAATCAGGATTAATTTTATTCTGTCGCTTTAGAATCTGCTGAGGCAATCGCACGTATCCCTTAATAATAATCTCATCCTTCAAAGAGACTTCCTCTGGCCATAACAGTCGCTTCTTTGCATAGTCCACAAGAATATTGTGCTTTGCAAACCATATCCTCCCTAGGATCATATTATGCTTGCCTAAATTAATAATGAGGAATGGCACGTCTAGCTGACGATATCCATTCACAATGAGCGTAAATATGATGGCATGAGTTATCGGGGTCGCAGTCTTGCCATCATATCCTCTTACGGCATATTTATTTTCTAACCGATGAGTCCTCATCTTGAGGAATCTGCTCAATAATATGGCGAAATTGGTATCTATAAATACTAGTCCATTTGCTCCAGTATCAGCAAGTGCCCGTGCAGTAATTGAATGTGTATTCTTCGCTATTTGAATTAGTATTGTGAAACTATCCTTTTCACGTCTAATCAATTAACTAAGATCTATATCACACATGCTGACTTCTATTGAGCCTAAGAAGGAGACTTTCCTTGGGCTTACTTATTTTCTGATTCCGAATTAGAGTTGGCTGAGCTCACTTCATCTACCTTTTCTAGCTTCTTGAGGTCCGAACTCTTCTTTGCAGCTGGCTTATCATTATTGGGATAATCTTGACCAATGTGACCAGTTTAGCAATATTTGAAGCATTTACCCTCTTTCATAAGTAGAGCATGAGCTGCGTTATCCACCCATTCACCTTTCTTACCATCCTTGTTCGATGAACTGCTACCAGCAGTAGAGGGAGCAGGGGAGGAACAGTTTGCAGGGGTTAAGTGAATAGAGTTACTGGCGTTGGAACTAGCACTCGAATTCGTGTTCATACCGTGACGGCGTACTTTGCTCTCAATAGTAGAAATTGCTTTAAGGCGATTTGCTGTCTTTATAACTTTTCTCATAAAACCAGCCCAGTCGAGGTCTAGGTCATCTGCTTCGTCGATCAACTTACGCTGCAGCTCAAAGCTCAGCTTACTATAAAGGTCTTCCTTCCAAGATTAAATGTCGGTCTTGGATTCTTGAGCTTCGTGAGTGAATTCAGTTAGGAAATCCTGGAATTTCATCTTGCTCGTCATCTGGAGAGCATGGTATCTAGCTTTTGCATTGGTGACTCAATTAACATCTTTAAAAATAGTTTTCAAGTGGTCAAACATGTCGTCAGCATCTATGAAAAGATAAGAAGAGTTCTTGCGAAGACGGGGCATCAATGCTTGGCTGCCTAACCCTCGCACATTTTCTTTATAAAAAGAATTTAATCCTTCGCATTTGGGTAGTGATCCGCGTTGCTCTCTAGGGTCCCTTCCACATCAATCAACTAAGACTTAAAGGTTGGATTGATACCGTCTGAGAGCTTCGCTCCCTTGGGCAACTTGGTGGATTTTGGTGTGAAGGTTGGTCTTAGTGTACCTTCCTCACTACCACCCTGACCACTAGTTTAGAGGTATAACTTAGCAAAAGCTTGCATATACTGGTCACGTTCTCCTTGCAGTTCAACAATATCATCGGCGTTTTGCTTGGCCTCGCGATGAGCCTCTTTCATGTCAGAATAAGCACGTCACAGCCAATGGATAAACTGTCACACTTACCCAAGAAGGTTAGCCTAGGGCTTTACCTATCACGGGATAGTGCAGAACCAAGAACAGACTAGGACAAGTTAGGGCTAGGAATTTATCAGGCGATTAGACGTATTGTAGCGGCTCTACTAGGAGACAAGGGGGCTCTGCAGGCGGCAAAAGACACCTGGAACGAACTGGCAAAGACTCAACCAAGGCTAACGGACTCGACCTCAACAGAGGAAGTGGAACGTGAAGCAGAGTGGATTGAGAGAACGCTGACAGAGGTCTTGAACAAGTACTGCAAACTAATCAGGGTTTGTGCCCGCTCTAAGCGCTGGTGGAACAGTGAGATCGAGGCAGAACGAAGTGCGTATTCCAAGGCTCGTAAGGCCTATCAAGCTGGTGAGATTAGCGAGGAGGAGCATCGAGAAGCACGTAAGAGCTTCTATTCGCTAGTTAGCAGAACCAAAAGAGAGTGCTGGGAGGGCTTCCTCCAGGGCACGTCTGAGGGTTCTCTACCTGACCAGAAACGGTGTTGGACAGCCTTACGCTATACCAAACTACAAACACAAGGTACTACACCAGCTCTAACTGACGAGGCCTCTGGGGAGGTGATTGCAGCCACCTTTAGTGAGAAGGAGGAGGTTTTTAGACACCGTGCTTTTCCACAGGCTCCAAATAGCAACATTGAGTCGCAGCTTCCAGAGCCTGGATCTGCTCACAAGCTGGTTAACGAGGAAGCAGTCAAGAATGCCCTCTTTAGCCAGGGGCTAGAGAAAGCTCCAGGTACAGATTTACTGAACTTCCGAGCCATCAGGCTCTTGTGGAATCTAGATTTAGAGCGCGTGGTCAGCCTGGTAAAGCAGTGCCTTAGGCTTGGGATACATCCGCGGATCTGGAAAATAGCTAAGGGGGTTCTCTTGAGAAAGAACGGCAAAACCAACTACACACTGGCTAGTGCCTATCGAGTGATAAGCCTATTGAAGTGTCTAGGCAAGGTGACTGAGAAGCTCGTTGCAGAGTTGATCACAAACTTTGCAGAGGCCCAAGATCTCTTCCACGATGGCCAATTTGGAGGCCGTAGGCAACGCAGTGCAATTGATGCCGTGGCATGCTTAGTTGAGGAGATTCACCAAGCCTGGGCGAATGGGAAGCTGGCTGCAGCACTGTTTATGGATATTAAGGGGGCCTTTGACCATGTTGTCTTGGCCAGACTAATCGAGGTCCTCAGAGAGGCTAGCGTGGATGGAGACCTTATACGCTGGGTAGTCTCGTTTCTATCTGATCGGCGAGTCACCCCCGTGATTGACGGACACATTGGAAAGGAAGCATCGATAAGCTCTGGGCTACCTCAGGGCTCTCCAGTGTCACCTATCCTGTTTGTTTTGTATGTTCATGGGCTGTCTAGAGCCATTGAGAGGAGTGTGCCAGAGATTCGATGTCTATCCTTTGTGGACGACCAAGGCCTGATAACAGCCGCAAGCTCAGTGAAGGAGGCTTGTAGGACCCTTGAGAAAGCAGCTGAAGTAGCCATCGAGTAGGGGTTGACCAACGGGGTGCAATTTGATCGCAAAAAGACTGAAGCCGCTTTCTTTTATAGACGACACAGACGTCAAGGGGGGCGGATAGCTGAAGTGGTAACGGCTATCCTTGGGGCCTCCATTCGGTACCCATCTTCGCTGATTGGCAAGGCCGTAGGTTCGACTCCTACACCCCTCACCAAAACAATTACCACAAATTATCGTGGCAGCTGCAAGTGGGTGCCGCTGCCAAGGCTCGCGTGCTAGCGCATTATATCTAGCTACCGTGGGGCTTTTGCCCTAAGAACCGCACCAATTCTCGGGAACCCTTTTAAAAACCATCCGACCCACCCACGGGACAGGACACCCGAGGCTAGCCTAGCTAGTGGTTAGTCCCTTATGGGGCAAGACTGTGACGGCCAATAAGTAGGCTGCGATGCCGATATTGGTAACTGGAAGCTCAGAAGTGGTTGGAGAGTGGGCGGTAGTGGAGCGATAGGAAAGATAAGGAACTATTGTATCTAGCTTGAGAGGACAGAAGCGGCAGCCGGTTACTATGGGTGCATATATAAATGTATAGTAGCTTAATGTGTATCCCCCCAATACTCCTAGGGGGGGAAGGTGGCCTAGGTGTCACATTGGAGGATGAATAGGGGTGAGGGCACGCTAGTCAGAGTTTGTACTGATTAGGTGTGCCCACGGGTTTGGAGCTATAAGGGATCTCCGGGAGGATTAGCCTAGGGAGAGTGCCCAAAGGTCCCTGGCATATCGGCCACATGGGGACGAGATAGTGATTTATTTTGAATTTTTGTATGTATGATTCTGATAGGGGTGAGGCCTTTAGGGTCTCACCAAGGCTTCCAGAGGTCTGTCATAGCCAATAGGGCTGGGTACGGACAATAAACTTGATTAATAATAATAATAATAATAACACAGACGTCAAGTGGCCCAAAACATATCTCAAGCCCGGATCAGGGTTGGAGGCGAGTTGGCGACTGTCAAACCAACAGTACGGCGGCTAGGTATACTCCTGGACAGCCGTCTTACATGGAAGAATCACTACAACGCTCGAATCAAGATAGCAAGAAGCACGATAATCCGGTTGAACTCACTCTGCAGAGCCAATGGGCTACCCCCAGTATTAGTGAGGCGCATACAAAAGGCTACGGCACAAGCCCAACTCCTTTGGGGTGCCGAGTTTTGGTGGCAAGGCCAGAAAATATGGGCACAGAGGTTCCAAGTTCCAATCAATAAGCAAGCCAGAGCTATCACGGGCATGTTCCCAAAGACCCCAATTGGAGCTCTAATCAGAGAGGCAGCGTTAGAGCCAGCGACAGCCTTACTGGACGCTAGAGTGGCTCAATATACAGCGAGGCTACTGACACTGCCTGACACGCATCCTACAGCACAGATACTTCCAGTAACCCTTAGACATGGTGACCTCCACGCACAACCTGGAGAGCAACCGCTAGACGACCGGGAATGGGCCTCTAGAGACAACAAGGTGCTAAATCGACTCGGCCAAAGGCTTGCAAAGCACCTTGCTCAACGGTTGAACAGAGACCCCTCTGGAGGAATTGAGAGAACTGAACAATGCGAGCTCCAAGGCTTCCCAGGCTCGATCCGAGTACTTGACAAGGAAGAGGCCCTAACAGAGGCTAATCAACAGCGTGCTGGAACAACGTTTTGGTCCGATGGCTCCAGACTCGATACAGGACGTGCAGGAGCCGGTGTCACTTTACAGGCTGTACCTGAAGGCCCCTGGGAACACGTAGAAGTGCCAATGGGCCACGGACACGAGGTCTTTGACGCAGAACTAGTGGGAGTAGCCACAGCCCTTGAATGGGCACTGGAGAGGCAATTTCTTGGTCCTATCTGGGTGTTCCTCGACGCGCAGAATGCTATTGATCGCCTCAGATCGACAAGGCCAGGCCCTGGGCAAGCCCTTGTTCTTAGGGCTCACAGGGCAGCTGAGAAACTAGCCTTGAGAGGCCAACCAGTCACAATACAATGGGTCCCAGGCCACTCAGGGATTGAAGGGAATGAGCAGGCTGATCAAGCTGCTAAACGCGCAGCTAGTAAACAAACCGCGCCTGGTTTTGAGCACCTATCTCTGGCGCACGTTAGAAGGGCTTGCACGGAAGCAAGGAGAGCTGCAGTATCTGAATGGGCTCAAATCAATGCTGTACAAGGCAGGCATAGAGACGGATGTGTCTACAAAATGCCTCGAGGCTGGAACCTTGACCCAGTGGCAGGAAAAGCTCCAAAAAGAGTGGCTAGTCGTTACTACCAGTTAAAGACAGGACATGCTCCAATTGGCACCTATCTATACCGGATAGGCCAACGGGAATCGCCTGAGTGTCAGGCCTGCAAGGAACCTCATGAGACAGTAAGGCATGTACTCTTTGAGTGCCGTGGACGTCGTGCAGGACGAAGAACTCTCTATCAAGCCCTCAAAAAAGCAGGCGTGCCACTGCCTACAGCGGCTGAGGAAAACCCCGAGGCTAGGCTATTTGCTGAGCCTAGAGCGACGCAGGGTTTGCTGCAATTCGTGGCTGAAGCCAACCTATTCAATGATAAGGAGCGGACAGCCAGAGAGGCTGAGTCTAGTGATGCGTGGGGGTGGGATACGTTGGAGGAAGGTGGCCTAGGTGTCACATTGGAGGATGAATAGGGGTGAGGGCACACTAGTCAGAGTTTGTACTGATTAGGTGTGCCCACGGGTTTGGAACTATAAGGGATCTCCGGAAGGATTAGCCTAGGGAGAGTGCCCAAAGGTCCCTGGCATATCGGCCACATGGGGACGAGATAGTGATTTATTTTGAATTTTTGTATGTAGGATTCTGATAGGGGTGAGGCCTGTAGGGTCTCACCAAGGCTTCCAGAGGTCTGTCATAGCCAATAGGGCTGGGTACGGACAATAAACTTGAATAATAATAATAATAACTATAAACTCTAGTTACCAGCAAGAATGCGCATACATCCAATATTTCATATCTCATTATTGGAACCTACAAGAAACCTAGAAAACAGTGACAAAGAAGTAGATAAAGAAGAATATGAAGTTGAGAAGCTACTCAAAAGAAAGTTAGAAAAGGGACAAATCTATTATTTAGTTAGATGGAAAGGATACAGACTAGAAGACGACACATGGGAACCTGTCAGGAATTTAAATTGCCCTGAGAAGATTCAGGAATTCCGGCAATTAGTTGGTCAAGGAAAGAATTATCCACGACAGAAGGATCAAAAGCCTCGATATCGGCAGAAGAAGGGAACTCGAGTGCAGCAGCCAAGTTTTGACAAGCTTTAGAAGCCTCAGCCTCTTTTCGCTTCTCCGCCTCTAACCTTTTCCTCTTCTCCTTTTCCCTCTCCTCTAACTTTTCCAATTCCTCCACATTCTTTATATCCGTTTAAATAAATTGACCCGCATGTTTCTGAAGAAGTTTTCATTGTTTCTTAAGATGAAGTAACTTTGTAAGAGTCGCCTCCTCATTCTCATCAATCTTTCGCTGGGCCTCGAGCAACTTCTTCCAGGCAAGATTGGACGAAGCTATATCGATACACTTGCACTGACCATCGCGAATACACTCGCTACAACGCTTTGAAATCTCAGATTTTATGCACTTCTTATTTTGTTGAGAACAGCGAAGACAAGGAATCGCCAAAATGACCCCAGACAGTTCAACTTGATCACAAAGATTGTTCTTCAATATATTCTTATACGACGACATAGTTAGCTCAGTACCGCAACATGAGCATCATTGTAAAAAGGAAAGAAAGAGAAAAACAGACTTACAGCGCAGATGGGAAACGCAGACTATTTATTATGCTGTTGGGACGTCAGCCTTCAGAAGAGGGGATTGTCAGAAGAATTAAGAATCCACAGCCAATGGATTGACTAGATAGTGTTACACTACTGCACTATGGAAGTAAGGATTATCCGTAACCATTAGGGTTAGGGTATCAGAGAGATCAGAGATATTCTATGATAGCTATGATCCGAGGATCAGAGAAATCAGAGGAATTCTATGGATTCTATGATGATGATGGAATATATAAGGACACTCATTTATCGTGTATTTAGTTTATTCTATCGTCTTGAATTAACCGTGCTAAGTACCCCTTAGCTTTGACAACTTGAGTATACGTTCTTCTATCGAACCGGATATTCATTCTTTTATTAAGACTTTGCTTTCAAGAAGCCTTTCGTACTTAGAAGCCTTATAACTTCAGCGTGTTATAAGCTATCCGAGATATACTCGACGGTAGTTTGACCGAAGTTTTCCAACATTTCAGTTCTTTCTTAAGTTGGGTAAGTTCTTCTTTCTAATTCTGATTCTGATTCTGATTAGTATCCACTCCACCTGGAGCATCAAGATTCTCAACCATCTCATTATGAGCGACAGCAGCTTCCTCATACAGTTGGAGCAAGTGCTGTTGTCGACAGAGGACCTTGGCGAAGAGATAGTAAGGATTCTCTTCTGCCTCTTTGACAAATTCTTCTTCTGTGTTTCTTGAAAATGGCTTCTAGATCTGCCTTGTCGAATTCTTCCATATACGAAAGAAGACAGTCCTCTTGCAAGTTGGCGAGTACCTCTTCAGGCAGCTGGCTAACACGAGGTATCGCGAGTTCTATTCTGTCGGTTCAGTTCTGTTCGGTTTTTCAAATTTTGAGAATTGGGATAAAGGAACCTTGTTGCTTGAGGTGGTGTTGTTAATGATAACAACGTTGCTGTATAGCTGTTAAGGTATTGATAAATAAAGAGGATGTTTGGTATAATGTGAGGGCTCATTTAATAGTTATATTGGAAGCTAAGTACAAGAATACCAAACATGGAGAAAGAAAGAAAAAGCTAGGAATGTGAGGCTATCTGAAACAAGATGTATTGTCGTGATCACGTGACAGAATCACGAACCCCCCTACGTAACCCTAGCATGTGACTACGTAAACCGAACTCTGCGAATAACCTCATTACTGACCGTCACAACTACCACACGATGTAAAATTCAAATGCGTCAGTTCCTAATTCGGTAACCGTGATGGTTCCCGTCAATACCTTCACCGCCCGGCAGTACCGATCACCTCATTACGCCGTCACAGCCTTCACGTCCTATTCAAATGTCACACTGCCGAGTATATCTTACCGCCTTCTGAATTGGGATTAGAGCAAATAAGTTGGGGAACCTCGAATCGAATTCGAATCGACTCTGAGTTCGAATTTGTACGAATAGTCATATTCAGGATTAATTCGATTCGATTCGTGCGGAGCGGTACCCAGGGCACGTTATGTCCCCATGGTTGTTCGTACGACTCAGAACTCGCTGTCAGTGACTGTAGCTGAGTGTCGGAACTTAAACGTAATACTGTTTCACCAAAAAGACGCCCTTCAAGGGATTCTGGTATTTTCGTGATATTTGCGAACCGTACTTCTCTATTCTGCTAGTCACGTGATTTTGGTTGCAACACTGAGTGTCGGAACCAAATTACCACTTCACCAAAAAGAAGATCCCCTTTATGGAGCTTTCTGGTAATGGTTTTGTATTCCAGCGCAAAATGTTGCGTATCTGCCCGTGCTGTGTTGGATATCACGTGATCTAATTTTTGACACTGAGAGAATTTTTCGCGACGCTACTACGTGTCGTTGTAGGGGGTATAAGGCGGTAGATTGCCTCCTCTAGGCGATTGGTGTTCTTTTTGTTGTAGTGATCTCTTGAGAGGCCTGAGAGGTCACTTTCTTTGTCTTTTTAACATTCAATTAGACGCGCGCGAGGCGCTGCGCCAGCTGTTCATTTGAGGGTGTGTCCTTCACCCGTCGAGCTAGGTGTAAAAATGTGTCAACCACCGCTGTTGATATCTTATATGGCATGCTAATCTCTAGTGGCTCTGGATGCTTTTTCAAGGCCTCGAGGTCTTTGATAGCCACGGCTACATATATACGTATATCAGGGTCGTCTGGGAATCGTGGCTCTGGCCATGGAGTGCCTTTTTCACGGGCCCATGCCTCAACCACGTCGATCGAGCTGGCGAAACTTGGTAAATAGGCTGTTGAGGACGTCTATTTCCATGATATTCTTTCCCGCAGTACTTTTTACATGCGTAGATGCGTTTTCATAGGTGCGCGAGCTTTTTTCTCTTCATCAATTCCTTCCTTCCTAGGAGTTCCTGCTGCGGATTCCCTGGTTTTGTGAATAAGGCTGTGTGCTCGATTTTAGGCAGATCTTAGCTTCCTCAATCAGTTGAGTGACGAATTTAACTGCAAGTACTGATCCCCAGCACCGCGTAAAGACGTCTGCCCTTGGTTGGGGAGAGTGTGCCATTATGGATGTAGATTTCACCCATTAAGACTATCAATATACACGTCCGAGCCATTACTACATTCTTACCTAGTAAAACTAGTCTCGATCGATAGCTCCTGACTCAGACGATAAACTGTGTGAGTTACAGCAGCTTCTGGCCGAATCTGTTGCCGTAATTTCAAAATTCGATTCGCGCGAAAGACAGATGTTTTAAAATCATCAGTGAAAACACGCAAGTCAAGGTGCGCTCAAGAACTCGCCTTTCAGCTACCAACACAAATAAGAACCGAGAAGAAGTAGGAGCAACAAAAGCGTTACTCTAAACAGAAGTTAGGTTTCCAGCGTAGTACTTTGAAGCAGGGGTTTCACATGCGTGCTATAGTAATTCGCTCAATCTACAAACCATCCTTCGAGTTCATAGCTTCTGTAATCCACTTCGTCATAGATGAAGTCGAAACAGTGACCATACGTGTGCATGAAATGCAACATTAATGCATATAATTCGTTGATATTATCTTTATCCTCATAAAGTCTATGTAAGTTGACTGTCTAACGATACAGCAAAATCGTAATCCTGAGCTGGTCGAGGGCTTTTATACACAAGAAACAGTAATTAAAAAGTGGTAATTTGAAGCAAGCGTTGTGTCAAGAGCCTGCAGTGGTCTGGTTAAAAATGGTCATACTCTTTCATCGAGGAGCAAGTCGACAAAGCGTTGATGTTGATGATGCTGAAATGCGGAAATTAATGTAAGTAGCGTTGTACGCAAAGTGGTCTCAAAAGACGGAAAGGGCCTCCTCTAGTTGGCCTTCTTGGCTGCCTTCTCGGCTTTCTTCTCACGCCAGCGCTTCACCGATTCAGGAGTGTATTCAGTATCGAGAACAAAGTCCCACCAGCGGAAGCTGCTGGCAAAGTTGCCAACGAACTTCTCGTGGTGAACATCGTGGTGATCTGCGCCAGCCCAGAATGGCAGGAAGTGGTGTAGACTCCAGGGGAACTCGTAGCCGCTGTGAGCATCAATAGCCTGGAACAGCCGCAAGACAATCCAGATATACATGGTCAAGATGTGGAGATCGCCAGTGAAAGCACACCATACAATGGGGCAGCCAATGGTACCGAATCCGAGAACCATGACTTCAATCGGGGAAGCATATTCTGCAGCTAGGCCGAAGGGAGCGGAGTATTGGTGGTGAATCTTGTGAATACCTCTGTAAAGAGGACCCCAGTGGAAAGCGCGGTGAGAGAAGTAGTGCCATGTATCCTCCATAACAAAGAAGATGGCGATCTGGTATGCCATGGTCCAAAGAGAGGGGAAAGGAACCGAGGTAGCCATGCCGAAGTACTGAGCCATAGGGTGGAAAAGCCTGAAGTGCGCGTTAGATTCTGATCGTGCGTAAACATCGTCGACAGAGAAACTTTACCAGATCTGAGGAAGTTCGACGGTGAAGTGACTGAGAAGAACGAGTCTTGCGCATTCCCATTGTTCCTTCAATGTAGGAATCTTGTTCTGCACGAGGAATGAGTAATTCGCATGTCAAGAAGAATGACAGATGCTTACAGGCTGAATCTTGTACTTTCTGAAGAGACCAAAAGTGTCGATGATGATCCATGGAAGGGATCGGCCGAAATAGACCAGTTCGTGCATCACGAAGGACATGATACCTGTGGCCAGAACATCGTTCTGCATGTAGGCGTACCAGGCTTCCCACAGTTTCTCGAAAACATTGAGGTGGACATTGTACTTGGAGACTTCTTCGTAGTGGCTCCAGTACGTCTCTGGCGACGTAGAAAACACGGTGGAATTCCTATCGAGGGCAGTTTTAGCTTGCAGTTCCTTTTGGGTTTACCACTGGCGCAGTTTCTAGGAACGTACATTTTGCAAATCTGAATCGTCCAACAGGGCGCAGGCAAATGAACAAGGTTTCGTATTCAAGCTGGGTAGTTGATAGAGATCGAGGACTGGAGGGAGAACGTGTCCTGGATCAAATAAATAAGGCCAGTAATCGTCTGGAGGCAAATCTTGCGAGAAAAGGAGAGTCACGGGTGGGCCGACTTTGCAGTGCTGTGACTGGCTGCAGCCCCTGAGAGTGGACTACAATTCCGAGTGGTGCGACTTTTTACCTTCACTGTGATTGGTGGGTGTCATTGACTAAACTGCAAATCATGCACGGATTAACGCTTTTCCGATCGGAGTCGCGCAATCCGAGATCAGATGAGAAAGAGCCTGAGGCAGCAATGTCATTTTGTCGTATGACACGGTCTGACTACGACATACAACAGCCGACACAACAACACACACTCGATTGATTCACAGGTATAGTATTATCATTATCATTATTATCATACATCGTTGACACATCATGGACTCGTCTAGTTCCTTCTGGAGCATCTAATCGTCCGGGTATTCGTCGCGAATGTTGCTCACAAATTTTCGCTCATCTTCGCTCCATCGCTTGAAATGCTTCCCGGCAATAGCCAACAGGCCGCTAGAGAGCTCCGACATGGTTGGAGTGATGATCTGGATATTCTCTTCGGCGACGTAGCGGATACTCCGATCCTCGACACTATAATCAACATCAGCACAAACCATTCCATGCACAACAAGGCGAATAAACTAACAGCGCATGATAGAAACTTTGCTTTCTTCCAGCTCGTAATTGATCAATACCCATTCGCCGCATCCATTCCTCGTTCGCATCACATTCCGCGTCCCATCCTGTGATCACCGCCTGGTACTCATATCGCCGATGGATAAAGACTTGACCTACTCGATACTTGACATTTTGGTGCTCAGGTCCGCGGTGGCGTAATTTTTTTGGTATTTCATCGACCGTGCGCATGACGCGCAGTCCTTCCGAGACGTGGTCGACCTCAATTGAGTCCCGAAGTTTCGATAGAACATATTGTTCAACCAGAGAAATGTCCCACGGAAACTCTTTGAAGAAGAGTTCCATGAACCATGGTAAGCTTCGCCTGACCTCATTGAAACTAGACTGCGGCGTAGATAACATCATGGACCAGAGACCCGCATATCGTGCGAGTTCAGTATCCAAAGTACTCGATTCCTCCGGGCCGTTCTGCAATGAATTTAGAATATTCCTGCCGCATCTATAAACAATATCCGGTGTTGATGTCTGGCCAAGAAATCGTGACGTTGGTGCTGTTAGATTCCCAAGCATATTCAATTGACTCTGCAAATCACTGGCAGGGACTTCGATATCAGACCGCCATGGATCCATATACATAGGCGAGCCGGGATTGCCGTGTAGTAATTCTACTCCGTCCAGGTCGAAGCCGACAGCTGGTGAGATAATCACCAGCACATGGTAGGGAAATCCACACGGCTGAGCATTGAGCCCAAACCTTTGCGCAACGGCGCAGTATATCGTAGCCGATATTAGAGGCAAGGAGTTGTGTCCCTGATCTCGAAGAGCGAATCCAAGGAAATTGTGTTCAAGAGTGTGATAGTGCCGGCCGGCCCGTAACCCGATATAGTTATTTGAGAGTAAGTAAGATGCAATCAACAGCGCTCTTTGGCGTGGTGCAAGATTTACTATGTGTGGGTTCTGTTGTGATAGGTTGTCTGCAATCTCGTCGAGCATGTCTTGTATCTGCCGATCAGACACGTAAGCGATGTAGCTTCAGAAGGAGTCAGACAGAAAGAATATATACCTGGTCGAGCGAGTCTATCCCGCACTGAGGGACGAAAAGATCGAAGCAGCCCAGTGCCCTTTCTAATGGTGTCTCTTTTCCATTCTCCTTCAAGTCTGCCCATAGTGGGATGGCTATGTTCCGTTGTAGACACCCCAACATGGCGTTACTATAGTATCTGTCGCATAAACATCGGCCGATTAGAAATTAATTTTTTATATCGAGAGAAGTGTATCAGTAAAACGCACCTTCTGGCTAGGTAGTCGTCCAAATCCGTACTGGCACGTGAATGCCGTAAGAGTGTATCCTTCGCATCATATCCATGATCAATAATAATCTGCGCCTTATTGATACGCCCAGATTGACTTGACAGTATATCATCCAGAACCTTCGTCGTGACCCAGTCAGTAAAATATCTCTCGGCAAACAGTTCTTTCCACGCAACAGTCGAAGGCGGCCTTCTCAGTTTCTCATCAAAGTCATGTTTATCATCCCAGTATCGAAAATGAGACTGGCAGTATTGACGCCACAATAGTGGTTCGTTTGTGACACCTCGGAATCGGCGAGATGTCCTTTCTAGCGCTAGGCATTGTGTTGGATCGCTGTAGTGTAATATCAGATGTAGGATTTCGTCGGGGAGGTCGTCGAGATTTGCAGGCATTGTGGTGTAAGAGGTCCCACAAAAAGTATAGGTCTATGTCGCATTTGGCGTATTTTGTATATATCAACTTCCATCGAGTTTAGGATTCGCTGTCGTTGGGGGTCATATAGCGTCGTGTGTGTTCGACTTAACAAGCGTGGGGAAAGGACGAAGCGATGATGTTACATGCCACAGCCCCGATAAGATAAGCCAGAATTATCCCCCACAAAGTATTCGCAACAATTTCCAACATACATAGACGTTCGCTTTGTTTTCTTGAGCAGTCAGACCAAGGAAAAGTATCTATATATATTGCATAGTGGGTGGTTTATTTTCTATTTACGAGATGGGTCAAAGTCAGTCCACTAGCTCGAACAAAGATAATAGCGGTCAAGATACCGAACGTCGTGTTGACTACTACGAGCTTCTGGGAATTGAACGAGATGCGTCAGAAGACGAGCAAGTTTTTCTTATTTATGTCATACATTCGTCGCGCTAACACGTTATTTGCAGCATCAAGAAAGCCTACAGAAAAAAGGCCCTCGAACTACACCCAGACCGAAACTACGGCAAAGTGGAAGCAGCCACAAAACTCTTCGCCGAAGTACAATGCGCCTACGAGGTCCTCTCCGACCCTCAAGAAAGAGCGTGGTATGATTCACATCAACATGCAGAACTGTCTGATGATGGGCAGGCAGCTGGCCAAGGTCAACAGCCTCCTTCGGGAGGGTTTAAGATGACAGCTTCCAACATCACGAGTCTAGTAATGAATTTCAACCCGCATATGGAGTTTTCGGATTCTCCAAGTGGATTTTTCGGTGGTCTACGGGATATATTTGATCAAATAGCAACAGATGAGGGGATAGCGTGTCGATGGGAGGGATCGGAGCCCGTGGACTATCCCAGTTTTGGCGGCAAACATGACTCTTACGACGTCGTTGTGCGTCCGTTTTATGCAGTGTGGACGAGCTTCTCAACCAAGAAATCATTTGCATGGAAAGACAAATACAAATATGGTGAAGCCCCGGATCGACGAGTACGACGGTTAATGGAAAAGGAAAACAAGAAGATGAGAGAAGACGGTATAAGGGAATACAACGACGCCGTTCGGGCCCTAGTCGCCTTCGTCAAGAAACGTGATCCACGATACAAAATTAACATTCAAACTGAAGCAGAAAGACAGCGCATGCTTCGCGAATCAGCAGCTGCTCAAGCAGCGCGTTCCCGTGCAGCCAACCAGGCCAAGATGCAGGATCATGTGGTCCCCGAGTGGGCGCGAACTCACGAACAAGCCGGCGAGGATGTAGAGCATGAAGGCCAGTTTTACAGTAGCTCTGAATCCGAGGTTGAGCATTTCGAGTGCGTTGTTTGTAATAAGATATTCAAGAGCCAGAAACAATTCGAGGCGCATGAAAGGAGTAAGAAGCATATCAAGGCTGTTAAGCAGTTGCGAAGGGAGATGTTGCTTGAGGACGAGGAATTGAATCTTGAAGGTGATGAGGAGCCAGAGGTCGTGAAGGAGGAGGAATTCGAGGGAGAGGCTATCCCGGCGAATGGTGTACCTGATGATGAAGGTGATATTGCAGAAGCACAAACAAAAGACAAAATCAAAGATACAACCATGGAACCACTTACATCGCGAAGTCCATCCCCTTCTTCCTCCGAGGACGAAGATCAGGACTATGTCGATCTGGGCGACATGAAGCCAGAGAAAACTTCTCTATCTTCTGACGACAGCGACGACGACGACCTTAAATCTAAACCCACCACAGCAAAGCTAGGCAAAGCCAAGCAAAAAAGAGCTAAGAAGCTGGCAGCCCAACAAGCCTCTTCTACAGATACTCAAAGCAAATGCGCAAATTGTCAAGCTACGTTTCCATCACGGACACAACTCTTCTCGCACTTACGGGAAACAGGCCATGCTCAGCCCGTGGCAACAGCGCAGTCTAAACAGAAGAAAGGAAAAAAGTCTAGAAAATAATTCTATGCATTGCGTCTAAAAAGTCATATTTAAGGCTACTACATGAAAAGTCATCTCTATCAGAGCGGATATTAACCCAGTCCAGCACGGGTATTCTTTACAACGTGAGCAACAGGTTGTAGGATACCCTTATTGTTGAGGGCACCCAGTGCTGTTCCCGAGCTCCATCCCATCTTCTCCAACATAGCCCTGCCCTTATTTTCTGCTCCAATCTCAGGTGCGGACCCTCCAACCACCTCACCTTCGAGGTAAGAGGCGCCCATATTGGTTGTCTGGCGCCGGCGAATATTCTTGGGCCCTGGCGAAGATCTTTCACTGACGCTCATGCGAGTGCTCTGACGCAGATTGAATCGCGGTTGGGCTAGGATCTTATCAAGTTTGACACTGTGTTTGCCGTTGAAATTGGGAGTGCGGCCTGTTTTGTACAGGACGGGGAATCTCGCATTGCCTTTGCCGCGAGATTGTGACTTGAGCATAAGAGCATTTGCCAACTCATGTATAACTCTGCGATGTTGCTTCTTCATGGGAGGCAGATCAAGACTATCCATCGTGTCAATAAACGAGTCTAAAATAGATAGATATAGATGAAATACCTCTCTGATTGCGACTGAAGAAAAGTCCTCACCTCAATCTTCAGTCCTTCAATGCCAAACCCTTTATCCTTGCCTCTGCGATCAAGTTTCTTCTTGTTCTTTCCGAGTAAGCCCTCCGCTCGGAGTTGTTCTCTCTCGCGTTTCTTGGCCTTCTTCTTGTTCCGATCTTTCTCCCATGCTTGTTCTAGTTGGATCTCAAGTTCGCTATCGCTCAGATCAAAACCCATCTGACGTCTTCCTTTCTTCTTCTTGTTCTTTCTCAAAGGTCCATCTTGCTGCATATCAACGATATCGAAATCGACATGACGCTCGCCCTCGAAGAAATCTAGTGACATATCGTTCGACGACGCCCATTCTGCTTCCAGCTCGGTGAAGGATGCCCCACGGCGGATCTGGGATATGATATCGTCAAGCATAGTCGAGTCATCTGTGTCATCGGAATCTTCGTTGTCGTCCTCGTCAGAGTCGTCGTCTTCAATCTCCTCGCTAATCAACATAGAGCTCTCTTCAACCACTTCAAGCGTCGAAGATACGCGAAACTTGGCTTTCTCTTCCTTGGTCAGACCCTGTTCATCCTCAGAGGCATCATCATCTTCACTGGATGAGTCGGTCGACTTCTCGTTGCGAGCCACATTTCGCACGTAGTCGGCGAAAACGCTGTCGTCATCCCATATAGACCTCTTGTTCTTCCTTCCTTTCCGTTTGTTTCTAGCCTGTCTCTTTGACGCTAGGCCAATGTAGGAATCTTGAAGATTCTCGGGGTCCCGGGGATCCGTAGTAGCTGATCTCTTGTCTGGAGGGGTTGGCGCGAGAAATTGTACGTCATCATCCACGACCTGAACAGCAGTTCGCGAGAATGATGGTTGTGGCTGGACACGAGAATCATAAACGACACTGTTGATTCGGGCAGTCTGGTTCTGCCTCCCACTAAACACGACTTCGTCCTCGCTGCTGTTGAGGTCACTGTTACTGCGCGGGCGGGCGCTGAATCGCGTATTGGATTTTACAGGCTCATTGAGCGGCCGCTCGCCGTATGAGTCGATGAAGAAGAGTGTGTTTTCGCTGTGACTAGGTGCTGCTGGATCATGAGTTTCCTCATGGCCAGACATTCTGGCCGGTCTGCCTGGATTTGTACCAGTGCTTGTCGTCTCGCTGCACTGGCGGAATTCTCGATATGGAATGCGAAACGCGTTCTGTCTGTATTCCACTTTTACCAGCTCGAATTCCAGCGCGTTTAGGTGTTCATTTCGCCTCACCTGAAGGTCACTCTGAGGATGATAATTTTTGGATGTTGCTTGGTTTGGCGGGACAGAAAGTAAAGAGAGTGGAGCAAGGCAGTGGCGATGGTCTCCGAGCGGTAGCAACCGATATTGCGCTCTCTTTCACCACTCGCTTCGTCTATCAGCAAGTATTTGTCTTTGCAGTAGGTGTTATATTGCGAGCCGACCGTGTTTGTCTGGTTTGTGAGTGAGTTTGTATGGGCCAGTATCTACGTGGGATTGGGTCCCGTCTGTTATCTCTTCGTATCAGTGAGGATGTCGATAGAGGAGACGTTCATATACTACAACATGACTTTGACTTGTTTATGCATACTGGTTTCTTGTGTGGAACAGGGCTTTCATGGTTCGTATCAGTATTCAGTAGTCGGTCGTCTCTATGTTTCTCTGGTTGATCAGTTAACTATATGTACATGTCATCGGCCAGGCGCGCTAGACACATCTACGAAAAATGCAGTATAATTTGATGGTCTGATATTTACATTTCATATGTTTATTTTCATATGCCCCCTAAAAGGCAATGTTGTAGTGTAGTGTTCATGCTCCAAGGCAGAACCAGTCGAGTTGAGCTGTCGTGGTCATCTGTTGATCATTGTTATCAAGTGATGCTTGAGAAATATATATCTTTCTCTCCGCATGCACCCCCACACAAGCTTACCTCTCATCCACTCGTCGTTCAACAGCCCAACCGAGCCAAAAATGAATAATATTGATCTGGGACGATATAAGCGTATGATACAATATTTCTGGGATGCCGAACCCAAGAACGAAGAAGGTCCAGGGTCGAAGATATGGTGTTTGGGGAATGAGTATGTGACGCCAGAGAAGGATGAGTTCCCCGCAGGCAGCAATAGCAACATCAACGCCGGTCAAACAGCAGATTCAAGCAGGAATACAGCACCAGAAAATATACAAATACACGATAGCAAAGATCACAGACCCTCAAAATCCGATAACCAAGACCCAACAACGACCGACTCCGCACCAACAACAACAGAAACAGCGGCAGGGACAGAATCAACCAAGAGTCTCGGCTGGCCCAAAGCGTTTCTCGATGACTTTGAATGCAGAATCTGGATGACATATAGATCAGGGTTTCCGCCCATCGCAAGATCCGAAGATGCAAATGCAGCGCAAGCAATGACGCTCAGCGTCCGGCTACGAAGTCAGTTGACAGAGCACCACCAAGGGTTTACGTCGGATACTGGTTGGGGTTGTATGATTCGGTCTGGACAGAGTCTTTTGGCGAATGCATTGGCTATTTCGAGACTGGGGCGAGGTATGTTTACCTCCTCAATAGAATGGTACTGGTTGGCTGATTATACCAGACTGGCGTCGAGGGAGTAATTCAACAGAAGAGAATAGGTTACTTTCATTGTTCGCAGATGACCCAGCTGCTCCATTCTCAATCCATAAGTTTGTGAGACACGGCGCTCTATACTGCGGGAAACATCCCGGTGAATGGTTCGGTCCTTCAGCGACAGCTACATGTATACAGTATGACACCACACCGCAATAACCGATAGATATCAGACTGATGTACGATGCAGAGCACTCTCCGACGAATACAAGGACGCGGGCATGAATGTCTACGTAAGCAGCGATAACACATATGTCTATGAAGACAAATTCAAAGCAGTCGCATACAACCAGTCAGATCGCATGCGACCTACTCTGATACTTCTCGGGACAAGGCTGGGGATTGACCGAATCACGCCAGTTTATCGAAAGGGACTCGAAGATCTTCTAAAACTGCCACAGGCGCTGGGAATTGCAGGGTTTGTCTATCCATATCCCCTCCCCAAAAAAAAGATCCCGTCAGCTAACATGGTCTCAGTGGTCGCCCATCAGCGTCTCATTACTTCATCGGAGTCCAGAATTCATTCTTCTTCTATCTCGATCCACACCATACTCGTCCCGCGCTTCCGTACAAAACCGGCGATCTCGCATATACCCAAGAAGAAATTGATAGTTGCCATACACGTCGCCTTCGACGCATTCATATCGACGATATGGACCCGAGTATGTTGGTTGGATTTTTGATCAGAGACGAAAATGACTGGATGGACTGGAAACGGCGTATAACTTCATCGCGTCCGGAGAATGGAAAGGCGATTATTCACATTGTCGACACTAAAAATGTGCCGACACCAACGATGGAGAGAGAAGCGGCGCTGGATGAGGTTGAAGTTCTCGACGATGACGAGGATAGCGAGTTAGTGTAGACGTTGCGTTACAAACTGATAATAAAGTACGAATGCACAGCAGTATTGAATGCACTAAAGCTTGATTTCAAGATCTAGTTAGAGGTTGGAATTGTTCTGAACAATATCCCCAATTCCAGCGTTATGTTACACCTTCACCACTTGGAATCACAAACCGTAAAATCATTTCGGCCGAAGGTATTCAGGATGAAAAAAAAAGTAGAAATAAAAACAGACCGTCCCATGACACATTAGAGAAACCCGCGAACACCCAGTTAACCCGCCGCCTCCAAGTTGCCAGAGCGCGAAGCAGCAAAATCAAACAATGAAAAAAAAAAAAATGTAATTGACATAAACAGAAAAGCAAAGAGAAAGCGAGACGCTTATTTGGCGGATGAAGAGTACTTGGTGACAGCCTTGGTTCCTTCCGAAACGGCGTGCTTGGCCAATTCACCGGGGAGGATCAGGCGAACCGAAGTCTGGATCTCTCGGGAAGAGATGGTGGATTTCTTGTTGTAGGAAGCAAGCTTGGAAGCCTCAGTAGCAACGCGCTCGAAGATGTCTGATGGAGGGAATTAGTATTGTTGACGCGAAACAAAACAAGAACGCGAAGGACATACCATTGACGAAAGAGTTGAGAATGGACATGGCGCGAGTAGAGATACCAGTGTCAGGGTGGACCTGCTTGAGGACTAAAGAGCAAAAAGACGCGTCAGTTACTGTTTGTTGCGCGTTTTTGCAATTTCAGGTCACTCACCCTTGTAGATGTAAGAAGAGTAGGTCTCCTTTCGGGTCTTGCCACGCTTCTTCTTCTCGCCAGAGGCAGCGGTGGCAGTCTTCTTGCCAGCTTCCTTCTTCTCAGCAGGAGCCTTACCAGCTGGGGCCTTGCCACCAGTGCTGGGCTTCTTCTCAGCGGCTTTGGGAGGCATTTTTGATGAATGTAAATGTGGATTCGAAAATCGAAGATGAGGTTGGGATGGTTGATGAGGGTGGATGAGAGTCAAACGTTGAGTCGTGAGAGCGCGTAGATGTAAATGGAGAGGAAAGTTGGACTGGAGTGGATGACGGGGGAGGAAGGCCTCTTATACTGGGCCAGCAAACGGACGGGTGATCCAGCGAGACTTTCCCAGCCAGAATTTCGATACGGTAACAGAATGGTATGATCTGTATGATCATGTGTGATTTGCGTGAAAATCGCAGCCAGATCAGTGGTAACAGTATGTAACGCTAACCCGGTATCGAGCTTGGCCCGATCGGGCGGGGAAGACAGCGCACTGATTGGCTATTGCGGTGATTCGGGGAAGGCACGCGTTGACGCGTTTGATCTGGGCGGTGATTGGCCGTCTTATCTAAGCGAGAGCGTGATCTGGAAGCGGCGGACGTCACCCGCAGCGCATCCTTATAAATGCGCCCTTCGCTCCTCAACTGCTCCAGCGCCCTCTGTTTTCTTCTTCCTCTTCATATTTTCATCACTCACCACACACGCTCCATCTCGACAGTACCGACGTCCTCTTACAACCACTCTTTATTTTCGAGTCAATCTCATTCACATTAACAATCAAAATGACTGGAGGAAAATCCGGCGGCAAGGCCAGCGGCAGCAAGAACGCTCAATCGTATGTTTTGATCCTCTTTTCGCGTCATTCGCGTGTTATTTTTGTATTGCATCTCGGAACATATTACTGACTCACATTTTGCAGCCGTTCATCCAAGGCGGGTCTTGCTTTCCCCGTCGGTCGTGTTCATCGTCTTCTCCGCAAGGGTAATTACGCTCAGCGTGTCGGTGCTGGTGAGTTGACAATTCGACTGGGTCAAATATACGCGTCATTCTAATCCATCCAATCAGGTGCTCCCGTCTACTTGGCTGCCGTCCTAGAATATCTCGCAGCTGAAATTCTTGAGTTGGCTGGTAACGCCGCTCGTGACAACAAGAAGACCCGTATCATTCCCCGTCATCTCCAGCTTGCCATCCGTAACGACGAGGAATTGAACAAGCTCTTGGGACACGTCACCATCGCCCAAGGTGGTGTTCTCCCCAACATTCACCAGAGTAAGTTTGCGCGTTCATTCCATCAAAGCATGCGTCTAACATTATTCCAGACCTCCTTCCCAAGAAGACTCCCAAGAGCGGAAAGGGTCAGAGCCAAGAGCTTTAAATTGCTTTCATGTTTTAGTGTTTTTCCTTCATATCGTTTCTGCTTTCCGTTTCGGCGTGGTTTGGTTTCCTTATTGACGAGGTAATGGGGTTATGGACTGGGCACATTCATGGCTCTTGATTTTTTTTTTTTACATGGTTGTACATTATGTCTACGGACATGGTCTCTACTGGCAGCTTGCGATGGGTATTCATTTGAGTCGATATAATTATCGATTCCAAATTAGCTTTTAGAATACTGAATCCTTCTGGTTTTCACCTTTACTTTTTTTTTTTTTTTTCTTTGGTAGATTCATCATTTTCGCGTACATGGACTAAATGCGTGCAATCATTTTTGTACGTCTGGGATCAGTTTTATCGCTCGAGATTCCAACATGTCCTAAAGTGGTACATGAAATTGTAATGTGTATTGTACAATTCGACAACTCTATTTCCCGCAGATATCTAGCTAACCTCCTATCTAATGCGCACCAGGTGCATCGGCGTCTGTACACAGTAGTCAGCCAGCTGGTCCAGAAAAAAGTAAAACCATTGAAAGTATAGTCCATGAACTTACAAGGAAGATCGCGAGCGGGAAGGTTTCGCTCGTATTTGGAACCTATAACAACATTAGAACGACACCGTCAAAGTTTGATACCAATCGTCCATACCTCCTGGTGCCGTAGGAGACTTGTAAGGATCAGGATGCTTCCATGTTTCGAGTAATTTCTCTGTCTCTCGGAGTAATAACTATTCCCCGATCTTAGCCACTATCCACATAACCATCGCGTGATATCGAAGAAAAGTACCTTTTGCTGACGAGGATCTCGGACGTCCTTGTTGGCGTCGAACAATGATCTGATGTACACGGCTTGGCCGCGCCAGATGTGCCTGTGTACAGCCCAGTCGAGGGCCAATTTCAACGAGCGCCGATATAGGGATCTGACGATTGTCAATGTCTGTCTGTGATTTGAATAAGGATCAAGAGGTTGCGAGATGACGCTGGCTTACGCTGCGGGTGTGAGTGGCATCTTTCCTGGTGCGCACTGCGAGGGGTATCTATCAAGCGAGAGTTAGTTATAGTCTCATTGAACAGCTTTAAAGGCTTCATACTAAAGAAGAATCGACGCGGTGGCTGATATCAGGTAGTTAGAGGTTGTAGTCGAGGTGAGCGATTATTGGAGTGTGGAGTTCGGAAAGACTTGGCCCAGTCGGGTTGGCGGCAGGGGGACACTGCCCGGGTTGCCGGCTATACGTAACAGCTTCTCGCAAGGAAAATTCCGGCCGCTGTGTTCTTTATTCTCCTTGTTGAATGGCCTCATTGCTCTGATTCAATTCCAACTGTGCGTTTCTACTGCAGTAGATTACTTGCAGACTGATTTTTACTTGTCTGTACTCTCCTCCCTGCTAGGATTCTACCTGTTCGAGTGTTGAACCACAACCTGACATCATCCCTCTTGTGTCAAGCCTCACGTCTTTACATATATATAGACATACCAGAGCTGTCACCATGGCTAGCCGAACAAATCTGGCTCGATTGACGAGACAAAATGTCTTGCGATCCGTCCACAATGTGCAAAAGCCTCTTTTATCGTCACGCGCCTATTCCGCCGTTGCCCTGACATCGCAGAGAGCTCTGCTGCGTCCTCAAAGACCAGTGCAATTTACTAGGTAAGCTCCAAAAACAAATTGAATTTATCCATTATCTTTCTCTAATCGAGTATTTTGCAATGGTAGAGTCCAATCCCCAGAGTTCAAACTGTCTCTGCAACAAACTCGTCATTATGGTCCGTCGCGGTCCTTCCCTCTTCGTTACGAGCTTCTCACCACTTACTCGATTCTCTAGCCGATACAATCGTCAAGGTGCCCGAGATGGCCGAATCTATCACCGAGGGTACATTGAAACAGTTCTCGAAACGTGAGCATCAATGACGTCCGCTTTGTATTGTTCTGTTCTGATCATGTGTTAGAGGTTGGAGATTTCGTGGAACGCGACGAGGAAATTGCGACTATCGAGACCGATAAGGTACTTGAAAACTCTTCGTGACATGACTCGGTATATCTAATCAATATTGTTAGATCGACGTTGCTGTCAACGCTCCCGAATCTGGCACTATCAAGGAACTCCTCGTCAATGAAGAAGATACCGTTACTGTTGGCCAGCCAATTGTGAAACTCGAGCCCGGCTCTGGAGATGGTGCCGCTGCGGCCGAAAAACCCAAGGATGAGCCTGCGCCCCAAAAGACCGAAGAGAAGACCGAAACCGCTCCCTCCAAGCCAGAGACCAAGGAACCAGCGGCCCCCTCAAAACCTGAGCCTGTCCAAGAGAAGAAATCAGAGCAGCCCAAGCCTAAACCTGCAGAATCAAAAAAGACGGAACCTGAACCCAGCAAGCCTGCACAGCCCGGAAGCCGTGAAGAGCGACGTGTATGTAGACAAAAAGGAATTGTTATTGGGATCAAAGCTGACTCAAGCAGGTCAAAATGAACCGTATGCGACTACGTATCGCCGAGCGTCTGAAGCAATCCCAGAACACCGCTGCTTCTCTCACTACATTCAATGAAGTTGACATGTCCTCGCTCATGGAGTTCCGCAAACTCTACAAGGATGACGTCTTGAAGAAGACTGGGGTCAAGCTCGGCTTTATGTCTGCGTTCTCTCGCGCTTGTGTCCTCGCTATGAAGGAATTACCCGCCGTTAATGCTTCCATCGAGGGACCTAACGGCGGTGACACCATTGTCTACCGCGACTACGTCGATATCAGCGTTGCTGTTGCTACTGAGAAGGGTCTTGTTACCCCTGTTGTGCGCAACGCAGAGACCATGGATATGGTTGGTATTGAGAAGGCTATTGCTGATCTCGGAAAGAAGGTGAAATTCGACACTATTTGAAAACCTCAAATTTACGATTCTTCATCTAACATACTCTAGGCCCGTGACAACAAGTTGACCATTGAGGATATGGCTGGCGGTACATTCACCATCAGCAATGTGAGTACTGATTATCTCATATACTCAGAGCAACTTCTAATCTGCGTACAGGGTGGTGTTTTCGGATCTATGATGGGCACTCCCATCATCAACTTGCCTCAGACAGGTTTGCACCTCTTACAGCATTCTTTATGATACATAGGCTAATATATAACAGCTGTCCTCGGTTTGCACGCTATCAAGGAACGCGCCGTCGTCATCAACGGCAAAGTCGAAATTCGCCCAGTATGCGATATACTCCTATAAACTTGCAATGTACCTCCGTACTAACATGTCTCTGCAGATGATGTATCTCGCTCTCACCTACGACCACCGTCTGCTCGATGGCCGGGAAGCCGTCACATTCCTTGTCAAGGTATGTCGACATCCTTCACCTCGTATCTCCAGCTCAATACTAACCCTCTATAGGTCAAGGAATACATCGAAGATCCCCGTCGCATGCTGTTGGGCTAAATCCCGCATCTTAAGCCGTCGTTTGAAGGAGGTGGAATAGTATAGAAGGAGACATCATTTAGCGGAAAATTGTGTAACTTGGTGTGGTTGTCGTTAATCTGACTTTTGTAGATTAGTCCCTTTTGCGTATACATTGAACACTTTCATTTGTATTGAGCTGTTCCGTCCAAGTTTTTCGCCTGTTGCCGTGGGGAGATATTAAATATATAATCGTCGCGTCGCGTATTATCAACCCACGTCATACAATATTTTTCTCATTATACAGATCCATTTCCCCTGTCTCAAGCTTCACAAGCACAGGCGTCTCAAGTCCGAACAAAAACTCCTGCAATTTCATAATGAGCATAGACTCAAAATCAAAGGCCGGAAATTGTTGCGCAAGACGATTCAGATGCGTTTCTTGTGATTCTCTCTGTTGACTAGAGACGGGTGGCGGATGGAGGAGGTTGAGATATGAAGACTGTATAGTTGAGAGCAATTTAGTTGTAGTCTCTATTGGATTTTGACGTGACAATAGTGACGATGCCTCGACTATTGCGTCTGAGGCCGTCTTTCCGAAGAGTGTGTACTGCTCAAGGACCGCTTGGATGATGAATTTACCCAGTACCTCGACTATACCATCCTCATCCGGCACTGCCATACCCCCAATCATCGTAGCACACAACTCCAAAAAGCCCTGAAACATGTCCATCAACGACAGAACCCGAAACCGATCATCCAACCGCTCCTCTCGCGGGATACGCAATATCTCAAGCATAGTCATATAAGCCGTATTCGAAAATGTGCCACCCTTTTTCGCGGGTTGTTGGCGCGAATTATCATCGCGCCATTTTGATTTTCGTGCTCTTGCAAAAAATCGAGTTGTGAATGATATTAATTGTAGCTTTGCTTGTAGGTCGATTGAGATTTGGCGCGTGGCGCTGTGTTTGTGCGAGACGAGGAGTTGCCATGCTTTTGATAGTTAGAACAGTCCTTTCATGAGATTTGATGTGATGTTGGAAGACATACTGTCGAATATGTTCAATAGATCAAGGTGTGCATGTGCTGGTCTGTCACTCAATTCCGCGATGCGCGTCAACAGGAGCGCGTGTGTGGCTCTGCTGCATACATAGTCTAGGATCATGATATCCGTGTCGAATTCGGTTTCTGGGTCCATAATGGTTGTGCAATGGATTATTCATGGGTAGGGTCTATATGGGTTTTTGATATTCTTCAAAAAAAAAGGGTAACGTGGAATCCTTGCAGTGCAGTGTCAAGAGTTGTGTCCGTGTCGTGCCTTGAATACTTGTCGTCGTGGATGCAACCTTAGAAATATATATTTTTATATCCAACCCGATTCCTACAGTGTACCAGTAGATAACGCCCGCGACTACAGAACAGGTAGGACACAACGCGAAATTAAATCAGATACACATATTACAGACTTAAAAGTAAATGTCGCATATAGACGCCTGACTTCTTATTTCCATTGCATTATTAGCTGAGTAACTCCTTGACAACACCCTTATGAGCCAATGCCCGAGCCCAGTACTCCATCGCAGACGAATAATCATGTCTCTTTCCCTCCGCAAACGCGTCTTCATCGCGACGAAGCTGTATCTCCTCTAGAATAGACCTCCTAAGGCCCTGTTGGTTGTTGGCGAGCCGGACATATTCCTGAGGTAGGTCATGATCGCCGCTACAATTCTCAGTTTCTGGAACTTTCAAGTCTATCAGACACTGCTCTGTAAGTCCCAACGCTAGATTAGCCTCTAAAAGAACGCCATCAAAGTCATGGGTGCCCAGGACTGCCTTTATGTCGTCAATCTGAGACTCGTTTAGCCGGTGCTTTATGCTCTGTAAACTCTTCACGTTCCGAGCTAATTGCTCAGTGAGATCCCTGAGAGGATCGCGCACCAGACTCAGGACCGAGAATTCTATTTGGTCCTCTTCGTACTCTGTCATTCTAGTTACGAGATGGGAGCGAACTTGTTCAAGCCAATCGCCATCAGTGCAGGATGCTTAGTCACATCACCTGTCAGTATCTCCACTGTTAGAGCAATGAAGGACACCGTACCGAGATCTTGGGGCTGACGCTCCAGTCCATCGAACTTCCACGCTCGGCCCAGCGCCGGCACAAATGCAATGAAATGATAAGCAGCTTCGTTGGAGGCACTATTATCATTTTGGCGGTTTGACCGGCTAGCAGTGGCCTCGTTCTTGAGCGATAAATCAGAGTTTAGAATGTCCATGGAACTGTAAGCTATTAGCCAATGATATGACTTGTCATAGAGGGAATACATACCGCGCAAATGAGTTATGAATCCTCTTAATGAACTCAAAGTTGGCTATAGCATCGCCCCTTAATGCAGGCGTGAAGGGCATTGTGAATTCCTTGAAGCTGGCAAGAGTGTCCCCTAGCGAGATATTGTCGATGTTGTTGACAATATTCAGCAGAGCCACGCTTGCACAGGCATTATCGGCCGTCTAGACCTGTCAGTCTATGAAACAAGTATCTCAGAGGAGTACATACCTGATTAGCAAACCACAGGCCGTCAGGACAGCTCGCCTCTTGCTTCTCCGGATTGTCCTCATGCCAGCGAAACAGGAATATCACACCATAAACCGGTTTACTTTACTTTCAATATCCAATCAGATAAGTCAAATCTTCAATGTTCGGGATTGAAGATACATGCGGTAGTAATTCAATCATCTCCTTATCCAGAGAAACCACTTCTTGAACCTTCACGCCCTCAACCCCGAATTCTCGTAGCATAACATTGAAGAAAGCCTGATTAATATTAGCTGTTGTTTGGCAACGAATAGACAGTACATACTGGTTCGGATTCAATCTCACAGAAGCCATTCCACGAGCTCTTATCAATAATGGTCTCTGGAATTGGGCTTGCGTCGCTATTGAGGCGTCTTCTTTTGGTACGGTATCTCATATTGATGTGTATTATGTTGCAATCAAGGCTGAATTAAGAGAAGAAGTGGATTCAGAGAGAACGCATTCTTTGATAGAATAAGACAGAGTGAGATAGAATGAATTGTCGTCGTCGTCTTTTTGGTAGCATAAAGAGATGCGGGCAACGGAGCTCTCTGATTGGCCGAAGCTTTCTATCCGTGACGCGCCTGCCAAACTGCCCGAAAAGATCTCTCACGCGATTCACCCTTTTCTGTTCGTTTTATCGTTTTGGACCTGCAGTCAATTTTTGATCTTTTACGCATAGGATTACCTTGAGTCGAGTAGTCACTATTCAGATCTGTGTGAAGACTTCTGGACCGATCGAGAACGGTTGAATTTTTTTTTTTTAGCAACTGCAAGCAAGGAAAAAAACTGTATGCTTCTTTCTGCATAGAAGCGGGGCCCTGCGATCTCACACTTGTCGCTCGAGAGCTCGACGGTTTCTACCACTCGAAGGATAAGCGCATCTTCACAATAATCTGATCGAGACCAAGAATCGAGATGCGATGAACGGCACTCCCCAACTCCGATCCGCCTTCCCCCAAAGTCCCCAGACACTAGGCCGCGATGGACGAAGACAAACTGCTTCTCCGGCCGTCGCGACACCTCAAAATGTGAACGTGACGAATGCTTCACGACCTGCCCAACCTGGAGCGGACGGCCCTTTGATTCCGATCGACGTGATCGACGCACCATCGCAACGATTCTATGTCGCGGCACTCTATATTGCGCTTGGAGCATGGCGGATGTATGACTCTATGGGTGCTGCGGACGAATTGGACTCGACGTGGTTGTTTCTCAAATGGAACTTCATTGATGGTGTCTTTCTATTTGGCATACAAGCGTTGAGAGTGCCCTGGTTAGAATGGACGTTTCCAACTTTTCTGGCCATCTTCCTGCTCCATGCGGCTGCCAATGTGTTTTTAATGTTTCGCATACCGGTAGGTATTTCGTCGCTTTAAGAAGAACAAAAGCATGCTAATGATCTTTCAATAGATACCCCTCGGGGCATGGGGAGGAATCCTTTGGAAAGTCTTCTACGACCGAGAATTGTCGATATCAGAGCGCAGTGTTAAACCTGGGGACATCATTCATAATGCCTCCTTGATTCTGGGCAAGCAGATTATTCACATACTCCCGGAAGGGTGGGTGATAGTCCAAATTCATGTTTGGGCACGATGCTGACTTCATGTAGGTCCGCTGTACTAAATCCAGACGGAAGACCATTGTGTCTTAACTCACAACAGACGACCGTTGCTCTCCCCATGCGTATCAACCAGACTTCACCTATACTCCTCGAAATTCTACGCTACGATCTATCTACTGGACACAACGAAACCATTAGCATATCGCACAAACAACTCAAGTCAATGAAAAAGCAGGCTGGCGAATCAGCTGCGGATGGACATATTGATCTTTACTTTCCTATCAAGAAGACAGGCATCTACCGCTTGGCACGCGTTTTGGACGAGTCGAATCTGGAGGTGCAAATCAAGGCATCCGATATGTTGGTCCCAGCCTGCCCTAGAGCGGTCCCGAAGAACACATTTGTCGACAAATGTAAAGGCGACTTATCCGATATTAATCTTGAAGTGGAAGGAGTCGCACCACTTAAAGTGAAGTACAGCCGCAGGATCAACGGGTTTGATGGCGGGTTCTCATTCCAGAATGTACACGCTGAAGGCTCCTTAGTCCCAATAACCAGTCGAAAACCGTCCGGGATCCTCATTGATCCCAAACAACCAGACACCCCTTTCTGGGCTCACACCGTAAATTTGCGTATAGCATTGAATGAGACCTTGGACGCTAGTGGCGAGTGGGTCTACACCATTGAGGAAGTCCACGACGCACAAGGAAACGTCGCTAATTACTCGTCTTATCTGGATGATACGGATCGAGCATCGTTGAAAGGCGTGCTGCAATGGCATCAGTTTTCCGTCCATGAACGGCCAAGACTCTCAATGATTGGCTGCAATGCTCAGAAATTCCTTCAGACTGCGAAAGGAGAAACCGCCGAATTACCTTTACATTTCCACTCCACTGGAAGAGATTATAGTGACGATGCGCCATTCCAGGTCACTTACTCTTACTCTAATCGCGAAGAAACAGACAGTCAAAGTGATGTTTCTAAGATCCGACAGATATCATTGAAAACAGCGGAGAGCCGACCAAAGATCAAAGAGCCTGGATGGTATACTTTGGAATCTGCCTCAAGCCGTTTCTGCCGCGGAGAAATACTGGAGCCATCCTCTTGTCTGCTCCATAACCCCCCAGAACCTGAACTGTCTCTACGACAAGAAAAGCTTTTTGATAAGTGTGCCAACAACTCTGTTGGTCTTCTTGTCGATTTGGATATGATTGGATCACCTCCATTCCGTTTGCGATATTCCATTGAGAGCGACAAGGGCACAAAGACCTTCTCCGAGGTCATAAGCGGTCTCCGAGGACAGCTGGACTTTACGCCAACCGAAGCGGGTCGATACCGATATCGGTTTCTGGACATTGCTGACAGTGTTTACGGTCCACAGCCACTTAAAGACAAGGTGCAGGTCCTGGAGCAAGACGTTAAACCGCAAGCATCGGCCCACCTCATAGGCACGCACAAACCACAGAGAACCTGCTTTGGAGAGTCGGCCACTGTTGGTGTCTCTTTCATAGGCGAGGCTCCCTGGATTCTACAATATGAGGTTGTTCATAACGGCAAGAAAACCAAACATGAGATAGAAAGCCATGAATCTCTTGCCACCATTGTAACAGAGCCACTGTACAGTGGTGGAGAGCACATCATTTCGCTGACTGGTGTGACGGACCGTCTGAATTGCAAGCGCGCATTGAAAGACAGTACAGTCGTCCATGTTCGCCCTAAGAAGCCTCAAGCTTCCTTTGGATTTATTGAAGAGAAGCGGACTACCCAGGCACTGGAAGGTAAAACAGTGTCATTGCCGCTGAGACTAAGTGGACAAGCTCCCTGGATTGTGAAGTATCGCAACCTGGACGTAAACCCCGGCCGTATATTCGAAAAGAAGCTGTGGGATGAGAATGGGGCTATACCGGTTTCGCAGAATGGAGTCTATGAGCTTATCGAAGTCTTTGATGCTACTTGTCCTGGGAACATTGAGGAATCCGCAAGTACCTTTGAGATCAAGTGGATCCCTCGGCCAGCAGTATATGTGCCAGGACGCACTGGTGTCGGTGAGAATGTGTCAAAACGCAGTGTCTGCCAAGGCGACGACGATATTTTGGAGTTGAAGCTAGAAGGCAAGGCTCCTTTCAATGTCAAATACGAACATCATGAACGTGCTGGGGTCAAGGTACGGAATTTAAAAAGCACCTCCAATGTGGCATCCTTGGAACTCGATACTTCAAAGTCAGGCAATCACGTCTACAAGTTTATTGGCATTTCAGACGCGCTCTACGATGCTGATCCAAAAGAGCAAAACCAAATCAGTATCTCTCAGACAGTCAACGCGTTACCATCTGCTCGTTTTGAGTCACCAGGTCATATTTACGCGTTTTGCAAAGAGGATAGTGATGGTGATGAGTTGATTCCCATAGTACTGGAAGGACAACCCCCATTTTACCTTGATATCTCCATTAAGCATCATTCAAGCGCAAAGCCTGAAGTGGTGCCCGTTGGCCCAATTCATAGTCACAAACACAAACTCCCCATTCCCCGTCGACACCTAGAACTCGGCCAACATGTCGTTAGTATCCATCGTGTTGGTGATTCTCTTGGATGCCAACGAATTTTTGAGAAGGACCTATCGTCTGTTCGCGTGGTAGTCTCGGACGTCCCCACGATCATCCCCCTCGAGTCGCAAACAGATTACTGTGTCGGAGAACGCCTCTCATTTTCACTTTCTGGTCACGCACCATTCGACGTCTTCTACACCTTCGAAGGGGTCAAAAGAAAGGCCTCTTCACATACAACCACATTCCGACGCATAGCCGAGAAACCAGGTGTATTCACCATCACTGCAGTCAGCGATGGCGCTAGTGGCCGTTGTCAAGCCCACAAGAACATCACCAAAGTCATCCATGAGATGCCCAGTGTGCGAATCAGCAGAGGACGAGAAAGCATTGTTGATATCCATGAAGGTGGCGAGGCGGAGATCAACTTCGAATTTGGAGGAACTCCGCCATTTGAATTTACGTACGTCTTTCCTTTTCTTCCCCTTGATAAATATGGTTGCGCTAACATTGTTTGTAGATACACGCGAAGCTCAAACGCCAGAAAAGGCAAACCGGCCGAAATCCTCGACATCAAACATGACATCTCTTACGAATACAAAAAGACAATCAAGACCTCGGATGAAGGGACCTATGAAGTGGTCGCAATCAAGGATAAATATTGCTCATTTTCAACGCAAAAGGCATCTGCAAAGATTGCGAAACAGACGAAGAAATCAATTACGAATTAAAGACGGAGGGAGAGGACATGAAAGGAAGAGATACCTGAACCTTTCTTGTCTGGAAAATGCGGAGTTTTTTGTTTTGTATGATCTTCCGACTTTGGGAAATGTTATATTCTTTTTCTCATGAATACCTTTTTATTATAATTGCATTGCGATGAAACTTTTTCTTTCTATTTCTCTCTCAGAAGGAGTATAGTTCTATACATTTTTTATATCGATGTTGTGCACCAGACTTCCGCCCAATCGAGCTATTTCGTTCAATATGGAGTCCTTGTTCAAGGTGACCTCAACAGATGATGAATCCTCGCCGTGTACGGGACGAGTAGAGTATGCGGTTTTCAGATTCATTGGTCGTGATGTGGTCGATGTTGGTTTCCACAGACCTGCAATGACATTCTCCTCGTGGCTGTAGAAGAAGAGGATACAATGCTCAAAGATAGTTTGAAGTTCATACAGATAAGACACCATGATATCGCGACTCGAAGCTTCGGATGATAAAGACAAACTAGCTGAACCCTTGAGGTTCGCAAATTGTTGGGTACTGTGTTTCTTGCTCTTCTTATTGGGATCATTGAGATGAATGACGAAATCATAAGGTGAAAGGGCAGGTCTGAAAAGAAGCGTTTCGAGAGACGTCTTTTCTTCCCTGCCGTGTTGTTGTTTGAGTACTTCCACTGCGGCTCTCGCCAAACGAGTGATGTGTCCTGCTACGACTTTCGGAGGTTTTTCGTTCAGCGTCCATGTAACTCCGTCATGGTCGAGGTTAGATGCCACGATCATGGAGACCTTTTTCATTGCAGGGTCGATATTGCGCCAGGCTAAGAACCGTGTTTCGATGGTTTTGACGTCTTCTGCTGTAAGTCCACCCATATCAAGGATAAGAGGTTCCTGTTGCCAGTTCCATTTTGAAAGTAAGGTGAGAGTTCGGTAAAATCCAGTCATTAAGCTAGAAGGTGAGGTCCATGGGTGGCTCGAGACGTAGATGTTGATAGCGAGAAGTTCGACGAATTCTTCAGTAACATGAGACAGGAGAAGTTGAGAGTTGAACCAATGTTTCATCAAACGCACTGTAGGCGATAATAGAGGATATCGATTAGAAAGCGTTTGGATAACCTGCGTGATACGCGGGGAGTGGATGAAGGTCCTCTTATATTCGAAAAGAGCAGCGCCTACCTCCTCTTTGTAGTGAGGACTAAGACCGGTTTCTTTCAGCTTCCTCTCGAGGAGGGTTGCTTCGCGTTCGTGATGTATTCTCAGCCGGAATTGGATGCCAGTTGTATGCCTGATGTCTAGGAAAGCCCTGTTCATGAAGAGTTTGCTCTCATTTTCCAGGCCAACCCTGAAGGAATGAACATCTCCATTATCTTTCAAGGCCTCACCGATCCTCACTAGAAAGGCAACTTTGGTCATTTGAATGGCATCTAAGTTGTCTGGCCATTTGGCCGAACTCTCAAGTTGCAGGTTGATGTCCACCGGAGTGAGCCCAAGATCCTTAGGGTCTGATATCACAGCAGTGCTTCTCAGAAACGGACTTGCGGGCTGTAGTTGCCTGACCTGAAGTGGGATATCGTCCATGTTTTGAAATGACGACTGCAACGATTGGAATGCATCGCGAATGCCCTGGAACATTGCAGCAGTCTGATTTTCCGGACCAGCAAGCTGTTGTAGGGTTTCATCGAATCCGTCTCCGACACATTTTATCGAGTGCCGAGGGACCTTCAAATGGCGACTAAGACTATACACCAGTATCTGGTCAACGACCGACCCTTGATCTGACCACACCAAGCTCTCAAGAATGCTTCCATCTCGGAATCGTCTCAGTTCAGCCTTGTCACCCCAGAATGCTCGGAAAGCCGCAGCTTCTTCTTGCATTTCTGCTGCAGGACCATGGTCAACGATACGATTCGCGTTCTCGGGGTCCAATATAAGACCAATTGAGATCTGCTGCGGATGCGTGTCATTCAATGATTTCGATTTCAGGGCCCGCGGAGGCGTAGAATCAGTCCACAGGCAAATGACCTTTGCCCTGTCGCCGAGTGATCTTTCCAAAATATCGTAAACGTGGTTCTGGTAGTAGACAGAATGTAGGGGATCAGCCACTTGTCGTGGTGGACTTAAAGAAACGAGCCGGTCAAATTTAAGCATCGGATCATTGTTCTGAAAGATAAACACTTTTTCAAAATTATCGAAGCGCGTTTCATTCAACAGCGAAATTGTGAGGCTACATTCGTGGCGAAGCAGCTTGTAGGACCCAATAGTCATTTTGTACAGTATGTTCAAGCCCCTTTTTCCGTCATAAAATACTGGACTGCCGGCAGGGAATTCAACGTCGTTGGCGAATAGAGACATAGGGTGCATCAGGTCTCGAGCAGCTAGAAACTGTATAGCCGCTCTGAAGATTTGATAACTACTATATGACGGCAGCAAAACAGGTTTTCCATTTGCACCGCCACCTTCAAAGAGTAGGCCCAGAAGCAACATCCACTCAAAGCTGCCAAAACCTCCTTTCTCGATACAGGAGGCGAAACCACGTTGTCGAAGCCAGGTTTGTCCGAGAAGACTCGCATCTCTCATTGATGTGTATTTTTTGAGAGAATTCTGTAGCCACTTCTGATAAGGTATGACCATCGATTCGAAACGCAAAGCAGAGTTGTAAAAAGGGCTTGACTTAGTTTCCTCGCTGGACTGAGCTTCGTCCTCTGCACCCGACGCCTGAACATTGTTTTTCGATGGAAGAGTACGTGCGGTAGGGAACAGATCATCTTCAACAGCAGTCAATATGCGAATGCAAATTGGTTGCCCAGGTGAGTTTTCTGCGGCGTTCTCTGTGGGTTCCAACACAACAATGGGGCGTAGAAGATCTCCATCCTGATAGCTGTATTGTATCGAAAAAGGCAGTTTCGCTTCGCGTAAGCTTGCTGCAATGCATGCAATATAGAAAGCGCGTTTCTGGAAGTATTTGTAGTTTCGATAATCTTTCGGCTGAAACAATGTGTTCGGGATGGTCACTGCTATATCAACATTGAAGGTTTCGGTGGCTTGCAATCCGGCTCGCAGGCAGAGACTACCAACAAGATCAATGCTGATCGGGGGTTGGAAGGAAACGTGGTACTTCGCAAGGTCGTCGGATGAGTGACAAGGAAACGGTACTGTGACATGGTATTTGTCCCGTAGTTCTTTGGCAGCAACGTCGGCTCTCTTCGATTCTCTTTCGGGAACTTGTTGCAAGATATCTCTGATTCGGCGTAGATTGTCTTGAACGGTAAAGACAAGCTTGTCGTAATCTGGCCTTAACCCGGCAAGCAACTCGTCTGTCTGAAGTTTGAAAAGACTGGACTTGGAGAGACCAGTTGCTCTACCCACTTCAGCAAACCGATTTGCAGTATCGGTCCGATTTTGAGGTTTCAATTGTTTGACTTGTTTTGAAGAGCTTGCGACTTTACGATCGTCGTCGTTTTCTGAACTTGAATAGCCCGAATTATTCTGATCATGCCCTTGATGTGTCGATGCCGGGCCATTGAGCTTTCGACGTTTTGTAGAAGGGTCTGACATTGTTGGGTGTTTTTCCAAGAGATAAACTTCCAAGATGCTCTCCAGAAGAGCTCTCAAAGCCCTCTTTCCATGGTCCTGTGATGCTTTATGTTAAGCATCAACATGTGTGTATATTCCAGTCGATGCGAAAGCTCGAAAAAAAAATTAAGTGCAGTAATACACACCGCCTGCCGTTTTAGTGCTTACTTACATGTGGGCATATTTCGGCGGCCAGACAAGCGGACCTGATTGGTTGAAGATCGTTTTCTCCGCGAAAGGTCTTGTCCTCCGTTTTGCAATAGGCAACAAAGCCATTGGAATTGTCTGAAGGTATTGTAGGTCTGTGTAAGAATATACGTAGCAAAGATGAGTTGTTCTTTCAGAATGTTGCTCTGGATTCTAGAGAAGCACTCTTTCTCCGTTGTCCGGATTGCCGACTTCGGCGCCCGGCAGCCCCTCAACCCATGACACATCTTCAGGATAAAAGAAAAGTCGCCCGATCTGCTTGACAAGAGACGATTCACTATGAAGACTTACATACGGAGACCTTGAATACATCTACTTATAAGACTAATACACCATGCTCCAGGCAGTAGGAGGTACCGTACCTCCAAACACTGATCATGTATGTGTACACCCCGCTCATCGTCTCTGTTTGCTACGAACTCACTTAACGCGCAAATACAGGCGATCAGTGTCTCTCTTCCCACATGGAAGAGTAATGTTGGATACGAAGAAGGGCAAGACTGGGTTATAAGCCGCATGCAATGTGGATATCCCAGGTTCTTCGTTCATCCTCTCATTCAATCGCTGGCCCAAGAAGTACTGCGCCGTTGTGGTAATGCCGACCTCGAAGCTGCGACACTTTTCCCTTCATTGCGAACCGCTACGATATGTCGAAACTTTGTAGTTGCAAGGATACCACCTGAGGAGTCTTCTAAAATCCGTATCGTTGGATTCGTACCGTCCCCAAAAGCCGATTCCGATATTCGATCCCATGTTAACTCCAAGCTGTTCGGCGTGATCTACCCAAAAGAATACGCACCAATTGCTAAACAAGTCTGGCAACATACTGGAGATGGTGTGCAAAGTCGGCGCAGTGAATTCTGCTCAAGCGCTTTACAAGATGGTTACCTCGTGGAGGACACTTCTATAGGACCGGACGGGAAACCATCCATCTTTTCCAAAGGACCGAGACGATATCAACAGCGGACCCCAACACCCAAAGAACATGAACACGCTTCAAAGGCAACCGAATCATCTGATGGGCAAGAATTCTCGGCGTTCGTTGAAGAACGGTTCGGTCGCAATCTGAGTGCAACATTGGCGCAAAATGCGAAAAGGGCGATGCGAAGACGAATTGCCGGCTGTCTCACCGCCAACGTCGACCTTCAGGAAGCCCTAGAAAGCGAAGCTTCAAGTGGTCGCATTGCGGGCTTGACAGAAGAAGATGTTTTCCTATACCCTACAGGCATGAGTTCTATTTTTAACACTCATCGGACCCTTCTGAATGCCAAAGGCTCTTTGAAAAGTATATGCTTCGGATTTCCATACACTGATACACTGAAGATCCTCGAGAAATGGGGCCCCGGCTGCTTATTTTACGGCCATGGATCATCAGAAGATCTACAAGATCTTGAAAATCGTCTAGAGAAAGGGGAGAGGTTCCTCGCATTATTCACAGAGTTCCCTGGAAATCCGTTGTTGAAGTCTCCTGATCTCAAGCGGATCAGTGGGCTGGCAAAGAAGTACAATTTCTACGTTGTGGTAGACGAGACAATTGGTAGTTTTATCAACGTGAACGTCTTGCAGCATGCGGATGTCGTCGCTAGCAGTTTGTCCAAGATCTTTAGCGGCGACAGCAACGTCATGGGGGGCAGTGTGGTGCTTAATCCCCAGGGCCGTCATTACAAATTATTGAAAAACGCATTCACAACAGATTACGAAGACAACGTCTGGGCTGAAGACGCTGTCTTTCTTGAGAGGAATAGCCGCGATTTCATATCTAGGATCGAAAAGATCAATAAAACTACAGAATTTGTTACTGAGATTTTGAAAGTGTCTCCGCTTGGTACGTGAGACTGAAATCTCCACTCCTACAGACTCGGATTGTGGATGCTGACATAGAGAACTTGCAGTGAAGGAAGTTCATTACCCGAAATACAGCTCTACGAGACAGTTTTATGACGCCTTACGGCATCCAACAGGAGGTTATGGTGGTTTGTTCTCTATTACATTTCACACAACGAAAGATGCCATCACATTCTTTGATGCGCTCGAAGTTATGAAAGGGCCCAGTCTTGGGACTAATTTTACTTTGAGGTAGGCATATAACCTGCCAAATGAGACTGGACCCTTAGACTAATCAAATCTGTTGCAGCTGTCCGTACACATTGTTAGCTCATTATGGCGAGGCCGATTGGGTAAGTCACGATCGCTCTGGACAATATTGATCTTGTACGCTGACATTCCTCTTAGGCTTCTTCTTTCGACGTCCCATTCGATTTAGTCCGCGTCAGTGTCGGGCTGGAAGACCCTGAAGACCTCGGTGGTTGCTTCCAGCGTGCTTTGGATGCGGTCAAACAAAATTCCACTTAGGTTCTACGTACATCGATTGAGGACATCATTCTACTCTACTGCAGAGTTTGTGAATTGGATCATGAATATCGAAGTACGACCCCAACGAACGAAGCGATGACCACAGGGTCTATTGTATGGGCTTCAATTTATATTTAGTGATGTTGCATGATGCACACTGTGCCTTGTTGCGACTTCATGATCCTTAAGAGCTATCTTCTGTATTGTATGAATGGATCTTAATCTTTCAATATCGCTCAAACGTCGACATGCCAACAATTCGGTCCTTAGACCTCGATAGCTGACGATCAGTATTCACTATTCTGTTAACAGTACTGGAACTTTTCTATTTAGACCAGTACGTAGAGCCAAAATATGATCTGGATAAAATAAATATCGTGTGCCATTAGTCGGAGCCGAAGCCATATCAAACCGTAGTCGGCATAGTCAGGGCAAGGGGATCCAATGACGGGAGGCACGTCACGTGACATACTAGCGGCTACGCGCCCGTCCGGGATTTTTTGGATCAACAGCTCAGAAGACATTCATCAGTCCAGTGGTATCGACTAGGCATTTCAACACGACCTCCTGGTGGTTACCCACTCACTTCTTTCAATTCGATTCTGTTCCTCTTTCTCAAAAGATTGCGCTTGTTTTTTTTCTTTCTGGGGAATGGCATAGTCCCATCCTCGGTCCCTTGAATCTCGGAGGTCTCAAATTTGCGTATCCGGATCATTCAACACCACTCACTTCCTACTGCAACATTGCAATTGAACAAATAGTTCAATTGGCAATTAATACGCTCGAAAAGAAAATGCAGTCCTCTCTCAGTGCCGCTCGGCAATCTCTCGTTTCTCTCCCTTTCTTGCTGCCGTCCTGGTGTGAACTGGCTTCGATATCAGGGAGACGATACCAATCCACTTACCGGCGCACAAAACAACGACTCCGTGTGAAACCAGACGCTTCCTTTGAACCAACGCAAGGAAAGCTTGATAGCATCATATTCAACCCTCCCTCGAGCGCACCGGATGCCACCCACACGCCCAATATATTCCTTCCGAAATCTGATATTCGAAGAAATCTTGTCCAACCCGAACCGACACAAATCATTTTACCTGAGGAACTTCCCTGGGCAACGACTGCCCCCAAAAGGCAGAAATATCATTTAACGGTGGAGGATGTTAAAGAGATCAGGAGACTACGTATGTCAGACCCGGTCGAGTGGAGTCGTTGGAAGCTTGCGAGGAAATTTGACTGCTCTGCCCGGTTTATCAATATGGTCTGTGAACCTATTCCACAAGAGCAGAAGCAAGAGATCCACAAGAAGGTGTTGGAAGCTGTGAAGTCGAGATGGGGTGCTAAGCGGCGCATGGCCAGGGAGGACCGGGAACTTAGAAAGGAGGCCTGGGCTAAGGATGAATAAGGAGAAAGTGATGCATTCAGCTTCAGAAAGGACAGCGCCGCAGAAAACATACAGATTCTGCATTTTTAAACCCGAGGCGAGTAAAGGGGTTTTGCTTGAGACTGTTCTTATACTCATCATGTATTATCATAGAATTTTTCAGTGTAACTTTATTATTTGAGAGACTACCAAAATTCACTTCATTCCACATATTTCAAGTACCAGGAGTATCTTGATATAGCTAAGACATCTGATCTTTATATTTTGTAGAATCAATCTCAAAATCAGAGTCGTATTGTGTCACGAGGCTTATCGCCCAATTCGCCAATGACACCTCGACACCTTAATAATCCAGCCGACGCTGGCCGCTCAAGCAAGTTCCGCGACTCAATTAGATGCAACCAAAGATAATAATGCCCCCCGCTCTGCCCCTCAAGCATCTTTCTTTCACTGCGAGTAAATGCTCGACAACGACACCTTTCTTCACTACCAGCAGCTTGAGGAGTTGCCTACACAAGCATCGATTAGGCTCACTGACTCCTCGCATATCTTTGAAACCGCATCTTAGCCGTCGATTTTACTACGGACATATCAGTGATCCCAAGATGGCGCCTCAATTGGAGCCTTTTTTCAAGCAGCATGTTATCTCTATTCGCACTTGTTTTCATTGTCTGTGTCTTGCTGATTATCTGTATCTAGGGTCGATGACCTCTCCGATTCGTTCATTGACCGTACGTTGGTGTTATCCCAGATATTTTTTGTATTTTTACTAACATGGCTGCTGGGAAAGGACTCCGAAAAGCTGTTGCTATCCCATCTGTTTCTGCTGCCGATGAGCACCGTCCAGATGTCTTCAAGGTATATTCGCGAGATAAAAAGCGATGGGCTACAGAAGCTGACAAGAGAGCTGTTAGATGGGACAATTCCTCGCAACGGAATTGGAAAACCTTGGTGCCGAAGTCCACCAGCGCCCACTCGGCAAACAGCCAGGAAAAGAGCATCTTGCCTTGCCCCCTGTAGTCATTGCTCGTTACGGAAATGACCCCAACAAGCGAACAATCCTAGTCTATGGCCACTACGATGTTCAACCAGCATTGAAAGAAGATGGATGGGCAACGGAACCTTTCGAGTTGACAATCGACGAGAAAGGCAGAATGTATGGACGAGGCAGCACAGACGACAAGGGTCCTGTTCTTGGATGGTTGAACGTCATTGAAGCTCACAAGAAAGCTGGAATCGAATTCCCAGTTAACCTGCTCTGCTGTTTCGAGGGTATGGAAGAGTATGGATCTGAGGGTTTGGACGACTTCATTCAAGCCGAAGCCAAGGCTTTCTTCAAGGACACTGATGCAGTTTGCATCTCTGACAACTACTGGTTGGGAACTGAGAAGCCGTGTCTCACTTATGGTTTGAGAGGCTGCAACTACTACTCCATCACCATTTCTGGCCCCGGCCAAGATTTGCACAGTGGAGTATTTGGTGGTTCTGCTCATGAACCCATGACTGATCTTGTGACAGTCTTGTCGAAACTCGTTGACTCCAAGGGCAACATTCTGATCCCCGGTTTGATGGACCTCGTGGCCCCTGTCACTGCCGAGGAAGAAAAACTGTACCCTGGAATCGCCTACTCCATGGATGATCTTCACGAATCTCTAGGCAGCAAAACCAGCATTCATGCTACCAAGGAGAGGACACTCATGGCTAGATGGCGCTACCCATCTCTCTCTATTCACGGTGTCGAGGGTGCCTTCTCAGCGCCTGGTGCAAAGACCGTCATTCCAGCCAAGGTCACTGGAAAATTCTCGATCAGAACCGTGCCAGACATGGAAAGCGAGGATGTGACGCGGCTAGTGAAGGACTACATCAACAGCGAGTTTGCTAAACTCGGAAGCAAGAACACGCTGGATGTGTCATTGATGCATGATGGTAAGTGGTGGGTGGCTAGTCCCCAACACTGGAACTTTACCGCTGCTGGTAAGGCAGTCCAGCAAGTCTTCGGTGTAGAGCCAGATATGACCCGTGAGGGTGGCAGGTACGTGACCTCTGATGACCTTATGAACAACCCTCGACATGGAGAGATTATCTAACACGTATGGCGAAATAGTATCCCTGTCACATTGACATTCGAACAAGCCACCGGAAAGAACGTTCTGTTGTTGCCAATGGGAAGCTCTACGGATGCTGCTCACTCCATCAACGAGAAACTTGACAAGGGCAACTATATTCAAGGCACCAAGTTGCTCGGTGCTTACCTGCACTACGTCGCAGAGGAGCCTATCAATGCTTAACTGAGGAACCATGAATTGGATACGAGTAAGACTCAGTAAGCTGCAGTTGTTTCGTTCTGCGTAGTCAGATGAGACTCGGAGTTGCATATCGCTGCTCCTGGAGTCAGTCGGGTTCCATTCCTTTATATAAGGTCGCTGAGCAGCATAAAGTGACCATAATCATGTATTAAGATTGCAATGAACTTATCAAACATCGTGTGTGGACGTAGTAATACTGCAGTAGAAGAACAGAACTGAATACAATGGAGGGGCGAAACGGGGAACTCGCCGAACGCTCAAAGATCCGCTCCACGTGACGCCGCGAGCCGCAATTTACGCGACCAGTCGCGTGTTGGGTTGAACTTCGAGTCCGTGAGACATGGGATGAGTGCCAAATCTATTTGCGCAACACAGCCTACGGCCCGCTTTTATCAGGATATGTCTCTGTCTGGAAAATATGGCACCACACAAGCGCACACAGGCAGACTCCGATGAGGACGATGCAAGCAGTAATAGTTCAAACGCGACTCCTGTAATCGCTCCCCCACCGCGATTTTTGTGAAGATAAATGAATACTAACAGCATTGTTGAAAATCACAGAGTAAGCGGCGCCGCACGTCTGATAGCATCTCAATCTCTGGAAAGAGTGATGGAAGTGTAATAACCGATCAAAGTGAAGCGAGAGACCGAGAAGAGACCGAGGCCCCCTTTGATGAAGTCGACCTGGAAGATGAAGATACCCTCGAACAACAGCAGACGCAATTCATTCGTGACAAACATCACGGCGATGAACCGAATATACCCGCTGATTGTGGAATTATTGAGCGCGTGGATTGTTTCAATTTTATGTGTCATGAGCACTTTTCCGTGGATTTGGGACCGCTTATCAACTTCATTGTTGGCAAGAATGGAAGTGGGAAGAGTGCGATTTTGACTGCGCTTACGTTATGTTTGGGCGCTAAGGCGTCTGTGACGAATCGAGGACAGAGTCTTAAGAGTTTTATCAAAGAAGGCAAAGAGTGAGTTTACTTTCGACTATGCTTGATGTTGATATCTCAGAGGATTATTGGCTTACGCGATATCTAGGTCTGCGACTATCATTGTTCGTATCAAGAACCAAGGCGACGGCGCTTACATGCCCAACGAATATGGCAAATCCATCATCGTGGAACGATCATTCTCCAAAAGCGGAACAAGCGGCTTCAAAATCAAGAATGAATCGGGTAAAATAATGTCAACGAAAAAGGCGGACCTCGACTCTATCACGGATTACTTCAATCTGCAAATCGACAATCCTATGAATGTGCTTTCGCAGGATATGGCTCGTCAATTCTTAAGCTCATCTAGCCCTGCGGAGAAGTACAAATTCTTTGTGAAGGGAGTTCAGCTCGAACAGCTGGATAACGATTATCGCCTTATTGAAGAATCTGTGGATGCGATCAAAGAGATGCTTGATTCCAGAAAAGAAGATTTGAAGGTACTTCGAGCGGCTAAGGAAAGGGCGCAGCGCAGAATGGAGCTTTCCGACCAGCGCGCTACACTTAGGCAACGAATCAAAAAGCTTCGATCACAAATGGCTTGGGCACAAGTGGAGGAGCAAGAGAGGGTAAGTCATATTTGAAGATGGTACGAGTGCTTGAAATTCACGATATTATAGATTCGGGACGAGATCCAGGAGGAAGTCGCTAAACTAGACGGCCAAATAGCCTTTGCGGAATCTGAGACTGCTATCTTTGATAGAAAATATGAAGAAGCTCAGCGTGAGCTCGAAACCGCGACTGAGCTTCTGAACAACACAAAAGAAGCATTAAGTAAAGCGGAGGAGGAAAGGAATGTGCTGAAGGAGGCCAATGCGAAGGAGATGGCCGAACACCACAATGTCAGAGTAAGTTTGCCTCATCACTGTGCTCTACTATATGGTATGATCAATTAACAATCATTAATAGGCCGAGCAACGTCGGATTCACGAATCCGTAAAAACTCTTGATTCACAGATAGAGGATCTGAAACAACACATAGCCGAAGAGAATAGGCGCCTCGCAGACATTGCCGGTGGTGATTTTGCGCGGCGAAGGGAAGAAATCGTGCAGCGAAGGGCGGAAGCCGAAGAAGCCGACCAGAGACTCACACAACACCAGGGAGGTTCAAGAGCTTTGCAGGAGGCAATTCACGTTGCTGAGCAGAACGTAAAGCAGGCTGTTGCTCCCGTGCAGAAACAGAAGAAAGAAATTGAGCAGGCAGAAAACTTGCTTCGGTCACTCTCCAGAGACCGTGGACAGACAAACTCGGGCTTCTCTGAGAAGATGCCACAACTTCTGAATGCAATTGCTCGGGAGAAGTCGTTCAATCAGCGGCCAATTGGGCCCGTGGGTCATCATGTCAGGCTCAAGAAACCAGAGTGGTCTGCAGTCATAGAACAGTCCTTGAACAACACGCTCAACAGTTTCATTGTCACATCAAAACGAGATATGAATATACTCATGCAGACCATGCAAAAAGTCCAATGGTATGTTCGTACTTCTTTCCGGCCTTGGGACATTTCTAATCATCTACTAGTGTTATGCCTATTCTCATCGGAAGCAACGGTACTATCGACACGTCGGCAAACGAGCCTGACCCGCGTTTTGATACTATACTAAGCGTTCTTGAGGTAAATCATGCAATGTTAGTTCTGTTATTTGACACTGACTCGTGTCTAGATCGATGAGGATATCGTTCGTCGGCAGCTAATCATCAATCATGCAATTGAACAGATAGTGCTAATTGAGAATGTCGAAGAGGCATCTAAGATTCTTTTCGAAGGAGGGCGCGTGAGAAACGTCAGACGTTGTCTATGTATTGACGCTAGAGATCGACGTCGAGGTGTTACTCTATCTTATGGTCGCACAGGCGAGCCTAGTCAAGCCCCTATTGCTCCTTTTACCGGTCGACCGCGTATGAGATCGGACATCGACTCTCAAATTAGGTATGTCCTCCAATTTCACAAACATCGAAACTTTCCGTAACACTATTTTAGACTTCAGCAAGACAATATACAAGCACTCAAAAGAGAATTGAACGAACTGCAATCAAAAGTTTCAACATCCCAGGCCGAGTTGCAGCGATGCAAAGACGCACTGGCAGAACACAAAGCGATGGAGAACGAGCTGAGAATAGAAGCGCAGCGAATCTCAGATGCAACCGATGCACTTGAAGACGCTCTCGAAAAGGATCAGGTAGTAGACGGGCGTTTAGAGACGCTGCAAAATACCCTCAACGAGAGGGAGGGCGAACAGAAGGTGGCCATCAACTCTTTGGATGATGCCAAAGCAGCCATTGATACCATCACGGATGAATTAAAGAGACAAAGAAAGGCAATGTCCGCGAAAGATGCTGAGATCAGACCTCTCCAGGAAAATGTCCGCATTGCCGAGCAGGAACGCATCAAAGTTGACGAACAGAGACGAGCTGTATTGGCAGACAAAAACCAAGCATATGAACGCGTCAACGATTTGAAACAGGAACGTGAGGCGAGGATGGCAGACAAGGGAGATCTTGATACTCGTGTTACTCGGTACATTGAGCAGGCCAGTCTGATTTCTCCTCGAGTTCCAGTGGATGAAGGCGAGACGCCGGAGAGTCTAGACAGGAAGTTGGACAAGATTCAAAAAGATATTGAGCGTTATGACAAACAGTGAGTCACAAATACTATTTATGAAATGCTTAAAATTATTCTAATTCGAGTTTTAGGATGGGCGCTTCGCGTGAAGAGATCGCGGCTGAGTTGGTCAAGGCAAGTAAGGCTCTTAAGACTGCCGAGGCAGTGTTCGCGGAAAACGAAAAGGCGGAGAAGGTGAGAGTATTGATGCCTCCGGATAGATCCAGGATATATTTGCTGACTCTTCGTCGAAATGTAGGAGCTTAAACGAACAGTTAACTACCGGCGTGAGCGATGGAAGAACTTTAGGGCTCATATATCGTCTCGTGCCAAAGCTCAATTTACATATTTGCTCAGTGAAAGAAGCTTCCGTGGTCGACTCCTCATGGATCATGACGCTAAGCTGTTAGACCTTCAGGTATGACATTCTTATTCTCTTCTTTTCTCGGTTCCACTAACAGTTTGTTATAGGTCGAACCTGATATCACAAAGAATAGTAAAGGCCGTGGCACGAAGACGCTGTCAGGTGGTGAGAAATCTTTCTCGCAGATCTGTCTTTTACTATCACTGTGGGAAGCCATGGGTTCGCCAATTCGCTGTCTGGACGAGTTGTAAGTACCAAAAGAGACTCGGATTTGCTGCCTGTTTCTAATGAATATCTTCAGCGATGTTTACATGGACCATATCAACCGGAAATCGTCTATAGATATGCTGGTAAGTTTGATCGCAATATTCAATTGATGAGCTTGTTACTGATTACCTATTTCTAGATGTTGGCTGCCAGAAGATCTATTGGTCGCCAGTTTATTCTCATCACTCCTGGATCAAGATCGGACATCAGTCTCGCCCCAGACGTACGAGTCAAAGAGTATGTCATCCTTTCTTCTGGTCGTATTCGACAGATGCTAACTACTATGGCTTGGAATAGACTCGCAGAGCCGGAGAGAGGACAGAGCACATTGACATTTCGTGCATCTTGAAGGATTACGACATTTATATTTAGAATCGGGCAACGGAGCGACACTGTCGCTAGAATTGTACATATCTTCAATAAATCTATATTCACTATGACTAATTCAAGACAGTAGTTCCAGTAATAGCGTACTGTATTCTCCTGAATCTACATTATTTTATAGTGAAAGGTAATTAATCCCAAAACGGCAGTCGTCCTCTCCCCGCCCACCAACGGCCGCCGCTGATTGGTGAATCCCGAGTCTTGAGCTTTCCCCAATAATTCCTTCTTCCTTGTGTGAACTCTCCCCTTCACGAAAACCTCACTTCTTCCCTCGAGTCGTATCTCATCATTTTTCGTGCTCACCAACAAATCAACTCGAAACTGAAAAATAAACCGCGAAAAAAATAACATTCTACTTCGACGTTTGCCTCGGAAATTTCTAGAAAGAAACCAGCAAACGAAAAGCGACAGACTTGATTGCGCACACCACCTCCGTATTTCTTTTTTGCCGAATCCTTCAAGGACTTGTGCATCACAACTACGCCTTGCCAAATCGAACCACTTGGCTATTTAACAAGATTTTACTCAATATTCAGATTTCTTTCAGTCACTGCGACTTTCATCTCGCTAGCATATTTCTGCTGATTCAATGTGAGTGTTTGACCCCTCACTACTCGTGGACGTCGTGCGTCATTCACGGATCCCATCAAGCTTACACGTTCGACAATACAGTATCTCTGACCCCCTCCTGGATATCAGCTCATTGAAGAATCTCATTGAGTCTCGTCGACCCGCCACTTCATACTCGATCCTACGAAATCCATTCATCTTTTGCTTTATCACTCGTATCCACCGCCATCACTTTCACAATGGTTGACGCCGTAACATCACAACTTAGCAATACCAAGCTAGGGTATGATCTGGACTGCTTAATTATGATGAATTATTTTTGCTCAACTAGCGATGTTTCATAGGGAAACGGAAGGATCATGGAAAGACCAGTTGAAGATCCCCGCAAAGGATAACCGAACACAGACTGAGGTTGGTACTAGGGGTTCCATACGAACAAAAAGCTGGCGCTAATCTTAATGCGAATAGGATGTTACCGCGACCAAAGGCCTCGAATTCGAAGATTTTTATATCAAGCGGGAGTTGATGATGGGAATTTTTGAGGCTGGTTTTGAGAAGCCATCCCCCATTCAAGAAGAGACGATACCTGTGGCGCTGACGGGACGCGATATCCTTGCACGAGCGAAGAACGGTACTGGAAAGACCGCAGCATTCATCATCCCTACTCTAGAACGCATAAATCCAAAGAGCACAAAGACACAAGCTCTCATCCTCGTCCCTACTCGAGAACTCGCTCTCCAAACTTCGCAGGTTTGCAAGACCCTTGGAAAACACCTTGGCATCAATGTGATGGTCACCACTGGTGGTACTGGGCTAATGGACGATATTATCCGTTTGAATGATACTGTGCACATCATTGTCGGAACACCCGGCAGAGTTCTTGATCTGGCAAGCAAAGGCGTCGCTGACCTCTCGGAATGCCCTACCTTTGTTATGGACGAAGCCGATAAGCTCCTTTCTCCTGAATTTACGCCCGTCATTGAACAGCTCCTCTCTTTCCACCCCAAGGATCGTCAGGTTATGCTCTTCAGTGCTACATTCCCTATGATTGTTAAATCCTTCAAGGTATGTTTTCCTTTGAGCATGATTTTCTAGCCGTCCTAACAAGCAATTCTAGGACAAGCACATGCGCAACCCTTATGAAATCAACTTGATGGACGAACTTACCCTTCGTGGTATTACACAATACTACGCCTTTGTCGAGGAAAAGCAAAAGGTCCATTGTCTCAACACACTGTTCTCGAAACTGCAAATAAACCAGTCCATCATCTTCTGCAACTCAACAAACCGTGTAGAGTTGCTGGCAAAGAAGATTACCGAACTCGGATACTCTTGCTTCTACTCCCATGCCCGAATGCTCCAACACAACCGAAACCGTGTTTTCCACGACTTCCGTAACGGTGTTTGCCGTAACCTTGTCTGTTCCGATTTGTTGACTCGTGGTATCGATATTCAAGCGGTCAATGTCGTGATCAATTTCGATTTCCCAAAGAATGCTGAAACGTATCTCCATCGTATTGGGCGTTCTGGACGTTTCGGACATTTGGGTTTGGCAATCAACTTGATCAACTGGGATGATCGATTCAACCTTTACAAGATTGAGCAGGAGCTAGGCACCGAAATCCAGCCCATCCCGCAATCCATTGATAAGAAGCTCTACGTCTACGACTCTCCAGACACTATCCCACGTCCTATCGCTTCTGGACCTCAGCCTGGCACAGAGGGTCAACAGCGTAGCGAAAAGCAGGGATACCGCCAGGGCAACCATCATCCAGGTGGCCGCTACAGCAACAACAACTCAAGCCGCGGACGAGGAAACTATCGTGGCAGAGGCGGTCAAGGTCAGCGCCGAGGTGGTGGATATCAAAACGCTCATGCTCATGACGGCACCAAACCGCAGCCCACCCCTGCTTCTTAATTGATAAATGCCGTTGTGTTTTTCTTGTATCGGTTGTTCTCGCGATTCAGAATCTAACTTACAAGCTGATTACAGCCTAGAGAACATTTTACGTTGAAGTTGTTATGGCCGCTACATGATGAGTTACGCTTCTCTATTACCATGTCTGTACCATATGTTTAGATGTTTTGATCTTTCCACCTCTTTCGTTCGATACATTTCGGCTGCGAAATGATGTGAACTGGGGGTGTTTCAGATATTGACATTCATCATTTGAGACTTGTTCTTTCCTTATGTTTCGTTCGTTCGGTGGTGGCGTTTGGTTGACGGTAATGGCTTGAGGTCGTGGTTCTCCAGCCAGGTGTTTCTAGGCGTTGTTTTGTTCTGAAACACGAGGTGTTGAACCGAACATTTTCGCAGGAGGAGCGTTTCATATTCGTCACTTCTAGGCTTGACCGTAACTCTTGGTCTAGGATTTCGTCGTCTTGTCATCGCATATTTTTATCTCATCTCACCTTTCACCTTCCCTTGACTCAATGGCGTCTGATTTCGGTCGTCTATTCTTCCCATGGAAGCGTACCGTTCCAGATCTCCGACTTGTCAAATCGCTGCTAGTCGACAAACCGCTTTCTTCCATTTTCCATCGTTATCGTCATTCGCCAACGGCCGCTTATTACTTTCGAGTAGGTTCGACTTTCGATCTTCGCGAGACGAATACCCTTGAACGACCAATATCTCACAGTTCCTCATCACCCACTCCCTTCGAATACCCAAATACCCAAAACACCCTTATACAAGACAAAATCATAAAATAGGAGGCGTCTAGGTTTACCTGACCGTGTACTTAGTTAGCAAATCTAGAAATGACAATATTCCCTCCAAATGTTTCTTGCTGCTGTAATTGTTGTACGTACTGTAAATAGTATAAGATGGCCGATTACGTAGCTTGGGGTTGGCTCTCCGACAGCGGAACAAAATCTTAGGCTAACTTCACCAAGTTTACATCTGCCCGCCTAACGTACATTCTTGCATGCTCTGTATTTGAGCCAATGGCTTCTAACAAAGATCAAGACCAGCGGCCAAAGGTATTTTGATCATTTGTCAGAATTGAGCAAAACAATGTTAACCTCGTCTTATAGCCGAGTAGTTTCCGCTCTATCATTGCGGGCTCTACAGCCGGAGCTGTTGAAGTTGGTATGATTCTCTCATAATAATTTGAATAATGATTTATTGAAGATTGAGCTAACGCCGCGATTATTGGTATAGCTATAACATATCCCGCAGAATGTGCGCAAAGTCCTTTCATCCACACATGACAGGCCATATTGATAACCCGATCTAGTTGCAAAAACACGAACCCAACTCAATCGCCGATTACCTGATGCTGGAAAACTGCCCTGGCCGCCATTCGGTAAGCAGTGGTATGCTGGATGTACGACACTGATTATTGGGAATTCGTTGAAGGCTGGAATTCGTACGTCTCTTTCCTATACATCTCTTTCTGTTGAGGAAAGACGGGCTGATTCAGTTCTGGTGAAATAGGCTTCGTCGCATTCGATAAATTCAAAACACTGCTTCAAGATGAGAATGGGAATATCTCAGGACCGAGAACTGTCATTGCTGGATTCGGTGCCGGGTTTACAGAGTCTATTCTCGCCGTGACGCCGTTTGAGAGTATCAAGACTCAACTGTGGGATACACCACCTTACTCACATATATTGCAAGGAATCTAATGAATCTGAGGGTATAGGATTGACGACCGCAAATCCGCAAATCCACGCATGCGAGGTTTTCTTCACGGCAGTAAAATCATTGCCCAGGAACGTGGAATAAGAGGTTTCCTTCAAGGTCTCGTACCGACTACAGCACGACAAGCCGCGAATTCAGCGGTGCGGTTCTCGAGTTATACCACTATTAAGCAGTTTGTGCAGGGATATGCTGCGCCGGGAGAGAAGTTGGGTGTTCTTAGTACTTTTGCGATTGGTGGTGCTGCCGGGGTCATTACTGTGTGAGTACTCCTCGAACAGTATATGAGATAGGATTGTCAGGATTGCTTACGTTTTGATAGATATGCCACACAACCACTTGATACTGTGAAGACGAGGTATGGCGACGTTCCCTAGGTTATCCTGACCTCTGCTAACAAGACTGAAGAATGCAATCTCTGGAAGCGAGAAGAAACTACAAGAATAGTTTCGCGTGCTTCTCACAAATTATCAAAAACGAGGGTGTCTTGACTCTTTGGTCTGGAGCATTACCACGTCTTGCGCGACTGATTCTGAGCGGAGGAATTGTGTTTACCATGTTTGTATCCCCTCATCATGGACTTGGGCTGTCATTGATTTTGATGCTGATACTTTTACGTTTGAAAGGTACGAGAAGACGATGGAAGGGTTGGATAAATTGGACCCTGAACGAAAATACATCTAATACCAAGCAATGCCAATATTCAACAAGTCTTTACAGCCCATTGACTAATATAGAATGTATTATACATCTATGATCTTACTAATATACAAGACTAGCGTCATAAAATCTACAAGCTTCGAGAATTATTCTCCTTCTCCGCTTCCTCTATCATCATCATCTGTACATCCCGATCAACAAGCCATGTGCGGACACTATCCATAACAGTCTCCAATCCATGGCCACCATCAAGCACACTGTCCAAATCATGTACTGTGATCCCGCTTCGGTGGTCGGTACATCGACTCTGACTGAAATTATATGTGCGCACTTTATCCCCTCGACCCATCTTCGCAACACCGCCCATGGCGCCTCGACGAAGTTTGACCATTTCTTCCTCGCGAGCTTCGCGTCTTCTTTCGGCGAGTTTTGCGCGTAGTAATTGCCACGCCTTTTTGCGATTAGCATGTTGAGATCGGGAGTCTTGCATGGAGACCGTGAGGCCAGTGGGAATGTGTGTTAAGCGAATTGCAGATTCGGTCTTGTTGACGTGTTGACCGCCAGCGCCGCTGGCGCGCATTTTCTCTGATCGCACTTCTTGCGGATTCACATAATAATCGCTATTCGGGTCCTCAAAGTTCAGATTATCCTCGTTGGCTCCCGATTCCGGAAAACTGGGTAGAATCATCACGCTGACTGCGCTGGTATGTGTGCGCCCCTTGGCCTCTGTCGCAGGTACTCTTTGTACCCTGTGTACACCTATTTCCGTCCTGAGGATATCATAACTACCGGGCGTCTCGATTTCGACAACCGCCTCGGTAACACGATCATTCGAAGTCGACTCTTCCATATCCTGCTTCACAATCGACGTGCGCAACCCTTTCCGCGAGCAGAAGGACTGATACATCCTCAGCAACTCATAGGCGAAAAGTCCAGCTTCATCACCACCTGCGCCAGGTCTAATCTCCAAAAGACATGGCAGCGCTGCAAACGGATGTCGTGGGATTAGGGCAGATTTGAGTTTTTCGGATACAATGGGCAGTTGTGTTTGGGTTTGTTCCAGGTCTTCGATTGCGAGGGATCTCAATTCGGAGTCGGTCTCCGGGTCGTTGATTAAGGAGTTTAGTTCTGTGATGGTCTGCGTACCGAAAATCTCGAAGTCAGCTTTCCTATATTTGTTTTTAGGCTTCTTCTCTGGCATAACCCACTTCGTGTGTTTTGTCCCAATCTTTTACGGCTTGAGCGACAGGCGCCAGTTCACCCATGCGTTTTGCGACTTTGGTGTCGAAGTTCTCTCCGAGGACTCCCCGGAGCTTTTCATGTTCTTTGGCAATTGATCGAGCTCGGTTGAGTAGCGCAGCTGAGAGTTCAGAGGTTGCTGTATATGAAACAAAATTGTCAATACCTGTTTTGTAAGACAGGTGCAAATGTCAAGATAATACCGGATGATTGGAATCTCTTTTGCAGTAGCAAAGGAGATTGATCTCCTAGGAGCACTCTGGAATTCCTCAAACATCTTGTACATATCGAGATGTTTTTGAGAAACATGCTGCAGCCATTCAGTCTCTCAACATGGGTTGAGCTGTCATGCAACTCAATGGAAGATTACTATGTAGACTGAGTATAAGAATAAAAATAGATCCACCAATCAGCCGTTATCGCACGTGATAATTACGGGTATCGTACCATACAGATAATTACACGTATCAAATACCGAATCCGTAAAGGCCAGACAAGCAGACAGTCAGTCACAACTTATCTACAACCAACTTGTCCTTTTGCGCCCATTTGACTACATTCATTTCTACTACAGAAAGACACCGGTGATCATGTGATAGTGGCCCTCACGAGGTCCCATAGATCGCCACTCTGACGACAGACACCTCAAGCGCAGACTATTACGTTCGTTCTATTTCCTAGTACTGATACAACATACAATTAACTTCGACATGCGCCTACCCACGAAGCAGTTCGCCGTTCTATTGGCATGCGCCGGCGTCGGCTCTTCACTCCAAGCAGATATTCCCGCCGACTTACCTGTTGCGTCGCTTATTTCCTCTGCAAAATCACATCTTGCCACGGGCTCTCCTCGGGATGCCTTGGCATATTTCGATGCGGCCGTCGCCCGGGACCCGACCAACTACTTGACCATATTCCAACGAGGGGCTACATATCTTTCCCTCGGCAGGGATACGCAGGCTATTGATGATTTCAACCGTGTACTCGAGCTCAAACCAGACTTTGACGGTGCTTTATTACAGCGGTCTAGAATCAAGAGCAGAAGTGCGGACTGGAACGGCGCCAAAGCAGATCTCGTCAAAGCTGGAAAGAAATCTTCGCCGGAGTATGTCGAACTTGAGGAGGCCCAAACGGCCGAGAAGGCGGCCGAGCACGCAGCGGCCAAGGAAGACTGGGAAACATGTGTTTCGCAGTCGAGCGTGGCTATTATGAAAGCTAGTGTAGCTCTCAATCTTCGACGACTTCGTTCACATTGTCGTTTCGAGAAAGGGGATATTCAGGAAGCCCTTGGCGATTTGGCACATATACTACAGATCTCTCCTGGATCTGTGGAACCACATTTACAAATATCCTCGACATTATTCTTTGCTTTGGGAGACCAGGAACGAGCCATTGCACAAATCCGAAAATGTCTTCATTCAGATCCAGACTCGAAGTCGTGTAGTCGGCTGTTCCGCAAAGAGAAGCAGTACGTCAAGAGCTTGAATAAACTGAAAGAGTTCATGGAGAAGCGTAAATTTACCAACGCGATTAATCTTTTGGTTGGAACCAAGGACGAGAGTGGGATGATTGATGATGTCAAGGGAGACGTCAAGGAAGCCCGAGAAGCAGGACATATTCATCCCAATGCTCCTGATGAGCTCTACACGTCCTTGGTCGAGACTACGTGCGAAGTATACCGAGCTGTGAGTGCATATCACACTCTGACATGATCGGGACTAAGCTAATGGAATCTAGATGAACTCGAAAAAAGCAAAGACCTACTGTGCTGATATCCTAAAACTCAAACCACACTCGTTGCATGGTCTTTTATACCAGGCTCAAACCCTAATTGACGAAGACGAATTTGAACGGGCAATCAACACCCTAAATACTGCCAAGGAACACCACCAAGGCTCCCGAGAAGTCCAAGAGCTTCTTCAAAAGGCTCAAGTCCTACTCAAACGATCCAAACAAAAGGACTACTACAAGGTACTTGGTGTCAGTCGTGATGCAGACGACCGAACAATAAAACGAGCATATCGACAACTCACTAAACAGCATCATCCGGATAAGGCCATGTCGCAGGGTGTAACCAAGGAGGAAGCAGAGAAGAAGATGGCTGCAATTAATGAAGCTTATGAAGTTCTTTCGGACCCCGAGTTGAGAGCTCGGTTTGATAATGGTGATGATCCTAATGATCCAGAGTCGGGACGAGGGGCTCCTTTCCAGGGACATCCGTTCGCTGGGGGACGAGGAGGAAGTGGTCAGCAATTCTTCTTCCAACAGGGTGGTAGCGGTGGAGGAGCTCAGTTCAAATTCAACGGCTTTCCGGGGGGGTTTCCAGGAGGCTTCCCATTTTAGAATACTCCATGTATTTTATTGTCAAGACAATTCAATATATCCTTTTGAATATGGCATCACATTCTGATAATTCAAATCCTCTGAAGATATAACAAACTACGAAGCTACTTTGGCGCATCTGTCAAAGGCACATAACTAACACCAAAGACCTTCTCCTTCACCACCGTCCCATCAGCTTTCTTATCCACAACCCAAATATACTGTCCACCACCCAAACCCACATGACTTAACCCATCTTCCCCTTCCTCCGACTCAACAGGGATAAACATTCTTCCAGGTGCTTTCAACTGCTCAATAAGAGGAGCATGAAGCTCCACCGCCGCAGCGCCTACATGAATAGCATCATATGGGCCCCCTTCCGGCCAACCTCTTCTCCCATCACCGCAGACAAATTGCACTTTGCCCGACTTTAGAAAGTTGCGTCCATCCTCGGATTTGCCCATATTTTCCCGGGCGAGGTCGACTAGTTCTTGGATATGTTCGATTCCGATTACGTGCCCATCTGCATCTGTTGGGGGTGAAGAGGGGTCTGTTATTAGGTTGGCGATTACGTGCGTCAGATAACCTGATCCAGAGCCTATGTCTAGCACGCGTGAGCCTGGGTGGAGGAAGTCAATTAGATATTCGCAGGCGTGGCCGTGCATATGTGGTGCTGAGATGGTTGCGCCATATCCGATGGGTTGCGGGGAGTCGGAGTATGGGCTTGATGGGGCATAATGATCTCGATCAACCTTATCATGTCAGTTCGGTGTCATATCTGGGGGTAGAGTGAAATTAATTGCTAAGAGAGACGGCATGGGATGCTTACACCAAGCATAGCCTTCTTTACTCGTTTATTCTTGATGAGACCTGCGCTCCAGAGATTCTCAATGAGCTCCGTGTTGTTCGTGCCGGAACAGAACCAGGCCATGCTGAAGGCTCTTTTGAAAAAGCGACCGAAAGCCACTGTGGGTGGTAGTAAGTAGTAATGAAGCGTTCTTGAGATGGAGCTTGTTAAGAGCTTAGTAGAGCTCGGTATAGCTATCCAATAAAGTGGATAAGTGATCAACTAGTTGGAATATGAGCCAGTAACAGATTTAGAAGCTGTCGAGCACCAAATAAGATATTCTGATTTGTTTTCTCTAACTGCTCGAGAGAAACAAGATGATGCTGATGTCGAAAAGCGAATGAAGGTGGGGATGTTAGGATAAGATAAGGAGCGGAACTGGGGGAGGTTTGCGGCAAAAATGACTTCAAGCAGACGCTTACATTAAGTAATGTTTGGATCTCGGACGGAGTACATTACCATTGATGGCGCCTCGTATTCATGCTGGACATGGGTTTGTTTACACTTTATTTGAGTATATCCACCTCATCTTTGGCATCCTCGTGTGGCTGCTCCTCCGCCGCAGATTCACCTTCTTCGTCCAAAAGCTCGCCTCCCCACTCAACATCATGTTCCACCGGTTTTGTGAAGAACTCATGCTGCAATGCCTCTTTTGCACTGAGTCGTTTATTAGGGTTCAATTCCATCAATCCCGCAAGCAGCTTGATCCCCTGCTGTTCACTTTCAGTCAAATCCTCCACGCAGCTGGACCAAATCACCAGTTTCTCCCACCCATATCCCTTTTCGCCTATTGTAGGAATGTTGGTTTCGAAGATTTGGCCATGTAGCGCAGCTGCGTATTTCATGCGCCGGTTGCCGAATATACTTGCCATCTCGATTAGAGCTTCAACGTCATCGGCAGAGTTGAAGAATGGGAATCGACGACCCAGCAGTGTGAGAAGGATCACTCCGGCTGACCACATATCTATCTTGGTGGTTTGTGAAGTGCACTTAAACAATACTTCTGGGGCTCGGAATCCACGCGTGCCGGCTCGATTTGCGCGTCGAGCAGGCCGAGGGTCGTTTTTAGGATAGCCACTCTGTTGATGTGCAGACTGGTTTGTGTAGTAGCTGGATTGGAGTCTTAACTGACGCACTTGAGCAGGATTCGTGCATAAGCAAGGTCCGGTATAGTCGGATCCTTGACGCTGTCTCTGAGTTAGCATTCTTCCTCATTGACAGAGCTGAATATCTGTACCTCAGCTAGACCGAAGTCTACCAAGACTCCCCGCCGTAGCTCAGGGTTATAAAGGAAGTTACTATGGCGGTGTTAGTACATGGCCATGATGAAGGGTAGCCGTCACCTACGTAGGTTTTATATCGCGATGCAGGATGCCATGCTTATGAACAAAAGCCAGCGCAGTAAACAACGACTGAAAGTAATGGCGCATATCGCGTACCATGAACGTTCGGTATTGGATGCGGAAATCTGTATGAGGAAAATAAGGAAGAACAGCCACGACTTGGTCTTGATGTCTGAAAGCCGTAATGAGTGGACAGACAGACGTGCTTCCTCGTAGATCATGTAATAGTTCCAATTCGTTTTGGATTCGAAGCGGACTACTTGTCACATATATCTTTTTCAACGCGACATATCGCGGTTTCTTTTTCTTCTTCCCATTGCTCGATAAGTCTTCCGTAACATTGTCACCGAGACGGCGTTTTTTGGGGGGTGGGATTTGCCAATTGTTTTCTTCGGGGTCGTCTTCGGTGTTCCAATCGTTCTGGTAGTGATCGTATAGTATATCCTCTGCTTTGTACACCGTCGAAAATGTCCCTTGACAGAGAAGCCTGTTAGTGGGGGGAAGAACAATAATTTTTGTAGAGCAATACCTTCACCAATCCTATTGATCAGGCGATATCTCTTCGATATACCTGCAAAAGTGTCTTCCAGCCTTTTCATATCCTCTTTGACCGAGGGATCAACGGGCTCTTCGTCTTCGTCCTCATTGTGTTCGTCCTTGTCGTGTTTCTCGTCATCATTTTCGTTAACGTCGTCCTGAAAGTTGTGTTTTTGCTCAGTCCATGGCTCCGAAGGGCGAATCTCGGGGGTTCTGAATCTTCCAAATGAATCCGATTGCTCGCGAGGATGTGTAGCCGTGGCAAGTGTTCCTTCGTTCATTTTTGACGCGATTCAGAATGGGTTCACAGTAGCCTCATTCTATGACTAGCCCGAACTGAGCTGGTAATCACAGAGATGCTATTTAGCAAACAAAATATAGCGAGTAGAAGCAGTTGACTTTTGTTTTCATGGATAAGACGCGATTGTGATGCATCAAAGAGATTCGACGCTAAAAGTGCTTGTTTTATCAGCGGCAGATTCTTAACTCCGCAGCAACAAACAGAGAATGAGGCAGGCGGTAAGCTTGTCGCTATTCAGAAATGCTCAATTCAGTCCTTCACAAACATTTCATGTATAATCATTTTTCATCAAGTCACTGAAAAGACTCCTCTATCTTATCGAGAATAACGCGTGAAAAGACGAGATGAGAATTGGATACACTAAACCCAACCCGGCTTAGCCATCCCGAAAGGGCAAAACACAAACATCCAGCCAAACATTATCAAAACTCCCCGCGGCAACTTCTCTCAGACTTCTTTCATCTCGATCATCAACAACAACAACCACCAACACCCATCCTCCACAGGCTCCATTCATAGCGCATGAGTCACCATGGAGGACAGAATAGATTTCAATATCAATGAATCGCTAAAATATTACCTGAGCGACCCCGCGACGGTGCCTACACCAGACGCTGAGCCGGAGTTGTATGATTGCGAAAATGAGACCGAATTGCTTTCATCGTCGCTTATCGATGGAGTTATTGACCCGATTGTTGACGGGGTTGCCGCGAATCCTGAGGCATTGATGCGACCGTCATTTTTTGATTCGCTTCAAGTTCTACTCAAGTGCGCATACCTCTCCTATCTAGGTGTCTAGACATTTCTGCCTGAGAACCAAATTACTGATATGCCTTTTGCGATGACAGATGCTGTACCGTGTTACCGTCGAAAAGCTTAAGCAAGATCCTCGATTTGATCGTATCCGGTCTGGCCGTAGAAGCCGATATCATTCATAGCGACTTAGAGGCAGATGAACAAGAAGCAGTGCAACAACATAAACAACTACTCGAGATGTACGGTTTTCTGCTACAATGGGCTCTTTCTGCTGTAGAAGTCAAAGCAGCCGAAAAACCAGCCACAGCAGCTCCTGCTCGCCGCACCGGGAAATCAGGCAAATCCAAACAGTCCGCCAAAGATGGAAACTGGGATTGGACACCACAGATACAAATCTCTATGGAGACCATGTGCAAAGTACTGAAATTGAAATTGGGAAAGATCTTCTTGACCACTTCCGACAGAGACACTTTTGTCAACCTCTTTACAAGATCGGTATATCTGCTGTTTGAGAACGAACAACGAGTGAAGAATATGGCCATTCGTATGCATGCTTTTAAAGTTCTATGCATTGCTGTAAAGCATCATGGCCATGCCTTTGGTATGTTTGGCTTGGTGCACCGTGCTGAAAATTGCTAATGAATATACAGGAGCTCAAACTTCTATCGTACAGAGTTTGACTTATTTCGAGCACTTGTCTGAGCCTATGGCCGAATTTCTTCATATTCTTGCCGAGCAATACGATTATACACAATTAGGCGATGAGATTTTGAGGTATGCGGCGCCTTCCACTCAAGATTCAGACTGTAAATACTGACACGCTACAGGGAGCTTGCGAATAAAGAATTCAACAGTAACGACACGAGAGGGCCTAAATCGGTCTCTGCTTTCATAGTTAAATTGTCAGAATTAGCTCCACGAGTCGTCATTAAGCAGATGACTCTTTTGGCCAAACAGCTTGATAGCGAGGTATGTGATGCGCCTTCATTTGTTGCTACCACTGAATCTCACAACAATAGTCATATACACTGCGTTGCGCTATAATCGAAGTCTGTGGCAACTTGATTGCCGATCTCAGCAAAGAAGAAGAAAGAGGCGACAGCTCCAAATCGCAAATTAATGCGTTCTTTGATGTCCTCGAAGAACGGTTCTTGGACATCAACCCTTATTGTCGATGCCGTGCGATCCAGGTTTATATGAAGCTCTGCGACTTGGATCAAAAATTCCCCAAGCGACGGCAAAAAGCCGCCGAACTAGCGGCCAGAAGTCTTGAAGATAAGAGTAGTAACGTCCGAAGGAATGCCATCAAACTTCTCGCCAGGCTTGTGTCAACGCATCCTTTCAGTGTTATGCATGGTGGCCAACTAGCACACAAAGACTGGGCAGCACGTCTGGAAGCTGTTGACGCCGAGTTAAATTCTCTTAAACCACCTCCTGAGACTCCAGGTTTAGGCGAAACCCATATAGACAGTGAGCTATTGGATGATGCGACACAGCTTCCGGATGATTCTCCTTCGAAGGCACCAAAGATGACCGATGACGAAAGAAACGCCGCTATGCAGAAAGCTGCAGAGGAAGCGGCGACGTCAGAATTACTCGCAAGACTGCAATTAACGCGGAAGTACTATCTTGAAGCCCTCCGGTTCATCCAAGTGCTCCATTTAGCTTCGCAAAATGTATGCCAACTTTTGTCCGCCCGTAACAAAAGCGAGGTCATCGAGGCCATGGATTTCTTTGTGGTTATTGATGCATACAAAGTCGAGACCTCACGAACTGGTATCAGACGCATGTTACGCCTTATCTGGACCAAGGGAAACAGTGATGAAGGAAAGGGCGTTCAGACACACCTGATTGACTGCTACAAGGGGCTGTTCTTTGATGCGCCTGACAGCTTTAGTTCAAACGACGCTGCAAATTACATTGCTCGTAACATGATCAGTTTGACCTTCGGTTCTACACAGGCGGAGCTTACTTCACTTGAACAATTGCTGAGCACCATGATGAAATCGGGCCACATCTCAGAGGCTGTTGTTGCAAAGCTCTGGCAAGTATATAGCGTGCAGAGAAGGGAGATCTCTAAGGCACAGCGACGAGGATCCATCATTGTGTTAGGAATGCTTGCACTTGCTGACCCGGACATTGTTGTCAGAGAAACAGAGGCTATGCTACGCATTGGCCTGGGCGACCTTGGGCGTTCTGATCTTGTACTTGCAAGGTATACTTGCGTTGCTTTGAGACGAATGATACCTGGCCGCCAAGCCAAGAGCAAGGAAAGCGGTGTTGCCAAATTGCCTAATGATCATCCTGTTTTGGCTAAATTGGCTGCAATTACAGAGATTTCTTCCGATAGCAAGGAATGGTATGGCGTGGCAGAGCAAGCAATAAGCGCCATCTACGCACTATCGAAACATCCAGATGTATTGTGTTCTGATATCATTCGAAGGAAGACGCGAGAGGTCTTTCAAGCGAATTCACGCCAATCCGCGAGTCAAACAATGCTCAACGAAGGTCAACGCCCTGGCACTGCATCTAGCGAGAATTCAGCATCGGGTAACAAGTCTTCATCCTCGGGTCTGTCACAGCTACTGTTCATTGTCGGCCATATCGCCATCAAGCAAATTGTCCACCTTGAGCTTTGTGAGTTGGACTTCAAGCGGAGAAAGGCCGAGCAAGAGAAAAACAAGACAGCGAGTAATGACGCTCAGAAGAACGATCAGACAGACGATAACGAACTAGATCTTATCGGTGGAACAACTGAAGATGATTTCACGGAAGCTATGGCTCACGTACGAGAGCGAGAGCTTCTATACGGGGAGAGCTCTCTATTGACCAATTTTGGCCCGTTAGTGACTGAGATTTGTGCCAACAACAATGCCTACCCAGACCCAAACCTCCAAGCCGCAGCAACATTATGCATGGCCAAGTTAATGTGCGTCTCTTCAGAATATTGCGAGAAGAATCTACCACTTCTCATCACGATCATGGAACGGTCCGAGGACCCCATTGTACGTAGCAACGCGGTCATCGCCCTCGGAGACATGGCAGTATGCTTCAACCACCTCATTGACGAAAACACCGATTTCCTCTACCGACGTCTCAACGACGGCGATGCATCTGTCAAACGCACCTGTCTCATGACATTAACCTTCTTGATCCTGGCCGGTCAGGTGAAAGTCAAGGGCCAACTGGGCGAAATGGCCAAATGCTTGGAAGATGACGATAAACGTATTGCAGACTTGGCGCGCATGTTCTTTACTGAACTTGCTACCAAGGATAACGCGGTTTATAACCATTTCGTTGATATTTTCAGTCTTTTGAGTTCGGAGAAGAACCTAGAAGAAGGATCACTGAGACGGATTATCAAGTTCCTTGCCGGATTTGTCGAAAAGGTATGCCTCTTCTTACTCTCTCTTCCAATAAAACATACTAACACGCGATCAGGAAAAACACGCAAAACAACTCGCAGACAAACTTGCCGCGCGTCTCACTCGCTGCGAGACAGAACGACAATGGAACGATGTCGCATATGCGTTGTCATTACTGCAGCATAAGAATGAGGAGATTACCAAGGCTGTCAGTGCTGGGTTCCGGGTTGTCCAAGCTGCTGCTTAATCCTTCCTCTTTTACCGTATATCTTTGTTATTCTTGGGCAGTAGCGTGGGTGTATTTGGTCTTTTTCTTCATGGTGTACATATACAATGTTCAGGTTGTCATTGCGAGACGGTTGTTTTGGATGGTTTGGGAACGGAATATTGGATTATCGTCTAGTTTTATATTATAGTTTATGAACCTGATCATTTCACTGGCTTCTTGTCTCTTTGAGGATGTATAGTTCTTCGCTACTCCATGGATACCGTAATTTGGAGCTTGTCATTCATCCCATCTCGCTCAGCCAATTCGACCGTCATACGAATCACTGATTCATTGATTCCGTTTCCACATGAGTAACTACCGAAATAAGTAAAGAGATACCTATACGTCTATAACACCAAACCAAAGCAATCCACATAAAAAAGAGGAAGAGGCTAGATACCTGACCTGTCTCTTTCTCTCTGTTCTCTTCTCTATGTCGCGACGCAAGGTAAAATCAACTTATAACCAGGAAAAGCAGGGATACAACATGCCATGCAGGATAATGTAAAACACCGAAAGAAGAAAAAAGATGATACCGAAAAAAAAACTAAGCACCCTGAACTTCACTCTCCTCCAACTCAAAATCCCCCTTAAACATCTTCTCCAACGCCCGTCTCCCTTCATCCGTCAAATCCGGTCTACCCAACGGCGTAACCGCATCTGTGAAGAATCTAGGTTTCCATTTCTGAGCCGTAGCTTCTCGTTCCGCTGCTTTGGATCTTTGACGCTCTTCAATCTCTTGTTTCAGTTTGGTGGCTTGGCTGAATTGTTTGGATAATATCGATGATGTGACGCCGGACCAGAATTTGCGGGATTCGTTAGATAATTGTTTTTCTTCGGGGGGTACGGATTTCGAGACGATAGATAATGGGACGAGATCGATTAGGAGTTGGGGTTTATTGGTTTCGGAGGTTGAGGAGGAAGAGCGAGAGGAGATGGATGAAGAGCCGCTTGCGGCGGCGGCAGTGAGGGTATAATAGACTTGTTCACGCCAACAGCCATTGATACGAGCCAGCACATCGTTGGATGGGACGTCTTTCATTTTCGTTTTGGTATCGTTGTCTGGGTCGTAGCGAAATATAACTCCTTCGACGCGGCTGTGCGCCTTTGATACCCAGCCGTCTTCTAGATATTGTAGGATAACCTTGATTCGAGTCTTGGGACATGTGATGTAGCAGCTATCTGCCACAGAGATGTAGAGAGATCCGCGCAGAAGACCGCTGAGATGAGCGGCTGGATGTGTGAGTTGGTACTCTTCATTGTCACGGTTTGCCAATGTCACAAATATACCGAGATTGTGCTGACCAGGACCAACGCGAATACTGGTCCCTGTAAACTTGGCGCTGATCTGGTCGAAGCCACGAGCTGAGACTCCACGCTCGGGGCAGTCAATGTAAAACGCTGAAACTGGAGGATGATGGGATGTTTGTTCGGTGAGGAAGCAGACTTTGGCAGATCCAGAATTCGTCGAACCAGCGGCGCCATTTGTGGGATTAGATGTAGGTAGAACTGGAGCTGTTGCATTATCGACTTCCCAATAAGCCTGATGCTTTGTCAGTACTCATAACCGGGAACGGAATGAAATGAAATACCCTAAAGAACTCTCCCAGTGTTGAGTTGTATGGTTTGCACGGCTTGCCCTTGATATATTTCTGTAGTCATGTTAGCATACTGTCATACGCTAGGACGGTAATGCATACCAGATCCTTTGTGAACCAAAATCTCAACACCTCTAGCATACGGCCAAGCTCGTCATCGGATGTACCAATACTATCATTTCGTAAGTGTGATTGTCCTCTTGAACGGGCATGTAGCGCATACCTTGCAAACGTCTCCGGCCGATCCAGGTAATTCCAGTACTCTATATCTGATCAGCAGCCGCTACCACCAATATTATCAATGCATCTCGTACCTAAATTCGGGGTAGGCTCTAAGAGCTGTGCGGGGAGCGAGAATCGTACAGACGCTATGTCTGCAACTCCAACGAATCTGATAATAGTTAGTGCAGATCAATACGCAAATTTCGAAACGCGTCCCGTACTTGCGAAGAATAGAAAGGAACGTCTTGACTTTCGAGGAATCATCATGACCCTTTTCGGCGACAGCGCTAGTGTCCGACATATTGCGTCTCAGGCGATGTCAGAAGAAACAAGACAAACCTGGAAGTCAGCACCAGGTTGAGAACAAATACCTCTTGGGTTGAAGTCGATAGATGAAAAGGGTCAACAGTCCAATTCACGAAAAAAAATAATGCGCGTTGTGGAGTTTAGAGCGGTGAAGTTGGTCGCTCAAGCTCTGAATGGAGTCTGGCTCCAGAACGGGAGGATTGAGTCGAGGCTCAGGAGTCGCGGGTCGGATCGACAGCTAAGTAACTTGATTTGCAGAGTTGACTTGGTGTTAGGTGTAAGCAGAAGGTAGACGGATTCGCAGAGACCCTTGAAGGGAGATGATAGGGAGAGTTGATGCCATGAAGATAGTCGAGTGATGGTTGATACAGAATGTTAACTAGTTATAAGTTAAGGATGGAGAGAAGTGGCGGACGGACAACCCGCCGATAAGTGCACGGCCAATCAATAGGCCGCGCTGGGCACGAGGGCCGATGTGCTTCTACGACTGATCTTTTTTTCATCTTAAGAGAGTAACATTCCGGCTATGAATCAACTTGCTTCGCCAAAATCATAATGTCCCGTCTTCGTGGCGTGCTCAGTTGCGCCCTTCTCTCCAACAAACATCCCTCCGCAGGTGTTACAGCGAATCCGAAAAGTGGCAGTGTTCGTATAATAATGTCGCTGCTGGAGTATACGACATAGTTCCAACGCCTTCTCCATAATGACAGGGTCTGCCGCATCGAATATCCGCGTGTCAAAGTCCGGCGACGCATTCGCATGCGTATAAGGAGGAGCAGATGGCGAGAAGGCAATCATATCATAATGTATCCCAGAGTAAACCACAAAACACCGCGTGCGCTGCCCTTCATTGAAATGATCCACCCGCAACGTCTGTACATCGATCGAACAAATCTCCACGTCAAAGTGCTTGCTGAGGATGCCCAGTTCGATTGCGCCACCCCATGCGTCTTCGCTCTGGATCCAGCGACAGTAATCGTCTGCGTTTCTCTCTAGGACCACATCAGTGTATACGTCTGGTTGTGCTTGGATGGTTTGCGCCACGATTGAGCGTAGTTCTGTCATTGTGTCCATTCCTCCCATGATCGCGCCGCCGACAGCTCGGAATAGACAGGAGTTGTCGTCCGGCATGATTCGTAGCACCACGGTTCCTCCATGCTCGGGGGATGGTATTTCGGGAGGTTCAGTATCTTCTTCCGGCGTGACACGCGACGGCGGTTGTTTTTGCTGCTGCTGTTGTGGTGCCGACGCTGATCGGTCTTGCTGCTGCGAAACACGCGCCGGTTCAGTTGACTGTTTGCTATTCACAATTAATTGCTCCCCGTTGAGATTTACTCCTATCGCGGCGATCTTCTGAGTGGGATCGTACTCCTCCAGTCGCAAAGGCTGTAGATTCGGGTAGCCATATTTGACCTCAAAGGAAGTAAGGCCTGTGTTGTCCTTGATGAGTTGCGTGAAGTCGGCGACTGTTGTGGATTGATCGAAAGTGATGGTGTTTTGGCCAGTGGGGCCCCGGACTCTGACTCTCATCGTCAACTTTTTGAAGTGTTCAGACAGGCTATGCGATTATAAAGTATCCCAAAATCATGTAGAGCGCCACAAGGCGGCTGTTATATAAATGTAATTTTGTGTTTGTAAGAAGGCAAATGGAATGATATGGAATGGAAGCTATTCGTTGTTTATCATCAATTGAACTGGCGGGGCAAGCTCTGATTACGTACGGAGCCTGGGAGCCACCTTCATCTGCTTTAGTTACTGCTACGTAGAACAAGAACATATACACAGGCACTCTTCTTTGACATACGCAATATTTGAACGCTCAACTGCTGCTCATCATTGTTAGCTCGGAGTCCTGTAGGTGGATTGTCGAAAATAGCACTGGTTAAGCATCAATCCAGCATCTTCGTACCGACTTGTATAGTAACCTTGCGGCCTGACGTAGGTTCCAACTTGTATGATTCACTGCTGTCGTTTCGGCGATATTGAGCGCAAACACAGACACTATCAGATGGAAGCAGTGACAAGTCGTCTGAATAAGGTAAAAAGAGCTTTCAGTATTTAAAATAATAGAGATATTTCTTTGATCTTGAAGAGCCAACCAATCAGCGAATTGATTGACGATGGTCTACACGCTATTCCTGATCGGGAACCCAGCTTTAAGCTAAATTCCTTCCGTCGCGTCGACGCCTTCTTCCGCAACTCATCATTTGCAGTCCCTAACCTTTATCCGTCTATTTCGAACGCTTTGCTCTGTCGCATCAAGGATATTCTCATTGTTTTGAATTATTTATTCTGAGCTGGTGCTGGACGTCTGGCCATGGCGACCCCCGAGGCAGACGTCGCAGGGACGACCAACTCTTCCGCCGCCGAGCAGCCTGTACAATCGATAGAACAAGATGCCGACGGAAAGAGTCGCGAGAATAAAAATAGTAATGGAAACAAGGGTGATGGGAGTGCAAACCCCGGTGATGCTGCGCCGTCAGCAACAGGGACAGCGACGCCCACAACCGCAGGTCCAGCGCAACCAGCTGTCAACGAAGTCACTCCCGATCAATGGAGGTCGATGATGGATGTCGTGATGGCGATCTATGAATTCCGTGAAGAAGAGTTTGTTTTTCTATTTTGTGTGTTTGAGAAGCCATGTGCTAATACCCATGCAGTAACTATGATCCCTCGAGACTTTTCCATCGCAGCGTTAATAAACGATATGTACCGGATTACTACGATATCATCAAAGAGCCCATGGCTCTCAGTATTCTGAAACAAAAGATCAATAAGCGTGAATATACCAAGTTTGAACAGTTCGTCCGGGATTGCGCCTTAGTAAGGGTATTTCCCCGAGTATATGTGGATTTATGCTAATACTCGTCAGATCACACATAATGCGCAGACTTACAACAGGCCCGAGTCGCAAGCCTACAGAGATGCGCTTGTTATAAAGGTATTCTTCGTCACGAAATTTCTTATACTATGATTAAGTGCTGATTGTGTAGGACGTGTTTATTGGAGAATTCAAAAAACTTGTCGACAGCGGCATCATCACAGCAGAACAAGCAGAGATGCCCGATCTAGGCGAAATTCCAGAGGCTGATCCACTCCCTGCGGAGGACGAGGAGGACGAGGATGATGACGACGAAGACGATGAGGACGAAGATTCTGACGATGGAGATGGTCGCCGAAGACGACGCCGTGGTCCGCGAAAGAAGGATGATTCACAGCACCAAGACCAAGAAGTCCGGAAAAAGCGAGGTCGACCTCCCCGTGTTGACACGCCAATGGAAGCTAGAATTAAGGCGGTCTTGAAGGGCCTACGCAAATTTAAAGATAATACTGGCCAGCTTAAAGTGCGCCACTTCGAAAGGTTGCCGGATAAAGCAATGTATCCCGATTATTTCATGGAAATCAGGGAACCCATGGCTATTGATTCGATCAAGCGGAAATCAAAGCGAAAGAAGTACAACTCTGTGGATCATTTCATGCGTGATGTTGATTTGATGTTTAACAACGCCAAATCATACAATGAACCCAACAGTCAGATTTACAAGGATGCAGAGGACCTTCAGGTGGAAGCACACAAACTGGCTGAACAAGAGAAGAGAAAACCGGACAGCGAATACTTGATGGAGGACGGCCGATTACCCTTGCCTCAGGGTATCGTACACAATGGAGAATTGTGGAAAGTCGGTGACTGGGTGCATATTCAAAATCCGAACGATGTGACAAAACCAATCGTGGCTCAAATATACCGAACCTGGCAAGATTCTGAGGGAGAGAAATGGGTGAATGCGTGCTGGTACTACCGGCCAGAACAGACGGTGCATCATTTTGAAAAACACTTCTATCCCAATGAGGTCGTCAAGACGGGACAATATCGTGACCACCGTATTGATGAAGTGATTGACCGTTGCTTTGTCATGTTCTTTACGCGATATAACCGAGGACGTCCGCGAGGATTTCCGCTAGACAAGGAGATTTATGTCTGTGAAGCGCGATATAACGAAGAGAAACACAAGTTGAACAAAATCAAGACATGGGCCAGTTGTCTCCCTGATGAAGTCCGCGAAAAGGACTACGAGATGGATCTGTACGATGTTCCGCGTCGCATCAAGAAGATTCCCAGTCCTATCAAACATTTACTTCCGCCGAATGCCAAAGAAACAGATGATGTACCGAAGCCAACATGGGGAGCGGAGAAAGCGCCTCCTCTAGTTGGTGCTGTACATCGCCGTCCACGAGATGAAAATGTATGCCCTTCATACCGACTTACCATTGATATTGGATTAATGCTGACTTTGGTAGGAATCTCCACCCCCCGAGCCAACGCCATCGCCCCCTCCACAACCCATGCACCGCCCAAGTCTTCCTGCTTCACTACCTCAACAGCCTTCATTACCATTGCCGATATCACGCGCACCACTACAAGACAGCATGAGCCAAAGCCCGATGGGCACTGTTGGCAATATCGCGCCCGTGAGGTCTCCGGCTGTTGGAGCACCTCTTGCAATGGGTAACATGCCAAATGTTCCGGTCCAGCCATATCAAGCCCAAGTCCCAAGCCCAGCGCCGTATTACCAGCCTCTACAAGCCCGCGCTGCCTCTTACGCTACGCCTTCAGCACACCCCAGCACATATCAACCAACCCCAGTGCAGCAGCCTGTAGCAGCACAACCTTCTCCACAAGCATATACCCAGGCCTCACCATACACCGCAAACCGCTACCCAGCTCCTACTGCAGCGGCACCAGCACCAGCTGCACCGGTCTACAACCCCAATGCGCCACGACCTGTTGAAGTATTTCATCTAAGCGACACAGCGAACGCAGCTATCCCCACCGAAGTTCGATCTCAATTCCACTGCGACGATCACGGACGAGTCTTATTCTTCTCAACTCCGCCGATGGATATAGTGGCATCTACATCCACCAAGAAACCATTAGGCCATTCATTAAAATACCTAGCCGCAAAAGCAGCCAAAGAAGAGAAGCGAAAACGACGCCTCGAAGAAGAGCAACAACAACAACCCGTAACAAAACAAGCACGCATCACCCTGGTACCAGAAAAAGAAACTCTTGATCCTTCCCGCCTAAAGAACCTCATCTCAAAAACAGTCTCCCTACTAACCCAAAACATTACAACCGGCACAGAAGAGCTCTACAATTCTCTATATGGCAATAAGAAATCAGAATATCAAGCCGCAGATCAGCGACAACTAGACCACCGAGTCAAGACGTATACACTCATGAAACAAGCAGCGACACAATTAAGGACGCAGACGGTTAATGAGTTGGCGCCAAAGGAGACTGATTTTAGAAGGGGGGGTGTTTATTTGGAGGATATTAATTGATCTTTTTCTTTTCTGTCTGTATGCAAGAATGGGTCTGGAATGACGGATGGATTTGTATAATTAGTTTCGGTTTGGTGTTATAAGGAGTATACATGGCTATTCTATTAGAAATCTGAGCAGGCCTTTTAGTCAAATCATCAATTCTTTCAACGTCATCTCGTAATCTAGGTTAATAGTACTTCATCTCTGTCTTTGACTTAAATATCTTTGAAGTTCGTCTTCACTCCAAGTACGCCGACATGACCTCAAAAAGAAAACAATACAAGCAATGCACATAAATACTCCAACAAGGACAGAATGGGGAGAATGGAAAGGAAAAAAGAGAAGAGAAATCTGTACATGATTCTTTGTTTCATGATAACATCAAGTATGTATGCATGTATGCCCTGGAAAAACGCCAGTATGAATAAGAAGAGTCTTTTCTGTTTTGTTCCTTTCACTCTTTTTGAATGAATGACATTTGTATCCCTTCAAAGAGCTCCCATCCAATCATTTATATACAGACTAGAAACCATTCGTCTCCGTATTACCCGACGACACAGACGTAGACGACGCCGCAGCCTGTTTATTCAGATCCGTCCACGTCGCGCTGTTGCGTTTATTGTTCTCTTTCTCCTCTTCTTCCATTGAGAAGACAAGGTCAGATTGCTCTTCTTCGTCGATACGGGTTGGCGCGAACGTCATTGGTGAAGAGGCTGTTCTGCTGTTGTTACTCAGATTATTCACCGAGGGAGGTTGACGAGGTGGATTCGAGGCGGTTGTGGTGGTGGTAGACGGGTGGAGAGACATATTGTGCAATTGCTGAGATATCATAGACATTGAAGATTGACGCGTATTCGGACTGGAGACGAACGGCGATATATCGCCTGACGCAGGACGACTGCCAATCGGACGGAGACTGGGGCTTGATGTATTATTGTTGTTGGTGGCATTGCTAAAGGAATGCAGAGAAGATTCGCGAAGTGGTGAGCCGATGTGAAGATGATTGAAGGATGAAGATGTCAATCCTTGTTGTTCCTCTTCTTTCCTTTGGCGCTGCCGTGCAAATAATGCACCGAATCGAGAAGGACTTGATCCCAGGGGCGAGCCGACTTTTGTTGCACTGGTGCCTGCGATACGGTCAAACCCGCTAAAGTCTCGTTGACTGCTGCTTAGTTCATGTTCCGTCCGGGATAGTCGCCTCATTTTCTCCTGTGGCGTGAGCACGTCGTCGTGCAGGTTGACCGGTAGATAATCTTCTTCCATGGCGAAGTTATCATCCCAATCATCCAGCATAGTTGGACGCGGAACACTTGCCGATAGCACCTTTGGCCGGGGCGCCATTCGCTGAGAATGCAAGAATCGCGAATTTCCAAATGAGTCTTCAAGAATGGCTGGCGGCGACGATCCAAAGTTCGATGTGGGTTTGCGCAAATCAGATCCAAACGCCGTATCACGCAGATTCCTCAACGCATCAGAGGGCGCTCTATGCACCGGCGGCGAAGCTAGATCCAGCCCAAACTGTGAAGGCACCGAGGCTGCAACAGGTCCGTATCGCGCTACATGCGAAATACCCTGGCTATCAAACGAAGCTGGGAGTTGTACATCCCGCAAAGTCAAAGCTCCAATGCGGGGGGAAGTCTGTAATCGGCTCTCGTCCACTGGGGAACCGTACTTGGAATCGGCCACCAATCCATTTTCTCCCGTAGATAATCCAAGTCCCTCCAATGTTGGTTGCTGTTGGTGTTGATGCTGTTGGTGAAGATGAGACTGCGGAACACCCAGCAACTCTTCCTGTCCTTGACCCGCATATTGGTAACCACCCCCGTATCGACCGTCCTGTCCGTTCAGGCGCTGCTGCGACAATACCGAGTTCGTGAGAGCCGAGTCCTGAGTCTGAAATGCCTGAGGATTCACACGACCACCCAGGTTTAAATGACTGCCTCCGCCTTGGCCGTAGTTGGGTCTGTTTACACGACGACCGTCGGGGAGGATATGTGCTAATGCGCATTTGGCGCCAAATTTGCAGTTTCCCTATGCATGTCAACTTTGCCTTATTACGGGCATATAGCTCAGGTATGTACCTTTGTGAAGTATTTACACGGAGCAGAGTCGATAGCCGCATCGGTTGAGTGGAGGAACGGACAAGCAGGGCCGGCTTGACAGGCACCTTGGCGAAAGAATTTGCATGGTACATGCTTTGTGTCTGTCACAGTCAGTCGCAACCTTTTGAAATAAAAATGAAACAAGCTTAGATGGTTCAACTCACTTTTTGTACTCGAATTCGGCGGACTTCGGGCAGCCATCTCATTAAACGGTGCAGCTCCAGACAAGGTACGAGCATGTCCATGACCCTGACCATTGGGAATAGTCGTATTATTCTGGCCGGCCACAGCAGCAGCCGCTGTATTATTGCGCGTTCTCATTTTCTCCGACAACGGAAGTTCCTGGCTGTATTTTTTCTGTCTGTGCGAGATAAAGAAAGGAAAAGAAAAGAAAAGAAAAGAGGACGGGCTACTACTACTATTGGTTAGAGTAGCCCATTGACAATCTCACTTTCGGGGTTTGAACGATCGATCAATATCCTGTGGTGATCGAGGCTTGTTGGTGGTGGTACAGTCGAGGGTAAGGATGGTGGGAGGAAAGAATGAATTAAGTTAGTGAGCTTTGGGTCATCGGCGGGCAGAATTGGGTGAGAGCCGTTGGAGCGTTCCGGAGGGGCAAAAAATCAGAGGAAAAAAAAAACATTGAACCACTCAGATGGAAGTGGGGATTGTCCAGTTATGAAGATTTCTACTTATATATCCTATAGAAAGGAATAAGAAGTCAAGTGTGAATATGAAGAAGTACCTGATTTGGTCGAGGTACTGAGACTTCAGGCTGTCGCGAGGCTGTCTACTGAGCTACCTAGTCTTACTCGGGCAGTTAGTCCAGTGTACTCGAGACAACTCAGATAAGGCTGTTTACTTTGCTGTATGGACTAGTACGATACACGAGCTACAGATAAAGCAATGCTACTGCATCTCTCGTATTGAAGATGCTCAGTTCAAGACTGGAGCCTGCAACCTAGTTAACTAACGTTAGCCTGATGTGATTTGTCAGATCCTATCTTAGTTAAATAGTGGTTAGTCTGTCCGATAAGAAGAGATCATAAGGATTGCCGATGACAAGTTTGAAGACAATAGTGTATTGACTGTAGAATATTTCTTCATAGTGATCGAATACATGTGACCACTCAAATCATCTGACAACATCTTATGTCGTGACCATATTCAGATCTGCTGACCCCAGACGTTGAACTTGGCCGTTATCGAATATTAGGAAACTCTAGACCAAGCCCCTGCCGATCTAGCCTCTCTGGTTATCTCTTCCTGTCATGCCATCATATCAAGCTGCAGAATTCGCATCTAGAAAGACCCTTCAATACCGAGTGTCTCCTAACAACCCTAGTCAGCACGACTCGCACAACTTCATAGAAGAAATACCTTGAGATCCTCCGGAGTCATATCCGGCGGCAACACCTCCGTACAGCTAGACCAGAACTCGAGAAAAATCCTCTTACGAGATGTGACCTGACCATGCCATTTGCGCCATTCCTGATCAATTTGATCAAAATCCTCCTTGCAGACACAGCTGTTCGACTCTTCCATTTCCGCTGACAGGGTCGATATCTGAGAAATGAGTAATGTCTTTTTTTCCTCCAGATTGCTGATTTGATCTTTGAGCACGGAGATGGGTATGACCGCGTTGAGGGTAGCTAATTTCTCGCGAAGGTCCTTTTCACGGATTTTGAGGATGGATATTTTTTCTTCGAGATCCTTGTTGTTTTGGTCGGGATCAGGACCGTCAGTACCGGTTGCGTCGTCTGATTCAATTTGCTGGATGGCATGGTAGACGATTTGTTTGCCTATCGAGACGTCAGCCATGTTCCATCAAGAAAAAAGAAGGTGATCAAACCTGCAGCCCGTCCCTCGATCTCCTTTCGTTCATGCATTTCTTTCAGAGCTTTCACCGCATATGCTAGGGCATATTTAAGCTTCTCACCCTCAGTAGTATTATGGAAGACACCCACATTTGGTAACTTTTCCATGAAGATTGGTCGAAATATCAAGAGCCTGATATCAACCAAATACATCAACATTCCGCCCCGAATGTATCAAGGCAGGTATACCCACGGAATAAGGACGACTACATATCCACCATGAAAGCCATGTCAAGTTCCGTCTCGTTTTCCTTGAATCCTCGTCTGGGGTATGAACGTACTTTTGTTTCTCTACACATAAACATCTCAGATATGAGTATCAATATCGCCTTAGATCCCAAGGAAGACAGACTCACTCAGATATTCCAGAATAAGTGTCGGGCCTTTTTATCATGTTAATTAGACACCCCAATGCATACTGCAAAAGGCTCTGACAGAGTGACAGAACATACCATTCTCTCCCGACTCCTTTTCGCCTTTCTTCTTCCTCGGTGCCATTGATTCTAATCACAGGAGGGAGTTCTGACACGGGAGCGGATTCGTGCTTGGTGTACAGTTGAAGTTAGGTTCTAATAGCTGATGCCACATGAAAAGCAGGATAAAGTCGAATGTTGGGATGTTGACCAGAGGAAAGGAAAGACGGGACTGCAAGGTTGGTGCCTTCCCAAAAAGTAGATAGATACCTACCAAGCATATAGTAGTAGTATCACGTGGCTATCAGTTTTGGGGTATAGTCAATGCAATTAGCCAAAGACTTAAATGAATTCAGTTTATTCATCTGACATGCCCCGAGTATTCAATTGAATCTTCAAATCAATGACATGGAATGGTACCTGAATATCCAAAGACGATGACTGGACCAAGACAGGAAAAGGGAGAAAATACAAAAAATCCCATCGTTTATAAGACTCTCAAGGTTCTTTTTATTTTCAATGCTACCAGACGCTGTGCACAACATGAAACAAAATCCAAGAAACAGGTCGAAATGGAATATCGAAATTTACATGGAGAGATTGATTGGGGAAAAGAAAGGTATTATAGTCGGGTATCACATCAAAATCTGTTTTTTTTTTGCATGATTATTAGTCCTGGCAGTTGTTCTATATGAGCAGAGGAAAAGAACTTACACAATCGCTCTCGGATTTCCCCTGAGGGACACCCATTTCTTCGAATGTCTTTGGTCCTTTCTTGGGTGGAGGCGCAGCGGCTGCAGGAGGGTTTGGTGTCGGGTTACTGCTTGGAGGAGCACTCATCGGACCACCTGGAGGTGCACCACCCACAGAAGGTCGTGGGGATGTACCAGGAGAAGGACGTCCAGCTCCTCCCGGAGGCATTGAGCTGGGAGTCATTGATTGGTTTCGTGGTGGGTAAGCTCCCGGGTTTGGTCTGTTGTAGTCTGGTGTTTTGCCCGAGCGACGATCAGGAGGACCGCCCATTCCCTGGGTTTCAGGTCGTTGGAGGCGCCTTCGGTCCATCGGCGCGGAGTAACCAATATCTGGTCGAGGGCTACCATATGGATCACCCTGACTTGGTGGCAGTTTAGGCGAATTAGGACCTGAACCACCTTGACGATAGCCCATCGCGCCGGGACCAGCAGAAGGAACTCGGCCGTAAGCAGGGCTTGCAGGAAGACCAGGACCACCAGGACCATAGCCTGGAGAGCCGATGTTGGGGTTGATGCCAAATGCCGAACTAGGACGATCGGCTCCATAGGAGGAGCCACGTCCATATCCTTGTTGTCCATTAGCTCCGTATGGTGCTCCATAACCATCATCGGATATCCGCATGCGTGAAGGATCGGGCATCTCTAGATTCTCCTGAGGGGGCGACATAGGAGCAGCCTGTGCTGCTCCTCCGTAAGACGGACGAGGTCGATTGGCTGATCCATACTGAGACTTGATCCGTGCAATGGCGACTTGCTCGTGGTCTTTGCGAGAAAGCGTCTTCGATCGCGATATACTATCAATTCGTCCGGCGGCGTCTTTGTTACCACTGGCAGCAGCTTTGGCATACCATCGTCGAGCCTCCTGAATATCAACAGGCACATGGATTCCGACTTCGTAAAAGTAGCCCAACGCGAATTCTGCCGTGGGCAAGCCATTCTGTGCCGCGCGCTGAGCATAGGTGAATGCAATTTCGTCATTCTTTTCAAATAATCCTTCGTGCCCACAGAGGAACCATTTGCTAATTGCCATTTCGGCTTCTGGCTCGCCTTGTCTGGCAGCCAAGGCGTTGTAATGCAAAGATAATGCCGGGTCAAATTCACATCCTAATTGGCCGAGTTCGTATGCGGCTCCCATCTTGACCTGAGCTTTGGCAAACCCGTGATACGCCGCCTTTTCAATATTGATTCGAGCTCCATTGATATCAACTGGCAGAAATTGGTCGGGTACTGTGACTTGAGGAAGTTCTCGGGCAAGTAACATTCCGTAGACCTAATACTTCCAATAAGCAATGCGCTCGGAATTCATCTTTCTACTGGTTGACTCACGTAGGCGCCCTGAGGTGCATTCTCATCGCATGTCTGCGCCGCAAGCCGAATATATTCTAGACCTTTTTCATAATCCTGTCGTTGTCCATGCTGGCCTAGAAGAATCATCATGCCGAGGCGCTTCTCTCGTTAGAAGAGTTGCAGCAACAAAAAGAGAAGACACTCACGTAGTACGAGGCGGAATCCCGCATGGAAACACCTTTTTCATAATGTCTAATAGCCTTCGCAGGCTCATTAGAGCTTTCAAATTGCATACCCATCCGGTACTCTGCACGTGCATACCCTTTCTCTGCAGCTCGCGAATAAGAGCGGAAAGCTTCCTTCTTATCGACTCGGAATCCAAATTTCCCAAACTCTAGCCACATACCTTTGATGAACTCGGCATGTGGGTGGCGCTGTTCGGCCAGGAAAGTCACAATATTCATCGCATCCATTCTGAGCTGATGTTCAATCTGGGGAGTGTGTGGTCGCGGAGGCTGAATCTGGGCCATGCGCGCTTCGTTCTGCATAGAGATTTCGACGTATGTAAGCGCATCCTGAGCCCAGGCCAGTTGCATATCCGGATCGTTGGACGACAGGACTGCGACCCGTCCTTTTTCTAGATTGGCCTCCTTTTGTTCGTCGGTAGGCGGCACATTGGGAGGTGGGTTGCGCAGCACGGGGAAAGGAGAGAAGTTTGGATGATCCATGCTGTCGTAGGTAGACTGATTATATGACGGAGACGGTGCACCATTGTTAGTGTTGAAGGTGTTGTTATTGTAACCGGGAGACGGCATAGACGAGGACCGATCTGGAAACTGCGACTGGTTGTACGATGATTGTTGGTAGCTGCTGTTGCTGAACGATCGCGGACTGCGAGCCTCGTGTTCCATGTGGGCGAGATTATCCTGCATGTTTTCAGGGACCTCAGGCATTACTCTGAAGGGAAGAAGATGGATCAGTCAGCAAAAACGAGCCTTGCCCGCCGGGCGACGAAACAAAGAATGAATTTGTAAAGATGAACTGGAGGGGAATAATAGGCGGTGCCTAAGTTGCTTTCTTTTTTTTCTTTGGTTTGCTTTTTTTCTCACCTTTGAGGAGAAGGGGAGATGACCTCTGGCACATAGTAATCATCTGTACCACCGGGATAAAAAGTGGCACCTACCCTTGGCTGACCACGGCCCTGGGGTGGCCTGGACATGATGCGCGCGCGACTTCAGGGGGTGTGGTTGAGACTCCGTAGAGAGGAGGAAAAAGGAATGGCAATGCAGTATGCAGTCAAGAATACACTCCTGATGGAGTGAATGATGGAATGGTATTTCGGGCTGACGGTGGGACGAAGGAGGGGTCCCGTCCTTCGCGACTCCGTGCGATGGCTGTCTCGGCGCTCCGCTAGAGAGAAATAGTGGAATGCGACAGTGAATAGCTGATTACATCAGAAACAAGATATTGACGGGCAAGGGACTGGTTGAGAGTTGAGGAATGTCGGTCGCAAACAACGGCGGGGATGATATTTTGCAGAAGTTGAACAGATCCTGTGATAGATGCGATGCTGCTTTTATGTCACAGTGCTCTTTGCTGTACTACGTAAAGCTGCTGGGATCTGAGCTGAAATTAAGATTCTTGTCGCACATTCGTATTGAGGCTATGTTGATCTCGTCTCCGTGTCTTCAGGCTGAACACCAACAGCCCCTTTCTATTAATAGCTTTACCTAGGTCTCTGGCGAAGAAATAATAATATCGTGTACTTTTTAATATGGTGTACCGGGATGGAAATTGTTGTTTCCGGGGGCTCCCCTTTTGTGGCTCCTACCTCATGCATCGTTCCTGACTAAGACCAGAACAGCCATGGCTCACCAATTCCACCATCCCTACACTCCCTATGACATCCAGCTGGAGTTTATGAGCGCCCTCTACGACTGTATCGAAGCAGGCAAAGTAGGAATCTTTGAGTCTCCCACAGGTTCGTACTGAATGTACTTTGTTATGTGACATATTGTCTAAAGTGTTATAGGAACTGTATGTTTGAAGTCTTGACATATCCTGACCGCCACTGATCTGCTACAACAGGGTAAATCCTTAAGCTTGATATGCGGTGCCTTGACGTGGCTGCGCGATCACAAGCGCAAAGAATTTCTGAAGTCGATAGATGGCTTGTCTGGTGAGTACTGGACATCTCGTGCCGTGATATCTGTTGACGCGGATTGCAGCCGATGACGACGAGCCGGATTGGATGCTAGAGTACTCCAAGAAGGAAAGAACACAGGCTCTGACACAGAAATGGCGAGAACTGGAAGAGCGACTTGCCAGGATTAGAAAAGAGGAAGAAAGGAGAAAGAAACTGGCACAAAATCCTCATCGGCCAAGCAAAAAGCAGGTACATGTAACCCCGGCTGTCACCCGTAATAGAGTACTGATACAGTACTGATATGGGACAGAAAACTGATATTGTCGCTTCAAACGATGAAGATGATAGCTTCTTCGAGCTGGATGAATACGAAAGCGACACGGAAACGGGAAAAAGTGTAAGAATTCCTGGATTCAGCGATATAGAAGGCTTATCTGCCAGTACGGTCGCGTTGCTTGATCGCTTCAAAGGCCGAGTTACCGGCTCAAAGGAGAGTGAGAATGACAACGAAAACCAAACGAGGATATACTACTGCTCGCGCACTCATTCACAGTTGTCTCAGTTTGCCCAAGAGCTTCGACGCGTTACTCTTCCATCCAGTCTTCCACCGCTGCAGGAGAATGCAGATGCAGAGCAAAAAGAGCATGCTGAGCTGGAAGAGGTCATTAAACATTTGACTTTAGGGTCTCGCAAACAACTCTGCATTAATCCTCGAGTTTTGAATCTTGGAAATGCTACGGCAATCAATGAGCGCTGCATGGAACTGCAGCAATCTGGGGTTGCAGCAGATAAAAAATGTTCGTACCTACCGAGAAAAGAGTTTGAGGACGTGCAGCTGGATTTTCGTGATCGAGTCCTATCTACAGTTCAAGATATTGAAGATATCACTCAAGTTGGAAAGCAACTTTCCATCTGTCCTTACTACGCGGCAAGAAAGGTTATTGATCAATGCGAGGTAAGTCTGAGCGTACCGCACTCAAAGCTGTATTCTAAGTATGCAGATTATCACGCTTCCATATCCTCTGCTACTCCAACGATCCTCCAGAGAGGCCCTGGATTTATCGCTTCGAGACCATGTCGTCATTATCGACGAAGCACACAATCTAATGGATGCCATCTCAAATATACATTCTGTTTCTGTCACACTAGATCAGCTCCGAACGTCTCTGTTCCAGCTCACAACATACGCACGGAAATTTCAGACGCGGCTCAAGGGCAAGAATCGTGTCTATGTCACTCAAGTGATTAGACTTGTCAGTGCGCTTGCAGAAAACCTTCAGTCTCTCTCTCAGAAGCACAAGTCGTCAGAAGCGGTCGTTCAATACTCGGATCTCGTCTCGGGAAAAGGAGTAGATCAGATCAATCCTTATAAACTGACGCGATATCTGCAGGAGAGCAAACTCGCAAGGAAAGTTGATGGCTATGTTGAGCATGCTAACAACAAAAATGATAAAATAGCCAGTGGCAAGGAGACGCGTGATAAAACTACAGTGCCGGTGCTTTTCCAAGTACAGAGCTTCATCTTGACATTGATGAATCCTTCTGACGAAGGCCAACTATTCCTTAACAAAACAGATGGTGGTGTAATTTTGAGATATATGCTATTAGATCCCACGAATCATTTCAGAGATATCGTCGACGAAGCGCGTGCAGTGATTCTAGCCGGAGGGACCATGTCACCGGTGAGTTGCAAGTGACTACCCGATGTGATAACCACTTGCTAATATTGATAGATGTCGGACTATGCCGACCACCTATTCTCATACCTGTCGTCGGCAAAGTTGGATACTTTTAGCTTCGGACATGTAATTCCCCCGAAGAATCTGACAGCACGTATACTAGCCAAGGGGGTGCTTGGAAATGATTTCAACTTCATTTTCGACCAGCGAACTTCGGATTCAATGGTAGGTCTCTGAATGTGACTGAAGAGTGATTGATACTTAGTTAGATTACAGATTACAGATCTGGGACAAACCATAGCGAACCTCTGTGCGGTAATCCCAGACGGAGTTGTAGCTTTCTTCCCCAGCTATGACTATTTGAACCAGGTTCTGAATACCTGGCGAAAACCATCCAAGACCGGAGGTTCAATATTTGCAGAGATTGAGAAACGCAAACCAATAGTTTATGAGAGCAACAATCAGAAAAAAGAAAGCAACACGGACGATGTCCTGTTGGAATACTCTAAGAAAGTCGAATCCGGCTCCGGAGCACTTCTACTTTCTGTTGTTGGAGGTCGACTATCAGAAGGGATCAATTTCTCCGACAAACTAGGCAGAGGTGTCTTGATAGTTGGACTGCCATTTCCAAACATACATTCCGCAGTCTGGAAAGCGAAAATCGGCCACATCGAGAAACAGACATTTGCGAAACTGACTCAAAACGAGAGTGAATTGCCCGTTTCTAAACGACGAGAAGCAGAGATAACCGCCAAAGCAGCTGGCAGAGATTTCTTTGAGAACTCGTGTATGAGAGCAGTGAATCAATGTATTGGAAGAGCAATTCGGCATAGGAATGATTATGCGGCTATTGTCTTGATTGATCGGAGATACGAGACGCAGCGGATTCAGGAGAAATTACCAGCATGGATTCGACAGAGTTTGGTGTCTTCTACTTCTAATATCCGGGAAGGCCTTAGATCTTTTTTCAAGAGTCATCAGTAGAAGGTTATAGCAGTGCTATTTACAAATTACTCTTCATTTCAGCTTTGTTCCTCTCATCCAGCTCCAACACAGATTTATGAATAAACTGCAGGGCATCACTCATCATAGCCTCGGTGAATTCATGACCCGTACACTCATAAACTGTATCCTCCAAATAAACATCCGCCTTCTTAACAGGCCCCTTACCACCACCCATAACAGCAGTACTACCAGAAATCGAATGTCTCATCAACCACTTCATAAAAGACTCCGTAAACCGATACGGCACCAATTTATCATCTTCACCGGACAAACACAGAATCCTCTTCCGGCCCAAATACCGATTAATAACCCCCACAGCCCGAACATCATACTCCTCCTCAGGCAAATCATCAGGAATCGAAACCATAAGAAACGCAGCCGGATCTCGTTTGAGCACAACTTCCAAAAGCGAAGATGGGAAATGTCTAGACCCCAAGAATTGGCTCCCGGGTTCTTCATTGGATGGTTGGAACCAGGAAGATAGTTTTGAGAGACGGGCTCGATCTGTCATTAGAGAGATGTAGTCTGGCATACCGACGATGATGATTCCCGTTGTGATGCGTGGTTCGTGTACGAGTGTGAGCCAGGTCGTGTGCCCGCCTAGGGAGATTCCTAGGGCGAAGTGGGCTGTTATTGAGTGTTGGGAGGTTGGGAAGATGTATGCTGGTAGGAAGTCGATTAAAGTTGATACGTCTTGGGCCGTGCCGGCTGTTCAATCAGTCTCTTTCTCCAAGTGTGGCTTATAAGAACAGGGGAACGCGGACGTACAATATACAGAAAACATATCAGAAGCATGATTCTCATTCCCTGTTCTCCAAACCTCATTCGCCAACCGATCGACTTCTCTTGACCCATGATTCCTTGCATCAAATGACACAGCTATCATGCCCCTCTTCGTCCTCTTCTTCCCCGCTGTAAGGTCGTCAGAATACCGTTGATAGTGATCATGAACAATTCTCTTGGCTACTTCAGCCATGTCTTTTTGCGAATCTAGGCGTGGATGTAGCAGCCAGATGCAGACTACCTCGGAGACATCGGAGACAAGCTCGCTGAGACCATAGACTGTGGTCTGGATGCCTGCGATGTGAAATGTTTGGGTGGATAGGGTTGGGGTTGGGGGAGCATTGTAGCTGTTCAGGGGGGAGATGGGGGATGGCATTGTATATGGTATCTTTCTTCAACAGTTTATATGTACGTGAAATTTCCTTATTTCGAGATGAGACTCATAAAATGAAAAAGATTTATCTTCTTGAGAGGTTGATATAGCTCGGTTGTATGGCTGAACCTAGGTAAAATCATTGGCCGGGGCGGAGACCTCCACACGTGGGTCCTGGCAACTCCGGACTTGCGCACCTTAAGTTAGGTACTTCCTACAACGGTTAATCTACAACAAAGCAGATAACGACACTCCATCAAGATACCCCTGATCAGAGCTACGAATTAGGCTCCTGAATTGTTGTCCCCCATGGAGAGCGCTCTGTCTTGTTGCCAATAAACGTCACGCCCCCTGGGTTTGTCGTCTTCGGTATGTTGGCTTCGTGAAGCTCCTGAAATCAGTAAGTCGTCAACACGAACTGAAATGATCAAAAGCTTGCAATGGAAATATATCTGATTGCTTGAATCTATAGGTGTACTTTTACGAACATGGCCGATCTCAACGATTCCTCCCAGCTTGGATCAGTCTCGCACGCCAACAATAACAACAACAACAACAACAACAACAACAACAACAACAACAACAACAACAACAACAACAACAACAACAACAACAACAACAACAACAACAACAACAACAACAACAACAACAACAACAACAACAACAACAACAACAGCAACAGCAACAGTCCCGGAAGAACCCCTAAGAAATTCCTCCGCCAGCATCGACCTGCGTCGCCGGGAAAAGATTCCTCATCATCACCGTTTATACCTCCAACCAATGATTTTGGAGAGCATAGCGATGTTTTCACACATAATAAACCAGCAAAGTATCCGTCGTCGAGTCGGGCAGGCACCATCGTCGACCAACCGATACAGGAGGAGATAGAACTAGACGGAAAAGATGGCGAGGTCCATGATGGCACCGGGATACCTCCTGAGGGCCAGAATAATCCGGCATCGACAGACCATGAATTAGCGGAACGAAGGCAGTCTTTGGACTTCGCGGCTGGTCAAGAGGATGGCAATAACGATATCTCAGCCAAGGACCGGAAACACTCTCTTTTTAATAAATTAAGAGCATTGGCCGCTACTCCATCGTTCCCTTCTCATTCGCGATCTGCAAGTGTGGCTACGGCTCCTATAGGAACAGGAATTGACAATGGCCCTATCAACCATGATTTACTCACCCCCGGGTCGGAGAGAGGAGAATATCCTTTCCCCGAGGCAGCATCAGACGCCGGAAGTGAAGGAGATGCAGATGCAGAGGAAAGTGCAGGAGAACAACGATTACGTCTGCGCAGAAGAAGAAAAACGCAACGGCCACGACCAACGAAAGAACTTAAAGAACCACACGACTCTGCCCCTGCAACTCCCAGGCCTAATGCAACAACACCTGGGATTTTCTCTTTTAATTCTTTCCATCCCTCAGAGATGACGAGACCTAGTCTCTTTCTACGAAGGGCTAACACTGATATGTCTGGTCACCTTCGTGACCCTGTTTCAGAAGATGAAGGTCGAAATAGACTCAACATGGATTCTCAATGGAGGAAGCGAAGCAATGCATGGCTATCTAGTGCTCGTGGACTGACGTATAGCGGACGCACGGACACTCAAAATACAAACAACACCAACAACAGTGCCAACACCGACGAGAGACGGCCTATGAATTTCAGGAGGTTGACAGCCTTTGCCGGTCCAAGCGGAGATCAGGAAGGTATTAGAGAAGTCTGGAGACGGCACAAAGCCGAAAGGGGATCGAGTCTTAGTGCGCAAAAATGGCGCCAAATCAAAGCTGGATTGAAAATGATTGGACAGAGGCGAAAAGCAGACAATACGATAGATCATGCCAAGTCTGCAGAGCTATTGGCAGAGTTGACCTCTGGTATTCCCGCCGCTTTGATACTTGCCAGCATGTTCCAACGTGATGAGCATGGGAGTAAACGTATTCCCATTTTATTGGAGCAGCTCAAGGTGCAGATTACGGATAGTCGATTTGATTCACATTCTGGAGATCGACATCTCGTGTTTCGTATCGAGTTGGAATACGGAAGCGGAATGACTCGCATGAAGTGGATTATACACCGCACCCTAAGAGACTTCGCCAATCTGCATTTGAAATACAAACTGCAAATTGGAACTCAAAAGTATATTCAGTTGAAAACGCAAGAAAGTGGACACTTCCTGCCTCGTTTTCCCAGAAGTGCATTTCCATATCTACGTGGTGTCCGAGGTCTTGATAGCGAAAGAGAAGAGGAAGACGACGATGGCGGTGGCTATGAAACTGGAGCAGAAGCAACCAGCGGTAATGAAGCTCGTCGCAAAATGAAGAAACGACGTTCATCATTTGCTATAACACGTCGTCGGTCTAGTACTGGAGTCACTTTGGAAAATGATGCAACTGCCGGTGAAGGTGCAGCGACCGCAACAAGCGAGAGGAGATCTTACTCTGAACGGCAACGAAAGAAACTCGAGAACTATTTGCAGAAAATGATACGGTTCTTAATTTTCCGCCCTGATAGCAATCGGTTATGCAAATTTCTCGAGTTGTCTGCATTAGGTGTTCGATTAGCAGCTGAAGGTAGTTACCACGGGAAAGAAGGCTTTTTGATTATACAATCGGCTAAAGGTCTTGATTTCCGAAAAGCTTTGAGGCCAGCCCTGCTCAAGAACCGACATTCACCAAAGTGGTTTCTTGTACGTCACAGCTATGTCGTCTGTGTTGATTCACCAGAAGAGATGAACATTTACGATGTATTCCTCGTGGATCCCTACTTCAAACTACAATCGCAGAAGCTTAGGTTAAGGGATCAAAAGGCAAAGGAGATTGCGCGAACAGCCAAAGACTCAGCAGCTCACCCTCAACACCACACGCTGAGACTGGAAAATTCAGAGCGAAAGCTTCGATTACTGGCTCGCAATGAAAGACAGCTGCATCAGTTTGAAGATTCTATCCGGTTCATGGTCGAGAACACACCGTGGTCAAAACCTAATCGATTCGATAGCTTTGCTCCAGTGCGAAAGAATTGCTTCGCGCAGTGGCTAGTAGATGGCCGCGATCATATGTGGCTTGTATCGCGTGCTATCAATCAAGCCAAGGACGTCATCTACATTCATGATTGGTGGCTAAGTCCCGAGCTGTATATGCGACGTCCAGCTGCTATCAGTCAAAAATGGAGACTTGATAGACTCCTGCAAAGAAAAGCGCAAGAAGGTGTGAAGGTTTTCGTCATCATGTATCGGAATATCAACTCGGCCATTCCTATTGATTCTGAGTATTCCAAGTTCTCCTTGCTCGACCTTCATCCTAATATCTTCGTTCAAAGATCCCCAAATCAGTTCCGGCAGAACACTTTCTTCTGGGCTCATCATGAAAAGTTGTGCATTGTTGACCATACGCTTGCGTTTGTTGGAGGAATCGATCTTTGCTTCGGAAGATGGGACACCCCTCAACATTTACTGACTGATGATAAGCCTACTGGATTCGAGTCACCTGATGGACCGAAGGATACGGATCACTGTCAGTTATGGCCAGGAAAGGATTACTCCAATCCTCGTGTCCAGGATTTCTATGATTTGGACAAACCTTATGAAGAGATGTATGATCGGAATGTCATACCGAGGATGCCGTGGCATGACATCTCAATGCATGTCGTCGGCCAGCCTGCCCGGGATCTCACAAGACACTTTGTCCAGAGATGGAACTATATTCTGCGTCAACGCAAGCCTACGAGACCTACGCCGTTCCTCCTGCCTCCACCAGACTTCAACCCTGCTGACCTTGAGGCTCTGGGCCTTGATGGTACTTGTGAGGTTCAAATCCTGCGTTCGGCCAGCAGTTGGTCTTTAGGAACTCCAGATGTGACAGAGCATAGTATCATGAATGCTTACGTCAAGTTGATTGAACAATCCGAGCATTTTGTGTACATTGAAAATCAGTTCTTTATCAGTACATGTGAGATAGATGGTAGGAAGATTGAGAATCTGATTGGCGATGCATTGGTGGAAAGAATCATTCGAGCAGCCCACAACAAAGAAAACTGGCGTGCTGTCGTTGTCATCCCTCTGATGCCTGGATTTCAGAACACGGTCGACTCTGAAGGTGGTACTAGTGTTCGCTTGATCATGCAGTGTCAATATCGCAGTATATGTCGTGGCGAGACATCCATTTTCGGTCGCTTGCGTGCGGAGGGAATTGAGCCTGAGGACTACATCCAGTTCTTCAGTCTGCGCACCTGGGGCAAAATTGGACCGAACAAGCAATTAGTGACCGAACAGCTCTACATACACGCAAAATGTATGATTGTGGACGATAGAGCGGCCATCATTGGGTCTGCGAATATCAATGAGCGTTCTATGCTTGGTTCGCGTGATTCTGAATGTGCGGCCATTGTGAGGGATACCGATATGATCTGGTCGACAATGGATAGTAAACCGTATTTGGTTGGCAGGTTCCCACATACACTGCGAATGCGACTGATGAGAGAGCATCTCGGCATCGACGTGGACGAAATACTCGATCACGATCTCTCAGCGGAGGCAACAGGACGCACAAGACGGGATAGTGAAGTCGACGCCGCTTCATTAGACAGCCAGGCCAACGGAGGGGTCCATAACGGAGAGCGAGAGAAACAGGACGAGCGTGAAATGATTGAGCGCCGTCACCGGATCCAAGATGAATTCCTCGTTCGATCTGAAGACATGCACAGTTTTAATCATGATGTTGACTGGGAACAAGGCAATAATCCAAACTTGAAATCTAGCAGGAAACTCACAGCTGACCCACGAGTGACGGAAAATGCTGAGCACCGAAATGAAGTTGCTGGAAACGGCGCGGACCACATGAAGATAAGCCTCGAAGCAGGTGTTGGATTTGGCCGTGACTCGGCTATATTGCAGGATACCACTGAAGTGCTCGTGAACGACGTTGCTGCTGAAGGAAAGGGCACGTTGAGTAATCCTAGAAAGACGCACAAACCTTCTGAACAAGAACAGCTCCGGAAAGACAGTGCAAAAGAAGCTGTTTTACCTCCTACTCCTAGCCAAATTGAGCCGGCATTGGATGTCCCGGAAACTCCATTCTCCCGACTTCAACCACTTCCACAGACCAACGATGCCGACATTGGGGGTCCAATGCTTCCACACAAAGAGCCCAATGGGGTAGGTGGCCATCCTTTGGCATCCTCCATCCGACAACCGTTTGTTGATGAACACTGCATGCGCGATCCTGTGAACGAGACATTCTACTTTGATACGTGGCACAAGATTGCGGAGAATAACACCAAGATTTACAGGACTGTGTTCAGGTGTATGCCGGACAGTGAAGTCAAGTCATGGAAGGAGTACAAGGAGTATACGATGTACGGTGAGAAGTTTGTGGAAGCGCAAAACCAGCAGATAGAGGCTCGAAAGTCGCAGAGTACGGGCGCCGTCAATAACAATCAATCCGCAGTTAGCATGGAGACGACTGTTCAGCCAGAAGCAGAGAAGACGGAGAAGACTGAGGGTGTTACTAGTAACGGTGAATCACAAACATCTGTGGTTGACGAGAAAGCTGCTCTAAAAGAGACGGATATATCTAATGATACCATCCAGCAACAACAGACAAGAACAACAGACATTGCAGAAGCTGAAAACGTACCGACTCCCACGGAGGAAATCAACAAAGAGGCCAGAACCCCTTCAGGCTCCACACCCGGACCAGCACCAGGTTCACAACCTGCATCAGTCGGATACTCAGGCGCCTTGAACATGAACATGACTCAACCCGGGTCAACTACTAGACGTCGACGAACAGCAACCCGAGGCTCGAGAAGAGAGTTCCATGCTTCCGACGGAGTGATTGATTTGCGTCATGCAGAGGAGTTGTTGGGTATGACTCAGGGACATTTGATTGCTTGGCCTTATGATTGGTAAGTCATCCTCTCTAGAGTGTATGTCTTCAGCCGACTGATCATTGGGAAATATAGGCTCGAGAAAGAAGAACAAGGTGGCAATTGGCTGTATACCCTCGATCAAATCTCTCCGATTGAAATCTAGTATGTTGACTTGACACTCTTCCATACCGCGCTTATTAGACTGGTATACTAACATTGATAATCAGCAATTAATCCTATCCTCCGACTCCTCACTCCTTTCCTACCCTCTCTTTTCTCCTTTACATTCTTAGATCCGATTCCACAATAACACTCCCACTGTCCTATATCCAAATCCTAGACTACAACTTCTTAAACACATGTCAATATTAATAATACCATATTAGAGTGGCATTATCATTTTCTTGTTTCCTTTTTTCCTTTTTTTTTTGTTTTGGGTTTGTGTGTTTGAGTATGTACATACGTCTTTTTCATAGCATTGCGCTCGCTGTATTAATTTTTGCTGTTGAATTTGATTTACCTAGATTCGGTGCTAATGCTGTTACAGTCCTTCCAGTTTAGTATCCTATTCTCCTCGTTCATTCTGTAGGCAGAACGATAAGACAATACATGGTCAAGATAGGATACCTGAGGATCGCGGTTTAAAGCCGCCATGACTTGCTCTTCTCCAATCGGGCTGTCCATGACGGGATAGCAAGAAAAAATTGATGTCGGTTTGGAGGATGCTGTACAGTACGCTGTTACAGCCTTCAGCTAATTTTACCTAAAATGACTAACTAGGAGATTGCCTGACGAAGAAACTAGTCCTTGTTGTCCTGCTGCTCGACGCGTAAGCAATGCTCACGAAACTGTAAGACTCCCCCGGACAGTATATCTTGGGTATTGGTCCTTATTCACCTCCAGTTGTGTCACGTCGTCCCATCAATTAAAATGGAATGCTAGAAAAGTTCACTTATATTCCCTAACATCTTGAACAGCTGACAGATTTTGACCCACGACCCAGTATACCCTGCCCCCGTATCATAAGCATAATTCATATGCCAAACTTACTCCGGTTCGTCTACGTGAATAACACTTTGATATTCGTTGAGAATGTATGTCCAACGTCAACCTTGTCAATCTATATCCTGCTCTCATCTTCTAACGCGGACTCCGACTACCTGATATAGATAGATCCTCGTTCTTTTCCGGAACTAACTACCTGCCTTACTTCTTAGCCATAGAAAAGTGTTTAAGCTCTCGAGAGAAATTTGATTGCAATGTCAACCGTTCACCAGGCGAAAGCAGACCGCGATCATATCCCTCATCCGATTACAGTTTCTCTCCACGATACCCACCAGTCCGTGGTTGCAGGAACATTGAACAATGAGCGTAGTCCGCCATATCAGATAACTGCTCCGGACCGACATACTAACAAAAAATATCAAGTATCGACAGGATCTTCAACTTCGGACCATGCTAGGACTGATATCAACCATTCATTCCATGCTTATACCGCCGATTTTCAAGGCGAAGTGACTTACAGTAAGAAGCCTCCAGTATCCTCACGTTATTCAGACCGTTTCCAGACATTGTAAAGCTGATAGCTTGATGTACGGTAGATATGACACATTACTGTACGCAACCCTGGACCTTATCGCAAAATATTCAGAAACGACTCATAACCATATCAAAAAGACGGAAACGAAGCTTCCCACATACGCGACTGGCTCCTGTCATTGAATCCTCTGAGGCTTGAGGACAAGCAGTACGCCAATACTGAAATAGCGTCGAGAGGATCGGACGCGGGAAAATGGCTACTACAATCACAAGGATTCGTTAAATGGAGGGATAGTAAGACTCGAAAGTGATTTTGTCATGGCATTCGTGAGTTCTCCAGTAATGACACTGCTTTCGATAATAACGAATGCAGCTGGAGCGGGCAAAACCATCCTTGCGTAGGTTCTGGTTGCTGCCCCTTTAATGACTGCAAAATCCAGCACTAACCAATGATAGCTCAATCATCATCAATCACCTTGACGAATTTATTGCCAGGCAGCATACAAAGAGAATGTCATGCATCTGTCGGATTGCTGGGTTAACTTCAGGCCAATCCTGAATAGTAGCTTACAAGGATCGGGAAAGAAGAAAATGACTAGCAAGGTTGCATGTATTGAGTTGTCTGAGGTCTCTTCAAATGTTCTTGTTTTCTTCGTGGTAGATCTCGCGATATTCTAACAAGGGGCTGTGTCAGAATATCGCGAGACCTATCAGATAACCCGGATATCTGTCAGATAACTCAATACACACAACCTTGAGAGTCAATTCTTCTTTTCCCATCCTTGTAAGCTACTATTCAGGATTAGCCTGAAGTTAACCCAGGAATCCGACAATAAAGCAGGTTGAAGGTCAGTCGAGCCTATGTCATCCCTAAACAAGCAGCAATACTCAACTCGGCCCAAGGACGCTTTATGGAGAAGGCGACCATCAATATGGATCGTCTCTGGACGGTTCGAACGCTGCACTATGGGCTCATGGCTGGATCAAGCCTGTGGTGTCATTTGATGGGCTTGCTCCTTCAGCGGTCCTCGGTGCTGACGGAAAAAAATTGTCTCATTTTTAGTGAGCCTCTGTCGTTTCGCTGGAGGAACTTTTGACTTGAGGTTTGTTATTTGATCTTCTGCATGATTGTGTTCACGGTATTCACTATCCTCTAAATTGTCGCTTTCTGCACTCTGCGCTGAGAGCGAACGACTCGAGTGCCGACGGGCACGAGATGAATTGCTGGACCGGAGATTTCGACGAGGGACTGTGACTGATAGGGATCGAGATTTTGTCCCTCTAGTGTCCTGCTAGGACTCGTTCAACTGGCCCTTCCTCATCAACCCCGATGCCTGGCTGCTATCAGTCTGTTCGAGTTGGGACGGCACAAAGTCTGTTGCAGTGAATTCATTGGTTGGAGAGACTTAGTATACAGTTGGCTGAGTATTCTCCTCTTCCAGCACAGTGACAGTTGGATTGCTGAGGCACGACTCAGAAGTTAGTATGGTGACAGCGGTGCTGGTTGGTCCTTGATCAATGGAGTTCTCAGTTCATGCAAGGCGGTTTGGTTTGACTGCAACCGTGATTTCACTTGCAACATCCGGCTAGGGCACGCCAATGGCTATGATTATGATTATTTTACCTATTTCGGTAATCATATTCATCAGTTTTACCCCTAAATCATAATTATTTACATGTAGTTAATGGCCTCATTGTAATCACTATTATGTCTGGCAACAGTCATTTACATCTGCCTGCTTTTGACCCATATATCTGTGCTTCCCTCCATAATAAGATCATCTCCTTCTCGCCGGACAAGCTGTCGTGTACAACAATCGCATCATACATAATTCTTCTGATGCATATGGAGATGACGCCAATGCAATCCGTGAACGTCTCCTAGAACCATTCATCGCCTTCCTAGAGAACATTGACCATCATGATCAGTAACGATCCCGAATCCTCGCCAGTCATGAACTTTACTCCCCATCTCCCCATGCCAAACCCGAATGAGTTCCGGATATTGAACGGGGGCATGGAGGACTTTTCTGGCGGAGACCATGAGAACTGGATGGTGCTTTATCTGGGTATGTAAATCTATCGTTGCTTGATAAAAATACGTCCATGCTAATCAAGAATGATTATTATGATTTCAAAGCAACGGAGCATGAACATGGCATTTACTTTGATCTAGAGACTTACCTTTGCACCTGGCAAAAGGAGATGTCCTGGATGCGTACTTGGTGAATAATAGACTAGACGACCGAAGCAAAAGTAGATTAATGTAACCCAGGTACCCTCTTCAAGCAGCCCTCCAGCTCTGGCTCAGTCTTTCCCGATCTGGCCCAGGATTTTGGATAATTGGAGGCAGTTGGTTGAGAGGGCCGTGCGGTTGGTTGGATCAGATGGTGGGAAGAGCGGTGTTGGGGTTTTCAGAGATGCAGATACTGAGGAGCATGCGCTGTATTATCGCCTGAGGGCATGTTTTTGTGGTCAATGATATGTATGTATGGATTCGTTCTGGATCTGACATACTCAGTTAAGTTGGGCAGTTTTTGAAATATACATATCGATATATATACAAGGTAACCTGAACATCTAGCTAACGAAGAGCTTTTTGGTATCGTAAAATCATCTAGAACCTATAACGCCATCGTAGAGAGGAGTGGGCCATGATCATTAGCTATCAGCTTTTTCTTGTGCCTGTACCTGTGACTGTGCCTTCTCATCTGTCAGACTACCCGGTGAAGCCTTTCCCGAAGCAGGGCTGGAGGTTTTATCCCTTTGATCAGACGGTTTCCGGGGGGATATGCGGCCATTCTGTAGAGAATTGTTAGACAATCTTGAAAAGAGTTTAACCAAAATGGTTTCAAAGAGAGAGGAGTACCTGCTTGGCCCATCGTAATCCACAACTGTTGCAAAGATCACGATGTCCACTTGGTCCGCGTCTCCATTCTGGCGTATTACGAGTATGGCAGCTTATGCATTCCTTCTCTAATGGTCCGGTGCCTTTCTTTCTCTTGCGTTTCTTCCTACGGCTGAGTAGTCCTTGCAGTTCTTCTGCAAGTAAGCGATTGTTCTTCTCAAGTTGCCGTAGTTCAAATTGCCAACTTGAGCTTCGTACTGTTTTCAGTTCTTCAAATATATTGTTTCCGGAGAGCATTGCTTCATCCTGGGTGCCTAGTGGGAGTCCATGAGATCCTGCTTCGGTCGCGACCGTGGCTGGTTTTTGGTTGCTTTGTGAGGCAAGAGCCGTGGTAGTGTTTATGATAGTCCCTGCTGATGTTGCTCGATTGTTCAGCTTGGTGGTTGTGGTTGATAAGACTATCGGACTATTACGTTGCTGAAGGTATGTCGACCGTGAATTTTTCAATAGATATATTCGAGCAATCAGGAAAGAAGGCTTAGTGCCTGGGGTAGCGTCTCCTGGGAATAAAGCGGTCTGTGCCTGCAATACATTACCTCGTTTGTGCCTGATCTCATGCTTAAATGTGGCCTGTCGTCCCGTTCGTGCAACTTCCAACGCTTTACCCAGTTCGCCCCGCGAGTCGCTTCGCATGAATTCTTGTATACCCTTTCCTACCATCTCGGCTGGAGTCCTATCGAGAAGAGCACGTGCATTAGATGAGACGAATAAAAACATTCCCGAAATGGATATTTTTGTCCACAAATCATTCTCGCCTATGCCGCCAGCTTCGAGGACACTGGATCGGTCCAATGCATACACAGGGCGCTCACGACCGACAAGTATTAGGCATTTGCGCCCTTTACCAGGCTCAATATGCAGTGATCCATAGCTCTCAAACCATACATAGCCACTGTTCTTTCGTCGGAATCTGTATATCACACTAACAGGCGACCCAGCCGTACTCTGCTTTAGCTCACGGGTGACCGGAGCAATGTCACTGGGATGGCAGACGGACGATATAGATCGCCCGACGAGCTCACTTGGATCATATTCAAGAATTTTCGAGCTGGATTGGGACAGATAGAGAAAAAGGCCTTTCAAGGACAGGACGTGAATCACGTCGTCCGAGTTTTCGAGTATGACTCGATCTAGGAATCGTCCATCTTTGATACCTGCGCCGATTGTTCTTAAAATAGAGGTAGCCTCATTATGACTGATGTTTCTCGACATAGCTGTTTGTGACTTTCGCGATTCAGGCGCATGCAAGACATACCGAGAAAGCTGATCCCGTTGGTAGTTGATCGAGTAAGAGCCATCTATTCCATAGTTATTAGTGAAGAACTTGCTGTAAATGTTGACATTAAGAGCTTACCCGCATTTCGCTTGGTGACCGCATGAGGTTGCTCAACGAGATCAACTTGAAACCCAACATAAAACCTATAATCGGTCGAATTCCAATTGATCGGTATCATCGTCAACAGATTCATAAAGGACTGTCCGCCTTTTCGGTAATTGATCATGCTGACTTGAACCTCAGCCCGAGCCTGGATCTTTTCCTTCAAACGATAGACTGTCTGGTTATCTACATATTTTCGTTTTGTTCCTGGGTCAACTTTCCCGTCGGGTGATTGGAGGAATCGACAATTTCTACCGAGGATTTCATGTCTGGTATACCCAGTAAGCCTCTCAAAAGCATCGGACACGTAAATAATGGGATCATCATGAGACGTTATATCGCAAAGAATGAATGCGCACGACATATCGACAGCGCCGATATCTATTTCTGGGTTTGGTCGGCTTGCTATTTTTGCCTATTATCTCGTCTTAGCGGGTGGGTACTTCACACGGCCATGATAAGATGAACTCACCAGTATCCCGAACATATCGAACCCGCTACTTGAGTATATGTTATAGTATTCTGACGCGACTTTGCCTGCTCCAGGCTTTGGTGTTGTTGACGCAGCAACTTCTGGAAGATACCACCGTTAGCACTAACTGTCTTTGTCCAATTTCTTGTCAGCAATGTATCATAAAAGGGAAGTTACCGGATGGAATGAACGGATTACGAAAAGAGGGCGAAGTAATTGGAGCTTTGGGTGGCTGCTGTTGCATGAATGGTGACATGGATTGAGGTTGGCTGGTACTCTGACTTCGCCGTGGTAGAGAGACAAGTGAGCTCTGTTGCGAGCCACTTCCGACCGGGGAAGTGATCTTGATCCGTTGCCCGGGTAGAGACAGATTAAAATTCGACAAGTCCACCCAATTGTGTTGTGTAATCAGCTGTTCTGGCGCGGTTGTGGGTTGCATCGACGACTGTGGGAGAGGGACAAAGGTAGAATTTGCAAACAGCATATCCAAAGACTGCGGTTGAGCACCATCCGCAGCATCATACCCAAGTGGGAAAGTCATGTCGTTTTCCTGAAAATTGACAGTACCGGTATAACCCTGTTGAAAAGCAGCCATTGGGTCCATGGCTGGTGTGAACGAGGTTGGGTCATAGGTTGCATTTAAACTGAAGCTGTCCGCGTCTTGATACAATTCTCGATTCTGTTGGAATTGCTGTATTGACATATGCTCATTTCCCGTAAAGAGCAATGTGTCATTGCCTTGGGTGACCATAGGGTTGAATTGATATGTTCCCATGGTATCACCTCCCGTGGCCCCAAAATCCATAGAAGTTTGTTGTACGCGAGCAGTTTGCGGGTTTGATTGGTTCGTCTGACCTTGAGGTGGGACAACTGATTGAGTTGCCGACATGTCAAATGTTATTCCGAGGTTGATATTTCCTTGTCCTGTATGCAATCCAACTGATGCGGCTGTTGTGCGCGCAGGAAACGAATTCCTTCGGGCATGTTCGTGGTCTTGGGATGATAGTTGGCTGGCATATTGCGTAGAGTCGAATGGGTTCATCGTGCTTCGCGAAATTTATCTAATCTGCTGGGCGCTTTATCGACTAATGCTACTGGCGGTCGTAAGACTCGTAACTGACATACACGCCAGTCCTGGGCCGGATTAAAATCGAATCCACCTGCGCTACGCAATCTGATAACCACTGTTTTCAAGAGGCTTCTCCGGTATCTCGTAGGCGCGGGAAATTCCACATTGATGTATTCTCAATAACGAGAGAAGAGGAAGACAGAAGTTATCGAGGACATATGGGCATTCAAGCTCAATGAAAGTGACATCTAGACCGTGCCAGCAGAAAGGTAGTGGATGTTGGTGGTGGTAGAAACAAGTTGTCAGCATGCGACATTAACCATAGCTTTTCTGATAGGTCCTATAATGGCGGTATGATATAGAAGTGAGATATATTAATACTCCGCCGAGGTTAGAGCGGAGTGACTAGTCGAACGAGGAGACGAGTGGAGGGACAACCGTCGTAGGCACCGCACAGCGGACGAATTTTGAAGGCGACAACGCGGATGAAGGGTATCGAAGAAGAGATCGCAGAAAACGAGGACGATAGCAGTCGTGAGATAGTCGTCGATATCCGCGTGGTGGAGCAAGCAGTGTCCACAACGACTAATGCGTAGGAGCTGTATGTAAATTAAGTAACGGGATGATGATGAGTCTATGAGTCTCCAAGGTGAGGAGTGTCGAATCAGCAAAATTAACAGTATGTGCGATTGCGAACGAGTCTCGACGAAGATATTCACGTGTAAAGAAAGAAAAAGAACAATGAAATAGTTTTTTGAAGACTTGGAAGTTGGACGTCGGGGTTTGGATTGCTTCTTGCCCAGATCGCGTCGGAGTGCTTGCAGGAAGGAGCCATGGACCAGTGACGTGGGTTGTGGCGGAGCCGCCAATTGCTCCTGCCTGATTAGGCCGTTCGAGGCTGGTGCGTTCTGTACCATACACGCGTTGTATGTAACTGACAATACAGTACATATCACAACCCTAATTCCTATTTGATACAATGAGTAAAAATGATATAACTAGGAAGAATGCTTATTAGAGCAGCATCTCTCTAGAGAGCAGTGGATTTAGGAGCCCTTGTTAGATGATGCCCTGAGCCATCTACGGCGATATCCATAGGCTGAAACACTGACAAAGAAATCCAGGTGACGACACCCTTTCTGGCAATAGAGAGATCAGAGGAATATCCAATAACTATTCTAGGTTAACAATAGTAGTTACCGCACAAAAGGGTTGTAACAGGAAGAATTCTTAGTATATAAGTAACTAATAGAGGCAACTCAATAGAGAAAATATTATTCTTATACTCACTCATCAGTGCTTCTCCAGACTCATCCCTGTGTCTTTCAGTCTTTCATATCACTCATATCTTCAAGACCGGATCTTCTAAATTCTTTTCGACATGTCACAGCATCTCAACTATCTTGGCTATATAATCCTTGTAGCTGTCATCCCTGGAGCTATCCGGGTATTCGCAGAGTGGATGGGGTTGTTTGTCCAATGCTATGACGAGGGATGGTGTGACTGGGGCTGTATAATCTGACGCCGCAGGAGAAACCGTTTCGACGATGACACAGACGAGACTCATCAAGGGAATACCCCAGGCAGGTTCCCATTCCTTTGATGGCATCAACAACTCTGGATACTCAGCCGCCAATCCACCACATGTCGATAATCGCGTCGAGAACGCCAGTATCCCGCCACCCCCTACACCAATCCGGAAGACGAAGAGAGTTCAATTGGCCTACAGCCTCCACAACGCCGCGAAACTTCGATGATAAGCTAAACTGATTGTGATCACGTCGCATGTTGTCTGTATCAAGGCCCATTCACTGATTAATGGGATAGAACGCACCGAGTCGATGGAGTTTTGTCTGGTTGGTTGTAGAGAAGAGGGTGAATCGAGATAAGGAGGTTGAGTGAGTAACCAGGAGCGGGTATGTATCATTACACTGGTTTAATAGAACCATGGTGCTTAAATTACATTGAGATCTTACCCTTAACCTTATTCTGTGAGTTTACCAATCATATCTTTCAAATTAGATCCGATCTATCAAAATTGTACATGAACGAGCGTTACGGAACAGGTATTCGGATCTACACGGAGTTTTCGTACAAAATATGCAGCAAAAGCCAGGTGATCCAGTAATTTATTGATCAGGCATTACGTCACGGCCGATAAATGGATCCCGAAATCGAGAGAGACTCCACAGTCGAATTTGTCATCCAGATGCTGTAGCTACCATCTTGGGTATGAGGCACGGCGAATGAGCGGTAGTATGTTCTTCTCAGGCAGAGCGACATTTGATCTGGAATATGGATGAGATTTCTGTATACCCAAGTCTAGACCTTGAGATATGCATTGAATTAACGATATGATAGATCAGTTTTCAGCCGTGGATGCAGAGAACGGCTTGAAGCTACTGTACGCACTCCGCACTCTATCAACTTTTGATCAGTGACACTGCTCCTTCTGGATAAAGCACTGCCAATTCGCGAGGACATTTACCATAATCATGTAGCACCCTATCCAGCATGCACCGTCCATAGTTACGGAGAATCTACAGCCTCTATGCGTGGCTGGGAAGTTGGCAACTTGGATGTCCAGCAGAAAAGCTTAACAGGCCCGGGGAGACGGATCGCTTTTGCTAGCGCCCGAAGCCAATGCACAGTAATCGATCTCGTCAAGCTGTCAAAAAGAGACAATGTGATGAGTGATTTATACGTGGTTGATAATTTACGTGTCTGCATGTCAATGGACTTTGTTACATTGACTTTCTGGAGTAGAGAATTGTTGCGACTTATCACCAAATAGATTTTTCACTGGCCCCATATAGCGAGGTAGAATCAAGTTTGAGTAGCTAGATGAGACGAATTGGATATGTCCAACATTACAGAGGTAATATGTTGTTAGATGCTTCTCCAGCACTTATATACGTAGTAATTTTTCAATGACTCGGATCCAGGTACTACTTGTCCAGACTCGAGTGTGCATCGAGTAACCGAGTTGGAACAGAAAACAAGTATCACGAAAGCCCCGCTCAAAACGCCCTTATTGGTCGGTTCTTAGCCGAGAAAAGCGGGAAAAAGGGGCTCACTCCCATTTCCCACATGCTGATTGGCTATAAGGAAGCCATTATTACCAGAATAAGTCTAGCGGTCTCACTTCCCATTAGACGCTAACTGTAAAGCGTTAAACCAAAATAGACGTCTTTGTCGTATGATGCGCACTTAACTACTTAGTCCATATTTGCTCGTCTTAACGTCTTTGAATTCTTATAGATCCGACTTTTATAGCTGCAAGTGCGAAGAGACTCGTGCCCGATAGGATAACGGCTACTCTCCTTTTGTCTCCTTTGTATTCTTTCATGCGATATAGCACTTTCCTTTCTTGAATACAATTACGCATCCGAATGGGTTGGGCAGGGATACGACCTCCGAATCCTTACAATCCTTTGATATTCATATTTTGTTTTTTATAAATATCTCCGCTGCCTCTCGCTCGTATACGCAAACGTATAGTATATATGATCCAATTGCTCATACGCGCTTCTCTATAAACATTTTGATTATACGTGCGTATCGCGTGATATTCAGAAAAACCGAATCGCAAGAGTCATCCGACAAACGCACACACATTGATTTCGGGGTTGCAGTGTGGATAGAATGGCCGACAAGATATCGATAACAATATGCGGAGATGGTGGATGCGGTATGCGATAGGCAGCAAAACTGGCAGATGTATTGATTGACTCATACTGGTATAGGAAAATCTTCAATCACATTGCGCCTTGTGCGCAGTCAATGGATGCATGAGTAAGTTTTTCGAGTCTTCATGCACAAGCGAAGCATTACATCCGGCTGACTTGATTGACCAATTGACTAGATATGACCCTACGATTGGTACGATTCTATAGTAAACTCATGACTCGACTACCCCCCGACTAATGCTTTCACCAGAGGACTCGTACTCCGTAACTCGCAACATCGACGGTACCGATTACTTCCTATCCATCACCGATACCGCGGGCCAAGAGGAATATCGCGGACTTTGGGCAGCATCCAACCTCAAGTCAGACGCCTTCCTGCTCGTATACGACATTACCCATAAGCCAAGTCTCGAAGCTCTTGATTATTTTATGGATATGATTGATATTGAAGCCGAACAGCGGCTAGAAGACAACCAGCGTATTATGAAGGAACTGGGTAACGACGCTCGGAATCTTCAAGTGGGCATGCCGCCGCCAGTTAAGATTGTGGCCGGCAACAAATGTGATCTTAAAGATGCTAGAGCAATTTCAGCTCGGGACGGTCTGGAATATGCTCGCAAACATGGATGTGGATTTATGGAGACTAGTGCCAGGGAAATAGTCAACATTGAGGAAACATTTGCGCGTATGTGCCGGCAACCCTATTTGTTTCGGTGCGTTCAGTTTACTAACATATCCTGTCTATAGTGATTGTTCGACGTGTAGTTGAGGCCCGAAGGCTACATTACCAAGCGCAACAGCTCGAAGCTCGAATGGGCTCTTCTACTGCTCGCACACCGGCATTGACTGTCAGCGAACGGCAAGCGACTGACCAACAATCCAAAGACGAGCGAAGTCGACACGGGGGATTCTCTTTCTTTAACAGTAAGAAGGACCCATCGAGAAGGGTATCGTTCGCCACAGATACAACTAAGAAGGAAGGACGCGAACAGAACAAACCATCTAGGAATGAAGGGGATGAATATGAGTCTCCCAGTTGGTGGAGGCGTCTTATCTGCGTATAATCTCTGATATGATCTATGCTTCTTTTCTTTCTTTAGCTGTTTACGCCTCCTTGGACTGCTTGGAATACCCCTTTTGTTGATATCTTGCCCTTATGTATAATAGCATGCCAACTATACCAATAATGAAACATTTGATATCCCTTTTTTGAATTTCGAGTCCCGATAGTGCCTGAGGCCAGCCATATGCATACTAGTTAGTCTACCGCGGCCAGGTCAACGGGCAAGTGGGGCCACCTGCCGTGTGGAGAAAACAAACAACATTCGACGACGGAATACTCCGTGAATGACAACAAGTCGCGATGACTTCGACCAGACATTAATGAGTGAGAAGACGATTTGACTCACTGGAAATCTAGTGACTCTTTTCTAGGGCTCTACCTTTCTAATTTCTCGGAGAGCGCGAGAATGGAGGAAGAACAGCAGACCACGGATCATCATCACGGCGACGAAGCCATGATGTCGCTACAAAATACGTCGCACGAAACCAATGTATCTTCAATTGCAGCTAATGAAGTCTCCCGTACCCAAGAAGGAAATGAAGAATACTCGGAGCTACCTCCGCCAAATGACCCCAATGCCGACGATTCAAGAACAGATGAGAGCATACTCCACCATTCGCTAGACATCGACCACGAGGACGAAGACGACAACGACGCCCATCGACCAAATAATCAGACAATTTTAGAGGAGAAAGAAATGCGAAGAAAACTTCAGGATATTGAATCAAGCTTTTTGCCAGAACCGTCTACGATCGAAATGGCGCGCACTGAAAATCTAGGCGCTGACGACACATACCTCGTTGGCGTACCCATGGAGAATAGAGAGCATGAAGAAGAAGTGTCTTACAACCCGGACATGTCGCGGATACAAGAAGAAAGTTCCATCACCGAGTTACCTCGTATAGTCACACACGATGAAACGGGCGAACAGATTTACCATGTGGATCCTACAACAACGCCAGCGACGGATCGAGAGTCGGAACTCAATACGTCGGCACTGGAAACGTTAAACTCATCTCCCACTGCGGCGGCTGCGGAGCGAACAATATCTCGCGCGCTATCTAACGTGTCTAGAAATGCTCAAGACAGCGCTTTCGAGGACTCCGCTGACCTTCACCGCAGCTTAACCCCTAGAAAAAGTAGACGCAACTTATCACCGGCTTTGTCTGACACGAGGCGGTCGCGGGAGGCATTTGTGGATAGTAATGAAGAAGATAGCAAGCTCGCAGGTTCTCAAGCGGATCGCAAGCGGTCTCGCCCTAAGTATTTGAGTAGCCGGCAATCATCGCATCGGTATTCTGCATCATCGATCACGAGCACCAACACAGAGACAACAACTAGTGAAGCAACCCTAGGTGCGGACTATGCATTACAGTCAGGCGGAGCCGTCCCTTCGAGAGGAAGCACGGGAAGGAAAGACTTGTCGCGGACGATTAGTCTAGGTAGTATGGCTTCTGGGGTATCGGCACTTAGCGAAGAGAATGTCCTTGACCGACGCGTCCTTAGCGGTGCGACTGATGGCGGCCTACATACTCTTGACGAAGAGGACCCAGGCTCTATACACCCTAAAGATTTAGACGAAAATGTTCCGGTGACGCCAAGGGCCGGATCCAGGGACCTCAATTTACCGATGGATACAGTGGTCGCGCAACATGTTCAGGATATACAGGTGCCTGGTACCTTTGCTCGAGAATTTCATGCCAAATTTTCGACAAACAGTATGTCTCCTGATAGGCGACCCGGCGCTCCAACTCCGGCTTTCGGGCGAAGTGGCAAGAGCATGACCCTGAAGGAGCAGAGTAGTACTATTGACCGACTTTCGAAAGAGAACTTTGACTTGAAAATGAGAATTCATTTCTTGAATGAGGCCTTGAATAAACGGTCAGAAGAAGGTATCAAAGAGATGGTTTCGGAAAATGTCGAGTTGAAATCGGACAATATCAAACTACAAAAGGAGATCCAGGGGATGAAACGTACAATCAGAAACCTGGAGAAGCAACTCAAAGACAGCCAATCTAGCAAAGATGCAGGTGGGGACACGGAAGTGGAGACAAGCGAAGACGATAAGCGGAATGATGTCGAAGAGGAGGAGTTGATATACCTTAGGGAGCGAATTGAGACATATCAGGTTGAGATTGAGAGGCTGCGAAGCGAGAGTATTGTGCGGGAAAGCGAGAAGCGCCGACTGGCCGAAATTGTTAAGTCTATGGGAGAGAACCGACCAACCGACTCAGAAGCTGGCGCAAGAGAGGAGAGAGTATGTTACTATGTTTTATTGTTCCAATGCAATGAGACTGACGATTGTTAGGGAATGTGGAAAGATATGCTTGACGCTGAAACAGCCGCTCGTGAGCAAGCCGAAGAGGAGAATCGCAAGCTCCGTGATGAGCTAATGCGTATGAGAGAAGGTAATACCACTGGTTCCGAGGCCGGACGATTTGGGAGAACCGTACGCAAAGGCTCTTTTATATCGCATTCCACGACATCTGAGAGAGATCACGACCGCCGGCTAACAGTCCCAAGCTCCACGAGCAGTACTCTTCTTGAAATTGAGCTGCTGAAGAAAGAGAATGCTGAACTGCGCAGAGAAGTCAGTGTGCAAACTTCGATGCTTACTTCTCGCAATAGAGAGAAAGAGCGACTGTATCAAGAGATTGAAGATCTCAAGCTTCAACGTCGCGATGGTGGAAGGTCTGTTGCTGGTGATAGTATCTTTGAACGGTCAGCCTCGCGTGCGCATGCTCGTTCGTCTTCTAGAGCAAGCAATGGCACAAGAGAATCTCGCATGAGTGATACAGAACGCGAATCTTTAGAAGTACGTAATGGCGAATTACGCGACCAAGTCTCCGCCCTCAAGCTTGAAAATCAAAGTCTGCGAAGCCAGTTGGATGAATACATAGCTGAATATGAGGCGCTGGACAAGGCATATCAAGCCGATGTAGACCAAGCCGATGAAGACATGCAAATGCTCCAGCAAGAGCGCGACCAGGCTTTGCAAGTGGCTGAACACCGTGCGCTTGAATTACAGGATCTGAAGGAAGAGGCGCAAGAAGAGATTGATACACTCGGTGATGAACTCGATCAGAAGGTGGACGAGTGTAATCGCATGGAGATGACTCTCCGAACTCAGGAGGAGAATCTCAAGACCTTACAGGCTGAGATGAGGTCCGCCAGTGAAGGAATTCTCCGGCTTGAAGAGGATGCGCAAAGCAATCTTCGAAAATTTAAGCAAGTGCAGCAAGAGCTAGAAGACTCGAATAGGGAGATTGAATCATTGGAGAAGAGTCTCTTTGAGGCGAATGGAAAAGTCCAGAGATTGACTGTTCAGATTGAGTCCAGTCAGGGTGAGATTACATTCTTACGCGAAGAGCAAGACGCAGACAAGATTCGCATTAGTGAACTTGACTCGGAGCTTAAGACCTACCAAGTCAACCTGCAAGTTGAGAAAGAAAAGGCCAAGGAGCTAGAGACACGGCTAGCAGAAGAAAGACATCAACGCGAAGTGGTTGGCAGCAAGGAGAAGCAGGAAGTACAGCGTATTATGAATGATCTCAACCGGGAAGCTTCAGCAGCCAAAGACGAAATTCGAAGATTGAAGAAGACGCTCTCCACGCGGGAAATCGAGGCAGCCACATGGAAGGAACGCCTGATGGAACTTGAAAACGGCTTACGAGAAGCTCTAGGAGACTTGAACGGCACGCGGTCCAGTCTTCTCAACTCGATTATCAAACTTCAGAAAGAGCTTGAATCAAAGTCTCTCGATTTAGAAAGCACTCGATCTAAGCTTGATGAGAAAGAATCACTTTTACAAAGTCGCGAGGCGTTGCTGGAGAGTCACGGACTCGAGTCTCGCAAGCTTGCAGATCTTTTGGATCGCGAACGACATGCCCGCCGAGCTGATAAGAATTCATTTGACCAGGCTTTGAAATCCCAACAACAGGCATCCAGAACAATCTCCCAACATAATTCTCGCATTAGCGATCTGGAAAGCGCAAGGAATCAGGACCGAAAGCGGTTTGCAAGTCTGGAACAACAGTTGAAGGACCAACTCAGTGAACGCAACGCACTCTTCTTGACTCTTTGGAAGAGACTGTCGGCAATGTGCGGGCCTGACTGGGCGCATAGCAACAGCCTGATCAACGGCAATCTGCCCAGTGTAGAGGTCATTGGCAATATACTGTTCTGGCCGGGTTTCAGTCGCAATCTCCTCCTCTCAGTCAAGACTGTTGAGAACATGCTCTCCGGCTTTAAGACGCGCATTAGAACAATCGAACGTGATTTGACAAAGGAATACCAGTCTTTGGAGCACAATTTCGGCATTCGAGTTAAAAAGCTTGAACGCCTGGAAGAAGCTGTCCGGAATATTCGCAGCCAGCAGCGAGCCGCCGCTGTTTCACCTGAAGTAACTAAACTCCGAGGCGAAGTTCGGTTCTTGAAAGCGGAACTGAATTTGATGCAATCCAACCCCAGCAGTCGACGGACAGGTTCTAATCTCAGTCATGCTACTACTGCTGTAGAGCAGGATCCTCTACCTTCACCTACCCGTACGCAGTCGACGTTGGTACGCTCAGATTCGCGCAGCAAGAAAGGAACAGTTTCTCGGGGGTCCGGCACTACACTTGTAGAAACATCCTCGACCTCTACATCTTCGCAACGCAACACTAGAGATTCAGAGCAGGACAACGTCATGATCCAACGCCTACGAGAGTTAGAACGCAGACTAAAATCCGAGCGAGTAGCAAGACTAGCAGACCGTGACGGAGCACGCAAACGTCTCGAGGAACGGGACGCAGAAAACGAAGAACTTCGCGCCGAACTTGAGCGAGAGCGAATGCGTCGAAGTGCGCGAGGAGCACTGGAAGCACCGTCCGCATCTCTGGGTCGGAGTAACAGTTCGAGAAAGACGTCAAGAACCTTGGTGGTAGAGTCGGGGCCGCCAACGTCTTCTGGGGAGGATGATAAGCGTACGTTTGGGAGTGATAATGAGGATACGGATGCTCATAGTTCTTATGGAGAGGGTATTACCGTTGATATTGAAATGTGATTTTGCTCGGATGGATGATGTTTTGTCGGTATGGTTATTGCTCTAAGCTTATGCATGTACACGGCTACGACTGATGATGAGTAGCATGGGAGGTGTTTCGGTTTTGTCTTTTGTTCTGATTATCATAATATAGGAGTTGTAATATATCATGCAGTTTTAGTATCGGTCTTAATATGATACATTCTGTCTAATCCATCTTCTCTGCACTTGCGAGTTAGGATTATCTCAACGAAACCTTCAACGAAAAATCTACGATACTCGTCCCCTGATGAATCGAACTCGTCGACAAAATATCCACATCCTCACACACGAACCCCGCTGCATTTTCAGGCGTCAACCCACCACTAACTTCAATCAAAAAAGTTCCTTTCGGTTTCCCCTTTGTCGCCCATTCAGTCTTGAGCTGCGTTGCCGCGATTTTCACTTGCTCCGATGTGAAATTGTCAAGCATAATCACATCAGCATCGGCACTAATAGCGGCATTCGCTTCTTCGATACTGCGTACTTCGACTTCGACCTTTGTCGAGAATCCGCCTGCTGATTTGGCGGCTTGTACTGCCGCGGGGATGGCGGCTGCGATTGCGTCTTCGCTTACTCCTGCTGCCGTGCCAGTTCCAGTGGTTGTGGCATTGCTGGCGTTATTAGCACAAGCCCAGACGTGGTTATCCTTTAGCATGATCATGGAACTTAGATCGTGGCGATGAGGGTCTGCGCCTCCGACTAGGATGCCGTATTTTTCGACCAGACGGAAACCCGGGGTTGTTTTGCGGGTGCCTGCTAGTGTGCCATTCCAGCCGTGGGAGCGGAGGCTTTGGAGGAGGGAGGACGTTCTATCATGTTTAGCATGTGAATATTAAGGATAGGATAGCGAGGGGACAGACTTGGTGGCTATGCCCGAACAACGAGCAAGAGTGTTCAATGCTACTCTTTCTCCGAGGAGGATTTTGCGAACTGGACCGCGGACAGTGGCGCATTTTTTGATGGGTGTAATTCTCTCGCCTTCTTGGACGTGCCATTCCACTCTATGCAGACGATTAATATCTCTTGGATGTCATTTCATATACTCAATGGATGACGTACGTGCATCCCAATTGCGAGAATACTTCATTGAAGAAAGGGACGCCAGCAACCACGCCCTATCCAAGAGGGTTAGCAACAATTCAATTCAAATACTTGGTTGGAGGTTGATATACCGGACTCTTCCCCAACAGTCTAGCTTCTCCCTCAGATTCACCGACGACAAAACCGCCGTAATCGAAACTGGGACAGTCTTCTTCCAGCCATTCTGATATCAGACGTTTGTAGTTGAGGGGTAAGAGATGGCCCAGATTTCCGTGTGCAGATGCCATTTTCAATCTTCAATATGGACTTTATCAGACGACGATTTCCTAGTTGTGAGTCAGTGATGGACGTGATATGTTCGGTCATAAAGATATAACGGACCTATACGATGCCGACGTCAAGTTAACCCCGTTCGACTAATAAGCAGCTGGTTAAAGAACGAATTCCACCTAAACAATAAAAGAAGAAGAACTTAAAGACTCGATATTCCATCTACCGTGAGGTGATACCGGAGTCAATAATCGGCAATCGGATATTCGCGGGATGAGAAAAGTTGGAGAAATCGTTGCCTGAGAATTAAGGGTGATGCGGGGTAGACCGGATTTCTTTTGCTCACTCAAACATTTGTCACTCTGTATGCATATTTTTTCGAGGGATGTCTTGCTATTGCTACATGGGTAGATCAGAGATGCTAATTTGAGAATTTCAACATGTTTACAATCGTGCCTTAAAAGAATAGTGGTATCTCTGGTGAAAAGCACATGACCGAGTTGGAGCCTCGTAACCCTAACTCTTGCAAGCTTCAGAGATACATTGCTTGGTTCTACAATGAATTGCTTTGCGCCAACATAGCAAGTGAAGAGGTAAGCAATATACAATTACAATAACCAACCAGCCTCTATTTTGACTATATCAACTCTAAACTCCCAAAGCCTCAACAACAGCTTCAGTTGTAAAAACATCCGCAAACTCTTCGCTCAAACTCGCAACTGACACAGCATGAACCGTTTCCGCATCAAACTCCCCTTTGGCAAAAGTAGCAGTAGCATCAGCCACAAGTACAACACGACCACGCTCAATACGGATACCCTCCGGAAGAGAGCCGTCTGAATTGACCGTTACTTGATCCGTTTTCTTTCCTTGGACTGATATAGAATCGACCACATGCAGGTTCGCAGCCATTCGGGTCGTAGTTGAGACACAATGGTCAGTAGTCAAACCAGCGAAAAACACCTGTCGTACACCATGTTCCCTTAAGAAAGATTCCAACCCCGTGCCGATAAAAGATGAGTTGGCACTTTTCCAAAACACGGGCTCGGATCCATCAGATGCTGGAACCGCAAAGTCCAACGGTTTGATCTGATCCGTTTTGCTATGGTGGAGTTGTGATCCCGGTTCAAGCGAGGAATGGAAGATATGAATAATGTAAATGGGAACTGCTGGTTTGCGTTGACGGGCAGCGCGGAAGACCTTTAGTAATGCTGAAAGATTCTTTTCAAAGGATGGATTGGAGCGTGACGGGCCCCAATGCGTTGGGTGGTTGAAGGCGAATTGGTTGTCTATGAGCACCAGGGCAGAGGGCTCCGTGAAGGTCAGAGGTGGCATGGTGTTGCTAATATTCTGTCTGTCTCTTCTGCTCTGCTTTCTCTCTGAAAGGGGGCAAAGCCCAAGATTTACTCATGCTTTTTCAATTATAAATCAGTTCAGCTTGGTCAGCCACAGTGAGTCATTACGACTGGCCAAGGTCTCACGCCATCTGTTTGCGCTTTTAGAATTTGAGGAGTTAGTCAATCATTCAGCCAAAAAAGAAAAAAGAAAAGAATAGGAAAAGAAAGGGGAGCGATAAATGGGCAATCGTTGACTGGAGTAGTTGTAGATAGTCCAAGCTTCTTGCTATTACGTACATGGCTAGCTGGGTCCTAGCTTTCCGCTGACATATTGCGACAGTCATCATTTCTCTCTCAACATCAGTGAAGCTGACCATACCTACATACCCTCCTACCTATACGCGGTACTCTATATTTCTCATAATAAAGATAAACCTCCAAATAAAATCACTGCCATAATTGGCAATTGACATGTTTGGCACCTGCGGCCGTTGCGTCGCCTCGGCGATACAGCTCACATCTCGACAACACCGGGTTTTATCTAACCATACACTAATATTTGCGCAAACTAGCTTGAAAGGGAGCTCAATCTATGGGTTACATGCTTTGGATTATTCAATCGGTCATATCAGCTGCCGACGACATGCTTCATCAGCTTCAGACAAGAAAAAGAACCCATCAGCTGTGAAAACAGCCTCATCCTCAAACCCGACATCATCACTCACAAACAATGTCAACCCACCGTTGACCACACTCCCAGCCGATCTCGACCTCCCTAACAACACATCCTCCTCGTCCGAACACATCACGAAGAAAGTCTCCCGCTACATCTCAATCGGCCGCGCGTACCTGGGATTCTATAAAACAGGACTGAAAAATGTCTATCTCAATTACAAATCGTGCCTCCCAATTCGGCGCGAACTCGGTCTTTCATCATACATCCCTACCTCACCACCCACTTCACCACGAACCCCATCATCAGGCGCGACCTCACTCAGCACGGCCCTCGAGACCTTACACATAACCCGCGCCGAATACCAGCTGGTCCGCCGCGCCACCTACGACGTCCACCGCATAATCCCCTTCGGACTTCTGCTTCTCATTTGCGGCGAATTCACCCCATTAATCGTTGTCGCAATCGGCGATGCCGTGACACCGTATACCTGCCGGGTACCCAAACAAATCGAAAAGACACGCGCAAAGCGTCTACAACTCAAAAAAGCCGCCTTTGCGGCTGTGCAGGGTGGATTGGGATCTATGAAACCGGTCCCCACAGGGTCGGCGGAGGAAATGACCTGGTTAGCGGAACAGTTTGGGTCGATTGAGTTTGTGACGAGGGCCTCGGCGGAGCAGGTGATTCGTGCGTGTGCTGCGTTTGGGCTTGTGAAGTCGATTGATAGGAGTACGGGTTGGGTGCCGGTGATTTATAGGTCGAGGCTGAGGAAGTGGAACGAGTATTTGGCGTTGGATGATGGGTTGATTGTGAAAGGGGGAGGGGTGGGTGCGTTGAGTGCGCGGGAGATTAGGCTTGCGATTGATGAGAGGGGTGGTGTGGGTGTTGGTGCTGATGCGCGGTCGGAGGAGGTGAGAGAGAAGGAGGAGAGGAAGTGGTTGATTGAGTGGTTGAAGAGGAGGTCTTTTGTATAAGAGAAGCGATCTGTATTATATTGTAGACTAGATAGACTAGAAAAGTGACATATAAAAGATACCGAGATCTGGGTATACGTATAATACATATGTACAGAGGTAAAGTCACAAACTAAACATACTCTTCCTCCTCACCAACTCCCCAAAATCAGCACGCAACACCTGTCCCAGCACATTCCCACCACTCCACCTCTCCAATGCCATCTGCAGATCAGTATACAACCCCGAAAACGTCTCCTGCAACTCCGTCGTCCTCAAACATCTCAATCCGGCATCATTCAAATAATTAGTCGGGTCTTGAATACATAGATGCCTGGCCGCTGGGAGGTTTGCTTTGTTGCTTGCATTGATCTTATACCGCATTAAGGCGCGTTGGCCGATAAGGTAGGCGGGATACGTCGTTTTATTACTACTGATTGACCTTTCATGTTCGCGGATGGTGGATGGAGTAAAGAATTCAGCTGGACTGACTGAAATTCCTGTGATGCTTAGATTGATTTGCGTGCCGTACGTATGTAGGAAGGAGAGTAGTTGTTCCCCTAGTCTCTGGCAGTCTGTATTTTGTCGCAAGAAAGACGTGATGAGTAGAAAGAGGGAGTAAGAATCTAGGGAGGCTGCTCCCCATCCAAAGAGGGCTTTGCTTTCGAGAAGGACTCTCGTCACCATGTATAATGGTAGTATAGATGGAAGTTCAGCTAGAGTATTTCGCATGAAATCATCGGATCTCGGCGAATTGGTTCGGCAGAATAGTCTTATTGACAGATCCGAAGTTTTGTGGGACATTACCAGTGCAGGGCTCTTGTCGTGAATGACGTGACAGTGATTGAAGGTATCACTGTTCTTCATCGCAAGCTCAGCCCGGGTTATAACGTCGGCGAATGATTTGCTTATCCGTGGATTCATGGGAGCCGGTTTGTGATGTGGAGAATCCGGAGCATGAGTATGTGGTACGAGAATCATGAGATCGACTGTCGAGTTGCTGGATGCAAGTTGTGTAGGTCGTGAGCCCACAAGTTGTGGTGAAGATGGTACAACTCCCTGAAGCTGGGACGATACATCATCCACAATTTCGTTGACGACTGCTTGCTCTGTATCTGAGGGCTTGAGATACTCCGCCAAAGCTGAGATCTCGTTGTTCAAGGTCGATCGTGCATTTATTTTCCATCTTTCTGATCGTTGAATAAATCCAAGCCATGGCTGTTGTGCAAGTCCATCTTGCAGCGGAGCAACCCATGGAACATGACTAGGCTTGTGTATCACTGTTGACGGACGCTTCGACTTGATTTGCTTAGAAGGTTTGGCTTTTGTCAACCCTTCGGTTATAGGCTCATTAGCCTCCAATCTCGCATCTCTCACAGTATCCTGAACCCCTTCAACAGGTTCATTATAAACCTTACGAATCAACCTCTCCCGATTAACCGTCCTTTGCGCCTCGAGCGTTTTTTTCAGACTATTTCTAATAACCGGGTATCGTGTTCTGCGGTTAATCAAAGGAACGATTCGTTGCGAAGAATAACCTCGTCGTAGATTAATCGTAGGCGTGGATGTCGAAAAAAATAATGATCTTCCATTCCCTCGATCGCACAGGAGCGATCGAGAATCACCCAATGCGAGGCATTGCAATGAATGAGTTTGCCGCCCAAAGCGCATATGATGCCGATGCCGATGGTGTTGGGTTAGGTTTGGGGGTGCTTCTATCAATGCTGGTGTGAATGGTTTGTGCTTGAGAGGTTTTGAGGTTGAAGGGAAGCTCTGATAAGATAAACGTTTCTATTGGCGCACGACGCACGTGATTGTAGTAGGTAGGGTTAGGGTTGATAATAGCCCTAATTTGCAAAGCCTCTTCCAATCATGAATAAATAGATTTATAACCCCACTGACGTGTTGGTATCACCTTAAGACTGCATTTGTATTCAAATAGAGTTGGGACGTTGGGTATTCAGATCCTACAGATCGCTGGTGCCTGGAGCTGACACGAGCATATAACTACTACAGGCGTTGCCGTCTTTATTCTATATCTCCCAGCTGCAAATTCATAATGACACTCCCCAAATTCCTTGTCCTCTGCATCGATCATGGAGACATTGAGATCCTCCATCAAACCCTCCAAAAATCATGGCCCACCCACCACCAATCTGTAAACATAACCACCATCCACGAGAATCTCCGCAAGCTTTCCCCGGAAACCTATAAATTCGACCTAATGGTCTCCCCCGCGAACTCCTACGGCATCATGGACGGCGGCTTCGACGATGCCATATCACGCAGTTTCTGTCTACCGCACCATGATTATCGCGCATTGACAAATGTTGCGCAACAAAAGCTGTACGAACAGTGGCGCGGGTTTGCGCCACCGGGTACGTGTACGTTGGTTAGCCTGCCGTCTGAACTGCGCGAAACGAATCGATGGGGTTGCAAGTATTTGGCGATTTGTCCGACGATGAGGACGCCTGGTGACGCGCGGTGGGATAGGGAGGTTGTGTACGAGTGTGTGTGGAGTTTGATGTGTGAGGTTGATCGATGGAACAGGAACGTTGATCGCGATCATGGGGATGAGAGCACGATTGATACGATATTGATTACACCGCTGGCTACGGGAACTGGAGGTGTGAGTAGAGAGAAATGGGCATTACAGTTTGTGCTTGCCTTGAAGCATTTTGTGGATGCCCTGGAGAGACCTGATCGGTGGAGTAGATTGAAGTGGGAAGACTTGCAAGAAGTCAAGAAGGTTCAGAAGACGTGGCAGACGTGATTCTTTCTTTTCTAGAAATTAACTACAAATGGCATACAAGATTATTCTCGTCCTCAACTCTCTCGTCTAGTTCTGCGGGCTTTTCGTCGGTGTCGTTGGGCCAGATGTCGTGATAGAGGGCTCGTGTTGGAACCCAGTCCTCATCATCATTCCAGATCCCATCAGAACTGCGCCAACTATGTTAGATGACCCTCTTTTTGTTGGCGCGTACTTACCGAAGATGAAACGTATTCGGCGCCAGACGATACGCCCTCAACAATATACAACTAACAACAAGATCATACCCGCGCTTCGCGGTCTTGCAGAAATTATCCGGGTCACTCTCCTTCAAGACAAAATCTTCACAATACTCGTCGTTGTTACCATTGATACAGAGCCCTTCATTGACATCGACGACGGGGGGATTGGGGACCTCCCTTCCTGCTTCGAGAGTATCCGACGCAGGACCGGAAACTGGCACGTCAGCAGCGTCGATTATCTTGATAGCATCCTGGATGAGTTGTGGCCAGGCGGATTGCCATTCCGGGGAAGACCACTGATCGACTGCGTAGTAATGCGTGTAGCTATATAGTAGTCTTAGTCTCTCAACGAGCAATCGATTGCCTGTCCTGATCTTACCCCATTTTCAGATCTTCAGCGTGTTGATCATAGTCTGGGGTAAGAGAGCGAAGACTTGCGAGAGACAGTCTTTGATTACCATCATGGCACGCCACTGTGCCACTTGCCATCTCCATCTTGAAAGAGGCAAGCGTAGCATGTGATCGCCGAAACGTTATTCCGATGATCGACCGTTAATTCCGAAGATCCGCACGTGATTGCTGCAAGTGTTTCTTCTCCCTCTTTTTATTTTCTCACTGACATACGGTTTATCCCGAGCCATTTCAATCTGCTCTCTCATTCGCATACCAGTCAGGACAGTCGTGGTCGTGATCCATCAGGTAAGGTACGAGCGCAGCAACGTCACCTCTCGCGAGAACCTGCTGGATCCACTGGAACGTCAGGGCTCCGTCAAATTCTTGTATCTTGGTAGGACTCGATCTTGCGATTCATTTGTGTCTGGCTACTCTGTAGAGAGTCAGATATCTGATAGATCAGGAGGGGTAGAATCAGTCGCCTACAGTATACATCACACACATCGTGAATCATCAGATCAAAAGTAGCTCCGGGCATGTTAGGCGATTGGACTGGAACAGAATGCCATATGTTAACTAAGCAAAGCATAATCTTATGTGACTTAACGAGGATAGACTCAATTCACCGCTCTAGCATCTTCTACCAGGCCAGGAACTAGCCCCGCAGCGACAACAACGCATTTAATTAATTTAATTTGTATGATCTGTGCTCCTCTGAGAATCTGCTTGTCTGGAACGTGACAGAAGAAGAACAATCAAGAAATCATATCAGGCTGGCCTCCCGCTATTTCCTATCTAGTACGTAAGGTGCCCTGCCCCTCCAGTCCGCGAACGTTGCTTCTACACTTCACTACACTGCTCTTCGTTCTCCTCGAGTCCAATGCATTCGCATTAGTATACTTATTTTTAAAATTTTACACGGGTCTTTTTCCTTTTCTGTCTTGTCTTTATTTTCTTCACTTTTACCGTGATTGGCCGTGTTCCGTTGACTCGACTCTTTGGCAGCTATAGGCTGGTCAGTTAGCTAGCTGCTCTCTCCAGATACCACTACCACCACCACCACCACCACCACCACCATGGCCAGCGAGCAAGGCGCTCCAGACAAAATCCCTCCAAATCAACCGAACCCTGTCATCGTCGGACCGGGATTATCTGCACTCGGTGAAGAAGCATACGTCGATGCCTCGACCGCCACTCCAGCCGTCGTCCCAGCGACCACCACCACCGCCAACGCTGACGGGGCAGCAGACTCGTACTTCTCCCAAGTACCGGGTACAGCGACCGCGATCAAGGATGCATACGCAAAATCGCCCATGAGTCCTGCCGATGCCGCATCGGGTGTGACATCGGGTCCCGAATTGCTTCGACGTCTGAGTCTAATGGGCGGCGCTCATCTTACCCCGGCCACTCCTGTGACCGATCCGCGGGCGGACCATCCAGGACTCCAATTGACAGGTCGCATTATCAGTGCGTCGTTGTGTATACCGTACAAGGTCGCACATCAGCCGGGAGCAGACTGGGTAAGAGATGGCACTTATCAGTGAGTTGTCCATGCTAATGCGCGCGCTTATAGGAATTGAGTCCTCGCTCAGGAACATCCGCCTTGTTCGATTCATTTGCTCATCTCGCATCTGATCGGTCGCCGTGGAATCATACGTTAGTGGGCTGGACGGGAGAAGTGGAAGAGATCGTCAGCAAACGAGCACCCTTGCAACCAGTCAGCGCGAACGGCGTACCTACCGCGCCTCTCCCTGTCAACAAAGCATCTGCACCAGTCCCGGTAGACCTTTCTCAGCAGGTTCAATCGCCCGTGGACGGTGTTTTGGTCTCCGCTGCCGACAGAGAACGTCTAGAGAGGCAGTTGAAATCTAGCAAGTATGGCCGTATTCTACCAGTCTGGGCAATACCCGAGTCAGACGAGCCCCAAGACGACATTTTGTTACAAGATCAATCACGTTGGAGGAGATATGCAGAAAGAGAATTGTATCCGCTTTTACACTACAAGCAAAATGGCCCGTCAGACGGACGCTCAGAACGGAAATGGTGGACAGACTACATGCGGTTGAATCGCTTGTTTGCCGATCGCATTGCCGGAACATATCAAGCTGGGGATATCGTATGGATTCACGACTATCATTTGTTCCTTTTGCCGAACCTTTTGCGACAACGGATTCCTAATATATTTATTGGATTTTTCCTTCACTCTCCATTCCCTAGCAGTGAATATATGCGCTGTCTGGCCAAACGGAAAGAAGTGCTTACTGGAGTGCTAGGCGCCAATATGATCGGATTTCAGACCTACTCTTATTCAAGGCATTTCTCATCATGCTGCACCCGGGTCCTCGGATTCGAGTCCAATTCTGCGGGCGTCGATGCATACGGAGCGCACGTTGCGGTGGATGTCTTTGCCACTGGAATTGATGCACAAAATGTACAGCGCGCAGCTTTTGGTTCGGCAGAGACTGAACAGGTCGTCGCAAACATCAAGAAGCTGTACGCAGGCAAGAAGATCATTGTCGGCAGAGACCGATTGGATAGTGTCCGCGGTGTGGCGCAGAAACTGCAAGCCTTTGAAGCGTTTTTGGAGAAGTATCCTCATTGGCACGACAAGGTCGTCCTCATTCAAGTCACGAGCCCCACCAGTATGGAAGAGCAAAAGGAAGATCCCGAGAACAAGATCGGCAGCCAAGTCTCCAGTCTCGTCTCTACAATCAACGGCCGATTCGGATCTTTGAGTTTTACGCCTGTGCAGTACCATCCTCAATACATCTCACCACAAGAATATTTCAGTCTCTTGCGCGTTGCAGATGTCGGTTTGATCACTAGTGTTCGTGACGGTATGAATACGACGAGTTTGGAATATGTGCTTTGCCAGCAGGGCAACCACGGTCCTCTGATTCTGTCCGAATTTTCAGGGACTGCCGCCATGCTCACCAGTGCAATCCACATTAACCCCTGGGATACGAGCGGCGTTGCTGCAGCGATTGACCAGGCGCTCAGCATGAGCGAAAAGGAAAAGGTTGAGCGCCATCAGGTTGCCTATAGACATGTCACATCCAACACGGTGTCGATGTGGTCACAGCATTATCTGAACCGCTTGCTCACGAATCTGTCCTCCTTTGACCAGTCCATCGCCACGCCAGCCTTGGACCGAGCACAAGTCTTGAAGCAGTACCGAAAGGCTAAGAAACGACTGTTCATGTTCGATTACGACGGAACATTGACGCCGATCGTCAAGGACCCACAAGCTGCAATTCCATCCGATCGCGTCCTTAGAAACATCAAGAGTCTAGCGGCAGACCCGAGAAACTCAGTATGGATTATCAGTGGCCGAGACCAGGCATTCCTGGACGAATGGATGGGCCATATCCCCGAGCTCGGGCTGAGCGCCGAACACGGATGTTTCATTCGCAAACCGCGCAGTGACGACTGGGAGAATCTTGCTGCGCAATCCGATATGTCATGGCAAAAGGACGTCATGGATATTTTCCAACATTACACGGAACGCACACAGGGTTCATTCATTGAGCGGAAACGAGTTGCATTGACATGGCATTATCGTCGGGCTGATCCTGAGTACGGCGCATTCCAAGCCAAAGAGTGTCGAAAACATCTTGAGAACACAGTCATGAAGAAATATGATGTTGAAGTGATGGCTGGAAAGGCGAATCTCGAAGTGCGACCTACATTTGTCAATAAAGGGTTCATCGTGACGAGATTATTGAATGAATACGCCAAGGGGGAAGCGCCGGAATTCATGTTCTGCAGTGGTGATGACTTTACCGATGAGGGTACGCTCCTTTCCCTTCTAGCTATCTTATATCGTTACTAACAGAGCATAGATATGTTCCGCGCTTTACGTCACTCGAATCTTCCCCAAGAACACATCTTCTCCGTGACTGTAGGCGCAAGCTCCAAACAGACACTGGCAAGTTGGCACCTTCTCGAGCCGGCAGATGTGATAGCGACAATAGGAATGTTGAATGGGACGTCGATGGGAGCTGAATACTCATAACCTATCCACCCGTCTTTACGAGTCTGATACATAGATATTGAGGAATGAGACGACAGTTATATACACAGTACACGCCGTGAATGACAAGACAACGACCATTGAATTACAGCTTCTTGCTTCTTGAAAACGACTCGGAAAAAGATATAAAAGAGAGACGGAAACGGAATCAATGAAAACGAACTTAATAACTTAGACTAAATCAGTTATGTTATACAGACTGTTCTTGTTTTTTTTTTTTCTTTGCCCCTTTTCTTCCTTATTCTTATTCTTGTTCCATGTTAGATGGGTTTGCTGTCTCTTTCATGACATGTTTGTTCTTGTCTTCATGTATAGATTATGGATAGATGAATGAGGTTTATGCTTGGTATGATAACTATCTTTACGTTGCTGGTGTAGATGACATGAATTTAGTAAGTAGAGGGAATGTCCATTTCGAGGGCAATGTTTGCAAGCTGGCCTACTTGGTTTCGTCGTAGGTACAAGGTAGAACACCGCCTCGATCCTTGGATTACATTACTTACTATGTACTACCTACGTACCGGGTTTCCTCTGATGCTTCTCGACTTTCCCATTCCGTTTTAGTGCTCAACCCCTCGCTGCTCTTACCCACTGAATAGAACTGAGCACACCCTGAGCGCATTGACAAGATTAGTGAGCTTCACATATGCTAGGAAACATCCTTAGTGAGCTGAAGCTGAGCGCTCTGGTTCACTCACTGAGCCGCTGAACTACTTGACCCCCATGACAGCCTCGCTTCTAAAAAGTCTATACCTTTCAACTGGATCAACTGAAGCTTTCTCTTCAGAGATGTACTTGACCCAAAACTAAACCCTACACTAACAATATACTTTGTCTTACGATGATGCATCGTTCGGTCTTTGATGACATTCCATCGCAGTTATGACTATATATGACCTATGCCATATAGTGTTTAGTCTAATTTATTATTCTTGTTTATTTTATCTTGAGAGTTGAGAGCAAGGGATTCTTTGTGTATTGCTCACTAACTGATGCTTTTTGTCCTGGGGAAAAAGGATGAATGAATGAATGATATCAATCGGCATTGTTTGTTATTGATACGGATCGATTCCATATTGGAATAGGGTTAGGGTTATTATTGGGAAGTTCAATGAATCTTTCTATCATTCTCATCCACGACAGAGTTGCTTCCCCTTTGCGAATCAATGCAGCCCTTATTGTATCTGCTACTTCACCACACGTCCGGCCCACAATTAGCACCTTTATAGAGCCACTTGGACCATATAGTGCCTTTCTACATGGGGAAAAGAGACGAGCCCTTTGGCCCTAAAAAGACTGGCACGATCGTCATACAGGTGAAGAGCCGCAAGCGCCCGGTAGAGGTCAGCGATGTTCTCCGAGAGTCGTTTTGGGAAACAGAAGAATCATCCCGCCCCCGTAAGATGCCTGGCAGGCCCAAGAAAGCAGCAAAGGGGGCAAAAGGAGGAGAAGTAGACAATCCTCCCAGAACGATGGCACCAGGGGCAAAACTCCTGTTTATAATATAGGGCATCGACGCGGATACAAGCGGCCCCGGCGCGAAGAAACCCGGCCTTGACGTGTTCATGAGTCAAAGGGATGACCCAATGGTCTGGACTAGGGTAGGTATGGGAGGATGGAATAGGGAAAGACGAGAATGACATGACGAAAATTTGATGTATTGAATGATATCCATGGAATATGTCTTGTTTAGAACAGAAGGCCTCCTTGGACCTAAGTCAATATATCCCGATGTGAGCCCGATTTACAGTGGAAGGGCACCTTTAATAAAATTACCTCCCTAGAAGAGCAATCTAGCAATATAATATTAAAATAAGCTAGAAGTTATTAATTAGGCCAATTAGCATACTGGATCATCTCGTATAGTAGTATGTCCTAGTTAAGTAATGTGACCCAAAATCGACTTCGATATATGTTAAACACCACATTAGAAGAGCAAAATAAAAAGAATCTTTCTATTACATGTTGCTTGGGCTCTTCTCACATCTAAAGGCACATTCTCTACGAACAGCTGAAACACGTGTCAACCCCTATTTCAGATTCGAGTATCTAACTATAGTAGAACCTGCCCAGGTGGTTATAACGAACAGAAGGACTTTCGGGGGCCAAGTCAATATATTTACCTGGGCAGAAGTAAGTTTGATTTACTTAGGGACGAAGGACCCTAAGCACCTACAATATATCGTCTATCAATACTAGTTATAATGAACAGAAGGACTCTCAGGTGCTAAGTCGATCCTCATAGCTAACTCTGGCCGAAAGCCGTACAGGTCCATCCACATCCGCACAACCCTTTGTCTCGGCAATAACCCCCATCAACGTTAATATTAATTACAAAAGATTCGCCCAATTATTATTCCATATCCCCATACAAACAGAAACTATAACTATCATGTTTAATTATAGCTTTCGTGAACCAACCCGAAACAAGGAGGATAAAAGGTACCTTTTATATCCGCCGAGGATGTAAAGTTGCGGAATGGCAGATAAGCCTGAATTGTGTACGAACCTAGACAAAACCTCCTTGAGCTTGAGAATGAAGTAACCGTGTTTATGATCTAGGGGTTGTAATTGACGATATGGTATACGATTGCTCTACGTTTGTCAGTCGGCATCCTGGCGGGGAGACGGTTCTCAGAAACTTCGGGGGCAAAGATTGTTCTTGTAGGTGAGAATCTTAATAAGAAGAATATTGTTGATTGACTGCTTCTGAAAGGGCAATATCATAAAATTCATGGCATGCACTCCAATGCCACGAACAAATGGTTGCCCAAGTTGAGCATTGGAAGCACGAAAGCAGTGGAAAATCCATATGAGAAGCCCAAGACAGAGCATGTTAAGTGTGTAAGGCTTTCTACTCAGCATGATTGAGATGGATATATTATATCATTTTTGACCGAATGTCGCAGCTCCATAGGGATAGGCAAAAATTGAAACAAATTCGCGATTTCCATATCATGTCATAGCATGCTTAGAAAAATGCCGCTGAAAAGTCTAGGTCTCGTATAAATACCTCCCAATCCGTAGAGTTGACTATATCAGGTAAGTTAGTAAGACCATTTGGATTATCATGTTGCAAAGGTCTATCGCCGTTATGAGCTGTACCGTCCGGTGCAAGAGATTGCTGCTGCTGCTGTTGTATCTCAGGGTGGCAACTTTCACCTGCGAGGATGCTCCCCTTCAATACAATGGCTTCCTGTTCCTTCCTACTCAACGATAGACGGACCAACATATCAATCGTCTCGAATGCTTGATGAGATTTCGCAGTTCCAAAATGACAAGCAGTCTTTTTTAGAAGTGTAATCGAATCGCGGACGTGAAACAGGGATTCGGGCGTATCGATTGCCAATAGGATACATGTGAATTGAAAAGGGACGTTGTTGACGTGCCACCAGGGATGATTTGCATCAACGCATCGGCGGGAAGCCTCCAGACCACGACGTCCAAGGCTGATTACGTGTTCAATTACAGTCTTGTTGACACCTAAACCGAGAAGTTGAAGCCGTCGGTAAATGGTAAAGGCTAGAACACTTTGTGAAAGAGTCAATGCGTCAACCCCAAAGTCATAGCTTTCTAATTGTTTCAGACTGTCTTCCAGAACTGTGGCTGGTATATCTTTGTTAGGGTCGAGGTCCTCGGAAAGTTGGAATAGTGATATCATGGCAGAGGTATGATCATTCCCACGATCCTCAACTTTTGGTAGAGGGCAAGATTCTCCATGAAGGATGATCCGGGACCTTCCGTATTCGAACGAAATCCATGTATTCAAGAGCTTCGCAATCCAGAATATTCGTGTCTGTGTCTCCACGTCCCAAGCATGTCCTATGCCAACTGGTAATGGAGTCGCAGTGTCAGCATAAACCAACGAAACCGTACCAGTAGCAGATTCCTGATGTAAACCCATTGCCTCCACAATATGAAGTGAAATGCAACTGGCCATCCATGCCGCGTGTGGAGAACTACTACATCGCAGGTATAGCGTACGCAAGAGCCAACCTGCGGCGTCTTGGAAGGAGGGATTAGCGATAGTGCCAGAAGTTTCAAGTATCTCCTTGGCACATTCGACAAGATGGCGCTCCTGTTCCCAGTTCGCTTGAGGTGAAAACAAGGAACCCAATGCTGCAACACCGCAGAAGACACTGTCATACTCATTGGTGGCGTGCGGGTCTTCCCATCGTCGCTGTGCAGTCGCGTACAGTGATTGCAAGTCTAGAAAGCCGTAGATTGGGTGGACGTGTTGTGCATATACGTTGCATAACACCTTCCACGCACCATATGCCAAAATCCAAGTGACACTTTTCTCGGACCGGCGCGGATTATGGCGGATACCCAAGTTCCAGCCCGGGCAATCCCCATTTTGTGCATTATTTCTGGAGTTCAGTTTCAAGCCGAAAGTACGCGGGAAGACCACTCCCGCGTTTGCTTCCATGTACCGATCGCTGGTAGTAACTGGAGTATTAGTCTCGCTATGATTTTCAACACTGACTGCATTGTCGTTTGTAACTGGTTCCTGAGACGATGTGCCCTGGACATTGACCTGTGGACGCTGCTGTCGTTGGAGTGCTGTCGCAGCCTTCCTTGTTCGAACTGGTCGGTCATAATAGCACTCGTAATCGTAACGAATACAGGAAGCACAGGGACTTTCTCCGTTGCATTTTCGTTTCCGGATTTTGCATGGTGCGCAGGCAAGTCTAGTCCGGCGCCGGTGCACTTGTTCCGACGGGGCACCACGATCCATGATAACTTTTGACTGTATTTTGTAATATTATGTGCAGTTTGAGGAAGTTGTCTGTTCATTTATCCATTTTCTGCCACTTCCGCTCTTTCCGCTTTCTCCGCAGGATCTTACCAAATTTGGTCGACATAGGGTTTAATCGCGGTTAGCCCTAACAGCATAGCCCTAACATTAACGACACGCCCTTTTTGAGGCGAACATGCCTTATTGTACCGTAGTCGGCACTGCGGCGTATCTAAACAAGTTCCATTCTAATTTATCTGTATTCTTAATTTATCTTTATTCACTTCCCTCGCTGCAAAGCTAATTGCAGGGGGTATAATGCATAGATTTCTAAAACAACGTTACGTGGGATACGTTGTTATATATATATGTAGATTCAAGAGGGATCACAATAGTTGAGCATACAAGGTAGGGTATGGAATATCAATGTACTGAAACCTATCTTCCCTGCTTCTGCAGCATGTATTCTATATAAGAGACACTCATATTGTTTCGTGGCGATACGTTGACCATAGCCAGCTGAAGTATCCACACTTTTACCACTCTCTGTTCTCGCATCAAATTTATTGTAACAACGAGATTGAACAGGATGTTGATTGTTACAATTTCCTACTTCAGATTCCAATTTATGCAATGGACAGATCAGATTTAATAGATGCAAATGATATAAATCATTCTGGAGAAAAGACCAAAGCAGCGAACTACCTAGTTGCCTAAAGTACAGCATCGTCACTCCTGTTCAAGGAACGTTTTGACCACGCTTGCGGTTGCCTCTAGATCCTCAAGGACGTGCCAATGGCCCACGCCATCCAGAACCTCCAGTCTTCCATTGGGCAGACGATATAGATATTTCTCCGCTAGCTGCAGCGGTGAGATGGCATCGTCACGCCCTGCCACTACCAATGTCGGCATCCGCAGTGCCTCGACAGAGATTACTGTTTCTGGCGACTTGGCAAGCGCAATGCACCCTTTCGCATAACCCTCCGGATGTGTAGAGACAAGGAACTGCCGTACCGCAGAAAATGCCAGAGGTCGAGTCGCTTTAGTCAATGCTGATGTAGCTCCTGTAGCCACCAACTGAGCTACGCCGGAGGCTTCCATGCCTTGTTCTCGGACAAGAGCAGCGCGTTGTTTGAACATATTCACTGCTAGCTCCGGTAGTGGGGATCCACCTGGACCCAATAGCACGAGTTTGGAAATCATGGAAGGACGCATTTGGGCAAAGTACATGGCAATAAGCCCACCAAGTGACCAGCCAACAATTGTTGCCGAATCAATACTTTTAGCTGAAAGGAGCAATTCTAGATCCGCTGCGAATGTTTTCAAGGTTGCCGTATGTGATGCCCGAGTTGGAGTTAGACCATGTCCTTCAAGATCATACAATATGATACGGTGCCCGCTTTCTTCTAATCCTGCAGCTTGGATTAAGGGCAAGTAGTATTCAAGACTTGCTCCGAGACCGTGAATGAACACAATGGGATCTTTCTTAGTGTTTGCCGTCCCAAGTTCCCGGATATTGATGTAGTTTTTTGGACCAATTTGAGTCAAAGATGTACCTCCCCACGTTCGATCTAGGTTATATATCGGGATATTGGTCTTCTCGAGAGTCTTACTAAGTTGTGGATTCTTGGATGATGGCAGTGAAATCTGATTAGAGAGCTTGCCGAGTCCCGTAACGGCAATCTCGACTATAAAAATGGTAATGAAGGTTGTAACCCCTGTAGAGGTACGAGATCTCACCAATGTCTCCAGGCTGGAGGAACTGGGGCGGACGAAATCCTATCCCAACGCCGTGCGGAGTTCCCGTCGCAATAACATCGCCAGGTTGAAGCGTCATTACGCTAGACAGAACCTCAATAAGGCGAGGAATGCTTGCGACCAGATCGGCGGTTGTTCCATCTTGACGCTTTTCGCCATTGACAAATGTCTGAATGTGGAGCATTGGCAGCCGCTGGGACTGCTACGGGACCCTTTAGTTTTTCATGTCAGTAATCTCCCAAGAACTGGCGTAAAAGTATCATATACCATTGGACAGAAAGTGTCAGGAGACTTTCCAATGAAAAATTGATGGTGATCTCGCTGCTTCTCTCTGGCAGTCACGTCTAATAATCGAGGTGGTTAATACAAGTCATTCATTCAAGTAACCAAGCAGACTGACCGTTGATAATGGTATATCCCCAAACATGCTCCATTGCTTTATCCGCTTGAATATTGAATCCTGTCTTGCCAATAATGACTCCTACTTCTCCTTCATAGTCAATGCTTTGTGTAAATTTTGGATGCGGAAAGATCTCTTCATTGGCAGCAATAACACTCGTACTTCGCTTGGAGAAAACTACCGGTAACGGCACCATAAGATGTCAATATACAGCCATACTCTAGCATGAAATGAAGTAAGTAGTGGATAGTGTACCTTGACTTTCACCATTGTTTCTACTGTATCCACTGTCCCAGTATTCAGTAGCATGCTTCCGATAGTTGACGTCGATACACAGCACGTCCTGGTCTGGAAGAGGGGGCAGCACCTTGACGGAGCTCAGATTAACTGGAGAACCTTCGCCACGAACGACATCTTCCTCTCCCAGTTCGATTACTTCATACAGGTTTTGAAGTGGAGAGCATGAAGACATTGTCAACGGAGAAATTTCATTATTGTTGAAATCGAGATGACCAATTCGTGGTTTCCCAAACTCGTCCACATAAGAAACGTAGTTGAAATTATTCCTTTGCATGAACGCTGCAGAGGTTTGAGCACCCAATGATTGTGGAAGAGAATCAAGAGGTAAAATCTTGTGGATTTAGCCGTTTATCATGATCACATTGAGCTTTGAATGATCCTGCAGAATAGAGATGTCCTGTATCGGATCGCCATCGACCAGAATGCAGTCCGCGTAGTAGCCAGGCAATATCTTGCCCAGCTCATCTTCCTGCATGAAAAGCTTTGCAATACCTGCGGTTGCTGCAATAATCGACTCCATAGGGGTAAATCCGAGCAACCTAACAAAGTGCTCGAGATCTCGAGCATACGTCCCGTGTGGGCACCGAGCAAAGCCATAATCACCACCGGGAAGAATAGTGATACCTCGTCGACGCATCTCTCTCAGAGCCCTAATAGCGACCTCGAGCTCTTTCTTGTATCCCACTTTCTCTGCCTGCTCTAATGTGTATCCATAAGGCTTAGCCTCGTGGACAGTGGTGTACAGCCAATTGATAGCAGGCGCAACAACATGCTTACGCTTCGCTTTCTCCAACATGTCCATTCCTTCATCGTCGATATAGGAGGCATGGTAGATAACATCTACGCCATGTCTCGCACATTGAATAACAGCGTCCCGGGCACGAGCGTGAGAGCAAACTCGCAGCCCGAGACGATGTGCTTCGTCAACACAAGCTGCCGTCTCTTCGTCCTCAGAAAAGCTCTCCTCAGCAGATCGTGATTCCATTATAGCTTCACCGGACATACTCAGCTTGATTTGATCAATGCCTAGCTTTCCATGGTGTCGAATCATCTCGCACATTTCCAACGAGATGACCTGCTTTCCATTTGAGAAGAACCGGTGAATAGGTTTTGGGGATAAATAAGAAGATCGAGACCGTGATAAGACCGGCGATTATGAGGGTGCTCCATTCTGACCAGCGCCAACTAACCAAGGAACTCTGACCGATGAAGGCGCCAACCATTGGTACCAGAAATGGGCCGAGAAAAGACAACGAGCAACAAACCGGAAACGCATATGTTCTGTCGAGTAAATGAAATATGTCGGACATGCTGCCACCGAACGTTGTAAGCGGTGTACATCCGAAAAGTCCAGCGAGAAAACGGAAGGCAGATTGGGCTCCAATATTCGCGGCCAGTCCACTTGCCATGATGAATATCATGAACAACGAAAGAGTCACCAAGTAGACTGGATTTCGGCCAACAGTTTCGAAGAACGGCGCAGCAACTAGTGACCCAAACGCAAAGGCGATCAGATAGAGAGCGATAGTCAATGACTCAGTCACATCGCTGACATGGAATTCTTCTTGAGCTTGTTTGATCACCATGGAGTCTATTGATGAAGCCCAGCCGACGAGAAAGCCTGTCATGCCGACGATGCCCAGTGTCCTCCATTTGTACGCCAGCGACCAATTTTTGGGATTCAGCTGATCATTTTCACTGTCAAATCCAACGACAAAGATCTCCGATTTCCCATTCCCAGGGAGAGAACCAGTGCAGACCACTTCAACACCAGGGACGTGGGCTCTCTGATCGTTTTGCAGAGTCACTAGTGAGGCCAAATTTGATTCGCCATTCTCTAAACTTTCAAACGGTCTTCCAGCGGCTCGTAACGGCCCGTTAGCAATCTGCGATTGCGGAGGTGAATCGCCGGCGGGATTCTGCTTTGGGGGATAGAACTGGATGTTCTTCTCAAGCTCGTGCCTAAGCTGTCGATAGCGAAGAATTGACAACATTCTCGGGGTCGAAAAAACCTAGGGGTATTGTCAAACCTTAAAACAAAGACAATTAGAGGAAACAAGGGAATGTTTGATTACCGACTAACACGCAACAAAGGGTGGAAAGATAGCGTGGCTTAGGGTTTTAAAGTATGAGCCATATCCGCTCAATCCGCTCAATCCGCTCAATCCGCTCAATCCGCTCAATCCGTAACCTCCGCACAGCTTCCGCCTCTGAAGTAACTATCATAGCAGTGCCGCCATGATAACCGCACCATTTGTGGTCTGCGAAGAAATGTTTTATTATTCTTTCAAGATATGGATTACCTATTTAGGGGAGGGAAGTCGAACTATTGGTAATAGTCTAAGGGCTCAAACATCCAAGGCCATTAATAACTAAAACACGAAAACCGACTAAACAGCAGAGACGATCTCCAGGGCTTTCTCATTCCTTGTCTCCAGATATGCCCTCTCCTCACCAGAATTATTTAAAACTTCGTCAACACCATCGCTCTCGGGAATAAATGGGCCGTCCTCATCCACCCCATTTACAGGGAAACAGAGATTCAGCGCCCAAAAGACAAGAAAACTAATAGCTAAGCCCACGAGAAATGTTAGATTGTATAATCTTAGCCACCCAGTCCACTTTCCGGCCCACGAGTTGACGTTTGCTGCGAGGCCGGCTACAATCAACGCCGTTAGTATCCGCGACAAGGACGTTGGAAAAGGAGAATCGCAGAGGGTAAATAACATACGAAGCAGCGGCCACATCCCCATTGTGAAAGCAACAAAACTGCGCCAGTTCACACCAGACCGGAACCAGTATATCGAACTACTGTCGCCGCGATAGAGGTCAGAAAGTTTCAGTCTGTGGCGGCGGATGATGTGGTAATCGGCTAGCATGAGGCCTCTATATCCGCATCAAAGTCAGCGGGTGATACATCAATTTGGATGTGGATAGGGACTCTACGTTGCAGGCGCCATGAAGACACCAAAACCACTGAGGACAACGAGGAATTTATCTGCGGTGGACAGGAGTTGCCACGGTCTGTTTGTAAAGTAGAAGGTCAGTAAATTTTAGTGTCAAACCTGGGTATGTTAATGGACCCTTACTGGACAGCGATTCCGATGATAGCCATGATATAGCTTCCACGTCGGATATTGATATATTTCGGCCACAGACCGGCCATGTCCATTCCACAGCTAACACTGTTGAGGATCACACTGATCTATGGCATCGTTAGCTTGACTACGGCTCTGGCGACAACGATGAGATGACAAACCGAATACTGCGAGGCAACCATTCCCAGACTAGCAAAGAAGACCCCAGCACGCACTCTCGGACTAGAGTGGTAATATTCTTGGATATCCGCAAGGAGATAAACGGGATTCCACTGGATTTCCCCACCCATGACCTTGCTCGACGCGCTAGTCACAATAATCCCCATACTCGCAGTGATAGCGATTGTAGCCGGGCAAGCGACAAGCTGTGAAAGGGTTGGCGCATACCGACGCTTCGAGTAACGAACCCAGTCAGATTGACCGAGAGTTCCTGAGCCCCAGGAGCCAAGGATCGCGGTGATGCCGAACATAAAGGCCCAGCCGGTGTTCGGGGTGGTTCCGGGTTCGTGGAAGAGGTCGCCAGCGCCATGGGCTTGTGAAACGGCCCTATATGTTTCGATCTGTTCAGGGTGGCTTTATTTATGAATAAGAAAGGGGCAAGGTTCAGCCTACCAAGATAGAATGCCGAAGCAGGAGCCGCAGAAGAGAATAAAGCAGGCGAAGAACGGGATCTGGAGCTTCTCTGGTCGGATCAGGACGGCAGGGATGAAGCCACACATCCAGATGACAAGCCCAATGAAGTCATTTGTCTGAAGGTGTGAGCTTGCCGAAAAGAAGTTCTTCATGTGAACAAATCCTGTGATTGTCAGAATTCACTTTCAAATCTTGGGATGAATGAGGGTGTACCAGGAATGATAGCACCAATCATAACTCGCATTGCTTGGCCTCCCCAGAAAGCTTGCATACCAAACCACATGCAAGATACAAAGATTCGAAGGATAACGGGGACTTCCATCACGTCAGTTAGGTATCGCCATGTCTCCACGACTACGTACAGTAGGAACCCCTCATTCCCCAGGAGAAGCGACTAGAGACTGTGAAGCCAATGTGATGTACTTCGCCCATCCATCCACATGCTACAGCAAGTAAGCCAGAGAGAAATCCTCCGATGATCTATGTCGTCCCCATTAGTCCGCCCTAAACACTAGGACAATGAGGTACTCACAACAACCCCGATGGCCTGCTGCGGACTAAGTCCGAAGGAAAGCAGCGTGCTCCCCGTCGACCAAGCTGAGATACAAGACCCAGATACGGTCCAATACCCTGTTTTGCCACTCTGTCAACCAAACGAAAATCCAAAGAAAGGATCCATTACCTACCAAAGTAGGACCAAACGCCATAAGTCCTACGCTCCGATGGAATGGGAATTAAATCACGATTACACCATGTTGTATTCTCGTATTCCGCGTCCTCATCGACCGGACTGAAGCAAATCAAAGTATGATCAGAACCCCTTTTATTCTTCCGGCCTATAGACCACAGTAACAACGGCGATACGAACCATTCAAGCCGGCGTTTAATCTCAGGCCATGACCAAGAATACATCGTGGTCTTGGATACAATAAAGGAGGAAACGAACTGAGATAGACCAGCGATATGTATACAGGAAAAGTCTTAGCAAGGTGATTGACACGCCATAATAAAGACCGAGGAACGCATCAAGCCCCAAGTGATTGTTTTAGAGCTTCTCCGCTTGTCGTGATATTCGCTGTTGGCAGATCTTTACCCTATATAACAAGTGGTTATACAAGGCTACAGAGATAACCAACCTTAATCGGCATGTAGTTGCAGCAAATGAGGGGATTCATAGACTAAAAATGTCGGCCTTGCCTTGGTAATTTGTCTTGACTGGTTGATAACAAGAGTAAGTAGCGGCTCAGCCGAACAATAAGTGACTGATTTTGGAGCAAGTGTCGGAGAGGACGAACTAGATAGGAAATTAATTCGTCCAGGTCTCTTGGTTTAACGAGAAGCAGAAATAACACTTACTATCGCGAAATTCTCTTCTCCACCAAGACATTTACTCTGAATACAGGTGCTGCCATCCCCACTATCGGGCTGGGAACTTGGCAGTCAAAAGAAAACGCCACACGTGACGCAGTGAAACATGCCCTGCAGCATGGATACCGACACATCGATACTGCGCTGAACTACGGAAATGAGAGAGAAGTTGGAGATGGCATCAGGGCCCCAGGAGTGCCTAGAGAGGAGACATGGGTAACCACTAAGTTGGATAACCATTGGCATCACCGTGTGAAGCAAGGGTTCCGGACAAGTTTGGATAATTTAGGTCTGGATTATATATATTTATATCTGATTCATTTCCCATGCTCGACTGATCCGGAAGATCGGAGCAAGCACCTCTCTGATTGGGATTTTGTCAAGACGTTGTAGGTCTTTACATTGTTCTCCAAGGGCAAAGTAACAACCGATAGGCTATAGGCAAGAAATGCAGAGGCTCCTCGAAACAGGAAAGGTAAAAAATATCGGCGTGTCGAACTTCCAGATAAGCCATCTCAGAATGCTTCTCAATCATCCATCATGCAAGGATGTTCCGGCTGTCAATCAAATTGAAGTACGACTCTCCTGAAACATCTATATATCACAGTTATAGTTGACGATAATGCCAGTACAAGGTTCTCCACAACTTGATCCACAACAAAAGATATGCACCCGAGATAAAACAGTGTCGAAACTTGCAGAAATTGTGGATTCACAAGCTATTGTCCACATGTACGTGGCACACCAGCAAGTGGGAAGTCGATCCTCTCACTTCTGTTGAGGGATTATTATCGCCGGCAAGGAAGGTCGGTTTTTTGGCTTGGATTGTGGAAACAGAATCTTGATGACCTGGGTAATGGGGATCCTTGGAAGAATTTCGCCCAGATTCTTAGACGCAGGTACCCAAAAGTACAAAAGGACAAGGAATTTTTTGCTAATGATAATGTGATTATTCTGGACGAAGCACAAGGTTCATATGAAGATGATGAATTATGGAACCAAATCATCAAAGATATCCGGGGTAAAATCAGACACGAGATAAAGCTTTGTCTTTTTGCCTCATATGGTAGTCCATCAACGGGCTTACCATATAACATGCGGAATTACATCAGGCCTGTGGACTTTGCTCCCGAGCAATGCATCTCATTAACTCCATCAGTCGAACAAGGGTCACCACCAATAGGTCTGTTCTACAGTCAGAGACGAGTTTGAAATAGTTGTGACGAAACTATGTTCTTATGATTCTGTTGAAAAGTATACCATTGACGGTGACGCTCGCGACTATATATACAATTTCACAAATGGACATCCCGGGGCTGTGGGCTCAATAGTATACTATCTTTCAAGGTATGTAATTGCTTGTGGCCATTTATATCTTCAGAATCTTATAAGTTCAGCGCAACTAACTTGAATTTTCAGGTATATCGCTCTCAGGTGAAACATGGAGTTTTTGCTATAATAACAGAAGATTCAGTGATTTAAGCCTTGACAGATGACAACAGAGTCTTTAATGATCTTCAGGGATCCATTGTCTCTCAATACTTTCCTTTTCGAGAACAACTTATACCGGAAGCTAGACGCACGTTGATCACAATACTAGAAGATGGATACATTCTATTTGATGAATCATCTAATGGTATCAGATGTTGTTATGAAAATGGCTGGATTCACAGAGCAGTCTGGAATGACTCAGCGCAGCAGAGTAGTGTTGGTGTTTTATCATCACACTTACATGAAAAGCAATCTTCTTTAAAATATAGCTTTTACTGTCCTATACTGATATATTTAGGTATGTTGAGCATCTGGTTGGCAAAACCCCATCACTTTTTCCAGACGAGGCATTTCCTACGATTCAAAGCTTGTGTATAGAGGTCCTCAAGCACTTCTCTCCGAAGAGACTCAGGCATTCTGTTGGAAGGTAAAATGTCGACTGCAGCAACAATTCGACCCGTGGAAGCACAATATCAAGATGAATTTTACAAGGCTTTCAGTGTTGTAGTAGATCAAGGTGTGTCAATGAGCATTGCAATCGATTTAAAGAGGGTGGTCGCTTTTACCCATGGATTGAAGCTGGCATGCTTAAGGAGTGGATATACTGTGCCACATCTTGGCCAACTAGTGGAATGAAGTCTCATTCTATACTTAGTTTTACATCCTCGATGCTGCCAAACTGCTGACATTATAGCAGTACATTCAGATACAAAACTATGGGGCGCTGTCTTCGATAATGATTATTCTCAATTGACGCTGTTAGGGCATAGGAATGACCTTTTGATAAACTCTTGTGTCTTAGTAGATTGAGATTCAGTGAAATGTTTAGGCTTTTATGTTTAGTATTCTTTCTTCTTTCCACTTTTTTCAGTCACACAGCTTAACTATGCATTCCTTTTTCTGTCGCTACATCAGCCTGGGTAGCAATCATAGAGGTAATATGATATGTATGATTATTGTTGAAATTGAACATGGTAGAATGAAAAATGATTCCATCACTAACACAGACTGCAACATCTATCCCGTGCGCCTTTTGGTACTGTAACTTCCACCCTCTATGAGTATTTTTGTTGAAGGCCCTCCCTTTTTCTAACAACACATGTTGGCTGCTCCACCTAAGGATTGTACTTCCCACATTATCTGATCTTTGGAACACCTACAAGCCATGGGTATATCTCTAGAAACTGATCTTAAGTTCCTGCGAATCCAGTCTGACTTTTCAAGAGTGCAGTGTCGAATTGTGGGAATTCATCTTTAATTCTCAAAAACACCATGTCAATTTTTAGGAACACAAAAACTATTCGCAGAACCGGCTCTGTCCATTAAAATCAGCCACTCCTTCTGGTAAGATCATAGAAGACTGTTGCGGAATAATTCCCAAGTATCACACACATTGTATATAAACATCTGTGGAAAATTAGCCTACTATCATGAAGCACAAGATGCTAATGAATGGTGCTGGAAAAGAGCCAAACAAAGTTGCTTTAGGATTTCATCAGCATTTGTCTCGTAGACTCTGATAAGATAGACTTTTGATGGTGCTCAGTTCCACTCAGTTCTACTCAGCGAGCAGAAGTGGTGAAGAGGTTATCACTTAAATAGAAAGGGAAAGCCAAGCGGCGTCAAAGAAAATCCGGTACGTAGGTACTGATGCTAACATATCATCTGGTTGTCTAGCTCCATCCCCAAGATCCCTCATGAGTTCACCCGGATGGTTTCTCACATCTCCAGCCGCAAAATCTAAAACTAAACTTGCAATGTAGCCCTAACTTTCTTGCATACTGCAACTACAAATCCATCCATTGCACCGCATACTCCTGCCTCGGAGGTTAAGGTGACTCACCTATTAATGGTCACGCAAACCTCGTGGAGGAACCTGTCGTCTTGAAACTCAGCGAGTCCAAGAGTAAGACGCCCGTTCAAATCCTGTACGCCTCTTTCATACACCATTTCATCAATCGGGTCATATGTATGCTAACAAATAGACAGATTGAAATGGGGGCTCCAGCGCGGCGTCAGCGTTATTCCCAAGAGCGTTACTCCCTGTCGCGTTGACTAACTTCGACCTGGATGGAGCCTGACAGATAAAGAGTCTACTGAGCTTAGTGCCGTCAAGACTAGGTCCAAGGTTGTTGGGGATGGATGGATGCCCATTCGTGTTTTTTCAGGAGATGATGAGTAGATTGATAACGAAGTAAAAATGCCACATGTGAGCTTTCACTCAAAATTCAACCTTGTCCTAACTATCTTGTTAAGTACCTGTGACACTCAATGAATCCCATGCAGAGTATAGTTCCGAAACGATAGACATACAAATCTAGTAAGTCGCATTCAATCTCATCGAAATATAATCACTGCTCGTAATAGCCTCATACTTCTTCGGTCGATCCGGCCCATGACAGTTTGGGAGACACTCAATCAACCTATCCCTATCTGGACTGATAAAGTACGGAATCGAGTATCTCGCTTTTGTCATGCGCCCCTTACTTTCTCCTTCATTGTCTACAAGGGGCGGCGCACGCACCCGATGTAGTGTGGATTTGAGCTCGTCGTTGCTCCAGCGCATCAGCAAATCCCCAATATTCACCACCGCGGTACCTGGAATATGAGGAGCGGGAATGAATTTCCCTTTGTCGTGGATGTCTTCTACTTCTAGGCCGCCCACTTCATCCTGGAAGAGAATCGTCATCGTCCCAAAATCTGAATGAGCCGCAATTCGCTCGGCTTTTCCTTGCCTGAGTAACTCCTCTTCAACGGGAGGATAATGCAGCAGCCGGCACTGATTGGTATGATTCTTGTGGTAGTCCAAGAGAAAGTTTTCTTCCAGTCCCATACCAATTGCAATTAGCCTTAGCATAAGCGTCTCAAGCCCCGAGCATATCTGAAAGAAGTTGTTGAAGAACCCTCTGAAACCAGGGAGGATTTCCTCTGGGACCCAAATATTGCGCAAAGTATCGTCAGACTCGCTGCCAATCTCGAAAGATTCCTTGACGTCGGGAACCTTGCGTTTTTCAGCAATTCCATCCTTATCGAAGACCATCTGCACAACTTTCTCGCGACCAATGCCCGAGTAACCGCGATGGTACCAGCCTTCTGGAGGGTGTGGTGCTTTCTCTTTGTCAGCTTGAGGGAGTGCGAAGAACTTGGAACTCTGTAAAAGATTTTTATCAGCTTTTCAGTGCCTGTAAATATGTACTGCTCTGGTAATTGTCACCCATCCAAAAGCTTCATTTATGAGTTCCTGTGGCACGCCGTGATTCTTGATGTACGCGAAACCGACGTGCTTGAAGGCTTGGTAGACATCATGGGCAACTTTGGCAACATCCTCAGGGCTGCCTGTATGGGCAAGCTCTAGATCAATGATCGGAATCCTAGCAGCTTCTGCAATGGTACCCATGACGATAGTTCTGGTCTGTAAATTGATTCAGGTCAGCTTCGTCTTGATGTTTGTGTCGGATAGTGTCACGGGGATTTTAATGTCGACCGAGCGCCAGCTAAGTATTGGTCACGTTGGAATCTCTCCGCTCAGTTGTGCAATTAAGATGTTAGAACAGTCTCACTTCAAATGCTTATTTTCGCTAACTATATCCTACCATACCAGTTCATCTAGTATGTGGGCAGCTCTTTGTCCGTCTATTCAGTTACCTAGGTAGTCCCGACGTAAGATGATACGCATTCAACGTTAATTGGTAGTATATTACACTCGGTTCAGGTAGAGAGCGGACTACATGATGGATACTCTATCGAGTAATATCGGAGTGCCCGATGGCTTATACTGTATTGGTAATTTCCATCGGCGAACTTCCCGAATCCCGCAGTGGACGAGGGTATACCTCCAACTGATAACATATATTTTCCAAGACAAATGGCGCATACGATGGTGTGCAAGTCAAGAACCAGTTGGTCTCAATATGGACAGTCTGTTAGAACATAGATACCGCATCGGCGTTGATGTTGGTGGTACGTTCCGCCTAGAAATGCACATATGGTCAACAAAATTAATTAGGGCTACAACGCAGGAACAAACACCGATGCGGTGCTCATTGCCCTCGATTCTATGAACATTATTACGTCGCACAAATCACCCACAACCCCCGATGTCACGACCGGTATTACCAATGCTGTTCGTAGGGTTATAGATGCAGCAAATGTCTCTCTCTCCTCTATCAGCTGCGTCATTATTGGCACTACACACTTCGTTAATGCTATCGTACAGCGATCTGAATCGCTCCGTCGCGTGGCCGTTATAAGACTTTGTGGTGGACCAGAAGATGGCTTCGGGCGCGGTATTCCCCCTTTTATTGATTTCCCCCTGGATCTGCGCGCTTGCATTGAGTCTTCATCACACTACTTCTGTCATGGCGGGTATCAGATCTCAGGTGATGAGATTAGCGCGGTTGATGTAGAAGAAATATGTCGCATTGCCATCAAGATTATCGAGGATGGCATCGAGAACGTCGTCGTATCCGGCATGTATGCGCCTCTCAACCACAAACAAGAAGTCGCGGTCAGAGATACGCTATTGCAAACACTGAGAAAGCAGAACAAACCAGGTTTCAAGCCACGAATCACCATGTCCCACGAAATATCAGGTCTCGGCTTTCTCGCCCGTGAAAACGCAGCAATTCTAAACGCGACGTTACGCCCGCTTGCAGAGAAGACAATCTATGGCTTTAGAAGAGCGATGCAAGAAATCTTCCAAGGGAGTCCATACACACTCTACCTGACACAGAACGACGGCAGTGTCCTGAGTGCAGAGGAGGCCATTGGTCGACCGATCCGGACGTTTAACTCCGGTCCAACAAATTCCATCCGAGGAGGTGAATTCCTCTGGCGTGCTGCTGGGAAGGCTAACGGGAAAGAACAGCAAAATCGTACCGATCCGCTTGTTGTCATAGATATTGGAGGCACTACATCAGATAGTGGACTCCTATTATCCAACGGCCTTCCTCAAATGAGTTCCATCGCGGGCCTGGTTGGTGGCGTCCTTACGAACTTTGCGCTTCCGGCTGTGGAGAGTATTGGGCTAGGTGGAGGAAGTATTGTTCGAGAAACAGATGGCGAGTTAACTATTGGACCCGATAGTGTTGCATTGGAGCTCCTGCAAAAGGCAAAGCTCTTTGGTGGGGAGTACTTAACATCAACGGATATCGTTGCTGCATCCAATATCTACACACCAACAGAACATAACCCCTTTCGCGGAATGGGAGATCCATCTCGACTGAGAAGTATTACACAAGATACCGTTTCACGAGCGGAAGAAGTGATGCGGCAAATGATCGCGGACCTGGTAGACAGAACCAAAACCCAGAAAGGAGATGTCGATGTCTTGATTGTCGGTGGAGGGGCTTCGATCATCAAAACGGATAAGCCACTGGCAGGAGTGCGCAGCTTGAGGACTGTTAAAGGCGCGGCGGTTGCGAACGCTGTTGGAGCTGCGATCTCACGGGTATCTGGTATCATTGATACTGTAGTAGATACGTCGAATCAGACTATCAAGGAAGCTCAGAAAGCTGTGTCATGGGCAGCAGTAGAGAAGGCTGTGGCGAATGGTGCAAAGCCGGACACAGTTAACATTGCAGAAATAACCATGCTTCCTATTCAGTATGTAGAGGCGAAAGCTCGAATTGTCGTTCGCGCAGTGGGGGAATTGGCGATTGTGTCTCAAGGAGTGGTTGACGCTGACACACTGGATGTTGTTGAGGCAGAAGAGGATCTTTCAACCACGAAACCAACCAACTCTCCACGTCCTATATCGGTTGAAAAGCCTGTCGATTTTCAAACTTACCGTCCCGTAATCAAGGATGGCGAGTGGATCATCTCACCCACCGACCTCGACTTCATCTCCCAAGGTTGCAAAATTCTCGGTTGTGGTGGAGGCGGAGATCCGTACCAGGAGTACCTAAAGGTCAGCGCTATAGTACGAGGCAATCCCGGCACAGTCAAGGTTATCTCACCTTCCTATCTCCCAGAAGATGCCCTAGTGGGTTGGACAGGATGCATGGGCAGTCCAGAAGTGAGCATGGAGCGTCTAGAGAACGATGAATGCCATAAGGCACATGAAGAGCTTATGCGCGTGACCGGCAGTCTCGCCGTGTCCGGACTCGTGGCTCTAGAGATTGGCGGTGGTAATGGTGTCGTCAACCTCGGCGTCGCGGCACGATTAGGGGTTCCTTGCATCGATGCCGACTATATGGGTCGCGCTTATCCTACTGTCTGGCAGGTAACTCCGAATGTTTACGGTACGTCTCGTGGAGAGGCATTGGTACCCATGACAATTGCCAGTGGAGACGGATCCGTCGTGACGATGACGACGTCGAGGACAGATATGTTGGTAGATAAGATCCTGAGAGCTTCCTGCGTGGAGATGGGTTGTCGTGCAGGAAGCGCTGGGCCCCCGAAGACTTCGAAAACTGTCCGCGAACAAGCCATTACCAATAGCGTCTCTCTCGCATGGTGGATCGGACGAGCTATTGCTCTGGAAAAGACCATCGCCGATAGGGCGAAGCGAATCATAGATGAGTTGGGTGGGCCCGAGAGCGCAGCGATTCTAGGAGAAGGAAAAATCACCAATGTTGAACGTGTGCTCAAGACGGGACATACTTATGGTGTGCTGGAAGTAGAAGGAAAGCTGGAGGACGGTACAAAAGCACTCCTGAGAGTACCGTTCAAGAATGAGAATGCCTTTGTGGAGGCCGTTTTTTCCAACAGCGATTCCAAGATTCTAGCCTCAGTACCTGACCTAATTGCTGTTCTTGACGCTGAAACGGGAGCTGGGCTGGGCACGCCGGAGTACAAGTACGGGCTGAAGGTGATGATTATTGCTATTGCTGCCTCTCCGCGGTGGACAGATACACCTCGGGGTATGGCGTTAGGAGGCCCTGGGTCCATGGGATTCGAAGACATTGAATACGTGCCGATTGGGAAATATAGCAAACCTAGAAGCGTTATTGATGTTTTTGCTATATGAAAAAGCTGAATAGAATAGAAGAATATGCTACTTTACTGTTGGCTAAATAGCTCCACATAGACCTGACGTCTCGCTAGCATGACACATTCATAGACGACGACGACGGCGATAATATTAGAACCGAACAAATCCTTTGCCCTTGACGAACATCTGCTTCCAATTCCTCTGATTCTTGTCACCGGCCAACTCATAGAATAAGTCGGCATGTGCAGGTCCATCAATACTATTTCCAACAGGTCCACCTCCACTCAGACGTTCATCCACGTAGTAGAAACTATTTACCACAGTTAGATTCTTTTTTGTTGTCTAAATGAAGCATGGAGGAATACTCACGTATACCCCTTCTCCAAATACGCAGCAGCAGCGGCCTTGATCAAATGCGCAGTTGCAGACTTCCCAGCACCCAGGCCCGATAATCCAGGAATGATAATCTCATCCAATGCATTTCCAGTGAAAATGAAAGATTTAGGGACGGAAGTTGGAATCTTCTCGAAACCGTTCACTGCCTCGTGGGCAGCGGCAAAGACGCTGGTCATGTTTACGTTCAGGCTTTGCTGGAAGTTTTCGGGGGTTATTGAGAAGGGTTCCTTGGCTGGGATCATTGAATACGCTATCTGAAGTCAGAGATCTGAATCAAATATACAATTCCTCCCTCTTTCAAGAATCATAAGGGGATTAAAAAGGGAGACACGAACCATTATAAACCACGACACTCGGCACACCCAACGACGCAACAACCGACTCAAACAGGGTCTTGACATTCGCAGGATCCGAAAAGTCAACTTTAAAGTAATGCAACCCGTCCTGTCCTTGGCCCGTGTTTGATGAACGACTTGCAAGAGCCACTTCGTAACCGTTTGCGGCGAATTTGTGGCCTACGGCTTGGCCGACTCTGGCTCCTGCGCCGAGGATGAGGGCTATCGGCGACGACATTGTTCAAAATGTTAAATGGAGGGAACAATAATGCTGTATGTATTCGAGAGTGAAGCTTGAAACTCTTTACAAGATTGATGGTATTTTTAAAGACCTCCTGTGAAGGAGTTCCATCAAGACTTATATACTCCTTCATGATCATTCCAAAAACTCAATTGGATACGCTGATAAATACGGCTGCTCATCAATTGCCCCGTTCAACCTCTGTAATGATACTAACATCACACTGAAGAAGATGCAAAAACTTAGGGCTCATTTGTCAGACGTCCCCTTCACCAGAGACTATTGCCGCGATTCGCTTTGCATTGACTTTTACTTCATAACCACAGTATCAAAAATACCTTCCTAAACAAGTAATAATTCCTCAATTCGGGGTTTGACTTGTTTGCATCGCACCGAACCCTGGAAATCTTTGTTAAAGCAGCGACATATTTCCAATGCTTAGATTATCTGGCAGGATGACCAATCCTGTTTTTATGTCTCCGAAGGATTGTGAGAATGTTTTTAGGTTGATGATTTAAAATCATCAATAATTACAGTATGTAGTTGGTGCTTCTCTTAAACTACTATGTAGTCTAGGTCGGTTTTTAATAGTCTCCACTCATGATATTGAAGCAGCGCGCGCGATAAGATAAGAAAAAACAACGAACTGTTCAATCCAAGAGTATGATACCTTCAAGCAACAAATCTCTTCATGGTGAGTCCATAGACTATGATTACAATAAACATGTTCAACAGATCCAAAACAAAAGTCATGATGAATGACATAATCTGAGTAAGCATCGCACCGCCACATGAGGCTGAAACATTCCGAGCTCTGCCGGTCCGAGCTTCCCATCTGATCTTCACAAATTTGTTTCTTCTTTCGCTTCTATTCAGAAAATTCAATGATACAAATGACGATCCGGAGATCATGCCTAGTACTAACACAACCAGCTCCAACAGCAAAATAAGTCTCTCAAACTGGTTGAGACCGAAAAAATCGCGCCAGAAGCTACGCAAACGAGGGGCCGAAGCAGGAGCTCTTACATCGGCTAGTTCGACTACCTTGGCCAGTATCAAGACCACCACAACGCAATGCTCATACTATAACGGGAGTATTGTTAAAAACGACGATGTCCCACCGTTACCACCAATTGCGCCATTACAGGCCCATCGCGCCAAATATCGGGCCCGTAATGCCGGTCTTGATACGCAATTGGGTGAGAATATAGATTATACGACTTTGTTGCATTCGATGAGTGTGCAGGAAGGGTTCGAGTCTGATGAACCACTCAATTATGTCTCCGAGGATAGGCCACGAGGTGAACCTGGAGTTGCCAGTTTGCCATCCCCGATATGGTGCTATATTGCGGACTCACTCGATCCCAAGACGGCGGTTTGTCTGGCGTTGGCGAGTAAAACATTATACTCCAAACTGGGTCCGCGGCGATATCTGAACGCACTTAACAACGTGCCGGAGAACAGACAACACAAATTGGAGTTCTTGGTATTTCTGGACCGATACCTGCCGTACCATCTGCTCTGTATCCCCTGCGCACAATACCATCGACGTATCCGCATGGGACAAGAGAAACTTGCACCGACCCACACACAGGTACTGAACCCAGTATTTGACTGTCCCAACGAGCGCAATGCGCTCAACCCACCATCTCGGCATCGCATTGCCCACGGCCGAAGTATCCCCTTCACATTCGTACAATTAGCCACACGCGCACACCGTTACGGATCCCTTCGGTACGGCATCAAGGCCGAAAACCTGGGCCGAAGATGGAAGTACTCTGAACCAGGAGGTGGGGGGACATGGAGTATCTCGACCCGCTACCACATCCATGAAAACCGACTCTTAATGCGGGTAGTGAGTCAATGTTTCGCGCCCCCCGGACTACCACCCTCGGGGAAACGACTCTTACTCTATAGTCGTGACGACTACTGGCCCTTTTTCTCTGTATGTCCCCACTGGCGGGACGGAGAGTTAATGGACGTCTGTAAATGTGCACTCGACCACATCCCCGTCCCACGCAACACAGCCGGTCTTCAGGGAATAGAGCACAAATTCAAAGACGCAATCCACGGTCGCGGAAAATTTGATCCGTACGCTATACCGAGTCAATGCGGGAAATGTCAGCCTATGAGACGGTGTCCGCGGTGTCCGACGGAGTATCTGATTGAAGTCAAAATTACAGAGGATAATGAAACTGATCCTTCTTCGTCGTCGGCGGGTGGTAGTGTTAGTGGTGTTGCTAGGAAGCAGGTTAGATTCAGACATGCTATTGTCGTCACGCGCTGGAGTGATTTGGGCGATGGCTCGACGCCGGCTTCGTCGGCTGAATGGGCGGCTTGTAATGATATTGGTAGTACCGAAGGGGAAGAATATGATTCTTTCAAACGTCTTGGTCGACGCGGAATATGTGGGATATTTGAGTCGGCGTTTACGCATGATACTATTCCTGGAAGGAGGATCATTTCTATGAATCCGGATAATAAGACCGGTGGGGAGAAGAGGAATGATTGGTATTAATTTTACGCAACGAATAAGATTACGACAGATAGAATGATAATGAAAGTTATTAGATCATAGGTTACATAACACGCAAATAACAATCGAGAAAACTAGTCAAATGAATGTGAACGCCCGGATGGACCTAGAACCAAATTAGACCATGATCAAATGAGTAGACAACGTAACAATTTAAGGTCATAAGTTGAGTTTCAGGCTAGTGCTTTCCCATGATTGATTCCTGGTCGCTAGCATCGAGAATGTCGTATTCTTCATCAGTGAAAAATCCATCGTCACTGTCTTCAAGAGTCAAGCTCTCCACATCTTCGGGAAGAGCCTGATCATCGACAGTGGTCACGGAAGGAGCAGGGTGTTCAGCAAGTGCCTCATGAGTGCTGGACACTGGAGACTCCTTTTCGAGCTTAGGGAAGACCATATTGCTACCAGTCATTTCAGTCTCAGTCTCAGCTTCGGCCTTAGTCTCGGTAGCAGCCTCGACAACCTCCTTCTCAACGACCGGCTCAGCTTCAACTGGCTCATCAACCACTTTAATATCACACCAAAGTTTGTGACCGAAAGGAGTTCCATTGGGAAGCTTTAAGCGCCAGTAAGAAATAGAAGTACCGGTACGCTGAGGGCTCTTCAATGTGATCGAGAAGTCAGCAGACTCCGATGGGGCAACTGTATGAGTTAGCTCGTTACTCGACATGGCTTCGGCAAGAGCGACAACGCTAGAAGGATGCTCGGTGTTGACATTGAACATGGCATCACCGCCAACATAACGAACGCTAGTGCCTGCTGGCCAGGTCGATGGTCCTGGGTTGTAAAGTGTCCAGGTCTGTCGGAAAACATGGGATGGAGGCATAGTCGTTCCGTCGGAAACAGCATCCTTCATGAAAAAGGCGCTATAGTCATCGGCGAAATCACCTGAAGATTGACGGGGTGTTTCGGGAGTCTCGGGAGTCTCGGGAGATGACTTGATTTGAGGGACATACTCAACTTCAGGAGCATCCTGGACTTCAGGAACATCCTTGAATTCGGCAGCCGGGGGTTCGGCCTTCTCAACAACAGATGGTGCTTCGACTACGGTAGAGTTTGTGGAAGAGACGTCGAAGACGTTATGCACGGCTGCTGGAGTCCGATCACCCATAACCATAGTCTGACCACCAAATCCATCATCGCCCAGCGTGCTGACAGTAACATTGCGTACTGGAGTGCGGAACTTGATCAATGGATGGGTCTGGTTGTGAGTATTCGTTGGCAAGGCCTCACAGGCGGCGCAGAAATCAGTGTCGTGGCAGACAGCACACTTGTATCGTACACCGGTGATGTACGAGGCCGATGGCTTGTTGCGGCACAAAGGACCGTCGCAGTAGATGCCAATGTGAACATCCTGAGTGAATTTTGGTTCAGAAATTGCTTCGTAGATTGGCACAAATCGGTGTTGAGGATGTAGCTGATCGGCTTTCTTCACGCATGACCAACAGTAATCCCAATCAGGGCAACTAAGGCACTTGTGTCGAACTCCAACAATGCGCTATATAGAGTTAGAATGGTGGCCACAAGAACGGATTTCGAGCTTACATTTTCACATCCGTCGCAGATGGCTGCATGATGGAAATGGCGGCCTGGACGGCAACGAGAAACAACTAGATTCTTCAAGCCGAGTTGGTGGTCTTTGATAATTGTAAAAGCGTGGGCAGGGTTGTGTCCATGGTTGTTCATCAATAGGCAGCTGACACACAAGTCGTAGTCATCACAGTCGTCGCAGTGAACCATCGTCATCTCGGAGAATCCTATTTAAGTCAGCATTCTCCTTGGCTTGCCATTTTTAGGCGGACTCACCTCTAAAGCATGCATTGCAAGTCCGTTCATCTACCACTTCCTTCTGTTCTTCCTTGATCTCTGGCTCGGGAACAGTCTCCTTTTCTTCAACCCTTGGTTCTTCCTTGACCGGAGTAGGCTCCTCTGTGGGTTTGTCTGTGGCAACGGATTCCGAAAGACGTTTGGGTGCAATCTCAGTAACGCTGTTGACTATGACACCATTCTGCACGAAGCGCTTCAACAACCAGTGGTCCTCGCCATGACAGGATACACCGGCTTCAACGCAAGCAAGGCACAAGTCATAATCACCATCGTCGCAGATGCTGCAGTGATAGTGCTCGCTAGGAATGTTACCTCCACAGTTGTTGCAGTCAATGCAGAACGCATTGGCAAGGCGGTTGTTGGCAAGTCGAAGAGGGAAGGCGGGCTGCTTCTCCTCGTGAACGGAGGGCACGGGGGAGAAGGACCGCACGCGTGAAGAAAGTGTTGACGTCATATTCTTGTTGGGCTGAGAGCCGGTCTGTGTGTTTGAAGGGCTCAACACAGTCTCCAAGTAGCGGAAACGCTGGTGAGATTGTTCCTGTATAGGAGAGTCCTCGACGTAGACGGTGGAAGCTGGGATGATCTCCTCGGGTTTGGTGGTGGCCTTGATGCGGAGTTTGAGTTTAGCCTTGGCAGCACGGTAGAGTTGCTTGTACACGGCGGGATTCTCGCTGTCTAGCACGATGTAGCTGGCAAGGCTGTCGGAATAGCGTTCAAGCAGTAGGGAGCAAGCGGGTGGAACTGATAACAAGGAGCGGATCTACCCGAGTTAGCAACGATATTAGCTGGCGGGAATTGTAGCGAACGGCAAGATCGTAGGCAACAAGAATAAAAAAAAACACAAAACAAAGTATGATTGAGACTAGTATCACGATGGATTTCTCGATAAGCAGAGGTGACAAGGAGATGAATAAGGAAGGCTGAGTCAGGTTGCTGATAACGGAAGTACGGCTAGTACAGTTTCCGAGATAGGCCAAACACGATGAAATGCAAGCAGTAGCCGATAAGCCAGATAAACAAGTTCGAATGCAGTTCAATACATACCCTTTGAGGAAATACACGAGCACCTAAATCTCGCAAGGGAATCTTGAAGCGTCGATTAACCGATTCGTTGAGCAGAACCTTGATGGTAATCAAGGTATCTGGACCGACGGGCGGTGCTGGCGGAGTTGGCGCAGCCATGGGTGTTGAGAAAATGGAAGATGATTTTGATATAGGGACTAGATCGCTCATGGATCGATCGTTGATATTAAATTGAGATAGAAATTGATGGTTTGGTCTGAGATGGCTGAGTGCTAATGCTCAACCAAGCTTAGGCTGGGGGCCAGAAAAATACGAGTTCGATGAATGACGACAGAGATATTTTGATGATGAGAAATTAATGACAAGCAATACTCTGTGTCAAATAGATGAATGGAGATGACAGGGAGATGGGAAGGTCGTGGTGGTGATGGAAACGAGGATGAGAAAGAGGATAAAGGGAGAGGGAGAGGTAGAAAGAGGCGAGAGTTGGAGAAGGCAGGCTTAAAAGTAAAGGAAGAAAGGCGCAGGGGGCACGCGGACGGAGAGGGGTTAAGCTCCGTCTACAAAGGCGGGGAGAGCTCGACGTCAACTTCCGCTTACATATGCAAGCTGCGTACAACTCCTTTCTCTGTCACTTCACCGACTCGCCGATTTGTATGACGATACTACATAGTACTACATCTCAGTGCTAATAGTTAATTACTCAATAATGTCAACTCTTTGCCTACCAAGCCCTTATTGCTTAATTACAAATCGAGGCAATATGCGACGGGCTCATGGTGATCAATCATATCGATGTTTGAGCATCGTCTTGGCGGTTTGGAACAGGTCACATGCATATTCCTGATTAACTTCTACATGAGCTGATTGATCAATGGTTAGATATGTTATCTTGGACAGAGATCAAAGTCATCATAAAATACTATGTAATATCTGTTGTTGGCTCGTTAGACTCTGCCTAGGTACTTCCCTAGATAAGAAAATGAACTTTACACCAATACCTACACCTATCTGTCAGATAGTACTCCCCCGATATAAAATGCAACGGTAATCCCTACCGTTGCTGCATTTCTCCAAGTGACAGGCCTACGTGCCATTGCATGATTACATAGCACATACATATCCCAGGCGGGAGTATGATCCCGGACCAACCTTGTAAACCGAGGCTGCAACACTCCTCGTTTATACGACTTGTATACTCTGATTGGGTCGTATGCATAGGGCTTGTCGATCAATCAGCGTATATGTAGATATACGTAACCCTTGTCTGTGTAGATGTTTATAATTTTATATTGTGGCATATGCACCGCATGTTTAGGCAATCATATTCTTAAATCCGTCGATCAACGGAGGCCATATAAAACTGTTGTACTGCAGATTGAGCGGTGTGGTGGCGTACTCATATTAATCCTTTCTTCAGTGCAATGAAGATCAATCTCCCCGTAAATATTTTGTGCTCATTGCGTGGCTTATCCAATGCATAAAAGCCATATGTTTCGATCTTGTAGATCATGGATATCGATCGTTTTATCTCCGTTTCTTCGTGACGTATATAGATCCATGGCAAATTTGTATACGTAGGCGAATGGCCTCGGAGATGGTTCGCTTTAACTGAATGAGTGGCCTGATTGTCTTTTGAACATCAAGAGATCATAGAAGACAACCAAGAGATCATACAATCACAGGTAAATGTGGCAGCCTTGCAGACAATCCGATTCCTTGCCGCTTTTAGAAGATATCACGTGACTACAACGGAGAAATAACGCTCCGAGAGTCACTTCTCCATAAAAAGCAACAGTAATAGCTCCAACATGCATTGAACGACACACAGTCTCTAACTCAACTACAACGATTGAAACGCATGAAAAAAAGGAAATGTCACATACCACTCCTGACTTTCTTGCAGAATCAACTTGAACTCTGGCAAGAAATCCTCCTCCTCAAATCTCTTCTTCCCCTTGTCGGCTTCCAGACTGGCCTAGTCCGAGACGTAATCCACCACCAGTTAGTGACATGGAGCCATGGAACCCGGAGGAGGCAAACCGAGAACTCATGATGAACACCACCCCAACTCCCCATACTGCAACAAGCCACTCCCCCACTGTTTCGCCGACTGCTGCAATGTAATCCGTCTCGGCATCGGTGACGGCAACACACCAAGCTCAAATCCAGCCATGTATGCTCCCCGGTTTCAGAGAAGTAGATCCCCTGTACACCAAATGCGAGACCGTCTTTACCATCTAATGCAGAGCGAAGCAGAGGCTCGTAAAGAGACGCCAAATCTGCAATGTGCACGTGGTTCCAGTGTGCATTAACATACTCGGCCGCGCCAACCTCGATAGCCGTTCTCATAAGTCTCGGAATTTGGATGAAGAGTTTGTTGAACAGCCCACTAACTAGTCCGTAGATGGTGGGTGACATGATGATGTAGGTGTGCACGGAAGTTGCCAGTCCAGTTTCGACCACTTACGTGTAGACTGTGATAGCGCTCAAACCCTGCCCTAATTTAGTACATGTCTCGATTAGCATGTTAAATCCCCGGGAGCAAAAAGGTACTTCCAACAGGGGAGATAGCTTTTCTATAGGTGCAGACCCCGGCTGTGTAGCTCGATGCAACTTCTTTCTGCCTTTGATATCACACTACAATGGGTGTATATAGGAGTGTCTATTCATTCTTAGTATGGGAATACCCTTGCCAACAAGGGCAGAAGTAATAGAAAAATCAAATCAGATTATTCGACAACAGGTCGATCCACTAAAATCCCTGAACAATATCTCAAAGGTTCACCTCTTCCATATTGCTCCCGACATCTTCCGTTAAACTGCATGCCTCTCCCCGCAACTCAATAGCGCGTGCATCGCAAGCAAGACTGAGCCAGTGAAAACACTCCAGTTCCCCTCGCACCTGCTCCCTGCTCTCGAGTCTGCATGCAAGCTGAGTATCCTTTGTTTTAGCAAAAAGGTATCCCCTATTCTCTCAATTAGCCACGAAATGCCACCGATAAACGCACACCATAAGGACATTTCAGACCACCCCGGGAGAAGGATCTCTGTAATATCTATTGAAGATAGTGCGACTAGCAAGCGGTCCAGCAGTATGACCCGTGGGATTGATGGGGCGGGAAGCGGGAATATTACATGGATGCTGAAGAGGAAGCGCAGTAGACAGACATGCTTTGTAGATTGCTCGCGTCTGCATACTGTGCGATGAGGAGACTGCGAAGATTGAGTTGCTTGGGTCCGAGCCGGCAGGAAGCGAGAAGAGTCAGTGCTGGATGAGATTGCGACAGTCCATCAGACTATCTCGATAAAAGAGCTGTGACTGTGAAGAATGAAAAGTCTTAAGCGACCCATACAAACTCGCGGAGCTCTATGAAATGTTTTATTACGCTACTTTTGATGCTCTCAATCTGCAACTAAAACAAGAATCTGTCAATGGCTGATACACTGGCTGGAGAGTTCTGGATACCCAGAAACTCCAATGTTGAGACATCGGGATATTCGTGCCCTTCGGGACTGACCAATGGATATGGCGGTCGAGTCACTGTTAATGCACTCTCCATGAGACCAGTCCTACATCCAATGTTAGCGCTGCTGAGGCAACTTGCAATTTAAGATGTATCCAAAAAGAATTGAGACTATCATTAACTGGGAGACTCCTAGATGTGTGCGCAACATCAAATCATGGCTCGGATTCGCTAATTTTTATCGCCGATTCATTCCAGCTTTTTCGAAGTACGCCGAGGGGGTCAATGATCTCACCAAAAGGGGTACCATGGGAATGGATAGATGAATGACAGCAAGCCTTTGACGATTTGGAATCTGCCTTTACTGCCAAACCTGTCCTCAGAGTTTACAAATGGGATAAACAAAGTGTCATCGAGGTGGACGCATGGAAATTTCTGGTGGAGTTCTCTCTCAGTATGGCCATGACGGTGTCCTACGCCCTGTCGCCTACTTTTCCAAGAGCCATAGGCCGTCAAAATGCAATTTATCAGATCTACGACAAGGAATCAACGGCGATTGTTAAGGCCTTTGAAAAGTGGCGGCCAGAGCTGCAGGGCTCTCCCATCCTATCCAGGGGTTGACAGACCACAAAAATCTCGAATACTTTATGACGAAGAAGATTTTGAAGCCAGAAAACTTGGGTCGGTTACATGTTCATGCTCAGGAATTCATTGATACAGATGGAGCGCTATCTTTGAGAGTCACGGCCCTTTATTAGTTGATGCTGAAGTTGAAGCTTTTACTGATAACGATCCCCCAGCTCGCCGTACCGGAGAAGCAAGTTTTTTGACTTTTCTAACCAATCAGAGGACACAGATACTATGGATGTACGCTCACTTGACGACCTCTTTAGTGAAGCTTATCAAGTCGACCCTTTCCCAGTAGGAGTCCTGGATATGCTGCGACGGGGAGTCTGTCGGGGTCGAAGGATCTCTCTTGAATATTGTAATGGAGTGCTTTAATACAAAGGAAGGCGATACGTGCCAGATTTTGAGCCTTTACGCTTACAGCTTATGCAGGCAGCTCATGATCACTTTCCCTCAGGACACCCGGGTCGCACTGAGACGCACACGATCCTCTCTCGCAACTACTTCTGGAATGGCATGACGAAATTCATTTCACGCTACGTCAAGAACTGTATGGCTTTGTCAACGCTGCAGGTACTTTCGCGACCCCTACCAGGGTTTATTGGAGCCTCTACCTGTTCCAATGAAGCCTTGGAGTCACACATCAGTCGACTTTATCGTCAAGCTTCCACTGTCAGAAAGTTACGACTCAAACATGGTCATCGTCGACCGCCTAACGAAGATGCGTCACTTCCTTGTACAGAAAACATTATCACGGAGGATGCGGCCTAGTCAGCGCAACCAAGGCGTTCTCAGTTCTATTCAGTGAGTATAAGCGGCGAGGGTGGTGAGCACTAAAACGGAACGGGAAAGTCGAGAAGCATCAAAGGAAATCCGGTACCTAGGTACGAAGCGGCAGCTGATTGATTTCGGTAGTAATGTAAAGAAGAGTACATAAACCATTATAGCAGACTGTTCCTTATATTATCTTCTCGATAGAGCAGGAAAAAGGGATGAAAAACGCAAAGTAATCTAATAATACGGAACTGAATTGCACGGACAGAACTAAGAGAAGGGGAAAAAAAAAGACATGCAGAAGAAATCCTGATATTGATGCATATGAAATACTAAGAATAATGAAATAATGATATATGATAGCGTAAGAACGGGCTAGATAATTGACCGAACACGAAATTTAGAAGAAATCGAATCCGATACAACAACACGAAAATCAGAACCAGAACGCGCAGGTTAATGGGCTATGCTGAGATAAAACTAGAATATGAATAGTGTTCGATAAGTTATAATCGAGGTCGCTCATCATGAACAGACAATAGTAAAACCAGTAAGACATGGCCGAAAGAAAAGAGATAGAAAGAAACGCTATGAGACATGGAGACAGAACACCGAAAAAAACTTTTTCGAAACGTTTCAACATCATTGAGAAGGGTAATAAACTCCCGAAGACTGTGGATAATAATACGTCATGCCTGGTGGTGTCATCATGCCTCCCATTCCTACAACGCCGCCGGTTGCATTGTATGCTGCATTAGGATGGTAGAGGTCCTGGGCATCGTAGAAATACACCGTGCCGTTGGCTTCATGAGCCACGGTGCCTGTGTGAGGAGCTTGTTGTTCGACTGTCGTATGTGGAGGTGCGGAGGGTGGAGGAGGGGGCGCTGCGTGGAGCATATATTGTTGCCCCCCTGCTTGAGGGCCTGGTGGTAGTTGTGCAGGATGAGGCGGAGGAGGTCCATAGGCCATACCGTTATTAACAGTGGGAGGTGTATAATGCGGGTACTCGTTACTCGGTACATAGTACGTAGGATAACCTGCAGGATAATATGTAGGCTGTCCATAAGGTTGGAAAGGTGCCGCGTGAATAGCACGCTCGGGAATGTGAGAAAGAGGTGTCCCAGACGGTTGGCTAGGATGGGATGGATGACGTCCATGTATATATGTTCCATCCGATCCATAGCCCGGAGCGGCCATAACCACGGGAACTTGTTGATGGAATGGTTGTTCTTGTTGTGGTTGAGGAGGGTTGAAGTTGAAGCTTGCTGGACTCTCGATATCGGCCAACGAGACGGTCTTCTGTGGTCGAGGCTGATGCATAGTCATCGGTCCACCGCGGGTTTCCCTATAAGCTGTATTGGCTGGTGGTAGAACAGGAATTGTTGACACGATTGGCCCGCCGGGAACCATAACACCAGGTGGACGAACTGATGGTGGAAGACGAACGATCGGTTTACTCTCACCTACCGCCACATTTTGTCTCGAGAGCACAGAGGCCGCCGGTGAATGCATGCCCTCCCGTAAGGACGACCTACGACTCATCGATATACTGGGTGAGTATGCTGAACCTGGGTGATAGAAGCTTGGTCGCCGACCAGCGTAGTATCCGCCGCCTCGTCCCCGTCCCCTGAAAGATTGTTGATTCGGCCGAAGTGCACGAGGTATGAATATGAATGACCGCTCGGGTGCTGGTAGAATATATTTGGGGGGTGAACCAGGTAACGAAATACGAACCGGTTTATCCCGTCTCAAGGGAGGACGATGTTGCGGCAATCGTGTATACTGACGTTTCGGGACGGCGGCGAAGGGGATCGCAGCTTCCATTCCAGGCAAAAATACTCGTACGGGAACATTCCCGATTAATAGTGTCGTCGAGAAGGAGCGGTTGGGCGGTGTAGAGCGAGGTGCAACAGTCACTGTTGCTGAACCATTTGTAAATCCTGCACTTGCATTGTTTTGAAGGGGGTGTGAAGGTGGTGTAAACGTAGGTTTATCATCGCGGACGACTGTATCGTGCAAGTCATGAGTCCATTGTCCGTCACTGGCGTCGGGTTTTTGGCGTCTAGAAACAGGATCAGCATTATATCAAAAGTACATTTGTTTGAGAAACCCACCTCCCAACATTGCCATCTACTATAAGCCCGTATGGCCTTGACTTTGATCTATTGGCATGTGATCGATGGCCATTGGATGACCCGTCCGTAGATCTCTTATCGTGTAAGAAAAATCCTCCTCTTGTTGGAACAAACGCTGGATTCTCATCCCTAGCCTTGATATATTCCTCATGCTCTCGTCGTTTCCGCTCAGCAAATGTTTCTCGTCTCGATTCCAAGGGTGGCGCTGACGGTGGCCTCCCGATCTTATGTTCAGCCTTGGGCAAATTGTCGAACTCTATCTCCTCCATCTCCTGTCCAGGTGAACCAGACAACTTGAGCCCCTTCAGCATCGCTTCCGTATCGGACACTGTCGCGGTTAATGTCGGTTTGAACGGAACATCCAGTTTCTCCCCAGAGGACACCCCACCACCGCCGGTCTTCCCTCCACCACCAGCATGAACATGTCCATTTCTCGTTGCACCGCCATGTTGCGTCACCGAGCTCTCGTCTTCACTGAGATCGCTCCCCTCGCCATCGGCATCGTCGTCGTCGCCCAAATGACTCGGTAGCGATCCATCACTCATCGAATCATCATCTTCCTCAATGTGTCCCACCGTAGAGCCCTCATCTTCACCATCATCTTCTCTTCGTCGTCGACTCGCTCCGATTCTGTGACGCCGAGCGGGAGCCATTTGACAGTTGAGAAAATCGCGGGCCCTGCGATTGGCACCGGTAGCGAGCTCGGGTTCCGAACGGAAGCGCGTGTTGACGTCGTCGTTCAAAGGGAAACCTTATCTCAGTATGAAGCAGGGATCAAGGAAACTGTCAGATGAAGATCGATGAGGCGAATAGGAGTGTTTCTTTCCACGAATTTCAAAACAAATACGTCCGCGGGGAAGATGGTGGAAACTTGTTTTGGCTAGGCGGCCAACTACGGACGAAAGAGCGAGTGTGCTGATGATCAGGCCGAAAGGTACGGTGGCGAGAAACAACAAACCGGAGATGGCCAGCAAGATCAGGTGAGAGAATGTGAAACAGAGCGAAAAGAAAAGGATGAAACAGGGATGGCGGTAAAAGTGTGGTGTCTTGTGAGAGGTGTTGTTTTGTTGTAGAAGAGAGAAGAAAGACGTCTTTTGGGCCTGCTTACTCTATGACATCTGAAGAGCGGCCCGAGTCAGCCCGTTTGGGACTAGCGCGGGCTCTCTAGACGCCTCTCGCGCTTAACATTTGACCTTAAGAGTTTAAGAGATCAGATTATAAGTATTCGCGCAGTTGAGAACATGCGATGTGAAGCAGATATTGAAAGCAGCCAAGGGGCAGGCGTTAGAAGAGGCATAACACTATATACAGCTCCGTCAATCCAGGAATAGGCACTAATGAAGGAATAAAGAACTTTTTAAATCCAACCATGTCTCAATCAAAAGTAAGCTTCTTTCCCTTCGCCTCGACAATGGCACCAGTGAGTCTCTGCACAGTATCATGCGAATACCGAGAGTCCTCCTTAGGGCGGCGATCATTTCGCCCGCGATGTCCTGATCCTCCATCTTGCTCCTCATCGCCAAAACTTCCACCTTTCTTACTATCCTTGCCGAACCGCTTCTTGTATCGAGTGGCAGCATCTTCAGCAAATTCCATTCTCAATTGACGACCCAGTAGACGATTGACCCAGACCTTTTTCGTTCTTGGTTTCTTCTTTTTGTCCGCAGATATCCTCTTTTTGGTTTTCTTCCCAGTTTTCTCTTCTGATTGCTCGTCCTCTGATGAAGAAGACTCGTCTTTGACTTCCTCTTCCTCTTCCTCGTCATCCTCCGCAATCTTTACAAATCCATTCACCGCATGTTGAGCTGCCTCAATAGTCTCAAACTCAACCCATCCATAACCTTTACACTTGCCGGAATCTTCAAACGTAGCAAGATGCACATTCGTAATAGCACCACACGGCTCAAAATGCTCCTGGACAGTTTCCTTGGTCGCATCGAACCCAAGATTACCAACAAATATCCGTCGCGACGGAAGATGTGCACTTGTCGCAGCCGCACCAGCCTTTGAGGAGCCCGCTCGTTGATGCTCTGCCGGTCTTCCTTCGAAATTTTGAGCGCCTTTAATCAAGACACGACGACCAGCAATAAACTTCTCACTCAACCCGACGGCTTCGTCCATTGCCTTTTTATTTGCAAAGTCAACGTAGGCAAACCCTTTATTCTGTGGTGTAAATCCTCTCGAAGGCCCCATTGGAAGATGGATTCGCGTGATCGTCGCTTCGGTAAAGGTGCAACCCTCTACGAAGAATTTGCGGATATCTTCCTTCGTAGCTGTAAAGGGGATATTTCCAATCCAAACACCGTACTCGGAGCGCTTGCCATCTTTTCCATTCTTTGTCGTCGCCTCTGTTGCTTCTGTTTCGGATTTCACTGCAGTCTTCTCAGTAGGGCCAACATCCTTCTTTTTGGCTTTGCGCAGCGCTTTCTTTGAGGGAGGTTCGGGGGCGGACACATCGATCTCGATTTCGGGGACGTCGTTGAGTTTTCGTTTTTTGTGACTCGTATCCTTCTCTTCTTTTATTTCATTCATGTCGTGATCTTCTTCCTTAAAGCCTGGCATTTTGTGTCTTGTGAATGTAATTGCAGCAATTTGCCAGAATATTGTAGCTTTTGTGAGTTGTAGTTAATTGAGATTTATTTTTTTTTTAGACAAACAAACTCCGCAGGGCCCACCCGCACTAAGGAAGCTGCGGCCTGATCGTCTTGTGGATGCCTTGCCGCCAGCAGAAGCGCGACTTCATCGGATATCCTGTCAACCCCGTCATTGCTCATACATACTTCACCATCTTCAAAGTGGCTAAGGGGATTATCTTATTCAGCTTGTCCCTCTCACCATATCATGCCTTCAGACCAGGATACACACTCGTCACCAGGCGCCCTGCCTGATGCGCCAGCGTCGACCACGAAACAGCCATGCCATTCCTTCAAGTGCGTGTGGTGATTTACTCGGTGGTGGTCGGATATGAGACTAACTTTTCGCGCTGTAGGAAAAAATTTGCGAAATTAAAAGTTAAATTCGAATTGGAGATGCGCGAGAGTGAGGCCCTTGTACGGGAACAGCTACGGATCGAGGACGTCTCGAAGAAATTACAAGAGACGAATGAGTGAGTATTCCTCTTTCTCTCCACCCATCCGGATAGTTAGTGACTGACCTCTGGTCCTATAGCCAACTCCTCGAAGTGCTTATGGAGTTCAACGAAAGCCTCTACATCCCGACCAACCTCCGTTATGATCTCAGTGTACCTGGGGAAGCAACACCGCCTCTGACACCCGACGATGACGATGACATAGCCCCATCGACGTACACACCAACAGCTGCAAAGGCTGCTCTGAAAGAAGCAAGAGCAGAGTTAGACGCTGGCGAAATCACAGCCGATACCTATCGCCGTTTAGAACGAGGCATAAAACGCAGTACTACTTTCCGACCATCGATGCAATACGCCTCTCTACGGCAAATCGCTCAGCACGGTGCGTCGTTGGTAGCGTCTTCTAATTCGATATTTCCGGAGTTAGATCAGGACAAAACTGCGCTGCTCAATATGAATTACATGACCCCGGAACACGAGCATGAATACCTTTTAGCACTAGACGCCAAGATGGGAAACATAGCCGCAGAAGCGCAACTGAAACAGCTCCCCGATAAACCCACATTCGCGGATCGTGAGCGCGAAGCTATCCTACAGAATCCCAATTCTGTGTACAACTGGTTACGACGAAATACGCCCTATGTATTCCTACAGGATAATGAAGTGGCGTCAGAGAAAAGCAGCCAGCCACAGACACAACCACAGCGCTCCGCCGCGAATGCGCGCTCGTCCAAGAGGTCCTCACTCGCTACTTCTCGACAACCAGCCAAGGAGGAAGATATGTACGACGAAGACGGTATTGCGCTTGAAGTACCCGCTCCGTCAGCTTCAAAGGCTAAGCGCAAACGTGATGAAGATACGGGATACCGACCAAAGGGAGGTCGAAGCGGCAGCAACAAGAAGAAGAAACAGGAGACTGATTCTAGTCATTCCGGACGACGTGCGTCAAAGCGTGGTTCTGGAGTAGGTGCTTAGCTGTTTCGACCTGATATACGTATTGTAGTTGACTGTACAACAATAATAACCAAAAAAAAAAATTGCGTCGGCACTTTTACTACGGATCTTGATTCGAGTGTTATAATGATCTGCATTTGGTGAGGGTATCGGAAATGGTCGCCGTATGGTTCTGCTAAATTCCTTCCTTTTTTTTTCCTCGTGTTTCTTGAGACCCTACATATAGGTCCACAAAGGCGTCTCGGTTCATCTTCTACTTACTATGTACTTACTATGGTCCTTCTAATGCATAATACCTTGTCGTATTAGAATTGTTGCATACGGCAATAATATAGATCACAATTTCATATTTCCGGAGGTTAGTTACTTACCAATCATGCTGCATCTCATACATGTATATCTGGATATCTAGTACAGCAGGCTGTAGACCGCTATATGACATTGACAGTATACATCAAATGATCGACACTTTAGGCCTAACACCTGTCATTTGCCTTGACTATTAGGCTGCTTTTTACTCTAAAGTAAGACCATAACTTAGTCCTTAGTCGATCGATGCAGTACTGACAATCATTTAGACCTGTATCACTGTGAATGTTCAATATTGCTTGGCGGCCTAAGTGATACATGATATCGTTCGTGAGAGGTTTCGGAACAGTTTATAGGCTTGGTACGTATATCCTATGAAACTCGGGTAGTTTGTATGATTTGTACGGAGTAGGCGAGTAATTAGTCCTCTGTAGTACAGAGTATCGATGGAAGAATCGTAGAATAGAAAACGGATCTAACACTGTTAGCTTGACCACTTCATAAGACCTGCAGATATATGCAGGTAACGAGTCATGGCCAGGGGCTCAATGCATAACCATGATAGAGGCTGAGTAAAAACCAGAAACAAAGAGCACTCTTTACTTATAGAGTATAGTTAGTATACTCTGCAGATAATAGACAGCTACCACTGGCTGAGATTAATCAAGATTCAATAGATTCTCGAGTTTAGAGTAAAAATGACCCCCTGAGCGACTTTTAAAGCGAGCGGGACAACGTGGCCAGCGCAGAGGCTTGGCGGGCTTACCCCTTGCGTCTACCCGAGACAGTTTACACTTCACCACTCCATCTCCAAATCTCCATACTGAACAGTCTAGTCTTCTAGTGTCCACTCCGGGCCTCTTTTTATTCTGTTAGCGTCGTTGACACTTCAATTCGACTTCCGATCGAATTGTTTTTGTTTTCTCTTCGTCTTACTCCGTACCTCGACCAACTACCATCAATTGCGATGTGGTTCGCGGTCGACTCGCTCTGATCAATTGCAAGTCACGATTTAATGCGTAATTGATGCCGTTGTGTCGCTTTAGTTCTGACACGACAGCCTCAGACTGGATAACTCACACGGTCTGGACTCATTGCGACGGACAACTTCATAGGAACTAGTTGCACAACCACATTGAGTACGACAATTGAACAAGAAACCTCGTTCCGGCCTGTTCCTAGCATGCCACGCCTCTGCGACAGACTCGCAATGCAATGACCTGCGTTCGCCTTCAATTTCAGTGATTATCCGAGCGCCCGGGAGCAGTTCCAAACCCGCTTTATTCTCCGAGAAGTTGCAATTGAGCAAATTGAGTAACATTTCTTACCATTGACTCGATCTTCCAGCAAAGCAGCCGTTCAGTCAAAGTCACTATGGGCTTGGACGATTTCCCGCGGCCTCCTACCACTCAACATCGGAGCACAACCGCGAACTCGAGTCAGTCGAACAATTCTCGTCGTATCGATCAGAATTATTCGCCGCCTTCAACACCACCGTCAAACGGCCGGAAGCAGCAGTCTCAACGCCGGCAATATCCTCCGTCCCGTACGTCGAATAGCGGATACACTTATACGGAAACGTTTCTTGACCATGGCAATACAGTCGAGCAGTTGCTCGGTCGTGCCAGCGAGTCCGGGGACGAGCTCGACCCGCACGATCTAGCACTGTCACCGAAACATGTTACGAGGACGTCGGTGGTGGATAATATGCTTCTTTCTCTGGACCAATTCACTCCAGGTTCGCCTTTATTCAGTGACACTCGCTTCTTCAACGACTCCCCTGAACCCGATCCATATCTGTATAGCAGTAGCAGCCATCGATTCTCCCTTGCTCAGCAACAACGGTTTCGGAGCCACACATTATCTTCATCTATTTCCTCCGACATTGGGCCTGCTCTGTACGGTGACGATGACTACCCACAGATACCTCGTTCTAGCGGGCGCAGGAGCAATGGCAGCTCGTCGCATCCGCTCTCACAGCGGCGCCAGGACACTGTCCGTAGCAGAGATAGCGCCGGCTCCGGGTATCCATCGAGGGCTTACGACCTTGATGAAATGACGGCTACACTACCACCAGTCTCGTCAAGAAGACATGCACCGCGCCAAGCAAGCAAGGACAGTGCGGAAAGTGCAGACTTCGCGTTTGATGAGCATTACCTGAACTATAGCCATAGGCGCTCTATGAGTCTTGATTACGGCTCGCGACCTGCATATCTGTCGAATCCTCTTCAGGGATCCGGATTGAATCTCGATGATCTGGATGCAGCTCCCACTCCTACGGTACCACCTGGGCCTCGACGGGATCCGTTGAGTGGACTGCCTGGTAGTCTACCACCGCCTCGAGCTCCGGCGTTGTCGCGAAGGAACAGCAACCGTTCAGCTCGGAGTACGGCGACGAGAAAGAGTCGCCCAGAAACTCTCGGGACATCCACCATCAAGTACCATGACGATCCGCCACGGCCTCCCCTACCAAGCTCCTTTATTGATCCCTCAGCGCCAAGTCCCACTATATCATATCAGAAACCACCCGTGTTGTCTTCGGCAGATACGACTCCAGCCAAGGAAAAACAGGGCTTTTTCAGACGTGTATTCGGGTCGTCCAAAGCGTCTTCTGAACAGTCAACACCAGAACAGTCTAAATTGCCAATGCCTAGGTCAGACAATCCAGCTACCCCGAGTCAGCCTCGCCAGGAGAGTACACATCCTGTTGTAGCGAAGAAGGCTTCGTCGTTTTTCCGTAGGCGCAAGAAGTCCGTTGTGGACAGTATACCGCCGCCTTTGAATCTGGCGCCAAATGCTCCGAGGGGTCTGGATGTACATCCGGAGCCTAGTCCTGCAAGTAGTCTTCGCCAGGTGATGGATCCTTATCTCTCGACTGCCGCTTCTTCGTCGAAGAGGGGGACCAAGAATAACACCGAAATATACTCGGATGTGCCGGAGCACAGCCCGACCTATCTGCGAACGGACCACTCGTTTATTGAAGATACTACTCCTCGGCCAAAGTTGCGGCAGAGTCGAACTGCAGACGGGTCAAATAATGCGCTGCCCATGGCCAAGAGGTAAGTATCATCGCATGCATATTCTCAATAGCAATTGTACTAACATTCTCAGTAGATCTGAAAACGAGAGCTCAACCAACAATAAACAAGAAGATAGACCTCAAACAAGTCCGGTTGGCCCTTATAGCAATGCGACGGGAGGTTCTCATCCTGCTATGCCAGAAAAGAAATTGCAGGTCAACACGTCATCGAAAAATCTCATACCTCCATCTGAGGTCCAGAACAGTACCGTCCTGCATTCTGGCCTTTCACCGAATAACTCTAGCCGTGGCTCTCTGAGACGTGAATCTTCCATCATATCAAATCTTTCCGCTTCGGACGCTTCTCAATATCATACAGCTTCCAACTCGCCAAGGATTGATACACCACTTATCAAGACGACAATGTCTCCCCATACGGAGAACACTGAAAATGAAACTTCTGACGAGTTTAAGGATACGCCTACTGCAGAAGACAGGGAGATTGCTCGTCGATTATTTGACAATCCGGATGAAGTTGTTGAAAACGAGCCTGCCGCTTGGTTGGGAGATGTTGATCGTGCCATGGTTAGGAAAGCGTATATGGATCTGTTCAACTGGACGAACATGGACATTCTAGCTGCTCTTCGCAGTCTTTGTACTAAGATGGCGCTTAAAGGAGAGACGCAACAGGTTGATCGTGTTTTAGATGCATTATCCACGAGGTGGTGCGAATGCAATCCAAATCACGGTTTCAAAGCAGTCGGTATGTATTCTCTATCATGAGTATAACTGTTTGATACCAAACTAACTTTATGCTAGATGTGGTGCATACCATCTGTTACTCGCTACTGCTCCTAAACACGGATCTACATTTGGCAGATATTGAGCAGAAGATGACCAAGACCCAGTTTGTGCGCAATACACTGCCCACAATTAATCGCGTAGCTTCAGATGCGGCGCCTGATGGATTTGAAACAATACGTGCTAGTGGAAACAAATCTCGTGGTTCTTTGAACATAGCTGCCAAGTCCCCAACCTTGCCTCAAGGTGAACTGACGCTTCCTCCTACCGAAACGGAGACCAAGGCTAGGAGAAGTTCAGTTCTAATGGATGGCTCGAGCTCTTATGGACCTTTGATATCTACACCTTTCCAGGGCACTATAAAAGCATGGGAGGCACAGATTGAGATTGTTTTGAAGGATTTTTACAACTCCATTCAGAAGCAACGTCTGCCGTTGTATAACGCACCGGCAGAGTCTGAAGGCCTTGCTCCTCCTACAACGGCAACAGGCAATATTCTGCGTCGCAGTCCGAGTGTGCTCAGCAAGACCGGTTCAGAGATTATTCCACGCGGCCGGTCTGCCGATTCTCGAATGACGACGGGCCGATGGTCATCTAAACCAAGATCTCGAGCTCGTCTCTATCCAGCTTCGACGATGGCGTCGAGCCGTACGAGTCTTGATGATCAATCGTCAGTTTGGAGTCCGTCGGCGTCGAGTACTTGGAGCAAGTATTCACTCGGCAAGACAATGACTTCGATGTCTGTTGATTCGCTCGGGTCCGAGTACCATCGAGGCGGGTATCAGCAATCGATCGGTTTTGCGAATGCTCTAAGCCATGCTATTATCCGAGAAGACACGGCGCACTCGATTTCTAGTTATGAGGATCCAGGCGCTACCAAACCGCTGCTCGAAGATGAGACCTTGGAGCTTTTAGGTGCTCCGTGGGCCAAGGAGGGCAGTCTTAAACATAAACAGCATCTGGAAGCTGTCGACAAGAAAGCTAAAGACCGCAACTGGAATGAATGTTTCGCAGTTATTCAGCGTGGCTGGCTAAGGCTTTTCTCTTTCAGCGCTAATACCAAATCGATGCGGGTGAAATCCAAACAGCGACAAGGTGGCGGTGGCGGTGTCGTCGTAGGAGGTGGTAACTGGATGGAGAATGCGGAAGAAGTCTGGAAATTCCTCCTTCGTCAGACCATAGCCAGCGCTCTACCCCCTCCGGGCTACTCCAAGTCTCGTCCTCATGTATGGGCCCTCAGCCTTCCAACAGGTGCCGTACATCTATTCCAAGTCGGCACAGCCGAAATCGTACGCGAATTCGTCACCACAGCCAATTACTGGAGTGCTCGACTCTCGAAACAACCCTTAGTGGGCGGCATCAGCAATATGGAATACGGCTGGAGTGACGCAATCATCAACAGCGCCCTGGTCAATATGGATAATACTCGATCACCGCCCAACTCCTCCGGCGCAGGGCCCCAACCACCACCAGCCCGGCCCAGTTTCCAAAGCTCCATCCGCAGCTCCCTCGACCAACAAGGCGGCGTGCGCGCAAAACTACCCGCTGATCGCGTACACCTCAGCGACTGGACCCCACCACAACAAAGCATGAACGCCTCCAACCTCAGCGAAGCAGACCAACTCACTGCTTTACAAACATATGTGAAAAACGTCGAAGACGATTTACAAAAACACAACGAACTTCGTCCCGCAGTGCTCCTCGCTTTTTCGCCCAGACACCCCAACGCGGCAAAAGCGATGGCGAATTGGGAACGGAAATCGTCGTATTTGTTGAGAGAGATTGTCAAGTTTAGGACGTATATTGATTGTTTGGTTGCGGCAAAAGCGCAAAAGGAGAAAATTTATGCTGAGAGGGAGGCTGAGATTGATGCTGAAGGTCATGCTAGTAATGATGATGGTGAAGAGGGGGATGATACTATCCTTGCTTCTTAGTTTCTATTTTCTTCTTCTTTTATCTGGGTGGTTTAACTTCTTTTCCTGTAAATATATTTTTCACTGTTTCTTTCTTTTTCTTTCCTTCACCGCTCTCTATTCCAGCTTGTCGACCCTTACATCTCGGACATTGTTCCAAGGGAGGAAAGTCCTTTCGGTGGTTTGATGATTTCACTTTTTTCCGCCTGTTGCAACGCCCTTTTTTCTCCTATGGGAGTGTTGTTTTCTGAACAAATGACCTTTTGCATCTATTATTACTCTTGTAACGAATCTCGTTCGATTTCCTTGCTTTATATTCTCTTTTCATTTGTGTTGTATGTACCTATTCTAATGAGCAAAAAAATTCTAATTACAATTTTTCTATTGAATTGTTTTTTGTACTTTTGAGTTCCTAATCCAAGTTTCATTTTTGTCTTATTCTTGTTCATATTTCTTTACTTCATTCAAATACGGGGTGACTATTGTGAGATTGCACAAGCTCTTGAGAACCCAGTCAAATGAGTTCGTTTTCTTTGCAATACCAAGACAATCCTTTCTTATTCACTTTAGTAACTTATGACCATGTATATGCTTAGGTAGTACTAGAGCTAGTCGAGTGTCAACTAACCTAAATTGTCATGATTAAATAACAACTTTTCCTCACTTGAATTCATGTTGAGTGGAGAGTTTCTCCGTTACTATTTACTCAGCCATTTATTTGGACATGCCTGTCTATGATGAGTTAGGGCCTTTTTACGGCCATTCAATAGACTTAACCCTGATCCTGTAGTTTTCATGTTCCCAGGGTCAAGTCGGCTAGAATGGTTTTTGGCCCAGTTAAGCTTCATCTATTGGTATCAGCAGGAAGGGACATGTGAAAAACTTTAACCCTAACTCAATTGCGTGTGGACTAGGTATAGACTTTGTTTAATTGTGAAATCCAGAGCATATGAGAAAGAGAATATATCACACGCCGATTTCATACTCCCTTTCATATGTTAAAAATGGTAAAATGAACAAATACAACTCTCTGATGAAGACTTATTATCGAAGTAGCAATATTTAGCCTAGGTATAGATATTGAGGGAGCTATTGATGGAAGTGTCCCCAGCGGCAAGGCTCATAAGCTTCACAGGATATACTTCAGTTGTAAATGAATGCTAATTGCCTCAATCATTCATTTTCTAAGGTTTTTACCCGGTTGAATAATCAGTCTGTCCTTGTTTTGCTCCACAACAAGAGTAGCTTGCTCAAAAGCATAGGCGTAGGCTATTAATTTCTGCTCGCTGTATCTTCGACCAGTAAATGTGATGGCAAAGCTGTGATCATGAACTTGTCAGCCTGACTCAAACTCACCTTATATCAAAAGTAACTTACGGTATATTGGGCCCTTCAGTTACCAATCCCTTTGAGTCTGTCACAACACACCTGTCCTTCGAGTAGAGTCCCAAAGGTACGGAAATCCCAGGAAGTCTGCCGAGGTCAAGCGGTAGATCGGCCGATGAAGTTGCCAGAAGAACATCACACCCATGTGTATCGAGCATATGGACGAGATCTTCACCAAGAGCCTCCATGCGACTTTTGATAATCGAGAACTCATCATCCTTGGAGGTGATATGAACATCACTCGCACTTTCAAACTAATCTGCTCCGAATTTCTCATACTGTTCTTTCAGTGTCGCTTTCGTGAATGTAATTAGATCAGAGATATTTTTGATTTCGTGGGGATGAGTTTCAACTTGTCCGAAAAACTTTTCAAATGCTAAATACAATAGGGTTAGTCGACCAGGCTTTTTGGTAGGTATTTCCTTACGCTTACCTTCTCTCAGGAGCACATTGCCGAAAACACCCTCACGCTGCTCACTACCAGGTTTCCAGAGATTGAAATCTATATCATCAACAATTACGGCACCAAGAGATTGGATCTTTTCCACCGCCTCTCGGAATGCCACTCCAACCTCAAGATCCGAATCTGCGACATTGTAGATCGACCTTGGTACCTGGATTTCGTCAACATATGGCTATGTAAGAGTCTATGTCAATACCTACTGCAATGCGTACTCCAACTAACCCGTCTGTACTATAAAAGTCCGCATAACTCGGTATTTTGTCAAAAGGTATATCTGCTGTGGCCGAGTCATGCTCGTCTCTCCCTAAGATATTCTTAGTCTACCATGGCAACACTAGGATGGGAGAGCTCACCGGCAATGGCCTGAAGGATGATAGCACAATCCTTGACATACCGACTAATCGGGCCAACAGTATCATATTCAGGGTTCACTGGAAGTGTCCCAGCTCGTGATGTCAAGCCAATCGTAGGTTTCAATCCCACAACACCGTTTCTTTTTGCAGGGGACAGAATACTCCCACATGTCTACATTTGGAAAATCATTAGTATCAAGCGTAGAAAGCAGAAAAGTGATGACTTACTTCGCCTCCTAACGTAAAGCTAGCCATATTCATGCATGCTGCAATTGCACTGCCAGATGAAGACCCTTCCGGATCTTGTTTTTCATGAAACCCTCCAAGGGCTTGTCCCCATAAGGCTGACCATCCATTGGGGCATTTTGGTGATCTCGACCATCCCCATTCACTCATATTCGTTTTTCCAAGAATGATTGCTCCTGCTTCGCGAAGTCGTGAAATGACGGTAGATTCTACTTCATACTTGGCTCCAAGGAGCGCATAAGAACCTCCTGGAAACAGGTTAGCTATGTAACAGCGAGAGCTATATCCAAAGAACCTTGGTACCTGTTGTGTCCATTTCATCCATGGTAACGAAGGTATCTTTTACCAGGAACGGGACGCCGTGTAAAGGTCTACGATATATTTCAATGAATATAAAACCTTGACTCATAAGGATAATTGAAACGCTTACCCCATAATTTGCCCATTTTCTCGCTGTCGGCCCCGCTCAATTGCAATCGATTTGATCTCCGGGTTCAGTAGAGCAACAGCTTTAACTATCCCGTTGACCTCAGATATCCTCGAAAGATAGAACTGTTGAAAATGCATTAGCCTAGAAAAAAATGTACGCAAATCCTACCACAAGAAGGGTTTTTGTGGTACAAATTGACCATGAAAGAATAAAGTGATTACCTCTACTAAGTCATGAATGACTGCTGAACGAACCATTCTGAAGGTTTCGTCTTGTGCCGTCCAGATCCAGACTTTCTAACACTTGGGCCAAGTTTCCGTCGCCGTTTTGCTCTGAAGGAACCGACGCGCGTATCGCCCGTGGTAAGGTATTGGAAGTAGCCATTAGTGTCGTTGTGACAATGAAAATGTTGATTGCCAATTACTTGGAGACCCTCTGCAGATAGATGCTCCTTGATTGTTTGCTTAAAGAAACTGATACGCTAGGTCAGAATTTGAATACCTTTAGGGTTAGCCAATATTCAATAAAGAATGACCACAACGCATGCGGGAGGGACCAGCTTACAATACCCAGGATGTGCCAACAGGTCTTGTTATTGAATATGTAATCTTCTTTCTTTCTGCCCGAACCTTGGTCAGTTTGAATCAACAATCATAAAGAGGCAGGGGTAGTCAAACTCTGTGGCTTTTCGTGGGACCTCGGAAGCTTGATCTGTGACCAGTGAACGAATCAAAAAAGGATGCGGGGGGAAAAGATAGGTAAAAGAACAGTCACCATCATGGTTCAAAGCGGTGATTGATGTCGACTGAGGGGTCTACAATATCCAGAGGTTACACAAGGATGCCTTTTTCATCAAAAGATTCATAGTAAGTAATCTCGTAGCGAAGCCGAACTGGGGATCAACCATTTGGCACCATGACATGTCTTGAGCCTGTTTTCATCGCCCCGATTTTATTCACAACAACTGGCAAAATCACAGAATTCGCATCAAGCTGATAAAGGTTAACAGTCCGTATAGCAATTTCGGCCATCTTCGAAAAGTAAAAGCAAGATAAGCATTGAGGCTTCGGGGACCCGGAAGTGGATGAACATATCCGATATAAAGACCCCTTGCCTATTTAAGACTAGTTGACATGTGTGTATGCACAAAAGAGATGGTGCATGTAAAGGCTGAGGATTATTACTGGGTACTAACTAAGCGCCCATTTTAGTCTATCTAATAAAGCTGGTCTATGAGGCTGTAGAGATAAATACTTCATTCAACCTCACTTTCGGTGTCTTTACAAGATAATGGCAGTCCCAACCTCTACAGACCCCTCTCCAGACGAGGGGGAGAATAACGGACACGGGCAACAAAGTAGGACTTCGCCGTCTGAACTACCTGCCCACCACGACCAAGACCCACGGCCCAGCGAACTCCCAAGTCATACTGTAAGCAACGTCGAAAGCGAAGCGCTGCCAAATTACTCGCGACGTCCCGACAGTAACGCTCCTCGTCTACCATCTTATGCTCGAGTAGAGCGTACCGATCGACTTCGGCGTGAGTCCTGGCAAACATTTATCGAAAGCAAAATGTATGGGCCGGACACCTTCGGCGGGCATAAAGGAATTACCGACGGACCGCCGAACGACCCTCTGAAACCTTTCCGATGGATACGGAGAAAGGTGAAGGGCGAGAAAAATGTTTGGAGGAAGCTATCGGTTGAGGAGAGGAGGAAATGGGAGGAAGAAGGGGGTCCGGTCAATTATGATGCCGGAGAAGTAGCGAGACAAGATATGGACACATCGACAATCCTTTGAGGCGAGAATACGCGTGAAACACTATAACGACCTGGGAGATACTGAATTACGATACTTTGATTGCCCTACGTTTTTTAAGTGCTTACTCTATCTAACCCGAGGTCTCGCCTCGTTGATAAAATTGGCCGCAGCTGGCGATTAGAGTACAAGGAAAACAAAAATCATGAATAAGTATCACTCTCTAGATCTTCCCATAAGCTACACGACGTAATTGTAGACTAAGTTGTCTTCCGTCAGGTATGAGAACAATCACTGTAGCCTTACTTCCACTTGACAACAACACTGGGGTGAGCTTCTCTGCTGGGCTAAATCTGACCTCTACTTTCCTATAAGGCCCTTTTTAAAGCAATCGCTCTATGAAACAACAAGCTTGGCTTCAGATAAACCTTTCATCGCGCCGATAGAGTCACCATTAGGGCTAAAACGTCACGTGAACCGTCCGCCACCTGCCATTTTAGGAAACTCGATCTGATATCTACACTTTTCTATCTTGGAGTCCTTATCCACCAGTTCTGCTATTATACGGTTGTACCATTATTCTTTCCCGTACTTCTCTTGCTTGCTAGAATTCCTACGATACCAGCCCATGCACTAATCAAAAAGCACGGGAACATTCCCCGGGTGTGAGTCGAATATGGATGTATACTTAAATAGTCATCTGTGGAGGACTACATAGAAAAAAGACCATCTACGTAAAAATATTGCTTCTGTAAAAGTATAACATATGTCATCTATTCTTCTTCTCCTTGATGAAGGCTGCGCCAGGAGGTCGAATGGATAAGCTTTCCTTCAGCATAACCTGGAAGGGCAAATGAGTAGACAAAGTAGAATGTCCATTGTAGAACATATTCGTCCATATCTTCTATTCACCGGCGGCCTGCAGCCATGGTCCGTGTCACGTATAAGCGGCATTCCGTTCAGTCAACTCGCGTCTGTACCACAATTCGAAAGACAATGGCCTACAGCTTCCTTCTCAATTGAATTGCTCGAAAATATGTGTTTATAAATGCAAATCAATTTACGTCAGTATGGAGAGCATTCTGCATAACCATCTGAAGAAGAAATGCTGTCGAAAACACATGTAAACATACTCGACATCATGAGCAAGATTGGAGAGCATAACTGCTCTGAAATACTTTAATGGGTAACTAAACGGTGCCTGTCAAACGGTGTGGTGACCCACGGCTGAGCAACGCAGCGAACTGCTAACGTGATGAACGAAACATAATTACTTTCTATGCGGCTGAAACATCATATAAACTGCCTTAACAAGTAATAGTTTGGTTACTCCTTTTAGACTGTTGGTCTGCAGACTCTAGAAATTTTATGCTCTCTTCCAAATGTGGTATGTGTATAACACTGTACATAGATTCAAACTCCTGAATGTAAGTTATGTGTGGTTAACAGAAATCGAACGTGACTGATGGCGGCTACATACATTAATCTCCAGGTCTTGGTAATGCTTAAAGTTTCCAAGGTCTATGGTCCACATCTCATTTCGAATAGTTCGGTGCAATTTTGCTATTAATTTGCCATCTTTTCCAACGTCCTCCGATAGGATTGAACACATAACTCTACTTTGAACAGTCTTGTTTGCTCAGAAACATAATTGCGCTAGTGTTTAGCTATAGATCTCACAGTTCTAGTCACTCGACACTCGTTCAACTATCTAACCATGATCAAACGTCGATGTCCCACGATTCGATAGATAACTCAAAACAGAGCCATGTTGTCTGTTTGTATCATAACCCTAACCCTCATCAATTGAGATCAACGAAGCATATTCGAGACATGCAAGCAGAAATGAACGACAGCGCGAAATCTCTATTCGCAATGATTACCTAGGTGGTTAACATCAGTATTGCAAAATCAAGTCGGCCATGCGATTGCTTCCTATAAAAGACGAAATATAAACGTTTATCCACGAGGTATAATAATAGATCGTCTATTAATGCTTCTATCTCGCCTACACAAAAGAATCGATTGGCTCAGATCCCCAACGCATGGACCTACCAAAAACGTGGCGGTGAGTGAGAGAGACGTCGATTCGATCAGACGTTTTATGTTTTGCTGTTAAACTTGTTCCTGTCCTTCAAGACATGGAGTGGCGAACCACCCAGGCCGTTTATTCCATGCCGTGCTGGGATGGTTACTATAGAGCGCGTAACTTTCAAGGATTTTATGGTTGCACTTTTTAAATGAACTGGAAGTTGAAATTGAAGAATTGGCATGGTTTGATCATGTGTAACCCTACCGGGATTATTATTATGATCAATCGGACTTATCTCTTCGCCAAATATTTCTTGTGCATTGAACTTTGAAGGTGTCAATTGACCTGATTGCTAATGAATACGAGAATCACATGTGTTACCATAGACCCAATAAGTCAGAATAGCCGAGTGATTTGACTCTTGTTTATCAATTGCCAAAGTAGAATCGCTGAGCGGGGAGGCCGAAAAGTCTACCTATCCCGATGTCAAAGGTATGATCCTCTCAAATTCTTGAGTCTTGACTTGCCATCGAGGCTGAGATGGCCAGCAACGGCAATCCAAAGTGATTCGCTGAAACGAAATCCTCGTTGTGTTCCCCTCTTTTCCTGACAAGTTGATCTCGATTGTGGGGGGAGGCTAATACTGAAAATGACTTTAGGGCATGTTTTAGTTGCGCCATCAGCAAAATCGACAGAACCAATGGACCCTGCGCAGCCATACAAAAGGAACAAGTCTCAAAACAAAGACCCGTACAAAATACGCAGCCCAAGTATGGAGACAACCGACTAACTTAGTCCGGAGACTGAAAAAGTCACTCTGTACCTAGACATGTAGGCAATGGGCAAAAGACGCCTAAACCAGCCCCTCATTTTTACCAGTTCGCTCTGTCCCCTCAGCCATGCGGCGTTGAGCCGAGGCCCTCGTTTTAATCAATCTGCCAACAGCTGCAAATACAAAATTTCCGGTTGTCCCGCTACGTACATCACGTTACGGAATGGATGCTTCGTTGGTTGAGATGTTGATCAGATGAGATCATTGTCTTTCAAAGTGTCCTTATTACTTTTACCATCTAGTAGTATGTCCTACGTACCACTAGGCATGGGATGGTCCCTCTTCTTCGTGCTACGTGCATACCACTATATCTAATTCAGTTACTTGCCTCGTGTGCTGGCATATGATTTGCGGAGCTGTGCGGATGCCTGGTATGCGATTGTTTCATGTTTATCTGTAGATGCTACTGTAAATTCTTGTTTACATACATCCACTTCCCCTGAAAAGTTCTAAACTTACGCATTTCGGGTTGGATTGATCGGTTTGCAACTCTTCTTCATCTTCCGTACGTCTGTTCCACTCGCTTAACAGACAAGAACGTCAGAGAAGATGGACACGACAGGTGTCGTAGGCAGCCTCACGGCCGATCACGAGGCTCGCCTCCAGCAATTATGGATGTTCCTACTGAACGCCTTTGAGAATCAAGAATTCTTCGCCAACCGCCGTTCCAGCTTTTCGCGGCGCTCGTTGAGTATCGATGAACCACCACTATCTCCATCCAGCATGAACAGCACATTTTCCGGTGGTCGCCGCACAATGTCCATGTCCAGCAGTCACAATAACAACTTCAGCAACCCTTTTGTGGCCACGGGTCCGAATACGCCAATATCGCCGGGATTTCCACCAATGCCACCAACTAAGAACCAAGACCTAAATGTACCGAAACCACAATATCAGCATTCATTCAAAAAATTGCGCCGACGCACATCGCTGCTCAGCAACGGTAAGAGCAGCAGTAACAATAACGGACCCTTCATCGAACCATCAACCCCAAACCCACTCCGCAGATCATCAACCCGCAAAGGCGGACTCGCCTTTCAAACCCAATCCATGGGTGGCGTGGACCTACGACCCAGCCCACAAAATGCAAAGATCATGCAACGGGTCCTGGCATCCTACAAACTAACCCCTGACGAGCTGCGACTGGGTCTGCTAGCATCCCTGAAACAAGACCATCCAGACGCATTACTTCTCCGATTCTTGCGCGCACGGAAATGGGATGTCGGAAAGGCATTTGTCATGCTCGTTGCGGCAGTGGCCTGGCGGACGAAAAAAATGCATGTAGACGACGACATTTTACCACGCGGAGAATTGTATGCGCTACAACAACTACGCAGTTCAGATGAAAGACAGAAAAGAAAAGGGTGGGATTTTATGAAGCAGTTCCATATGGGGAAGAATATTATTCATGGTGTTGATAGGGCGGGTAGGCCGATTGTGGATATTAGGGTTCGATTGCATCGGGCTGAGAATCAGTCTGCTGAGGCGTTGGAGAGGTATGTTGTGCATACGATTGAGAGTGTGAGGATGTTGTTACGGCCGCCGATGGTTGATACTGCAGTACGTTTCTTCTTCTTTAATTGCTTATGATGGTATACTGATTCCGGCAGATACTCATATTTGATATGACTGATTTCTCCATGGCGAATATGGATTATACGCCTGTCAAGTATATTATCAAGTGTATGGAGAACTTTTACCCGGAATGTCTTGCTGCAATTATCCTGCACAAAGCGCCGTGGTTCTTTTCTGGTCAGTCCCCCCTTTTTTGGGCCTCATATCCTATGCTGACTTTAGAAAAGGAATCTGGAAAATGATAAAAACCTGGATGAACGACTCTCTTGTGTCAAAAGTCCACTTCACCAAAACCCTGAAAGATCTCGAACGCTTCATTCCACGACAAAACATCCCTCCAGATCTGGGTGGTACAGACGATACATATCAATACCACTATATCGAACCAGACCCAGATGACCGCGCCGAAAATTTGTCACTGGACACGCACTCGCCCACGCGAGACTTCTTATCTAATCAACGACAACGTATTGCGGAGGATTTTCTGTTAACAACTCGTCTATGGTTACAAACAATCGCGATGCGTGATGGGATCGGACAAGCGGTTCAACAAGATCGACGCGCGGAATTAATTGAAGAGTTACGGCTGAACTATTGGAAATTAGACCCTTTTATTCGTGCGAGATGTCAGTTGGATCGGGAGGGAGTTATTGTTAGTGATGGAATTGGTACGATTGATTTTTATCCGCATTTGAGGTCTGTTGAGAGGCGGATTTCTATGGAGGATGTTACGACTGCTGATGCGGTGGAGGTGGCTACTGCATCGTCTTCGTTTTTCTCAAGGGAGAGTTTGAATCATAGTTCTAATGGACAGGTTGGATTGGGATTGTTGTCTCCTTCCCCGTCGACTTTGAGCATGGACCATAACGCTGAAAAGGTCGATCAACACACAGAGGACGAAAAGACGAGACCAGATTCACTCAACTTTCTTGACGACGAAAGCATCGATGACGACGAAAGCATCGATGACGACGAAGAAGACGAATCAAGCACAGCCCGCGACGAAATAATGCAAGAATACATGGACGACAACTACGACGAATACGAACACGAAACACCAGAATACTACCACTCCGCACCGGTACGACCGCCGCCGCCACCACCAACTCATCTTTTACATCCTACAACAACCCAGTATCACCAGAATAAAGAAACCGACATCCATAGCGAAACATCGTTTGACCTCGACGATCTTGACGAAGAAGACGAAGAAGAAATTGAGATTCACGATGCGGTTACGCGGCGTATTCCTTATCCGAGAGGGGGAGGGTTTGTGGAAAGGGCGGCTGTTAGGGTTGTTAATGTTCGATGATAATTCTCTCCGGATGCATTTTGAGGTATCAAATTTGGTTATATTCTCTAGTACTTTTTGGAATTGTATTTGTATTGATTCTTTTCTCCTTTTTTGCTATGATGGATGAACGTTATGATTGGGTTGCTCTGGATGAGGGGATTACTTACCATTTACGAGGGATTGCGTTATGTATATACCTTATGTTATTCACTATTAAGTCTATTTCACGCCTATAGTTTCAGCACAGCTCTATACATATTACTACCTATTCTTCAATCTGTTAGACCCAAGGACCTAACGAGGTCGACATGTGCATCTACAAGTAACTTAATGGACAAGAAACGCACCCCAATTTTGTCTGTTATTTACTCTCAAACAGCTATATACAAATCCAAGAGACCGGAATGAACTCCCAGCTCAAATGAACCAAGTATGTACATCAAAAAAAAAGTCCAAATGAACTAAACATTAGCCCAGAGCCAGACTGAGTACCCGTTCCAAGCCAACTCCAACTCAAACAAACTCCTAAAACACCAACTGATCCAATTCGCACCGGGATCAGTATGATTAATGTATGAGAAAAATAAAGGATTATGGACAAGAACGATCGAAAAAAAAATTGACAGAAAATGTGGTGTATCAGCGCCGCTGTACGTTGATGGTAAGGATGATGAAATATGTACCGGTAGATCCAGGTGACGATATAAACAAAATGAAAAGGTTAATGATAGTACAGACAACGTCGTCGATGTTGTCTTGACAATGGGTAGGTGAAATATTATTAATGACCGTTGCGTATCGAATAGACAGCTAGTGGAAAACCTTGCCGATGCGTTGCGTAATTCGTAATATATCAATTTTTGTTCTGGTCCGAATTCGATCATGACCAAAATTTTGGTCGAGGCATGATCAAACACGACTGACCTTGAAAGGATGCATAGTCCTCTGACCATACCGCGTCATCCGGAAGGCACTAATATCAATAGAAACTTCCGAAGTATCAGACCGATCATCAACTTCGAGTATTGCTGCGTTCATCTCCTCGGGATCGTTGTCTGGGAGTTCCTTTGTCGCGGCGGTCACGGCAACGGCAGGTCTTTTCAGTTCATCCGTTGTCATCGTAGTAAATTCTTGGCTTGGTTCCTGCTCTTCTTCTACTTTGAGTCTTTCTTCCTCCTGTTCGGCCATTGTCGTGGAGGCTTCAAGGATCAATTCATATGCTCGTAGGATACTGTCTAATTCATCTAGACAATTCCCTTCACGCAGGAATTTATATGCCGCCGTTTCGCACAGGTTCTGCGCATTCTCCAATTGAGACTCAATAAAGTCATACGGACTCTCTTTAGTGCGGGTAGGTTGCTGTTGTCGAGGTGTATAAGGAGGAGCCAGACTCCGGCGTGATCTTTGCTTCATCATATACATACGTAACTGTAACTGGTCTTCCAATCCATCATCATCGGTTGCAGTGGATGCATCCGGGTCCACTTCTATATTCGCTTGTGTATCCGAAGTTATATCCGGGATACCGGTTTCGGGGGATTTTTTCAAGGGTATCTGCATCTTGATCCGTCCTCCAAAGGCGGTGCGCATTGAGGCGGAAATTCGGGATGAGCGGATACTACTCTTTGCCATCCAGATATCTCGTACCATTGCCTCGAGGACTTTTTGTGTGTGGCCGTCGTAGGAAATGACCTGTGTCGGTTTTCCTCTTCTTGACGGCGGAACCGGTGCAGTTGGCTCGGCTTTTGTTGATTCATCATTGTTCATGATCCGTTGTTTCTTCACCCCCTCATTACTTCGCAGCGACTCCCGCGATAAAAGCCGCTTGAGACCGTGACCGCCTGTATGTTTCACAGATCGTTGACTGCGAACCGACGTCACACTGCTACTGATCGACTTCTTTCGGTGCAGGGATGATGGTGAAACAATAACATTCTCGGCCTCGGCAGCGAACTCGGCTCGTTTGGTATGGACATGGGCGGATAGCTTGTTCACCTCCGAGATCCAGGAGGGGACATTGTCACGCAATTGAATGAAGCAGGCCATTGCGAGAAACGTACCTGTCAATCGGTCGCCTCGGTAGATGGTCAATGAGAAGAAGGCTCGTTGTAATAATGATCGTGCGGATTAAATGGCCAGCATATCAATCGAGTATTTGGATATATATAGACATGCGTAGACAAACTTGACAGATAGTCTGGCCAGAGGACTGGGCTGAGGATATTTGAATGAAATGGTGGAAAAGCCGGGGTGGGCAACCCGGCGATGAAGAAGGTGGCTGCGGGTGGAGCCGCGGGCCGTGATTCATGGCCTTCGGCTTAGTGCGTTCTCTCGCTTATAAATAAGCTTCGACTAACGGTTGACAATGTATTGTTCTGATTCTTCTGAAGAGTATTACTCCTATAGAGTATGCCTATACAAATCTGAGAATATGCCTGGGTATCTAGTCAATCAGTATATTACCTTTCTATTGAGTATACAACAGACGACATCCCATCTGACATCTACAGGCCATCTGAATGTGCTCTCGACGAAGAATTTAACGTAAGTATGCATCCGAATCCTTCTGCGATGATTCAGCGGCCCCAGCGGCTCCGACCGACAGTCACGCACTGATTGGCTGCGGAACAGCGGGAAATGGGGATACTCAATAAATATAGGGCCAATCAATAATAAGACCATTATCCAAAGCAGCCAATAGTGAGCCTTCCGAGGTAATTTAGCTTTATTAGTGCGGCGGGAATGGTCGTCTACCTGCCCTATTGAGCCTAGTCAACTTCTCAATATTGGAAGCACCGTTTCACGCCTTAGGAGCCAGTCAAATCCACTTCGCTGGTTCAGATTATCTGTGAGACTGTGACAGTCTCCGCGGCAGATACTACGATCTGACCCAAGTATCTCTGGTACTAACGACTCTATCGAGGACGTACTCGAGTTACTGCAAATAGACTTAAGATGGCCTCTCTTAAGGCCGAAATAGTGACTTACTGTTTGCCTCATTCGGTAGCAACTACATTGGATCTACACTCAGTGTCCCAAGACTCCCAACTCCCAAGAGTTCCAATCTGCCGTGTTTGGCTTGGCTTCTGGAGAACGTGCAGTATTTCTCCTACCTTGCATATTGCAGTCGCACTACATATAAGCCCAGCATTTTCTCCGTCCTACATACGTGATAACGGTCAAGGTCCGATGAATCAGTGATGATCATCCAAATCCCTGTCCCACGTAAGCGTTGCTCGTGAGATATGAATATAGTTTATGCGAGTTGCGAGTCCTGCGCCAGAATTATTGCAAACTCGCTAATTTCATGGACTTCGTTATATCCTCAAGGATACTTCCAGTCCCCGAGTCGGCGACCATTAAACTGGGCCCAACTAATTGGGCCGTTAAGTGCTTGTACGTTGTTGATGCGCATGGAACACTACCGTATGGCCTTGGAAATGGTATGTCTCCATATCAGGTGACTCTATTTCTAGCAAGGATTCGTGGTCGATGACCAAATGCATGTCCGTTCGAAAGCCACCGTCTTAACGCTGTGCGACTGCATAGTAATCCTGTCAAAGTCGTCGGTGAACACTCCTTCAACCAGTTTACTTTCTGGACGTGTAGCGTGTCTAGTGACGAAAGGATGTTTCATCATTAAAAAATGGAGTGTCACATTATTGAAGATCATCCTATCGCGCTTAAAGCGCCATAAAGCATAAAGTGTTCTTTGTGCAAACCGTAAAAGGATGAGGGCTGACCAGGATGGATGTTCTGGATTGCTTAGTCATCTGTGTTTGCGTTGTTTGTCTCAGCCCTTCATGATCCGCAACGCCAAGCTTCAAAATTTGGATGCTGCAATGACTTCAGCATCTCGATAGAGTCTTCGACGAGCATCTACTACGTCTGTTAGTTTACGAAATTTACCACATGTCACAGTCTAATTTCCTGGTTAAGTTTGTCAGACTTACATCGCCATGGGCATTACCATCCTAGCTCCCGCAGTGGAAAATGCTGGGTACACTGGCCGAGAGATCGATGCACAAGACTCAGAGGGCGATGTTGATATGGACAGACTGCCCATCAAACGACCTCGTCTAGATCAAGCCTCTGGATTTGGTACGGGGATAGTCGTACCTGGTGAGACGGTCACCAATGACCCGCAATGGATGCGGTATGTTCCATCATTTAGTATCTTGATGACGCAAAATTCATCTAACTGTCTACAGAGGCCACGGAACCTTCACAACCCCATTGTCAACCTCAATCATCGCCACAGTCGCAGGCACAGTCTCCAAAACCAACAAGTTACTTTCTGTCCACCCACTACGAGCCCGCTACATGCCCGAAATCGGCGACCTCGTCGTCGGCCGCATCGTCGAGGTCCAAGCACGTCGATGGAAAGTCGACATCGCCGCTCCGCTACTTGCACAATTACCCCTCTCCGCCATCAATTTACCCGGCGGCATCCTTCGTCGACGCACAAGCGCAGATGAACTACAGATGAGAAATTTCTTCGTGGAGGGGGACCTTGTCGTCGCTGAAGTGCAGAGTGTACATCAAGACGGATCCGCGACGCTCCATACTCGGTCTTTGAGTTATGGTAAATTGCGGAATGGTGTGTTTATGGCCGTGACTGGGACGGGCGGTAGTGGTGCAGCAGCTACTACGTCAAATCGATCAAAGACTAGCGGTGCTGGGTCAAACATCGCTGCCCCGCCATCAGCAGCAGCGGTTGGAGGTGTCGTCCGATCGCGACGACAAAAATGGACCGTCAACGCAGCCAACGGGGGCGGCGATATCGAAATCATCCTCGGCGTGAATGGATACATCTGGATCTCGAAAAAGGCAGACACCTCTACAGCTGCATCATCTACCACGGAACCAGTCTCAATCACTCGCATGGAAGAGCTGGCCACTAGCTCGATATATTCCAGCCAAAACGACGAGATTCCGCGTCAGACAAGACGCGAAATCGCGCGGTTGGCGGGATGTATTCGTGTACTTGTTGAAAGCAGCGTTCGTATTGAGCAGGATACAGTTATGAGTGCGTATAATGCTAGTTTGGAGGTAGATTTGGAGATGGACGGTCGTGATTATGATGATGCTGCTGCTGCTACTGGTGCAGGCCAGGAAGGACAGGATTATTTGGGTGGTGAGAAGGCGCAGCGGATTCTTGAGATGATTGCTTAGTGTCGAGATGTTGAGATGTGTTGTGCGTGTATGCATTTGATGGTGTTTATGAAGATACCCTATGGATGATTATTGAATACATATCATTCGCTTGATGTCACTCAATGGCGGTGTTTAGTTTGGTCGAACTGCGGATTGATCTTGGAGCTGGAGCTAGGGTTAGGATTGAACGCACCAGCTAGCAACCAGACCAATAGCGATTCGGCGAATTTGCAGTCTGCCACATGGAGGACTGGTCTACTTATACGTGATTATCAAAATTTACGAATCATAGCCACGGGCAGCCTTTTAGCTTTGAATATATCAATGTTTTATATTACCTTTTGAATCCCTTCAGTCATGACATGCTCACAAGCTGATCAAAGTCCCCGATTGTCCCAATCCATGCGCAGGATGATGTTATTCGCCTTATTCTTCGATCTGGCTGCATAGACTATGCTATCAAGTCTTTAAGGAAAGCTTTTAACACCAACCACAAACCTGATCTTGATGAAATACAGGAACTTGCAGACACAAGCAAGCCCATTTATGATGAGTTGCAAGGACCTCATGGCTGTAGAAAGGTCTCTGCGGTTCTAGAGTTTCTTTTCAGTTTAGCTACAGAAATTTCTCCGAGATAGGTTTCGGCAGGATTTGCTGGCTCAACTACCCATCGAAATCACAACTTTGATCGCCGATACATTGGTTCTTGTTGGTACTTGACTGTGCTAGGCGAGAGCCGGTGGGTATTTTATTTGTGGCGAATGATTAGACAACACAGAGAGTGTGCACGTTTGGGCGTAACGAACGGTATATGGATTTATACAACTCGTTATCGCGGAGTTTCATATGTGGTGAGACTCAGCAATGGACAACTCTATAGAACTCGCTGGACCTTTTGATGGCCAAGATGTAGAAGTGTCTAGAAAAATCAAACAGGCTATTTTATCGAAGGATTCAATAGGTATACGACAAATAGAATGGCTAGAGCAGGATTCGAAACCAACGTTGGATATATCACCGTGGTACAAAGTCATGGACGTGATGAATTCCAAACTAGATCTACAAGTTGACTGCAAAGTGGGTTATGACTGTTAAACAGGCATTCTACCCAAGTGCGCTAACGCTCACTATAAAGTCTTTTTGTCAGAGGTGTTGAACCTGTCTCAAAGTGTCCATTCGCAAAGTACAATATTTGGAGCTCTCCTTGCCCACCTATATTCCGTCTAGAGAATGCTCTTCTCCCGCGAGATAAGTCTAGGTTGGACTACGTGAGATTCGATGCCTCCACTACAGTAACGGGCTTTTTATTTGCTGTGCCAATGGCATGAACATCGGGATCCATGGATTCCCGAAGGTGTCGAAATCATTTCAAAAGTTTGTCAACCTCATGCATAGACGCGCAGTTGATAGTCTCAAATACTGGAGTACTTCCCGTTGAACAAAGATGAGTTCGTAGAGGAAGCTTGGATACGGAAGTTTGAGCTTTGTAATGGACCAGCGCCTTGGCTCGTTCCTATAGTATGTTCGAATATTCTACCATCTTCCCTTTCGTCTGACTTACTGACATGAAATGAAGCTGCATACATTTCTAGGAAGAAGTAATATATTCGGCCCTCAAGTTCCGGCCCGTACTCTTGAAGTTTACGAGTACCATTCTTTAGTCCAGGAGGGCATGGTTTCATGTCAGGACTTTTTTATGATGGTTTGGATCCAGACTCTACGTATATCACAGAATCTGGAGTTACATATGATTCCTTTCATAGGCTTGAAACCTAGGTCTCTGCCGACAGATATTCACTCCGAGCCCCCAAGCGTCCCGGCACGCAGAGTCTCAACATCAACTCCCTGGTACATGACCAAAGCTTCACTGAAAGGTCTCATCAAGATACTGTATGTTGAGTCCCTAGGGCAAATACGCTGGGAACTTGATATGATTCAAGTGGTTCGGAGACCTAAGTACATCGAAAGTGATACTATTGATGGACGAGATTATATTAAGAATGTCTTGAGTAATGACATCGAAGATTATGAGGGTAATTTGATGACAAATGTGTTGCTTACGCTGCGACAATGGGGTGCTCTTTTTTGGTGGTTTAGCCATATTGGGGATATGATCGAGCTACATGGGGAGTAGAAATAACGGTACTAGGTCCATTTTGTTAAATTGCCAGGCAACGACAACAAAGGAAACTTTATGTGCAACTCTATGGGTTAGGTTGTGAGATCCAGTAATAGATAGGCCTCTTTTGGGTGCAGCGTTCATGGTAGCTCGCCAGCTTTTGCACATCAAGAGGCTTCTCTTTACGGGGCATAGAACGCGATCTATTATGAAAACTCAACATAATGCAAGTCAACTACGGTAATTGATTCCAAATCCTTGAAGTATAACTAGTGGTAACGTAATTCACCACCGAAGCGGCACCACTACCGAGCCGGCATTTTTTCCCGAGCGCGTACGCGATATTGATTTCAAATCCCAATTTTCAAAGCCACATACAAATTATATACAAAAATCTAACTACTAATACGACTAGGGCATTGGTTAATTCTATGCCCCATAACGTTACAACCACTGCAGCGATATTGGCGGCGTACGACTGCTTGAGAAGCTGGGAGCTCCGGCTCAGCCGGAGTAGTAGTAACAGCATGGGATGCCTCAACCTGACCTTGTACGAGCGCTTGCACTTCTTCTTTAGTAACCGCTTGCTCAATAGATATTTGCTTTTTAGATTTTTGGCGCTTTTGCTTCTCTTTCTCATGTGCAGCTCGTAAATCGTAGTTCTCTTTCCGTACGAGTAAAACATCATTTGCTATCATTTCGTAGGCTTTTGACAACTGTACAACTGCCTGATTGATTTCTTGATTTTGGTTGCTTTCTGTACGCTCATTTATACGTTTATTGATTGTAGTCGACTGGCGTATAAATTGGCGTATATTTTGAGGTGTTTGTAAGCAGGATGATGCCGTATTGCTTGATCGACTTGGAGGGGGGGTTGGTGTCTTCAATCGAATATTAAGCTGTTGTATAACTCGATCTGGATTGAAAGGCACTAATCCAGTGGCTGCGAAGCTATTCCGAATAGTTTGAGCTTTATATGCCACTGTACGAGCCTGTGGAAATGCTGTTAAGAAGTCCATTTTATCAATATGATTGAAACCAAGCCTCATTCGTTGCTCAACAAGCTGCCCATAATGTCGCTTTAAAACAGCAAAACAGCCAACATCAAGAGGCTGTAAGAGATGCGAAGAATGAGGTGGCATACAGACTGGAATAATATTATTCTCAGTACATATATGGTCAAATTCTGGTGTCAAATGGCTTCCATGGCCATCAAGAATCAACATTCGATATTTTCCAACCGTACGACCATTAATATAGGGAATAAAATGGGTTTTAAGCCATTCTAATCCTATCTGATCTGTAGTCCAGCCATTATCGCTAATATTGATTCGCCAATCATCTGGAAGATCATCAAACCAGCCTTCTCGTACGTTTTTCTTTGCTTTGAAAATCACGTACGAAGGCACAGCCCATCCAGTTGAATTTGTTGCCTCAATTGCAGTCACCCATTCTCGATTTCCAGGCTGTAAAAGCTTCGGCTGAGCATATCGATCGCTTCCAGTAATAACCTTTGCAGTTGCACAGAGTCCCATAGCAAAGCCAGTCTCATCAAAGTTGAATATATCTTCCGGTAAGATGCCGTACTCAGATATAGCAGCTTGTACGCAATCAAAATGTTCTTGTATTATCTTTGGATCTTCGCATTTAGCACGTTCGTAGTTGTATTTCCTTGCGAATTTGGAATCGATCTCTGGACGGCGTTTAATCAGTTTAGTTATCCAATTTTTTCCAACTTGTGGTTTGCCATGTTGTGAAAGTATATAATTAGCCATTTCTCGTACAAGAGAATGCCGGGGGGGTAATCCACGTCGATCTAAATCAAGCACCCATTTGACAAGCGATTCCTCTTCATATTGAGTCAATTTATGGCTGTTGGCGCGTACGAGAGATCTTTGTTGAATACCATTGAGTCTATCTTGTAAAGTTGTCCGGGGGATCTCGTAAATCCTTGCAGCTTGAGCTACACGTTGAATTCGGCCATTCTGTAAATCGGAAATTGCTAATAAGATTTGTCTCTCTTGCTCATCTAAATTTTTCCGGTTTTTATTGCGAATTGGTGGCATATTGACGTGTTGAATAATATAAAATCAATATCGTGTACGCGCTCGGGAAAAAATGCCGGCTCGGTAGTGGTGCCGCTTCGGTGGTGAATTACGTTAGTTAAGAAGTGTATTTGTATTTATAATCATATTCAAGTAATATGCCGAATGCGAGCACCATACAGTTAATTGGTAAGCAGAAATAATTTGTCATACTTATGCAGCATCTGATTGGTCAATATAGGTATGTCTTCAGCAATGGCGTATCTTGTACGAGACGATTACGACGCCCTATGTTTGTCAAATGGTAGGAATCTACTGTGATCACATTTGCACCATGGTTATTCCCAAATCACAGGTATGAAGCCTTTTCCGGTTTCATTGTGGACATATATAAGCATGCTTGCTCACCCATCTATCCCGTGTCTCATCATCGAGCAATTTCCAACGCAAAAGACTAAAAAGCTACTGATAAACAACCCATCATACCTTCCAAGGCTCTTATAATTTATTGAAAATGACATCTTCTCACCCCGTAACACAGGTCAAGTACCTTGACCTTCCTACTCTCAAGTCCCGAATCTTCTATCGAGAATCCGGCCCTGTCGATGCCCCCGTTGTGCTTCTACTACACGGCTTCCCTTCATCCTCCCACCAGTATCGAAACTTGATACCTCTTCTTGCAACCAAGTACCGAGTTATTGCACCCGATTTGCCTGGTTTCGGCTTCACCGAAGTCACGGATAACTACGAACATACATTCGACAACCTAGCTGTGACAGTACTGGAATTCTTGGATACTCTTGCAATCGCCAAATTCTCTGTTTATATCTTTGATTACGGCGCGCCGACAGCTTTAAATCTTTCACTAAAGCGACCTGAAGCTATCCAGGCTATAATAACCCAGAACGGAAATGCCTACGAGGATGGTCTAGGAGACTTTTGGAACCCATTACGCCAATACTGGGCCAGTGGTGACAAGGATAACGTAGAGATTCGCGCTACATTAGCAGCAGCCGTTCTCACATATGAAGCTACAAAGGGGCAATATGTAACAGGCACATTACCGAACAAGGTCATCGCGCCGGAGTCATATACGCTTGATTATGCCCTTCTTCAGCGTCCAGGGCAAGAGAAGATCCAGATTGACCTATTTTGGGACTATCAGAACAATGTCAAGAATTATCCTCGTTTCCAGGAATACTTTCGCAAATCCCAGGTCCCTTTATTGGCAGTTTGGGGTAAGAATGATCCGTTCTTTATCGCCCCGGGAGCTGAGGCTTTCAAGCGTGATTTGCCGAATGCAGAGATACATCTGTTGGATGCTGGACATTTTGCGGTTGAGACTGAGACGGAAGAGATTGGTGCATTGATCTTGGAGTTTCTTAAGAGAAATGGAATCTGACTTGTGCCATTGGTATTGCGCGTCAATCGAATGAATCGGACTATGCAAATTCCATATGTATTAGGTAGACAAGATTCTAGCTAGTTACCGATAAAACTTGTGTTATTAACTTCAGGAGTTTTACTGTAGACTTATATAATCCTTTCTCAATAACGCAACTTAGCTGTTGCGTATTTACAATATTGCATTCTCCAGTCCGAACGATTGACCTGACTACATTAACTGCAGTAGTTTGATAGTAGCTCATTGTCTACTAGTAAATAACTTCAGTATTTTGAAAGGCAATTGGTATGCCTTTCACTACTACCACTCCTCCAGTCGTCTAAGGACAACCATGTCGTCCAATCTTGTACGAACCAGTGCCAGATTTCAATCCGATACTATCCAGATGCACACAAGGATTAGGAATTGACGTAACAAATGGGTCCGAATGCACACATGCCTCCATGGAGGGTGTGCATTCATAATCTCCAGTACCCGAGTACTGCTCAATATGCCAATCGAAATCGTCTCCTCCATCAAACGCTGCATAAGCGCCACCATTTTCGAAGCAGCCCTGATTGTCAACAGAATAATGAACGCTTCCACTCTGCTGTTCACATGCAGGGTCATCGTAAAAGATTAAATAGTTTGCATTCCGTTTCGGCATTTCCGTTTCACGTTTAGAGACCGAGGGGCAGGTCTTGTCGAATGTGATGCGATAGTAGCCTCCGTCACCAGTTGTGAAATCCAAATCGTCGAGGTGTGTGCATGCGTCGGCTTCATTGGGTGCAAAGACGTGGCAGTGATCAGGGTTGTCGCCATTCGAGTCGCCAGGTGGGTAAGAGATTAGACTGATCTCATCAGGGGTGTGGCAGGAAAAGTAGGGGCCACCGTTCTGGAAAATGCCATCGTTGTTGGTGGCATAGTTGACGGAGCCAGAGCGGTTTTCGCAGAGGTCGTCTGTGTAGAAGGTGCAGTAGTAGGTGTCCCGAGGAGCCACGCCAGCACTCAGGGCAGCCTTGGAGGCCAAGGCAAGAGACAAGATAGAGCGAAAAGACATTGTGATTCAAGCCTATGTAGAGATTTTTGATGCAGCGCAAGGAAATGGAATGGATGCAATCTTTGGGTTGTTCCTTTATGGATGGTTTCGTGGGAATAGACAGAGGACTTGAATGCTTTTATACCTAGAGATTCTTCTCGTCTGTTGATTCTCTGACCTCTTGCTTCCCTGATCTTTACTCGTCCAGCCTGTCACTTCTCTCCGATCTGTTGGTCCTCTGGTCCATTGCTGCTCTGACCTGTTGGCTCTCCCATCTGTTGGTCACTGATCGACAGTGTTGGGTTTCTACTCTCTCTGTTTCGTCTACTCTGTCAGTATACAACTTCAACCATTCACTCAGACCGCGGATATTTTTAGATTTCAATGTTGATTTTGTAGATCGACAGGGTTGCAAGCTGGTTCTCAGACATCAACGTCGGGCTTTTGCATCATCAGTGTTGGTCTTGTTGTGGATAGTCTGCTAGTATATACGACATCAGTAATTTTTATTAAGTAAGAAATACAAATACTTCGTGATCACAGTGTCAGGCCTCATGATAGACGGTTACAAGGGGTTTCCCAAATCGTCAGTGTTGGTTTTGTTGCGTATCTTGTCCGGATCCATATGCAGTCGTTTCTGTCAAGTTTGAAAATTCAGTGCAAGTTGGAGTCTGTATGAACTTCAGGTCGTTACTACAACAGAATGCCTTGCGCGTGATGTTTTAGACCTTTGTGAGGGTTGTCAATACGTAACTCCAAATAGAGGGCGAAGGGTAAGTTTCGAGTTGGTTAGTGCCAATGGGGGCCATTTCAGCCTCAGGGCCAAGAGTTAGTGGACACAGTCTCATGAGAATCTTTCCTGATTAATTAGACTGATTGGTAGTGTTCTGAAGTTCAGACCCTTAGTAAGCTAGATCGACACAACATCCATGGATCATCCTCAAATACATTTTCACTTGTCCCAAAATCCCTCTTACCTAGTAGTCATAGACAGAACATGCTGATCTGTCAATTTTTGATATTCCTCAAACTCATACGTGGAATACTCTGAAGCCCTCAAATCCGGTGTCAGGAAGAGTTGGTTTGATGAGGAGATGTTGGACTGCGGAGTTATACGAGGCCCAAGTATTAATTTACGTACATCGCCTCAAGGCTTGTTTGATCTAACATCTAGTTAGCCAACTAGTATACTTATGGAATATGGAGCCTGGAGATTCAAGTGACGTAAATGCTCCATGAGTCTGCAAGTCGTTGTAGGATCTATTACCTTTTTGGTATGGTATCGTTGGTTTGTAGGCTGTGTTCTTTCACTTATACTCCGATCTAGCCTTGCGGATACAAAAGACACCTTGTTTTCAATCGGCCACATGGTGCCGGTGCAAAGTTGCTAGAAATCCTTCTGATAGCCTTGCATACCATGCGAATTGCTCGGCTTTTCAAGGCTTTCGCCACACAGTCGCAGCATGTTGGGGGACAAAACTTCCCTCATAGAACCTCGTTTACCAAAGCCCAGTCAAGATTCTTCATTGGTTTTATTATTGCATACTTGCTGGCCTTAGCTTTCTTCCGATATCGTGTATCCCACGATCCTGGCTCGTATTTCTTCACGGTCCAAGGCTATGAACCGAAGTATAGCTTGACAAGAGTGCAACAGGCACAATCCTACTTGGAAAACCTTGACAAATCCAGCCAAAACCAACCTGTCGGCATTCAGCATCATGAAAATAAGGCAATACCACAGCTCTGCATTGGCATGCCGACTGCTAAACGTCCCAAAGAACAACACGTTAATGTCGCTATCGCTTCGCTGCTCGATCACTTGACTCCACAAGAACGAGACCAGATACAACTGAATATCCTCATAGCGCACGCAAATCCGCAAGAACATCCTTTTCTTAATAATTCGGCCTCGGTTGTGAACGCATCACAGCTGGCTGATAATGTTTTCACTTATCACGACATTGCAGGCGGATCGCAAATTATAACCGAAGTTATTCAAGACCTCGAGAAAGCGAAGCGATACAATGAAAAATCCTTCTACGATTACTCTCTCGTTTTGCATCAATGTTCTCAATCTCAGGCGCCATGGGTGCTGATCTTGGAAGATGATACCCTCGCCCAGGAGGGTTGGTATACACGAACGATGGACAGTTTGCGGGAGCTTGAAAGGAAGCACAACGATGGTAATCGGGCAGAAGATTGGTTATACCTCCGTCTTTTCTATACGGAGAAGTTCCTCGGTTGGAATAGTGAAGACTGGCCGACGTACTTTTTCTGGAGTCTCCTGGCGGTCATGTCAACGATGGGTATTGGCTTATACTTCCGTCGTCTGTCTTCTCCATCTTCTTCATTGCCTTATACCGCGCTGCCTTCCAAACAATCAGACCCAGTCCCGAGCCCTATACCCCTTTCATTCATATTCTCCGTCAGCTTTTTATGCGTTCCAGCCCTGATCATTCTATATTTTGCGGCGGGTCGCATGACAGTCCAACCCCTTCCTGCCGGCATCAATGTCATGAACAACTTCGGCTGCTGCTCACAAGCCCTTGCCTTTCCTCGGAACATGTCGCTCAAGCTTTCACACTGGCTTGAGAAGAACATCACCGCCACTACCCTCAATCTACCGTCCAATACTTTCACGGATAACTCCTGGAAACAGGATCAAGGCGCTGCTGTCGACAGCACAATAGAGACGTTCGCTAACGAGCGGAACCTGCAGCGGTATGCTTTAATGCCCAGCGCATTTCAGCATGTCGGAGCAGAGACTCACAAACAGGGTATAACGGCGGCACGTGAATGGTTCAGTGTTAGCGGTGCACGAGGGATATGGAATTTTGGCTTCGAGGAGCTGGGCTCATCGCCATGATTTCAATTAGTACACCTACATTGTACATATACTGTGGCCAAATAGAAGGTCAACTCAAAAGAACAAAATGTATGAAATTTGTAGTAAACTTTGTATAAAAAAAACTATACGTAAATATCCCCTAGATCATTCTATAAGCAGTTTTATTGGTATCGTCAAGGACCTGAGATCGTTGGATGGTAGACATCAGGGGGTGCAAGGTTCCGCATAGAGGCCCTACAAGGGATACATGTATCTTCAGGCATGAGTCTTCAGAAATCTGTTTGCTGGATCGATTCGAAAGTAGCATGTCCAAGAGGCTGAGTAGGCGGAGGTTGAGAAGGATGCAGCGGAGGATTTCGAGCTTTGCTGGTAACTCAAAGGTGTATTCGACCTTCGTTTGGCGGACCGCGTCATTGATACCCCCTTGATTGGGAGAGCTTCGCGTAAACATTGGAATTGACTATTTCCAAGGGTTCAGGTACTGATATGCTGCACCTGCGGGGCTGGATTGGCGAGGTGTGGAGGTTAATAAACGGACATTGCGTGCAAGAAGGGATGATAGCAGCTCTAAGCTCTTTATAAGGGACATCACTGCTGACGTCGTCTGTCCGTTGATTAATATGTCGAGTGGAGGGTGAATATGAGCTGTAGTTTAAAGAAAGGATGGGATCAATTAGGGTTATCTTCGCTAACAATCTGTGGCTAGGCACGTCAGTATTATATCTCGATAGCGATTATGGATCAAATTACAGGAAACCTACAGCATAAATGATCTTCCAGCATACTTCAGAGCATGAACACATATACTGCTTCCTACGAACTAGTAAGGGGTGAGCCCTTCGGGGCTTCTAGGGGTCTGCCGATGCTAGCGACTCAAAGAGCTGCACATACGATGCTCGATATGGAGATAAAATGTCATAATTCATGATAATAACACACCAATAACGAACCCGCATAGCTTCGTCAGCTACACGACCTCCGATGGAACCTGATTAACCCTTTCATTCGCCCTAAATTTCACAATGTCAGATTAGTACCATCATGAGCCGGAGTTCAGCCGATGTCGACAGACTCACTGTTGTGTTTGTTCATACCCATAGTAATACTCATTGCTTTCATACGGCGACTGCTCAAAGTATTCCGCCGGCTCATACGTCGAATAGTTCACCCGCGAACCATCCTTCCCCTGCTGAACGTTCATCGAACTCTGACTCAGACTTTGTTTGCCATTACTGTCCATCCGTTTCGCTCCCCAGGCCGGAGTTCCAGCTCCTCTCGTAGCCATGGGCGTATTCGGCGTTGATCCATTGTTCGTATTCGACCATACTTGCGATGTGCGAGTTGTACTTGCTCCACCGCTACCGAAGATTGACTCAGCATAAGCGTACTCATGATTTCGTTGTCGTACCTGCCGCATATATGTGTCTTGTTCGTGTGATATCTGCGTCTTTGCTTCGTCCATTGTGGATGCGCGTCCGTAGTAGCCGCTAAAGGTCCATAGGATGGTCACGAATAAGGCGGAGACGCACACGACGATGACAATGATTGCCGAGGCCGAGAGAGCCATGTTTTTGTCGTTCGCTTAAATGTTGTTGTCTGCTACGTTCGATTCTCTAGGTGTCGGAAACGATCATACCATATATCCGATGTCCGACCTTGAACGTGCAAACAAAGCTTCAAAAGGTCGATGCAAGTAGACCGCAAAAACTGGCGGAATACAATCCGTCAATCGCTGTATGTATACCTGAAGTAACCAAGAGGGATGTAGTATGATTCCACCGATTATACGCTGTAACTCTTAACTAATAGCTTCATACATCGACTCCCAAGGAGCACGATTGGTATGTAGTTCAACCATTAAAATTATAGGCGATGTACAGGCGATGTACAGACGAAAGTAGAAAGATAGAGCATGACGAAAGTGAAAAAAATATTGATGGAAACCACAGAGAATATAATGGAAGCCTGGCTCATGATTCTCCGACACTAAGTTCATAGAATCATCGAATCGGGTGCATTGGAACAAAAGTAGGCTGCCACAAACTTGTCAGTTGACTGGCGTGCGTATACATAGAAACACTCGTGTCTACGTATGTTGTTACCCCTCCAGAGCCCAGAGTCCAGGCCCCGTTGTGAGCAAAACACCACCAATCGAGTGAAAGATACATACAATTTCCAAGCGCGAAGAACAGATGCCGTCCTCGGTGGACCGGAAAAGCTTGTCTTCCTGATTCCGAAGACTAAGCCTTAATAATGGATCTCTTCATGGGTTATGTAGTTTGCAAGTGTGAATACTTTCTCGCATTTGCAATTCATAAATCATGGAATAGCATCGGAATTGAGAAGTATAACTAGATGTAAGTACTAGTCAATTTTGAGGTTAGAGATGTGTGAAGTGCCACCGTTGATACACATCGAAAATGACAAGTAACAATAACTCTGACTAAGTATATGGAGTACTGACTCATTCATCAGATCTAGGTTCTGGAGCGTCGGATTTTGACGTCTCGCCTTGTAGCATTGGAACCTTCAACTTTATACATGTGATACAATACATATGCCCTTCCCCGTCCTATCGATCAAATTCTTGCGAGTCTGGAAAACAGGCCACAATCGGCGGCTTGGATTTTGTAAGAATCAGGCATTCCGATCGAGTATTCATACATCCCGAGTGATTTTCATCTCTACACTCCTGCAAGACCCCGAGAGTCTAGGACTCGGCATTTGTGACGAACTTTTGTCGATCCTATTTAACACAATAAATGAGGATCCGCGCAGTATGGGACACATTACGGAATAACCCTAGGACAGTGAAAGACTGCTCGGCCCATGCTGTAACTAACTCGTTAGTGGTCAGCACCGGTCGTTTTTATTCTCGATAGAGTGTGCTTCCATCCCGAGGTCTGCTCTACACTGTGCCTAAGTACCCAGGTAGATGTGAATGCAGTGACTTTTCCGCTAGGTGTGTGGAATATATATATTCCAAGGTTCACGCTGTAACTCATCCCTTCCAAGATTCGGAACTGTAACATCTGTTCTTGCAGGATCTCTGTTACAGTATGGCGCCAGCCACGATCCATGTCCGGATTCACTTATATGCCCAGGTAGGTTGAAGACCTACCTACTGAGAAGATAGATTTTAGAAGGGCAGAGCCACCGTAATCCAAATGATCAGATGCATGAAACTTGAAAACTAGTTTCAGGCGGATAAGTTTTATGTCGTTTGGTTTATAACGTATCTAGATAGTTTGGATTGACTGAGTGACGCCTGACAGATTCGTGCTTCATGCATCTAGAATTATCATTACTCCTGGGCCAAGGTACAAATGTATCCCACAATGGATAGTTGTATATTTCAAAGAGAAAACTCCAGTAATACTCGCTATGCAAAAGCCGCTCATTTTTTGAGATATAACCCTCAGTTACATCTTCGATTCAGGTATGCAGGAAGGTTATGGATAATACCACGTAGTCACAGCAATAATCACATAGACGAGCACACACAGTCCGCCTTCCATGTAATTAGACTTACCATCACGCAGGAAATTGCCCACGACAAGTATAGATAAGACTAGTAGGACGACCATGAAAATTTCAAAGTTGAGGTCCATTTCTGGAATACCCAAGCCCCAAGCAACGAGTATAACCAAGGGGGCATTGAGTAAGGCCGTTTGAATGGAAGGTCCAAGACAGTGAAAAAGGGCAAAGTTGATTTGGTTGTCCCTGCATGATGGCAAACAACGTTAGCGCACGAATCTCGTATAGTGGTAGATGGATAGTTACCAAGCTTCATCAATAGCAGTTAAGTGTTCAGCTGCTTTTTCTACAAGCGGGACAAGGATCAAACCCATGAAGTTATCGGGCACGCCTCGTTCAACAATGTGCGAGATCTGTTCGACCATGAACAACGCTGAAAGTGAGACACATGTTATGGCAATTGCAATGGCTAGAACGCTCTCGAAAAGGGTAAGTTTTGGTCGGAAGTGCTCTTTGTCGCCATCCTCATCATTGTCTTCGTCTTTTTCCAGGACTTCGTCAAAAATGGTGTTGTGGGTACGCAGATTATACCACAAGAACCTGTTGCAAAAAATGTATTAGGCGTGAATAGTTCTCTCCGCTGATCACTCGAGATAGTGAATAGAGCAACGTACATAAGATAGGCACAAAGTAGAATGACGGCAGTAGCTCGACTGATCGTCCGAGTCGAGGCCTGAAGTTCTTCGGGCGTCATGGGTGATTCTGCCCCGGACAATGTCGCATTGAAAGCGCTTGGAATCAAGAGTCCAAATCCAGCAACCAGGAGCAAGCCTGATCCGACTTCACTCACGGCTTCGTGTAGTATCTGCTCATCGCGCCGGATACCACCAAAGAAAAAGCACAGCCCCAGACACAGTAACAAATTAGCCAGGATCGAGCCTAGGATTGCGGCCTGAATGACATTGACGAGCTCGTTGGTGTCCGCCTTCTTGATCAAAACCATAAACAATATAATTTCAACGACGGATGTTAATGACGTTTCCAACAACACTCCATAAACTCGCGGTAATTTTCGTGCCAGCTCTCCTCCTGCGAACCCCAGTAAATTGGCTGTCGGTACCATGGCAATATAATTAAGCGCAAATGTCCACACGTGTAGATCCGGTCGAGCAAACCCCATTGTAATCGCGGCAGGCACAAACGGCCAGAGGACATTGACGATCATGGACAGCGTGCAAGTGCTCCGGAAACAAATGTATAGGAAGTGTAATGGATGAAACCCTTTCCTCCCACTTTCCCCGGTCGACTGGATGCGAAAGAGACCCAAGACTCGTGGACGCAGCGTCTTCTCATTGGTAGCGCTTTCGGCATCTTTGTGGTGTTGCGGTAGAGTCTCTTGGGTTATCGTTTGGGTAATTTCGTCGTCGACCCGGCGTTGACGAAGCGAAGACATGATTGTGAATGTCCTCGAGGCTTTTTCGATTCCAGCTCGAGTTTCGGGACAGTTTAAATGTTTCCGGGTTGACAACTGGACTCTCCCGATTTATGTTTGAGATGACTTTGCTACAGCCCAACGACAACTGTCAGAAAGTACTTAGCAACTTGCCCGACAATGATCACTTACACGTGTAGCATGAGTAACCCGAGTTAATAGCAGTTGAGATGGAAACAATCAGCTCGCCATGAAATTATGAGAATTCAGATGAATTGACAAAGACTTTAGAAGAAAGTAAGAGTGCAACATCGTCCAACTCAAACCCTTTTTTCTCATCTCGTCAGAAGAGAAAATTGTAAAAAGCAACAAAAGCAAAAGCTCCATAATGGGCATGCAAATAGGAGATTCAGCTACGCCCACTGCTCCTTTCATGTCATATTGTGGAGTACGGGGTCCTCCTATTTTTTCCTTATTCATTCACAGCATGCAGCTTGGCACTGCTGAGTTGTTACTTCTTGTGAGGTCTCACTGCCTCGCAGGCTCTTGGCTTGCTTATTTAAAAAGGAAGGAATACGGGCTTGACAGGAGTCGTCTCGATTTGTATTGGCCCGGTGGAAAATTGGTGAGGCCCTTGGCGGCCTAGGCCGTGGAGGCACCGAGCGGCTCGTCGTCTAAGTTGTCTCGCTTTTTCCATATAAGCATGAAACTAAACCGAATAAGGAGGCGAAGATCGATGATCCTAGGATTTTCTGCTCATTTGCCAGAAGCAGTCGGCGATCTTCTACAAAGATGTGGAAAAGTCATGCTAGATCACAGATTATCATCGTAGAAAATGGATCGATAGCCTGCTCGCAGCCCTTGATAGTCCATTTCATACATAAGTTGCACGGACTTGTTCACAGATGGCAGTCTACTAGCCAAGTACTCGGGCTATTGTTGGAACTTGGAAGTTGTTGAATAAACTGCGAATTCGTGAGTCTCAATTTCTCGAAGTCAAGATTTTGAGCTAGAAGGTCAGTAGTTGCTAATGGGATTACACCTAACAATGAGCACCCAAGCGGTAATCTTTATCTTTTCAAGAACAATAACCCTGCCACAACTTCTCCAATCTATGAATTTGGTTGGTTTTCCTGTTCTCTGGATACTGTATGCCGGATTAATTTCATTTCGCTGCTTTATCAACCTACCTTTGGAGCAAGTACATGAATCTAGTTACGGTAGTAAACAGTGGCTTACCTTTTATATCAAATCTCGAGCTTCTTGTGTTTGCAATCTCAAGCCTGAAAAGCTTTGCTATTACTCGGTGTTGTTATTCCAAAGCAAATCCCGATCGATTTAGTATTTAACCCTAACACTAGTGTACGATAGCCCTGGTCAGGGTAACAACCCTTGTCATACCCTAGTGTATATCATAACCCTCGCGTTGAGAACCCCCAACCCTATTGACCCTGTGTAACGCAAGAAATGGCTGGCCATCCACTATGGCCAACCATTCCGGGAATAAGCCCTACCCTACATCTTTTGATTTCAAGGTAAGCCGAATCTCTGCATCAGCGTTGCTTCTACATATGATACGTTTACGCTTACACATGATGGCGACTCGGCGAGTAAGATGTGTACGATTGTGCAGGGTATCGGCTTGGGACGTGCGGCCGTGCCGCAATGCCCGCATTTGCACATCCGGGGATTGGAGACTGGGGATCCGAGTCAGTGTCGCAGAATTATCGGATGAGGTGACTCGCATCGACGTGGCAAGGATGTCCCAGATTACCCCAGAACAGTTAACGGTCAGGAAATTACCCCCTCCATATGGCACTTTACCGTCATGCAAAGGAGCAAAAGCGAATGTTGGATACGCGAATCGTAGAATCGGTATGGTATTTGACTGGCTATCTGCTCCGTACCATGCAGGTTCGGTATGTAGTTAGGCCGGACGTATTCCTTGTTTTCCTTCACCGAGTATCTTTGTTACCTGCCGGTCACAAGGAGTATGGGGGCTATTCATGAGGCTTGTTGGAAGAGTTCATACTTTTGACCTCTCCCCTAACATCCTCTGGTTTTATTTTGTGCTGGGTATCTGTCATTGGTGAAGCGGGCAATCTTGTGACCACCGCAGGGCCTTTATTATCCTTTTTGGGCCTCTAGTCCAATGCATACATAGATACCTTCGGCTGATCCCATGCAAGGAGCTGGTAAAGATTGAAACCGGTCCTTGCCATCTCGGCGATTGGGGACTGTCACATTCGGTCCGGCCATCGGAAACTATACACGGTCTTTCTAGAATTACTAGGATGTGAAATCCGTGATTCAAACTCCGCACAGGCTCCGAACGGTATGGGAATGAGAAACCGGAGCGTAATGCTGAGGATCTCTGCATTTGTGAATGGACCATGATAACTGATGAGTAATAGTCCGTGATACGCCTGCCATCCATCCGTCCAGTGACACGATGTTCTAGCGGTTTACGGCATCATATCTCGGCATTCCGTGAAAAAACTCAGCCAGGCAACTAAAGCTACAAGCCGACTTGACTTTGCATGACCAGGTCATGTGGCATCGAGGCCGAATCTAGAGAAGCCCACAATAATTTAGCTGTACGTACTTCTAAAGGAAGAAAACGACACTAGATAAGAAGGGGATTGTGGAGTACGGATAGAATACGCCTTTGATACTAGTCCGGAATACCTATCTTTACTAGTGTGACGCAGCTGAACGTGAAACTATTGGATCGATGCTGTTATACTTATCCACTCACCGGGGTTGATTGCGTGGCGGTACGGAGGCATTTTTACGAACAGTTCTCCGTACTTCAACTTTCGTGGATGAGACATGAACCAGGATTTTTGTGTGTTGTTGTGTCTAGACCTCATTTTCCCCCCTATTTTAATATAGCACCCCCTAATTGCGAGCAGTTAAAAGACTCAAAATAATAAATAATGGCGGAGCAGCCAGTGGAGCAGCTCTCGCTGTCCCAGAGCCATTTTTAAATGTAATAACGTCAAAAAAACTTCCGTGCCCATGAATCATGTTAAAGCGTCATGGGGAATTAAGAACTCTAAAAGAAAAAACTTTACCTTGAAACGCCGCGACAAGTCTTGCGGGAAACCCTTAGTTTTGACTTTGCCATGGCTCGGAAAGGGCTGAAAGAAGCATTGGGAAAATGCGGAGATCAGAAAGGAAGAAAAGTTAACTGACAGCCATTATCGATCGACCCAAGTATCTTTAATTTTATCTCAGATGATCACCAAAGTTCGAACTGTCTTCCATCTTGTCTTCCATGAGCAGGAATCGCCACGTGAAGAAAAGTTCCATGATCCTTCTTAAATATTAGTGCTCACCTCTTGCGGAGAAGGATCTTATTTTCTTTGTCATCTCGACTTGAATGAGCTTGCGGAGTGTAGTCCGAGGACTGGGGTCTCCACAATCCAGTATATTCAGTGCGAAAACTGATTCCGGCAATAAGAAAAGTACGTACGGCGCACGGAAAACTTCATAAAAACGCAAATATAGTCAATACAACGTGGCATTAGTCGTAAAAATAAATAGTGTAGTAATATCTAAACACGAATCACAATTGGCTTCATATCCTGAACTGGATAAGCTCCTAACTAGTGCCAGCTGATTTCTGAATCACCGACTTCACTAAATGAAAACAGAAAGCAGAGAATGATCTAAAATTATCATAAGCACAATCTGTCAACCACTATTATCCAAGTTCCAAATATCACGCAGTTGGGAAATTAGCCACAGCAAAAACTGGAAGGAGATTTGGAGCCTTCGCCTGAATTAAACGAATGCTTGTACATGCCAAATGGAACTAAGCTTTTCCAAGACTAAATCAACATTTTCCCAAGAAACCTGGAAGGGCGCTAGAAACAGTCACGTAAGTTCTAATTTAGTGCAACTCCATAATTAAGTCGATACCATGTATGTAAGGTAGCCAGTGCGGTTGGACACGGTGCATTACTATCATCACTTGTCTAGCTTGTACGTAGTGCAACCTCAGCTACACAACGAACGAGCCAATGCAACGTCCCGCACAGCAAGGGCACCAACATGCGAGGGGATTTGACACTGAGATGAGACCCTTGTGCTTCTACGCTTGCACATGGTGCATAAGACATAAACAGACGCCTAATAATAGTTATATCCATGGATATACATAGAATTAACGGCCTTAGAACGTCCAATTTCGAATAGTCGAAGTGGAGTACCAGACCAAACAGACCTCGGAAAAGAACATAACGAACTCGGACTGGCTAGTTGATCCTTCCGTCAAGAAGCGCATGGGTATCCCCCGACATGGATTCGTACTTGTACAGAACCTGCCCTTCAGATTCGAGCTAGTATTTTAGTATGCTGTACTACCCTGAAGCTGGCATAGTATCCCCGCCACAGCAACACACCCATTCATTCATCGACGAATCACTGCCCGGGCTCTCTGGTTCAGCGCCAGATCCGTTCAGCATCCATCTCGGTTTGGCCCATACAGCACGGAATTAGACTGGCTCAATTCATGACCTGGCGAGGGAAGCTACCAACCAGTGGCAACGATCAATCTCCGATATTAAACCGTAGTAACGATGTAAACGAATCACGTAAGACAAGCGCATATCCAGGGGCGCTCAATTGAGGGAAATATTGATGTTTGGGCCGCCGAGTGGGAAGGACGAGTATTTGCACAGCTGTCTTGCGAATTTATGTCACATGTCACTGCAGAAAAGAAACCCAGACTGATAGCAGTTAGATTGTAGTGAAAGATTCAACTAGCCTAACTTGGAGGGCAAAGGATACCTGAACAGAAAAGATACGCGTATTCTTACGTACTTTCCAATGGCAAATCGGCATGACTCGGTAGGCCATTGAACGGGAACAGTGCCGAACTGAGAAGTGTGCCGATACGTAGGCCGTGGAAAAAAGTGAGAAGACTATTCCACTAGGAAGACTGTTGGGACCAGGTAATCATGCCATGCCTGGAGCGGCTCATGGCTAGAGTCACATCGAATGGACATGGGTCAGGACTTAGGGCCAACAAACATGCGTATTTCGATCAAGGCGTGACAGATAAAGGGACACTAAGAGTTACTGCTACATGCATTCATTGGTCAAAAGGAGACAGGAACGGAGATTGCGTCCTGCAAGTCTTGTAACGAAATATTGGTACGTGGTACATACCAAACTTACAGAAACTTGGGGTTTTAAACCAATACATGGGTCCTCCGCATTGGACTTCTCCGACTTTTCTTTCCCTGCACTACTCCGTATGGAGTATGGAGTCTCCAGATGGGGAAGAAAGAGTGGACGGAGCGGCCATGTAACGTGGGTATTTAGGTCAAAGTTTAAAAATTACGGATATCAGATGAGAAAGAAAGTAGTGGTACACTCACGTTGGTCTGGGGACGCCTCCAGGTGTTTATAAAATAGTCCCGATCCCCCCGAGTTCGAAGTCTGGTTTCCTCTTTCTCCAGTCGCGTGCTCGGCCTTCTCTTCTCTTTTGTTCCAGTCGTAGCTGTGAGCTCGGAGAGAACCAAGACCCTTAATCTACCTCGAGAACACCGCAGCAACAGCAGATCGCCATCATGCCAGGCCTTTTCTCTGGCGCCAAAGAGTCCAAGGGCAGTCAGTCCCTGGTCGCTCGCCAAAATGCCTCCAAACCCCATGGTATCCGTGGTATGTTCAAGAACCCTTATGTGGCCTTGACTTGTGTTTTCGTGTCTCTCGGTTGTATGATGTACGGATACGACCAGGGTGTCATGGGACCGATTCTGGTTATGGAGAACTTCATGAACCATTTCCCTGGCCTTATGGGCTCCAACATTCAAGGATGGCTCGTTTCTGCTCTTGAATTGGGTGCTTGGGCTGGCGCTCTTTTCAACGGTTACTTGTCCGACGCTATCTCCCGTAAGTACAGTATGATGTTTGCTGTGTTCGTCTTCACTCTCGGAACGGGTCTCCAATCCGGCGCTCAATCACCTGCGTATTTCTTCGCCGGTCGTGTCATCGGTGGTTTCGGTATCGGTATGTTCTCCATGGTCATTCCATTGTACCAGGCCGAGATCGCTCCTCCCGAGCTCCGTGGTTCTTTGGTCTCCTTGCAGCAACTTTCCATCACTATCGGTACAACCATTGCTTTCTGGCTTGACTTCGGTTTCTCCTACATTGGTAGCACCCACTGCAAGCCAGAGGGTATTGCAAATCCCTATGACTCCAAAAACAACTACAACTACGACGCGAACCATACCCATGGTTGCACTGGCCAGAAGACTGTCTCGTGGCGTGTCCCCTTGGCTTTGCAATTGATTCCTGCTTGGATCTGTAAGTCAACCTCATTGTCATTGTCCCGACTCTGGCATCTAACATAGCTTGTTTAGTGTTCTTCGGATTGTTCTTTTTCCCATTCTCCCCGCGTTGGTTGATGTTGAAGCACCGCGAAGACGAAGCCCGTGACGCTCTCAGCAGACTCCGCCGTCTCGATCCTCATGATCCTCTTCTCACCGCCGAGTTCTTGGAAATCAAGGCTGCTGTTATGTTTGACGAACAAACCGAAGCTGAATTGATTGGCAGCGGTGGTGTGCTTGCCCCATGGAAAGCCCTTTTCGCTCCCAACATGCTCAAGCGTGTCTTCTTGGGAAGTGGTATGATGGTGTTCCAACAGTTCACCGGTATCAACGCTGTGTTGTACTATGCTCCACAAATCTTCAGGAGTTTCGGTTTCTCTTCCACTACCACTGATCTCCTCGCTACTGGTGTCACTGGTATCCTGCAGATCATCTTTACTCTTCCCGCTGTCTTCTTCTTGGACAAATTCGGTCGTAAGACTTTCTTGATTGTCGGTGCTCTGGGTATGTTCATCTGCCACGTCATTGTCGCCTCCGTTGAAGGTGTCTACAAGCCCCAGTGGGACAAGAATGAGCATCTTGCCGTTGCACAAGGTTGGGTTGCCATTGTCTTCATCTGGCTCTTTGCCGTTAACTTTGCCTACTCCTGGGGTCCCGTCGCATGGGTGCTCGCCCAAGAAATCTTCCCTGCCAGTATGCGTTCTCGCGGTGTTGCCATTGTCGCATCCACCAACTGGATGTTCAACTTCATCATTGGTCTCACCACCAAGGACATGCTTGACTCCATGAAGTATGGTACTTACATTTTCTTCGCTATTTTCTCTCTCGGTGGTGGTTTCTTTATCTGGGCCTTCTTCCCTGAGACCAAGGACAAGACCCTTGAGGAACTCGACGTTTTCTTCGGTGGTGACATGGGTAGCATTGCTAACAGGGACCGTGAGCGCATGCAACGCATCTACGAAGAATTGGGATTGGCTTATGCTACTGAGGTGTCTGACCTCAAGGTTAACGAGAAGGAGAACATCGCTACCCATGAAGAGTAAATACGGTTTCTTGCGATGTTGATTTTCGGATCATCTATATAATCTGGAAACAGACAAGCTTTATATACGCTAGCTAGTATCCCTTGATCTATATCTATTATCAGACCTAATTACTGTCATTGAATCTTGTAATCCTCTCGTAGACTTGCTTAGACAAACTCACCATTAAGGAAATTTTCTGGATTGGTACATGAATAAGTTCATAAATCCTACTGACTGTAACAGATACGTATACCCCATTCGTTAACCACAACCTGACCCTTGGAGTATTAACACTTGTAATCCAATATAGTCATATAACCCTAGGCTTGCGAATCTTCGTGCTTGGTATAACTTCAATATTTTTTAGTATTACCTAGCTGTTGTGCCGTGTAGGGGGAATCTCTCTTTCAAGCAATAACAGATCCCGTAATATATCAGGAAGGTACAATGAGTAGGAATTTGTGATATAGAAACCTTACAATGTTCACCCTCCTATTTCAAATGTGTGAAATACCTTTGTGAGATTTCTATGAAAGATCTTTGTGTTAGCTTGTCACGTTGGAATATCCTGGCAGCAGGATCTAAGTATAAATAGCTGGGATTTCCTCCTAGAGCCGCTATGGTTCTAATAAGCAAGTATTCCAATATTTTATCTTCATCTTCTCAATTGCTGGTGTTATATGAATACACCCCCTGATATGGCGGTAACAGCAGGAATTCCCGTCAATAGCCTCGCTTTCTTTTCCGCATTTTTGTCTCAACAAAAGTTATCTTACGACTTTCATATTTTAGGGATCTCTTTTTCCAAGGGTAAAGAGAAATCTAGCAATCTTTGTCACTTGAATGTATTCAGTACGTTCCAGTTCATTGACATTCGGACAAGCCCTTTGCATGGAAAGTTCCGTTGTCATTGAACGAACTGCCAATGTTACTATTTCTAGCTAAAGAAGTCGACATGGTCCTGACAAAAAGGCCCCTTACGTTGGCCGAGGACGATCAAATTGTCGGAATATCGCTGGAGTTGTCAAAGGTAATGGAGGGCGACTGTGAAGTTGAATATGACCAGATCCTGGCAGAGAGAGAGGAAGAGAAGTATATATCTTCATATCCAGCAAGTTAGTTACCATCCCAGCACCGAGAGAAGTGAGTGGTTATCTAAACTCTCTATCAATACTATCTTCTCTGAAACAAACTTTTTTAGATCGTTCAATACAAGCTCGACGTCTCCAAGGATGGATGCCGATGCGATGGATCTCAGCAAGGATCATTATCTATCACGTATCCAGGATCAATGCAAGTTGTGCCTGCTGCCATATGAGGTACTAGAAATTATTGTTGGATTGGTTAGCTTCAATTCCCTTGATCGAGAGAAAAGCTTTAAACGGAATTAACGGACTTCGCAGTTATCAACGGCCGATGTCATAGCTCTTGCGAAAGTTAGCCGTTATTACACCAACGGATGATTCCTTTTCTCTATGTAAAGCTCACAGTAAAGATGCACGATGGCCCCATTGATGATTGGCGTGTCCTCGATCCCGTCAACTTCGGCTATGAGAAGTTGACGAAAACATTCTACGAAGAAAACGGTTCGCAGAACAAAGCATCGATATCCCCATATACACGAGAGTTAGATCTCATAGGCCCCAAGGATGGTTTCTATGGATGCTTTCGTCGTCGTTTGAACACCAGCTCGGGTCTACAGAAAAGTGATCTTTTGGCGTGCCATGCCCAGATGATGGGAGATGTTTCTCGTGCTACAAACGACATCCTTCAAGAACTTCAGATTGATAGACTGCGTCACTTTGGGTATGTATTGTAGTCAATAGAGACCTGCACTTGTGTATGATAACAAGTTGACTCCTCTCTTTAGATGGCACATGGGTTATTGTGTTCCAGCTTCAGTTCTCGGACAATCAGGCTATATTCCCCATTTCCAGCCAAATCTCAGGTCTCTTTCTCTGAAAGTGGACAGCGCATGTGTCGGAGGCTCGCTAGCCGGGCTCGCTAGTCTCAAAAATCTCCGTCACTTTTCGTGGCGTGGAATTGATTCTGTACGTGCCTTTTCGCTAATTCGGCTCGTCCTTAAGAACAACGCTGAACATCTTGTCTCCCTTGAATTGGAAGTGCTACGCGTTGAGCAAACGCAGGAAAATATCCAACTCCATGAACATGACTTGATTTGGCTTGGATTATTGGTCCCCAATCATAATCATTTCCCTAATAGTGATATGGGCGTATGGCTTGATAAAGATGTACGGCTCAAATCGCTCACTTATTTATCCCTGCGTCATGTTCGGCTTCTTACTTGGCAACCCCAGGACACACTGACCTTTGATCTGTCCAAATTGGAAAACTTGCATCTGTATAAATGTCCTGGAACTCTCGATTTCTTTCAGACGTGGACCATTTCCGACTGCGGCATGTCACTACGATCTCTTCGGGCAGTCATTAACGAACCAATGGCAGGACGTATACACTTCACTTTGGAGCATTTGCTTATCGTACACGGGTGCCAATTAGAAGAACTTTACTTGACTTTCATAGACATGACTGACCCTATTATGAGCTCTAACGCGTGGGACAAAACCAGTGTGAAACGAATGGCTTGCAGCTTCTACGAAACGAGACTCTCCCGAGCAAACGATGTGCCTCCTCCGTTTTGTATCATCCGAGGCATGACGGGAGGAGCACTTCCATCCCTGGAAGGGATGGCCTTTTGGTGTCCTCCCCATATTCTGGTGAGTCAAGCTGAATGAGAACTACTGTTGATACATACACTAACACCGATTAGAGGCGGATGCTACTTGAAATACGCGTGGCCCTTCCTTCCCTCAAAGTTATGCATTTCAGAGTAACAAATAAAGCCAAAAACACCAACAAGAGCCTTTGGGAGGAACCTATTACAGGAGGCAAGTCAGAAGATATTGCCAACATGATCCGATTCTTGGATCGCTACCTAGTGCTAGGGGACGAAGCCTGTCGGCTATCAGAAGTAATTGATTTTGCCAGCTGGGCCTTTGAAAATCCGACATTTCCCAATTTAGAGATCATAGCTTTTGGGAATTTCTCGAACCCTGACACATGCCTCGTTCTTTGTCGAAAGAAAGGGTTTCCTCGATTCAAAGAACGTACAGAAATATTTAATAACATAGCAGAATATTGGAAGAAGTCCGTCCAAACTCGTGATTTCAGTTTCTCACTACCTTTTGACTTTGTGCATCCCGAGGACCTACGCCCCTGGACTGGTCTAGAGAAATGCCGTGACATGCTGACGGCGAACAACGCTGATAAGCCATGGTATGAAAAGCCAGGCCAGAGCTGAGATCTCAGTATCAAGCGCAAGATCGACTTGGTGGTGACTTTTATTCTACATGGCATAGGTCTAGCGTGAATCGTAGCGTGAACAAAGCTCTGGCAAGAATACACTGATGAAGAAGAAGAATCGGAGAGGATGTGGGAATGAATCAATTAGGATTGATCGAGGGCTGCGAAGTATGTAGCCGACTCAAAATCATGAACTGAGTGTGTTTAATTGAAATTTCACTAGATGAAAATCATTAAACTAGGTACATATTTGTAGAGAGCTACTTATCAAAGCCAGGATAATAGTACCGCATTTGTCAGGAATGGCGATTCAATAGTGCGATCTAACTCACTTCCTAATTAAGATAGTAAATACCCCGCTTGGCCAAAGAACCGGTGGAGAGTAGGTGGCTATTGGACTCTTCGGAGTAATTATCATGTATTTAGCTCATTCATAATTCATTATTCTTCAATATTGGAACTTGAAGTAAGGGTTCCCGGAAGATAGGCAAGTTAACTAGATTGACCACCTAGATCTTGTCCTTTTAGATGTGTTTCTTCTCAATCTAACATCGTCGATATAACTTCAAGGTTTTTCCACACTTGCCGATTACGCTTCTATACTACCTAAGTTCGAATCTCAATAGGTGACGAAATGCCGAGGTCCGGGATCATTTCTCATCAGTTCTGCTACTTACATTGACTAAGCAGACTATATTATAAAGGAAAAACTCAAACAAAAGAAGTTCCAGGGATTTCTAGCTTTCGTTTACTACTAGCATATAATAGCGGACATTCCACCGGATCATTCTGAAAGAATACAAAAATTCAACAAAAAATGGCTTCAGACGATACCATCAGACAACCGCCTTTGGCGGGATTGAAAGGTTTGGGCAGCGATATGATTATCAGGACAAGAAAACGAGCTGATGACGTGTTCTGGTATATAGTCCTCGAGCTTGAAGGCATCGCAATGGCTCCATTCACAGGCATGGTCCTCGCCGACCTAGGGTGCGACGTAGTCCGCGTTGATCCTCCATTGAAACCTCAGAAGAAGACACAAAAGCGATGGTTAGACTCCCTGTGTCGACACAAGAAATCCATAATTGTGGATTTTGAGGTAACTGCATCACGCCAGGCGTTTTTGAGGTTATTGGAGGCCGCAGATATATTGATTGATTCTTATCGGCCTGGCATATTCGATCGCATGATTGGCATGAATGCTGATGAACTATGTCGGCGATACCCTCGACTTATATATGCACGAGTTACCGGATACTCGCGCTACGATGCTAGATACGCACATGCAATGGGCCATGAGAATAATTTCGTGGCAGTATCGGGTGCAATACCTGCATTGCAGCATGTGCCGCCCACCAACAGCAATAGTAACCACAACAGCACATTGTCCAAACCAACAGTCAACTACCTAGCCGACTTTGGCGGGGGAAGTATGTCGTGTGTTGTCGGTATTCTCGCAGCCGTTATCCATCGAAGTGCGTCTGGCAAGGGCCAGATTGTCGACGCCAGTGTTCAACAAAGCACTTCATATCTAGCCACATTCCCGCTACAACGACGGCACGGTCAACCTGATAATGAGCCATCTCTTACCGGAGTGAATAATGCACCATGGTCGGATATCTATGAAACCTCTGATGGGAAGTATATGATGGTGTCTAGTATCGAGGACGCACTTTATGAGCGATTGATACGTGGATTGGGCATTGAACCTGCCTCGGTACCGTCTCGAACTGACCGCGGAAATTGGCCAGCAATTAGGGGCCTGTTAACCGACAGGTTTGCATCGCAATCGCAGGATTATTGGAGGAGCGTGTTCGACAAAATGCCGGCCTGCGTTAGTCCGGTGTTAGATGTGGATGATGTTGATGTTCACCAACCATTGGTGTATTTGAGTCGTACTCCATCTCTCCCAACAATAGCAGAGTCTATGGTATCAGAAAATAAGATACCGGAGTTGGTATCAGGCAGAGGGAATGAGGAGGTTGTCCGTCGCTGGCTCAGGGCTGATGATATCTGCACAGATGATGGTAGTTGTATTCGGGTTGTTTCAAAATCAAAACTGTGATCAATATGCGACTCGACTATCTTAGTGAATGTCTACAATGCCAGGCCCTTAATTCAGCAATATTATTGCGCAGAATCCTCTCTCAATCGGGCAACAAACAAATGGGTCTGCGGTAGGATCCGACATCTAGTCTTCTGCATACTCTGATGTGGAGACCAACTTATGAACCCATAAACTAGGTTTGGAACTGACTGACTGGGTCTAACGGGCTGAAGATATCCGCCCGAACTGCCTATGTACCACATGAACCATGATTTATCAGACAATACCATGGGCCGAAGCAGCGTCCCGAAATCGTGGACCCAACCTTCCACTACTACGTACCTATATATCGAATCTGCAATAGATCCATGATTCAACTACGTAGGTATCATCTAGAGGTTTTATATCAGGCAGCTTAACATACAATAGGATACAAAGATGATACTCTTGGTGTAACCATAAAGGAAGCGGTGACGAGCGTCAATCTGATCGAACCCACTAGTGGGTATCTACTTATGCTGGTGTGAGAATGCCAATATCAATATAGTAAGTCTTTAGGCAATAGAAACAGTCAGTCGATAATAACACAATATGTAATCTATGAGAGAAATCATACAAATACCAGTTAGATCACAGGGTGCATTATCACATCCCAACCCTACCCTAACCCCCACCCAGCTACTTGGGAACTTGGTCGACATTCTGTCTGTGATTGGCCAGAAAATGTATGAGGATTCCCATTCGGCCTCGATCATAGCTTAGAATTGCCTTTTGTCGATCAATGAGCGAATATTTGTCAGTTTACTTGTTGCATTGTTCAGAAAACACAGAAATACGCGAGTATCTATGTACTGAATACCCGGCAGAACGGTACAGCTAGATAAGCACAAGGATATTAAATTGGGCAGCAGCACTAGCTTCATTTTTGTTTCGTCGTTCTCTTTTTTTCTCTCTCATTTTAATCTTTTTATCTTTTCCTCATGTTACGCTAGATGGATTAGTTGCAGTGATATTAATTGTCTGACTAAGAGAAAACCCCTGTTGGCCGAAAATTTACAGATTCCCGACCCAGCCTGCTGGAACTTGGGACAAACCACTCCGATTAAACTACCCCAGTGGATGATTATTTTTCCTTTACTCACTGCGGAGGAGCATAGATTTAATTCTATTTATCAGTTCGACATAAACAATTCTTCCCGGTTATTTAGTATCGGGTCCTCAACTGCTACATCCGGCTTTCTACAACAGACTCAACAGAAACTACTTTGTTTCCGGGGAAGGTTGGGAGGCATTTTTCGTCGGAAGCTTTTCCGGACAATTTGGTTAACCCCGCGACTGGGAACAAGTTTGCATGAGAAGCGAGCAATGAGCGGCACTGGTACGCTGGAGATCGATGTAAGTTTCGCATCGGATTGAATGATAGTATCCTTACTATGAATTTCGAATTGCTGTTTGTGATCGCTGGTTTTGTCACGTGCGCATACTTACTTTCGGTCGATTTAAGAGCAGGGAGCTGTACGATGCTGAGACGATATTGAGCACCGAAGCGGAAAGCCGTAAATTGCCCTGTTCATTGGTCTTCTATGACAAAGACTAGAGAGAGACTGACTAGGTTCAGGCTACAGTCCCTCACTACAAAGCTACAACTTCGAAAATGGCCGCCGATACCATGCTTACCGCGACGGCTCCTATATGATGCCGAATGACGAAAAGGAGCAAGAGCGTCTCGACCTAGCACATCACATCTTCAAAATGCTTCTCCGTGGCCACCTGTATCGTGTTAGACTACCGCAATCGCTCCGGCACGTCCTCGATTTCGGCACCGGAACGGGTTCCTGGGCTATAGACTTTGCGGACGTACATCCGGACAGTCATGTTGTCGGAATCGATCTATCGCCTATTCAACCCAGTAATATTCCTCCCAATTGTCGGTTCTTTGTTGATGATATCGAGTCACCGTGGACTTTTGATTCAAAGTTTGATTTTATACATGGACGGGGGATGGCAGGATCGATTAAGGATTGGAATACATTGTTCCATCAAGCAATGGAAAACCTGAATGAAAATGGTGTCATTGAATTGCAGGAATATGAAGCGGTATATAAGTCGGATGACGGGACGTTGAATCGGGCGGAAGCGATCAAAACCTGGCAACAGAAGCTGAATGAAGCGAGTGAGCGGTATGTCTGCATGATGCCTGCCGTTCAGCCTGGCATCCACTGACGATAAATAGGGTCGGCCAACCAATGAACAGTGTAGAGACGCTCAAAGCACGATTAGAACGGGCAGGGTTTGTTGATGTGCGAGACGATGCATACAAGGTACCTCGACCACCCTCGTTATCCTTCTCAAAATCTCCGTTAAGCTGACCCATCAAACAGGTACCTGTAGGGCCCTGGCCCAAAGACCGGCGTCTCAAGGAATTAGGCTATATGATGCTCTTCCACTGTTTCGAGGCATTAGAAGCATTCACTTTAGCCCCCTTCACACGAGTCTTAGGCTGGTCCAGCGACGAAATGCGTCAATTGATGGAACGAGTCAAGGTGGAGTTGTCATCTGCTCGGAATCATTTGTATGTGGTAATTCATTTCATACATGGGCGGAAGCCGGGAAAATCTTAACCGATACTTTTCGTCTTGTTCTCCTTTTTCTGTCTTTCCAAACCTCCGTTGGGGGTTGTTTTGGCGTAAGGATATTTACGGCGGGTACCTCTAGGTACGCAAAGTACCTTTTGCACAATATTTATCACAAAACGATTGGACGAGGTCATTTGATCGATTCGTTCTGAAAACTGGGAGGATGTCTGATTCGACTTTCTATCAGATTCATAATTGGATTCTTGATGCTGATCCTGTTACCATGGATCATATACTTCCGGGCAATGCCCTATGTAGCAGGTCAACCCGTTCTCGGATATTGCGATGTAGTCATATTGAGGACCTAAAAAAGAATCTTCAGCATTGGATAAAGGCCTTTCTACTGAGTCGGCATGTATTGTTACGTACATGCTTGGCACGCAGAGTGTAGGACATGTCGGGCTAATGTGTCGAGTCCTAATCCACTCATTTAGAATTCACGGATATACCGAACCAGCGCGCGACACGTGTTTTGAATGTGTACGCATGTGTTCTGAGTAATGGTGAGACATTCACTTGGGTTTCTCTATTGTTTACGTAGACTCACGTAAACTCTCGCGGATATCCAGAAATGCAATCTGCATACATATTCACTGATTGGATATCTACCATAAGTTCTTGACTTCCAGGTTAGCTTGATTGATATTCAGGCCCGAAGGCCGAATAGATACTACTTTTGAAAGAGCATGCATTGATGTGCGTACAATTTTGCAGGTTTAACTCCGTTGAGGATATCAGTTCTTAGGCTAACGATGCATCTTGATTCGAGCCAACTTCCAAGTTATTTCGATCTACATACTACTCAAAACGTGTGTTCCAATGAAATAAAATGTCACTACACCCTCGATTGCAAATATTTGCAGGTTTCGATGGCTTGTTAGAGTGCCATGTATATCCACAAGTACTGCAAGCCCGACTTTCGGAAAACGTTCCTGCGTTTTTCCTGGGCGCTGAATCGTTTCCAGTCGAACGGAGTGAACGATTTCCGTACTTGAGGCTTCTGCTTTGCGTTACTCATGACTAGGATGTTGTTACTGTACCTGACGTTCTATTCAGGAACAAATGCGTGGCTTTCTCGACCTGCAATGTTGGTTCGAGGCAATTATTGTATAGATGCTTTTGGGGTTATTTGGGTCACTAAAGGGTAATATATTACCAGGGCTTTACATTAAGCTGTATAATCGGATTAATCAATCGACCTAATGACGATAATCTTTCCTAGAAATTAATTACACTGTGTAATGGCGGGCCAGCAATGTTGGTGATATGTTATGGATATCTGCTAAAAGATAGAGATATAATATATGGTCGACATTTTCCTGATTAGGAGATACCTCCTTCCTCTGACTACGGCACAGATTCCCTTTCTCTGATTGCTCAATATTAGAGCAATCTATGAATTCGTTTAATCACTGGCCATTTGATTTGATAGGTATGTATGGGACGAAGTATAGCGTCCACATGCATTCCATACAATTACGTTTTTACGACCTTATCAACCACATAGACACGGAACAGTGATCCCGTACTCAAAAATGAGACATTGGTCCCAACAGTATGGTGCTGCTTTCTAATGGTTATACATCTTCGAAAAAGTGGAATTTGTTTCTCTACCAAGACACAGAGTGACGGAATATCCAGCCAACGAACTAGCTACGAAGAGGATTTGACTAATGCAGAGACAGAATTAATCGTATTTGGCTTGCTAATATATTGTTCAAATGTAGATATTTCAGCCTGACTAGGAGCCTCGTTTCTGTATTGGTAGCTAAGTTAGTTGATTGTGTAGATATACTTCCAAGATCAATTGATTAGGGCTAGGTCTAGGGCTACCTAGTTCGACAAGATTGACAAGTGAACAATGCACCTATATCAGCCCGCAATAATCAGGGTCAAATAGCATCTACGTACTGATATTCTCGAGACCCTTGACTTCTATTAATAATTACAGCTTAGAATAGTCGCTCATTGATGAGCTGCATGTATCGTATGGAACTACCCAGTCAACATCTATGGTACGGACGGGACGGGACGGGACGCGCGGGCATCGACCCATGAACAGAAGGAGACGACAAGGAAACCTTGGAATGATATGCATCATGTATCCTCTTTTCATATCCTTTTCGAACCCCGGCTAGAAACTCGCCCAATGACTGCTCCCGATGAAGAAAGAAGACAACAGTTCTATTTTAGGGCTTCCGGAATACAGACTCGTGAGCCCATGTTCTGAAAAGTCGGTCAAGGAAGATCGTTGTAACATCGAGCCACTTGAATTATGCAGGTGAACTTATACCCTTGGAAGTCTATGATATTATAATTATAATTATAACACAGTATTCATTTAAACGATTTGGAGGAGGAAATACAGACTTGCCTGAATGGTAAAGCACTCACTTAGCCAGCGCCGCGACAGGCGCATCATCGTGCGGGTCATTTGTTCAAATGACTCGCTTGGACTTGAACCGTAAGTTCAGCCCATACGTATAACTACATGACCTGAATGGTTTGATTCGTACCTTTAACTTTATTTTCTGGGGACATCGAAGCAAGGCATGTGCACTGACTCCGATAGTGAGATGAATTCTACAAAGTTCACTCTCACATGTGGAGGAAGGTGAAGATGACTGAGCACATCAGGGAAGCCTAGGTAGCGATGATCTTATTCCTCTCTAACTCAAGTATCCATCAACGATGTAACTACATTTGCGTACACCGATGCAAGGAATCCTTCCTACTACTATTGTAATCAGCTAACCCGTCTCTAGTAAGCAATATCGAATGACCGCATGATGGGCCAAGTATGGGCTGAATATGTGCCTAGATACTTAGTCTCGTTCTCGACCGGATCCAACGAGCTATGAATCCCGCCTGTTTGGATCACCCTTGTCTGGACTTACAGGACGACCGGAATAGTCTCCGCGGTGGATTTTCAAACAATTGAATTAACGTCGAACACGTTGACAGGACCCCTCCAAGTAAGGATGCTCTTAACTTTGCAAATCATGCATGCTTTGCTGACAGCTTGTCAGAGGTGGGTTTACATCGTATAGACTTATGACGAGACGTACTTTTTATCGCCAGGGAATTTACTTTAAGCGGAGATTCAGGCGGGGTGAAAGCGAGGGACAAAAGGAAAGGAATGGAGGGGTAATTGCTCATAATAATTGTTGCTCTGATATCTTCCTGTGTAGTTTCTCAGGTATCAATCCACTGTGATCTTTCTCGTTAAGAATATCCTGTTAACCGCGTTTGTTTACAGATATTCCATCCTCTTTCTTGAGACCAAGGCCTCGTCATCTCCAATTCACTACTGCCACTGTGTATTGAGGTCTACAACCAACCAACAAATGAGCTTTAGCCATGGCATGCTGCTGTCACGTCACAAGCCGTTTCGGCGTTTTCATATCTGCAGGTCGACCAAGTCAGTAACCCCATCATGTATTGGCGGGGAGAATGGAGCAGGGGATTGAAACGTTCAATAGGTCAATGGGCAACTCTCTCTATCCACTATGCTTGTCGGAAACTTTCTTGTACGACTCTTATGGCTGGCCCTAATGTATGTGTAATATAGCCATGCGAAAACGGGTAGGTGGCATCTGATGTATCATTCTCTGGCGTCGGACCCAGGCCGGTGGGTTCCGACTTCTTCAGGTTCGTTAAAAACGTCTTTGCGAGTCGTTGGACTTGCCAGGATCAGACGCTAGGGATTATTAGCTGCATGGCATGGCTTTCTGATTATCCGTGCTAATATTGGGTGATGCCTGGATGCAGATGGAATCATTAATCCGTCAGACAAAAGAAGTTCTCTGCATGAAACCGAAGCTTGGGTATTTCTGTGCATGTGGCATTGCAGCTTGGATTGTTTGTGTCGACCCCTGCTTCATACGTAAATCAATAAAGGGAAGAACGAATCAGCAATCGAGCCTCAAAATGTGTGGTTTTTTCCCTTCTTTGGATGGTAGTGACTATAAATGATTCTCTGTTGATCAATCGAAGTTTTGCTTCGTGTATCCATTTAGGGTGGAAGTTAGGGCTAAAGCTTGTCATGCCATCCACATCGGTATTAGTAACTTGAATCAAGCGGAGACAGTAAGCTCAGCGAGAGGGGTACGGAAACATTCCAAGGATAATACAGAGGATCCTACTTATCAATCAAGTAAGACTAGACCGGACCACAGTAGATCGAGATTAGTTGTATCCTCGTTGCCTGGGTACTTATACAGCCAACTCCCTGTAGAACCGAGTTAGCCAAACTCAGATATTCGTCACTATCGAGTCATACAACTTCTATAACAAATTCCTAAAGAACATCATCATGCCTGAAGTAGACTATTTCCTCAATCTGCTCAACCTCGAGCATCTTCCTCCCTTGCCAGAAGATCCGGTCAAGAAAGCCGATATTGAGTCTGTCCTGAAAAATGGCTATGTTGCACTCGACAATCTTCTTACCGAAGAAGATGTCCAATCTCTTCGGGAAGAAGTTGATCGTTTGACGGGTGAAAGTCCACGAAAGGGTCGTCATATGTTCGAGGGAAGGGATACGATCAGAATTTATTCCTTGTTGAATAAGTATGTCACCTCTCCCAAGACCTCCATTTGCTGAATGAAAATCATATGCTGAATAACTGACTTAGGTCACGCAAGTTCGACAAGTGCTGCCTTCTCGATCGAGTTCTTGCCTTGAACGATTATTTCTTGATGAAAGGTTATACCATCTCTGCCACGTCGACTATACAGATTAATCCCGGAGAGAAGCCTCAGTTATTCCACCACGGTTCGTGCCTGCTCTCATGTGTTAATCATATATTTGCTGATGTTGTGACTGTCAGATGATGGATATACGTACCTTCCTCGTCCTCGCCCTCCAATGGGCGTTGCTATTATGATAGGTAATGTCTCCGAAGGATATTGTCCCCAACATGTGCTGATAGGCCCCAAAATTAAAGCAATCGACGACTTCACTGCAGAGAACGGTGCAACCTTGATGATCCCTGGCAGCCACCTCTGGGACTCCAAACGAAGACCGACTATGGAAGAGGCTGTGCCTATGGTAGGCAAGGCTGGCACTGTCTTGTATGTTCCACCTCTCCCGACGCCTGATTGAAACAAATTACCATGAAAAGAGGAGAAGATATCTCTAACAGAATATAGCTACTTCCTCGGTACAACCTGGCACTGTGGTGGCCCTAACGTGTCCGATAAACCTCGTCGTGCAGCGACCATTCAATGGTGTCAGCCATATGTACGTGTCCTCGTACAATTCACGGAAGTTGTCAGGGACTAATTTTCGAAACAGATCCGTGCCGTCGAGAACCAATTCCTCGCTGTCGACCCTCGTCGTTTGGCAGAGATCCCAGATGATATTGTTAAGATGATGGGCTACGGCTTACAGAAGCCATTCATCGGGTATGGTACGTGTATTTCCCCGGCATGTCTAATGGTGTCAATTTTGGAAATGGATAGCCAGATGAAAACTGACAAGTATCTCGTATAGTGGATGGTCTCGATCCTCTCAAGGGAGCACGGCGTATGGTTGACTGGCTTCAACAACCCCTTGATGCCCACCCACCTGCTTTTGCGACGATGACCTGAATCACCACATAGCTTCCGATATGACCCCTTTTGGGTTTTTTCTTTACCTCCTTTGCTTCAAGTTCCTTCAATTCGGCGCTGGAGTCCATATTATTCGTCGTGACCTTCCAGGCAATATAGTATGCACATGTTTAGCAAGCGATACCTATACCAGAACAGCCCATCATATACAGATTAACGAATTATGACTTTGATTATGAATATACATAAGATATTACGTATAGAATGAATGTTGTAGTAAGAGTAAAAGAAGTTGTCGGACAGCGCGAGACGTCCGCAGTGCGCTAACCACAAATGGACAAGTACATGCTAACCTAACAAGTTTACACCATCGTCATCCTCGGACAACTTCACCCTCAACCTTCAACTTCGCAAGACATTCAAATGGCCAGCACTGCTTCTTAGAGGGACAAATATAATCTGAGTCCCGAGTCGCATGCGAAATATATTACTGGAGCCGCGCATTCGCTAGCAGACTTGCATTTTCCTGGTATCGTTGTCCAATATGAATCCACACATCTCCGTACCGCGACAACACAGCATCCCCTCCAGCTTCGGAGGGAGTTCCGGCGCTGGCTCAGCCGGACGAGGGAGTTCGAGTATCAAGATGCCGAGATTCTTCAAAAGGTCCTACCACCTTTTATGCAATGTTGGCTCTTTGTGCCTGAGTGCTAACACTGTTGCGTTAGGTTATTCAAGTTCCCGCAGATGGACTTTGAGATGGCCATTTGGGAAATGACATCGCTATTGATTGCGCCTAAGAAAGTCTTTAAATCAATGTACTATCATGTAAGTTATTACCCTCGGAGAGCTAGACTGGATTGCAGCTAATCGGTGAATGCCTACAGAAACGTAATAACTTCCTCCAAACGTCGATAATAAAACTATGAAACTGACCGCGCAATCTCAGAAACAAAAAACACCTGGCACCGACCCGACCCATCATTTACCTACCTCCTCTCTTTCTTTCTCCTCTTAACAGCGCTAGCCTGGGGACTCGCCTACTCTCCCAGTTTCGGATCCATATTCCGCCTCTCGATTCTGTTCGTATTTGTACATTTCATCGGAACATCATTGCTCATCTCGACAATCGCATATTTTGCTGTTGGACGCATATTCGGCCCCAAGGGGGCAGCGGCGAGTTTGACGGGATTATCTCGAGGGTCAAGGATGCCTAGACGTGGTGCTGCGCAGGGATTATTTGCGCAGCCGGGTGAGAAGGAGCAGATTGAGTTTGGGTATTGTTTTGATGTCGGTTTCCCCTTCCATTTAAAACTATATGTTCATACTTCTAATTTATTACTTCCAGGTCTCGAATAGAGCTTTCTTCCCTCTCTACCTGCACCTTTACGTCCTCCAATTCCTCCTTTTACCAATCCTCACCCGCAACCCACCAAATTTCCTTACCACGTTTCTAGGGAACACACTCTACCTCTCCGCACTACTCTACTATACATATATCACCTTTCTCGGATACAATGCTTTACCGTTTTTACACAACACGGAATTGTTGTTACTTCCCATCTTGGTGTTGTCGATACTATGGTTGGTGAGTCTGATTGCGGGTTGGAATGTTGTTACTCAGGGTCGTGGTGTTGAGGGTTTGTTTTGGGGGGTGTGAGACCTGCTATATATAATATCATACGATACGTCTATGCCGAGGTAAAAAGGCCCTGAAAGAATTGATGGCTTCTTCGTTTTGTGTCATATTCTTCTTTGTTTTGCTGATGTTTACATTACTCATGCAAGTGCCATATCAGCATTTGTTTCGCATCGAATAGGCGTTTGGCGTACTTTTCTGTTCATCTACTTATCTTCCAGCCTGCACCGTCAGTTACCTTCGTGTCTACAAATTCATGAGACTTGTCATTAACCAGTGCGTGTGCTTGAAAATAATATATTGTATTCTCAATATAGACCAAGGAGGCAGATTCTGACCAACGCCTTGTTCGATCGGTAATGATTTTAACGAATACCGATATTGATGTAGCCCGCTCCACAGATGTAACCCATCACTTCTTGGAAACTTTCTTACCACCTCGTGGTTTCCCCATCGCTGCTTCACGAAGCTTCATTTCGCGCTCAGTAATCTCCTCCTGGCGAGCCTTTTGCTGTGCTTCCTTCTCCTCCTTCTCAGCTTCTCTGCGCGCTTTCTCGGCCTCTCGACGCTCTCGCACAAGTCTCAACCGCTCCATATCGGCGCGTGCTTCGTCCGTCTTACCTTCCATGTGTAACTTCATGTATCGCTCGCGAGCCTGCTGGGCCTCTAAAGCCTCTCGCTCACGTCGAGATAATTGTTCCGTGGTCTTCGGTTTTCGCTCAGGTGCAGCAGCAGTATCAGCAGGAAGGGCTGCTCGTGCTTGGGAGCGGGATTTGGCTGAATGGTTTGGGTTGGCGGGTAAATCCTCATTGTCATCGTCATCTTCGTCCTCGGAGTCTGTCGGCGGCAAATCACCGGGTTGAGCGACTTGTTGGTTTTTCTTTCTAATGGCCGCTTCTTTCTTTGCTTTTGCAGCTGCCTTTCGTTGTTCACGGGTCATTTCTTCGGGTGCCACTCTCGATGGGCCGGGGGCATCGTCGTCGTCTTCGGAAAACTCTTCCTCTGAAGAATCTTCTTCCTCTTCTGATGATGGTTCATCTGCGGGATCCTGTTGAGTGGGAAACAGGTTCAATGAGTCATTGATCCATAGTTGCAAAACAGATGTGATTGTTTCTTACCCTCCACATGCCTAACGGATTACCATCCTTGTCAACCGGTTGTACATCTCGACTAAAATGCTTGCCACCTGTGTCACAAAAATGAGCCATGGGCTTTGCGCATGCTACGGCGAAGGACTCCGGTACAAACCTCCTCTAGTAGGTTTTGAGAATTTTCCACCACGACCACGAGGAGCCATGATCAAGGTAGATTGGCGAATGAAATATCTGATCTGGAAGATAGTCCTTGTGCATTAGCACAGCTCAATCTCTGAGAGCTATAAGGGAAAGCCATAGCTACCTAAACGGATTCGATCAGGCCAAACACTGTCTGAGCTTGACTTCTTTGTCGTATGATCGCTGGGATAAAGTACTGCGTCTTTGTTTGGAGAGAAACCTGTTCAGCCTGAAAAGTCTGAAGCAACAAGATGTGATGCAGAAAGTGATATTTGCCAGATCTTTAGTTGGTAGACAGCCGTTCGGTGTAAGCAGCTCAAAGAAGCCCCTCGGTACCCCTCCTGCCTCAAAAAGACGTGGGTCTCCCACCTGTCCCTTCGTCAGCCAATGAGAGCGACTTTGTTCCTAAGTCGATCTCCCCCGGATTTTCTTGACTTGACAATCTCTCTCTCTTTCATACATCAGGATTGATGTTTCATCGTACGGTCTGGTCATAATGATGTCTTGACATGGAAGACTATCCCATCACAGGATTTACTTCAGTGTCGTTTTGTCAGGTTGCTACAGAGGACCTGGCGAGTTGCTATAAGACACTATTGGAACGGTCTAGGGGGCTTCTCAAAATTAATATAACATGGGTTTCAGGACAATCCTATCTTGAATAGCATGAGCTCTCAGGAAAGGTGTCCGAATGACTCATGAGCCGTACAACCATTGTTGCGGTTTCTCTCACGAACCGGAAGCTCTCACGATGTTAGGGCTAGGGCTAGGACTAGTCAGACGACGCGAGCGGGTTGACCTATGATATCTGACCACGATATGGACAGGCTATCTGAACTACTATAGAGTTGTGTTGATTCCATTATATGCGAAAGCAGAGCTGAGGCAAGAGAGCGGAGAGTAGGTGCGTCTACGAAACCTATCCGACCAAAGACCCATTGAGAGGCACAGTAACAGCATGTGTCACCTCGTTTCTATCAGTAACTGATGTATACGCGAGTTTTGGTATGATGCTGATACATTAGACACATCTACGGCCCTGGTCAGCACAATCAAGCTTTCATATATGGATGTTTCTCTCGAGAATATTCTACCAAGGATATCCTGCGAATACATGAGGCACAGTCATCTAGATTGAACACGGATCAGAAAGCAATGATATAAATTTCATGCTATGGACCAAAATACCGAACATTACTGGCGGACTTTATACTGAGGATATTTATCTGCCAAGGATTCCCCTCAGCTGGGGTAGCATTCACCCGAGAGACCGAGGAGAGATTCTCCACCAACGACGGGTGCTTCACGACGTACTATCCAGTGAAACTCAAGCTGCCCATGGTAGATGTGCCTGCAGAAGAAGGATGCTGTCGGTTAAATGGAGGGTCGTCTTAGTAGTTACACGGTGGAGGTTTCAAGGCCTTGTCGATGGAGTTTATATGCCAGGGCCACCTGGTAGATGCGAGAAGTCGTTCAACTCTGCTCTGAAAAGTAAAGAGAGCCAGGGAAGACATTCAATCGAAAGACTACGGCCATGAAGAACGCACTTTCCATCCTATGCGCCTTCGGCGCGTTTCACGTGAGTAGTGTGACAGCTGCAACGCTCTACCTTGCAGGTGACTCAACAATGGCACCTGGCGGTGGTGGCTCAGGAACTGATGGTATCAAATCATTATACCGGTCATGAGTAGGGAATGCTAAATGTTTCCAGGATGGGGTCAATATCTGGCATCATATTTATCCCTAACTATCAGCAACGACGCAGTTGCTGGCCGTAGTGCCCGCTCCTATACGCGCGAAAGACGTTTCAATACCATCGCCTCCGATATCAATCCTGGAGACTTTGTCGTCATTGAATTTGGACACAATGACGGTGGCTCACTGACCCCAACTGACAACGGTCGCACAGATTGCCCAGGAGAAGGATCCCAGACATGTTCAACCACGTATAACGGAGTCCACGAAACTGTCTTGACGTTCCCTGCCTACCTCGAAGATGCAGCTGCAACTTTCAGGGCGAAAGGTGCTCATGTGATTATCTCCAGCCAAACGCCCAACAACCCCTGGGAAACTGGTAATTTCCAATACTCACCGTCTCGATTCGTGGGATATGCTGAACTTGCTGCTCAAAAATCTGGGGTGGAATATGTTGATCACGGGGCTTATGTCGCGAGTATCTTTGAACAATTGGGAAAGTCGACGGTGGATTCATATTTCCCTAATGATCATACTCATACCAGTGTAGCTGGTGCTAATGTTGTGGCACAAGCTTTCTTGAAGGGTGTCGTTTGTGGTAATTCGAGTTTGAGGAGTTATCTCACTTCAACTGATTTTGCGGGGCAGTGTCTGTAGCAGTTGCTGTGCATGATTCACATAAATGGGATTCTCCGATTTCTGACCATGTGATGTGATTTGGCATGCATATTCCTGTAAAGTCTCGGCCACAATCAAATGATGGGATTCATTTCAGCGACGTCAGACTGTGAGTTGATGTCGGCCTTCACGTTTATACTAAGGCACGTTTATACCTGTTCAGCCTTGTTTCGGCATTACACATCCGTAAACATGTAATTAAGATTTAACTCACCTTACTTCAGGCGAACCAAAAGCTCAAAGTCGAGGAGACAAGGCCCATCTAGAGCGACAACAGTACGGGCTGACTCCTGTGATTCTTGCCTTATGCAAGGCAATCAAAACTCTACTTCAGAGTTGACCGACTTTTGTTTTGTCAACATCCAAGGACCAAGACGTTGCAAGACCATAAGTTCAATGACGCTGGGCAATAACTTAAGCATATGCCTGGCATGTCAGATCCCGAGAGCTCTTGAAGCCAACGCCACATGTTGATCAGAGCAGATCGACACAAGTTTCCAAGGTTGAGCCACCCCCAGAATAAACTAGAACTGATTCAGGGGCGAGTCAGCGTTAGCTGTTGGTTCCCCAAAATCTTGGAATGGGGCAGCAATTAGGCATGCTTTCAAATGTTAACTATGAGTTATGTACATACAAGTATATTGTAATACGATGAAGGTATCTCATTAATACTTACAATCTGTCTGGAAACGATTGACCCCTATGTATGAAGTATCGTAATTGTATGCGTAACGTCAGTAACAATATACCAAATATATGAAGGACTCCATCAGCATTGAGCATAGCCACATAAACCTCGGATTCAGACAGATTTGATTTGTCATAAAGATATCGGTTCCTGTCGTCAAAGATCAGAAATAAGGGGGTTGAATTAGGCATCAAGATTATCTGAAGCTGCGTAGCTTTTAGCTTTGGATACAAGTTGAACACCTAGACCAACTTTACCAAGTACCGTATCAGCTTCTGATCAGCGGATACAAGTTGCATATTCCATATGTAGTAAAAGCAAAACTAAGTTTGATTACGAGCTGAAAGTATTCCGTAATCATTGAAACTGTAAAATTCGGGTGATTGTCTTACAGTTCCAAGCTGCTAGTTCATGATAGGTTCGTGGTGTAACTATCCCAATACAGGGTATCGAATACATGCTTATAGCGGCGAATACGCGTATGGCTTTCATTGACATGTATTTCAAGACAATGCATAACTATTCAGGTCACTCGTATTCCTTACCCCAAACAGTAACCAGGGCGGAAAGATCTTGCTCGGACGAAAATGTAAGGAATCATCCGACTGGCTTTGACTGCCCTCGTAACTGAGCGTGTGTGATTGGAGTAACAAAAGGCTAGGGTTAGTTAGTGCTTATTGGCATGGATGCAAGACTGTCATTAAATGTCAAATATGGGGCCGTATGAGGGCCATTTTTTCAGGGTCTAATAAATTGGTTGCATTGCGTATTACAAATCAACAGTTCTATATATACGAAGTCCTCGATATACCGCTCCAAATCCGCATCCGCAACCCGTTCCTGACACGAGGGAGCGGTTCGTGCGGGTATAGCGTATCCGCTCGGGTTCGGTTGACCTCAAGCTCCGAGCAGGTTGCAATTAACATACTATGTAGAGGCTAACTAACTAATAACCTACAGTATTGATTGGCCAGAAAAGTGAAATGCATGCAGGGTTGCGATGCTGATCGGAACAATTCATCCATCCGTTCGACTTCGGCCCTGATAACACAGCCCTAAGGAGCTACCCGCGGAGCCCTAAGTGACGGCCGAAATAGGAAATAATTAAGGCTAGATAGGTTGTGAGTGAGGTCCTTGGTGACAGTCAGGCGTTGTACGGTTTGAATACAGTTCGACTGACTGGCTCCAGTCACTACTACATACCAAGGTCCATTACTGACCTCTCCATGCTGAATGACATGCGCTTGTCATCATATCTAGCACAAGATAGCTAACAAAAAGCATACTCCGGACCTCCGAGCTGCAAAAACACCATCAAGATAGCCGAATACCTGTAAAAAGATCAGCAAATTATCCCTTGATGGTTATCAGTAGAGATCTGGAAACCTAAGACATACGCTGCCGTAGCCGCCAAAGTCTCCTTCGCATTCATCCCCAAAACACCAGACCCAAGAAGAAAAGAATAAAAACAGGGATAACAGCCGACTTCAATACGACCGCATACATCAACGCCAATATCCAAATTGGCGCAATCAGCATAACCAGTCCCGTAAGGATGATTATCAGCGTCACTAACCGATCAATCTGTTTGTTCGAGAAATAATGAATGTGCTCATGACCATTAAAGAATGGCAAATCAGTCGAAGTGGACTTTTTCCAAAGTCTTGATAGTCTGAATTGTGGTGAGTGCTCTAGGATTCGTCTTAGCAAACTTCTTTCTTTCGGAATGAGGGCGAATAGGTCGTCCTTGTCGATGTAGGCTTGTTCTTCGGGCATGATTGCGCAGCTGTGATTAGACAGTCAGTTTTGTAGACTTGTAATTTCTTTCTCCGGACGGACGCGCGGCTTTTTACCTCTATATATTGATACATGAATCTATCTGACAGGAACGTAATCGCATTAGAGACAGCTTTTGGGTACAAGGAAGAGAGCTCACAGTATTCTCGCAGCTTCCTACGAGCTTCCCATATCAAATCAGCCCTCTCTTGTCGAAATGACCCATTGTTCACATCTAGTGCGTCACGTCTACTACATTTCTGGTTGATGTTGTCCAGTTCTTCTATCTGCGTGAGCTCATCTTGCAGGACCAGAATCACGCGAGTGTTTAGTCCGTCAAAGCGACGGAAATTGCAAAAGTAGATGTCAGATGCGAGAAAGGTGGTATAACCGGAGTATCCTTTCTAATCATCAGTTTATGCGCGTTTTGCTGGAGTTCCTGAAAGGAGGGTTCCCAATGTATTTCCATGGTTTCTGGTCTATTTCTTCTTGTATTTATTCCTGATTTTTGATCCGTCGATGATAATGAAAATGTCGCCTAGTACGATGATTTTGGCCGCGTTGTTTCTGGAGGTCAATGAAGACGTTCTGCTATTTTCCCGTACTGGTGCTAAACTATCAAGTAATATATCTTTTGTTCCAACATCGCTATATCAATTATGCAAGAAAATGTGGACAAATCAAGATCTTTTTCGATCTACTTTTCCACGTCTACATTGTCGTGGAAGGCGAACACCACAGTCACGAGGGACATGAGGCTCCGCCATTTAATGGAGCCAAGGCTGAAATTGTAGCCGCAGCATTGATGATTTGTTATCCCCTGTAATGTGTAGCCTTTACACTTGGAGTGATAACAAAGATACAAATCCTACTTCTGACATCGAAAGAGTAACAATAATCTCATCATGATTACGCTTTTTCCTAAGTCGATAGCCCTTGGCCCCTTGATCCATTTTTAGATGACATCTAGGAGCTAGCTTGATGTCCAGGCGTCAGCCAGAATTGCAATATCCTCTTTTGGTCAAACTGAGGCTGTGTCAACACGTTCCGCACCTCCCGTCAGCGACAGATAGCAGTCACTGCGTCTGAAACTAATTAAAATGAAGCTACGTAACTTACACTTCCTTGTCAGGCTTATCTTAATACGCACTGCGGCTCTCGCTATGTTGTACTTCTGCAAGTTAGGGTTCGCGCAGAATTCCATGGATCTGGATTTATATCGGTTCAATAACATCTTACAATTAATCGAACAAACAACGAATTCTATGTACATATATGTGCCTTGGTATTTCACTTCGTTACCATACAAGATAATACAATTACCTTTACGTATTGATACTTTGTATCCCATAAAGCACCTGTCCAGTACATAACCAAGCGGAGAAAGAGTCGGCGTTAGGAAAGATACCGACAGGGAACTACATCCTTTGTTATCGGATATCCGATACATTGCTAACAGTTGAGCTTGATCTGACGTCCGCCAGGATTTATTTCATTTACTATTGGTCCGGCATGTATCCTGGGATTTGCATGAAGTCCGGATCGGAGATAGGAGATAGGATATAGGAGATAGGAGATTGGACATGTTTCGAACGTATGTTCACATCAAACGACTGTACATTTAGCCCGTTCAGAATACTCGAGCATAGAGGATACATGACATGATGCATGCTGCAGTACATACTCCGTACGTAGCTGGCATACATACGTGCATACAAGCTCGTATTGGCGCACGCACAACCAACTCACTCCTTCCACGCCTTATACACAACTTTCGACCCATAAATCGTCCCCTTCTTGAGCACAGCCATATGTCTCCATTCCGGTACATTTGGCGCATTCACATACCGACTAGGCTCAACACAGAACCCCGCATATTTCCCACGAGCAGGTAAGCCGTTAACAGCGGGGACATCGATGAAATTGCCCGTATAGAACTGGAAAGCTGGCTCAGTGCTATACACTTCAAGATGAAGGTTTGTATTATCATGGCTGAATTCTGCTAGTAAGTGCAAGGCTTGGGGTCTAGTGTCGAGGGGAACTTTTGAAGGATCGGTTTCGATAAGGAAGCAATCATCAATCTCGGCATCGGGGCCGCCGAGTATAAATGGTTCAGCGACTTTGATTTTGGAGAAATGGTCGATTGTGCCGAGTGGGATGGCGGTCGAGTCAAAGGGGAGATGCCAGTCTGTTGCTAGCTTGGCTTTTGTGCCGCTGATATCCGGGCCACCGGAGATGTTGAAGTATCTATCACCATCAGTCTCGAGTTACACAAATCGAAAAGTGAGGTACGAACGAGTGGTTGGTAATATTAACCGCAGTCTCCTCAACCTCATCCCCAACCAACTCCGCCTCATACTCCGTTTCCAACACCGTTTTGCCATCTTCCTTACTTGCGGTATACCAAACCCTAACCTCAACCGTTCCCGGATACCCTTCCTCTCCATCTTTGCTTAAATACTTGAAGAAGAGGCCTTCTTTTCCATTTCGATTAACAGCCTTGGGACCTTCAAAGATCCTCTTATCCCATCCCTTTGAACCACCGTGTAGCGCATTAGGCGCATTAGTCTTTTCCAAGGAATAAGTTTGCCCATTCACATTTTGTAGCAATCCATCCTTGAGACGGTTTGCGACTCGTCCGATTGTGGCACCAAAGTACGGAGTGTTGTATTTGATGTAGTCTTCTTGTGTCTTGAAGCCTTGGACAATGTTGGTACCACCCACATTAAATTCTTGAATGATTGCTCCAAGGGGGAGGAAAGTGAACGCTGACTCGTCAGGATTGGACATTTTGCTATTTTTTCTTTTTTTTCCTTTTGCAGTAGACGTTGTGATTTTCAGGTCGTAGGATCTGGCCACGTTTTGCCTTCAGAGGATTTATACCATGAGGGGTGGCTAAACATATGACGTTGTACCCCGCGTAGGACACGCAGTCTAGTATTTATGCTACTCAAGACTAACTACGAATTGAAGAAGAGACGAATCAAAAACTAATAATTGGGATAAATTAGACACCTTACTGGTCGCAATGAGAGGGAAATTCACGGAAAAGTGAGCACCCGGCAAAAAGCAAGCCCTAGACAATTACTAAATTAGGCTAAATAGGGTAAAAGAGTCAAATTGGTCACGTGTCACCCCGCAATTTGAATATTAATTTCTAAAAGAGACCAACACTGATGGTGAGCATTTCTGGGCCTGAGGGTGGTCGGACTTGGAGCACATGCTGCCTTGTGGACCGCGAATGACTCCTAGGTGAGCCGGTGTGTGTATACAGTATTCCTGCCGAAGCCTTAGGAGGGATTCGACCATCACCTGACTTGCGCAGAGGAGGTCTTGGAATCATAGCTGAGAGAACGAGCGAGAGCTGCGTAACCATACGAGTATGACACCCAAGATACATAAAATTGAAGCATCCTAGCCACAGACATCCTTGCCAGGACTCGACGACGCGGCAATCAACGCATTCCCCATGGCTGAGTTGTGAGACAGGCGTGGGGGATGCATAATGAACGCTGATCACTGCATAGTCGATTGTGCAATTCTGCTGTATCGCCTCGATCATAGTGACTTCGGATCATATTTATGAGGTCTGTCTGGCTTGTCTGAAGCGCTGTAAATGTATCGTTCGGCAATTGTGTAACGTGGACGACAGAGGTTGATACATACCATGTACTGGAAATACAATTACATTGAGAGATTTATTTCCATGAAACAGTTGATGTATTCAGAAGAATTGAATCTATTGTAAGTTCAGTCCTTCGTATGTATCCGATACTGTAGCTCGAGAAGTTAAGAGTAATCCGGTATCCGAGCCCAGCTCCTAATCAAGGGATACAAGCTATTAGATAGCGAAAAAGACGGGCAATACTTCATGCAGATCACTAAGATATCGATGCCATTAGTGTTAGCTTGTGATGTAGAATAATGAAAGATGTAAGAACATTCTTCCATTGCGCACAAGAAATTGAAAGACTGCTTATCTTATCTCTATCTCTATCGTTATCTTTATCGTTATCGTTATCAGTGTGAATGTGGGGCTCCGGGCATCGTCAAAGACGAAAAAAAAGTTTTGCAGCTCAGTGACTCAATTGCTTCGTCCAAGTCGTGCTCTCCATTTATCGCATATTGCTCGGGTCGTACGATCTTCTCACAGACCGTAACAGGAGATTTTACATTGCTCACGAAATGGCCACCACTATCGAACAGGCCGAGGCGCCTCATCAATCCTTCGATGTGAGTTGACTCATACCCCGCCTTATCACCATACGCATGTCCGAAAAACGAATGCGACAAGTTGACAATGGTTACAGACCCTGTTGGTTCTCGACAATGGATCCCAATACTCCCATTTGATTACCAGACGACTTCGTGAATTGAATGTCTATTCTGAGATGCTACCCTGCACCACCAAACTGGGAGATTTGGCTTTTAAACCGAAGGGTATCATTCTATCTGGCGGTATGTTCCAAACATCCACTCTATTTTCTCTATAATGGATTGAAATTAGCCAATTGCAAGAACTAACTTATAACAGGGCCATACAGTGTTTATGATCCCATTGCTCCCCGTGAGTTCCGCATCTAGTCATGCAACGACAGTATCACTGATATCGTAGACGTCGATCCTGCTTTCTTCGAACTCGGAGTGCCAATTTTGTACGTACATCCTAAACTTCTGCGATGTCAAGAATTGGCGGTATTAACAGTGGCTAGGGGAGTCTGCTACGGACTTCAGGAGATTGCATGGAGGGTAGGAAAGGAGAATGTTGTGGCGGGTACCGAGGTGTGTACTTTGACCTCTACAGCTCTTTCAAAGAGGAGTGCTAATCTTCCATAGCGAGAATACGGACATGCAATTATTACAGCACAGCGCCACAATGACCATGTCGATCGCCTCTTTAAGGGCTTGGAGGACGGAATGCAGGGTACGCTAAACATCTATGGTTGCTTTTCTTTATACTAAACGTACGACAGTCTGGATGAGCCATGGAGATCGTCTGGCCGCACTTCCCGAAGGATTCGTCACCATCGCTACAACCACCAACTCCCCCTTTGCCGGCATCGCACATAAAGAGAAGCCCGTGTATGGAATCCAATTCCACCCGGAAGTATCTCATACTCCTAGAGGAACAGATTTGTTGCGAAATTTCGCAATTGATATATGTGGAGGTACGGATAATGAATAATCTCGGTGATTGGGTTTATGCTAATGTAAGCAGCTGAATCCAACTGGTCCATGCCCAATTTCATTGATAAGGAGATTGCGCGTATTCGCAAGCTCGTTGGCGATAAAGCGCAAGTTCTGGGTGCTGTGAGTGGGGGTGTCGACAGCACGGTTGCTGCTCAGCTTATGAAGACTGCAATTGGTATACCATGTCCCCTTTTATATCGAATGGTAGGAAATTATACTAAACATAACAGGCGACCGCTTCCACGCCGTTCTCATCAACAACGGCGTCATGCGCCTCGACGAATGCACACAAGTCCAACAAACACTCCAACAACACCTCGGAATCAATTTGACCATCGTCGATGGATCGGAATTATTCCTGGGCCGTTTGAAGGGCGTCACCGAACCTGAGCGAAAGAGGAAAATCATTGGCGAAACTTTTATTGATCTGTTTGAAGAAGAAGCTAAGAGAATCGAAAAGGAGGCTGAGAACACGCCGAATGCTGGAAAGGTTGAGTGGTTCCTTCAGGGGACTTTGTATCCGGACGTGATTGAGTCGCTCAGTTTCAAGGGTCCATCTGCTACCATTAAGAGTGAGTGGCTCTCTCGTGTCGGATGAATGCTCGCTAAATTGAAACAGCACACCACAACGTCGGCGGTCTCCCGGCTCGAATGATGAATGGCGTGAGTACTCCTTCCCGGATACAAGATAGACACCCACTGATCAACTTAACAGCAAGGTCTAAAACTGATCGAACCCCTTCGAGAGCTCTTCAAAGACGAAGTCCGTGATCTCGGTCGTCAGCTCGGTATCCACGATGACCTCGTCATGCGTCACCCTTTCCCAGGACCTGGTATCGCTATTCGCATTATCGGAGAGGTGACTCCAGAACGAGTTGAGATTGCCCGAAAGGCTGATCATGTAAGTTGTGCAGTCCTACAGAAACTGTTCTGGTCTTGTATCTAATCGGATTCGACAGATTTATATTTCCATGATCAAGGAGGCTGGCATTTACAATGAAGTAAGCTCCCAAACACGACAAAATGACTAGCCAACATACTAACTTTGATAACCAGATGTCTCAAGCTTACGCTGGTCTTGATACCAGCAAAGGTACGCGCTTCTCTTGAACCTATTCTCTGTTCACAACTAATAAATCACAGCCGTCGGTGTAATGGGCGACAACCGCGTCTACGGTAAGCTTCCTCAATCCCTGCATAGCCAGCAACAGTCTAACCAAAAGACAAACAGGATATATCATCATCCTCCGCGCCGTGACAACAACCGACTTCATGACCGCTGAACCGTACGACTTTGACCACTCACTCCTCAAACGGATTGCCACTAGAATAGTGAATGAAGTCCACGGCGTTTCGAGAGTGACGTATGATATTACTAGCAAGCCTCCTGGTACGTCCACCTTCACTTAGTCTTGATACGTTGGTACTGACTGAGATTTAGGTACAATTGAACTGGAGTAAACCCTGCGCATATGCAAATGAGGAAAGGAGAGAATGCATAAAAGTCCTTGATATCAGCTAATTTTTAAGAAATCAAGAAATAAGAAATAGACTCTTTAGCGTGCTCGTCTTTTGAATCTGGGGGGGCGGTGAGGTAAAATTTTAATATTGATTTTGATTGATCGAATACTATTACCCATTTAGGATCTTGCCCTAATCTTCCTCGTATCAAACTCGCAACACTTTCACTTCAAGATTACCTAACATGGCCCTCGACCCCGAGAAACTCAATTCTTCTTTAAGAGCAAAGAAAGAAAAAGTTACAACATCTGATAATGACATCAACAACTCCACCATCGATCCCTCTAACAAGCCACATTCCTCCTAACAAGCCACAGACCGTACGAAGTTTTTCAGCATCTCGGGATTTGCAAGTTAACATAATCGGGCCAGCCTTACCCAAGGTACTCAAATCAGGAAATACGTCCCGCTCTTCTTTGGATTTTCCTGTAAACTGTAACAATTTCCGCGCGAAATATTGTATAGTTTTTCTCATCACGAGTCATGATCGCATAGACGCATAGACGAAGACCGGAAAAGGTTCAATCATACCGATATCCCATTGGACAGAAAATCCTTGCATCTCGGCGACTTTTTCATACACCCTACGTAGAAGGCTAATAATGATTGACAGCGGCTCATTTTTCATCCTAGGGCTATCCGACTAATACAGCGTAAAGTTGCAGAGTGGGTTTTACAAATTGCATTGGCTTTATCATTTCTAAGAAAATTTTATTTTGGCTGAGTAATAGGTCTCATTTGTAATCCGGCTAACTAACTAACTAGTTGAGTATGGAAACAGCATCTCCCTAACTGAGTATAGTACGTAGTAAATCTAGATGTATATGGATGTACTGGCTTTGCATGAGGGGCTAGTCAACCGTTAACCATGATGCAGATTGCATAGACAAGTAGTACGTAGTGGAAATACAGTAACATATTGATATCGGTAAACAAGTTGTATAAGACTTCTAAACAGTAGAGTGGATTATTCATGACTAACGTGTGGTTTAGTAATCCTTGAAGAAGTAAGCAACGCTTTTGTGAAAGTCTACTACTTCTATATATACACTACCGGATTAGGCCGTCAGGGACTAGACTGACTGTCAACTAACGAGACCGTGTTATCTGATTTGAGGATTGGATCGAGATTTATTCTGTCTATTGTACGTACATTTCGTTTAGTCTCTTGTAAGGTTGTCGGGGGATACCGATGTTTATCCTCAAGAGTCAGAGGAGCTACGATTCAGATGTGTATAGCGTATGGTTCCATACACACTGGTTAGGAGATACCTAGAACATCTTCCAAATCCATATATCGACGATCTTCAAAAGTACGAAAATGCACATCCCGCTAGATCACCAACCCGCCAAGCGAAGGTAGGTAGGTTACTTACTCTACTTGACCAATTACTCTTTACGGAAAATCGATCTGTAAGCTGCTTACCATGCAGGGTTATTAATTAATTAGCACGTATGTTGAAAGAATAGTAAAAAAAGAAAATCGAGAATCAATTGTAGGTATTACTCCTTCCAACTCCAGACCGCTAGCAGACAACGAGTCATAGATTGACAGAACCATCCCGTGTGCATAAAGTTAAAAAAAAGAGGGCTCACTCTTTATCTAGAACCGACGCACCGATGAAAAGAAAAGAATCGATAAAAGAGATAAGACTAAAATTTTATACATGCCATTTCATTCGTTAGACCAAACCGAACTCCCAATCCATTATCCCAAAACAAAACCCCGCACCCATGATAAACTAGTCGACGTAGAAAAGGAAGAGACAAATTAAATAGAAATCTCAGTATTGGTATTAAAATACTGACTGAAATCATCATTCCCAGGCTCAAACAACATACTCGGCGGTATACAATTTATCGGCATTTGTTGCTGTTGTTGCTGTTGCTGTTGTGATGAGCGGCCAAACATCGGTGACGAAGAGGACGATATATCGTCGAATAAGGATGAGAATTGGTTCCCGCCATTGCCGCTGAGGTCGAAGTCGTCGAAGTTGAGGTCGGTGGAGCTTGTGGTTGTCCAGGGTGTCTGGGGTTGGAGGGCCATGGGGTTGATGTTTTGTTGCTGTAGAAAGGTGTTTGTGGTGGAGCTATTTGTCGAAATTGTCGAGTTCGGGGTCGGGATTGTTGAGAATGAAGAGGATGTTGTCATGAGTGGTTCGGATTTGATGAGAGGTAAAGACGGCATTTGTTGCGTCGAGGAAGGACTATAACTTCCCGGTGGAGTGGGTGGTAATTGATGCCTTGCCAATGCATCTGCATACTGCGACACTGAATACGGATGATGTCGTCGGCCGTGATGACTATTCATATGCCGATGTTGATGTTGGTGGGCTGCATGCGTATTGATATTCAGGGTAGTCGCTGGAGGAGAATGCGCAATATCCGAACTTCCATCCGACGATTCCTGTCGTTGCATCAACCCTGCATTCTGTTGCCATAACTTCTGCTGCATAGACTCCACATTGTCCTCAAAATGTTCGCCCTTGGAATGATCTAGTGCGCCCAAGCGGGTGAGGAGGTCGTGGGTTAAGGGGTGACCGTTTGGTTCGGTTTTGAGCGGTTCTCCGATCCAGCCTTCGCCTTCTTGGGTGCGGCGGTACATTTCTTGTAGACCGTTTACGAGCCAAATTTGTTGTTGTTCGAGCATTTCGACGTATCTGTCTCGTTGTTAAGTCATATTCCACCAAAGACGAAGGGAAAATAGACATACCCCTTGGGGTAGACCTTGTCGTGAGCTTTCTTGCGCTCGCCAAAGACGCAAATAGCATTATCGGCTCGACATCTACCACATGGACTGGCACCGTCACACTTTTTTTTTGAATTTTCCAATTAGTCCATATTGTTGGCTCTCAAGCGTAAGATGTATACCTTTGACTTTTTCAATCGACATCGATCACAAGCTTTGCACACTCTCTTGCGCACATTACTATCTGAATGAGCCGAATGAGCTGAATGCTCTGACGACGGCGTCGACTGTCGAGCAGCCATTGGACTGATAGCAATTGGAAAGAATGGTGAGGCGAGGACAAAGAATCCCGAGAAATCTTTTTATTTATCTTTTTCGTGCAAAGTATATATCAAGCTGGTAACAATGGCATCAGAATCCGGGATTAAATTAAGCAGTGTACCTGATAGGTCGAGGTTGGTTGTTCCAGTGGTTGATCTCCGATTAGGGTTGCGATGACAGGTCGATCCAATATTGTCGTAACCTCAGTATGGGTACATCGATATATGTATGATGATGTTTGACGAGGTGTCTAGTCAACTCTCTTATATAAGAATCAAGACTTAAGAGGGGGAAGATTATCAAGTAGAAAAGGAAAGTGAAAGGAGGGGGGGTGGTCTGTTTTAATATGCTTGTCCTTATTTTCTATGTATGTCTACGTATCAAATAACTAACAGTGACGAAAGCGAGACCCAAAAAAACTCAGCCCAGCGAAAATTACCCTCAAGAACGAGCTTCTAGTCCTTCTAGACTCTGTATCCATCCTGTAAAGCTTGAAACGGAGATAATTGAAAGATACATTACATGATTACGGAGTAAGCAAGACTATGGGATTATGAATCAGCGAGTCAGCGGAGCTTGTTGCACTTAGCTAAGCTAGTCCCAACCTAGTTTTTTGCTACGTGCCATTTGTTTGGGATTAGCTAACTGACAAGAAATGGGGCTTGGATTATTGGCATTGCATTGGCATTCTAGTCAGCCAAGCTGGACGCGTAAAGCAGCTGCCTGACTCTTGTCATACACAGCCTGTCTGTAGACTTGTACTTGTCTATGGACAAGTACAAGCATATACTTGTCGATACTGTATACGTGTATACTGTATAATAAGAACGTAATGACTGGTAATTATGAATATTATGTTGCCGTTCTGGGTAATATGAGAATGTGTGGGGCGTATTGTTGCGGCGTATTTCACCTTACGCCCGAACGCATTCGGACGTATTCGTATCAATCGTTTAGTCTATTACGAGCATACTGAGCCTATTGATCTTGATAAGCGCTGCACATGTCTGGACATTTACGTACATTGTCGTATCTTTATTTGTATACTCATCATACTCTTCTGCCAGTCGATATGCTCAGTACAATTTACACTGGCTAGCAATAACAGCCGAATCAGCTATCAACTACAGTATGTTGAAGAAAAACCTCTCTCGGCACTCTATCCGTCCTTACATCATGTCCCAGGGGCAGAATCAGGGCAGCTGACCCTTGACCAAGATACAAAAGGGAACGGAAGTCGGATCACAAAATTTAATCAAAAAGCTGAGTGATTTTTTTCTCCCTCGCAAGTTGGCAACCCTCACAAATCAGAGATCCAGTTAAGGCTACCTAATTCGGTTATATCGCCCTAAAACTGGATCGGATAATCGGACATTCGGCCCATTCGGCCAACGACTTTGGTCGCGTCGCCGATTTAGAATCTAGTACTCTTGTAGTCAAGCGCAAGATTCATTCTGTTAAAGCTAACCGGATGACTGGATCTTGATCCATCCGGAACGGATTTCTTCAGTTTCTGCGCTCCGTTCTGATTTATCTGCGGATACAGATGTATGGACATGTGAGTAAGAGGAGGAAAGGGTCCGTGGTTTAACTTGTTTGTTAGAGTGTACGTAGTGGAGAACACGTTCTCAAAAGGTTTCATCATATCCAAGTTACTACTAGTACTACTCCTACTACTACTACTACTACTACTACTACTACATACTGATCGCTGGTTGTATCATGGTGATCATTGATCTAATCAAGGTGAACATCAATATCAACAAGCTGTGGACGGAGAAAGGATTCTACTAACTCCGCTCGTTCGGGTTTTGAGGCCCGTCTGCAGCTGTCATCTTTTCAAGGCTTAAAAAGTTAAACTAGTTAAGTTAGTGTCACTCAAGTTAGATAACATGCTGACTCATTGGGTGATCTGAAAAATATATATAGGCACGTATCCCCCCGAAGCCGACTTCTTGTTAATGTACGTATTAACCATTCAAGCACTTGGCGTAGATGCGGAATTGCTTTCCTAAGTTTAGTGGATTACTCATCTGAGGTTTGAATTGAGTTGCAACCAGAAGCGATGAGAATAAGGTACGTTCAGTCCCTCAGCATAGTATGATAATAGTAGTATCATAGTCAATGACCTCGCACAGAATACGGCCGAAATAGAACATCTATCGGTCGGCATATGGTAACATACATAGTGTAATAGTACGTAAATATACATACTGACAATACGCGTAAACGTGCCGCTTTAAGCGGGAGATCTGCTCTGCTAGCAGACAACGGATACTCGGTGCCATTCTCATCCGTACGGCGTTCTGTCACGGAGATTACATAGGTACTCCGTACGGACATACTAAATAAATGATCCTCGGACGAGCATTCCAAGGTGCATAAATATGCACATGCTGACTAAGGGGCTGTAAAGGGGTAACATATTTTGTGGCTACTCCTCACGACTTGGTGAAATCATATCAGATCGGACGATCCAGCTTCGTGTTTTCCATTTCAGGCCTTTGGTCTTTCGTGATTTGGATTAGTATCATACGATGGTGGTAGTAGTAAAGTAATCGAGGGCTAGCTATTATCCATCGTTCCAACGGACAGTGCCAGACATTGACGCTTGACTCGTGTGTTGACGAGTCTACCGGCACAGACGTTTTGGGCATTCCATTCACTTGCCGTATTCATGCCTACCTAAGTCAGAGATCGAAAGTAGGGGCAATAGACTCTGGAGTCGTTGATGCTAACATGGCATTGGCTCTGCTCGGGACTCGGCAGTGATGCTCGTGGGTCTGCTTACATAGCTCTTTAGTCTTTACTCCGTAACATAATAGTCACTCGCGTTGACGATAGTATGCGTGAAAAGTCTTTGCTTACAATTTGTGGATCTATCGATCGTGGCCTGATCGATTCCAGTATCAATGTATCATCCCCGAGATCATCAGAAATAGCACTTCACGATCGCGATGATGCGTATACTCTCGGAAGTCGCCATCATCTTCTCCTCGTAATCATATCTCCTATCTCATTCTTTTTTTTAATCTTTTGTGGGGATACAAATCCAGATCGATGACGTTACTATCTGATTTAGGAATCATAAGCCACAATCGCAAATAATCATCTGACTGTATGCAATAGAATAGTCACTTTCAAAATCCTATTCTTAACTTATCTGATTCATCACTTACTTACATAACATACGGGGACTGGGTAAGTTAGTCATCTTGCTTGATACATGATACGTACGCTACCTCGGATCCCTCGTCTGTCTGGAGAAATGCCGAGGATCATTTCTGTGACCCTATTCCGGTATATCAGTCCGACTGTGGATGTTTCATGGTGATCGTGTATAGTGTTGTACACGGTTTGGCTGTTTTATTCAGACTAGCTGGGTTATCCTTGCTCTTTTCTAATGATGGATGTGTCCATTGTATCGAGGCCGGACGAGTTACTTCAGACCGCTGCCTCCATATGCAGAAAAGATACTACTAACTCCATGTCTCTGATTCCTGAAAAGACCGACATCTGGACCAGTCCAGTCTCTCAATCCCCCACGTACATGGTCCAAAAAGTCCACGCTAAGTAAACAAGCTTCATGCAAGCCACAACATTCCCAATCCGGCAATTTAACCGTTTCGTGAACGAAATCGGATAATTCGTGAGAAAATTATTGCTCACAGTTGAAAATTTTGGACAATACGAGGATAAGAGATTCAATTGGAAAAACATCATGCGACTTCTGGGACAAATTCAAGATTTTGATCGGAAACAGCGGTCTGAATCGCGTCAATCGTCCGCGTGGATATCACGGCGTTTATGCATGTTACGATCCTCAGCTAACTGCTACATACGTAGATACTGAAGATGCCATGCTCATACGATTGAATATCAGACAACGGAGACTAGACTCAAAAGATCAGAAACTCCGTATAAGTCTATGTAACATGTTAAGGACGGAAGATAGAACTCAATCATGCCCAACTACTGAAGCCACGATGAGTTTCAAACTTGTTTTCTGATATTTCTTTGCATTTGCGGGAGAAACGGTATGCATAATGACGACTGTGGTGTTGGATATACTTTTTTTTCCCTTTTTCCTTTCCTGATGACTACGTATCTCCAGAGGCCGAGACGAAGAGAATTAGGGTATGGGCTAGATTAGGGTTAGGTTGTGTTGCCTGAGGCAGAAGCTAGGACCACCGAAACATTCTCATCGACTGACTTGCTTTCCTTCCGATCAACACTGAAACAACAGTCGTTCATCATGTCGAGAATTGCAGCAGGTCTGCTGCAACGACCATGTCGATTTTCTAGTCGTATCCTCAGGCTCGAATCCCAGTCCTCATTCTCTTGTTGTTCCGCGTGGTCGAGACCAGCTATCGCACCTTCATTGCCGAATGGCCTACCTCCGAAATACTGTTGCTACAGCTCCTCCATATCTACCCCGAAGACACCCATATTCGCCGAAAGTGAGAACCCGGAGCAATTATCAGCACCTTTGCAATCGCTACTCGACGAGAAACAATGGACTCTTGGCGAAGGACGGATGATGATTGCAAAGACGTATTATTTCAAGACATACACAAAATGTCTAGTACGCTGCGCTCTTCATTTGGCCCCTTGCGATTAGTGGACTAATGCTCTGGATTGCGTGCAGGATTTTGTGCTGGTCGTTGGGATCCGTAGTAAATCGAAGAATCATCATCCAACCATCACTCTGGTAAGATTCTGTTCTCCTCTGCTACTAGAAAGACTTGCTGATTGAATAATTCCGGTTGCAGAAATCAGGTTCCGTCAGTATACACTGGACAACACATTTCCCGCGCGGTCTCACTCGGAAAGATGTCGATATGGCACAGTACTGCGATCAACAAGCTGCATCGATCGGGACGGTTCAACCGAGTGAAGCGAATAAATGTAAACCTGCGAGTTGATTGTCAGATATCGATGGATATACTTTACAAGTGGACGTAAGAGGTCGACGGAAGGGTACGATCAGGGCGGGATATATGGAATGAGTATGACTCTTGCTCTGCATTCCTCCCAAAGATGCATGCTACGACAACTACACCGTCATCAACCATGGCGAAATATTAGCCACATCAAGGACAAACAAGGCAATCGGCGACTTGACCGACTCATCGCTTCTGTTATACTGCGTATATGCAGTGATGAGCTATACAAGCAGAGTGGCAAATATATCAGTCGCAAATAATGGCTCAACAAGAAACAGATATATTTATAGACGTTTTGTTCTACAATTGTTCCTTCGCAGCGCAGTTTGCGGCCCGATGTCTCATTACAGAGAGATCACCTCGGATTTCTCTGCGAGGTACCTTTCCCCACACAACGTTCAGTTGACGTTGGAATATATTGTTGACAAACTTGTCTTTTGCAATGCAACCTGTCTCGTTTTTGATTATTCAGCTTAATGCTGGTATCATCAATTCTTTTCTAAATGATCGGACATTGTGCCGAAAACCGTTTCTGTTGTAGCTTGTTTGAGGTCGGATCGTCCCCTCGAAGGATTGATCAACATTTATTTTAATTCGCGATACCGTAATTGTTGGTTGTGACCTCACGGCATGGTTTAAAAGCGTGGGTTTCGTCAGAGAGAATCGAGAATCCGCCTGATATACAAAACGGCCTTAGCAATAATGGATGAAAGAGAAGTGGACATCGAAAAAGCCGCAGTTCAGGCTGATTCGGAACAAGACGGCCATAAGATGTTTCCTCCGGCACCATCAATATGTGCTTCGTCAGAACACGACAGGGAACATCATCCCATATCAAGATCGCCAAGTCGAGCAGAAGATACCGCGCCCTCGGTCATATCCAAAGCCCTCACACTGGTCCGGACTCGAGAATCAACCCAATGCCCCAGTCCACCTCCAGACGGCGGTATACTCGCCTGGTCACAGATGGTCCTCGCCCACCTCGTCATTATGAATACATGGGGCTACGTGAGTGCCTTTGGCGTATTTCAAAGCTATTACACAAAACAACTCAATGAATCACCATCAACGATCTCCTGGATCGGCAGTACGCAGACCTTCCTCGTATTTTTCATCGGCACTTTCTCCGGCCGCGCAACAGATGCAGGCTACTTCAAATTCATCTGGACCTGCGGCATGCTAATCGCCATCGCCAGTTTATTCTTAACTTCCCTCTGCACAGAATACTGGCAAATCTTCCTCTCGCAGGGACTCATGTTCGGTATCGGATGCGGACTAATGTTCTGTCCCACCGTCGCCTTATTACCAACCTATTTCGATAAACATCGCGCCCTCGCCATGTCCACCACAGCAGCCGGCTCGGCAACAGGCGGCCTCATAATCCCTGCAATGGTTAATTCGCTTCTCCCCAAAATCGGATTTGCCTGGACTCTGCGCTGTCTGGGATTTTTCACGTTGGCGACTTTGTTGCCTAGTTTGGTTTTCTTGAGGCAGCGATTACCTCCTCGAGCCACGGGACCGATTGTTGAATGGAAGGCATTTCTAGAAGTCCCATATACATGTTTTGCTCTAGGAATGTTTTTCATTCTTTTGGGATTGTATGTCGGGTTTTTCTATATCAGTAGTTACGCGCGTGACGCTTTGGGTGCATCCATGTCGACGTCTACGGATCTGCTAATGGTCATGAGCGCAGTCGGATTCCCAGCTCGAATCATCCCAGGCTTGGTATCGGATACATTCACCGGCCCACTCAACTCCTTGATTCCTTTTGCCTTCTGTAGCGCCATCACCGCGTACGGCTGGGCCGGCGTATCAAATATGCCCGGTTTATACGTCTGGGCCGTGATTTACGGTATCATGTCCGCGGCTGTCCAGGGTTTGTTCCCCGTAGCACTATCTTCGTTGACAGACGACCTGAAAAAGACCGGTGTTAGAATGGGGATGGTTTTGACGATTGTCAGTTTTGGTGCGTTGACGGGGAGTCCGATTGCGGGTGCATTGGTGCAGGCTGATAATAATACTGGAGATAGTAAGGGTGAGAAGTATTTGTATATGCAGATGTTTATGGGCAGTGTGATTTTGTTGGGGGGTGGTTTGGTTATTGTTGCGAGGGTGAGGAGGTTTGGGGTTGGGGTTGTTAAGGGGTAGCTTTCTCTTTCATTATCTAGAATGAATTATATCTGCTCTCAAAAGGAGGTTCTCACCAGGAGTTATTCCATTTACAATCATACTGAAATATCGTATCGCAAGTCAATATTCAAACTAGGCGTAAGTGCCTCGGTGTCTAGAGACAATTCTATCCAATGATCTACATCACCCAAAAATATCCTCACATCTTTGATATGAGTGACAACGCTCAAAGACTAGGCACACACAAAGGAACAGAATCCAAAAAGCACCGATCCTCTAATTCTTTCATTGCCCTTTCCCAAATCCCCGAGAGGTCCTCGAATACTCCTTCAACACCTTCTTTTATGGGTTCGTGTGCAGTGATAGTTGACACGTTGTCAGGACGGATAGGTGCCAGTGTGGATTGTGTTGAAGTCTGTTTCTCAGGGAGGGTCTTCTTTTGAATGAATTTCTGGGATGGTTAATATGTTTTATTGAGTTGTATTCTCGGGAGGGAGCTCACTTCGTTCTTTCGGGGTGTATGGAGAGGTCTTTGCTGGTCAAGCTGGAGGAGAGAAACACCAGCCGGATTCATCACTTTGTCCATCGTTGTTTGAAGAGTCCTCAATTTAAATAAATCCGTTACTTGAGAATGGGATGTAAATTGAGGTCAGTTCGAATGTAGAGGCAGGTTTGTCATTTAGATGACTAGTTGAACGGAGAGCAAGGCCCTATTTATCTTTACACCTTTCGGATACCAGACCACCCGATTCTTTTCTCATTCGTTTCAATATTAGCAAGAACTCTGCATATATATCTATAAACCCTCTACCTGTTCCGGTTTTATATATGAAAGGAGCCAGTTTTGAATCCACTGGTTGTCATTTTTAAGTCCTCCTCAGCATTCATGATGGACGTAACCCGTCTGGGTTCGAGGGACGGCCGTTATACAGAGAGGTGCATATGAAACTTTCTATATCTATTCTAAGTATAGAACTGTGTCAAATCTACATACATCATATTCTGCATGGCAGAACAATACTAAGACTCAGAACAACAAACAACCACAAAGAAAACTCGCTCAAAGCAAAAAACTAAAAAAAGCCTCTTTAACTCCTTTAACCAAAACAATCCCAAATCGTAGACATCAATCATAACTTCGTCAAGGATCCGAAGGTTCTACCAGATGATATATTATCCTTCACACATAAACAATTTTCTAACTTCATCTGCATATCCTTTTTATTCTCTGCAATCTCCGTAACAAGGCCCAGTAGCTGTAGTTCGGGGCCATTTATAGGACGAGAAGATAATGTCCTATGCCACTTTTCTTTTTTGTCGTCCTGTTTTGTTGCTGTTGACGGGAAGTAACGGTTCACCAGATCCGTCAGGATGTTTGTCTCTTTCGTCGGGTTGAGGTTTATCGTTGCTGTGCGCATCATAATTCGTTCGTCGCAGGCAAATGCTAGCGCTACACCGGCGCCGCAAGCATGTCCATTGAGACATGCAATAACTGATTTGGGGTATTGGTCAATTATCCCGAAGAGTTGTATCAAAAGGTCATGTGCTGCCGTGGTACCAGGGTTATTGTCTTCGAAACTTTCTCGTTTGGTATCAACGCCGGCACAGAAATATGGACCTGTCCCAGTTATGACAATACGAGAAATTGAGGAATCGTTGTGGCATGTTTTCAGACATTCGATCATGGCGGTGATCATAGATCTGGTGAGCATGTTTTCCCTATTCGGTCGATTCAGTACGATTTTCAGATCACCGTTTCCAAGTTGAAAAATCCGGATCTTGTCAGCGTGTTTGACTCGTCTGATGGATGCTTTCATGTATGTCATTGGACGAAAACTTGAAAGATGTAGGTCCTTTTCTCTCCATTGCGGCTGTTTATAGTGTGGCATGTCCACCATTTCTATGCAGTAGTCGCTAGGCAGAGTGTCCGACGAGCCTCTGACCTGCTGATTTATCCAGTCACCCGTGGCGATCAGCTCTGTGAGATTCACGCCAGTCTGAATACCTGCATTTTGAAACATAAGAACCACATCCTCCGTCGAAACATTCCCCTTGGCGCCAGGAGCGAATGGACATCCCCCCAGACCACCGACGCTAGCATCAAATACCCTGATACCACATATATAAGCTTGTAGCACGTTTGCTACAGCTTGACCATATGTATCGTGGAAATGACCTGCTAGGCGTTTGAGTGGGATAGAGTTTTTCTCGAGATATCTGAGTAGTGTAGCCACTTTGGCGGGTGTCCCGGCTCCTGTTGTATCTCCTAGGCTTACTTCATAGCAGCCAATTTGCAGTAATTCTTGCACGCAATGCAGGACACTGGAGGGATTAGTTGGGCCATCGTATGGATCCACAAAGACACAGGAAACGTATCTGCGTATAGGCGAGTTAGCAATCAGGGACTTGAATAGTGCACATGTATGCCTACCCCCTCACAGCAACACCAGCTTGAATAGCCTTCCGAGCGACAGCTCGTGCCCTTTCTAGTCCTCCCTCAATAGAACAATTGATATTAGCCTGACTAAACCTTTCAGTCGCACTGATAAACACAGCCACTTCTTTGACACCCCGTGATAATGCAATCTCCAACCCCTTTAAATTAGGAGTGAGTACCGGTAACTGAAGACCTAATTTCTCTGGATCTTCAATAAGCCTCTTAATTGCTGGATTGGCCAGAACCTCCTGACAATCCGCTAACTGCGGTATCTTGCGCGGAGAGACGACAGAAGTAAGTTCAATACTCCGGAGACCAGCTTGACGAAGTCGTTGAATCAGTTCGATCTTTGTCTCTGTTGGGACGGTATCTTGTATACTTTGCAAGCCATCCCTAGGACCGACTTCGACGATACGGACTTCGGGTATTTGTCGTGTCATTTCCGTCCTTCTCCTGTACAGTACCCTTTTGCACTAAAGGCGGGCCGCGCGTTGTATGTATCTATTGCATAGTGGTTTGAGGTGTCGCTTTGTTTCAAAGAATACGGCTCTATTCACCTCGCAACAAAACTGATCGATCGTCTTGAAGCAGCGCTTTACTTTTCTAGAAACACACCGAAACACGGATGATTCGAGGTAGTGATGGTAGTGGGGGACAAAAAAATGCCGAGTTAAACGTAAAGAGTTGAGCCTCGGATCCGGTCCGGAAAGGATGTGACTGGCATTCATGCATTCATGTAATCACTCAGACAGCAACAGTCATTATTATAATATACATAACAAGGCAATCAGGTAGGAACCCGGTCAAGTGAAACATAAGAATCGAAATGCAACATCGTCAGATATCTTTGTAAGGTGTAACGCAGAAGAGTTAGGGTTATTGGCCGGGTAAATGACGTACGTAGGTATCGTATCGTATCTGTTTGCGGCAATACCCGTGGAAGGACGTGGAAATACGCAGACCCGATGAGAAACTCCGACATATACTTGATAAGCCATGGGTGTTGGAATGATCGTTTAAGAATAGTCCGGCCCTAAGTGCTGTATATCTGATATCGGTATATACTCAGTCCAATAGCAACTTAGACTCCTAAGTAGATAAAAATAATATCCGTCCAATCAAGTGATTTGCGTCTATTACAGGAATCCTAGTTTTCTTGCTGTTATAAATGCCGTCCTGTGCTGCATAATCCAAGTAGCATTGCGCGGCTGCGCCTCGATCAAGGAATGGCCCCGAGATTCTAGCAGGTTGCAGGAAAGGCAGATATTATTTGTTAGACTTGGCTACAGTTTGCACAGAATTGGCTTGAATGACTATTGGTTGCAATGGTCTAAACTATGACCTAAAATGTAGTTCTACAGTGGTGGTTAAACCTTGTGGTTAAACCTTGTGGTTAAACCTTGTGGTTAAACCTTGTGGGTAAATAATTTTAATATGAATCGACTCTAACCTGGATATCAAATAACCTACTTTAGATAGCTTGGAATAATCCTGCTGTTAACTGATTTAAGTATATTAATCCAGATTCTGTCAATGTCTAAGGTATGGCTTGCTAAGGGAAATTCCTATGTATGGCCATCTCTAAGTTTCGATCTCGGGAGCAAGTTAGGGCTACTAACACCAGAAGCTTTCGAACTTCCATTGTGCCATTTACACAGGCACCAGCTTTATCAGTTAATAGAAGGATCACAAGTCTTACTATTTTGAAGCAGAACCAATAAGTTTCGTGAGATGATTTGTCACTGAGCAACTAGAGGGCATCTAGTTTATTATTTGTGTTAAATCTTTATACTGTATGTTATCGGCTAAGATCACCTCAGGTGTACTTCACAGTTTTGACCAGTGATAGCTATTTATTTGCACCTACATAGCATTATAAGGGAAAAAAAAGGCAGGCCAATGTTTGCTCTGAGCAAACATTGACTAATCAGTCATGGTAGCATTGTTAAATCCATCTATAGATCTTCTCTAGCACAGTTCTCTTACTAGCGTCAAGACCCAAGAAGAAGACTATATAGATAGTTCTAGGCAAAGTGCTATTTGTCTATAGAGTTTACAGATTATTTCTCTTCGCTTTATGTATGATGCTTTCTAGTGAAGAAGTCAAAGAACCATGACAAGTTGATTGTCTGCCTTACTCAATACGCAATGGGTATTCAACAGTGCTCATCTTGATGCTTGATGAGGATTACCGATGGCCTCAACAATAATGCGACATTACACTGGTACGAGATGGTGTAGAAATGAACAAACAATAGCAGGTAGAACTCGACAATAGCCCTGTTTTTGTCTGAAACATCAACAATTCTTCAGCGCTTTATTCCTTGACAAGCTGATACCTCGATCAAGGGCGTAGACTGGCCTTTATTATACACACAAAGCTGTCTTTTCTCAATAGGCATTATTCATTGCCTATCAATGGCCTCTTAACTAGGTCAACATGTCTTTTTATTGTAAATAGAACAATACAATAGTATGAACAACCAGATCCATATGTTCACAGCTCACAGTTTTGTTTGTACGGGACTTCCCTTGTTAACTAGGTCATCTCATCTGAATAGTCTAAATGCAATCACCAGTAAATGCCTTCATAATCACCATTGTTTATTCAGGACAGTGGTTTAGCCTTCAACTACTTAAACGCCAGATTTGACCATTTTGGATTTCTGGGAAGACAGGTTTTTATAACTTTGCCGTGTTCCTCCTGATTGGGACTTTCATCTTGTCCAAACTTATCTGTTTGAAGAAAATCTCAATTTTTAACAACCACAATGTCAGACCCACGCCTGAAATCCGAGGGGAATACCTCAAACGAAGCGGAACCCCCAAGCTTAAGATGGAGCGCAGCCAGTACTTTCTACAACAGCAGTCATGAAGATCGGGAGAATATACCGCCGACATCTCCATTTGAACCTCCAGAGCTCACGAGATCTCCAGCTATCCAGGACGACTTTGGCCAATACGGTAGAGACGATAGGAATGAACGGATAATTAAACAAGAACCAAAAGGAGATGATAATGGTTACGTATACACCTTCCACCCAAACTCGTATGTGTCTACCCCGATTGAAAGACAACCACTCCCTTCGGTTCTGAGCGATGAAATCGAATTCCAAGATTACATGCTTGGAAGCATGGATGATAATGGATTGAAAAGGAGGCTCAGGAGCGACTGGTATGGTGAAGACGCAGCTAAATTGGAAGGCTCTACGTTTAGATTTACTCCAGAAGACCTGAGAGAGGCAGCGGCGGCGAGACACGGATTTGATCAAACTTTCCATGAGTATATGATGAGTATAGGGGCGGTAGAGGATACGAGAGAGAGGGAAGGAGAGAGAGAAGGGGATGGGACGTTGACAGAGAAACAGAGGGCTGAGATTGCGGAACCGAGCATCATAGCTAGATTCGCACTTGCAGAGATGAATGAGCGGAGAGGGTTGCTTGAGTCTTCGCTTTCGTTTTCGTCCCCTTCATCGTCGTCGTCATCATCAGAATCTTCCAGCGAAAGTAGCGATGGGAGTTCATCTAATTCGAATGATGATCAGGACGACACTGGTGAACCGTCAGGTGATGGTGCAAGGCCAGAATCAGGATCTGAATCGCTGTCCAAGGGTTCAAGCGACAGGGATAAGTCGTCCAAATCGTCGTCTAGGCCGTCTGAAAAGTTGCCAGGGTCCTCAGATAGCGGAAACCGAGCTGATGATGAAGACGGTATACCTTCGCCGGATGGAGCCAAAATAATACCAAGCATTGAGTTGCAGTCCAGCACTTCACAAAGCAGCCTGAAGAGGAAAGCATCGGATGGTAGGAGTGAGATCCCCATCCCGCAGTCTCCGAAGCAGGAAAATAGTGATGAAGCAGCAGAGCAACAGCTTATGTCGCAACTTATGCATCATATCCATCTGGATACAACATCAGAGCAACGGCGGCAGGAACAAGAACGGCGGCAGCGAGAGCAGCAGCAACAACAGGAGGAGCAGCGACGAAGACCAGGATGCCTGATTCAACCACCAGTTCTAGCGTGGGTACAAAATATTTTGAACCGGGAAACCGAACAACAGGGCCAACAACCACAAGGACAGCAGCAGCAGCAACATGAATCCCAGGCTACAACACAGGGTGGACCACCGCCCATACCCCCGTGGTTAATGCAGCTTCCAACACAAGAAGAGGTACGACGAACTCGGGATGAACGGCGAGCGCAGCAACGGCAGCAACAGTATGAAATATATTTGGACGCAATGCAGCTGCCAGGATCACCACTACCTCCATTTCAAGAGTACATCGACTTCATGGATTCATTGGGGCATGCAAGGTCGCCAGAACTTACATATCAAGAGTACATAAAATACTTGGATATAATGGCGGCTGAAGAATCGCAAGAATCTTCATTTGAAACTACAACACACGGGAGGAGGTACCCACACGACTTGTGGCCCGAGCAGGTGAGTCCGACACCTATTCGTCCACCCAAAAGGAAAGGCCTATCGCTAGGCGAGGGAGGGGATGATGGCGCGCCGCCAAAGAGATCACGGACAGGAGCGCTGGCACCAGTAGCAACAGGAGTGTCAGCATTGGGCCAGGGTCTAGAACGTCCGCCATTGAAAGAGGAAGGTGGTCAGGTACGTGATCAGTCGAGAAGAAGAAGAAGAGGTTCGTCGTTGGAAGCCATTAAAGAAGAGGAGGATCAGGGTGCATCGCCAACCAAAAGAGCACGAACAGGAGGTGAGGAACCGGGACATCCATCAGAACAGCAACCAAGAGAAGGAGCAGGAGAACAACCCGGACAGCATTGGGTACAGAACGATTTAGGTCAGAGAGAAGAACAATGGCGACAACATCAAGAACAACAGAGCCAACAGCAACCTGGACGACAACCAGGGCAGGCACCAGGGCAAGTGCCTGTACGTCAGCTGCTACCATCGATAGAGTTCCCCGATGAACCAGAAAGTCTCCGAAGAGCGCATGCAGAACGAGAAGGAACTGTCCAAGCATCACCAATATTCACGAATGAAAGGACGATGGAAATGGTCAGAGGAGTAAGTTACCAACCACCAGATGATCAAGGTCGTTGGAACGTACCGCGAGACCTCGCAAACCAAGCGCGGAATACCGACGCAGCTCGAATTTTCCGAAGGCAACATGAAGAACATCAAGAAACACTTGCTGGGCCTAGGAGGCAAAGTATACGTGCGCTATTGGAAGAAGGGGAGGAGACAGAGATAGAAGAATCATCAGAAGAGAGAGAATCTGCAAATCGTAGTTCATCGGAACGAAGTCTACCACAGCAGTCACGACGAGGTCGAGATCCACGACCAGTTCCACCAACGACGGTTTGGTCATTAGTACCATCAAAACCACGGTTAGGAGGAGTAACAGCAGCAGCAGGAGTGCCGCCGTCAACGCCTCCATCACAAAGGGGCCGTTTGGGATCATCGGTATTTGGGTCAGAAGAATCACGGTCAGCAGAGAAGCTAGATTCATCGCCACCACTAATCTCAGGAGGCCCAAGACCTTCACCAGCTTCGGTACAATCAGAAGGTCCAGGTCCAGGTCCTGGTCTTGTTCCCGGACCAGATCCCGCGCCTGCTTCAGCCCAACCTCAACCAGACCCAGCTGCGACTCCAGCTACACCAGCTCCAGTTGTTGCATACCGCGATCCGGTTGCAAACCCAGCTTCGTCTCGAGCAGTTTCTGACCCACCATTTGCTACTCACACTGGCGGAACACCATCTCCTCTTCGACCATTTTCTGCTCCACCAACAGCCCAGTACACCGAACCTGCCCAACCACCAGCTCAACCGCCTACAAGCAACCAGCCACAACGTCGTCGCAGCACACGTCAAATAAGACAAACCTCAATGGCAAGAGAATCGGAAGCACAGGCTGAATATGGCCGTCGAAGGAGTCAAGCTAGCAGTGGTCAGATTCAGACTGGAGGTGGTAGACGACAAACTCAGTCTCGCTCTAAAGCTGGGAAGACCAAGACTCAAACCAATGCCGGAGTCAGGAAGCCCAAGACCCAGACCGGAGCCGGAACTAAGAAGAATGGTGGTCAGACTCGGGCCATACCAGCAGGTAGAAGAACAACTGGGGGAACTACGACTCGGACTCGAAGACCAAATACGCGAACGCAATCGAATACTCAGCCGCCACAACCTCAGCAGCAACCGCAGCAGCAGACCCAGCAGACACAGGCAGGAGCCAGTGGAAGTCGAAATAAAATGAGATCTGGGCGAATTAGTAAGAAGCCTCAACGATTAGGTTTTGAATAGTGGAAGAAGTAATCGGATATTTAATTTCATCATGTCTCCGCAATTTTGTTTGATAGTTAGGAAGACAGGTTGGATTGGATTGTTTGAGATGTTCAAAAATTTGATAGTTGCCCATTGGAATATATACCGTTTGTGCATTGTCATCTTCTTTTATAAATGTATTTACCTACCTAGGAAAGCCAAAGTGAGACTGTCAAGAGTGTTGATCAACATGCGTTGGCAGATTATACTCCGCATAATCCAAATGCACAAAGGCCCTGTCCACATTCGCCACCTGACTTTCGAGCATATATTGCAGACTCTCGCCAATATCATGACTATCGTGCAAGCTTGTGTGTCCATCAAGCACAATGTCGACTTCAACATTTAGTCGGTCACCTGAATAGTATGCTTCCAGATTCTGGATCCAGCGTATACATTCCGCAAAGCGCATTACAGTATAGAGTAATACGCTTCGGTCGAGGGGTGACGCCGCGGCGCCTGTTAGGTGGGCAATATGTTCGTTGGCAGTACTTGCCCAGTTGACGATTACGTACATTGAGAGAAGAAAACCACCAAGGGGGTCTAGGTACCATGTATTGGTGAATGTGCCGACTGATACTGTTAGCATGTGTCCTATTATGCAAATGGAGGGAACTGACTTAATGGAAAAATGATACTGAAAATGTTGAACACAACATCCGTCATAGCATCTTGAGCCAACGCTTGTACATTCGAATTGTTGATCCTTCGACACCAAATCCAGCAAAGGCCCTTTATGGCTACCGTTGAACCCATGATGGCGAGCGCGGGGATGGTCAATTCAACCAAATTGCGATCTTCACCGCCCAGTCGCTGCACCGAGAGGATCGCAACTTGGAAGAAAGAAGTTATCATCACCACAGAGAATATAAGTACCCCCAACGGCTCTAGTCGCTGACGACCAACCGGGTACCGATGACGGTCACGTCGTACAGTCAGCCGTGTAGTACTCCATACTATAGCAGTACTCAAAAAGTCAAGCGCTGCATCGACTAAACTAGCAAGAACAGAGACGGAGCTGGTCATTAATGTGACCACAATCTTGGCAATTAGTAGAATCAAGTTCGCTATCAGGTTAATATAAATGGCCAACATGACGATACGGCGAGTGTCTTGTTCTTTAGAAAACTGAGAAAACTCCATCGACTCGTCGGCATCGTCTGCCGATAGTAGCAGTGGAGTTCTCTCATTCAATTGGCGATGAGCGCGATCGGTATCCTGAGACTCGGTTGGTGTTAGGTTGGGTTGCGCTCTCTCATATCTGGGAGAAATTGCTCGTGGCTCCTCTGTAATTGGTTGCAAATGGCTTCGCTGAGTGGTTGCCCAAAATCGATCATAGTCTTCTAGCAGATCACGGGCAATTGATGAATCTAGAAGACGGTCGACGAAACTATATCGGGAAACGAGATAGTTCATACGTTCATAGTATTCCCGACTAACAGCAATCAAAGTAAGCTATGGCACCAACCCATTTGATATGTATACTTACACGGGTTTCCGAAGCTTAACCAACTTCTCCGGAGGTGTATAATAATCGGACCTGATGGTAGTTAATAACCGCAAGACTGGCATACAATGTGCAAAGGGTAATACCATCGAAACGCCGGCTTCGTATCTCCAATAAGAATTGAACCTCGCCTACGAGGTCTTTCGTTTGTCGGTGAAGCAGTAAGATGCCGTACGCCGCTAATGGTTTCTTCATGAGTTCCATTTTCCACATCATCGGCTGAGTCGTTCTTGTTGGTGTCTTCCGAAAATGAATATCTTCTCAGCAACCCAGGTAAGCTCTGGCCACGTGTCGACATCATCTGCCAGCCATTTTGTGGCCCTATTTCTAGGAAGGAGCTGGATGTTGAGGATGGAGCGCGTTGATGTTGTTGGGCTTCCCATAAGCCGGTGGGACGTCGTGGAGATGACATTGGATGCTACTATACAGTACAACTTCAAATCCTGGGGAAATTGGGCGCTATGCGATGGTTCCTAGATGTAGTGATCAGATGAACTGAACTTTGACTGAAGTTAGAAGTTGAAAGAGGTAAACAAAACCAGACAAAATTTAAACGATCGATGCGGTCATGGTGGGTCTGTATTGAACTATCTGATTGGCTAATGTCGAGATAAGCATCTTTTCCTATCGCAGCCATTTTTACTACGTAGTATTACTATGTACATTGTCCGATATATCTCGTACCTAATGCTTTCGATAGGTGATTCTGCAGTATGGCGGTATCATTAAAGGGAAAAAATCAGCCATCGCATAATTAGACAAAATTATATGCTACTTGGATAATTCATGCTCATCTGTCTCTCAGTGTATTAGGAGTAAATTCTACTGGTCAGGCGCGGAGCCCCTATCTAAGTGAATAGTCGATACGCTAAACCTAATCTGGATAGAGCATTCTAGCAGTCAGAGGGAACTTGTTTGATCAACTACTACGGTTGGCTACTGTTTTCTCCGAAGGCACTGTAATTAGACGAACACCTGCAAAAGAGACGAACTGTACTCCGTAGGAATAATGCGGAGAGCTGTACGGTCAGAATAGAAGGAACTCAAAGACCGTGATCGAGGAGGTGTGCCGAACGGGAGCTAAAAACGGCCTGATGGCAGTACCCGAAGGCGGTCCGCAGACGCCGGAAAACTCTGCACGGAATGAGGCCATCCCAACAGCCCCAGGTCGGAGACAGAACCACCCAGCAGAAACCCTACGAGCCCCAGTGGTTGAATTTCCCTCATTGGACGATGGCAAAAGAATTACATACCAGACGGTTGCGAGCCTCGTTAGCAGCCTAAAGAAAGTCATCACCCAACAGACCAACATAATCGAGCTAGCAAGGGCAGAAGTCCGTGAAATCAAAACGGAACAAATCACCCTGAGAGAACAGAATGTGAAATTACAGGAAGAGATTCAGGCGCTACGCACCCAGATTGAGAACCAGGCAACTACAATCCTACCCCCAAACCCATGGGCTGAAGTAGCCTCCACAATCCCACCAACGATCAATATACTCCCACGACCCCAGAAAGAACTGAACTGCGTCCGGATCAGTACTGCACAGCCAGAGGCAACGGATAACAATGGAAATAACAATGACAACTTCACAAGGTTCCTGCCTACTGATACTGCCAACAAACATATCAGGACCGCCTTATCAAACACAGAATCCACCAAAGATGTACAGGTAGCAGGTGTTGGCACCACTAAAACAGGCTATGTAATCAGATTCAGAGATGCTCAGTCGGCCGAAACAGCCCGGAACAACACCGCATGGCTGGAAGAATTGGGGAACGAAACCAGGCTGGTCAAACCCCGATTCGGCATTGTGGTTCACCGAGTGCCAACGGAGGACTTTGACTTGGAGAAGGAAAAGAGAGAAGGGATTGAGAAGATCATGGAAGAGAATGACCTGGCCGAGAAAGGATTTGAAATCGAGGATATTGCATGGCTCAAGAAGAAGGATAGACCGCTGGGAAAGGCCGCATCGATAGGCATCTAGCTGAATACACCGGAGGCCGCAGAATCAATCATCAATAATGGCCTCCTAGTTGGACAAAGATACATTGGAAGTGTGGAACCCTACAAAGTTGAACTAAAGAGATGCTACCACTGCCAGAAGTTTGGCCATCTAGCCTGGTCATGCAAAGAACAGGTAAAATGCGGCCACTGCAGCGGCCAGCATGATCAACGTAACTGCCCTCCAGGCATAAGGCCAAGGTGTGCAGACTGCAATGGGGAACATCCTACCGGACATAAGAGGTGCCAAGCACCTCTTAACCTGAACTCCTCCCAATAATGTCATCAACACTACGTTTATTACAGCTGAACGTCTGGAAATCCAGGGCAGGAATGGAAGCCCTCATTAATGACCACCAGAGCCAGAACCTTGATCTACTTTTGATCTAAGAACCATCAGTTACCACATACCGCACCCATGTGAACTACAGTGCTTGGCGGCTATACTAACCAACATACTCAAATACCGACGAATCCACCCGATACCGCAGCCTGATTTATGTGAATAAAAGAATTTCGACCTCCTCCCATTGCCAAATCCAGTGCAATCACCTAGATCTGGTAGCAATCAGAATATGGACTGCGGAGATACAGTTCCTTATCTTCTCAGTGTACATCCCACCACTGGATGCGCACCAAGCCGCTAGCACGACCGCTGCTGAACCGATACTAGCGGAGATTAAAAACACCATTGAAGAGTATACCAAGGAGCCCAATAAGACCACAAGGCTTATTCTAGCTGGAGACTTCAATCGACATCACCCGGCATGGAGCCACCGCCCCGTTAGCCATGTTTTTACATCTCAAGCGGAAGAGTTAATAAACTTCTTCCAGACATACAAACTCCAATGGTGCCTACCCCCAGGCACGCCAACATACTGGTCACCAAGCCTCCCAGGGAAGGCATCAGTCCTCGATCTGACGCTCACCAATGACCCTGCAAAACTTATGAAATGCCAACTCTATCGGGACAACTACGGTTCAGACCATCGCGGAACATACTCCGAATGGGACCTACGACCAGAACGCAACGAAAACCCAAAACCAAAGAGAGCATATGACAGAGCGGATTGGGATAAAATCGGCTCAGCCTTGCTGGAACTACTTGGTCAAGGACCTGAGATAAGCTCCGCCGCAGACCTCGACTATGAAGTTAACCGACTAGTTGAAGCAACAACGACAGTCCTTGATCAACAGGTGCCTCTACAGAAGCCATCCCCCTACTCGAAACGATGGTTCACCCCAGAGCTCAAATCCCAACAGGTTATAGTAAACCAAGTTCGTAGGAGATGGCAGAGCAGCTGTGCTACCCTAGGCAGCAGCCACCCAATTACCACATCCCTCTTCAACGACATGTGTCATAAACGACGAGAATGGACTAGAACCATCGAGAAGGTCAAAGCCGCCCATTGGAAGGAGTTCCTAGACAAGGCCCAAGAAGGCCACCTCTGGAAAGCAGCAACATACATGCGCCCACGAGACCCCTATACAAATATCCCGCCACTAAAAGTGGGATCCGAAGAAATCACCGAAAACGACGCAAAGGCCAGAGTGCTCCTAGAAACCTTCTTCCCGAAGATGGCAGACCCAGAAATAGAAGACCCAGTACCACCCTCAGAGGAAATACCATGGTACCCAATCACCGAACTGGAGGTACATCGGTCACTCAAAGCCGCTAAGGGAACGACGGCCCCGGGGGAGGATGGGATCATAACCCTTGTCTGGAAACATCTATGGCCATATCTCCGGAAGATGATCACGTACATCTTTGCAAGATCAGTAGAATTAGGCCACTATCCTCACCAGTGGAAGCGAGCGAGAATCATAGTGCTGAGGAAACCCGGGAAGCCAGACTATGGTGTACCAGAAGCATACCGACCTATTTCTCTACTGAATACCCTAGGGAAGATACTAGAAGCCGTCATGGCTCGCAGACTGTCATTCTGGGCTGAGTCCTATAAACTACTTCCAGACACCCAGTTTGGAGGCCGGCCAGGACGAAACACAGAACAAGCGCTCCTAACCCTGGCAAACGCGATTGATCGCGCATGGCTACGGTCAAAGGTGATCACGCTGGTGGCATTTGATCTCACAGGAGCATTCAATGGAGTGAATGATTCAAGCCTTGACGCCCGCCTACAGGCCAAAGGCATCCCAACCGTAGCCAGGCGCTGGATCCGGAGCTTCATGGAGAACAGGTACGCCGGCATCTCCTTCGATGATTTTCAGACGGAGATCTCCCCGCTCGAGCATGCTGGTCTGGCACAGGGATCCCCGCTGTCCCCAATCTTATTTGGATTTTTCAACTCCGACCTGGTCGACCAGCCAGTCGACCACCATGGCGGCGCGTCAGCGTTTATTGACGACTATTTTCGATGGCGAGCCGGTCAGTCTGCAGAAGACAATATCAGAAAGATTCAGGAAGAGGATATCCCCCGCATCGAGGCATGGGCCCGACGAACGGGATCCTCGTTTAACGTGAAGAAAACAGAACTAATCCATCTAACAAGGTCCAAAAGACAGCACGGGGTAGGACAGATCACAATAAATGGGACGGTAATCAAGCCAAGCGATACAGTAAAGCTTCTAGGCGTGATCTTTGACAAGGAGATGCGGTGGAAGGAACATGTGCAGCAAGCAGTCAAGCGAGCAACCCAGGTGAATATCGCCCTGGGGGGACTGAGACACCTCCGTCCAGAGCAGATGAGACAAATCTACCAAGCATGCGTGACACCAATCGTGGATTATGCATCCACCGTCTGGCACAACCCACTAAAGGATAAGATACACCTGAGAACGCTGGGAACTGTGCAACGAACCGCCCTTATTCGTATTCTCTCTGCCTTCAAGACGGCGTCCACGGCAGCCCTAGAGGTGGAAGCCTATGTGCTTCCAACCAATTTACGACTTAAACAACGTGCCCAAATAGTGGCTGCCCGCCTCAGCACCCTTCCAGAGGATCACCCAGGCCATACAGTAGTGACCCGAGCAGCAACGCGGAGCAACCATATAGGAAGTGGACCTCGATTTCCTCTAGCAGAGACCCTGCGGACAATGAACCTCACTCGACTCCAGGCTCTGGAGACAATTGATCCAACACCCCCACCACCGTGGCAGACACCAGCATTTATAGAAATCGACATTGAAGCAGACCACGACAAAGCTAAAGAGAAAGCATCTGCTAGACAAAAAGCAGCCGGTATCACAGTCTTCTCGGATGCATCAGGCCAACAGAATGTTCTAGGAGCTGCAGCGGTAGCCCTAGATCAGAACCAGCACATCATCCAACACCGGAAAGTCTGCATTGGCTCCATGGAATACTGGTCAGTATATGCAGCTGAGCTCATGGCAATATACTATGCTATCAGCCTTGTCCTTAAGATCGCGTTAGAAAACTGGGACACCACAGCAAGCCAACAGGAACCAGCAACTATCCTCAGTGATAGCATGTCAGCATTACAGGCTATCTCGAATGCACGGAACAAGTCGGGCCAGAGGATTATTCAAGCGGTTCGGCAATCAGCTCGGGAGTTAAAAGCACGGGGAATTCCGCTCCGACTCCAATGGGTACCAGGACACTGTGGTGACCCGGGAAACGAGGCAGCCGATCGACTGGCTAAAGAAGCAGTTGGCCTAGACAAAGAACATCCCTTCCAACATCTTCTCTCACGAGAAAAAGGTTTCATCCACAACCGAATCCAAGAAGAATGGGAACGGGGATGGAAGACGTCCAAGAACGGTGGCCACCTTCGGCGGATAGATAGAAATCTACCCGCAGTTCGTACCCGGAGAATGTATGGCTCGCTACCACGCAATCGAGCCTACCTGCTCACCCAACTCCGAACCGGCCACTCATGGCTAGCAACACATGGCAAACTACATGGCCATAGAGAGAATGACAAGTGTGAATGTGGAGCGATAGAAACAGTGGTTCACGTCCTGATTCACTGTCCCAAATTGAAGACCATACGACAAGAACTACGGAAGAAGATCGGGACTGCATTTAACAATATCTCGGACATGCTGGGAGGAGGATCTCAAGGTAAGCAAGGTAAGGAGGGTGATATGCAAGGCGGTAGCATCTTAGGTGCAGTACTCGACTTTGCAGAGGCATCACAGAGGTTTCAAAGCCGGGCGCCGTAGGGCCGCTGACAGAGTACCAGGCATGTTGGCCACCATAGGCCGTGACGAGGCTCTAAATTCGTCTTTATGTAATGGATTGATGTACATAGACATAGATAAGGATTAGATAGTGGTATCCTGCATATCGCTTCGGCGAGGGGTCAGGGTATGAATTCACACACACACACACATACTACGGTTGGCCCTGGTGATTTTGTTAGTATACTGGGACCTGTATCTATCTTGTAATAGTCAATAGCTTCATAAATCAGATACCGCCTACGGAGTACAGTATCCTAATATTGATATTGAAGCGGAGCGGAGCGGAATCCAGTAAACCCTGCTACTCAGTGCTGAGCCCTAACCCAGACTTAGCCATCACATTACCCCCTCCAAGAAAAGCTTGGCCTCCAAGTGTAAGGAAAAATAGGTAAACATAGGAAATTGATAAAGGAAAAAGATCAAAAGAAGGACAATCATAAACTGATCAAGAATTCGTCATCAGATTCGGTCTTCGCCAGTTCAGCTTGCGCCTTGGAAAGATCCATCTTGTTGGGGTATTGTTGTGAGGACGAAGGATTGTTGTTCGAAGCTGATTCGAAGTTCATAGAATGAGAAGCCAGTTGCTGAGTAATCCGTACGAATCAGTGTAACTAACTAAGTGCGAGGCAGAGTAAGTTGCCGAGCCCGGCGACTCCGGATTGTAGAATCCTGACCACGGGCTTCGAAAAGAACTCGTTCAAACTTCGCAACAAATACCGGCATAGTTTCAGTGGCGCCTTGTTTGAGTGCGCAAAGACGATCTGCGGCCTCGTGAGTCTTGTTCGGATTGTCGTACACGCGAGCGAGTGGATCGAGAATTGTATTGTAATCCCAGAAAGTTGAAGACTCGGCCTCGTTGAGTTGCGGCAAAACCATGGCTTGGATGTGTGAATCGAGGTTCATATAGACATAGTAAATCTGGGCAATATCGTTCCCAATTGCACTGGCGTCAACACGCAACCTTGCTTTGACTGAAAGTAGAAGTATAGCTAAATTACTTAGATTTATCATTTTAGAGGGTTAGGGGCATTGAGACTTAGAAGTCGTTCAGGATGGACTAGGGCTATTAGGGGTATAACGGCTAGATCTGGTATACACTGCCATACAGGATGTTCGATATGTTACTGTAAGTATAAATTTCCAAAATCTACAACGTTATTTTCAATCGCATTTGAAGATAAGTTCACCAATCATGGTGCAGTGACTATTATGTAAGCACCCCCCACACTAGTGCCGCCTCGATATCGCAACCCCAACTCTCCAAGATATCATGATTTCTGTTCTGAATGATTTTGATCAGATATTCGAGCATCACACCATGTGAGACTTTATCTGACTTTTGTTTGATATGAATGAACTATTCTTGCAGTGTGATATAGTCTCAGCGCGTCCTTATGCCCCGGGAACATTCCTGCACCGAGCCGGGGTGCGGAAAGAGGTTCCTTCGTGCAGAGCATCTGGCTAGACATCGACTGAACCGTATGTATCAATACTCTGACTGGACATATATATCCTCCAGCGATGTTGACACCGCACAGATAGTCCCAAACAAATATATCAATGCCCCTCATGTCCCAAACGCTTCGTCCGAAAGGACTTGCTCAGGAGACATGAAGAGCGCCATGCCAAGGGGATGTGGTTCCGCAACTCAGGCGGCTTTGTGGCAGCCAACAACTCCAGCTCTTCGCATGATTCTTCTGAGACTCCCACTCAATCATTCCATGCCGCGCAAATGGAGCATGCTGCCATGTTCACTGAACGAGAGCAGGAGGAGGATGTTCGGATGAGTTCGTCGGATATGCATCCAGTTAAAATGTCTCCGTATGAAGATAGTGGTCACGAACATAATGCCCAGATGGAGGTCATGGATGCGACAAGACACGAAAGCGTCGCCAATCATGCCATGTCTTACAACCAGCAACTTCCGAATATGGAGCCAATGGATTTCCGACACCCTGGAACTACAGTGCATGACCCGGGCCCTCACAATATGGACTATGCTCTTCCCCAGTTCGTGGAAGATCAAGTTACTTCGCTATTCTTTGATCCATCGACAAATATTCCTGATCCGGCGTTGGACTTTGAGTGGTTATTTGATAATCTCTCTGCCGATATGAATTCTACAGGAGGGAGTGCCGGTATACCTTCCGGTACATCCCCGCACAGCAGTGTTACAGGCACGGATATATCACCGCCTGCACTTCCTGTGCCGCCACCTGCGCATATTCGACATCCATTGTCGCCTCAATCATCGTTATCGTCGCCGTGGGCAGAAGTTCGGACGAACTTATTAGAGGCTTTGAGCACCTTAGACCCCGAGATCACGATGTCATCATTCTTCTACCCGAGTAATTTGGCGGCGTTCTGGGATTTATACTTTGAGAATTATCATCCGCATTTTCCGATTCTACATAAGCATACACTCAATCCAGTGAAGGCATCACCTTTAATGGTTGCTGCTATTGTTACGCTGGGGTCCACATTATCCGGAGATGCGGTACATTGGCATACATCTATCATAATTCATGACACATTGCGATATCTTATATTCGGGGTATGTCTTTAACCATTACAAGTTCCACGCAGTACTGACTTCGCAGACACCTGACTTTGATCCTCCCGCGTCACTATGGTGCGTCCAAACTCTCCTGATTCTACAAGCACATGAAAAAATGTTTTCTACGAGGAAGCATCACCAGCTCGCACATATTTTCCACGGCGCAATCATCACACTCATGAAGCGCGGAGTAGCATATCACAGCGCGGCGCAAACACCCGGCAGGACCCCACTGGAACAGTCATGGCATCAGTGGATCGAAATGCAGAGCTCAAACCGAACTGCATTTTTCGGATTCATCATGGATGCACAGCATAGCTTCATGTTTGGCCATACATGCATTCTTTCTGTACATGACGTGCGGTTACCACTGCCATGCGCGGATGTACTATGGGAATGCACGAAAGCCGAAGACTGGGAGCGAATGATGCGCAAAACACCAGAATCGCCTGGTTTTTTACCTGTGCTCAAACGACTCTTGGCGCGAGCCCCAATCCCACCACATTGTAGTCCATACGCTCGCTTCATTCTGCTTCATGGATTGTTCAGTGTAACGGCTCACCTGAAAGCAAGAGACTCGGCAACATTGGGTGTGGGACGTATGTCGATGGCCAATTCGCCCCGACTAGATGCAATAGATACATGGAAAGAAACACTCGAACGAGCAATGGATACATGGTCATTCTCACTCGTATCACGAAGCTCATCGCTTGCTTTGGAGGCATCCCGACCACTTCACCGCATGGCCTATGTGGCTATATACACCGACATCAACGATATCCACATCCTCGCCGGCGCACCATCCTTACTAGGCAGTCTACTATCCAACAACGACCGACTACGAGCAACAGCACGAGTACGCGCATGGAGCGAAAGAGGCGAATCCAAAAAGGCACTCTACCACTGTCTCCTGCTCATACAAGAGACCATATTCACAGGTCAATTTTATCGCGCGACGAAGGATAATATTGCGCTTCGTCCGTGGTCGATATACCACGCATCTTTGATTCTGTGGGCATACGGTGCCATGGCTCGAGAACGGAGTCAGCCAGTAACACAAATCTCGGCGGGGAGAGAAAGTTTGTTTAGCGCAGAAGAGTACCTTGTGCGTATGTTGATGTTGTTACGACAGGATTCGGCGGATATTGATGTTGTGGCTCAGCAGACTTCGGAGTTACTGCAGGCGGTACGCGAGAGTCTGGAGGGGTGTCGGTGGGAGTTGTTGCAGGAGGCGTATGATACGTTGGGGAGGTTGATTGTGAATCTTTGATACCTTAATTTTATTGAGATAGGAATAAATCTTATCTCTCGTATATAGGCATATACTAAGAGTGTTCTCGCAGAACCATCAATGTATAAGGCAAGGTTCTGCACGGCGCATACAATATAGCATAGAATAGAATGATTAAAGAAACTCTAGAGACCTTAATCTCTCATGATCGAGCAGTTCAACTTGGTCTATGAGACTATCCCAATGCACATCATAGATATCGTTCAGCGAGGCTCCATTTCGCAACCGTTTTCCAATACCGCCCACAGGTTCAAGTCATCATATCTGCAATCCATTAGCAACCCCCCACCAATACAAACAAAACAAAAGGAATATATATATACCTATAAAACAGCAATACACTCAATCTCCACATCCGTATTAAGCGGCAAAGTCTTGACAGCAACACACCTACCCAATCCAGCGCCCAAATGTTAGCAATCCCCCCACTAAACCAAGGGGGAGAAATATACTCACGTCCGGCAAGGCTTAACATCCCCCCAATACTGCGTATACACCTCATTCATATCCGCAAAATTATCCATGTTGTCCAAAAACACATTTACTTTCACCACTTTGTCGATTGTGGTACCCGCCGCTTCGAGGACGTGGGTTAGGTTTTTGATGCATTGATGCTATAATTCCTATCAGCCAAATAACTCTAAGTGAAAATGGGATGGGGCCAGGGAGGGTACAGTATGAGCTTTGACGTCTCCATCAATCAATTTCCCCGTTTCGGGGTCCAGGGCTACGGCGCCGGAGCAGTAGACGACGCCGTTGGCGATGATGGCTTGGGAATAGATGCCCGGTAGAGGTTTGGGGGCTTTGGAGGTTAGGACGGGCGTTTTAGTTGCCATTTTGTCTGTTAAAAGAAGGGTCTTTGGTATGTTTGACTAGGTAGTGGAGTGAATAAAGAAGAGAAGATGAGAGGGAAGCAATGTTAAATACTTCTACTTAGCTCATTCGAACTGCAGGTACGTTTTTGGTATAGACTGAATAGGTAATTATTAATACCCCTCCAGGTTCTAGTTAACTAAAGTTATGCGTACTGATCACTAATAGAGAGTAGAACCCCTCATCAGATCGCTAGGTGAGGAATCCAATTGGTTCAGTTTGTGCTGTACCGCGACGAAGTAAGGAGGGGACATCCCACGTTCTGTGGTGTTGAATATCGATAAGATAAAGGTGTACGGAGTAGATACTCGATACAAAAGACCGGGCTGAAGAGATCCGAATACCTACCTAGGTATAAGGTTTAGTAATTAACTGAAGAATTAATTGAAGAATCCGCGTTCAATTGAAAAAGGTTCCAACCCTATTCCAAGGCTGTGACTGCGTACCTGTTAATAGCAAGGCTATCACCCCGCATTCGGCAGTCCAGTACACATCCCACGCAACACACGGACTATACAATCCATCTTTCAACGTCCCTCACGAGGGGCACGGCACTGATTGCATGTATACGAATTCCTATTAGCCAAGTCATTCTATCCATGGTATTATGGAGCCGTGATTCGACTCGTCGTATGCCTGCGTGGATGTATGTATGACCAGGACCAGGCCGTTGGGGTGAAACCGATGCCGTTGCATCCTGTTCTCATTATTTTCAGGTCTTGGTGTAGATAAGAAGCCTCTTTTTTTTTTAGGATCCCATTCAGACGGTCTATCTATATACATCGTCTCGTCCTCTTAATCAGCCTTACTCCCACTGCAAGACCCCGTAGAGACAGACAACATGGCCGGCATAACCGAACCCCCCTACCCCCTCCATCCCTCCATCTCCTCTCGAATCCACCCCGAATACGCCGCCTTCTACAACAAATACATCATCAACAACCAACAAGTCCACCTCCAACCGGTCTCTGCTTCACGCACATCCGGCATCTTGATCCCCGGCGGTGGTCCCGTCCTCCCCGTCGGCAAAACAGAAGATATTTATATCAAACGCGTCGAAACCGAGGGACCGGATGTACTACTCCGAGTATTTACGCCCGAGACTCCAGCCCCGGAAGGCGGGTATGGAGTAATGTTGTATATGCATGGCGGTGGATGGGTGTTGGGGAATATCAATACTGAGAATACGGTTTGTACGAATATTTGTAAACGTGCAGGCGTTGTTGTTGTTAGTGTTGATTATCGGTATCCCCCCTCTTCCTCCTCTCCTTTCCCCTCTGTATACTGAAGATGAATAGACTCGCTCCAGAACACCCCTTCCCAGCCGCCGTGCACGATTGCTGGGAAGCCCTCCTCTGGCTCCACCAACCCTTAACAATAACCACCCTAACCATCAACCCAGCGCAAAAGCTCTCCGTCGGCGGAAGTTCAGCAGGCGGCAATCTCGCCGCCGTCCTAACACACAAATCTCTCCTCGAAAAACCGGGACAAATCAACATCGTGAAACAAGCCCTCAGCGTCCCCGTCACCGACAACACGGCTACTACGTCCAATAACTGGGCATGGAAGGAATTCGAATTTACGGCCGCATTACCAGCACAGAAAATGATGTGGTATCGAAAACATTACCTACCCGACGGGAAAGATTGGGGGAATCCGGAGGCATCGCCGTTGTTGTACGGGAACGAAGATGGGCATTGGGCGAAATTGCCCCCTGCGGTGATCGTGGTGGGTGAATTGGATGTTTTGAGGGGTGAAGGGGAAGCGTACGCGGCGAAATTGAAGGAGAATGGTGTCGAGGCGGAGGTGCATGTTATGAAAGGGATGCCGCATCCGTTTTTGGCTATGGATGCGGTTTTGGAGGCGGGGAGGGAGGCGATTACCTTGCTGGTGGAGGCTGTTAAGAGCTCTCTCTAGCTTACCGGGGGACATAATTTCACATCTTAGATGGTTTTATTTCAGGTATATATATATACTCGATAGATAGCAATTACTTAGGGTAACCTATACATATTTGACCAGTACATTCATCAACGCCGTAGATAGATAGATAGATATATATATATATAAAACCAGTGACAGGGACTGTCCGGATCAACTGTAAATACATGGATTCACATTATAAACAAGAAAAAAATGACGTCAGGCCGCTGATGTTGTTTGTCGGTTGGAGAGGGGAATATATAGACTCAATCAAAAGAAAAGGAAATGACAGCAAGTCAACAACAACGCCATATGATGCAGGTTCGGATTGTGTTGCGAGAACATGCGGGATCATGCGGAGGAAAAGGGTATCGGTGGCTGAGTCTGAAAATCAAGTCATATTCTCTCGTGCTCTGTACTGATTCCGCCACGATTCTCCAGCGGCCTGTGGAGGAGGCGGAAGTGGTCCGGATGGCGGAGGCGCTGCTCCTGTCGGTAAGGTACCGTTATGTAATCCGGCCTGCTGCGAAGAACTCAATGCGCGAGGGAAATGTGGCCGTGAAGGCGCATCAATTGCAGAGCGAGGCTCGCCGGAATAGTTGCGTGGAGAACGGCCTTTGCCGGCTCGAGCCTCTTCGCTTTCTAGGGATAGATGTTCCAGAGACAAGAAAGGGGACTGTTGTCTCGAGGAAGTCTGCGATGATCTGGAATTGTGTGATGCATGCTGTGGTTGTTGCGAATGGTGAGTGGAAGGACTAAAGTGTTGTTTCTGTGCCGAGGTTACGTCGTTTCGGAGCGGAATTTCCCCGAATGTAGGTGTAGGATGGGACGGCGCGGCAGATACAGTAGTAGCTGGAGTGTCTCGGGGTGTCATATCTGGAGAAGGGCTGCTGGATGTAGTGGTTGCCGTTTTGAGTGAAGCTGGGGCAGGCGGATCGAGATATGAGTGTCGGTCTTGTGCGTGCATCATCTTGCGAGCCCATTTTTGCAGATCGACAGGCGTTCGCTTGGCGGCTTGCAAGAAAGCATCTTTATCCTGTGGAACGTTAGTAAAAGCGATTCCAAGACAAGTAGTCAACATACGTAAAGCTCCCTCGGTGTAGGTCGCTCATCCGGCTTCTTGAGCAGACACTTGGCTACAAATTCGTGCAAAATAGGAGGGAAAGCGTCGCTTTTGGGCAGCTTAGGCGCAGGTTCGTGCACAATCTGCTGTAGAAGATCCAAAATACCCATCGGCCCAGCACTGGCTCGATCGCCGGCAGCCGAGTCGGTTGCATCGAATGGAAATCGACCAACGGCGAGTTCCATCACCGTCAAACCAACACTCCAAACATCAGACCGGACGGTATATGCGCCTCCCTGGATACGTTCCGGAGCCATGTAGGTTGAAGTGCCGACAAATGTATCGGCGACAGAATTGACCGTCTCAGTAGCCACGCCAAAGTCGCACAGCTTAATATTTCCGCGAGAATTAACCAAGACATTCGACGGTTTGATGTCGCGGTGCATGATTCGATGAGTCTCATATAGATATACCAAGCCTGCCAGAATCGATTCGGTTATTTTCCCTAGCACGTCGATACGGACGGGCCCGAACTCTTTGGAGATGCGGTCGAGAGAGCTTGGACGGTGTTAGTAGTCGTGCAGCACCCGAGACTTGAATGTACGCACCCGCAATCCATATATTCCATACACAACACAATATCGCGCGACTCATTTTGAAAAGCGCCGTAAAAAGTCACGATATAAGGCGAGTTGCAGTCGTGGCCGACTTGAAGCTCACGGAGGATTTGCTTGCGGACGTTCTCCTTCGCATCAACACGAATAATCTGGAACCTTGGATCAGACGTGATCGTGCCCTAACCAAGCAGAATAACAAACCTTTCGTGCCATAACAACCTTCGTTGTGGCATGCATGACCTTGGCAACCGTACCGCCATTTCCAGCACCAACCTCCTTCAACGTTACCAAATCCTCACTGCGCAAATCGAGCTTGAATTCAAGACCAATCTCCAACGTATCCGACCGGTTACTATCTGTGTTTCCGAGCGCACCAGGAACTTGGGCATCGCCTTCCGAGGGATTGGACGCTGGCTTGGGCGTGGCATTGAGGGCAAGTCCCTTGACGTTCTTGCGTTTCATGGTACGAGGTTTGAATTGGTCCGCCATGATTGATGTCTGTAGGCCGCTCGGCGGCGACTCGACGCACGATAGGAATTAAAGAAAAGTTGCCAAATATCAGAAATATAAAAAAAATCTAGCTGTAGTCGAAAAATAATCAGTAATCAGCGGTGAAGAATGCCTTGGAAGCTCCGGCTTGATACACTGCGGGGGAACGTGATAATCAAGAGAAGACAGGTTTGTGTCGGGTGTCGTTTCAGCTTCCCCCTGATGGTCCCTTTCTTGCCGGAACAAAGGTAAATAGAACTTACAAGCTTGGCTATGCCAAAGAAATTCTCCGTATAACAAGTCAAAGAAAGAAGAGGAAGATCGAGTCTTCTCAGTGGCAGTCGCACACTTCAGGAGTCAGTCAGCGAGACGAAATGCAGGGTGATGGGATGCGTGGAAGATGCAGCGGAGCCAATCAGCGCGCTTGGGGCGGCGATAGATGCGAGCGCCAACAGGGCCAGGGCGGTACCAGTAACAATGATTATTCGCTCTATTTGGCCAGACTATTGGAACATAAATGATACAAATAATACAATAGTCTATTGATGACGCGAAAATAGTGGCCGATGGAGAAGCGAGTGAGATCCTTTATCAACCACTGACAACCCCGGGTGGAGGTGTCTATGAGTCGGGCAGTAAACTGGCTGGATACTTGAAACTGAGCAATGTATCAGGAGGCCGAGACTAAATTGAAGGAGACAAATAGGAATATCTGTCATTCTTTACTTTGTTTGTCGAGAGTTGATCCTTTGCATGCTCTCAGGGAGTTGGGAATGTGAGACGACGATACCGGAATACATGAAGGACCGACTCGAGTCACATACGTAGGCCAATCTATAGAGCATGACAGAATATCATCTCATCAATACAAACTAAGAATAACTAGATAATACATAGTAAAAAGAGACAACAATAATCGATGTGAATTGAATATTGAGAAATCAGCCAATCAGAGAGCGCCTAGCCTCGATGGTTTCATGCGCCACATTTAGACTACTTTGGGCATAGCGCACCCGCCACACCGGAGAGCCTTTAAGCTCAACTCAGAAGGAAGGAACCAAAGCAAGTCGGAGCTGTCTTTTGTCACGCTTCGTGCTCACCCATCAGCCTTGCGCTTTCACCTCCTCATCTGAGAGCCGCAAGCTTCAGATATCTCTGCGATATTACTGCGTCCGTCGATCAACGTCCCTTCACTCACGACAAACACCATGAGCACCAGGGATTTAATTGAGGGTGAGGCACTTTTGGACGACGACGAGAATGATGAGGAGTTCGACGAGGAGACTGGAGAACCCATACACGGTCCAAACCTAGGAGAGCCTAATACATACGATGACTCGAGTGAAGAAGATGATGAAGAAGAGGAAGATGAGGAAGCTGCTCGCGCGGTATGATGATGTCCATCTTGCACGACTTTGTACGTTCCGCGCGCTGACTTGCCTACTAGGTTCGAGAAGGATTTATCGTCGATGAGGATGAAGAAATCGAAGAACGTGCCGAGCGCCGCCGCGAGCGAAAAAAGCGCAGACGAGAGGAGCGTGAACGTGAAGAGATCGTTCTCGATCAGGAAGATTTAGATCTCATCGGCGAGCAGAATCCGGATTTTCAGCCTCAATCTACTGAAGTATGTTCTGATGGCTTTTGTTCTTGATGATCATATCTGACTTGGAATAGTCAAAATTCAAACGTCTCAAACGAGGTCACAAATCAGACCGTCCCGCTGATGTCTTTAACTGGGATGAGGAAGAGGAAGCTGCAGATTACGGTAGGACCGGTCACCGTCGTCGCGATGAGTTGGAGATGGACGACTTCATCGAAGAAGATGAATTCTCAGATGAAGAACGTCAGCGCCGAGAAGACGACGAAGAAATCGCACACCCCGTTCGCAAAGGAATATCAGGTCTTGCCATCTCAGAAGCCACCGGTCTCGATGAAAATGCCTTGGAGGATATGCGTGCAGCCTTTGGTGACGGTACCGACTACCTGTTTGCCCTTGAGATGGAGGAAGATGAAGAAGAGCAACAGGAAGAAGAAACTAAGCACCTCGATTTGAAGGACGTTTTCGAACCGACATTACTAGCAGAGAAGATGTTAACGGATGAGGATAACGAGATTCGATTTACTGATGAACCCGAACGTCACCAGATCGCACGAAAGCCATACAAAGGGGTCGTCCTCTCTGACGAGGAGTTTCGTGAAGAAGCCATCTGGATTTCGAACCTGATGCTTCTGAGAAAGCAACATGTGGTTGAGGATAACCTACAAGAGCCATTCCAACGTGCTGTTGCTAAAGTACTCGAGTTTATGGTGACGGATGATTTCGAAGTACCTTTTATCTTCCAACACCGCAAAGACTACCTAATCCACGCTGCCAAGGTCCCAGCTTCCCCCGATCCGAGTAACCCTGATGGCCCAGAATTCGTTGTTCGAGCTCAAAAATTGCTGAACATGAACGACTTGTGGGATATTTTCGAACACGATCTGAAGTTCCGAGCTTATATCGATAAGAGACACACATTACAAAAGACCTACGATCGGCTACAAGAAATAGATGTCAAGGATGAAATTGTTGATGAGATGCTTACCGCTGCGACTACGATGGAGGAACTACAGGACGTCCAGGAGTATTTGCATTTCCAATACGGACCACAAATCAAGGATCTTTCTTTGAACTCGGAAGAGACAAACGGCAATGGTGAAGCGGATGGTGAAGTCAACGGACAGACTAACGGTCAGACAACTCGCCGTAAAGCAGGTGCCAATTCTTTCTTTGAGCGGATTCGCAAGAGTAATGTCTATAGCCTCGTGCGATCTTTCGGTATCACTGCAGATGCATTCGCTCAAGCTGCGTCTCAGAATCGTCGTGGACAGTATGCCGAAGACCCAGAAAAACCACCTGAGGAACTTGCAGATACTGCTTTGGACACCGATTACTCGAATTCAACAAGCGCTCTCCGAGCCGCCAAAGCCATGTTTGTCGAAGAGCTGGTGATGAACCCGAGAATGCGAAAAGTCATTCGTGAGCAATGTTACCGAAATGGCGTTGTGGATTGTTACCGAACGGAAAAAGGTCTTCGCCGGATAGACGAACAACACCCATACTATGAATTCAAGTACCTGCGCAACCAGCAACTTACAGATATTGCCAGGCGTCCAGAACTCTTTTTGAGCATGCTCAAGGCTGAAGAGGAGGGATTAATCAATGTTACAGTCACTTTCCAGAATTTTGAACGCTACCGCCAAAGTCTATACAGCCATATCGAATCAGACAGTCAAAGTGAAGTTGCTGATGCTTGGAACCGAGAGAGGCGTGAAGTTCTTGATACCGCGCTTGGCCGACTTGTCAAACTGATGACACGTAGTGTCAAGGAGAATATTCGACAGAATTGCGAGAACCACGTTACGAAGGAAGTTCGCGAAGTCTTCTCTAACAAGCTAGACCAGGCCCCTTACAAGCCAAAGGGAATGGTTCTTGGTACGGTTCCTCGAGTGCTTGCCTTCTCCAATGGTGATGCACCTGTGAATGGTGACCATTTCATCCATTGGGTGTGGGTCGAAGAAGAAGGACGACCCCAGGAGAATGGAAAGTTTGCAAAGTTGCAAATTGGGGATCCGGAACGTGGCATTCCAGACGGTGAGGACGTTGCTGCATTTGTGGAGTTGGTTCGTCGCCGCGTACCCGATGTCATTGCGGTTTCAGGGCGATCTCCAGAGACTCGCAAGCTTTACAAGCTACTCTGTGATCTTGTTGATCGCAAAGATCTCCGTGCTGCTCCGTACACTGTCGGTGAAGGAAAAGAGTCGAAAGAGGTCAGTGATAGACTGGAGGTCATCATGGTTAATGATGAAACAGCACAATTATACGCCAATAGCGAACGAGCCACTGTGGATTTCCCAGTCAAGCCCAGTTGGCTCACCTGTTATTGCTGCGGTATTGCTCGATATCTCCAGAACCCATTGAAGGAGTACGCAGCACTTGGCAAAGATTTGGTGTCGATTCAGTTCACTCCTGGTCAACGGTATCTGTCTGAGGATATTGTTGCCAAACAGTTGGAAAGCGCCCTAGTCGATATGGTGAATCTGTGTGGTGTGGACATTAACGAGGCTGTGAGTGATACAGCAACACAGAACCTACTCCAATACGTCTGTGGTCTAGGACCTCGAAAAGCTTCTCATCTGGTCAAGATTGTCAACATGAATGGTGGAATCGTCAACAACCGGGTGGAACTGCTGGGTGTTGAGGCTCAATATCCTGCTATGGGTGTCAAAGTATGGAATAATTGTGCTAGTTTCCTTTACCTTGATTGGGAAAACGTGGAGACAGACGCCGATCCTCTGGACAACACCCGAGTGCATCCTGAAGATTATGATATTGCTCGCAAGATGGCCGCCGATGCACTAGAACTTGATGAAGAAGATATCAAAGCAGAGACAGATGAGTCTGGGCCAGGTGCCATTGTCCGAAAGCTTCTGAAAGATGATCTTCAAGATCGTGTTAATGATTTGATCTTGGAGGAATATGCTGAGCAGTTGGAGAAGAATCTGAACCAGCGCAAGCGAGCGACATTGGAAACCATTCGAGCCGAGCTGCAACAGCCTTATGAGGAGCTTCGGAAACAATTTGTCTTCCCGACCACAGATGAGATTTTCACTATGCTCACAGGCGAAACAAACGAGACTTTGGCAGAAGGTATGGTTGTGCCAATGTCTATCAAGCGAATCGCCCAGGACCATATTGAAGGAAAACTCGATTGTGGAGTTGAAGTGCTTGTTTCCGAGTCAGACATTTCGGATCGACATGATATTCCACCAAGAGCACTTTTCCAGATTCATCAATCTGTTCAAGGCAAGATCTTGTACTTGAACAAGAAAACATTCACATGCAACATGACTCTTCGTGAAGACAAGGTCAGCAAAGGATACCAGCGGCCAATTGAGAAACATCGTGGCGAATGGGACGATCGCCAGGAACAGGAAGATCATGAGCTCCTACAAGAGAAAGCGAAAACAGAGAGTCGATTCGTCAGAGTTATCAAACATCCTCTATTCCGCGCATACAACTCTAAACAAGCAGAGGAATACTTGGGAGGACAGAGCCGAGGCGACTGTGTTATTAGGCCATCTTCGAAGGGACCTGACCATCTCACAGTCACATGGAAAGTCGCCGATGGCGTTTACCAACATATTGACGTTTTGGAATTGGATAAAGAGAATGAATACTCAGTCGGTCGAATCCTGAAAATTGGCGGCAAATATACATACAGCGATTTGGACGAATTGATTGTCAGCCATGTACAGGCGATGGCCAGGAAGGTCGAGGAGATGATGTCTCATGAGAAGTATCAAAGCGGGACAAAAGCGGATACCGGTATGTCCTCTCTTCCTCTCCACACCATATAAAACCTATTCACTAACAATTACTCGTCTAGAGAAATGGCTAACAACCTATACCATGGCCAACCCCAAACGATCTGTTTACGCCTTCTGCATCAACCCCAAATATCCGGGCTATTTCTTCCTATGCTTCAAAGCAGGACAAAACGCTTCACTGCAAAGCTGGAATGTCAAAGTTATTCCCCAGGGGTTTGAGTTGCAGCGAAATCCTTATCCTGATATGCGTGCATTGTGTAATGGATTCAAACTTCTATTCACGAATATGCAAGCTGGTCGAGTTGGGCAGGGGTTGCCTCGGAGGTGATTTCTTTTCTCCTTTTGTCATTAAGACCCATCTTTCATATTATTCATGTTCTTTGGAAAGGGCAAGTTTTGGCACATTTATTGTAATTGATTATCATAACATTAAGCCTTGCGAGTACGAATTGGGGAAAAAGGAATTTTGCATTGGGCTGAATTATGCTTTCTTTTTCTTTTTCATTCAATCTTTGTATTTTTTTAACTTCTTTTTTCTTTCGATTGGCGCAAGTTAGCATAAATTCTACGATATGGAAAATCTGATCAAATCTCATTTCAAAATCCTTGATTAAGATCATGCCCATTCTAAACCAGGGTCTAGAGTAATAACAGTCGCTGATGAAGGTGACTTATATTACGGCATTACATGAATTATTTCCATTCCAGTAGCCCATTTTTGAGGTTTGGAGGAGCAGGTCCTCCCATTTGCAAGAAGTAGTTCTGGGGCCTTTGGATGAGTATCCCGTGCTGTCGCCTTAGTTACATGGTTGTATATTGTGGAGATCAACTGAATTGAAGTAGTGACTATTATAACTGTATACCTATTCAGAGGGGAGAAACTATATAAGAAAACCGGGGGTATATAAAGTGCCTATTAACATGTCACAATCACAAAATCAAACAAAATCCAGATCCAAACGTCGGCCTAGTTACTACCTAGGAATATCATCCCCCTTCTTGATATGTAGTAGAAGCAATCTACAGCTTAAATATAGGCACAACCCCATTCCACTCCCCCCTCGCCCTCTCCTCCCAATACCCATCTCTACCCGTTTTGAGTTTCCAAATCACTTCCTCTGTCCCACTACCACTCTGACTCAGAATCTCCGGCGTATCAACCCGCAAAAACCATCTGGGTTTATATACACCGCCTATATCTTCAAGCTCCTTTCTTCGTTCACGCTGTTTCTCTTCCAGTTTCGCTTTGAGATCTTCCGCGGCATCGATCTCATTATTCTCCAGGGCGCGTTGATCGGGTCTGAGTCTTGAATCTGTGGGTGGAAGTTTACCGTATTCAATGGGTGTAGTTTCGTTGAGTGTGGCAGCAAAGACGGGGAATCCATAACGTTTAGCGGCTTGGTCGACGAGGGGACCGACGGACCAGATGGTTTTGTTGGTTGTTGAGCCGTGTTCTGTTAATTGTAATGAATTCGTCCACGTGCCCGCCAAGCCCAACGGTAATTCATTGCCGTGGACATCAAAGGCTTTTACGGTGATTTCTTCGCTTCGCCCCGAAAACATCCCTCCAGCTTTGAAAGTGGTGATTGTCTTTTGACCTGTTGTCTCGTTGACAACGACCATTTCGCCGACTGGTTCGACGTATTTTTCGCCTGCGATGATATTTCGCAGGAAAGAGGTGGCGTTCCCCCAACTGAAATGATCACCACTAGAATGAAGGCTCAGTCTCGTTTTACCATCCGTGTTGATTTCAGCGGATTTGCCCCAGAATTTTTGCGTGGGTTTGGGTGATTGCGTTAAACTCCAGTAATGACTGTCGGCTTGATAGGCTAATTGAACTGGTCGATGGGAGACCTTTTCGACAATCATTCTGAATCCGCGGTCTTCGCGGACTAGTTCGAAGGTTTCTCCGAGTAGAGGGTTAAATGGTTTGCGGATTGCGCGGTCTTTGACGCGGGCTGAGGAAAGGGGGGAGAGTGCAAAGGCTGTTACGTAGACGAGTCGTTCGAGGCCGTCGATGGCACTAGCTGCTTTGTCAAGCAGTGTTGAGTATTCCATGCATTCGGCTGCTCTTTGTAAGAGGGATAATGGCTCGTTGGCAGTCACTGGCATGGAAACAGCGGATAAATCCTTGCCGACGTTCTTCCGCAAGAATCCTATTAGACTTGGCGGGGGTACTGTTGGAGCAGGAACAATGTTCCGTCTTTGGACCCTGTCCAAAGGCAACGGAATCATTGATTTTGGTTTCCCAGGGAACAAGAATGCAGAGCTTTCCTTTTGAATGCCCTTGCGTAAATCGCTGCGAGTATCGCCTTCACTACAAGACGAAAGGGCATCGTCATCGACATCCTCTTCTTCGTCTTCATTTTCCGCCTCGACATCTGAATCATGCTGTATTGTGAGAAGAGGAGATGTCGGACCAGCTTCGGCATCGAAGAATTCCTGTGACGCTTCCGAGTCCATACTAACCCGCGAACTAATCGTCGTCGTCTGCGGGTGTCGTCTCTCTTTGCTCTCTGCAATGAGAGTGGTAAACTCCACAACCGTCTTGTCGAGATCACGAAGAATAGCCATTAGATTTTCATGGATATCATCGTCTTTGTCCGTGTGGTGACTGATTACACTCCTCGGTTTGCGATCTTCAGTAGCAGTTACCGGGAATGCATCGGTCGACGGGCTAGGCGTGGCCAAATGTGTAGTGCCGTTTGGTTGTCGTTTTGCAGAGCCACTAGTAGTATTGCTACTGGTTTTGCGTTTCCAAAATGGTCTTTTATGATGAGAATCACCAAAGTAGTCCTCCCCGTTCACAGGGGAGCCATCAGCTGGACTTGCTTGAAGATGCGGGCTTTGTGATCGTCGTCGTTCCAGAGGTGGTAGAGGTGCGGAAGATGCAGAAGACGTAAAATATTTAGGATCCGTATCCTTTGCAAGTCGACGCACAGCATCCCTCGACCCTGAGATTTTGCTAACAAGACTTTCAATCTGCTCCCATTCAAGATCCTCCGCGGGATTCGGTAGAGTGCGCGACGCTGAATGCGAAGGAATCTGCAACGTCGGCGATGCTGGTCTTGCTGTCTTATCTTCCTTGCTTTGTTTTGACGCCTTCTCTAACGCAGCCGTCCATGCAGCAAAATCCGTCTCGTTGTTTGCGCGCAAATGCCATATCTCAGCCCCAGAATCAATAGAAATTTCCCGTCGAGCAGCATTGGCTGCGACAGCTGCCAAATTGAGCGGAATCGCGCCACGAAGCGCCGAAGAATTGCGATCATGATAGTACGATAATGTAGAAGACGCATAATCAAGCGAGAAAAATCGACGGGCCCACCCCTGGTGTCGCTTTCGACGTCGCTTTTGTAATATACCCGTATGCACCAATTCCGGCGCGCCATTGATGGAGGATACGCTATTGCTGTTTGGACGCTGCTTAATCGACTTGCCGCCAGACACGGAACGGCCTCCCTTGGCCGCTGGACGGGGATTATCGATCGATGTACTTGAACTATTCGTAGGTCGCAACCTGGGCGAGACGCGATTCCCGGGCGCGCCAATATTATTGACCGAGGCCAATGCGTGCGGTGGATGAACTTGGTGTACGGATTGCGGCGGCGTGGCAGTAGGATATGTCACGAGAACAAACGTCGCCATTTTTCCCGTCGTTTTGGAAAAGGTATTATCAAAGACTAATGCATAATTCCCACCTTCATTGAGCGGTACATCGCATGTCCCTTGTGAAATCTTATCGGCTTCGCATTTTCCTACCCATTGTATCGGTTTCAGTCCAGCGCCGCGAAGCTTGTCAATCAAGGCGGAGGCCGGTAGATTGTCTGTAGATGATAAATCTAGCTCACTATGCGAATCGTGGTTCGTAGTAGTCGTTGTCGTTGTAGTGGTCGAACCAGAGGGAGTTGGCTGGCCGAGACGTTTGAAGATGCCGAAGTTGATGGATTTCTTGTGTGGTTGGATACTCCAGGAGATTGTATGGCCGCCTCTGACATTGACCCATCGCACGAGGTAGGACTATATACAGACATTATTAGCGGCTTTTACATCATGGTTTCGAGGGTGATACCTACTTTGCTGTGAATCTCGAGCTCTTCCATTCCCGCCATGCTGAACAATCCCTGTCCTTAGACAGGTGGCGGAAGTCAAAGTTCACTGTGGTTTTATGATATTGTTCTTCCGGGAATGTATGTATATATGCAGAGCAATAGATACCGACCATCAAATAAACAACAGCTCGATGTGCGCGTTGAGCAAAAGCTTCGGTCGGTTGTTTGTTTTGACCAAGTTGCAACAAGCGGATGACGAGAAGCTGACTTTCTACGGCTGATCCGGAGCCGCGCGGAGTTAAACTCTGCTGGGGCCGTTTTCCCTTTTTCTTCTTCTATTTTCTTTTGACCTTTTCTGAGTAGCCAATACGATTCGTGATAATTCGATTTACTACGTGTAATCTCTAGAATTTAGTAACGTACCGAGGCTCTGTTTCTAAACAGCTATCTTCATACCACGTCCATGGGACTTCGACGAATTCGTCTGAACAAGCTTTCACCTGATAACCTCCCTCGTGATGGGGAACATCGTGATCATTCGACAGCTCGGAATGAACACGTTCCTGATTGTAGCGCCTCTAGTAGTTAGACTCCTCAAGAGTAGAGGTAGTTCACCAGAGACGAACTAATAGCACATGTCCCAACAGTGGGGATTCTCAATAATTACTCGCTACGATCATCAATGTCTGTTAACTTGAACAGGAGTAGGGCACCGAACCTCGGGATCATTTCACGTGTTCCTGGTCCAGTAGAGATTTCTCTTCTGTGTTCTTAGTTGAGTTTTTTATTCCAAGTTATCGTAATTCGTTGTTACGGTGCATATAACATCTGGCATACCTACACCTTCCCGATAGGGAATGCCATGCCCTAATTATATCTGAAGAGAACGGAAATAGTTTAGATGATAGAACCGAGCTCATTATACAAGGATTCCAATCTACAGATAAGGTAGACCACTGGAATTATACAGCAACCTTTTCTGTCATCCCTCCCTTCACCAGACCAACACTCCCATTAACAGACCCTTCCTGCTCGTGTCCAGGCACTCCAACCACAATCTCCGTCCCATCCACAACAAGCGCACCATTCTGTCCTCCCATAGCAATCGATCTCGGCACATTCCCTTCAAACGGCAACGACCTATTCTCTCTAATCGTCCTTCTAGCCGTAATCAACGAGACGACAAAATACGCCACCCCACCAACAAGATAACTCAACACCCATCCCAAATCATACAGATATATTGCAGTAGGATTTGAAATATTCACCGTTCCAAAACTCTGGATGAATCCGGGGAGAGGGAGACAGAATCCGGCAATGAAAGCTGCGACTCCAGTCCAGTTTATGCCGTAGGTGTAATAGTACCGACCAGAACGAGAAGTGGTGAACATTTCGCTGATGTGAAGGTTTCCTCGTTGAATGAGGAAGTAGTCGACTGTCATGATGGAGACGACACTGCCTTGGAAGATAGAGTAGCCGCTGAGGAAGCTTAAGAAGCCGTTTGCAGAGGAGACGATGCGCCTGATGAGTTAGTTCCTGGTGGCAGCAGGAAAATAGGGGGAGCGTACCATGGCACAATCGCAAAAGCAAGGATTAAACAAATAAACTGTCCCCGAATGATATTCACATACTTTGGAGCCAGACACGTCACATCCGCAGCGAACGGCACAATATTACACGCAATCGAAGTCCCCATCGTTGCAAATGCAAACGAAGCCGAAGCGAAAAACACACCTGCTCGAGCCTTGGAAGTATACGAATGATCCAGAATTCCATTCAAAAGATCATACGGATTCCAGAAAGTTTGCCCCCACATATGATGCACGGCAGAGGTAGTTATAATTCCAAAGGAGGCGCAAACCAATTGCGCAACAGGTAAACCCAACAATTGACCCCAGAGTTGGGCATTCTTGGTTTTGGAGTATCGCGCAAGGTCCGGGACAGTAACCAATAAAGCGGAGTTTGCGCCCATGACGGAGTTGAATTGGGAGATTATACCCCAGACGAAGACTGTGGTGGAAGAAGGTTTTGAGGCTGTTGCTTGCAGGGCGTTGGAGGATACGCCGCCGTTGGCTGTGGTGGCCCAACATACGACTCCGAGAGCAGCGATGGGGAAGACGATGGCTTTGAGGCTGAAGAGGTGACGGATTTTGGAGGTATGGATAAACATGAGTGGAAGAGTGAAGAGGAAGGCGAGGAAGAAGCCAACCATTACCTGTGTAGTGATTTCCTGGCTCTATTGATATTAGATCGAGTCAAGCCGATTTGGGGGAGGAAACGGAACTCACCGCTGGAATAGAATTATGAATCTTGGTCCAACCGGGGAATATGCACCGAAGACAAATCGAAATAAACTGTCCCTCAAAAAACATTTGCACGCCCCCTACCAATTAAATTAGCCTCTTATCTCCTCTACAAAAGGAAAGGAAACTCACCCCAAACGACACCTAAAATGGCCCTCAAAACCACAAAAAAGTACGACCCCCAAATCCCAAACGTCGTTCTCGCCAACACGGGATATCCAACATGATACCTCGATGCAGCACGACCATTAAGCACAATGACTACCGCAGACAACAGATTTGCGAATATAATGACCAGCAGAGCGTCACGGACAGTTGCGCCGAGGGCTATCAACGAGGAGCCGAGGGACCAGGTTGAGACGGCCCAGGATTCACTCCACCTGTACCACTGTCACTACATAGCCGACAACAAAGGGAACGGGAGGGGGAGAGGGATAAACCAGTAAGCAAAGAAGTTCCATACAGTCCAGGTTTGTCTCTCGGGTGGCGAAGGGAGGAGATCTTCGTTAGTGAGCATGGAAGAAGCAGTCTTTAGTTTTATGGCGTTGTGGAATGAGTGCCATGAGGAGAAGGCGTGTTTTGTTCGTGTCCATCGTGATGGCTGGTCATGATCCTCCATGATAATAGTCTTTAGAAAGGAAGAGATGTTTAGATGAGATGCAAACTCACTACCTATGAAAGCAATCCGCGCGTTGATGGATCCAGATCATCGGGATGCAGGCTAGGATATATACCCTAAAGCTACAAAAGTATGCCTTGCCAACCCTTCGGCAATCAGGATAGTTATCATGATTCATAAACTTAACCGCGCCCAGCGTGGTATCAAAACTATCATTTCGGTAGCTAATCGATAGCCAGTACTCTCTGTACCTTTGATTTAGCTTTTTGGGGTGGCAGGCTATACTAGGACCAAATAGATAAAAGCGTCCTACTGTCATGTGTCTACGAAAACATGGATTTGAGCTGGAGTAGACGTTTCAAGCGTTGCGACCTCTGAACCGATTGAATCAGAATCATTCATAGAATGGAACTCATATCAAAGTCGTGGAGAGCTTTGCGCGGGATGCCAGAGGTCTATTTGTTACGTGGGATACAATACGATATCGTATCGAATACCGTCACGCGGGGGTATGCATTTACTCCCCGAATAATACCATATAGTTCAATGGAACATAATTGGCCATTTCAAAGATATCTATTTCTACAATTCTGCTTCACCAATTTCTCTCCATCATTCCAGCAGACAGTAAAGATACAACAAAATGACAGGCCTCCAAGTCCACCACGGCGGAAAACCATTCTTCCACTGCCCCAAGGGCCCCATGATCCTGGGCGAAGCACCCATCTACCGCGCCAGCGACAGCACATTACACTGGGTCGACTGTCTCGCCGAACCCTGCGAACTATACATCCTCAAAGTCGACCCGATCACAGGGCACGCACTCCCAAATTCCTTACGAATACTCAAACTCAACGACAGCGTGACAGTACAATTCTTCCGTCGCGATAAACCCGGTAGCTATATCGCTGCTTATTACCAAGGAGTATGTTTTATAGATGAGGCCAGCGGGAAAATAGATATTGTCAAAGAAATCATCCCTACAGAGAAAAGGGATGAATTGAGGTTTAATGATGGTGGGATTGATGCAAAGGGAAGGTTTTGGTTGGCGGAGATTGATAAAGTTGCCATGTCCTATGGACCGAATCAGTTACCGCAGGAATATGGTAGACCGAAGGGGAAGTTGTGGAGGTATGATCCTGATGGGAGTTTGCATGAGATGCTGGATGGTGGAGTGGTTTGTGGGAATGGGTTGGGATGGAGTCCGGATAATAAGACTTGTACCTCCCCTTTTCTTATGCATGAGAGGGAAGCTGACAGGGTAATAGTTTACTTTCACGACTCAGTCGCAATGGTCGTATACGCATTCGACTTTGATCTTGAGTCTGGCAACATCTCCAATAAAAGACTCCTAATTGACCGGCGAGACTCATTCGGTGAACCTGATGGGATGGTCGTTGAGTACGTCTTCGTTCCATTCCCTTCCTCCTTTGTTGATGCCATACTAATATCCTACTGTATAGTACCGAAGGAAACCTCTGGATAGCAATGTTCGACTCCAACCGAGTCATGGTCTTCTCCCCCAGCGGCGTACATTTAAAAGACATCAAATTTACAGCCCGAAATCCAGCGTGCACAACCTGGGGTGGTAAAGATTGGGATATTATATTTTTGGCAAGTGGGAAATGGAGAGGGAAACGTGAGATTGAAGGGGATGAAGGGGGCCATATGTTTAAATTTAAGCCGGGGGATGCGAGGGGGCAGGCGAAGTATGAGTTTGCTGGTTGACCACCAATCATGGGATCGGATAGAAACGGTTGTATGTATATGACATTGAGATTGATTCACAGAATAAGTACATCGTATACGTAAATGCTAAAGACTGTCCTCCTCCAAAATCATCCTTTTCGTTGAATTCCTCATCCTAGCTGCCTTCTTATGCCCCCCTCTATCCGCATTCGTTCGTCGTGCATCCCTCAACATAACCGGCAACGCATCCAAAACAGCTCTATTCCCCTGGAAATAATGCTCCATAAACCCTCCCTGCAAGACCCGACGCAACGACGCAAGTCTCAACCATTTCCACCATCGATCGATATTCATTACCCCTTCGCTTCCGACTTTGACTTGTCGTTTGCTTCCGTATTGTCGGTTTGTGTTTTGGTTGATTGCTTTGCTGTACATGGGACCCAGACGCGGGTTTTCGACTGTTGTCAGGATTGAGGCGAAATTCGTGTGGAGACTTTTCTTGTCCTTTTTGCTGATCCGTTTGCCGGATACGGTTGCCAGTGAGGCGAGGATTCGTTCAAGTTGGTATGTATCGTGGTATGGTGTGTAACGCTTGATGAGTTTTGGACCACTGCTGCCGGGGATATCTTCCTCATCCTCTTCATCCTCATTGTCTTCATCTTCGTCACTTTCGTCCTCCTCTTCCTGAGGTGTATAACTCTTCTCGTACAATAACGCAATATTCTCACCAGCAGCGATCTGCACATTCGAATCCGCACTGGCCAATTGCTCAATCATGATCTCAACCACTTCCTCACTCTCACCTTCCAGATCTTCAATATCAGTCGCTAAGAACCCCCATTGCTGCAACGCCACAGTGACAACCGCAGCATCATCCGATGCATCAATCGACTGACCATCCGATGCAACAATATCCAGCAACATCTCCATCTGATCCATTTTCGCCTCTTCGCTCGTTCCACCAAAATACGCGCATGTGCCGAGACAGTTGATAGCAGCAACCTTGATAAGTCCCGAGGTCGAATCGCGAATCGTGCGAGTCAACAACGACTCCACCGCATCGTAGATGGTATCGTCATAAGCAGTCACAGCTAAAAACTCCAACGCCTTGAGCGCCAGCACGGACTCGCGCACACTACTCTCATATTTTATACTGCGCGAAAACGCAGCTAGTAAATCCTGGATGTGGTTTCTAATCTCTTCTTCGACGTAGTGGAATTTTGATAGTCGACAGAAGCTAGACAGTGCCTCTTCGCGGCCTTGGACGCTGCTCCGTTTGCGATCCAGGATATCCTGGATGCAGTCTGCTAATTCCTCAGGCCAGTCGGCATTATCAGACTCGGGGTTCTCTGCCAAGTCATCTAATGAGCTTGTACTGTTCACCCAAAAAATGTTAGTATAAACATATAACCATGTTCGTGTGGCGAAGGTATGAAGAAACAAAAAAAGGTTACAGTGACATCATCCCGAAAGGCAGCCACACCAAACCTCCGAGTATATACATCTTTGCAAAAATCAGAAAAAAATAGGGCATACCTCCAAGTACCAGTCTCATCACTCAGATTCCCCTCATCCTCCTCATCAGAAGGATACCGACTCGCAGCGCGCGACGACTGGCGCGAATTCTGCCGTGATGTCTGCGCAGAAACAACCCTAGAATTTGAGCGGGAAGCCTCTCTCGAAGCAGCCTTGCGGGAAACCGTCTTACGGCTTTCGAGGAGCGCTTGACGGCGGAGGTCGTGCATTTTGCCTCTTTCTTTATTCTGCTTTGACTGAGAGTAAAGAGTTGAGAGGGCAAAGAATGGTTTGTTATAGATCGAGGTGGTGATGTAAAGAACCTTGGCGGGGAAATAAACTTGTTATTGGACTTATCGATAAGCCCGAGAGACGTATGATGTGTTGGCAATGGCTTTCCTATCCTATAGGAATAGTGAGATGATAACAGACAAAGTGAGAGATTTTATAATGAGACGAGTGCATATCTGCGATGGAACATGCAAGAAAAGACAGATATTCAAGAGAGTCTTTCCTGGAGAAGTCAGGAAAGTGAGATTCGAAATAAGAAGGGAAAAAGAGGGCAAAAAGAGGCGGGGATCGGGAGATTTATGTAATCAGGCCACCATTCACGTCACGCCGTGTGGACACCTGACCGCTCAGGCAGGAATGTATAGATGCCGAGGCTAGTGTGATTTACTTGCGGTTGAAATGATGAGAAGATGGGATATCTCGCCTGTTAGCATTCATATCTACTTAATAAACTCCATAAACTCCTCAGTCCAATGACCCATACAAGCAAGCAGTTGAAATGTACTTATGTCCGTCGAGTAAGCAAAATCCCATCAAGCGATACAACATAACAAATAGAAGCAATTAGTGTAAGTTACAAACACACAAAGGACGCTTAAAGCTCATCAGATACTAGCTATCAAAGAATAGCTTGGCCATTTGGAGCTGCTGGCGCAGGAGCAAGCTGTGGTCCTGGTGCAGGCGCAGTCGGAGCGGGAGCCAGGCCAATCATGCCAGTCACAATTGGCGCATTCGCTGCACTAGAAGAAGACGTTTTGCTGGCGCTTTTAGATGAAGCATGTGTAGAACCGCCGGCGCTGTGGGCACCGCGAGTACTGCTGCTGCTTTTCGATGCGCTCGTCGCACGTGGTTCAGACTTATCATCGCCTTGCTGTTTGGCCTTGGTGGTGCGAGGTTTCCGAGCCATGCTGCCTCCACGAGAGCCAGGTCCACGAAGCGGCAGTCCAGTCTCTGCAGAAATCGGTACGTTGGACGCGATAGGAACATGTGTGGCACCTCCACGAGTTCGTGCGCCGCCACGACCACGACCACCACCCCGACCACGTTTGATAGTACCGTCGGCCCTGACTTGGTTAGCAAGATACTTACTCATAATCAAAAAGAAATGATACATACCTCTCAACTTGAATCTTTTCGCCCTCCGCTATCAAAGGTCCACTGTAGACAAAAAATCCATCTTTACTAGCAGCCGCCTGCTCCTGCCACACCAATTCACTATCATCCACAAATGGGTCGTCGCGGTCATACTCCTCAATCTTCTTCCGTCGCTTTTTCTTTCCATCCGCCGGTTCCTCCCCTGCATTTGTGCCGACTCCACCCATAGATATATCGCCATCAGGGTCACTGTCCCGATCAATGTCAACACTTAGATCGTCCTCCGCGCTTTCAAGTGCAGAACCACCCTTTTGCTCCCTTTCCAAAGCCGCACTTGCTGCTGCAACACGCGCTAGTCGCTCCTTTTGAGCTGCAATACGCGGGTGTAGCGCAGCAAATCCATACTTCTCTTCCGCCAAGCGAGCAAAGCTGATAATCTTGTTACTGTCACGTGAAAGAGGCACGTGCAGGATGATATTAGGTGCAGTTTTTGACGCTGTCGATGAGCTATCGTCCACACCGAACAGGGCACCGGTAATGAGGCCGGAGCCTTGTGGAAGTGGCGGTGGTGGTACGGAATCCTTGGCACCACGAGCTGGTTTCGGAGATGGTGCACTAGAAGGAGTAGCCGTTGGTGTAGTCTTGTCTTTTTTAGCAGTCTTCGTAGCTTTTGCAGGCGCTGTTGAAGGAGCAGTTGTAGTCTCGGCTACAGGTGCAGGAACTGGCGCTAGCGCTGGCACTGGCGCTGGTGCAGATACGGAAGGCTCAGAGTCAATTTCCATTGCAACCGGCTGCTGAAGTAAACTGATTTTCTCAGCGGGCTTTTCCAGCTGCTGTGGCGGAACAGCAGGAGACTGATCATGCTGCGGTGGAGAATACTGAGACTGCTGCGCGACTGGGTGTGGTGGAGGTGGCTGCGAGGGTAATTGCTGAGTGGAAAAACGTGGAGGTTGCGGTGGCGGAGTTGGGTTGGTGATCTGTGAAAGAATTGGTGCTTGCTTTGGAGGACTTTGTCCGTAATGATGTACCGGCGTCGACGCATTGGAGCCGTAAGGAGGGTAGCTTTGTGTATGGTTGGAGTAGCTAGAGTGCTGCTGTGGAGGTAATTGTTGCTGTACCGGTACAGGAGGCGCAGGTGGATCGATAATGCTAGAAATAGCGGGAGAGGCACTTGCTCGGTAAACACGTTGAGGTGAGATATTATGCTGAGGAGGACTAAAATGCGTCTGCGACGAAAGAATAGGAGTTCCCATGTGAGAAGACGAAGGCTGGTGACTCTGGGACACCGGGGCGGGAGGAGGAGCCGAGTCGCCAAACGCTGATCGAATAGGGTCGAAGATTCGTCCACTCGACCGTGGAGGAGACGCCTGAGGCGGCGGCTGATTGTGTGTAGGGGTCATATATGAAGGTGTAGTATGTGTTGAAAGCATATTCTCTAAAGAATGCGATCGTGCTAATGATGGGGCGTGCATTGCGGTCGGCGGTGTAGAGGTAGCGGCAGCAGTAGAGGAGGGTAGAGGCGTCGGTGCGAAAGTCGACGACCCTGCCACCTTCACTGGAGACACAGTGGCAGCCGCAACAGACGAAGCTGGCTGCTGGACAGGTGTCTGTGGTGGTGGCTGTTGAGACGGTCGCGAGAAGAGAACTTCATGATTGCCGGGTTGGGAAGGAACGATTGTTTGTGCGGGAGCAGCAACGGGAGCTACGACAGGTGGTTTTTCTTCTGTCTTGCTGGTCTCTTTTTTGTTGTTGACGATGTTGAGGCTGTTGTCATCGTCTTTGTTGGGGTTGTGCTCGAGCTTCGGTTTCTTTCGTGAAGTTTGCGGCGGGTTGGTTGAGGCATTGGATTTTTCCCTGGCGCGTCGTGCACTGCGAGACTTCGTCTCTTCTTATCTTCTTTCTCGTTCTCTTTCTTGCTTTCTTTGTCCTTTGTCTTTCGACTTGGATTTGGACTCTTTGGCCGGCTTCTCCTTTGCTGGTTCTTTTTCTTTTTCTTTTTCAGTCGGCTCCGGTTTATCCTTCTCCTTCTCCTTCTCGTCTTTTTCTTTGGTCTTGCTCTTCGAAGACGACTTTTTCGACTTCTTCTCCTTCGGTATATCTTTCTCCTTTTCCTTTTCCTTTTCTTTTTCCTTCGGCTTCTCCTTGGATGTGTCTTTTTCCTTGTCCTGATCGGGGTCGTCCTTCTTGCGGCGCGTGCGACGAGTGGCCGTGGCGGGAGTGCTGGGCTGGTTATTGTTAGTGGCCGAGGCGCGTCGAGTGCGGGTATCTCTGCCACCGCCTACACTCTCCTTCTCCTTGTCTTTGTCGTTCGAATTAATTGTTGTGGCCTCTGTCCCTGTCTGATTGCTGACAATTTCTGGAGGATTCATTTCCGAGTTGGTTATTGTAGATGGTGCTTTTTGTTGTTCGGGTCCATCCTCCTTTGCGAGCCCATTATTCATGGGTGCTTCGTTGGCCATGGCGACAGCTTACTCCAACACGATGCGCGTGTATACACAACTTGTCTGCGAGTGAACAATTTGTATAGACAAGAAAATGACGAGAGAAAAAATAAATAAATAAATAAATAGAAACAGTAATCAAGCAAGAGACAATCAAATATCACGAGCCATAAGAGCGAATATAGTTTTCGATAATTGGCGATGTTATCAAATTCGTCACAAACGCTGCATAAACTGGGTGTAGGCGCAGTGTTGGAAATGACGGGAGTTTGGAACACGAAAACAGGCGAAAAAGGGCCAAATGAAAATGAACAGTATCTGTGATCCTTGCGACGGAACCGTGAGAATTAAGATGGACCCCACGGGTGCTCAATTGTATGGAAAATCAGAGAGGCGGGAGTAGATAAAAGAAAGAAGAAAGGGAAAGTAACGAAGAATTGAAAAAGGTAGTGGATTTCGAGAAGAAAAGGCAACAGGAAAAGAGGAAAGAAAAAAGAAAAAGAATGAAGTGCCCCGAAATAACTGGGGTCCGGAAGATGATCAGGAATTGGGTATCTTGGACAGATCATCAATCAAACGATACGAGAAGGGAAAAGAAAAGAGAAGCGTCAGGAATCAACGGTATGTTTAAGGCCCGGAAACGAGAGAGCAGAAACACCAATCAATGCTCCGAGACGAGTAGTCGTATCTGTTCCTGGGCAGGTCGTATCGTTGGACTGGGTGATGAAGCTGGAGTACTGGCTGAGACACGGCACGAAAAGTGTGACAGGAGGAGAGAAAGGAAGAGAGAGAAAAGATTGACAGGAAGGAGGAGAGGAGAGAAGATATGGCAAGCAGACTCGAGTTCGATCATGGTCATACACTTGGCGCTCTTCAGCAGCACTAGGGGCAGACTACGTAGCAATTTGGCCGCTGACCAAAGAGACCATTGAGCTATGACAACTGGACCAGACTTTTGGTAGGCGTGCGACCTAACATCCCATATGCCGCTAGCTAGTTTGGAGATGCCGGAGTACATGCAGGAGGATATATATAGATTATACTGTCCAGACAACCCATTATGGATGATTCACTTGGCTGTGTTGAATTATGTAGACTAGTAAGTAGTTCCTGACAATTTTCTATCAAACGAGTTTCATTTAAGATCGCGGTGGTGACTTCTGTCAAGAATTGGTCCCCGCCGTGATATGGTATCTAACCCTAATCTGGTATCTAGCGGGCATGTTCACACGGGCCTCTGTCTCCATCAATTATATTGCGCTCGGAGAGACGAATTCGCGTCGACATACACACAATAATTGATGTACAATTTGGATCCATGATGATCTCAAACTCAAAGACAAATATACCATCGAGTTATGCTGTTTTCCAGGCGTCTCATATCGGCATGCTGCGTTACTCGCTCGGCAAGGTCGCCTACACCATTACGTACTTTGAGTCAACATGCACCAGTGTATTGCAAACAACGTCGCTAGGTATTGGAGTATTTCTTTGTTAATCTATGGAGGGATTTGACCCAGCCCATCGATTTGATTCTTCAACCCGGAGAACGCACTATCGGACGAACTACCACCTGACCAGAAGGATAAACTATAAAGGAGTTGTGCATGATATACAACACTGCAACACTACATCACTACCATCTCATCTAGTAGACAGTCAGCTCCCAGTATTTTCATCAAGATATCTTGAATATAAGCATACATTCAGTCAGAATAGCATGGAGTAAATCTAGAATCCCCATACTGATTGGCCGATGTATTCAATATGGCCCGTGCATAATCTGCTCGATACGGACTAGACCATAACAAGACTAGTGCATCCTGCATGGCCCAATTTAGGTTTTTAAGCCGCATCCCCGCGGACCGCTGTTTATCCGATGATATTTTGTCATCTCTCTTTACACGACACTTCATACTTTATACCTCCCCTTGTTTATCACAAGAGTCTACCAGCATGGCCATCCCCGGTGAACGTTTTGTCCTGGACCTCTCAGACGACGAACAAGATGTCCAACCCCCCACTGTCGCCGGCGGCCTCATGATCGGAGAAATCAAAGAACGAACACCAAAGGCGCCTTCAGCGCCCACACTTAAATCAACAACCACCGGTTTCCCGGTATCGAAGAATCGTCTCGGCGGGTCGGCGTTCAAGCAAAGACGGAATGATGCTTTGCCATCACGATTCGCCTCTCGAAACCAGATCACAACACAACCCCGCGCGACGTCACAGGTCGAGTCGATGCAAGATGAAGAGAAGAGGATCATAGATGAAGAAAACAAGCAGAGAATAGCTGCCATGTCGGAAACGGAGATTGAGCAGGAAAAGGCGGAGTTGATGGCGAATCTGTCACCTTCGTTGATTGAGAGATTATTACGGAGGGCGAATATTGATGATGAAGTCGCGGCTGCTCCGACAAATAAAACAGAACTGAAACGAGATACCGCCGAGGCGAAGGAGACAAAGAAAACAGGCAAGTCTGTTTCTTTTGGTATGCCAGATATCAAACAGACAGAAACAGTACCAGAGACTACAGACTTTGAGGATAGACCACCCGCCATCCATCCACCAGATTTACGACCTGCCTCTGAATTCCCCTCCGGACCTATCCATTTCCCTACACCACCACCTCGACAAACGCCCATGCCAAACCTCGACCCCAGCTCACCTTCATTCTACGATGATTTACAAGCCCACTACTTCCCCGACACCCCACACGACTCCTCGGCACTCTCATGGCTCAAACCCCTCGACAAAGATACTGACGCAATTCAAAACGGGCCCGAAAATCTCTCCGCCTACCACCCTGCAAGCTCAACCACACAAATCGTCCCCTCAGCCATCCGCTTCTCATTCCGCGGCGAAATGCTCCCTCCTTCAAAAGCCTTGGACTTACCCACCTCACTCGGTCTGCATCATCATGCCGACGATCCCGAAGCAGCGGGGTATACTATCTCTGAACTTTCGATATTGAGTCGGTCCACAGTTGCGGCGCAGAGGTGTGTTGCTTGGCAGGTTTTGGGGCGGATATTGTTTAGGTTGGGGAGTGGGGAGTTTGGGGCTGATGGATCGGATTTGGTGGATGGGCTATGGAAGGTGGTGGAGCTTGAAGGGGTTGTTTCGAGGATGTTGGAGGAAGCGGAGGGTGGACCACAACATGCAGAAAGTGAGAGTGAGGGGACGAATGCTGGGGTAAAGTCGAATATTGGGAGACATGCGAGTGCTAAAGCGTGGGCTGTGGAGGGGATATGGTTATGGCAAAAGGGGGGAGGGAAACGAGGTATCGCTATGAATGACAGTACATAGGCATAGATAGTGAATGAAGAAGCAAACAAATATCATATTGCCCCATTTTTCAATTTAGCAAGATGCGGTGTGTAGTTAAGCAGGGGTTCGGCGGTGCATGGAGATTTGTTTTGAAGTTCGAGGACTCGGTTCCTAGGTATGATACCCCGCGCAAGGGGTCAACTTTCGTACTCTTTACACACTTCGAGATATATAACCAGCCACACATATGAAGACAATTTCCTCAAGATGTCCTCAGCAGACCGTCCAGAAATCCTCCTTCTAAGCCTATGTGACTATGGCTTTCTCAATGAAAGTTACGCGTCACTATTTAAGCAACTACATGACTCCGCCCACATTGAGCGTACCGAAACCGCCGATGCTGCGATCCGTTATCTGACCGAAAAAAATCCAAAGGCCATTATCATCACAGATGAAGGCTTGACTCTCAATGAGAATACACAAGTGCTCGAAAAAGTGGTCGAGTATGTTCGCAATGGTGGTCGTGCCATAATCGGTCTTCTGTTCCCCAACTGCGCCCAGTGGGACGACATTGGCGATTTATTTAATCGAGCCTTCCAACTTCCCTGGAAGAGTGCCAATTATATGAGAGAGACCTTTGAGGTTAATCCTTCCTGCACTCTACCGGACAGCGTTTCGGTGTCTTCGTTACCCAAGTCATATATGGCGAAGGCGCTTCATATCAAGAACGCTCGCCCCCATGAGAAGATCTTGGTTCCTGAGAACGAGTTCGATGAGGAAGATTACGAGGATCGTCCGATTCCAGAGCGTGGCCTTACACCTGCGTATCTGGAACAGACGCAGGCTATGGTGACTGGAGCAAAAGTCGGGGATGGATATGTGGCTTATTGTGGTGATGTTAATGGGGAAGATGGGTCGGATAAAGTTATCTTGGCTCTTTGTGGCCTTCGGTGATGATCATTTTGCATTGTAACAAAGAGGCTAAAGTCAGATATTGAGGGTCATGGAAGTTCAAAGCTTGGTTCAAAGCTTGGTCTGTGGAGGGAATATGGCTATGGAAAAAATCGGTAATTCCCTTGTCAAGGGGGCTTGTTCAATCAAAAATATAGTCTCACAGCGTTCTCCCCTTGTTTGGTCAGCTATTTGAAGTTGGAATTGTAGCACTGTTTACCTAGGTACGTGATGACAGTCACAGCTAGGAAAGCAAACCAAGTGTATTATGAGTCGAGGATAAGCCGCGTAAATGCTATCACTCCTAAAAATACCTTGCCCTATACCAAGAGATATCCCATATAAAAGGCCCGATTTAGAAGTTCTTTGCCTGACACAGAGATGAATGAGGATTCAGTATTTTAGAGAGAACGGTAATCTTAATGCTTCTGTACCTGGGTAGAGAGAAATACCACTATTTTCAAAGTTCCGGAGGGAGATACTAGATGATATAAGTGTCTATATTATCAATTATACTCTCTCAGATATACAGATGGTATAGAAATGAAAGTAACATATATCTAGGTAAGTCTATTGAAATCCAGGTACTAATCTTGATTATGTCCGGATAGGTCTGGTGGATGTGCCTAGTATCTTGAGATATCCTTGAAGTTGTCCTGAACCACTCTCATACCTTTTCATGAACAGAGTTTGTACTCTTAGTAGACGCTTGGATACAGATAGTTGAGTCTAAGGTTCGAATCATTCTAGACGTAATATAATGCTAGAGTTCGTGGTCATTACTACATCAGAACGTAGACCCGGCAGTTCCGGAAACCTAGAGGATGATGCTATTATCAGATGCTTGATTCTCGTATGAAAAGCTGCATATCAATGTTCTAATAATTCAGTTGGAGTAGTGGTGTGTGTACGTATAGCCCCAGATAGGAGCCAGATGTCAGCAGGAGCACTGAATGCTACATGTGCCTCATATCATTCTAATACATTCATGAATATACCCATGTGTTTGATGCCACGTTCAAGAAGTCAAAAGATCCGGCCACATTCTAAACTTACGTATTTGTTAGTCTATTAATGTTTCGCAAAAGATATAAATTCAGTTGGAGACGCTCTAAATTTATTTCCGTTGAATGCACCAGAAGACTTCAAGGTTTTATTTGATAACCATCGAAGGTATTTTGCAGCATGGCAAACCAGTCTGCCGAAGACGAGGCTGTGAGATGGATACCAGTCATAGTATCCGTGCCCACAGGGCTCAGCATCATTATTGGCACTTTGAAATGGATATATAAAGCACAGCACGATTGGGCAGTGAGTATCTACGGATTGGCAGTTGATAAAGATAAGATGGGTTTCTTTCAAGTCAAAGCGTCGCGCTGTCCTTTACTTAGAAAAATTAGGACAGATCCCCTCTTGCCCACGATGTCCAAGATCATCAAACTTGGCGAGTATGAGTTCAATTCATCCATGTTTGAATGGATGTCACCCGTATATACAGAGATAAGCTGGGTACCCCTTTATGAGGAGGTCTTCAGAGAGCTCGAATGGAATTTGGAGATACGGGGTCATGGCGAGCAGTTTTGGGAGAAATGTCCATGCACGTACCATCGTTTTTTGAGGTTTATCAACGACGCTTGGCTGCATATCAAAAACATTCTGAGAAGACAGCCGTCTCGGTTTCCACCGGTTATACGCCAAGCCCTGAAAGATGCAAAAAAGGATATCTCGAAGCATATCAAAGAGTACCATAATTGGAAACTTGAACAAAAACCGCGCAGAGAGTTTTTAGTAGAGGAATGGCGGCAGAACGAATGGTTACAGGGTGGGTTGGCTCAAAGTGAAATATCGCAGAGTGAATTGCCACAGGGTGAATTTGAGGAGGATGAATGGCCCCGGACCAGATGGCTCAGTGTCAATTGGAAGGGGGCCCCAATATCATGGCGACCAAACAACTGGTCACAGAGCAAGGAGCTAAATTACCGACATTTCCATTATCCGAGGATACTTCAAAACTGCGTCCTTCGCCTGGACGGCCCTCGATGTTGGGAGCCTTTTCGTCCTGAGCGGCTCTTTAAGACTCATGTACAGGACCTTGATTTGCAAACCATAGTGATTTGCGACGGTGTTCCAGCAATCCCTATATCCTCGAAAGAGCTGGGTTCATTATAATTTATGCTTGGGATGCCTTTGCGCCTGAAGCGAGACAAAGACGGAACTGCAATTTCACTAGAGGGTATAGGGATTTATTCCACTGTTATTTCAGGGTATTATCATAAAACCAGTGGCGCGTGGCGCCTTCGATTCTTTCATGGGAAACCAGAGCACCCAAGCCATGACTGCTCAAAAGGAAATGGATTTTCAATCATGAATGCCATTTGCATGGCATGCGGGTGTTTACCATTTGCTCAAAGCAAGAGCCTGACACACGTCGTTCACGTAACTAGAAAAACAAACCATGGCATCCGCCATGGCCATGAGATCCGTGATGCAGATCCAACCGAGAACGACAGGTCTAAAGGCGAGCGGAACGCCGAGGGCTACCTGTCTAGTACCCCATCGATCACCCGTAAGAACTATTACCATCTGACATTCAATGCAGCCAGCGAGGAAGGAACCATTAGAGATAGTCCTGGAAACCGTATTTCCAGCTGGCCAGAGGTGGTTGCGAGAATTGCATTCGGTGGTTTTGTTCCTTTCGCCACGCGAGAATTGGTTGACAGCGTCCGATTCACTGTACAAGGCCGTCAAGAACTTTCACTCGAGGATATACATTATATCCGCAAAACCTTGCGTCGCTTAATCATCAGCTGTCATAGGAAACATCAAGAAAAACTACTTTTTGGTCAGTTTATCGAGGATGAAGCACGAACTAGGAAAGTTACAGTTACGTACGATAATCCCTCAAGGGTTGACACAGCAAGAGCTGGTGCAATCTTTGCTCGTTACATGACACTATTGGAGTGCATGACTGCCAAAATTCCCAACGGTGATAAACCGCGAGCAGCTTACGAGGCATGCTGCAATGAAGTGCGGTCATCATATAAAGAAGCTTTGGACAAGGAAGCTAAAGGCAGTACTAAATGTCAGCCTGAGTTTCTACCGGATGGGAGGAGTAAATCTTTGCAAGACCAAGCAGACAAAATCTTTGATGATTTTGACCAGAACCAGGTAACCGCTGATGTGTGTGGTCAAACGGCGCGGCTGATGATACTTATTTGGACGTATTATGTCGCGATCGTTACGTGGGATAATGATCAGTATAGGGAAGTGAAAAACAATTTTCTCAAGGACGCTGACCTGTCTAGAATTTACACCTTTGAAGAAATCAGAAACCTTCCAAGGATGTCCTTGCTGACATGACTTCTCCAATGGAATGGGCTAAATTAGAGTCCAATTCAGACGCTTTGCTCGTACCTCTAGTCTTATTCCACACACTTGGGTTCGAGGTGAAGTCGAGCAACGAGGTGTTGCCACGGGAATTGTCAGCCACAGCTTCTCAGTTTTATGCATGAGGATGTCCCCATTGAATTGCTCACTCAAGTTCGAATTCGTCTTGCTCGGATACCTTTAGGACCCATAGTTAGTTCCTCAAACAAGTTACGTACATGAACCACTTTACAGGTAGAGATAAATGATAGCTGGCTATCACTTCGGCATATAACGGTAGAAACGGATACTTCATCCATCTAATAGCTATATTGGGTCATAATCCAGGCACGGTACTTCATTTACCTTCGTCAAGTACCAGAACCTATGCGGGTCTTGGGATCCCTACTTGGCTGTTTCGGGGACATCCGCCCTAGGAAATCAACTCATCAAAAGCTGTAGAACTATCATTAGAAATTTTCCAAGCGTCTCAGAAAGTTATTCGTGACGTCCACAAGAGTATGCAAGTCTACAGAAACAGGTTAACGCTGACGACGATGGTGGGCGCCACCTCACCGCACTCCTAGGACTATATAGGATCCAAAGCAGACAAAATCACGTTTTGAGATCCGAAATGTCTTACTGCTAAGCATGCTAGGTTGCGTCAAGTATTGAGACCAAAAAGTAAACAAGATTCAGAGCTTTGGGTACATAGGCGCCAACTGTTTAATCGCAAGTTCAACCTCGGAGTACGTACTATCAATCACAAACCTAGACTAAAGGTCGTATATGTCTTACTTGTAACTTTATCTAGCATATCTATATCTAACTACTTGCTCCAAAGCTTAGTTATGTAGATCTAGCATAGCTTATGATTGGTCTACCCAGGCCCAAATCCCATGATTTCATGAATGGTGAGAGACGCATATGCAAGATGATTAGCTGAGTCACTTGACCCGATTGACTGAGACCTTGATATAGCTTTTAATTATAGACTGCTGAGGTACGTGCTACGAGTTGCATACCGTAGATACAAGTCGCCAATTGACATTAGATAGCCGGATAGAAATGGAGCTGGTTTGGGCAATAAGAAAGACGACAGAACTGTGCGCATGTGGTTACTTTATGTTTTGAGTTCTCATGTTGATGAGAGAAGATTAGTATCTCGTATAGGTCTTTTTTCTCAATGAACGGGTTTCATTCTCAAGGATGTGGGAATAAATTTTCTGAACAGGGTTATCCTGCCTAGAACGTTGAAAACCATTCGCTACACACGCACAGACGGTTCAGTCGAACTTGATCCATTTTGCAAGTATCAAAGTCCCAACATGCAACGTCAGATATTGAACCACCCGGCGCCCACAAGTCTAAAGATGGCGGCGTGCATGACGCTCTAAATTGGTTTTATGGGCCGTTGATCCATATGTGAGAAAACGTATTGTAGTACCGTTTTAGAACATATATATATGAAGTGTATTACGAAGCACTAGTCAAATAACTAACTTAGACAAGCAAGCCACCCAAATTACCTAAGTATGTAGGTACATGACCCTACGCAGTTACTGCTTCAAGATTGCCTACGGACTTCTGAATGTAGTAGGAGGTGCATGTATCAGTTCCCGTTCTATTGGGACTGGGTCCATATGTAAGTCATTGGGCAGTAGGGGCCTTAATTTGATATCTAATCCTGCGTGTCATACGCTAGATGTCTTGGTCTATGGAGTAGTTGCGAATATAGGTAGGATAAATGATGACCCGGCCCATCAGTCACTTTTCTCATTTTTGGTATGATTTCTATCCCGTCTTACTGGAATTTCCCTCATTATTCTTTCCGTTTCTCGACTATCAACATCAAGCCAAGCCCCCATTCAGCCTGATTGCGCATTCTTGACACGGCACATCGAATGGGAAAGCTTGAAGTAATTAGGGCTATGCACGGAGCTCCAACGGGTGAGTCCTGGAAGCGGGAACGGAGTGGACGGATGATCGGTTTTATATCTGAGCGCTCGTGCCGAACCTTCTCGACAACTTCCAAGACTATAACGGCGGTTCAGACCAAAGATATTATCCCACGCTCTCGGGAATTATTCTATCTGTCCGGTGGGCTCCAGATTATTGGCTGTAACTTACCCAAGCCCTCAATCATAACGATCAAATCCCGACAAATCTACACTCTAGTTTTCGTAGTGTATTGCACCTAATAGCGAATATGTAGCTATATGCCGTTTGGTATACACTTTGCTCTAGGAATATGTAGTTAGTGAATCCACTATCATGGATACGTAGGTACATGCGTATGTCATGCAGCGATGACTGTGAGGCTTGAGTGGCGTGGTTGGTTACTAGCGAGCGAGCTAAGGCATAACATAACGGCACCTGACTGATGACCTACCTAAGTAGCACATTGATTTCTTTTTCCAGTCCATTGGAACCGAAGTTTGGTGCTTCTATTGCCCAACGGCGTCATTTTACCTGCGTATAATCAGACAAGACTCGGCCCCTCTAGAATCTACATAATGGATCATAAGGACAATGAGTCGGTATACGATGACTGTTGTCAAAGCCTGGAATGTCTCACCGATTAGTGTAATACTGTTTGTGATTCGTGTTTTCATACCTTCGGTGGATCAGAAAGACTTAAAAGTTGTCTCTGTAGAAGCCCCCGTTTTTGTTTCCTTTTTAGGAAATTTTTCCTGTATTCGGAAGTACCCCTCCAACGGGTGAGTGGGCTGCAATCTGCCCCTCATTGCAAGAGAAATTGTCGTGAGCACGTAGAAACTTTAAGAAGTGATAAGAAATAGAAGAAAGGACTATGATACAGAAACCAGTGATGTGACGCTATATGTTGATGCGGTTTCCACTGATGTATATCTACTCAGGTATCTAGGTATATACTATGTAGACTTAGGTACAGGAAAAGGTCATTATTCTGCAGTCAAACGACCAATGGGACTACTAATTTGATGATTGCACCGCCTGAACGAAAGCTGGGCGCTGCCATTTACTAGTACCATATCACAGACATCCTGAGTATCAGTATATACTTCTCCTGTGGATACCAATCACTTCCAAAAATTCCGGTGTATGCTGCGCCGCTGCACCTGTCTGAATTTGGATAAATCATTGGTAAAAGGAATTTTATTTCTCTCATACGCTGTTTAGGGGCCAGATATGCCACACCATGCATCTCGTAGAGTTTCGTTTACTGTCCATGTTTTGGCAAGCAGATGCACGCCATGAAGGTACATAGGTCTCGGTGTATACCTAGAGATTTACGGAATACAGAGTACACGCCACGCTATGAGGATATAGTCATTCCATGCTCGTGAGATATGTTGAAGATTGGATAGCTTCTCTTTGTCGTTTCATTAATTGACCATGATCCATACGTCTGGTTGAAACCAGAAGAAGTGGGCATTAAGATTACAAGGTTCCTGACATGTGCACCTACCAATGTCTTGGTCTATATCAGAACCCTATACCCTAGGTTCAACATCTATCAGCCCAATGATTGCTCAAGCTTGAGACCAAGAACGAATCCCCAATCTCGCTTGCTCCCCTCTATGACTCGTCACAGCCCGAATCTCGCCATCTGAAAAGTGAGGTATCTATCTATCTAATTGGATGGAATAAGACTCCCGGTTGGTGTTACTGGTAAATTCACACATTGTTTTGGATATTTGATTTCAGGTCAAGAAATGTGACAGGGATACAACCCACATGACCGGATATGCATGCTGACTGTTAAATACTCCGCTTAGCGCATATTCTACTGTACGATCCTATTACTTGCATGCAAGTATCAGATTAGGGTCTCCTCTTCTCTTAGTCATTTCTATTTTGTTGGGTCTTACGGGGCTACGTACATTATGACGGAACAAATGCCGATATCTTTCTTCGGACTATGTAAGACCTCCACAGATAACAATATAGAAGTTCATCTGCATTAAAAGCGGGACGGAAAGAAAAGTATTGAATACCTAGGTAACTCAGCAAGCTCGTATAGAGGCGGATCTGCTTTTCAGCCCTATCATGTATTGTTTTCTATTCCATTGCATACATAAAAGCTGCCAATACTAGTCTATTATTGGATGAACCTATAAAGAAAGGAGGATTTATTGCATGCCTATCAATGACTCGGCCATGTCGATGGCCCATCATGAAGATGGAAAAGGAGATAAGATCTTACAGCAGAAACCTGAAAGAAGAGGAGTGAGGCGGATCATATCACGTTGATCATCCATTTCCACCTCATTGCAGTGGCGCCCTGTTTTATACTAGTAACCGTACGCAAGCCTAATCGAATCAATGTCACTCTCGACGACGTCGACGTTATTGGTAAGTGAACTGAGCTGGACCACATGAACGGCCTACCAGTTCCATGTGCCTATAGATTCGGTTCCCTCTCTAGTCACCGTTTTCTGTACTTTTCTCCACGGAAGTTGACCAGCCAGAGCAAGCTACGGCTCGAATCTTTGATTCTTCCTTGGTATATTCAATTGGCGTTTATTGGATCTGAGTAACTTAACTTTTATGCTAGCTGAAGTGAAGTATAGATTTTTTGGCCCACTATCGTCTATAATATAAGATCAAATCTGCTAAATACGTATCCATTCTCTCGAGCTTTACCTATATATTGGACTGGAAACTATCTTGAAACTTTCTTTTCCTCCTGTATCTTCTATTTCTCATCTACCTTCCACTCTTATTTCCTCTATTTATTGACTTCTTTCTTTCTATCGAATCAAACCCCCCGTCATTGAACTCCCTCCTTTGGTTGGCAAACTTAATCGGAAGATACACCCACCATGGATCAAGCTGCAATATACATCGCGCAGACAGCCAGATATCCCCCTCTATCTCCGGTAGAGGAGAAGAGGCTGATACGGAGAATAGACTGGATTCTTGTTCCAATGGTACGTAGGTCAATATTTTGTTTACGTTCAAGTCCATCATCCCCTCGTCGTTTCATGGACCCTTCACATCAAGCTTGCTGGGTCCGGTCCAGGTTGAGGCTGGATGCATGGTAAATACATACATAAGAAAACCTTAAGTATGTAAGATAAATAAGCTGCGGCTATTATTTCCGCAAGACCCTTGCGTTTGCCATCAGAACATGTATCGAATTCTTCGGTTCGATATTCCATGCATGCTGGGTAGTCACAAGCGAGCAGCGAGATGCAGACCCCTGTCTAGCACGGAAATGACATTGGTCTATGATGTCAAAGCGCTCATCTATTAGCTTACATATTCCTTCCTCACTAAAGATACACTACAAAATTATAGTTGGATACTAATCCTTTATAGCTCCTCTTAACCGCTACATTGGGTGCGGTGGATAAAGTCGCCATCAGCACTGCTGCTATCTACGGGCTGAGAGATGGTATGTTCTTTCCTTCGTCTGGCTTCAAATCCCAAAAATAAAAAGGAGGAATATTATAGGCTCATTGACCACTTCTTTCATCATGCAGATCTACATCTCACTGGCAATCAATACTCATGGGCGGGCTCAATTCTCTACTTCGGGGTCAGTATGGCCCTGTCCTCACCGTCCCGCTTCAAGTCCTAATTGCTATCTCAACAGTGTATTTTTGGCATGTGGCCATCTTCATATGCCCTACAACGCATACCCTCGGCAAAATATCTAGCTAGTTGTTCATTCGGCTGGTCAATTCTCTCGCTATTAATTCCTGCATGCCGTCACTTCTCTCATTTGATGATTTTGAGGTTTCTAATGGGTATTCCATTCCCCCTGTTTGCCAAGATTGGAATCAGAGAAGCTGATAAACATGGACGTACAGGCTGTCTAGAAGGCATAATAGTCCCGTCTATATCTCTTGTTATCGCAGGTTTCTATAAAAAGTCTGAGCAGCCACCTCGAAACGCCGTCGCTTTTGCCGCCATCAGTTCGGTGATCAATGGCTTTCTGTCCTGGGCTGTAGGGCAAATCCCATCGTCGGCACCACTGGCGAAGTGGCAGTACCTGTTTCTCATTACCGGTGAGTTTCTCTTCTAATCCCTACTCACTAGCAGTCAATGACCTAAGGCCGCTGCCGTATACAGGATCTATTTCGCTTGCATGGTCAATAGTGGCCTTTTTGTATCTTCCGGATACGCCTATGAATGCATGGTTCTTGAACGACCAAGAGAAGTATTATATCATCACTCGGCTGGCTGAAAACAAAACGGGAATCCTGAGTAAGACATGGAAAAAGTACCAGGCCATAGAAGCCATCATTGATCCCAAGACATGGATTATCTTCCTCTTCAATATTGCCATCAATGTACCCAATGGAGGTAGGCACACCTCTTTCTTGATTGTCGCATTATGTAGAATCATATTGACACATTCATAGGCCTGATAACCTTCAATGGGATCATCGTCCATAACCTCGGATTCACCGCGGTCCAGACATCCCTATTGAACATGCCGACGGGCATCATGTCCACCTTATCTGCATTTGTATTCTCATGGATAGCTGCAAAGTGGACGAACCGACGTTGTCTTGTTACAATGATTGCGGCGTTTGTCCCGGCTATTGGTGCCGTACTGGTGTATGCTTTGCCCAGGACGAATATTGGTGGGCAGATGATTGGAATATACCTGGTATGTGGTAGCTGTTGGCAATGTAGAACTACGTTAATGTTTGTATAGCTGTATACCTATTTTGGGCCTTATGTGTTGGGTACGTCCTCATTTCTCATAATCTGAACCATATTCATCTGACTTAAGGAGGGATCTCTCTTGGACAAGCAAACACTGCCGGCCACACAAAGAAGAACGCCCAGTACTCGGTCATGTATATTGGCTATGCAGTTGGTATGTGACTTCCTACCTCTTCCTTCCCACCACAAATCTCATACTGATCGAATTTCACACAGGCAACATAATCGGACCGCAGACCTTCCGCGCAAACCAAGCGCCCGCATACACAGGGGGATTCGTCTCTATGCTCATCTGTTACTGCGTCTGTATCGGCCTCATGGGTTCTTACTGGATTCTTGCTGCAGTGCTCAATGCTCGACGAGAAACCATTTCGTTGTCCACATTACCTTCGGCGATAACCACCCAACCAATACCTGCAGCGAATCTGTCGAGTAACAACTATGTATCCGATGTGGACAGTATATCTGAATATGCATTTGCAGATTTGACCGATTTTGAGCAGTTGGATTTTCGGTATACAACCTAGTTGATTGGAGTTCGGGTTATACTGGTATCTGCTGTATATCAGACCCGACTGATTTCTGGACGTGAATGTGTACGAATGACGAAGTTGAATGAGATATATGGAACGAACTTGATGGACGACACAGTCCTGCTTTCTCTTTTTTGTTTCTCGATGCTTTTATTCTAGATTTTGAAGTATGTGCTTTTACAGTATCATCTTACATACATCACCCGATGCATAGACGATTTGATAGAGCGTTCCTTGTGTGTTTTACATATTTCCTTCACTTTATTATCTTTGGTATCGCATCTGACGCTGATATTCTTTGCCAAAGGGCATTATTCTACTAATGATAAAAGGGAGTTTATATTATGAATCACAAAGTTGGAATTTAATGGCATTGGATTTAGCAATAGAGTCGAATCACATATTCATCTTTGACATGAGAGTTCAAAATCTTGTAATGATATCCTGGTAGTTTCTTTCCCAGGTATCTTCTACGGTTATAGTACGTAGGATTCCCGGTGATCAGGGATTGTAAGGATGAGAAAAGCACCGAAGCGAGATATGAACTGATCATAACGTTTTGTAATTGCACTGCATCATGCCACCAATAATGACAGAGAAGAGAGAGATACTAAAAATATCAATATAGCCCCATACACCTTAAAATACCAAAAATCCTTCCCTTTTTCTCTATCGAAAATGACAGACATGCTCGCTTGCTTGCAAAATCCACTGTTTGGGTATCCATGAGATGTGCTCAATAACATAGACGGAATAAAATAAAATCAAAATCAAAAAAGGGACCGTAAGAATAAAGACAAAACTCGTGAACTGCCTCTGGAATATAGAAAAGCCGTGAGATGAGACACAGGAGCATGAATAAATCATGCCAGGCTGATAATCATCCCCTGAGCGACACTATCGCGTCTTTTCGATGACTTTGAAGAGGCTGCTGCCGTCGAAGAAGACGACAATTCCAAATCCAATTTCCTGAAATTCCTTTCCACGGACAACCTCACTTGACGCACATTGCCCAGATTTCGGGTTGACTGGATTGCTCTTAATCTTTCTAGCACAAAGCGTCGTTGAGTCTCGTCTTCGAGACCTGTGCTGTGACCGATTATGTACAAGGGCCACATTACTGAGGCGGTATTTGGGTTTGGTAAGGTTGAAATTAGATCGATTATTGCGCTGACAAGACGTTGTTTCGCTGCTGTGGGGGTTTTCGATGATGTCGAAGAAGATGATGCTGAGCAGGTGGATAAAAATGAGGATGAAGGACTGGGATAAATCGAGCATTTAGACATTGAGCAGTTATGGTATGACGATTGACCGCTGTGCGCTATAGATGATAACGATGATGGTATGACTAGATCCCCGAGGCTTTCAGTGAAATACAGCAATGCACTTAGTCTTTTGATTTCGGCAGTCTGTAAAATGAAGCTTTCCGAGGGAGTCGACAGTGCCGGAAGTTTCTGGTGTAGACTTTCTAGGTCGAACCCAACGTCTTCGCATCTTTTGATGAAGTTGTTGTTGATATCTCCAACCTTGCGCCTTTCTCGAGCCAGTTTAGTTGTCTGGCTCACAAGTGTCATTAGACGTCGAGAACAACCCACAGTAGTATCAATCTGTGATATTCATAAGCTTCATCTCGATGCTTCGGAATGGTAGTGCATACATACCTCATCAAGATCATCATTCTCCAACCATTCATGCTCCGGCTCATCCTCGTAATCAAGCGGCGCTGTGCGACTCATAATATCATGAGCAACAAAATACATGGTGAAAAACCGTTTCAGAGACTCCATCTGCGCCGATCCTGTGGGGAGATACTTTGTCATATCAAGTCCTCCACGTAGATGAGTAACCCATGAAGGTGAGCAGTTAGCCGAAATCTAATTCCGTCAGTTTAAGGGCTCAAAAATGATTATACTGGAGAGGAGAAGCGTACATCGTGAAAGCACAGCATCAACACAGAAGCCACCACGCCGAAATCCGCCGTGCTCGTCGTGTCAACTTGCGTCAACCCCGTCAGTGCTTTTTGCTTAAACATGTATGCGTCTCGAGAATATCTCGTATCTCCCAATAAGGACAGCTGATTCGCTGATACGGCGAGGATGGTGTTTCGAAATGTCGTATAGGAGAGTAGTGGTATCAGCGACATGTATGGATTTTGCGACGAACTCAATGAGCAGTTCGGACCAATCGCATTGATAAAATAGTCTAGCAGGTATGCTTCGGAGTAGTCATAATAGCTCAACGGATTTCCCAAGGTCCGTGTCTTTAATGTTTGGTCGACTACTTGTTGATGCGCAGAAGCGAGTACCAGGCGCCCAGCGCTATTATCGATGGGCGATAATAGGCCCACTTCATTCTCTCCATCATCCCATTGATTTATTTTGCCTGTAAAATCCTCGTATGTTGTATTCAACCAGATCCATTTTCCGAAATACTGATCCAGGGGAACTCCAGTGAAGTCGTTATCAAGTTCGAGAACGGGCGGTTTCTTGATTCGATTGCTTCGTTTTGACCAAGTGCCTATAATATAACATTAGTGTATTTAGAATATAATTTCATAGATTTCCATACCCTCTCTTCCGAAATGAATGCCGCGCTCAATCGCATCTTCACGAAAAAGTAGTCTGATGCCTCGGACGCATTGTAACCCTAACCGCTCGCAGCGTTTACATCTCGGTTTTTCCTCTGTACACTGGACATGTTTTTCTGTGTCCAGGAGTTAGCCAAGAAAACTTACGCAGTAGTGTAAGGACAAAGAACCTTTGCATTGAAAGCAGCCCGTCCTGCGTCGATTCTCGGGCTGTTTCCGCTGGCGACTCGGCATCACTTATTCACTCCCTGCCTATCATCTGCTCCGTTCAGGAGCAAGACGAGTACACGGAGTGATAATAGTCTTTTGTATGGACACGGATAATGCAGCAGGAAAGTAGATGATTGATCGATCACAAACTGACGGACTCTGGACTTGGGGGCTTTGTGCAACATCCAACACCAACAGAACGAAGGCGGGGATTTGAGCGGGTGTGGTGGTTAGAAAACAGGACTAGGTGTTATTTTTAGGCGTATATGGAGGTATGAATAGGAATTAGTAGTAAAATGTGTCCGAGTTCCAGAGGCCTAGGGAAGGGTCAAGAGCCAAGTGGAATCGAGATTTCGTTAGTGATTAAGCAAGCAAAATGAGAGGGAGAGCTGAACGGAAGTAGGGATTATGAGCTGATCAATCGACTAATAAGCAACTAATCCGTGACCAGGGTTAGCGACTAGTCTGGTTAATTGATTAACGCCAATGATAGTTGACCATGAGTAGGCAGGCAATATCTATTTAATAAGCAAATAAACGCTTGTCTACTTGTGTAGACGAAGCATTTTGACCGGAGATAAGGAGTTGTTTCCGAAGACATTGACACACTGAAGAATCTCAGGAGTGAAAAACGAGTCAGTGGATGAAGATCACAGAGTTCAGAAATCAGAAGAACTGTGGAGACATCCTGTGAAAAACCCAGAGCTTTGAACGAAGAGAAAGATTCGACTTCCAAGGGTCTCCGGAGTTGTATGTATCTGGGAGTCAGTCAGGAACTTCTGGCGCAGATGCCAGACTATTGTGGGGTACGGATTTTCAATCCCAATGAATTGCATTGTCCCTTAACTATTGCACGGCGTGTCAAGAGCTTAAGATACGCAAAAAGACCAACGAAAGATATGGGGAAGAGTCTCAATTAGCAAGCGGGTTGGCCCATAACGGCACGGCCGGCCCGCCAGCCCACAGTCATACAGTAGCTTATGGATACCTCCGGAGCAGAGTGCTCAGTGCGCAGAGACTGCCTGCCAGTGCCTGGACAGTGGATTGATCTGCTCTCCGTCTTACGAATCACCGAGCCCCGTTCTATTCAAGTTGTTGAGGAGGTGGCATAGCCATCTAACTGCTAACTACTCTGAAAGAATCAACTGTATGGACGCATAATGATGAATCCCGGAATAACTTTGATTGGATACCTCCATGTTGGATTTAATCTATTTATTTTTGCCTTCTAGGGACTTCTGCAGCTAAACGATCCGTATCAGTAGACATACCTACGAAGGCCCCTCATGACTCAAGTCTCGGAACTTACCTACCAAACTAGCTAGTTAGCTACTCGCTAAGGGAATTGGCGAGGACGCTAAAATATGTTTTGCCAATCGTCGCTCTGCTTGAGATACGCATGTGCGTAAGCCACTTGTTTAGTCCGGCTTGTAGTTCGTGGAGCTGGAGCGTGTCCAGACGAGGTTTTAGGGGTCGAATATCGCATTCTGATAATCCCATGCTGTTCAGAAGTTTAAGTTTCTAGAGTCGAATAACTAGTAAGTCCGGAGTAGTGATGATAGCTATACGAAAGACGAGATACGAGATAGTATGAAAGGGGCTTTGGACCTCCTCCCGTGCGTTCGGAGATAATGTACCCTACTTTACTAGCCCGCGTATAATCAAGATTGCCAGGCATGCAAGCACCTGCTCCTCTCAGGGTCTAGATTAGTAGCTATACTCCGTATGTCGTAAGATAGCTGGCTACTAACGAATCAATGATACAGTAGAAAATTGCTAACGTCGTCCTTTCATATGCCAAGTTCCGCTAACAAGGAGTCAAATACTGCTTCGTAAATTCATACGGATGTAATTTATATTCATACATAAGATATGGACATTGATCAACATGGGTTCTAGGCAGTGATTAACGATCGAGAGGTCCTTAGTTGGGGCCACTGCATCATTCATTTATATACAGCGCTCTCAGACCAGTGGATATCACACCGCCAGTATTCACGTTTTGATAGCATATCATTCCTTATCTTGACTGTTTATTCAATAGAATAAACGCCTCATTATCAAGTAGTCTAGCATCAATCTCCTTGAAACCGAGCCCTGAACCTTCTGTACAAGTAGATTGAGTTTTCCCTAGGTCTGTCGGCCCAACTCAACTCCCAAGTCATGCTTCCATCTACCTACGCACTCTAACTGTCTTGCCTTTCGAAAAATATTCGGAGTCTAGACTGATTGCAGGATGGTGTGTATATACACGATAGTTCCGCATATGAGCCTCAATGAGTTTAGGGCTTACTGTTTGACTGAATTGAGTTGACGCTTTACTCTTGGCAACTCTTCGAGAGCTTGTTTGTGAGTAGTAACTTGTCTCAGAATTTCTTATTTTTTATCACATGGTCAAAAATTGTGGCGTTGCCAAGATGGTAGATGGTTTTAGGTAACTACGTCCTACATAGTGGGCGCTTATTGCGTCCCTTATATTAACGGTGTTTTACGGAAATTTGTTAGCTACAGTGGAGGTGATCACTGAAACTAGACATATTCGACTAATAAGACACTCCGTGATATACCATAGTAATGCTACACCCCCGCAGCGGCGGATACTATCTATTCTTGGTCCAAATCTCCAACCTGGATACCCCAGATCTTCCACCGTGCTTGCTCAATAACGTCGTAGTTCAGCCACAATCCTCCTCCTTTTCTTTTCCGTATCTCCGCTGTTACTACCGGTGACGCTCGATTCTGGACCTTAATGGATTGCTGGACCCATGTCATCTCTTCACCGTCTTGTTCTTCTCTTTCAGTTTTCACTTGACGATCTACCCAGTCAAAGAGGAGACGTAATTGCCAAAGACGGTCTTTGATTTCATCGAAGCTATGCGCATGTCCTGTTGCAGTTACGCCTGCAACAGTTTCACTGGCTATACTCTCCAGCACGAGACGGCTGTCTACTGAGGAGACTCTTAACCAGGGAGGGATCATCGCCAATGCCGTTCCATCTTCATCATTCGCTGCTAAAGCCCGTGATTGAAATTGAAATGTTGCAGACGGTGGCAAAACGACTGACCGATCACCGACATCCAATCCCCGTAATGGGCGTAACGAAAAGATCCAGTCCCACACGTCCTGTCTCACGTTGTTGATCGCTTTGCTTCTTCGCCCTTGGGACATCAGCAGCGCAACACTATTCGGTATGGGTCTTCTCCACGATCCGATCGTAGTACTAGGAAGAATATCCTGGGCTTCACTCAGCCCTAACAGCGTTGAAGCAAATACAGAGCTTCCGGATGGGTCGTATGTCGTGTTGCGTCGTAAATAAATCGACTGATCACCCTTTCGGAACTTTCCGCGCAATTTCTCATTTTGGTTGAAATCTAGAACTAGTGGCCAATGGTCCCGACTGTGCGCTTTGACTGCTACGATCTCCTCCAGATTAGGCAGCAAGCAGGGAGCAGTAGTCTCTCGTGTCGTGCCATCTTTCATATGCAACGATACAGGAATAGCAATAGGCCGTCGAGTATCCACATCCCGGGCGATGAGGCAACGCGGTTCCGCCGCTAAAACCCATAGATGCCGGAATGCTTGAAGATGGCATTTATTGTCTAAGACTGATGTAGGGAACAGCGGGTAGAATGCGCACAACATGGATGCAATTGCCAAATTTGACGTGCCCAAAGTGTAGCATCCGCCACCCAGGAAAAGTAAACCGATTGCCATATGTGCAGCCATGTGACTCCCATACGTTGTATCAGGATCAATTCGTCCGTGAAGCGAGCGTAGCCGCCTGAAAAGGTTCAGATCACCCGTTCCAGCCATAACCGCTGCGGCTGAGATTGCTAGTATGTCCTGACAGTGACGCACCGAATTGCGGGCTAGCTGGCTGTCGTAATGTGGAGCAGGAAGACGGACAATTCGCCTGAATTGATCAAGATATCGGATGAGCAGATCTCTTGCTCCGGCGTGAGCTGAGCCTGCATATCGCAACCCAATGGCAAAACACAGGCCCGCAATGATGTTGAAAAATGACATGTCATCGCTCGAAAGCCGCTTTATTGTGCTGAGTGTGTGGCGCTTTCTGTAAGATTTGGGAATGCTGCGAAGAAGCCATTCAAAGCTCGGTTCAATGTTGTCCCACATGATGAGATGCCGAGCCAGTGTGCGCAAAAGAAAGATGTCTGGTCGAACATAATCAAACTGCACGATCGTATCTGGAATATCGATCTTACGAGCAACCATTTCATCGTTTGTTTTCATGAAGATGATTGCCAGGGCTACAGTAGCACCCGCAGTCGCCCGGTCTAAGATGTGCACCAGATCGACATTCTTCGTTCCAATGGCTATTGCCAGAAGTCGTTCCACAAGTTGCATATCTCGTAGGCCTTGGAGATCTTTCCCTTTTCCAAGGTTGATAAACCCAAGGGCGAACCCGGCAGCAAGCCTGTATCCTTCATCTCGAAGAGTCTCTGGGGTAATAGCGGCTTCCTCCTGCCCGACATTCTCGATTTCAGATAGAAGCACCTCACTCATTCTTCGATGCTGCGAATCACAATAAAGTAGCCCTATGCCCATAATGCCCGCCGTCTGAGTAAGTGGCGAGAGATTGAGCTCAGCTGCACCTTGTGGCAACATTCGCGTAACGTGTACTGAGAGTAAGCGAGTAATGAGTGTATCCATCGTTCCCAAGTAAGACACAGACAGACCCAGAAGAAGGCCAATAGATGTCATTGTATGTTTTGGAGTCAAATATTTGAATGCTACCCATTTTGCCAAGTTCTTGAGATGTCCATTAAGCCCAAGGGCAAGCAGGAAGCCTGCATGTCGGTTTGTGAGTTCCTGTGGCTTGTTATAGAGGATCCAAGAGGTATCAATACCTTTAGAAGCCTTGGATATAGCCAGACCCGTAGCCGCTCCATTGTGAAAGAAAGCCCAGCACACCTTTTCCTCGTTGAAGGCTGATCTATCCGCGCTGATTGTCACATTTGACGGTTTCATTAAACACTGCAGCGAAAAGGACGGTATCGGAAGCTTCTCAGTAAGCAGAGGTGCCCGACAACTGAACATAAACAACGCCCGACCAGCGGGCACCGAAAGAGTCCGCAGAGTGACTAGTTGAACGACTTCTTTTTGCGCTTCAAGTAGCTCAGAATCAGTCCACTCCGGCTCGGGTACACATTGTGCAACTGGTGCTTTTGATTGATTGAGAAGCTTAGAAGCTTCTTGTAGCCGTCTGTCCTCTCGGTACATCAATCTAGTAATAGCCATACGATCAGCCTCGACGGAAGCCTCAAAGGAATTTGAGAGTTCAAAATCTAGCGTCGAAGCTCCTATGTGGTGAACATCTCGCAAAGAGACATGGCTTGTTCCGATCTGTGGTCGAGAAGTGGGTTGAGTCGTAGCTTCAACCTCCATAGACATGTAGAGATCATCGCGATCAATAAGCCCTATTAAGGCAGCAGTGCAAGACACTGGTGGTTTCATCTGGCAACGGACTATAAGTTCAAACAAAGGCGCACTTACGCCCTCTGGTAAGCTTTCGATAACGTTGATCGTCAAGCCCCATCGAAGTAAAATTTTTACTTTATCGACAGTGCTGGTTGCTTGGTGTACTTCTGACATGAATCCGTTGATCGCCAAGGTTCTCGGAGTCAGTTTCGAAACCTCATTTCTCAGACTTTGCTTATCGGAAGTGCGACTCGAACCAGGAAAGACATCAAGAAGCGTAGAGAATGGAGTCGAGGGTGAAGTTGTGATCGAATTTTGTAAGTGAGCAAATATCGAAGGAGGAACGAAGGGCTCTGGTGGCATGTTTAGCCCGGATATTCGACTATCTTCAAACACCCAACGGCTCATTGTCGCCATTTCTGTGCCATAGTAACCGTCTTCCTTCCATGTCCATGAGTTCCATCCAACCCATCCACCAATCTGGGCTAATACAGGTGCTAGCATTCCTCGTTCTTGGTAAGAACTCTCACTGTCGCAGATCGACAGTTTCTGCTCCTCGCGCAATAAATGCAGACCAACGAGGATACTACATAAAGCAGTACGCCTTGTCTCCTGGCTCTGACAAAGAGCAGTTGGCAGGTAGCCTTCAGAGCCCGACGCAGCTTCTCCTTGAGGACTTTCGAAGAAATCACGTGCGAGGCTTACACACCGCAGTAGGTATGAGTTTTTTGATTGATCGTTTCGTGAGTTTTGGTCTGCTAAAAATGCCTTGTCATCTTTCTGGTCCGATGCCCATGCCCAGGAACTGTTCATCATCCATGACGCCGCAACTCCAGACGATCCTGCTATCTTCTCCGTCATAGACTCCCAACTTTCCTGGTCAATATAGCTACCACTACTTGACCTCAAGATATTTGCCTTACGTCTCCGTTTCTTAGTGGCGAGTGTCTGGGCTTGCGGTGAATCAATGAATCCAACTCCCATGGTGAATAGCACGACGACAAAGGCAGTCCACTCGAGGTCGTTTTCGTCTGAATCCCGTGAGGATAGCCACCGTAGTACTTCCCACCAAGCTGTATATAATCCATCCGCGGCTCGGAGGGATTCTCGAAGAGCAAAACGGCATACAGCTAGCGCCTTTTTCACAAATGGATTCCTCGGCTGTAGTTGAACTTCGATACGGTGGCATCTTTTTTCGGCATCAATAACATCCACTTGGCCGCGCGAGCAAGAGTGTCCGAATGCAGCAAGCTTCAAATTCGGGTCGCCTATAACCCTCTTTAAACCGGTGTCCGGTGCTCGATTCTGTACAATTGAAAAGTCATCGGGTGTATGTAATGAAAGCTTAGACGGAAGCTCAATTTTGATGGAAGGGCTCCATGGAGATTGCAGAGCCAATTCACCTTTGCCATCCATGGTAGACTTGAGTGTTAGCATTCTCGAAATGCCATTATCGACAATCTTACACACATCCATAACATTTGGAGAATGCTGTATGCCTATAGCATGAACGACTGTAGATATCTCATTACCCTTGAGCGACGTTTTTCGTTTTTTCTTGTCCCTCTCTGACGATTTCACGCTCTGTACTTTGAGATCCACCACGACTAAGCATTTAGATATCGGGTCAAGCAGGCAGAGGGCAAGGCGTGCCGAACTGGGCGTTTTCTGATGGATGTTTTCATTGGGTCGAAGGGTAAAAGCTTTGGACTTGGAACGATTCCGCTTCAGTTCAGAAAAAGAAAAACTGCCAGTTGCTAGGCCGGCTGAAAAACTTTCAACCTTGCGAAGCATCATTTCCTTGGGCAAGCCGGACATGGGACCCGTAAGGTCCATGCTTTCGAATCCTTCAAAATCACCGCCACTGTTGAGTTCCTCAAGTAGCCTATCGACAGGAGCATCTAAGAAGCTACTGGTATTACTGAAGATAGAAGCGTTCCCTGCAAGAGAGCTCCGCAAGTTATAGCCGAAGCTGGCACGCGTACTGTAGGCTCCTATGGATTGTCGTAGACTCCCGTGATTTGTTGCTCCTCCTGGGTTCCCGGTTGCAAGGTCGGAAAAGGTTTGTCTATCTTGACTAGCTCCTAGGTCAGTTCTGGCGAGCAATGAACTTACTCGACGCGATGTTTTTGAGGGCACACCGATGTCGTCAAATTCTTGTCCCATTTGAGACGCAAAGTCTGTTTGCTCAGGAGGGTCCTCTGATTGAAAACTGTGAGAAAAGGAAGCTGCATGAATATTTCGGCCTGCCCCGATGCTTTCCCTTAAGCCAGATGGGCGAGCAACAGGAGTCGTAGCGCCCGTTGCCATTCCATAATGCGAACTTCGTCGTTTTGATCGGGCTCCGCTGGCAAGCGGCTTCTTCCGTTTCTTTGACTCACGTACACTTGCATCTGTTCGAAATTTTGCTGTCCAGATGGTATAGAGTCCGGTTTCTGTGTTCATTGTGACCACAAGAACCAGAGGATTTTCTGTGAGAGAAACATTGTCGCCTGTTAGTTCGTTGACGGCGGAAACGTAGACAATTTCCTCCGTGGGATCGAGACTGTCAAATGCCCAAGAATCTTGAGCACCGTGTGTTATAAGGGTAGATTGGTTGGCAACAACGTGGCCCATTTCCGATTGTGGATCTGTCAGGGAGAAGGTTCGGGGCATGTCATCCTCTGACTTCTTCTGTGGCCGAGACGGCTGTGCTATAGACGAAAATCGACTATCTCTAGTCCTTGAAGATCTAAAAACATCGCTTTTTCGGCTTTCTGTAAATGTCTGCGACAAGAAGGAATTGGGAGGCGCTCCGGGTACAGACGTCGGGACATCAGGGATTCGTCTCTGAAATATCAAGCCTCGGGGTGACGCAAATACGAAGTCGACTTCGAATGGCAAGGGGACAACATGAGTGTTGCCGGCGAGAAAGAATATATGTGCCTGTGTTTTGAGGACAACGACCAGAGCTTTAGCATCGTCTTCTTGCGAACGTAAACGTCCTTTTGTGAACCCATGGTCAATAGGAGCCACGACCACCCTCGCCGTATCCTCTTCCTCGACATTCTGAGCACGGCCTATAGATACATCTTTCACACCAATTACATTTGTGTCAGATTTCCGAGTGTTCTCACGTCCAGTCACCGAAGGGAAGGTTGTAAGAACGACATGTCGAATTTCCTCCTTCTCGATTTCAACTTTGAAAACACGCTTCACTACGCCACTGCGGGACCAAACAGCGCAGTTTTTTGTGTATGTAATATCGTCATCGGATTCAGCTCGTTGCGTATACCAAACATAGTCGTCGTCTGAGGGTTCGAGTGGGAGGAGGCCTTCGTTGATGAGGAAGGGCAATGCGGGGGGATGGTGAAGACCTAGTGAGCGCACTGAGGCCATTGCGCGGTATTCAAGAAGTTGGATGTATTATTTTAGTAAAAGAGACCTCCATACGAGCGATTCTCATTCTGATCTGCTCGAGCGTGTGTTGAGCTTGTGTGGTTTATTTGTTTTTTATCGGAGCCTGTTGCTGCCGTGCGGAGGACGTGACGCGCCTTCCCGCCAACCTCAGACTATTTTCTCCAACAACCAACAACCAGCACAATTATTTGTCTCTACCTGGCAACGCTGATCAACCTGCTAAACCTGCGACGAACGATATTATTTCGAGTCTTTAAGCTCTATCCGTTCAATCAGATCATTACACGCAGTAGGCGATGCTTTAGACCTCGTCGCAAAGACTCACAATGGCTGGCTCTTTCAAGACGCCAATGGTGCGCAGAAGGGATGACGGACTCCAACTCAGGTAAATACTCTGTCATCTATGCTCGGCGAGCAATGACTGATAAATAAAGCTATTTGCTTCCTCACCGCATCTTCACTTCCAAGCCGTACCCGGCGCTCGCTCCAAACGGTTCGTCGATTTTCATCTACGGCTACGACAACGGGTTGAGGGTAGTCTGGAGAGGAGGCAGGACGTTTCTTCCATCTCCTAGACAAAGGAATGTGCCAGATACTCGTCAGAAGGAGACACCGAATAATACGACAAAGAACGATGATGCGATTATGATTATTGACTCGGACGACGAGGAGCCTGCACCAGCCGCTTCCAGCAATGAGGATAACATAGATTACGAGATTTTCGAAGATGAAGAAGTCGAAATCGAGCCTTCGCGTCCGTATGAACCTATTATTCGGCATGTGGACATTCCTCTGGGAACAAAGGTCCTCAAACTAGCAGTGCCATCAATTCTGCCAGAGAAAGCCCGTTCGCTGGAGTATACTGTCCCTCCAATCCTTACAGCATCAATTGTTATATCTGTTGTCTGCGCGGACTCGAAATTGAGGGTTATCAGTTTGCCACTTGCGCCTCCGCACCCCAGCACGAAAGCTTCTGATTTGAAAATTCAGACACTGACGTTGGATGCCACGGTATCACAAAATGAAATTCCCAAGAGTGTTTCAGTTACTTTCACCTGTGAATCAAACGAAGCAGACGATGATCATAGCCGGAGCAGGTCGCGACAAATTCAGTCGCCAGTGACGACTGGGCAGTGGAGTTTGCTAGTTGCCACTCATGCCGCCGAAGCATCTGGGACGTTACTCGTTTATAGTTTGCCAATTGCCCAAGGTCCGAATGGTTCTTACACATTACCGACCAAAAACATAAAACCACTACAGAAGCATCTTCTTCCTTCTTCGGCGAGAACTATTTCATTCAATCCATCTCCCTACCCTTCGGCGCGACATACACACCTCTTGGTGTCGTTTCCAGACAGCTGTGCGAAGATTTTGGCGTGTTCTACATCTTCGGATAAAGATGCTACAGACGAGAAGCCAGATCAAGAAGGGAAATGGCTGCTCACATTGTATCCTGGGTTTGGGCAATCAGCAAATGGGTTGACTCGACGAAAGACAATTGTTGACGCTGCCTGGGTTCTGTCTGGTAAGGCCGTTATGGTACTCCTTTCTGACGGTGAATGGGGGGTATGGGATATTGAAGGGGCAGGTCCTGGGTCTGAGCCAGGGCCTCTCGTCGGCCAGTCAAGCATACACGGTATCACTGGAGGCTCTTTGACAGCCTACTCCATCAGCGGTCGCATTCTCGGTGGCCCGCAAACAACGAACAAATCCCAAACTGCTGTAACTGAAGTGCAGGAACAACGAGGCAAATTTGCACCAATGACACCATCGTCCCGCCGAGTCCGAGAAGATACATTATTCAAGGGAGCTCAACCACTGGCAAAGCCTTCATTTGATGGTGAAATATCCGTCGTCCAAATAAATTCGTCTCGCACCGCTATGCCTGAAGAGTCGATTCTGATTCGCCATGGAGATCAAATCGCCACCATTCCAAGCCTATTGTCACTATGGAGAAGCTCTGTGAAAGCCAGCGGAACCTTTGATGCATCCAACCGTTGCCGTGTCTCGCCTTTGGCAGGAATCAATTTGTACGGCGAAAGACTGAATGGCCTTGCACACTTGCCCTCACCATTCCGGGCAGAAACCGACAGCGAAGAGCAGCAAGATTACGAAATCCTCATCACAGCTGAACATCGTCTAATTATCCTCGGCCGCGATCTTACGCCCACGACGACGACGAAACCAGCGCAGGCACCTGTCCCTCAACCCGATACAGATACCGATCAACTTATGCTCAGCCAGGGAGAACTCGATGTAGACGGTATGAGTCGCGTATTGACCACTATGTCTATGCGGGGCACCCTTCAACCAAATTTACAACCCGCCCATCAACGAAATGGATTCAAAAGTCCAATCAAACGAGCTCGGATTTTTTCTTAGCTAGTTAGCTAATTTCATCAGCGATACCATGATCCATTTTCTTGTCATCCTAACCCATCCAGAATAGATCTATTCGCGACGCAAGGTGGAGCGCAAGGCGAGTTCAATGCCTTGAAATTCCTCCTTTTCTCTCTTTCTTTCGTCTTGAGAGAGCGGAGGTGAGGAGGAATAAGCTCTGTATTCGACGCGATATATCATTTCCACCGAAGCAAAACTGAGTATCATTCACATTTCTCTTTTTAGAGTGGATCTCATATATACAGGAGGGAATATCGCTTCTCTTCCGGACATATAGCTGATCTCGCGGGATTTGTCTGTATTGGATTTATAGAGAAGCGATGAATCTTTTCTGTGTGGGATTTGGTGAGTGAACAGGGGTGGTACATTCCTTCCTAACTATCTCCAGTATTCTGGGGACTGTAGTTATTCATGAATCAATAGACGGAACATTTGGTCAGGATTAATACCTACAGGACCTCAGGTAGTTGGAGCAACGCAGGTAGCTATTCTTATCCAAATACCTACCCAAATCCGTATGTAACGTTACGTAGGCATATAATCAATCTATCTCAATTCTCCAGGTCTCTCTCATCTATAATCTTTTCCTTTTATTTTTATCTTAATCTGTCAAATCAAGTTAGGTACGCACGTAACTTTCAAGGATATACACATATACCCTCCCCGCTTCTTCTCCTCCTACTTCCCCCTCTAACTACCCAATAGTATGGTTGCCAGCAGGTTATACATTATACCCCAACCCCTCCAACTCCTTCCTAACCGAATCCTCAGTCTGAATCTTCTTCATCTGCGTATCCTCCAGCTTCTCGCCGGACGCGAGTCTCATTTTCAACTCGTCGATTGCGCGGAGTTTTTTCAAGAGGCCGCGGATCCGTTTGTCTTGCGTTGGGTTTGGTTCTGCTGCTGTCGGAGCTGCCGGAGCTGCGGCTGCGGCTGTGGCAGCTATTTTGGCAGCCTTGGCGGATCCGTTGACGTTACTCTCAGCGCGGCTGCGATTACGACTTTTCGATCTATGTTCGCGACGATCCGGGCTTGGATGGAGATTCTGATTCTGAGGTGCAGCAGACAGTTCTCCTTCTTTGTCAGCCGTTTCCTTAGCCTTCTTAGCTTCTCGCTTCTTCTTATTCTTTGCAGCTGATTTGGATAATTTCTCATCCGCTGCTCCAGTGGCAACAACTGCTTCAGCGCCAGGGGGTAGAGCGACTCCACCGCCTGGTGCAGCGCCCTGAGGCACAAACTCCACTGGTTCTGCGCCGGGGACTTCACGTCTTCTGGGCTTGCCGAATCCGTTAACTGATGATGCCGCCGCTCCGCTGGATAATGAGGAGCCTCCTTCTCGACTGAAGGCTGCGCCGCCTTCGTCTTCACGTTTGAATGCTAAGGAGGTTGTTTGTCCGCGGGCGCCTGGTGGGCGGTATGCGCCCACGGGTTTGGAGGGGACTTTTCTCTTGGCAAGGTATTCCAATGCGGATGAGTGAGGGGTTGGGAGGGGGTGGAATGGGTCACCGAGGGGTTGCTCGACGGAACCTTGTGGGCGCCAACAGACTTGGTACAATTCGCTCATGTCTTCGTTGTATTGGAGAGCACCGGTGACATGCCAGATTCGTACTCCGTTGTCGACTCTCAGTCGCGGGCTAGTAGTGGCCGTGAGAATATGTTTTCCATCAGGCGACCATTCGCATACAGTTGCATTGGAACCTTCGATCGTGGTGATTTTCTGATGACCCTTTTCCAGGTCATAGATATCCATCTGGCCTGCCAAGTTACCAAACCCAGCGACGACAACAAACCGACCATGCGGCGAAAACACAATCGTGTTTCGTGGCGCCAATGGATAGCTGTGGGTAGCAATACCGCGGAAGTTAAAAATAGTAGTCTTGGCCGGCATGAATCCATAGACAACTCCAAACTCCTTGGAGTTTGGTGACCACGTCACATCGTGAATGGGACCTTCTCTGTCAAGATCGATTCTGGAGTCGAATGCCCCGGTTGCACTCAAAAGATACAGAGTGGTCTCGCCGTAATAACTCTTGCCAGATCTATCAACGTCGGTTTGTGCCAAGACAATAACGGATGTACCGGAGTTGTTCCATTTGAGCTGGACCTTGTCGCCCTTGAAGAACGTTTTTTGCGAGACCGGATTGTTGAATTGGGGGACCACGAAGACTTTGACGGAAGCGGGTTGTCCCTGAAAAAGTCAGTTTGCACCACTAAGAAAGAAAAAGCAGCTTACCTTCCGCTCTGGCGTAAACACAGCAATCGCCTGACTCTTTCCAGGCGACAACGCAAAATCAGCGACCCCTTCCACACGGAGTTTATTCCACACATTCGAGAGATCATGGCTCTTATAAAACTGAACTTCATTCGTCACAACCCGAGCGCAATAACACTCATCAGAGGTATATTGCAAATTCCAACCGGTTTGCGATTTCTGCACAAAACGGCCTACCACTGCGTTTTCACCTGCTCCTTCGGATTCCTTGGTTAGAGCTTCGACGCTCCATACTTTGAGGTTCTTGACTGCGTCGCCATTCTCGTCTTTCGACGGTCGTTGCCATGTAATCACATATGTGCCGAGGGGGGAGAAGCCTAGTTCGAAGACATTGTCGGCGGGGAGGGTAGTGATGACGTGGCCGACGGAGGGGTCAATGATCGTGACGCTATAAATGTTTAGTACGTACTGCTGACATGTCATACGAACACGTAGTGAAACATACCGTTCGGGAGATGCCCAAGCGAAGTAGCGTCCGCACGGCGAATAGGCGCTGCAACGAAGGTTTCCTTCGGGTCTGTCGTAGTTAGCTAACTCATTCATCCAGCTAGAGAAGTGAACATACCTCTCAAAGTCCTTCACAGGTTGATATAAAGGCGCAGCATCCAAAAGACCAATCCCCTTAAGGGTGCGAACTATTCTCGTCAACTCAATCCACCTCTCTCAGTCAACAATTCACTCACAAGCAATCTGAGTAGGAGCCGCCATAACTATTCAAAGCCAGTCGACCTGCTTTTCCAAATATGACCCAAGAGATGACAAAAATTGGTCGTCCTTGTATGTTAAAAACTTGATTCCGTGATTTGGGTAGATATTCCGTAGAAAAATTTTGAGCTCTTGATTGCGAGTTGACTTATAATAACCGAAAGGAAATTAAATCTCCTTGTAGCGATCTAACCTTGTTTCTGTTATCCCAGAGGAGAAAATAATCGGTCTGAAAGCGCCGTCAGTCAATCCCGTTACATCTTCCTTTTATGGGTATTTCGCCTGGCATTGTCATTGAAGTTGCAAGAAAAGAACGTATTCCATAAAATTCTATCCTCCCATATACTTCAAAAGCGAAGTAAAGAATAAAACTCACCAGTCGCGGAAAATCCTTTCTCTATCGCAAGAGGCAAAAATCCAGTCGGTCAATAAATCGATCGCTCACATGCACGGATACGTAGGGCAACGGTAATCAAATTCTTTCCAAATTTTTTTCTTTGCTCGGTGCTTGACAAGTAAATGCCAGCAATAAATGACAAGGCGGATTGGTCGAGAGCCGGGGGGTGGGAGTGGCAGGGTGAAGAAGAAAGCGGTGCAGAGAGAGAAGGGTGAAAAGACAAAATGTTGTGTGGAGAGAAGGTCAGCTTGGGTAACCGGGTAGCCTAACGTCTAAGGCTAGCTGATCTACCACTAGTACGACGTACAAATTTAGTTTCATTCTATATTCAGCTTCATTTATATTTCATGTATAGAGAAATTGATTAATACCAAGGCAAATTCAGAAAACCTCGCCACTCGCTCATCCCATAACGCCACATAATTTCCCAGACAGAGTCATAACTATTCAAACATGGCACAACAACGTACAAAACAGATAATCAAACACCAGATAAAGAAGGCTTATCGTTCAGAGTCCTGCTCATCACAATCATTCAAACCACCCACAAGCTGCGGCGTACGAACAGTTGTATCAACAACATCAGCATCATAGGTCATCCCATCCACCATACGCGCATCATCAAATGGTTCAGGCGTATTCGACCCCGCCGGCGACGGTGACAAATTCTGTTGTTGTCGTTGCTGTTGCTGTGCAAACACATTACTATTAACTCCCCTATTCCCAGCCGTAGGACTCCCAAAAACCGACGTTCGAGGATTCGACGATGACGACGACGATTGTAGTCGTCCCGCACTAACAGTAGATATCGGACCACTAATCGTACTATTCGCACCCTCCCCAAACCCAACCAGACTTGCATTCCCTTCATCGCTCATTCTATCATCGACGTCGACGTCGACGTCGTCGTCATCGCCAATACTGGAACGATCCTCACTCATTTTATCAGGATCAAATGCATCGCTTCCACTAGCCCAGGTTGTGCGTCCGCCGATACTGCCTGTCGCACTCGCGCTGCCGACTGTGCTTCGTTCTTTGAGGAGGTGCTGCGGGTAACTATCGAAGTATCCTTGTTGGTTATTACTGCTGTTATTATTATTATTATTGCTGGCAATGGTGTTGGGGGTATACGCTTGTTGTTGTTGAGTGAAATAGCCACCCGAAACAGCAGTTGGTGTCAATGAGCCCATTCCAGACATAACGTTTTGTGATCCTCCACCGGCACGCGCAGTCGCGATACGTTCTAGTCCAGCTAGACGTGAAATTCGATCGGCGCGCTCGGCTTCAAGAGTTGAGGTTGATGTTGCGGATGCAGAGGATGATTGGTGTGCGTGCCGGCCGTAGGGATGCGGATGGCCTTGATGGCCGTCTTTGATGGCTGTGGTTGATAGTGCGGAGAGGGATGTTGTGCCGGAGTTTGGTGTTCCTCTATCTTCATTAGTATATTTGTTTTATAGATGATTGCGCAATTAAACGTACGGGCCCATGTCAGAGGGAGTAACAGGATCCGACGGGGGAGGGGGAAGGTTGATGAGTGTTGGTGTCGACATTCTGTCCGTCATGTTTCTGTATTATGGTGATATTAAGTAGAGTTAATGACCCGTCAAGGGAATGACTTTGACAGCAGTCAGGTAGACGCTCGTCACAATCTGACTCAGTCAAATGCTCTTGATGTTCTTTCAACAATTTGTCAAACAACAAGATAATGAAGAAGAGAAATAAATAAGGCGGGGTGAGAAACGCGCCTAAGGCAACTACCGGAAATCGTCGAATGGAGAATACGATTGGCTGTTCTCTATCAATGTGGGGCTGACGTCATACATATAGACAAAACATACGATAGATACACACAACAAATATAGATATATAGTATGATAGATATATATGTACAGACTTGTTTATACGTTCAAGTATATATCACTGACTGACCTTCCTTCCCTCATAATGAACCCTCAAATCATCAACTTCCCTCTGCAGACGCGACAAATCAGCCAGGATGTCTTGCGCCTGAGATGACGAGCTATGTCCATCCTCTGTCGGGACCTCTTTATTATCGCTTGGTATAGTGGCAGTACTACCCTTACTCGACGCTCGAAGTCTGCGCGGCGGTGGCGGCGGGGGCGGCAACATACCCGTCGCAGGAGCCTGTTTAATTGATGGTGTTCTCGACGGCGGCAACGATGTCGATGCTGCTATTTGAACGGCAGGTTCATCGACAGAAACCTGATCACTAAACGACGTCGACTCGCTTTGCGACAGGGACGATTTCGGTTGCTCGGGCTGAATGCCAGATATAGGTCTCTCAGCCCGTCGTGACGGTGGTCGTGGCGGCGTCTTTGGTCCTGGACTTATTGGGCCCGGTAATTGAGATAGACTTTTAGGAGGCGGGAGAGATAATCGATTGGGTTTTTCGGTGAGGGAGTATCTCTTGGTGTTGGATCGCATTTGGCTATGTCGTCGAGACAGGGGTGGCGTAGGTGGTCTTTTGGACTGGGACGAACTTCGATGCAGGGAAGAGGTATCATCTGGATGTTCGGTGGTCGGTGAGGATATCTTCACTGTCGAGGATACGGACTCGCGACGATCGGACGGTGAGCCTGTAGGCGTTGATGAGTTGGGCGTATCTCTTCCCGATTCATCAGGTTTAATCGGTTTCCCATGATGTGACCTCGGTGGCGGCGGTTTTGGTTTTCGCAGACTCGGTGTTCGTTGTACATCAGTTGATGCTGTAGTAGTCGATGAAAACGTAGAGGCTCTTGGAACTGCCATACTCTCAACACCATTCTTCCCAGTTTCATTATTATCGGTAGGAATCCACGTCTGAGCTCGATCAATCACAGTATCCGGATTCGACGCTGTTCGACGACTCGCACCGACACCTGTACTGATACCACTCCCATCCACACTCCCCGTCAAAAGCAGCCTGGTAAACGCATCAACATCAAGCATATTATTCACATTCTTCCTTTCCTTTCCTCCATTTCGACCGGCAGAAGAAGAATCATCAGCCAACTGCTTTCCCCGTGGCTGATCACCGGAAGATCGCGGATCAAACCCATCATACTCAGAATCCTCAGATTCACTATCCTCTTCATATCTCTTTTCTGCTTGTGCTTGTAGCGATGGTGGTGGTGGCGTTGGTGAACGATACGTCGATCCTCCAAACGAGACTGCGGGGAAATACGACGACTCCTTCTCAATCGACGACCCCGTCGGCGACGAAGCTTGTACGGTAGGTGGTGTCGCAATACGAACGATTTTCTGCTGATGAGACGAAGAATGATTTTTTATTCCTATCTCAATTAGCCTTCTCCTTTGATCTTCTTGCTTGTCGAGAGAGATGTGGTACCATCGTAACCACTTGTGTTGGGTGTCATCGGAATCGACGGAAGAACACTTTCGTCTGTTGCTGCTGTTGTCACGGATGTAATGATCTTGCTACGGCGGAAAGGATTTGATCCAGACATCGCAAAAGAGGTGCGTAGGTACACGCATGAAGAGTGTTGCGTCTGTAAGACAGAGAAGAAGAGAAGGTGGTGGGAAGAATCGGGGTAGGTGGTAGTAGTAGTGGTAGTAGTCTTCCGCGATATTTAATGATAAATGGTAGCCTGGATGTGAAGGAGTCCCACTAACAATTGAATTTATTTTCTTATTGTAAAGATAGAAAATAATTGATAGCAATCTTGTATAACTAAATGCTCATACAACTTCATATAATAAATAAATTACCACCCTCGAAACACTCCGAAAGTATAGTACACAGCCCCCTGTAACCACGAAGCAAAAATCCACGCTGACCGTATCCAATCTCGAATACATATAAAACAGACCGCTCTAAGAAACAACCCCCTCGTTATATACGTGCCAGGGCTCGCCAGCACCGAAAAAGCATTCTGCCAAACGTATTCCACTCTCAGTCGGTTGCGTGAATGCAATCTGTTCCTTGGGAATGTCCAGTCCGTAGATGAAATTGCTAATGACGCAATCTAGCAAATCCATGGCGATGCCTCGTCGACGCGCAGAGCCACAGGTCCAGATTCGCGAAACTCCCACGATGGCTGGGTCAAGGGTATTCTGAACAGTGACGGAGGAACTTCGATGGGGTCCATCGCCATTACTGACAGTGACGCCGTTGCTCGCATCTAGTTTGACAGGGTGTGCTTCCCATATTCGTTCCGCCAAACACAGGCCCATACATTTGCTATCCTTCATATGCAAAAAGACTTTATATCGATCAGTCTCTTCCTTTGCTCCATTCTTGCGTAGACGTTTCGGTGGCTCGATTTGACTCCATAATGTAGCATCGTCAATCGGCGGCGATGATAATTCTCTATTCACAACATCGAGTACTTTTTTTGCTTGATTTCTGGCTGACGGCGACGCCTTCCGATCAACAATCACCACATAACCCTCGTCGCAACGCGCAGCCTCGTAAACCCAACGCGACGCGTTTGCCCGGACAAACGCTTTGCCTAGGTCGATACCCACTGCATTCATAGAGTGAAACTTGTCATGCAGATCCGCGTCTTCCGCATTAGACGGCACATATTCCATCCCACACAGATTGCAGCTACGTCGCACAGTAACCCCCGCATCAATCTGTAATTGCCTCAACACGCGCGGTTGTGCTGATTGACTCTTCTTTGGCTGATCCACCGATGACCGTACACTATTCGAATTCACCTCGGCCAATGGACTCCCATTCACCTCCTTGACTGTCGACGACTTTTTGCGCTTCAAAAACGCAAACGTCGGTTTCCGCGTATTCGCGGGTGGAGGAGTCAACCTTGGCGGAGGGGGTGACGAAGGAGGCGTCGAGAGATCGTCATCGTCGTCGTCGTCATCTTCTTGCGTTATTTCTGAGAATATCACTGAATTGCGCCGTGATGGGCTGGATGCGGTTATTGCAATTGAAGATTCGCGAATGGCGTATCGTAGATTCGACTCGGCGTCGTCCGAGTCATCTGCCGCTTCGACGCGTCGTTTTTTGGAGGCATGGAAAGTGTCATCATCGTAGATTCGACGAACGGGTCTCCCGTAAGTTTTCATGAGGCCCCTGACGCGGTTAACATTATCGCCTGAAAAGGGGAGACCACGCGTGTATACCTTTTAAATGAATTTGTGACCGTCCACGGCATCTCACTGTTGTCTGATCATGGATATTATAGTATTCTTTGTTTTCGGAGAGGGGAGTCGGAGATGAAGAATGTCAACAAAGCAGTACACGGGCGGGCAAATTTATCGAAGAACGCGACAGGCGGCGCTAGGCCGGTTTGGGCTATATTAATCGACCTCTTTTTGCTGCCAAGAAAACGTCACCCATCGGCCCTTGACGCCGTTTCTGCCAGTCTGGTGATGCCCGTTCGACTGGAGATGTCCTCTGTCTGACTGTCTCTCTGACAAGTCTCACGATCTCAGACAGACCAATACCAAACTGCCTCGCTGCCTCGTGCCTCAACCCTCGATGCCTCCGGATTCTCCCTTACAGCACAGCTCGTGATAACAGAGAACAACAGTCGGGTCGAATCGAGTCCAGTCGAGTCGAGTCGGGATCGCAGTATATGATCCAGGAGAACAAAAGAAAGGAGAAGAAATCACAGTGAGCAACAAAACGAAGAATTAAATTCGCCGGAATCCTTCGGAAGAGCCAATCAGTTCTATTAGTTTCTGATTATAGCGAACGGAGAAACTAAATCAGGAGGCGAAATCCACGACATGAATATTATTCCTTTAAAGATGACTAGCAAGCGTCGTACGTACAAAAGCTCTTAATATATATGTCGGATCATTCTGCCAATCCGTACTGTTTACAGAGTCTGTCGCATCTCGCGTCTCTTCTCAGGCTTGATGGTATCAGAATGGCAGCTCTGGTTGGATGGGTAGGAGCTAACGTGGGCCCTTCAGGAGCATTGCCCCCTAACCGTGCTAACAGCCTAAAACTTGGCGATGGAAACTACTCCAGAGCAACGCTACAGGCTGAGAGACTGCTAAATTTGCCACCACAATCTACTCAACTTAGCAGATTGGCACTGCAAGCCCTGGTCAAATCCCGCTGAGTGGCTGAGAGTTCCTAGCAGGCCATCTTATTGGCGCTTGCTGATTCCCCTTGCCGGTGATGGTGACACTTAACCTTTATGGCGACAACTGTGCGATGTAGTAGAACTACTACGTACGTCGTAGTACGTACTAAAGGGAGTACGTAAAACCAGCCGAGTCTTTTATCTTCATTCAGAGTTTACTGAGTTCAGGTTTCCTTCAGGCTTAGAGATGTGGAGTGCACCGTGTACCTTGGGCACGGGCAAAGGACAGTATGCGGCCTTGCACCCTACGGAGTACATACTGATCATACCCCCGGGTTATTGAGGTTGTACACGTTGTAGATCAATCATCTATTCATCCCAGTGATCCTTGCCATGGAGTCTCTTTCTGCCACTTTCTTTGTGTTTCTCCGCTCCTTACTTGGCTCATCGATCTGAGTTGCTCCAGCTTAGGCTTCAGTACTATCTATTTCGTCAAATGAGCTTAGCCTCGCGATTATTAAATCAGCCGCATGCTTAGGCGCGAAGACGAATCATGGTGTTGCCTGCTTTGCGTATACATAGCAGTCACTCAGCCTGACATCTACTACATAGTGGTAACCTCCCGACTGAGATTACCCCGGCCGAGGCATACAGCTTTGTCCATAGAACCGGTAGATGACACATATATGCTACGCATGACCGGGCCAGCGTTTCACATCGTGGATGCATTCGTGTACGAAGCCGTCGTGTGCAACGTCGTTTCTGCCTCATGTGTGGTGTCAATACCTCCGGTCAACGAGAGCCGCTCTCGTTCGAGTCAGCAGTCCTCTTCTTTAATCAACATGGTCCCGAGGCTGCGAAACGGAAATATATGGCAAGTCTGTTCGTAATGTCGTCTAGTAGTGAGCCCGCATCTCCCGATATGTGTAGAAGAAGTAGCAAGTACATAGTAGAGAGGATAGATAGTTGTCGGAAGTGAGAGAATATTGGCAGTGTCCGAGGACGCCGAGAATGGACCAATCAGATGCGCACTATCTGGCCCCCACCGTTGACTTTATATTCATTCATTCACTCACTCATTCATTCATTCATTCCATGATAATTATCTTCTCTATATCTTTATTATCTTTCTTTCTTTTCTTTTATTTCTCATCGCATTGTCGAATACAAAAAGTCGGCTCGCGTGATCCATTCCAATAAACTTTGACCATCTCGGCAAAATCTCTGTCTGCTCCACATCGATGATCAGGAACTCCAACAACAACGACAACAAGCAAAATAAATCAGACATGTCGACCTCAAGCAACAGCGGTGCAGAAGATGGCGGTAAGAGAAAGCGGCCTAGTAAGTGATATCTGGTGTAAATCGCGCCTGCAGATAGATCCACGTTGTGTCTCAATCTTTTTTTCTTCTCTTATTCGTTTTCCTTCTTTACCCCTCAACTTCTTTCCCACCATCTTACACCACCATCCTCATCTCCTTGCATGGCCTTATAATTCTTCATCGGATCTTGGATGCTTCAACACATCAGGTCCTCGTCAAGTTTTACTGATCAACCATGGATACAGGGACCCAATCCTGTCCTCCCCCGGAACTGCCCCAACTCGTCGCTGAACAGCACGTCCCCGTTGCGCCGGGCGACAAGGATACGCGACGATTGATTGTGGTCTTGTCGAATGCCAGTCTCGAGACATACCGCTCGTCCCATGGTGGCCGCAGCGGTCGCGAGGAGAAATACTCTCTTCTCAACAGCGATGAGCATATCGGTGTGATGCGGAAGATGAATCGGGATATTAGCGATGCGCGGCCTGATATCACTCACCAGGTATGTGTTATCCCTTTGCGCATGGGATGAAGCGGAAGAGTGAAAACTGACTGTGTAGTGTCTGCTCACTCTGCTCGACTCACCCATCAACAAAGCCGGGCTCCTCCAAATTTACATCCACACAGCCAAAGGCGTCCTCATCGAAGTCAGCCCCACGGTCCGAATCCCACGCACTTTCAAACGATTCGCCGGGTTAATGGTGCAACTCCTCCATCGACTCTCCATCCGGTCCTCAAACTCACAGGAGAAACTGTTAAAAGTCATCAAAAATCCAATCACAGACCATCTCCCGCCAAACTGCCGAAAAGTTACGCTGAGTTTCGAAGCTCCTGTCGTTCGAGTTAATGAATACATCAGCTCCCTGGGACCCAAAGAGAGTATCTGTGTCTTTGTCGGAGCCATGGCGAAAGGTCGTGATGACTTTGCGGATGAATTCAAGGATGATGCGATTGCCATTAGCAATTACAGTCTTAGTGCTAGTGTTGCTTGTAGCAAGTTCTGTCATGCTGCTGAAGATGTTTGGGGCATCATGTAGTCTCCATCTACTAACGGGGGTGCCAGCCCAGGATGTCTCCAGTACTAACCGCAGCTCTCTCGACCTTTTTCAACTGTTTTTATTTCAAGCTTGCTCATTGCCTGGATTCTATCACTTTTATCAACTTTCGAACCCGGATTCTGTTTCTGTCAGAAAAGGCACCACTCCTAAGTCAAGAGCTCTGATACCAACATCTCAGCCCTTTTCTTATTATGGTCCTTTTTTTTCTGTTCTGACATGTATTTTTTGTCAAGTCGAGGTGTTTGTTGCAGTGTGACTCTGATCTGTTTTTACAACCAAAACGTGGCCAGGTCTCTAGCAAGCCTCATCATTTTGACAAGATTGGACCAAAATATCTCGAGGTAGAGACGCAGAAAGCAACCCCGCCTGCTTTCCTCTGGTTTTCAATGAACTAGTCATTTAATGGACTAGGATTTGACAGATGGGAAATGCTCGATTGACATGGATTTGATATGATTTGATGTATATACTATTTTTTATTATTCGGAATACCTATTCATGAGTTCGCAAGTACACTCTACTATCACTGAACGAGTCTGTTGGAACTCTTCGACGTTAAGAGAATCTATACCAGCATTTAGAGAGGAATTATATTTAGGATCACACCCGACTGCTCCAGACCTAATATTCTCGTTTGGGACATTTAGAGTCCTCCGAAGCGACAGCCGGAATATTAAGGCATGAGGCTGTCAAAACCCCTTATCCACAGAACTTCTGTAATCATCTCCATGATGACACCCACTCGATATCAAGCAGTCATATCCTCAACCCAGACCGATACCCCTGACTCACTGACCAAATTCATTCGCACATAAGCAACAAATCAACGGATGAGAAAATATCCCCCGAGAACACGAAATATAATTGGTCCAACCACCTCTTTTATAACAAACAGTAAAACAGCCTGACGTGTCATCCGTCTCCATTCTGTTAACAGTTGACAGTCAGAGGACATTGGGCAGGTATGTCGCGAACCTATTAGGATTTCTAAGGAAAGGGCAATTTTTGCGGTGAGAAAACGCTCTCCCTGTCAGAAAGGTGAGTGGAGTGGATCTGTGGGTAAGTAAGTATTGTATCAGATCAAGTCGGTCAGTAGCATCATTTCTTGATTCTGGCGTTGGTGAGATTGGGATGTTCGGAGGATATTCGTCAAACGGATCAATATCAATGAGAAGAATAGTCCTGGATTGATTGTGTTATTCATACTACGACGATACGATGGGTATACGCGACAATCGGACGGTACGGCCCGTGTACCCGATGCTAAATTGTCACCTCAAACTGGAGGCCTTGAAGTCAGGCGTTCATCTTCATATCATGATGATCTGAGTCTAGTTATTCCGAGGGCAACAGTGTAAAGACAGAGTGGGGTGACGGACACCAAATAACTTGACAGTACAAATAACAGGGTGAATATGAGTAAGACTAGAGCACGAATGCCCAAATGCTTGCCAATAACACTTTAAAAGACGATGGATCTCGTGCATGTAGAAACCCTAATCCAGAACGGCCAGAAGGAGGGCAGCCTATCAGCTTATTTTCGAGAAATATTGATGAATCGCATTGATTCTTCTCTTTCCACTTCCTAATAATGTTCCACTGGATAGCGTCTCTCTCCTTTGACATGAGATTTTCTCATTTCCTATTCCGTATACATACATACAGCTTCACCGTCGAATCCATTAACGGGTCTGGACCCTCCTTAAAACTAAAAGATTCGCCCCATTTCATACTCTCCATTTTCTTCCTGTTAAATCAGGTTCACGTGGATACTGGAGTATTCATCTGGTTTGTCCACGCATCGCTTCACTTATCTTAGCACTAAATTTATGGAGTACTCGCGCTCAGATGTGCTACTTTCAGTCAAGTCGTTGATTAGTTGTACCTCTCTGGCACTGCCAACTATGGAGCTACGTAGTACTTCCTGTTGTCTGTATGGATTAGGTACTTGTACTTATTATCTGAAGTTGTTGGAGATCCACTGAGTCGCTGATAATCTGGTTAGTAACTAAAGTGACTCTGAGGTGGTCAGAATAGATATATTCGTGCTTACCTTGAGTCTTTTTTTGCTGAATATCTATTTCCTCTACATACTGCTGTCTTTTTACCTGCCTGACACAACAGTCCCTACTTGTTTTATTATTTCTATCCCTCTATCTTGTCAATCATTTATTTCCTTTAAGTTTTCTATTGTATATTCAACATGCCCGTCTCCCACCTCACATTAACAGTCTCCCACCTCCCAACATCCACATCCTTCTTTCTGTCTTGTCTCCAACCCCTCGGCTACAAATTCATCGGCCGTCATGACGAATACATCGGTTTTGGCTCCAAGGCCGACGAACCCGCCGATTTCTGGCTTGCGCAGGAACAACCTGGGTATTCCCCTCCTCCCAAAGCAAACCTTGGAAGGTGGACTAACTAGAGGTAGAACACCAGCCGGCGCAGCACACATTGCCTTCCCAGCCCCAAGCAAAGAAGCTGTAAACACATTCTTCATCTCCGCTCTCAAATCAGGCGGAAAAATCCACGGAGAACCAAAACTACGTGATCCCGAGACGGGATATTTCTCTGCTGCGGTGGTGGATTTTGATGGGAATAGCATTGAGGCTGTTTATCGGCCTGATACTAGATCAGAAATTGATACTAGAGCTGGACCGGCTTTGCAGACTATAAAGAATGGATCTGTGGTTTCGAGGGCGAGGTCGGTGAGGACGACGGAGACGAGGTCTGTTGTGCAGACTGCTATTGAGAATATTCCACCGGCGAGGGTGAAGATGTTGGATCAACAGCAACAACAGCAACAGCCGCTACAGCCGCTACAGCAGCCGTATCAGCAGCCGTATGCTCCGACGCAACAGAGTGATGGGAATAGTATATCTGCAAAGACGATTATTGGGACTTTGCTTGGAGCTACTGCCGGTGCTGCGATTGCGTATGCTATGATCAAGGGTGATTCATCTTCATCACTGACACAGACGAGTTCGAATCCTCCAGCTCAGTCGCAGTATACTCAACCACCTCCACCTCCACCACAACAGCAGCAGCAACAACAACAACAACAACCACCACATCAAATGTCCATGTCCCTACCCATGCTCATGCCCATGCTCGGCCCAGCACCAACCTACCAAGACCAACAACAACAGCAACAACCCGTCTACCGAGCCCTGGAAGCACCCCCCTCCGCCATCGGAGGCGCAGCGCGAAGCACTTACACAGCCAACGACGCAATATCAGCATACACCCGCTCCTCCGCGCCCAAGAGCAAATCTCCACGCGCAGACACAATCTACGAAGAGACCGAATACTACCCCCCAATCGACCAGAGCGGTCCAAGGTCTTTGTACTCGCAAGAAGCGAGTAGTAATGCCGGCAGCGGTGTTCGTCGCTCTTCGAATGGAAGTATATACGCAACTCGCGACCTTCCAATCCGCGCAATCGAGTATTCGAATAGCGTTGCATCATCCCAACAGTCACAACAGTCATCAAAGGTACGATCAAAATCGTATCCGTGTGATCCCAGCACGTTCATAAGTAGCTTTGCTGAAACGCAATATCAGCATGGACATGTCATTGGTGATATTGCCGAGAGCGAGTTTTCGTCTATTTCGACTATTAAGCCTGCCAAATCGACTGCTCCTTCGCGACATAGCAGGGATGATGTATCCATGGCATCCTCGCATCGCTCCCTGAAATCGAGCGCAAGTAAACACTCTCACCGCCACGACGAGAATGGAAGCACAACATCGAGGACAACAGCACACAAAATTGCATTACCAGACAGCCGCCCCGGATCAACATATACATCCGCCACCAAATCCTCAAAACGAAGCAACGCATCAACCATCAAACCTTCTTCCTCCTCGCCCAGAGATCTAGATGCCTACGAAATCCCGCTCCCGGCATCCGCGGCACCGAGTACAGTCTTCCTCGACGCGGCGATCGACATTACGCCAGAAGATAGTATAAGTCAAGTCGGTTGCTCCCACGCCCATCACAGTCACAACGACACAAAATCATCATCTGGACGATCGCATCGCTCCAGATCTGGTCCTTCCTCCCAATCCCATGTATCGTCGGCATCGAAACGAGAGACAGCCGAAACAGGAAGTAAATTCGATCAACCCGTTAAACCGAGTGATAGTATCAGTCAGGTGTCGAGTAATCATTCTTATCGGCATAGTTCTCATCATTCTGCTCATAAGGGTTCGTCGAGGGTTAGTGGGATGTCGAAGAAGTCGCATTCTGCTTCGAGGGTATATTAATTTTTACTCCATCTACCTATTTTTTTTTTCTTTCTTTTTCTTAGTGCTGGTGTTCGGTTATTTGCATCATGATTCAAGAATACTTACGACAAACTGATTCAGAAGGTTCTGATATTGGAGCACGGGACAGATAAACTACATACATGCATACATTGATTTCGGCGAATAGGTTGATTGACTTGTGTATTAACTTCATACTCTCTCACGTGTAATGAATACATCTACTTTTGACACTCTACCACTACAATTTCATAAGATTAATAATACTCGATAATACTTGATAAACGACATCCCGCCGATGAATGATTTGTCATGTCATGATGATTGCATAAAAACTCGTAGGACGAAAGACTCAGAGAATGGAAACCCGACGCAAATATGAAGATGAACTAGAAGAAAGAAACAAAAGATCCAAAACCACCACAGTACGCCAAGGCTACATATCTCCGATCTGCAATTCTATGATCGTTGCATGTCTACTTTCAGTTCAGAACGAAAGAAGACATGAGACCACGAAACCGAATAGGCCGTAACGAGATCGATTCAACTTTTGTCGATCCGATTGATGCAGTGATTATTGATCTTTGAGAAGTAAATGTCGTATCGTCAATCAAATGGCATATTTGCGCGTCCATTCTCGAGCCGTGGCGTCGTATCGGGCACGATCTGTCTTGTACACGTGGGCAATCTCAGGCACCAACGGGTCGTCGGGGTTGGGGTCTGTAAGCATGGAACAGATTGAAAGAAGGACTAAATACGTCAGTCAGACAAAATTCAAGATAGAGAAAGATGACGAATAAATACCCTTCGAGATTGTAAGAGCAGGACTCCACTGATCCCTCAGAATGTCCAGACAGATGCTACCGTTGGAGTTGATATTGGGGTGGTATATGCGAGTGGTGAAGTTGACCTTGGGGGCCTTGAAGGGATAATCTGTCGGGAAATGGATCGCTAGGAAAAAGACACCACCAGAGTATGGCGAGTCGCTGGGACCCATGATAGTTGCTTGCCAGTGAAACTTATCAGTCAGTATTAGTACTCAACTAAGAGTCGATCAAGCACATACCAAATCATCTCCGATAGGACCAGCAGAGCAGGAAGAGGGCGGATCACTGTGAAAATTGTTAGTATCAATCTGAAAGAGTGTAGAAAATAAATCAAGATATCGACTAGTAATCGCATGCCCCGCTACCGCGTGGGGAGCAAGACACGCAACGCCCGAATATCAAGACAAAACGATCGAGATACATACCGTCCGAGATCAGTGAGTTCCTTGTTAATTCGCTTCAAAGCCATTTCGAGTGATTATGTATGTAAGACGTGGGATAAGTGAGGTTCTGTGACGATGGCGAGGGGTTAGTGGCTGTCAGATACATCAAAAAAATCAAGAATAAAATCGGCAATAAATTAACAACCAAATAAACGAGTGTAAGCTCACCGTAGACAGCAAAAGAACAAAAAGCCGTGGTCTCGTGTGTTGATGCTTGAGAGAAAGAGAGAGGAGAGAGAGAGAGAATGATAACAGACTCAGAAAGAGGGAAAGAAAGGCGCAGACTTAGTCACCGCGCTAGCCTTGTTTGGGCGGTGTGCAATGGAACGACACCGAAGGATTTACGCCTAAGGCAGGAATATTTATAGCCGTATTGGTATTACCATTCCGTAAGGTACTCCCTTGCACTTTCTATGTATGATTACATACACGATACATGTCTTATCGTGCCCCTTCTGGCAACTCACATGTATATACATATCCCTCTTTGGTTTCTTGACTCCTATGCTATCATTATAAATTGAAAAGCAAATTTAGTTGCCACCGCATATACATACAAACCATGTTGCGGCTGTGGCGTGTCGCCGCCGGTAAGGATTACTCGATCATACAGCCTCGTTTCAAATACATTACGAACAAATCAATCAATGACGACGGCGGATCTAAATCTCGTTCCATTTTTGCTCCTTTAGTAACACTTAGTAACACTATGAATTTTATCTGTATGACAGGAACTCAGGTATCATGCAGGTACCTGTTGATCATATCAGATCAGATCAAATATTACTTTTGCCATTATTTATTGTCTAATGAAGAAGAGATGAAAAGTCGGGTTGGTCGGAGAAATGTGATTGATTGCCCCGCAATACGATAACATCTGATACATATCGTTATTACAGGTATAATACATACGCAATACAATAATACGGAAATCATTGCCGCTCTTTTACAGTTCATTTATCTCAGTAGTTATATACAATTTTACCTTCTATATGCAACGACTTATGCCATGCATCTTTTTAGTCGTCTTAATCGCTAGACAAACGCTTGAATACCCGTGATTGCGCGACCGAGAATGAGCGCTATTATTGCAACGTCAGCTCGTTTCAAGTCTGCAGGAGTAGGAGTGTCAGCTTACCATGTATATCGCTCTGACCTTCATATGTTTGCGTAACAAAGAGATTAGCTACGTGACGGCCAATATGGTATTCATCGCTGGTAGCGTTGCCGCCGAATATCTCCTGCAGGCTGAAAGGAGTCAACTTTACTGCTAGACAGTCCGTCAGGCAGGGGGGAACTTACGTGCGAGCATTGGCCAACGCCCGATCACAATTCTGCCTCTTGATCATTGAAATCATCTCCGGCGTCGATTTGCCTGCATCCTTGAGACGAGCCACCTGGATCGCGGCCAGAGTGCCAAAAGCAGCATCCGTAGCGGCATCGGCAAGCTTCTTTTGGATGAGTTGATATTTGGCTAGAGGGTTGCCCTTGAATTGTTTACGATCCAAGGAGTATTCCCTTGCTCGGCTGAGTGCATCTTCCAGTGCACCAGTAACACCAAAAGCAATACCCAATCGCGCACTATTCAAACAAGTAAAAGGTCCAGATAGACCTTCAACAGTAGGCAGCATATTCTCCTCCGGAACAGGGCAGTTATCCATCTGAATCATACCCGTAATAGACGCCCGCAGAGCAGTCTTGTTCTTGATCGCAGGAGTCTCAAGCGTACCGGGAGGACATTTACTTCTCTCAATCAAGAAACCCTTAATCTTCCCCGTACTCTCCAGCTTAGCCCAAACCAACAAGACATCCGAAATCGGCGAATTTGTAATCCACGTCTTTGCACCCGATAGACTGTAGTACCCCTTTTTTGTCGGATGTTCGCGCGCAACAGTCTCCATGGAACCAGGGTCAGATCCATGATTCGGCTCCGTCAACCCAAAGCAACCCAGCAACTTCCCCTTGGCGAGTTGCGGCAAAAATCTATCCTTTTGTTCTTGCGTACCGAATTCGTGGATACCAGTCATGATCAGTGAGCTTTGCACTGACATTCCTGATCGATACCCGGAGTCGACGCGCTCAACTTCTTTTGTGATCAGGCCGGATGCGACTGTGCTTGCGCCGGCGCATTCGTAGCCTTCGATTGAGGCGCCGAGGAGACCGATTTCGCCCATTTCTTCGAGGATTTTGCGGTCGTAGTTTTCGTTTCGGTAGGCCTCTGTATGATCTGTCAGTATTAGTCAAAGACGATGGGGCGCATGTTAGTTTACCTAGTACCCGTGGCATTAGCCGTTCCTGACAGTACTGTCTCGCTGTATCCTGAATAGCTAATTCTTCCTCTGTATACAGCTCGGATGCGGCAAGGGGATCCTCCCAGTTAAATGTTGCGGTTGAAGATGCCCATCGACGAGTTTGATGACGAGGGAGGGTTGAAGCTCGCAATTGCCGTGCGGCGGAGCGGAATAGTGAGCGACTCATGGTGATAATCACTGACCTATCCGTTCGACCTGGTTTGAAGTATTGTCAGCTATGTCTTGGAGCTATGAATTGAGCGACGTCACGACTTACCTTGAGCTTCAGCTGTGTCGCAATGAATTGAGTCGCAATAAGCTCAATCAGACAATTCCAAACTCATACAATACAGCACTCCATACAGAAAATAGGTAGAGGAAACAAAGAGCAGCAGAGGAATGCAAAGATAAAGAGTCCATCTCGATAATAAATTCGGGGTGCTATCCGAACAGCGCGGCGCCGGGGACCAATAATCGCTATTGCCGAGGGAATTGCTACAAGAGCCCCGCGGCTATCCGATTTACCTTGCCCTACTTACGATCTGTCGGTTACAAGAGAAAGTCTTAGCTGTAAGCTGCTTTGAATAAGGGATCTGGATTCAATATGAATTGTCTGATTCTGTGCGCAATGCGTACACTGATAGGGCAGACACCTGATCGACCCACTCCTGTAACCCTACAGAATTACCAAAAGCGGTAATACGAGAGACCACTGGTGAGCCTATTATGGCAGGTATAGCCGACGCATATTCTTGAGTCTTGAGTCTTTGAGGTCTCGAGATTGTGTATTGTCCTTACTCGATATCAAGAATAGTTGACGAGTTCCGAGATGAGTGCATCTACGAGATCGACATGATTGGAACATACTTCTGAATAATAAGAATCAATCATAAAGTATCATTAAGCAAGGTTAAATCTACCGCTGTATGCAAATCCCAAGGGTTCTTCCAGAAGAACTCTTTACCTGGGGTACAACCAAAGCGAGAAAAACAACTATCCTATCTAAATATAAAAACTTGGATATCTTCTTTTAAAAATTCTCCTTTCCCCAGACAAACTCAAAGTCCGGATCTGAGTGTTGATTACACTTGATATGTAACTGACTTCCAAGGCCCTTGGGTCCACAGAAGAAAACACCTGCTTCAGCCGGGGAATGAATCTTGCGAACTGATCGGAATATCATATTCCAGTTTGGTCGGCCAAAGTTTGTGGGTGCGCGGAGACCGGTGATTGTGTCGTGAGGAGCGTTGGCATCGTTGATCATGATGTTTGTTGCGTCGTCGGGTTTGATTTTGGCGGTCAGATACTGTCTATGTTAGCATGGTCTATTAAAAAAGGAGGAGGGTGTACATACAGTATGAATCTCAATCCTGCTCTCCAAATCCTGCGCCTCAATAGCAGAAAGCAACGATTTGAACCACTCAAAAGATCCGAAATCTCGACAAATCCAGAAAAAGTACACTTTTCGCAACCTCGTCGGTTTACCGTGACTCATTCGGTACCAGATACTCTTCAAGATAGATGCAAAGGGTGTAACTCCAATACCGGCACCAACCAACATGGCAACTTCATACTTGAATACATCCTCAGATGCACTGCCAAAGGGGCCGTCGATATAAAGTCGCGGTAAGATGCGGCGGATAGTAGGATCGAGGTCCTTGTCTCCTGTGCCGATTTTGTCGATTCCGACAACGGCAGAGCCGTTATTTTTACCGTCTGAGCCTTTGCTTTTGCCAGAGTCAAAGTCGCAACCGAGGGTTTTGGCGAGGGCTCGCGTAAAGTCTCCCACACAACGGATGTGGACAGAAATATAGTCTTCTTCGGGGGCACTGGTAAGGGTGAAGGGATGGTATTGCCAGAGGGATACTTCTGGACAGCAGAGGAAGATATACTTATCCTTTGTCAGTCAGCGCCATTGAAGTCGATTAAGGGGACTCACCTGTCCAGCCTTGGTCTTGGTCTTCTCCTTCTTAATCTGAATCTCAACCACGTTACTCGGATGCTGAATCACCTTCGAAATAACCGTTGCATGTCGTCCGCGAATCTCCCTCGCAACTCTCTCCGCCAAATAAACAACAGCCGAATAAATCCAATACTCATAAAAGACACCATTTCCTGCGCAAAAGGGCGCAAAATCCGTCGGAATCATACACCAGATACCGTGCATTGACCAAAACACGAAAAACACAATAAACAAGTGGTGCGTATACCAGAAACGTTCAAAGTTTGCGCGTCGTGGTTTCTCGGTGGAGGTGAACACCATAGCCATCAGGGCGATGAGCATAATCCAGCCCGTCCACGTTGGGCCGGTGATGAAACCGGCTGCGAGGAAGCCTTTGAAGCCCTGGTTGTTTTTGGCGGAGAGTTGGGCGACGTTGTTCAAGTGAGCGATTGTGTGGACCCAGGAGAAGAATACGATTGCCCAGGCGATCACTAACCACCATTAGTTCTGCATCCGATAACAATTGAACTTTGAGTACTAACGTTTATGGAAAGTAATATTCTTGTCTAATCATTGGGTCTGTCAGCGCATAGACTAGGATGCATGGGTAGGTGACTTACCAAACTGAATGATTCCGTTAAGAGGAGTCTGTCTCAGAAGCGAAATCAATGTGCGACAGACAGCTACAGCATATTAGAATCGGTGCACGAGTCAACTTGCATAGGCTACTCACGAAATAGAATCAAGCTGACATCGAAATGCAGAACCAGAGCCGCAGATCTGGCCACCATATATGTCCAGGTATAAGTTGCACGAGCACCATTCAAATTGTCCTTATATCGTGAGCATCGACGACCACCACTTCGGGACACAGGACAGTTACCTTGAAAGCGTAATTCATAAACCCGAAAATATAAACCAGTATCTGAACGAGTATGAATAAAAACACGGTGCTGCCTCAATTAGACTGCTTTCCTCATTCAAGATCTAGGACGTGTTGCATACAATCTTCGCCATCCTTCGTTGATCATCCTATCTCTTATCAGCCACTGCTCAGCACCGCGATGTCTTGACTACCCACCAGCGATCAAATCTCTGCTTCAAGGTCAATTCCTTGGGCTCAATACCACTCATCTCGCCCGACATGAGCATTCTTGTAAGAGGCGGCCATCTTGCTCGTTCGCTCTTGAATTCCACCTTGTAATCCGGTGGATAGCTATCCATTTTTGGCGATTGAACAAGGCTGAAAGCCCGGAATTAGGATTAACGTAGGTGACTCTCTGTAGGAGTATAAACCGAGGTGAAAAATCAAAGACTAAACGATCATCTGTCAGGATATTATTGTATAAAAGTAATTAGGTAGATAAACGAACCTTAAAAATTATCAGTTTTGGGCGAGTCCGACATTTAAATGTTTACAGGCACCGGGCCGTCAAAATTCTTAACGATAAATCTTGTAGGCACGGGGATTCGTAATATAAGTCTACAACTACTTTAAATCCAGACCCGCGAACGCTCAAACAATCAGTTTCAAGATTGTCTTGGGCCGAGAATGGGCCGAAAATTATTGTATAAGAAATATCGGACTCGGTATGTCTCGGTCCTGGGATTTGAAGGGGGGGAGATGGAGCGGTTTCATAGTTAGGGCACGTCTTGGGGACGAGGAAGTGTCAGGCTATCGCACGTATTGCAATGGTTTCTGGTAGTCGTATTTGGGTAAATGTACTTTATTATTTAGTATATCGTTTCTCATGTCATTGTAGATAGTTGGTGACCAATGTATGTAAATGTACATGTACATCGGCACAGGCAGAGTCAGGGGCTACATCCATACCTGCCGCAGCAACACAGATTCTGTGCGATTCAAACATAGCTTAATCGATAGTTGGTTCTAGCTAACATATACATAAAGATTATAATAATTCCTGTAAGAAGAAAAGGCGTCTCGCTAGGGTTTAGAATCACCAAAGCGACACACAGAGGCGTTCCTTATCTGTCTCAGGTTTGTCAGGGCTCCCGTTTCACATACTATCGGACCCCTATTCGCACTAAGCCACTTACTCCCACTTCTCCAGCCTCTTACTAAATTTGTTAGTTCCTAAGGATCTTGATGGACATGTGTTGTCTGAAAGTAGTTAAAGTGGATTACGTACTAGGTTATACGTAGCTACATAAATAGGCATGTCGGAAGTCGGTCATCAGCCTACCGAGCATAGCAGAAGCCTATCCGACAATGCATAGTGAAGCAAAATACTTGTTTCTTCTCTAGTCGCATTGATTTGATCAGGCTCAGCCTACATGTTACAGATATATGAAGTTTTCTGCGTTTCATAGGTACACGTTCGGATCAAATTGAGTAAACCCTAAAGACTTGGGTGATGTAGGTGGGAGAAAGCTCTTCCGAGGCATAACTTCGTACGTCTCGAGAGCTATGACTATTCTTTACCTAGCGAGTCTCCAAAATAGTAGTTCAATCTTGTCTGCCTATGATAGAACTTAGAAGCGCTTGAGCCGTGAGATGAAGAGGTTTGGTTCGGCTTTGGATACCGGAGTTGTGGGCCTTAGAATGCCTACTCTTTCATGTAGTTCATTTGAGCTACCTCATATACTATTATACTTCAATACATTCAAAATCTTGGAATAAGACTTCACGCTCTTTTTACTTATAATCCAATAGTTGAAAGTGTATCTTCAGCGATGAAGTCAATAAATCGCCATGCCGGACACAATAAGCCATTCGCACGATACTTCTACAGTATTCTGATCCTATCTGACCCCTGATATTAGGAGACAGGCTTCTCATATTGAGTCAGAGGTAGCAATATACGTCCGCTGCGCTTTGGCCCTCTGTGAACGAGTTCCCCAATATTCAAATTCTTCAGATTTTGAAACATTAGGAAGATTGGGACTAGGTCACGGCCCTTTCACCTCCAGCCGGGTTGACTCGGCTGATTGAAACACGATTCCGCTGTAATGATGGTACCACAGTTCTTCAAGTCCTTCGGAGCCAGAATTTCCTCTGCAAGAGAGGGTTCTCAGCTGTCTAAAGCTTTGATAGGTGTTCTGTAAGCATTGACAGTCCAACGAACACCTCGTAATGTTTGACATGCTCATTGGTAGCGTCATGAGTGGCAAATGCTGACTCAAGGGATTACGTGGCCCATAGCAAGACTTAGCTCTACTTTAAAGTGGAATGCCTGGATCATCTTGATTGAAGACTCGGAAAGGGCTTATAAGACGGTTCATGTACTCTGAAATGATCCAAGCACTCAAATTGACTCTTGTATGTCAGGCCAAATATGTGGCAGCTGATACACAGGTAGGGTTTATGTCCATTATTACATAGTGAGAAGAAAGAAAGAGCGATAAGTAAAGACTAGGAAGAGTCTAGTAACTATGAGCGATGCTTGAAAACTTATTTCGTGCCGGCTTACATGCTTTAACAGTAGGGGATGAGAGTATTTCGCAAAGATACAGACATTCACTTATTTCAGGCTGCAGGACAAGATAGTGACTCCTCTTTTATTGTAGTTCATTGAAAGAAAGAACTTACCTAAGTAGAAATCAAGAGTTGTGTGAACCTTTGAATCTTTGAATCTTTTCCTTCACACAATGGACCATTCTCGCGCAACATCCTTGCCCTGGCAGGATACACCAGGACAAAGACTTGTTCAATTAATTATATCATTAAATAAACAGAATTACGGAATTTCCCGTCTACCTTGCAAATAGGGCGTGGAGCCAGATGAGGTTGAGGCAGTGTATAAGAGCGGGAATATCTCAACACTCGTCCTTTTTCCTCATATCCCTACACACCACACACGATCAAAATATCTGATTTCAAGCTCCAAGGCCGCAATGAACTGGCTTCTTGAGTCGGATATTGACCTGGCTTCGGCCAGTCTCATCGTCCAACTGCAAATAGAAGATGCAGAACATTACTTCAACACGTCCAAAGGGAAATCTCGAGATCCCACAAGCGAAGAGGAAGCATTTCAGCTACAAAATGAAGAATTACAAAAGCTTTCTCGGTTGCTTTTAGATAAACGAATGGCTGAAAGTGTCGCAGCTGCCGTTCGGGCTAATGGGCAGATGTTGGCTGATGGTATCGCTCAGGAAGAGACTGCGGTGAAGGACAGAGATATTGCTCATCGATGGACTGGGGATCAATTTCCCGTGGCTGCAGAAGAGACAGCTAAATCCAGCCAGGATCCGTCTAGTCTGGATGACAAGACTCTGAAGAAACTGCGTATCTTATACGTGTCTAATCTTCAAGGCTCTTCTGGTACGTATGGCACTGAAACGGTCAACGAGGAGACTGAAAGGGGCGAATCATCAGCCTGGGCAGCTAAACGAACTCGCCAGCCAGCATCATCTATGCGTCGTTGCGTCGCCTGCGGCGAAGAAACTGAATTCGTCAACGTGGTCCGCGTACCCTGCCGTCACGAGTACTGTCGTACCTGTCTAGAGGATCTCTTCAAGGCATCGATGACAGATGAGACTCTATTCCCTCCCAAATGTTGTCGACAGCCCATTGCCATGAATTTTGCACGTATCTTTCTGAAGTCTGATCTTGTGCAGCAGTTTGAGAAGAAGAAAATCGAGTTCGAGACTCCAAATAGAACGTACTGCTACAATACCCAGTGCTCGGTCTTTATCCCCCCGGCTCATATCAATGGGGAAATAGCTACTTGCCCTAATTGCGGATTCACTACTTGCACGTCTTGCAAGGCACGAGCTCATACGGGCGATTGTCTCGATGAAGCCACGCAGCAGCTAATGGCTACTGCGCGGGAAAATGGATGGCAGCGCTGTTATTCATGTTGGCGTATGGTGGAACTGAATTATGGGTGTAACCATATGACGTTAGCGTCTTTCCTTTCACGGCATTTGCAAGATTTTTGCTTACCACAGTCTACAACAGCTGTCGCTGCGGTGCCCAATTCTGCTACAATTGTGGAGAGCGCTGGAAAACCTGCCAGTGCGAACAATGGGACCAACATCGCCTCCTATCCCGTGCTCATCAGATAATCGATCGTGAACAGAATAGTCCTGGGGCTGCGAATCCTGCACTAGTTGCTCCCATTCCCCGTACACAGCAACCTACTCCGATAGAAAACGAGGAGCCTCGATCAGTCACGGAGACTCCACAACCGGCGCAACAAGAACAAGCACCATGGGCTACTTTGGTCGTTGAAGCGATAGGAATCCTCCGAAATAACCACGAATGCGAGCATTGGCACTGGAGATGGGTGCGTGGGACTCACCAATGCGAGGAGTGCTATCATATGTTACCTGAGTACATCTTTGAATGTCGCCAGTGCAAGCTTCAGGCTTGCAATCGGTGTAGAAAGAATAGACTTTGGGAGAATGTTTCGTCTATACTCAATTAGGTGGATACTGTGTATGTTAGTTCTACTAAAGACGATTCCCAGTGATCTAAGGATAAATAGGGATTCAAGCCCTAACCCTGATGAAGGACCCCTTTGGAACCTAACCAATGAAACAAACCAGTTACTCCTCAGAATTAACTTAGAAGAAACATTGATTCCATAATACGCAATACTAATCAATTCGGCCTTGTAACTTCACACGGATCAAGGGTTCGCCCGAATCGGTATGAAGTTCAGCCGATGAGAGTTTACATCCTTGCTTAAACTCTTTGACTGAAAGACAATCGATTTAGTTAAGTTTATACAAAGCTGTTGCAATAGATAAGCTGAAACTATGTACATAAACTTTCAGCTGACTTAAATACCCTATTTCTGATAGAACTCGACCGTTTTTGTCCGTTCTCTATCTCACTCTCATGGCATATAAATACCTACCATGTACCGGTGATAGGCAACTTCACTAGCCGATATATATGAAATTACAATCCTCATCACCGGCTGCTCAGATGGCGGTCTAGGTTCACACCTCGCCCTCGCCTTCCACAAAGCTGGCTGGCGCGTCTTCGCCTCTGCTCGCAATCTGACAAAATTAAAACAAGCGACAACAGCCGGCATCGAGGCAATCCAACTAGACGTCACTTCGGACAAATCGATCGTCAGCGCCGTTTCGCAAATCTCAGAACTTACCCACGGCTCCCTCGATGTTCTCTTAAACAATGCCGGTGGCGGGTACTCAATGCCCCTTATGGATCTCGAGCTTGACCAAGCACGGAAACTGTTTGATTTGAATGTCTGGTCCATAATCAGCGTAACGCGAGCTTTTCTACCGCTGTTGAGCAAGTCTCAATACGGTGGTATGGTGGTTAATAATACCTCCTGCTCATCTGTACCAGCTGGCATGCAACCATTTGCAGGCGCATATGCAGCCTCCAAGGCTGCCGCGGCTAGTATCACTGAGATTCTACGTCTAGAACTCGCTCCCTTCGGCATCAAATCAATCAACTTGATGATGGGTGCCGTAAAGTCAAACTTCTTTGAGAATACACCCGCTTCCACCCTACCACCTACTTCACTGTACAATGTCGCCAAGGAGACGGTGGAAAGAGCAATGTCCGGACAAGACAACATGGCAGACGCCGACGATCCCACGAAATAGGCCGAGTCTGTTGTCCGGGACCTTAGTAAATCTAGTCCGTCTTATTTGGTTTGGAGAGGGAAGTATTCGACTCTAGTACGCATCGCGTCGCTTTTACCTATCGGGTTTTTGGATGGGACTGTCAAGAAGATGACTAGGTTGGATGTGTTGGAGAGAAGAATCAAGGAGCAGGGAGGAGCTGGGGCGGTGTTTAAGAAGATTCTATCATAGATTCTCTCCACTGGCAGAAATTGATAACGTGTTATGCTTTACTTGAGTTCTGTGGTTCCATAAGTTGATGCCTGCCTACCGAGCCCTAAAGACGGTATAACAGTGCCAACGGAACCTGCAAATAGACTCACTACGTTCCATCTACAGGTAGTAAGTCAATGACAATATATCTCGTCATTGACATCAAATTTTTCTTTATATAGGTATACACCAGAAAAAAACCATCTTTCCCTGTACATCCCTGAACACCTACACCCTCAACACCTCCCAAGGGCCACAGGGAACACCACAACCATGGCCCCCTTCAACCCCGAACCCTTCTCCATGAGAGAAAAACTAGGCCGTACACTACATACAGGCTACATGGGTAGCACACACTACGAACTCATCAGCCTCGTAGAAGAACACTACAACCCCTACCGACACGACATGACCGGTGTGTTTGAGGCGTGTCGAGTCGATACTCATACCAATGAGAGGACCAATTGTGTTCTTATGATTTGTGAACAGTACTCCCTCTTCCTCTCTAGACCCAATCTCAGAAGGTGTAAGGATCGAACTGATAGAGTGAAAGATTAAATCCAGGCCTCTTAGCCCCCAACATCCCACGTGAACCATGCAGGGATGAGTATGATCGAGAAGCGACCTACTACGCTAACGAAGCCATCTTCGAAACAGTCTTCAACCCTTATTACCACGAGGATCACGAGATCATTGAAGGCATAGACGAAACCCAAGACCATACCGGCGCCTATCCAGGTGGTTATCTAGACATCTTCTCCGGTACAAGACCATCAGGCACAAGGCCCGTGTCAACGATCTTATCGGACCTGGAAGAAGAGGATCTGTTTGAGATTAAGCGTTTTTTGTTGATTCTCTTGGCCCGGGTTGGTTATGTTTTGAAGGATGAGTGTGTGCTTTGGTATGATCCGGTGAAGAAATACGTATGGGTACAGGGGGAAACAGTTAAGGGTCATAACCATGATCACGATCACGATCACCACCACCACCATCACCATCACCATCACCACCACGACAGCGACAGCGACGGAGACGGAGACGGCGACAACGACCCCAAAAACCCAACTCCATCCCCTCCCAAACCACCCGAGCCGAACCCAACATTCGAAGAATTCTGGTCCTCTTTCGTAACGAAATGGCAACATGCTCGAATCAAAAGCGGGAAACCCAGCAACGTCCCTGCCTCCATGCAACTATGTTTCAGGAATCGTGTCAATGCTAACAGCACCCATGATTTCTCGGATTCATCAGCCTCTCCTTCAGGGGAGGAGACGGAGTGGACTATGGTTGACGATGCGTCTGGTTAGATTCCTGTCTCGCTCTGTTTTCAAGGATCATCTGTTATTTCTTGCTTGCTTTAAAAAAAAAAAAAAAAAAAAAAAATCAAGATCTTGCTTGAATAAGTTATTATATTCATATGACATGACATAAAGATAAAGGGTATACATAAATCTCCCTATGCCGGCATTTGCGATTGCAAAAAGTCAAATACTCCCATCGGGAAATACTCCTCTTCAAATCCCCACATATCCGTCATCATGGGATCTAGTGATCCTTCAGAGAGGCCGATTTGTGATTTTGCGGATAGATATGCTGTAGATGATGATGGTGGGAAGGCGTTAGAATTGTTATTGTGGTTAGTGTGATTGTTATGGTTCGAACTATTATGGCTATTGTTGTTGGTGGCGGTGGTGTTGCCACGCTCAGATGACAACGGCGCCACGCCGAGCATTGGGGGAGGATGATTACAAATTGTTGCGCGTCCACCGAGGGTTTGCGGGTTTGTGAGAGATACTGTACTAAACAGTGACGGGGTATCATGAACCCAGCTCGGTGGTTGGGGTCGTAACGGCTGTCCGTTGCTGTGTTGTGTGTTTCGTTGTTCCCATTCTCGAAATCCTTCTAGCATTTTTCCGAGACCTCGCGCGATATGATGACTCACATGGCGTTCGCTCGCTTTTTCGCTGGCGGATATCATGATCTTGACAATCTTTTCAATGACTTCAAGGACGTAGGGAATGTCGATATTCAGACCGGCGGCGGCAAGTGAATTGCGCTGACTGTTGGGTCCAATGATGCAGTTAGGATGTGCTTTGACAGCGATTTTGAGTAAAAACACGGCTGCAAAGGTGATCATGCTATGTAAGAACAATTGAGTCCCAACGAGACTTTCCTGAACTTCAGGCTCGTCCAAGACAACAGTAAGAGTCGCGATGGCCGAGTTGATGGCAACCTCGGCATGTTTCTTGCGAGCTGCGGAAAGCGGTCGAGTTGAGGTCGCGCAGTGATACGTCCTCAGAGCAGTGGAATTGAGGGTAAGACGGGAAAAGTTATAATTGAGATTGACGGCTTTGAAGGGATAATCTCCAAGATAGGGATTTCCAGCTAAAGGGTCGGTAAGTATCAACCCGGTGAGAAAAGGGGGAAAGAGCACTCACTTATTCGTGGCCGCCACACTCTTCTCCAATTCTCAAGATCTTTATCAAATTCCTCTATTCGTGGGAGTTCATGCTCTAGAACTTCAACATCAACATCAGGCCCGAATGCGTGATAGATGCGAGTCAGAACGATGAACAAGGCGACTTGACTATGGACGCGTATGTCACGTTGACCGGATGATGGATGATTCAAAAAAATTTCGTGATTGGTGATGCAAGTATCTTCGTGAATAATAGGCGGTCTCCCATACGCAATAGAAAAGTGATGTTCAAGGATCTGTATCGTCAGTAAGAGTCCAAGTCAGGTTGCTATATCCTTACATAAAGAATATACCACAGCTGCGTCTGTTCTCGGTGCTCTGGTGAACCTTGTATGGCCTTTCTATAACACTGATGAAGATTTCGTTCAGTAGCAATGCGAACTGCATATCCCGAAAGCTTCCAGCTGACGTCAGATAACCAGAATGCGCCAATACACAAAGCCCGCAAGTCGTCCAGACTATGGTGCCGATTCAGCATCGAATCCGAAGCCAATCTTGCAAATTCTGCATAGCATGTATCAAATACTCGCTCCTTCTTGGGGATATGGAGAGCCGTCACCGCCAAGACGGCCGCAGTAAGTAATGTAGACGACTGGCGAACCGACATCAAATTCGCATGATTCATCACCATGCTATCCCACAAATAATGATTGAGACGACTATCAAAGTATGCAAAGAGTTCCTCTGCCTCGGCCAGATCTACAACTCCCCGTGATATCAGATCCGCAGCCACCATGCGGTCCGGTGCATGCTGACGCGTGGGTGAATTCCCTCGCGAGTGGCTCAATTGTGTGACTTCAAAAAGACTGCCCATTGGAGCTGTTACAAGGGTCGCTTGTCCTGGTTCCTCTCTTTCCGGGGAGTAGTGAGATTGTTCCCTGTGTGTGCGGTATCCGGAACTGGGGCGACGGGAATGATTTGTTCCGTTGGTTTGTGTATGCTCTTCCATATGAGGCATGGCTTCGACCGATGCGGTTGATAATTTTCGGCTGCGCTCGTTGTATCGAGTCTGGGGCGGCGAAGGGCCACCTGCTTGGTAGTATGACAATTCTGGTAGTTGGGCTTTTCTCAAGAGATCGGACATGGCTAATTCGATCATCGTCTTCCATCTATACCCGAAAGTGTTAGACATTTCCATTTGGTATTCGCAGACACTTACTCGGCTTCATCGTCTAATAAGGTCTGAAGACTCTTGTTCACCACACATTGTAGTCCCATTCGCTGGCACCGTTGGCAGATTTGATCGCCAGTCTTCATATCACAGCGCACTTTATGTCGCTTACATTCGGTACATGCCCGAATCTTGCGAGAGATCTTGGGTATATGGCGGGAATTGTTTCGAGTGTCATCATCTATATTCTGGGGTACCCTTCCTCCACCTCCGCCCGCCGGAGAGGAGGAAGAGTACTCGCCATTGGTTTCGAACTGGATGCGATTCCGCTTCATCGTCAGCGAGAGAAGATTATCTGGCAGGTGACATTGTGTATATAAAGCGACGGGGAGATTGCCGCAAGAGGTACGGTGTTGTGTGGTGTGGTGTGATTGTGGGCGAGTAGTGGCAGTAGCTATAGATCAGGGCTGCAGGTCGGCAGAGAGACTGGGGAGAGACTGACTGTACGAGCGGGGAATGGGCGACCATCGGGCATGAGCCCGGGCTGCCTGAGGCAGTAAGGCAATAAATTATACGCTATTCCTGATCTGGCTAAATGGTCAACGCGCGCATTGACCTCATCGGCGCGTCTGTCCGCGTCTCCAGGTTGTCCCTCGATGTGTTCAGTTCTTCTCCATTTCATCAGTGCATGAGCTCTAGACAAGAATCCTCACCATGGGAATCAAACGTCAGTAATCACTTACTCTACTGCAATACACCAGCCTAACGTCAGCAGATCTCTACCAGGTCATTTCTGAGAATGCCCCCGATGCGGTCAAGACGGGCGAAATCAAAAACCATTTCGGCCGCAAGGTTGCCATTGTACGTATAAACAGGATGTGAGATGAATTGCAATAGCTAATTTACTTGCAGGATGCGTAATCTACCCCGTTACTTTTGTGTTAGCATAATCAGAAATTGATTGTCTACAGATCCATGAGCATTTACAGCTTCTTGATCGCCGTCCGTTCAGACGGTCAACAACTAATGAGCGATGCTGGCGAAACCACCTCTCATCTCATGGGCATGTTCTATCGCACGCTACGAATTGTCGACAATGGTATCAAACCCCTCTACGTGTTTGACGGTGCCCCTCCAAAACTCAAAGGCGGCGAACTCGCGAAACGATCAGCGCGGAAGAGGGAAGCTCACGAGGCTCACGAAGAAGCCAAGGAGACCGGTACGGCAGAAGACATGGAGAAATTCTCGCGAAGGACAGTTCGGGTTACTCGCGAGCATAATGAAGAGTGCAAGAAGCTTTTGAAGTTGATGGGAGTTCCGTACATTGATGCCCCGACCGAAGCTGAAGCGCAGTGTGCGGTTTTGGCTCGTGCGGGTAAAGTGTACGCTGCCGCTTCGGAAGATATGGACACGCTATGCTTTGAGGCGCCGATTCTACTACGTCATTTGACTTTTAGCGAACAACGGAAGGAACCCATTCAGGAGATTCATCTGGACAAGGCTCTTGAAGGTCTTGGCATGGACAGGAAGCAGGTGAGCATTTCGCCGCAAACACTCTTACCCTAACTAACGAAGGCAGTTCATCGACCTCTGTATTCTCTTGGGCTGTGATTATCTAGAACCCATCCCCAAAGTCGGCCCCAATACAGCATTGAAACTCATTCGCGAACATGGCTCTCTCGAAAAGGTGGTGGAAGCTATTGAAAGTGACCCCAAGAAGAAATACGTCATTCCCGACGACTGGCCGTACAAGGAAGCGCGCGAACTCTTCTTCAACCCGGACGTGAGGAAGGCTGATGATCCGCAATGCGACTTTAAATGGGAGAGTCCCGATGTGGAAGGACTAATCCAATTCTTAGTCACAGAGAAAGGATTCAGTGAAGATCGAGTTCGCAACGGCGCAGCGCGATTGGCCAAAAATCTCAAGTCCGCACAGCAGTCTCGGCTGGAAGGGTTTTTCAAACCGGTAACCAAGACTGAGGCAGAGAAAGCGAGCTTGAAACGCAAACATGATGAAAAGATTGAAGAGCAGAAGAAGCGGAAGAAGGAAGAGGCCAAAGCTAAGAAGGAAGCCAAAGCGCGGCCGCGGGGTGCTGTATGAGTGATGAAGCAGAGGACTGTGTTTTGCTTCTGTTCTCCCTTCGATGGGAGCCCCCCTAAAGATACAGCGTGTGCATATAGCAAGGCGTTACGGCGTTCGGCACAGGGAATAAGTTTGTCGTCTATCTAGAATACGTCACCCCAGATTTCTCCCCAAGTTAAATGGAATTTTTCCAGTGACAACTACTTTCTTGTCATTTGATGTTTGAATAAAGCCATCAGAATATTCATACAAAAATTCAACGTATCAATCCTCCAAATACACTCGAGATCACCGAAAATGTATTCCGATGACTAACAAACTCACCCAACTTTGCGACCGTGATCTTGCCTAAACCAGGCAAAAATAAAACCAAATATCATTCAAATACATTTCAGCATCTGCCATATTTACTCTTCTTCAGAATTTTGATCAATATTAGTAGTGTAAAGCCTAGAACGTTGAAAGGAAACTCGATGCAAGGGCCCGGGAATCGTGCAGAGCTGCATGTATGGGGGATGTAATGAGCTTTATTTTGCTGATTTTGCATGACGGGCAAACCATTTTTTGTCTAGCTCTGTATCAATAGAAGGACATTAAAATCCTCGATTAGAATATAGTATCAAAAATAGAAAATATCGTGAGTACTGGGAAGGATCAGTAAGAATCCCGTATTCCACTCCCATACAATAGAAGGCGTATGAAGTAGTTGGGGAGGAGAGTCCGAGAGATAAGGGAAAAAGAACACTAGCAAACTAACCAGACAGGGAAACCCTTACCAGAAGCGGAAAGAGTCGGCATGTGACTTGTGAGCGAATCACCTGCACTCTGGAACCCTAACATGGCCACGTCAATGGGCTACTCTACTCACATACATAGAATGTGGCGAGGACTAGGTATTCTTATTCTTTGAAGATGCTTGTGAATATGTAAATACAACTTTCTGTTATCATAATGTGAGAAGCAAAAAGATTGAACAGAGAAGTGGTGTTGTGGAAAGATGGCGATCCAGTGTTTGATGGAGGTCGCACCTCGTGACCCTGTCTGATCGATACACTCGAGTACTGCTGATCTTCTCAGTTCTGCTAGAGTTAAAGAGGATGATTATTGTATTCCGTGGTAGAGTCATCGATTTATTCTTTTCGTTTCTTATCGTATTCGATATCAGCTTTCATCAAGAGACGATACAAGTCGAGTCGAGTCGGTCTGTCGGTCTGTCTTGTCTGCATCCGGACGATGCAACAATCAGTGTTATGACTACAGGGGATCATGACTTGTGCACTGCTTTTCGATTTTTGGAAATCGATAAAAATAAAACATCTTCTTTTTTGACAGGATCGATCATAAGAAATATTGGATATGTATGATGTAGAATAATCGGACGTGCCACGACGCGTCCATCAGGTATTCTGGACAGAACCATTCAACACAAGAATCTGGAACCAGAACAGGCAGACAAGCGAGCCAGCCAAGTCAAAATGACTGAATCAGAAAATCTTAAAACATGATCCACTTATTCCAGATTTCAGGAGACAAAGCCAATAAGAAAAATGTGGTCGCATGAACTAAAAGCTCGAACACAAGTAGGAGAAAGATTGGTGTGGTTGCCGGGAATTGGGGGAACGTAAGAAGGTTGATCTTGTGTCAACACGGGTTCCCTTATAAATTGCCCTTGCCCCGCGAACCATTTTTCCCTCCTCTCTCTCGCCATTTCCGCATTTTGCTCCTTTTCACCTTCAACTCTGCCACCAGACGAACTCTTAGTTTTCTTTTTTTTTTGATTCTCAGATCAATCTCGATATCTATCTATCAAATCAACCATCACAATGCCTCCCAAGAAAGCTTCCACTGCCGCTTCTGCTGCTTCCAAAAAGGCCGCTCCCAGCCATGCCTCCTATCGCGGTATGTTTCTTGTCATCGCCTTGCCATATATTCCCTGATCTTTTCCTCACCACCATGTCGCGTCAATTTGATTTTGGTATCGTTTGAGTCGCGTATCAATTCTGATTATTGCAATATAGATATGATCAAGGATGCTATTATTAATGTGAGTAGATCAGCGTCGTGTTTTGGTTGGGTCTTTGTCGGTGTTGTGGTGGTTGGGTTGCGACCGTGAAGTTTTAGGCGCGACTGCAACCATCACCATGACATTTCTTTGCAAGAGGTTTTATTGTTTGGTATTTATTTATTGGTCTTGCATCATGACTGACATGATTTTAATTTCAGTTGAAAGAACGCAATGGTAGCAGGTACGTGTTTCCGGGACTGGTCTCGCGTCTTTGGCGCGTCGGGCACGATTGATCGTCTTACCTACGGCGCATTGATCATAGCCTTACTTTCTATATTCTCATCTCATCCATATACTAACTTGCGCTACAGCCGTCAATCTATCAAGAAATATGTCCAGGCCAACAACAAGATCACCGTCGTGTCACCAGCTGCCTTTGACTCTCAATTCAACAAGGCCATCAAGGCCGGTGTTGAGAAGGGAGAGTTCAGCCAACCAAAGGGTTAGTCTTCTTTTCCATGACTGCTATGAATGTCGGATTGTTGCTAACCGACGCGTCTAGGACCCTCTGGCCCCGTGAAGCTCGCCAAGAAGGAGGCTGCTGCCAAACCCGTTCCTAAGGTATACCCCGTCCATCCGGATGCTTCATGCGCGTCTTTCTCAGACTAACTCATGATAGAAGCCTGCCGCCAAACCTGCTGCTGCTGCTGCTGCCCCCAAAAAGGCCGCCGCCAAGAAAGCAACCAGCACCACACCTGCTAAGCCCGCAAAGAAGGCTACCACCACCAAGAAGACAGCCACCAAGCCCAAGGCAAACACTGCCAAACCTCGCAAGACCTCTACAGCTGCGCCTGCCATCGTCGACGCACCAAAGGTCGAGACCAAGACCAAGTCCGGCCGCGTGACGAAAACAACCGCCAAGCCCGCAGCAAAGAAGGCTGCTCCTAAGAAGAAGGCCACAACCAAGAAGGCTGCAGCATGATTTCAGAAGATGAAATATTTGTTCTTGTCATGATTATGCTTTTCGTTTGTTTTATTTCTTATGTGATGTGTCTTTCTTTTTTTTTTTCTCTTTTCCCTTGGCGGTTTGACGCGTCGTGACACGTGTTTCCATTACCTCAAACCGAGATATCAAAAGGATGATCTTTCATCCTGTCACCTTGTGTTTCTGTTGATTATCCTATTACCTCGTTATGTTTTTGATTCGGTACTGGTCGGCGTCTGATTAGCTTGGAGGGTGTTCTATTCATGTTTGTTTGTTCTATTCTGCTCGATTGAGATTATGGGGGTTACTATTACCAGTTGTTATATCTATTATGTTTGTATTGTTCTTGAGATATGGGAATTGACGGTTTGAACTTCTTTATGGATTTTATCTTGGATTATTTAGGCTTAAGTTTAGGCCGAGGTTGGATGTCTTTTCGTTTACTATCTGGTGTTGTCCTGGATAGGGAAGGGATATTTACAGTCTTTTGTGGTATGTTTACTAATTGATTGCTTGGTTTAATTCTTTCGGTCTGTTTCTTGTGAGGGAATCCGTCGTAAATATTGTAGGTTAATTGTAGTTGTAGTGGACTCAACTCAGTGATGGGTATCTCGGGATCCGTCGCGTCGCAGTGTTGTAGTCACCAGGCATGGACCCATGCTCTGTTCTTTTGGATTGCTTCGCTACTTGACTACCTACCTCTGTATGTGTTCTTCTTGCTCTTAGTCATAAATTTTCAATGGGGAAATTTAGGTAGATTCGTTCTGTTTATGTCCGCGGGCGTAGTCTTTTCGGACGGACGTGGATGGTAGCGAGCAGAACGAACCCCAGGTTTGAGTTCAATGTATCTAGAAATTATGAGGATAGGTAACTGGGTGGTATCAGTAATAATATGTCCTTTGCTCCTGTGTTGAAGGAATCAATTGGTCAGTTCAATGTGGATGAACCTTGGAGGTTGATAACAATATCCGGATATATATAAACGTATGTTCCGGATTGCATATAATGGCGACATTCAAGCTCGGCATTCAACATATATGCTGGATCTCGTCCACTACTAATATGAGCACTTCAACTCAACTTTCTGCTTCTCACAGTTCATACATAGCCCTACATAAACAAGCAGAGTGACTGCCATAGCCTACAGACTCCCAAGTCGTCGATATAGATCGAAATCCGCCAATGGAAGTGCATTATATACGAAAGTGGGGTTGGACTAGTCCATATCAGGAATAGTACCACGAGATTCGTCTTGTATGATTGGCTGATGGGACCTAGAGATCGTTTCTTCTGATCTGTCTCCGTACGGAGTACGCGAACACAGAAAAAACGACCCGGCAGAATAATATATGTACCCCTATTACTCTGTATCTACACAGTAGACTGTAGTACTACATATGTTGTACGGACGAAACGGAAATTAATCGACTCAGCCACGGCGCCAAGTTCTATGCACCAGCCCCCGTCATACTGGAACAGGCTTAGCAGCGGAAGAGAATCAGCTTATCGCCGCCCAACGTACTCCTTCCTTGGTCCGACTGTTTTGGACGCCGACAGAGTATTCTCAGAGGCATCTGCATTCCTTTACACGAGTGTCGTGACTGTCGTCTCGTCTGATTTCACAAGTTGACGGCTACCGACCAGTCAGAATCCACCCAGGCAGAACGATTGGCCAATCTGCGTCATATTCTCCAGACCAGCCAAGCCAAGTGCAACGACACTCGATCCCCCTGTGATAATTCACTCATCCTTCTTCTCTTTCGCGTGTACGGCCGACTACGCAATTCGTATACGATGCTTGTTGACTTCAGTTTGCTTGGATAGATTTCGTTCTTTTGTCAATGCTACGGCAGACTGGAAGTCTAACTACTCCTTAACGGCGGAAAAAAGCGAGATTCTGTGGCACAACGGACGTTGCCTGTCGACCCGCCAGTACCGTTCCACGCAGACCTCACGTCACAAACGCCTTTTCTAGCTTATTGAGAGGAAATTTGACTTTCGGAGGCTCGACTTCAGAGAGTAAAACGAGGAAAAATAGAAAGAAAGAAAGAAAGCATGCCCGCCATCGTGTCCGACGGCCCCTATCATCAACCTGCCAGTGCCAGTCCCTCCAATTCATTCGATATCGCTTCTCGGAAATCTCACGAAAAGACCTCCGTGGGCAACACTTTTCTCTACACTCCGGGGGCCAATGGCGATGTGGGCCGCCTGGAACCGCATTCTTTTCAACATCAACATCATCATCAGCAACATCATCATCAGCAACAGCAACAGCAACAGCAACAGCAACAGCAACAACAACAACAACAACAACAACAACAACAACAACAGCCGGATCATAAGCAGTTTCTTACAAGTCTAAAGAATGGCAGTGTCCCGTCGTTGAACGGAGGGCGGTCTAGTATCGGTTCGTATAGTCGTGATCGACCTTATTCGAGAACAGATAGCACGCCGTCGGTGAATAGCGTTTCTCTGCGCGATAGTCAGTATTCGTACCAGCAGCAACAACAACCGTCGTACAATCGGCGAGGATCAGCGATGGTCGATGGGAATGGACAACAGGGTTCTGAGCTGGAACTGCCGCAGCCTCAGGTTAATGGTAATTCGTCAGTCCGGTCACGATCGCCGACGTCGAAATCCGTGGTTCCCAATGGCGATACGCAGCGGTTGTCGGGTAGTGATGATCGCACTTCGTACTTTGACGCAAATCACCAGGGCATGAAGAGTTATTCGCATACTCCGCTGTCGACATCGCTTCCTGATGATACGAATCATCTTCCTCCTGAACCCGACCGGCTTGCAGTCCCGAACAAGCGCTCTCAGCATAGATATTCGTCTCCGCCTGCGCCGTTGAATTATGATTCCCCTTCTTCGCCGTCTTCGCCTACCCCGTATTCGCATAGGCATACACTGCAGGTACCTCGATCCACGTCAAGAAGAAGTCGCGAGCTTTCTCTTGACGAAGCTCGAACGTACTCTTCCGGTCGCCCGGAACATCACCGTCGGGCATCTTTGAACCTCGTCCGCCGAGCTACTCGAACTAGTGCGCAGGATCTTCCGCCAGATGAAGCCTTGACCGATGAAGATGCCGCTCGCTGGGCGGAAGCAATCAAACAGAAACGCGCGAGAAAGAAGCGCCGCGAGGAAGATGACGACGATCGCGTTATTGTGGGCACAAAAGTCGACCAGAACCATCAGAATTGGGTGACGGCGTATAATATGCTGACTGGTATTCGATTTGTGGTTTCGAGAATCAATGCGAAGATGGATCGTGAATTGACCCCGGCTGATTTTAATGCGAAGCACAAGTTTTCATTTGATATGTAGGTTCCTCCCCTCCCAATAAATGATGAGAAGGTAAAGCTGACAAGATAGAACCGGCAACGAGTTGACGCCATCCGCGAAATACGACTTCAAATTCAAAGATTATGCTCCTTGGGTCTTTCGGAATTTGCGTGCCAAGTTCAAGCTAGATCCAGCCGATTATCTCATGTCCCTGACGAGTAAATATATCTTGTCGGAATTGGGCTCACCGGGAAAGAGTGGCAGCTTCTTTTATTTCTCGCGAGATTACAAGTACATTATCAAGACGATCCATCATTCCGAACACAAGCTACTACGCAAGATACTGCCGGATTATTACAAGCATATCGAGAGCAACCCCAACACGCTAATATCGCAGTTTTACGGTCTGCATCGTGTCAAGATGGCATATGGACGGAAGATTCACTTTGTTGTAATGAATAATTTGTTTCCGCCGCATCGCGATATTCATCAAACGTTTGATTTGAAGGGTTCGACTGTTGGGCGTGATTTGCAAGAAGAGAATTTGGAGAAGAATCCTCGCGCTACAATGAAGGATCTCAACTGGTTGCGACGCGGTCGTCATTTAGAAGAAGGGCCGATGAAGAAACAAGTGTTTATGGCTCAGCTGCGGCGTGACGTTCGATTACTTCAGAGATTGAAGATTATGGATTATTCGCTGTTGGTGGGTATACATGACTTGGGTCGCGGTAATGAGGAGAATCTCCGCGATAAGACGTTGCAAGTCTTTCAACCGGGTGGCGACGAGGACGATTATCCCAGTACCTTGTTGATGCGGACGCCATCGAAATTGGAGAATGCTCGTAAAGCTCGCGAACTGCGACTTACGTTGAAACGAGAGCGGCCGGTGCCTATACAGCAGACAGCAGCAAAGATGCCAGATGAAATTCTTGACGAGAGGAAGAATCTGGTTTTTTATTCTGATGATGGTGGTTTTCGCGCGACGCACGAGAATGGCCAGCCGGGTGACGAGATTTATTATCTTGGTATTATTGATTGTTTGACACCGGTAGGTTCACCCTTATTGTTAGGGGGTATTCAGTTCTAATGGATATACAGTACGGAATTGTCAAAAAGGCAGAACATTTCTGGAAAGGCCTGTCACACAGTCGGGCACAAATATCACCCATCCCTCCTGAGCAATACGGAGAACGATTCATCAATTTCATGGAAGGCATCACCATGTCCAGAGAGGAAGCAGAACGACTAGCCCAAGCTCGAGCCAAGGGCGAAACGACCGACGAAAAGGTGAAAAACACCGAAGGCATTCGTCCCGAGGCCGTGGAAAGAACAATGTCTGAAGCAGAGGATATGACTCGAAACACTGGTCCAGAGCCTCATGCGCGAACACTTTCCACGATGCGCGATCCGCAAGATGTGAATAGCATCAGCGGACCAAATACATTGCCGATTGTCGACGAAGCGGGCGAAGCAGCAAGTCAGAAGAGTGGGCGCAGTCCTCGGAATAGAACTCGCTCTGAGATTTCAGATAAAATGCTTCAAGAGGTTCAAGCGGAAGATTCGCCACGACGAGCATCTGCTTGGCCTTAGTCGCTACGAAAGGACTTTTATCAAAAACTATTACGACGACTTGTATAATTATTTCCTATCCATGATACGCCTTTTGCTCATTATGCATTTATCTCGTCTCGTCTGATCAGCAAGTTTTATCATTGTACTTGTTTGTTGCGAGTACGACAGCCCTTCTTTATTCATTGAATATATTTCCTACCGTTTCTCTCGCTCAGTCCCATTTCTTTTCTTTTCTTTTTGTCTCTTCTGCATCTATTTAAGATTCCCATCACCAAGAAGACTCTTATTACGGACTTGGTTTCGTATGTACTTTATAAAGTACTCACCACTGGCTATGCAGCTTTTTCTTTTTCTTTTTCTTCTTTTCTTTTTTTTCTTTTTTTTTTCGTGGTTCTGCTTCATTCGATTCAAGTGTATCTTATTATTTTAGTGGGATTTCTTATTTTTATTTTAGATTAGAGTGTCATGGTAGGGGTTAAATCATTGGCTGAATATTCGTCTTGTTCTCTAGATAGGTACTCATAGTGAGTATATAAACTAGATTCCTAGTATCGATGTGCATGTACCGGTGGTTGTGATGCAAACTCATGACCATTTGGCCCCATGATTCAGTACGAGGCATTTCCTAGGCGTGGCTCTGCTGGCTCTATTTCCGACCTATGAGCCTTTCGCTTGGAATACATAAGTTATGGAGTAAAGAGAGGATGCAGTCCATATGACCGGTTTGTGCGCAAGCTGAGTAACCTACAGAACTAATGAGTTCAGCCTGATAATCATGACTGTTGACAGGTTAGTGGATTTAGTCTGTCGGTTTAGTTGGTTTAGTTTCTTAGGTGTTCGTATTACTTTTTTCTTTTTGTTTAACTAACTAGTAGTTCGTATATAAGTATTATGGTTCGACTTGATTTTTTATTTTCGCGTCGTGTTGTATCGTGTCGTGGAGTAGTAAAATGTCCGAAGAGAACGCGTGGCAAGCACCGCCGTTAACTGTGACGGCTTCGTCGTCGCCGACAGATCGTCGGAATGATACGCGATTCGATGCGGTGGATGGGGAGAAGGATAGTAGAGGTTCGTATCTACCAACTCTCTTCAGATCGAGACTGATGAGTGAGTATAGATGCATCCCAGAGCCGGATGTCGGATCATATCGAGATTCCCGACGACAAAAACACCCATGACTTGAAAGATGATGGGAAGAAAGAACGGAATAGACGCAATGGTATTCCCTCCTTCGATCCATCTCATCTCATAGATTTCTGACTGAATAGATGACATATAGCACGCCTCCTCCAAGGCCCAAGTCTAAAATGGCACAAGGAATACTCCGACCTCGACCCCCAGGCCGGACGAGTCCTAATGATCGATTTTGCGCGAAGCGGTTTGCCTCCTTTCCTTTCAATTCCTTCAACTCAATCTGATTTGATTAGATAAATCACGCTCTCATATCCGCAAAGTCGCCGCTCAAGAAATCTTCTCCATCCACGGCTTGCGCCGATTTTATAGGGTATCCGGGCAGGAGACACCAACGATGAGAGTAATTCACGTTCAAAATGCGGATTGGGCCGTTCCGTTTCTTATGCACAAATTTAATATATCTACCCATAAATCTCGAAGTGATGGCTCGGGGTCAGATTTTGGGCGGTATTTGAGATATAAGAATCCAGAGTTACGCGGTGGGAAACCCTTTCTAGCGGGCAGGACGTGGAAGGTACAGTATGATCCCTGGATGGGGGTGAATAGGACTTCGTTTGGGTTGGATTATATGAAAAGTTTTCGGAGAGGGCCTAGGATGAGAGAGGGGAGGAGGGATAGGATGATGCAGTTGAATGATTTTGATGATAATGGTATGTCCTCTCCCACCACTTCGAGGTTTGAGGAGGGGCTTTTGACTGAAGAGATAGATGAACCGATATGTGGACATGATGTATACGTGCAACGACTCAGTTGCTATATTCAACACAAACAAGCGCCGTCTGAGAACAGATTGTCGAGAGAGGATCTGCCGTTACGGAAACATTTTTATCCTCCTGATGTGTATGACGAGGGGGACGATGATAATATGCCCGACGGCAAGGATAAAGATAGCAAGCAAAGACTTCGCCTGGATAATGGAAATGTGATTATCATATTCGATAATTCGTCGTCTGGCAATATTGACGATACTCTGATCCCCGCTCGACGCGATCTGGAATGTCGTTGGCGTCGATTACCGTTTCATTTGGCATTCGAATCTCGCGATCCAGTGGAAGACGATGACGGGAAACTTGCCTTGAACTGCAGTAAAGCGATATTGAGTGATATCTTTAAATCTGTCGTCGGGACATGGGACAAATTTTTAGATCATGCGGGTACGCACATGACAATACTGGAAGATAAAATCTACGAAAGACCGGACGATGAGAGTAGAGCACCGGAGTTGTGGGCGAATTCGAGTGCGTGGCTGAAAGTTGAGAAATTGGTGAATGTGCATGGGAGTGTGGTGCAGGAGATGAGGATGAGGCTACATGAGTTGACTGGTAGCCCCTCCCCTTTCCCTTCTATTCGGGATGATAGGACTGACGATGGTAGATGATGTGGACAGCGAAGATAACTGGCTTGAAGATATTCCCAGCGACTTTGAGAGATTGACGAATTTGATAGCGGAGGATTTGACCAAGCCGACTGAGTCGTTGATATCGTTGTTGTATCAGAGTGTGTCGATTAGGGATAGTAGACATAGTCTAGAACTGGGAGTTAGCAGTATGTCACCCCTTCCAAATATCTACATACTGGAAAATAACTGACATTGAAAGTGTGGCGACTGAGTTGGATCACATTTATATTCCTCCCCCTGACATTCATCGTCGGATTCTTCGGTACGTTCTCTTCCAACTCATAAAGGATAGAATCTGACAATGTAGGAATGAATGTGGATACCTTCGCCAACATGCCCAGTATAAAATGGTACTTTATAGCCGCTATACCATTCATGCTTGGCGTTTTGACGTTCTACTTTCTTATGAAAGGCGGCTCATCAGATAGTCGTCGTCGCTCACCGCGTGAACGCATCGTTTACGAAACATTTTTCCAAGATATGGCTTCTCAGAACCCGACGCTGTGGTCTAGAAACGGTCCGAGGGATTACGTGCGTGTGGAGGGTTGGTTTGTGAGGTTGAAATGGAGGTTAATCAAGTATTGGCTTAGACCGGTGGATTTGGTGGGAAGTACTACTTTCACCAGCGCCACAACCACAACACCGATCCCTAGCAGTGATAATGAGATATCAACCGGCGTTCGGGCATCCTTTACTGGGTCCGGTGATGGCTTGAGTACTTTATCCCGTCTACAGCGCTATCTCTCCCGTCGCTGGACGCCTCAGATCGCGGCTCATACTACATCGACGTCCGCGGAAGACACGGAAATGGGATTGATGAGCATGAATGATGACGAATTTGAGAATTTGGCGCGACTGAGTGGTGATGAGAGGTTGAGTATGAGGGAGCATTATTCGATTGGGGATGGATTGTCGGAGGTCACGGAGATAGTTGCTGTGCCTGCGGTGCCCAGGGCGGGGAGGCCGGGGTTGATGTTGTGGAATTCTGCACCCGAGGGTGTGAGCGGTAATGGTAGTGGTAGTGATGATGGGGGGAAGGGAGGGAATACGCATTTGACTGTGCCTGGGAGGAGGGTTCTTACGGCTACGACACATGATGAGCACGAGGATGTGGATACCAGTGATATCGACGAAATAAATACATCAAATATCCCTAATCCGGTCATTGCGGCAGCTCTGACTCGTGAGCGTGCAAGGCAACATCGTCTTCGAAGTAGTAGTTCCCCTTCACCGCGTGGACGAGGTCATCGACGTGGAGGTAGTGGTAGCGGGTCATCCGGTGGAACACCAGGGAGAGGAAGTGATAGAGTTCTTATCGAAGAGGAGGATGCAGCGTGGTTGAATGAACGGGGTAGGAAAGGCAAGGATTGGATTTGGAGGTTTGGTTCTGGTTCTGTCTCGGACGATGATAAGGATGAGACGAAGAAAGAAGGGGATAGGAAGTCTGGTTCTAATGAGGGGAGGTAATGTATATACCTTTTTCTTAGGGAAGAAGACAGGTATGGCCATATTACTGTATCATTCAAGAGACCTATCTAAGGTACTTGATAGTATCATAGGAAAGCAAAACCTGATCAAAACTCCTTTCCTTCCAAGCACCGTCGACTACCCAACCATTCTTTCCTGAGTATCATGCTCTAGACGAGAAGAAAGCTAAAAATTAAACCGTTGCCGTACGCCGTCGCTCCTCATTTGAATTGAATAAAGAAAGGAAATTGTAGAAAGACTATTCAGCCTTCCCCTGAGTAACCTTGGCAGCTTGGACGGCAGACATCTTCTGAGTCCAACCCTGAGCAGGCTGCGGCTTCTTGACGGTACGCAAGTCGTCAGTGGCAAACCCAGAGATGCGCATGTTGTAGTTACGCTCTAGGACGAGCTGGATGTCGCGGATTTCGAGGGTGGATGATGGACGCAATTTGGCGAGACGACAGGCTGCTGTGATGACGTCGTCGACGAAGTCGTCTGCCATTTGGAGGATGAACTGTGAAGATTAGTATGGGGTGAGATTCATGATGAAAAAAAGGAGGAGAGAGATACCTCTTCAGCGTCAGGAGTGAGACCTTCGCCTTCACCTCCACCAGTCACTTGACGGACCAAAATGTCGAGCATCTTCTTGCTCAAGACCCGTTGACCTTCGCCCTCGAGAACGTAGCCAGGATGTTTCTGAATGGCGGGTTGGCCCATGACACCCATCGCGCCGTGACTGGGACCTCCAGAAAGAGTAGGACGAGGAGTGCCCATTGCAACAGGCTCAGGAGTCTGCACGTTCAAGTTCTTGGGGATAGCCATGTTGTGGTTGCGAGTGGTGTTTTCAGTTGAACGATTCTGAATGTAGCCAGGAGGATGTGCGTGGGTAGTTGCTGCTGACTGCGGGGTGCCTGCCTGTTGGGTTTGTTGATTAGATTGTTGTTGTTGATTGCCCTGGTAGGATTTTGCTGCTTGAGAAATAGCTGCCTCGTGCGACAGCGGGCGTGGATGGCCCTGGGCGTTAGCTGCTTGATTCTGTGCCATCGTGGCTGCGTCTGTTTGAGCTGTGGCTTGAACTGGTTGTCCTGCTGGTTGTGTTGTTACTGGAGTGGCTGCTGTGGTGGGCGTTGCGATTTGTGCTTGAGGAGCAGCGGTTGCCTGAACTTGGCCTGCTTGTGTCAATGCTGGTACACTGGGTTGTTGAGCCTGAACCCGAGCAGCATTTACAGCAGAATTTATAGTATGAGGTGCCGGTGCTTGTTGTGCAGGATGCCCTGGTGTAGCTGTACTCACGGGAGTTGCCGTCGAGGTCGCTGGTTGATTTGGAGCTTGCGGTACTGGCTGCGCGCCGCCTTGTTGTGCTGTACCAGCAGCTCTGGCAGCTCTGAATCCTTCTTGTTGTTCTGAGAATTTTCTAAGAAATTCTTGACCTTCGCGAAACAACTTCTCTGCTTGAAGTTGTCGAGTTCTGAATGCTTGCATCTCTTCTGTGCTTATCGACCCAGCACCCCCAGCACTTTGACGTGCTTGAACTTGTTGTCGCACTTCCAGACTTCGTTGACGCCCGATTTCCTGTTTCTGCAGCGCCATCCCATATCTAAGCTTTGCTTCATTCAACCAGTTGGCAGTCTGTTCTCTGGTTCCGTTGGGAGGCAACTGAAACTGCACGCTATTGACCTTGGCTTGGATCGCTGGAAGGAGTTGACTAAACGCCGTGATGTTACCAGTCGACTGAGCAGCTTGTGGGTTTTGAGCGGGTTGTGCCTGAGCTTGTTGTTGCTGCTGTTGTCCTGTTTGTAGTTGAGCCTGCTGAGCCTGTTGCTGTGCCTGTGCCTGTGCCTGTGCCTGTGCCTGTGCCTGTGCCTGGGCTTGGGCTTGAGCTTGAGCTTGAGCTTGGGCTTGTGCTTGAGCCTGCTGCTGCTGCTGCTGCTGCTGAATCTTATTCCTGAATAGTTGCATTCCCTTCATGAGGTTCTGCGATATTTGCATAAGCCTCATTTGCGCATTTCGGTATTCATCGGTGGACGGATCGCGCGAATTGAGAATATCCCACAAGCCCCGGACGAGCTGTGTGTGTTGGGATTTCTGGGCATCGTTTAAATGAGGGAGTTTGGCCACTTGGTCCGTACGGATCAAGGAAGGTTGCTGTTGAGGCGGGACTGGCTGGTTCGTGGCAGCCTGGCCATCCATGATGTCTATCAGCAATGACTCGACGATGGCGTGGTCGATTTCCGGAGTGTGCTAGAACGAGATGTTTCGTGACCGGGAAAACAAAGAGATCAAGAGCCAAAAACAGTGATTGTATTGCAGGATGACTGTGCGACCAAAACGCAAAGGATCTTTGGTTTTCAGCTGGGAAATTCAGGAAAAATGGCAGAGGATGGTTGTCGCCGAAGTCTGAAGTTCATACCCTGGGCTTGGCGTGCGCTGCCGCAACATACACTTTTAAACTGCATACCAGCTGCGATGTTGTCTGTTCAGAAGTAAAACAAATGCATTTGTGAAGAGAACTTTGATTGTCTAGAGATAATCTCTTATACTTTATGTGATAGTCATATTCATTTATTTATATTAACTATCTATTCACCAATCTGGCTATAAAGAACAAAGTTTGTGCCTCCTTATTCCGAAACAACCACCGGAAATCCATCCCTGGAGATGAACTTACAGGACTGGACTAAGTGAGTCTCTTCGGAGGAGGTAGAGCTATGTGTCTGACCTGTTTGGTGAAGAGCCCAGTACGTGGAATGATTCCCAAGCTGTATTCTGCCTGCCGACAATCTCGGAACAGTGTCCTTGATGTCGGAATGTGAAGGATCCTGCAGAGTATGCTTACAAGCCATGCCGGGCAAGAAGTGGCTCTTGGTCAAGCTTTGCAGCCTCTGATAACCGGTTTCGCTGCTCAATGTCAATCCCGAATCCGGAATATCGTTGCAATGATATGCAATTCATAACCTCATCTCATTAAACCTCCTAGATCTCGCGACATTCCTGTTACACGATCTTCGAGGATCTGTTTTCTCCTCTCCAACTCGCGAATTTCCTCAAGCTCTCTCTCAATATCCTCATCCGTAACTTGTATGTCGTGCTGCTGCAGTTCCGGGTATTCAATCTCATTGTCTCGGTCGTATGCCTCGTTCATAGCTTCTAATTCCGCAGCATTATCGGCAACTCTAGCTTCCAGCCGGACAAGCGACTCGCTGATTTGAGAATAACGATAACGGATGTCTGCAATTTTTTCGGCAGCACCAGCAACGGGACTGCAGAATAAATTTGTTAGAAGTTAATTAGCCTAGTCAGAAGTGGAAAAGACTGACTAGACATTGCACAGAATCTCTGCACCCTTCAACAACACTTCCACATTGATATCTCCACGCTGTAGTCTTGTAGAAGATCCCGCCGAGCGCCTAATCTCCTCCATCATATCGTTACCCAAGACACGAGCGACCGCAGATTGATTCCGGTTGTTTCTTGCGGCATTGATGCGACTGATCATCGTCTCCCGTTGTGTGTCGGCCGGAAATGTCGTGCCTCGGCGCGTTGCTCGCCGTTGAGAAGGTTTTGCAGAGGCATCGAGTGTGAATAGTGCGCGTTCATGAACTTCCGTGTCTCTGATCAAGGCTGTTATATCCGGAGTGTTTAGTAGAGCGTTGGTGAATATTTTGGGTGGAGGGAACCTGCGGGGGATTAGCTGTATGCCGAATATATTGCAATTGTTCTAGACTTACGACAAGTCGGCAATGGCATTGGCGGAGAGTGTAATCTGCTCGAGATGGCTTTCTAAAAGCGACATGATGAATGGATTATACGGCACAACAGCAGTAGTCTTCTAAGCCGTTGCTATGATGTTGTTCTTGTTGTTGTTGTCGTTGGGAATCGCGCCAAGCTGGGACGGAGAGCAAGGCGGACTTAGTGGCCTCAGGCAGGAGCTATGGCAAGGCGCCGAATCATGACAACACATCCTCACTTTCTGTGCCAACTCATCTTACAACAGAGGACACATACCGACAACAGATATTTCTCGTGTCATGGACGTTCAAAGTATTTGTCTATCTGAAATACTTTGAGCAACTCGCGTGAGTGACTGCTTACCTAATTCGGCGTCGGAGCTTGGCAGTTGCGCAGGTGGTTGCTGCTGCTCTCTCTGCTGACTCTCTTTCTCTTTTATCTCCTACCTTGACATCACCTCCATCATCCATCACTCTTGTTCGCATCTCACGCTCCCTCCCACCTTTTGTTGTCTCTGATCTATCTATTCTGTTTTGTTCATAATCTCGATAACCTCTCAGCAGTTGTACTACTGGGTGATTACGTGCTTCAGCCCTTTCCCCGAACGACTGATCGCCCGACTCTCGAGCTATCACAAGCTGCAAAAGATGCCAGTTGAACGACGCTCTCTGAGGTCTAACAGCAAGGGTGATACCTCATCATCAACCAACGGCGAAAAAGCTCGTTCTAATTCGAATACCGCCTCGAGCAAAGATAAAGCTGCCCCGACAACCCGCTCAGCGGCAAATAAGGCCAAATCAGCTCCGGCTAAGAAACCCGTCACAGGCAAGGGCGCTAGCAGCTCGAACACCAGCAATAACAACATGAGTGGCGACCAGCCGCAGCGAAATGGCACAGATCCTGTAGAGAATGGTGAAGACGTGGAGATGGAAGAGGATACGGCAGGTGGGCCTACACCGTCCATCCCAACCAGCAGGGAACATGATGGTGACCAGATGACTGTTGTAGTGCCCCCAGCAAAGGGTGCCAGACTATCTGGCCAGGACAATAAGAAAGACAAAGAGGATGACGTCGCTATGGAAGACTCTGACGACAAGGACGCTCAGTCTGACGAACCCGAGATTGATCCTCGAGTGAAAGCTGTCCAAGGTAGGGTTTCGCGGTGGTGGTTTATCAATGATTTGTGCTGACTCTGGAGTCTAGATATTCAAAATAATTTCGGTCTTTTGGAGCGTGCTGTGACGCACTTTGACTCCCGATTCACCCTCCGAGTCCTACGATCAATATCCTCCATGCGCAAACATATCACACCCGACGTTCTCGCCGAAGTTATTGTTGATACTTACTCTAGCTCGAGCCAGACGGCAGCATTCCTATTAGAAGCCATTGGCAAGCCCGATGCTTTTGATGTTGCCTCGTCGAAGATGGATGTAGACTCCGATAAGCCCAAGAGTCGTGAAATCTTGCCAGAAGTTGACACCTATCTGTCGATACTTGTTCAGATTTATCTTTACGACCAGAAAGAGACACAGCGCGGTGCAGATTTCTCCAGCAAATTAGTTGAACGACTGCGGCAACTCAACCGTCGTACTCTTGACTCTTTGACTGCTCGCGTGTACTTTTACTTCTCTCTGTTCTATGAGCAGTTGGCTCCCCTCCCTCCTTCCCCTGCTGCAGCAGTCATTTCGATACGCAAGCCTTTGCTCGCCGCGCTTCGCACTGCTGTCCTTCGTAAGGATGTCGATATTCAGGCTACCGTTATTACGCTTTTGTTGCGCAACTACTTGTCCACCTCACACATCACACAGGCTGACCTTCTGATTGCCCACAACGAGTTCCCAGCCGCAGCGTCCAACAATCAGATTGCGCGATATCTCTACTACCTCGGTCGCATCCGTGCTATACAATTGCGATACAGTGAAGCGCACGAACACTTAACCGGAGCGACTCGTAAGTCACCGACGAGCCACAGCGCTGGTGGATTCTACCAGGTGTCAATGAAACTTCTCGTTATCGTGGATCTGCTCATGGGCGATATTCCCGACCGATCCGTCTTCCGTCAGCCGGCTTTGGAAAAAGCTCTGCACCCATATTTCCTCCTTGTCCGTGCTGTCAGCGCAGGTGATCTCGATGGATTCTTGAATATCGTCAACACTCACTGCATCACCTTCCGGAAAGATGGAACATATACTCTGATTTTGCGACTACGACAGAACGTTATTAAGACTGGCATTCGAGTCATGTCAATTGCATATTCACGGATATCTTTGCGCGATATTTGCCTTCGTCTTGGCTTACATAGCGAGGAGTCGGCTGAGTATATTGTCGCCAAAGCTATTCGAGATGGTGTTATTGATGCCACTTTGGATCACGAGCAGGGTTATATGAAGAGCAAGGATGCCGGTGATATTTACCTGACAAGCGAGCCGGGTGAGGCATTCCACGCTCGTATCCAGGCTTGCTTAAGTCTCCACGATGAGAGTGTTAAGGTTAGTTGTATTTCCTTTTACCGGTTGCCAGTCACTTACATAATACAGGCCATGCGCTTCCCCATGAACCAACACCGTCTGGAACTGAAGAACGCACAAGAAGCGAGAGAGCGTGAGCGAGAACTCGTCAAGGAAATCCAAGACGGTGACATGGACGACGACGATGCTGGCGGTGACTTTGATAGCATTTAAGCGGAAAGAAAGTATGAATAGAGCCAGTATAAGCGATGCATCCCATTCCTCAACAACAATCATGTATACTGCAAGGACTTTTTTCACTCACGTGTTTTTCTACTTTTTATCTGCGTCAGGGTTTCAGAACACTTCGGGGCCATTGGGGATCGTCCTTCGCTCTCTACACTACATCTACTTCCCCTTTTTCTTTTCTATGTGCGTGTGTGAAGGGGAGACAGGGTCATGTATGTACAGTCCGTTCAGCTCGGTCTGCTCTATTTTGCCGATTTCCTTTTCTTGTTTCTCTTGTTTCTTTTGTATCCAGCTTTATAAGCTAGACAAGACTTGCCAATCAATTACGATGATTTTTTTATTTTAGTTCTGTTCGGGTCAGATCAGGACGTGTAGTGTAGTCAGGATAGTCGATTGGACCTTTGTAATAGATATGGTAGGTCTCGCTGTTTCTCCATGATATTTTCGATGCCGTTGCTAACTCGCATGCCCTCATGTTTCATCGCCATATCTACCTCAGATGCCCTGCCAATGTTGTTCGCCTTCATCAATTTCCCGGTTATCATCCTCTCTGGTGATGGGCAAACCCACAACTCCTTCAGCCATTGTTCTGTATGTCTGTCCCCGCCTCCCAAAGTCTGCTCGGACGGTGGTGGGTATGTAGTGATGTTCACTTACCTACTTTGCCGCGCAAGACTGTTTTGCAATCCCGCGTGACGCTCTCGAGAAGAGCCGGAAATGTTTTCGCATAACTACTACATTTGCCTAAGGAGGATTATACGTATTTCGATTCACGATCCATGACAGGGCTCAAGTAAGATCAGCCACATACCTAGGTACTTGGTAAGCTCTGGACATGTGCTACGACAGCTCGAGACTGACATCGCGGGTCGAAGTAGGGAGATAGTGAAGAACACGAAGTAAGGATATGAGAAGGATGTTGAAGAAAAAGGTCCAGGGGGATTCTTGAGCCGATTTATAATGCACAGTCTGTTGCCCACAGAGCTCAAACGCCCGCGGTGCCAGAATAGAAAGGATGGGAGCGCCCGGTGTTTGCATCTCCTCCTTCCACATAAGACGACAATTCTTTCTTACTACATCCATGGATTTTGAAGTCTCTGTTTTATCATTATGAAGCACTGGAGAGGACTATAGCATCGGAACTACTGCCAGAATTGCCTCAATGTACTTGGCAGAGCTCCATACGCAACAAGAAGATATCTATGTCTGGGTACCAGCCCAGCAGACGCTCTGGTGAGAGGTTTTGGGCCCCGACAATCTTCTTTGTCATGTCGAGAAAGGTCTTTGCTAATAGTCAGGCTGTAGATTGGGTCAATTCCCAGTCGAGGTTGCGGTCACACCATTGCTGCAAATTTCCAGCCTCTTTACTGGTGTTGTTTGAATGAAGGAATGCCGAAGATAGCATTTGAGGATAAGGGAAAGACCTGCTCATCCAACGCCCCTTATTCGCCACCTGTTGCCCAGAGAGAACATATAGCGAGCGTAATGGCATTTGGACAAGGCCTTTATTCCGTGTGGCAGGCGGAATATGGACATTTCTTGTATGTCAAGCCACTTTAGACTTATCAAGAGATGGAATTACATGAAGGCTGATAAAGAATGGTACATAGAAGGCCTCCGCCCTACCTGATATGGCTCTGTGAAGAAGTAATGTCTTCTCCATTAGCTGACAATCAAGTAGGTCTCCATGAGTAAACGAGAATGAATGAAGGGAATTACCGCACCATTGCCCTGGTATGGTTGCATTGCTTGCCCGGTCTTTGTTTCTCTTTGATGGCATTGAGCTGTGTTTGCTCACCAGAGGCTGGGACTATCGGGATTCAGGGCGTATGGTTTAATCCACATAAGCTGCCATTTACCCCCTGCCTCAGCCTTTTTTCTCTTCCCCATCATCTTCTCTATCTTCTTCACTATATGACACTGCTTGTATGGCACTGGACCTCCTTCAGGACTCATAATCTTTTCTTGACATGCTTTATAGGTCTACACTACTTCGACCTTCGTGTTTGTTATGTCTGCCTCTAAGGGGCTCCCCAGAAGCTCATCACTGACAAGCACTTAGGGTAACGGCTCGCTCCACGGCTCTACACACTATGTGGTTGCGTTGCCTTGCTATGTTATATCAAGTACACATATACGGTTGAATCATGAAGTTCTCGGCACAGGAGGTGACACAAATCGAACATCTAGTGGCCGAGAAACAGCTGAGCTTCTATCAACCAACAGTCGACAAGATGTGGCAAAGTTTAGAATCGAAGACTTCGACATACTGTGTGATAACTCTCTGAATCGGATCGTCATGGACTATGATGGGAAAGATTCAGAGGAAAATATTGAGATTGTTATATCAAAGCAGGAGACATTCTGTTCTATAAATGTAGTCGGTATTCTCCTCTATGACAAAATTCAAGTTTCAAAGCCATTCTCGAACTGTTCACTGATGACTGCAGTAGATATGATCTGTCAGCTGCATTTGATACTTTAAAGCAAGTATTATTCCTTGGGGCCCAAACAATAAGTTCAAAGAAGACTCGAGAAAAGCGGAAGGCTGCGTAAGCCAACAGCTTACTACGATCTCTTGCACTCACCCTACACTGCCTATGGCGATTGACTTTGTCATCTATTCCCCCTATTCCCCCATTTTCGACCGTCATTATCGCCTCCTACGTCTCTTCCTACCATTTGTTTCGTTTTATTTGCTTACATGCATCATCACTTCTTTACTTCTTACGATCACCTGTTTTCATCTACCACTTATTACGATTTTATGCCATTGCAGCTACTGAGGTCAGGAGCTATCTTCGAAAGGGGGGCAATTTGTGATCATATCTATACTTCATGTATCGCTTCACCACACAGTTACGGGAAACTTAGCTTAATCGATATCCTTTGCCTCCATCTGCCTCCAGCATAAGGTTGGCGATCCTCACAAATTGGTAGCATTCACAGAACTACTTCAAGTAGCCACGATCGACTCAATGCAAGGTCATGAACCGGACATCATTATATGGCAGAACACCCAGGGGAAATGTGACAATCTAGCCACGGCTTCTCTTACAGGCGCCATATGAGGACTGCTGGTTAGGGCTTTGCATGCATCCATTTTCAGCCGCCCATTGGGCTCATCAGCCATAATTCTCCTACAAGAAGAGTGGACAGTATCGCGGTTCCAGCTCGAGGAGACGACTGAGTCTATGGAATGGGCGTTGGAAGACCTAACATTATGGCGAGTTTTTCGGATGTCTAAATGTTATTTCTTATTCTGTTTTTATCATGTATTTAGGACAGTGCAGCAACTCAATCCTTCAGCATCATCTTACCACTCATAATCCTCCGTGATGGACTTTGCTTCTCCCCCTTGGTTCTCGTAGACGGTTATATACAGCACAGAAATCTATTTCTGCTTCACATACCTAGGTAACTCAGGACTATCTGACTCTTCTCGTTTAGGGAAACGCTTGATATTGAAGTCTCTGTCAAGTGCGATAGGTAGTTGAATCTATCGTCATCATCTCCTTCTGCATATTGATTCATTGGTTTACTACCTAAATACCCATTGGCTCTTAGTTTCAAGGTTATTAAAGTTTTAAGTATGTATATCTTCTCCGGGGCTCTTCAATCTTACACATGCAGCATTCTCCCACTTTGAAGATATATATCTCGAGCTCGAGACTCTCAGGCTAAGGAAAGAAAACTTAGAAAAGCGAAACGGTTATTGGAGAGGAATCACACACAGGCATCAAATGAGTACAAGAAATATTCCGATAGAACTTCAGTATAACCCAGAACAATATTCAGCCGTAATTGATCGCAGTCTAGAGACTCTTGGAGCAGTCAGAGTATCAAAATGTCTAGAATGAAGCTGAAGTTGCTGAGCCGGGATGAATCGGAGACGCACCGACGATTGCTCAGTGCATTCTCATTGGCCGAGAAAATCGTCGGACCCGCCGAGGTACGACTTCCAAGTTCTCAAGAAAGAGAGAGAGCTCTGACTCGTGACATCTTCCCTCGTCAGCTCAGTGCATTGCTGTTCTTTTGCTTGTTATATGGCTGTTTAATTCTTTCTTGTACCAATACCTCCTCCGACAAAGATCTCGACTATGAGATCTCGAGCTGTTCGCGCCTCTTCCGGGCTGCTATTCTCAAACCGTCAAGCTACGGCTGTACTTCCGCGCCCGACAACCTCGATATGCTCCCAATGCCTTCGCGATGAGCTTCTTTTGGCCGTTATCCCCTCCGTTCACTCAAGAAAATACCATCCGTCACGACGAAGAGATGTATCACCCATCGGCGCCGCTGTCTCAGCAGCGCAGACTCTTTTCACCAAGGGCTTCCCAAAAGCTCCGCCTGGCGTCTCAGTCGACCCATTACGTATCGTTGGGAAGGAATTGAAGTTTCTGACCAAGAATATCAGAAAGTTATTAGGCTCTGGCCACCCAATGCTGGATAAAGTTGCCAAATATTATACATGGAGCGAAGGGAAACACGTGCGACCATTACTTGTCCTACTCATGTCGCAAGCTACGGCTCTCGCCCCTCGCAACCCGCATACACATTCTACTTCCATCTCCTCTCAACAACAATCTTACATCAGCGAACCCATCAGCTCCCCGCTTGTCCTAGCAGATGCGAACCCCGACACAAGTCCCCTGACAGCTCCCGCTGCCGAGTTGGAAGGTATCTTTGGCGAAGATCCGAATATTCTACCTGCTCAACGCCGACTGGCCGAAATCACGGAACTGATCCATACAGCTTCTCTACTTCACGATGATGTGATTGATAACGCGGTGACTAGACGATCGTCAAGCTCGGCAAACACGCAGTTCGGAAATAAAATGGCTGTCCTGGCTGGTGATTTTCTCCTGGGTCGTGCCTCTGTCGCTTTGGCGCGACTACGAAATCCGGAAGTTATCGAGCTCCTGGCAACAGTCATTGCGAATTTGGTTGAAGGAGAATTTATGCAGTTGAAGAATACTGCATCTGATGAACGATCCCCCGTCTTTACCGATGATACTATTACATATTACTTGCAAAAGACCTACCTCAAGACTGCTAGTCTGATTAGCAAATCCTGCCGCGCTGCAGCATTGCTCGGAAATAGTACCCCGGATATCGTCGAAGCTGCGTACTCGTATGGCCGTAACTTAGGGCTTGCTTTCCAATTGGTTGATGATATGCTGGACTACACTGTCAACTCAGCTGAGTTTGGAAAGCCGGCTGGTGCCGATCTTGAGTTGGGTCTTGCTACTGCGCCGTTGCTTTTTGCGTGGAAGGAGAATCCTGAGTTGGGAGCTTTGGTGGGACGGAAATTTGAGCAAGAGGGTGATGTGGAAAGGGTGAGCTTGTGCACAATCTTTCTGCGAGTCGAGATACTAACTTTGATCTTTTCCAGGCCCGCGAACTTGTTGCTCGAAGTAACGGTATCGAGCAGACCCGTGCTCTCGCCCAGGAATACGCCGATAAAGCCGCCGCTGCCATCGACATTCTCCCGGACAGCGAAGCGAAGAATGGATTACTCGACATGTGCGAAAAGACGATGAAGAGACGCAAGTAAAAGACAGCTATTTGCATCGAGATCCTGCATATTGCGATTAGACTCATACACCATTGTTGAATGCTACAAGACGACCTTTCACCACTTCGACTCAGTAACAAAAATCAACGAATCGAACCAATAAATATACAGATGACTGATAGGGTGATACATCCCTCTCCAACACAGCATTAGAAAGCATGTATGATTTTTTTTTCTGCTCCATTTTCATTATATGAACTCAACTCAATCAAATGGCAGGTGTTTTTCCTTGATCTTGAGCAGTATGCAGTGAGGTCAAAGGAGCAATACCCTTGACAAGACAGAGGTATATGAGCATGATTCTTTGAACTAGGGGACATTGTCGAAAGATTTACATGTTTTCATTGCATGCGTAGAGGTTTATACTATTGCTGTGTTATTGTATAGATTAGAGAAATGAAGATTTAGAAGTTTTATTGTCTATGAGCTTGGCCAAGTGGAAGCATTGCCTTGATATAGACTTACATACTCTCTGACGGGTATCAGTCCATTTCATAATTCGATTGGTATATGCTAAGCTGCCAAAGTACCACCCTGTCTTATCAAGATCCCAATTCAGTAGTTATACATGAGCAAGCAAGTCTTGAAATTGACCGGCAGGAAGAAGCAAATAAATCACAGAGAAAACCATCACCGCCGAACACCAAAGAGGAATCAAAGAAGATTACAACTCTCCACCACCAGTAATAATCTCCCAAGCCTCCTTATACTTTTCCGCCGTCTTGAGCGCAACCTCCTCCGTCATCTTCACACCTTCTTTCCCCTTGAGTCCTTGACTAGTCAACCAATCACGCAAATACTGCTTGTCAAAACTCTCCTGACCCTGACCAATGACGTAACGATCCTTGGGCCAGAAGCGTGATGAATCGGGAGTCAGGACTTCATCTACGAGAACTACTTCGTCAGTTTCGGGGTCGAGGCCGAATTCGAATTTTGTGTCTGCGATGATCAGGCCGCGGTTGTAGGCGTAGGCGTGCGCGGCATGGTAGAGACTAATGGCGAGAGAGGCGATCTTGGAGGCGTATTTTTCGCCGACGATTTTGACGGCTGTTTTCGGATACGTTAGTATCCCGGAAATTTAGGAGATGGTTGAGACTTACCTTCGTCAGGATGAATGTTCTCATCATGCTGGCCCAATTCCGCTTTCGTGCTGGGTGTATAGATTGGTCCATCAGGGAAAGCCTGGCTCTCCTTGAGATCCGGCGCAACCTGAATTCCGTGCACAGTTCCCGACTTCTGATACTCCTTCCACGCAGATCCGGTGATATAACCTCGAACAATAGCCTCAATCGGGAAGACCTCGTATTTCCGTACTTGCATACTACGATTCTGCAAGGCTGGGCGTAGTGATTCGGGGATTTGAGGTGGGAGGTCAAGAGTAATAAAGTGTGTACGGAGAGAGGGGATAGCTTCTTGGAGGATCTTGAACCATGCTTTTGTGCAGAGGGTTAGGAGTTTTCCTTTATCGGGGATTCCCTATAATATTTTTCATGTCAGATCAAGAAGTTCAATTAGGAAGCTTGGGGAGTCTGGAGTAGGTTTTCATACATTTTCCATGATCACATCATATGCGGAGATACGATCTGTTGCGACAAAGAGCAGTGTCTTATCGTCTATTTCATATAGATCTCGCACTTTACCTCGAGCTTTCAGGGGCAGTGCACCCTGCAGGTCAGTTTTTGTAAGAGCTTCAGCCATTGTGTTTGTTTCAGTGTAAGTTAGAGTAATGAATCTTTTTTTGGCGGGGATATCAGAGATGACTGAATCGTAGCGGGGCTTGCCGCATACAATTGATGCCTCTAAATTCAGGCTTCTAAATCGCGCTCTTGCCGACTCTTGGACTCGCGTTAATGAAGAACTTCAAAGAACTCAACAACAAAGACATTGCATGAGAAGAGCTTTCGGATACCTATATATCATGAAGATGTTACCATAGTTTGACGCGAATTGCCGACAATTTTAACTGCGAACACAGCTAACTTCATGAATGTTACTCTTTCTCCATACCGACATGCTACTGGTTGAGACAAAATAGTCCAGCATCAACAAAGACAAAGAAGCACAAGAATCCCTCGATTCAACGACCAAGATATGAGACACTCAGAATGAGTAGATATCTTACCCCTTCCAAGGTCACCTTACTATGTCTGGTGTCGCTATACGCCGACGGGATAGTCCCCAACACATCGGCTGTGCCTGTCCTGTCGTTTCTGATATCTCACATACTCCCCGCGCGACCTGGTGACTCGGACAAACCTCCTCGCGCATTCACTCGAGATAAGAAACATGCCGTCTCCATTGATGAATTGGAAGAAGTCCTTTCATACCACGCCTCTTCAATCCCGGGCCGTTCAGTATGGGACTTGCTACTACGAAAGATGTGGTCCCTAGACTGCTGTGATGCGCTGTTGAGCTTCTTTGCCGACATAAACAACATCGTCGAGAAGTCAAGAGAAGAGCAAATCCAGGACAGAGACAGAGGCATTGAGCATGTCAGTGATCGTATGCTTCTATCTCGGTCTTCTCCATTAGGCGCGTTTGTGCGTCGGGGACAGCTGGAGTTTACGCGTTTACAGTTTCATGATCAGGTCAAGTTATGGCGTGGATTTATCAAGTACCGCTTGCCGACGTATCGTGCTTGGGCTAGGCGACATCCCTCCGGCGGCGAATCGGCTGTTGATGCTAATTTGGCAGAACTCGGTCTTGACTCTGATAGTCATATTGGCCAGGTGGTTTATCGCAATATCGAGCATGACTCTGACGACGAAGCTGGTGTCAGCACCAAGGATGTCGAGCAACTGTTGAGCTTTCAAGTCGAGGAACTACAGAGAATTGGCGGGCGCGTACCGGATGAGGTTAGAAGTCAGCTTGAGTATATCATTTCGGCCGGAGTGACTGTTCCCAGCATGTCTCACTACATTCGCTTTCTGGATGCTTGGAAAGCAGGAGACTATCCTTCATCCTTTGATAATCTCCATCGATACTTTGACTATACGGTGCACAGCAGAGACCGCAGTTTCTATCAATATGCTCTACTCAATCTCGCCATTCTGCACGCTGATTTCGGCTCTTATGCAGAGGCTGTGTCAGCCATGCAAGAAGCTATTTCAATTGCTCGAGAATCGCACGATATGAGCTGTCTCAATTTCTGTATGAGCTGGCTGTATCATTTTGGGAAAGCTTTTCCAGAGGAAATGAAAGATGTGCAGAACACTGGCATGCTGGGTAGTGAGAAGGAAGGTCTTGCATTTCTCAAGGCTAAGGCTAAGGAGACTGAATCATGGGGCTTACTTAGTACCATGCATTTGAGTGAAGCGAAACTTGATCTGCAGAATGTAGGAACTCGATATAAAAATGAGCCTGGAAGCATACTAATTGAGAATAGGGAGAAAGCCTAGCGTCTGTCTTTGAGAACGTTGTTAGATCGTTTTACTTGAATGTGACTAGGAATCTGAGAACAGCCATGGGCCCGCAACTTCTCCTCGCGACGTCGTTATTCTCTCGCATAGGTAAGCAGGGTTTCATTCCCATGTGGATATCTGCTAATGAGCTTAGGGTTAACGCATATCGCTCTATTGCATTGCGACATCTTTCGTGAATGTTATGCGAAAGGATCACCTCTTGAAGACATGCTCAAAATAACCTATCGAAGCAGTCAACTGGTGAGAATGATGTCTTTCTTAATTAACTTGGGACTATGCTAATTCAATAGATATCCCATAGTGGTGGCTATAAACACGCAATCGCGCTGCTTGATGGTATAGCGCAGACGGACTTGCGGTCACTCAAAGCGAATCAATACTGGGCATATTACTCGGGCATCTTGAAACTACAGCGGCAGATACATAGGTGTGTTACGGTCTTGTCTTGAATTTACACTGAAATAATCTCATACTGTCTCAGAGATGACGCCGTTGCCGTAGAACATCTATTTGCCCAACTGCAAGACATCGGAATCCCCGACATTGACCTCGTCCTCCAGCTATCGTTTCTGGAGATTGAATTCCGCCTTCGAAAGGGCCATTACTCCCAGGCAATGGCGATAGTGGAAGGAATAGCACAAACAATGCAACAAGAAAACTTTGATGTCTTGACACAAATCCGATTACTGAGCTACAAAGCCAGAATCCTTGAAAAGACAGGTCTTCCACAACGGGGATTTTCCTTAGCCATGAGAGCTGCCAGTATTGCTCATCGATGTCGCGTCTTGCCGGGTTTATGGGAGGCAATCGGGGTGCTGGCCACTATACTCTTAAGTATGCGTGAATTCGAGGTTGCGGTAGAGATGATGGAGAGTATCATGCCTCAGGTTCTTGAATTAGATGATCGATATCTCACAGCACGATCATACTCGATCTTGGTGGATGCGAATATGGGCTTGGCCGGGGAATGTTTTTCCCCTTCTCCTTCTCTGTCTGACGACGACGAATCAGAAGGGGTGATAAATAAAGTCCCAGACCCGCTCAAGAAGAAGGAGTACGTGACTCGAGCATTGACATACATTGATTTCTCATATGATGAATACGAAGCTATTGAAGATTTACTAGGACAGTGTGAAATGATGGCCAAGAAAGCTACAGTTATGCATTTGTCGGGTGACCTGGTTCTGGCGAATGATTATGCGTCCAAGTACTTGGATTTGCGAAAGCAGGCTTTAAGTGAAAGGAGGTGATTGTATCTGTGTATTGTCTTACTGTCTAGATAGATTACAGAGCATGAGATGAAAGCCGTTGACCGAGTCTATGACCGGAATTTCCCGCTGAAACATCCATAATATTCAGTTCTGCTGCATTTGATCACCACATACTCATTTGTACTTGAGTATTGGTCTCATATTTCTGAGTGCCAGAGTTATCACCGACCCAGAAGTAGAGTCCGGTGTCCAGTGAAAAGTAGATAAGCCTGTTTGTAGCAGTCTGTATGATCAAAGAATCTCCCCACTTCAGTTCACAGCTACACCCTGGTATACGCCTGGTACAGGGCGTTGATTACCCCTTTTGTCACCGGTGATGACAGTGATAGAGGTAATGATGTTCATGGGTAGGACTATCTTTGACAATTCTTTGATATATATATATTCATTATTACTCGTATATCCCTCATCTAGATAGACACCGATGAAGATTTCTTTGATCAGAATGAAGTAGCTAGAACCAAGACCACATACCTGGCGGCATAACAATGACTATAACATATCAAACCTTTGCTGGATAAAAGAAACACTACCTATCTAAGTAAGCAACCACCGGGCGTAGAGAAGCACAAACTCTCACTCTTCACTTCGTTTGTTCATCTCATTTCTGGGCATGAAAGGTGAGGGATGGAAATAGAAGGCGGTGTTCACAGGGAGTAAGGAGGATTTTGTCTATAAAAAGGGGGTCAATTCCCCCTCGAGTTTCCTTCAAGATTCCCTCTCTATCTTCATCAATCATCAATTACAGAAAGGCCCGTCTTTCAAGTTGAAACCGAGACATCATCCTATCAACTATGAAGACGCAGTCCATTGGAAATAATATAAGCCATGGAACAGCTCAAAACCAGCATCATCCACTTACCAGAAAACTCCATTAAGGTCCGTTTCGAGTACCTCTTCACTACTACCATTCTCCAGTTAATGCGTGTCTCAGAGAAAGAGATAACTTTAGTCAAGACTGAGGGTCTTCTCGTTGACGGTTGTCAAATACAGAGATGGGATGAAGGATTTCCGCTTCCTGAGCACCAGGATGTGTTCATTCTCTAACCCATGCATGTTTGACAGGGAGCCGGGCAAGTTCCCCCTTGACCGGCCGTCTTTCACAATCGGCCCGAAGAAGAAAATTCTTTTCGTTTACGAAGACGGACATGACCTTCGTGTTGGAAATCGGTCAAAGAATGAGCAGATCTACGGTCGAACGATTCGTTCTCTGTCTGACCTAAAGAGTACCTGGTCGAAGAAGGCGAGACTCGGGAACTGGTTCAATGTTTCCTCAGTATGTTTATATACTTCAACCCCTTTTGCCATGTTGATTAGAGTTGCTGATTGTGATTGGGTAGAAGCAAGCCCAAGACCATGCATCCCGCTACATGGCTAGAGGCAAAAGACCTATCTGCAGATCAAGATACAATCGATGCATGTTAGATTTGACTCGAGCATATACGGTCTTTGAGACATTTCATGTCTCGTCCAGAAAACCAAGAAGCTGTGGTCATCTCCGACAACGCCTCCCATCGAACGGGTTCGAGTCTGATGGTAGGAAAGGTCTCGTACCGTAGCTGCGCATTCCTCTCAAGGCACCTGTATGACCGTTTTGAAGTAAGTGGCATTATGTGGTTGCGGATACGTCCAGGAACACTGACATGGTTCCGACCCACGTTTACAGGTAGGTAAAGCATGAAACCCCTATGGCCTAGAGTCCAAGAGATGAATCTGTTTCTAATGGGTTATTCCCCATTTTACTTCCAGGAATGTACAACCATGACAAACTTTTCTTACAATGGTCCCTGGTCGGATGTTCGCTGTCTACTTGTAGAATAGTGGCAATGAGCCTGACATGTTGATGTATTCCACCGCATAGAGGGTTCACCGACAGAACTTTGATATGAACAGGTGCCCTGAGCATCTGCAGAGGCTTGTCAGTAGATCTTGCATGGGTCACCCTCATCGGAAAAGCCGCCTGTCTTTCGTCCGCATACGGCTCCTTCTAAGATGATGTGGCTAGGGGCACCAAATCAATGGCGCTCAAATCAGAGCTCCTCTTTAGCACCTTTTCCTCCTCCTTCTTTGACCTAAGAGTGGAGGGTTTTTATCCTGATGGTCAGCCTCCAGGGTATAGCCAGTATTATGGGTATGCTTGTGCCGACTTCAATCTCATACCCCTCCAGCCATGCCTCGGTGGATGTATCTCGAGCTATTGGACCACTGAAAGACGTGATTTTTCAGTATGCTTGTGACCTATACATGTCATTTCTATCTACCCGTGACGCAGCTTACTGACCTTGCCTAGCCTGTACTCTGAGCACTGCCATGAATTCTTCGACGAGATCGATAATGCCATTTGCAATGCGAGGACACCGATGCAGCTTCAATGCCAGCAGTTAAGCATTTTTCTCCCTCAGGAAATCTGTATCATTCAACAGAAACAACTTGATTCTGAGCACATTGATAGCACGCACAGGCTATGGAGCTGTGTCTGGACAGGGAGATTGGACGGTGACTAGACAGCGGACAAGAAACGCGCCCATAGTCCTTGTCGAGGTGTCTGGCTATATTGCTGGTACGGCTTGCGGACTGACTACGCGAGATGACATTTCGATATATAGTCCGCCACCAAAGGAGATGGAATGCGCAACAGTCATGGACGTGAGTTATCTCTGACTGCTTTGCTGAGGCCCTTAATATACCGATGAAAAAGCAGAGGCCTATGGATCTGACTGACCTCTCATGTCGCCTCTACAGATCGTGATGGTCCTGCACACTACGTCCCCGTCAGATGATTGGAGCTATTTGTGTGAGCACTCGGCTTTTGCACACACTACCATCGAACGCTTCTCTAATTGTAGCAAGAAAACCATGTTGTTCAAGTCTAGTGGTCAAGCGCCGCTGACCTTAACGCTGTTGTCAATGCCACCATTGATAATGCCTTCGAGTCCTCGATAGATGACGTTGTGCAAGATCGTGTGTCTGTCGCCGGTAGATGCTGCAGCCAAAAAAGAGAAGTCCAGGAAAATTTCTAAGAAAAGCTGTGACAACGGAAAGCAGAGTGATCGTCGCCATCTTCACTCGCTCTTGGCTCTATCAACTATCGTCACGTTGTCGACCCTCATCGGGTCGTCTACTCCAATCCAACAAATCAATATGAGGCTCTACATCCTGTTCCTAGCCGCTCTTGCTCTCCGCGTTGCTGCAGCTCCCGTTGAAGTTGAAGCTCGCGAGGTTGTGGATCCTCCTGAGGACTTCGAAACCCGTGATAAGTGGTTGCTGGCCATTTCGGATACATAAGTGTTCAACTTAATTTGTTTCATGCGACATTGACGAAGCTTTGTGATCAAGAGAGCATTGGGACTACTGTCTGACGGATATCATTATCGACTTGGACAAAACACCATTGATACAAGTTAGCCTCACCCTGCGTTTGTGGCCGAGGATGTACCAGGGCCCGTGAGAGTAGGAGCCGCAATAGTAAGACTCGCAAGTACGTCTTAGACAACATGGAGAACGCACCATCGGACAATGCAGAGGGTTGGTTCGAACATGTCATTGTGCTGGATATCGCTATGGATATCGACACATCACCGATTACCAGGATGAGTCTTACTACAACCTGCGAGAACGGCGTAGGGTCCTCGCAAAGTAGGACTCGCAAGTACCATGAGATGGGAGCATGGAAGGCATTCACAAATTCCCTTCCGAAAACTATTCCACGATGTATGGGACGCTGCAACCAGTCCCGTTTACAGAGTGACCCGGAGTTGAAGTGTGTCCGCGAGTTTTGCCAAGCAATCCAATGAGGCACAGATCACTAATCAACTCATGCCTGGTGCTCTCCGATTTGGATATCAAGCTTGTCGACGGAACATGAATATGACTATAAAGCGATGTGTCCACACTGCACCTGGCGGCATGCACGAGATAATGCTCATTAAGACTCGACCCTTGATCTACTGCTGATGGGTGCTATCACAATCGGCAACCTTAGTAGTAGCTGGTTGCCAGAATCTCTTCAGAGTAGCAAGCCGTTTAGTGCTGACTCTGATTGTTGCGAGGTGACTTTTATCGCTTCGTGGTTGATCACGAGCGGTAAATCACTACTGGAGTAACAGTAACAAAAATCCCACCCTGGGAGCAAAGACAATGCTGACGACAGCTGTGATAAAGACAACAGACAAGAAAAGACGATGGACTCACCCTAAACACTGCGATTATCCTTATCCTCCAACGTATCGCAGGTCTCACTAGAACCTCGTGAGGGAGTCCCCAGAATGTCGTGGTGGCGGAATGCACAGCGTGGTTATAGGTTTGTTCGCATATTCATATGACTTTGATCACTCACTAACGTCTGTTCTGAGATAAATTAGTGAGGTGATGTCAGAATTTCATGCGAAAGCGTGTATCGATTTGACCATGAAATTCGCCTATCGAGGAGTTTAAAGATCACAATGGCACCGATAACGCCTCCATGTCTGTTGCCCATAGTCGGTTGTAACAGCATCCCAAAGTTACGGTACCTGCATCCTAGAAGCAAGTACCACAACGGGCTGGCGGTGATCTTTCCATCGGAGCGTGCCGCTATAGTTTCAACCGCTCACCAAGTATGTACAACTCCTCATCTGGTTTAGGTATCTCACTAACATGTCATTATTAAATTAGGTGCCCGCCAAAGAATAGACCTAAGCCCGATTCTGGCTCATCGTCGAGTTTCAAGACGACACCTATACCGATAAGGGCGCATATACCAGTCCCACGGGACAAATTAACTACTCCAATTTCAACTTCATCTTCATCTTCAACGAGGCGAATGCACGTTTCCAGCTGGATGGAAGTTGACAACCATCCGTCGACGGGATGGGTTACAAGCAGGCACTGTAGGTGGATTGATACGAATACTTATACTGCGGACAAAAGAAGAAAAAAACCGAGGAGTCGGGAATGATTGTACATTGTTATTCAACACTGTATGCATTATTCTTCCACCCATGCTTGATTATACTTGACTTGACTTTGACTTCGCATACTAAAAATCAATAGACTCCAGTCGGATCGGTGTCTTTGGCTTCTTTCTTCAAATTCAAGCTCAAAGAGTACAAATCCCCTCGTTACTTACTACCTCTGGATATTGTCAAGGATGCCAATTGTGTTTTGAAGCAGTCTAAATGATCTGGGTTCGTCCAGCTCGACGGGATCTGGCTCTGCCTTACATTGCTCCTGTCTATGGGACTGAGAACGAGCTTCTGGTAAGTTATATTAGCGATGATATTGGACTATACAAATGGTGATAGAGAACATGTCCAGTATTTTCCCATCTCATTGGTCAGATCTCAATATGGCATACAAGCAAGTCATCCAATTCACCTGCCGGACATTACCGCACCACCTTCTGAGGAAGAGGAGGCAAATCTGTTCAACCATACCGTGACCGGTGATTATCTAGGTATCAAGACTTTTATTGTAGGGTGCCAGAGTTTTATCAAACGCTCCTAGTTGGAAATGATGTGAGGCCATGCAACAGCTCAGATCACTCCAATATCACTTACCAGAAAGCCCCATCATGGTCGTTTCGTTTTTGATCAAACGGTATTGTGAGTGACAACCCCGGAAAATCTAATCAATCAACCATGCTCTTGATCAGAGAGATACTTGAGTCAACAAATACGAAAAGTTGCATCACACCACCCACCCTCGATCTTTGTCGGGCCCGACTGTACTCCTTCCTTTTGTTGCGGCCGGTACTCACGAGCCCTATCAGAGGAAGAAACATGGGGGTTGTGTCCACCAAATGTAACAAGCTCGTGTGCTGGGTCCGACAACCACATTCCCCCGCAAATGGACATGATTATCCTAGTTTCATGAATGGAGGGCCTGCCCTTTTGTCCGCATCATACGGCGCCTCTGCCAAAGATGATGTCGATAGCTTGGAGCTCAAATCAGAGCTCACCTATAGCACCATTCCCTCTCCCACCTTTGGCTGCGTGACCACACTGGAGCGTTAAGCCTACCAACCATGCTGTTGATAACTGTGCGAGTCAATGAACATGAGAAGTTACATCAAACTGCCAACCTCAGTCTTTGTTAGGCATAACTGTAATATTTCCTCCTATCGCGCCCTGTCAGTGGTACGAGTACTCTCAAATGGCGATGCATGGGGTTCGTGTGCTCCAAATGCTAAATGAATTCCAACGCATACGCTGTGTGTCAGTGGCACTTCTCAAAAAAGCATACGAAATCTGAAGCGAGAAATGACTAGTTGTTGATTCCGAGATGCATGGTAGAGCAACCCCAGACTGAAGAAAGGTATCTTTCGTGTCAAGGACTCAGAATGGTTAGACCTGCATCGAGGCCCCTCGCCATGGCTATCAGTGCCTGTCAGTCAGCAATATGCGTCAAATTGCCTATATAAACCACACAAATTACCACCCCATAACGGAGCCTCGTTTTTGGTCGAACGACATAATTTCCGGTTCTCACAAATGCAATCTCCAACGCATACATCGACAAAGCTTTCTAAACCAGCTAGAGGAACACTGGCGACAACATCAAGAACAACAGGGCCAACAGCAACCTGGACAGGCACCAGGACAGACACCAGAACAAACTCCCGGACAAGCACTTGTGTCCATGGTCATATCTACCTCCGTCCCAGCTTCATCAGCCCTCTCGCGCTGCTGCCGGTCCCACTGAAAATATGCCCTTTCCGACGCACAAAGTCCGAAGCCAGACATGCATGGCAGTTGATTCCGCGATGCATCCTTGAATACCTAGGTTGAAAGAGACTATTCTGGGTCCCATGGATTTCGAATGGTTGGATTTTCGTCGAGAGCCTCCTGCTGGCCTCGGCATGGCCATCAATGCTCAAAAGACTACTTGAATCAACGGCCACACCATTGGAGATTCCATTCGCCAGGCTAATGGTGAGTCGGGTCATCAGACAAATGGTGAATCCAGCTCGTTTCCGTCCCTCCTTTGTCCGGAAAACACTCAATGTATGCAGATAATGTATTCATATTCCATTGGGATATCACCCTCTTTATCTAAGCATGAGCCATATTGGGGCAGAGTAAAGACGACAACGTGAACTCACGAAGGAGCTGAAACGGTGGGATTATGGTAAAGCCACAATCGGCGTCTCATAACTGCAGACGGACGAGGACCGTTGCCTACAATGATGTCTTTCGGCAGACAATGCAGTTGTATAAAGGAGAGGAAAAAGATGACGCTCGCCGGCGATAACCAGTGCGGCCCTGGGAGTCAGCTGCAAATGGACGGGCCATGGTCCGGAAAAAGGGGAGCAAAACTCATGGCCGTCAGCACGAAAATGTTGGGTCAGCCTGGATCCTTGGCTAGGAAGAATAAGACAAGTGGGAACTGGTATTGAAAGAACTTCGGCTGTCTGTCCGATCGACTCAAGCGTATAGGTCGAACAACAATTTCGTCTCAAATTTTCGTGGATCGGAATACGGAGTCCACCTCCATGAGGTCAAATGAATTCATAAAAACCGTGGATTACGGCGAAGAAAATGAACCGTGAGCAACAGCGCCTGATAGATTATGGCATGACCTCAGACCTGATGTCGGTAGATACCATATCGGAACTAGGATCAAGAGGGCTTCGACTGTCTGTCTGATTCACTTGAGACTTTAAGTCCAATGGCAGTTCTTGTGACGGTTGTGGCTCACCAGCGCGACTAAGTTAAGCAGTGGCTGACGGCCCTGACCAGCGGTAGGGCTTTCTCGTCACGAAGCCCCAAAGGACAAAGTTTTTCTTTGTATGAGTCCATAACTTGACTTTTAGTTTTCTTCCTCTCCCCATACACAATATTCTTGTCGATAGGTTACCCCGGGTCAATATATTGTTAGGATTGAGCAAGCGTCACAGTTTTGTCCGTTCCGGATTATAGTGGATCGCAACACGGGGTGGGTGACTTGCAGCTCAGACCCTGAAGTGAGCTAGTTTACTGCTTCTCAGACTAGCTCGCTATGACGTTTATTAGTTGCAAGGAGTTTTTTAGATACACCGAAGCCGGACCCTTCGACCTCGACATGGTGGAACTCGGGATGATGACCAGCAGCTGTACCCGGTGGTGATGAAACTCATCATCAGGTTTATTCTATCTCAGCATCTACTCTCTCTCGACGAGGAGAGGGGACATAAAGGACTCGACTGTCTGGGTAGTTGGTAGCTCCGAGGATGTTGATACAGGCGATCTGGACTACCTCTGAAGAGCAGGTACGACGATGCTCTATCAATCCTGCCACAAAGGAACGCGAAGCGCAATTATCAGCCAGAAATATGTCTAAAAAATGCGTTTATGGGTTACCCAGGCTCATACTCATTGACGGGGCCTCGTTTCTGGTCGAGTAATCACTGATCAGACATCATGGATGGCCAGGCTGCCACGAACCAGCCAGTCCCGCCTCAACAGCAACCTTCCTTGATGTGACAGTTGGATAGGACGTGAAGGCTGTGACGGCGTAATGAGGCGATCGGTATACTACTGGGCGGTGAAGTTAATGATGGGAACAGTTACTGAATTAGGAACCGACGCACACGGGATAGTATTATACGGGGGATTGGGCGTAGCGAGTTTGCTTTCTTCTTCTTCCTTTTCTCATGCTTGATATTCTCAGTAGATACGCAACTCTGTATGCAGCGCTGGATAGTTCGAATACGTGAGATTGGCATCGTCACACTTGATCCGTGCAGATCAACTAGAAAAGCTACTCATTTGAAAAATGCTTAGAAATCCCAGTACAAACAGCTCGTCCGCGGCTTATAGGATGTTCAAAATTCTCGCGATCTGTCGACCGACGAGTTTCGAAATACACAAATGAAGAGGATGCAGCTGTTCAGGAATAAGATATTTTCCGGTTATCAACAATTCCGGGCCAGGCACATGTCTATCTCTTGATTCATTTATGGATGTAGCAATATGCCACTTTTGCCTTGTCATACTGTTCTGTATCTCTGCTATTGAGGAGCGCGGCGTGTCAAAAGGAATTATTTGTACTATACCTTTCCTCTTTGTCCAGTCTCAGTGGATAATCACGTAACAGCCTGATGGTATGGCCTCCTATTAGATGTAAAGGTATAATTGAGCAATCGATATGTGCAAGTCGCAAGAAAAAGTTCTACACTTAGCTGTACATAACTGCGCTAGGGTTAGGGCAAGACTCTTATCTTAGCGCAATCAATCGTACGGCTTGGCATCACTTTATTTCGTCGTCATTCAACATCATATCAACTCATCGGCTTCATCATTGAACACTTTTCTCCCTCTTATTGTATAATAATTTGATTCAGATATTTGAGATGTACTGAGTGCCGAGTGCCTTGCGGATTATCACAATGATTCCCACAGCACGTTGCTTGGCTGCGAAGCCACCTAGCTTCTTCAAAAAAAGCACCGAAGAGTTTAGCCGGTTGACGCGCATTGGTATTTTCATTTCCTTCCTTTCCTCTGCGATTTTCTATTCTTCAGGATCAGGGACTGATAAAATGTCTAGCATGGAACGCAGAAGCCCTCACTACACCGACAAAACCATACAAACTCCTCGACTTCGAAAATGAATCTACCGTCGCATCCTGCAAAACCATGGCTGACCGCGCTGTTGGCGGTTTCAGTAAAGCCGACTTAGATTTCGTCACAGCGACTGCGAACGAGCCTGCGCATGCACGATTCCACGGCAGTATATCGACAAAACTCCCCAACAATTGGCGTGTTGAGCGTACGGGATATGCGGCTTTTCGAAACAGGGATAGAGGATACTGGCTATTTGGGCGCTTATTCTGGGATGTTGATCCATATACATACCTTGCTTTACGGGTGAAGAGTGATGGGAGGAGATATACAGTCAACATTCAGTCGGATTCGATTGTGGAGACGGATATTCATCAGCATAGATTGTATACAAGACATCATCGGGTATATCAACGGCAACAAGAGGCACTTTCGAGCCCATCAGCGGCTGCAGCAGAGTCATCAGAAGTTGGCGATATTAACGACACGTTATATCCGGGTGGTATCCCACCGTCATTATCAGACATCCCTCCCGCAGAGACGATTATAAGTGCAACAACATCTGGTACATCAGGATGGGAGACAGTCCTATTACCACTCCAATCCTTCGTTCGCACAAACCACGGCATGATCGTTGAACCTCAACATTCACTACTGAAAAACAGAATAAAATCTATTGGTATTGGTCTTACGGATCGTGTTGAAGGTCCCTATGATTTGCGTATTCATCGTATTTGGGCTACGAATGGTTTGAGTGAGGAGGAGCTTGAGGAGGAAAAAAGGATATGTGGCGAGAATGCATTACCGGTTGATGAGGGTGTAAGGACTTTGTGGGGGTCGAAAAAGGAGGCTTTCCCTACGGCAGAGTCAGAGTTGGAAGCTCAGGAGCAGGAGAAGAAGCAAAGAACCAAGGCAGAGAAGAAGGTATCTGGGACAAAGGGATTGAAGGGGTTGAAGGAAGAATGGAGCTGATAGTATAATTGTAGCTATATGTCAGTCACTTACTCGACTTGTACAATCAATACAGTTCTTGACTCAAGCAATTTCGAAGTGTATACTAGTTTCTAAACCCCTGAAGAATCTCTGTTGAACTTACAGTGTGCCGTCTCGTTGCCATTCAAGGATCTAGTCAGCTCATCATCCAATGCTGTTGAAGTACTGCCATAAAGAACGGTTGATCTTGAAACTGATATTAGACCTCTTTGTTTCTCATAATAAACTGCTGAACATGAACAGATGGCCTGCAAATAAGCTTGTTAAGGTGGAAGAGACATATCATAGCTTCTCACTGTAAGAGTATACTGTCTATATAGACAACTACGTTTAGGATATCTGCCTGAGTGCCTCAAAGTGAGATTATTTATCAAACAGTGAATTGTTTGTATTTCTCCTGAGCACTCCCAACTCCCAACTTAGTCAGCTGACATGATTGCCCAGTTGATATTTTTCTTCATCCCCATCCCCTCCTACGAAAAATTTCTTCCCTTTGACAACTTTGCTTTGTGTGTCTTGTTTGCATCCTTCACGACTTCATTCTCAATCCTTCTTTCTCCCTCACGACAACATCATCTTACCAGCACAGCCGCTGTATCATGCGGCAAAGCAACTCACGATGCCTTCCTTAAAGCCCAACAAGACAGGTAAAAAGGGACGTGGCTTGGGGGCCTTAAGCGAGTCAAGCGAGGCTCATCCCACAGAAAACTCTTCTTCCTCGAGTCTGACCTCGTCTTCTCGTCCTCCTGCAACCTCTGCAATCTCTTCAAATTCCATTGCACGTTCATTCTCAACTCATCCTGTTTCCCAACCTCAGATACAATCTCATCACATTTCATCACCTAGTCCAGTTTCAACTGGCTGTTGCTCCCAGTGTACCAAGTCTCGACTGTCTTCCTCATCGACTCGACCTTCTTCGTCTCGATCTACCCATTCTCATATCTCTCCCTCATCAGCAGGACCATCATCTCGTCCTCGCTCACTAGCATCTTCTTCTCGTGCTCGTTCTTCTCACATTTCTCCAAACCCCCTTATTCCCTCACTTTCCACCACTCCACGTCGTCCACCAGGTTCTCGCCGACGTCGTCGTGTCAGCCCCTCTTCCAGTCGTAAGGACGCAATGGCTCCTGCGTCTAAGTCCACTTTTGGCGGAGTCCTCACTGATAACGAGCTTGGTAACTTGCAATACCAGCTTAAGTTACGTACCATGGAGCTTCACCCAGACCAGTGGCCTGCTGAGGCGTTCCCAGCTGCATTGCGTTCTTTAATCAACAGTAACGCTTCTGAGCTTTCCAAGGTCGTGTTCATCAACAAGGGCCATCTCTACCTGCTCATGAAAACAATGACAGAGGACGTCAAAGATGAACGCAGCAACGTGCAACTGGTCATGCTGAAGCCTGTTCCTTCCGCCGTCTTTCAAAACGACATCGTCTGGGATTGGAACATCGCCCCTCACTGTCGCTTCACTCATCTCGAAGCTCAGCAGACTCTCATCCTCCACATTGCGAAGGAGACGCGTTATATGGAATCATTGCCTGCGTCTGAAATGATCTATGATGACACCGATATGGGAGTTCAGGGTCATGCTTTGGGCCGTTTCAAGTACGGTCTCAACAAAAATTTGGTTGCAATGGGCATCTCCGGAGAGGAGTGGGAGTTCGTCTACAACCAATCCCGTTACAGCCGTGGTGCCATCATCCTCGACGGAAATCCAGCTGCTCACGAATCAACTCACTCTTGTGATCGCATGTTCATCCCACGTAGCAACTGCAGTCTCCAAGTTGATGCAAACCAGAAGCCTTGGCCCACTTTGGTCGTTGAGACAGGCCCTGCGTATTCCAACACTGCTTCACGCTTGTATCTCCAATACTGCGCTGACTGGTGGTTCACTCAGAGCCAAGGTGCTACCAAGTACGTCGTGATCATGTACTTCAATTACGCACGAGTGGAAACCATCGCCGAGCTGTGGGTTTCAGAATCTGTCCCACCATACACCAAGTCCCTTGTTCAAACCGTCGTCGTTAATCTCCAGAAAGACAACAAGGGTAAAATCCACATCATCGTGACTGGTGAGCCTATGAAATTCGACTTTGAGACCTTGATGGCTCGCAAGAAGCGTGAAGGCGAGAAGGACATCGTCTTCGACAAAGGACTCATGAACGGATGGGGGAATGCCTTCCAGTGTCCCTGGCCCAATCTCGGTCCCAAGCGTCGCAACAACATGAAGATGTCTGGTATTAGTATGGAAACCGCCCGCCAGATCCTCGGGTGTCCCCTCGAAAGCGTCAAAGAACAGCTTGGTCCTGCATTGACTGAGGCGTTGGAGAGGGCTGAGAAGTTCTCCAAGACCGTCAAGGCGGGGGCCAATATCCCCAAATCGCGCATGAAGGTCACTTTGACTCGTAAGCCAGCTGACAAGGTGGTATCCGACCCAGATGTTGGAGAGAAAGAGGGTGGTGGTGAGGAAGAGAAGAAGGTCGGGGGTAAGTTCGACCGAGAAGAGCAGCAGATCCCGGTGGACCTATCCATCGAAGAGGCCATGGTAATCATGGCCAAGAAGTGAGGTTCGCCTCACTTCTCTATGACTTCTTTCTTTTCCTTTCTCTGTTTTCTAGTGACTAAAGTGTGAGTATGATGACGATTTGTGAAGCACTCTGGTTTCCTTTTTTTCTTGTTTTGAGTCATGATTTCTTTTTGTTCATCTTGGAATGTTTTTGTCTTGAAAACTAAAGACAAAAACAAAAAAGGAAGGTTGGGAGGAGCGCGCCGGAGTTAAAAAGTCTGATCACTAGGACCAGACTAAAAAGGAACTCATCATATTCGTCGATGATCTCGTTCTTGTGCGTTCGAATCATAGGCGTTGTAGACTGTAGATGACTTCGGAGGCTGATTGAACGTATGGTCGAGTAGTGATGTTGTATCGGAAGGCTGTCAAGGAATGAAAGAGTATGTCGATCGATAGATAGGATAGTTGTATTGTAGTTGACTCTCGAGGTTGATCGAGGGTATCCAAGAGTGGTGATATCTGTATTGGGAGACCTACTGAGAAGTGGAAAGAAGCTATACTGATCAATTGATTTACTGTACTCGACACGACTCCCGACGGATATCGAAGACATGGTCAAATGGTATTATTCGTATTTAATGGCTTCCAGAGGACTAGACGGAAAATTTGACATGTTGATAGGATACTGTATTGGAGTTGGCTCTAGAGATCGATCCAGGATAGTCTTGAGTGATGACATTCGCATTGTAAGGCCTCTGGAGGAGTAGGAGAGAAGTTTGACTGCTCGATAGGATCTGTATTCGAGGTCTCTGGGCATACATATCAATCTCGCAAATTCGGTACTTGAAGATGGACCTGGAGAGCCTGGGGTTAGTGGATATTCTCGCGAGCAGTATAAGTATTGTACAGTTAGTTAGAGGCCTCTGTATTAGGTATAATCCTTCTCGCACAAGTATGAGCATTATGAATTCGGAGGACCCCGTAGATGGTAATGCCCCTTGTACTTGAGTAAGTATAAAGTAAGAATACAAGCAAGATTACTTAGGCTATGAAGCAGCCAATCGTTTCATCTCCTCCTCTTTCATCGCAGCCTGGGCACGCAATCGCTCAGGAACAACCATCTCCCTCTCGCCAACGATTTTCCAATCGTCAAGTCGATCAACACCCAGGGATTGTAGTGTCTTACGCTCGACGAGGCTGGAGTCATTTGGGTTCTGGCGGTCGAATCGAAAAGGTTCCCTCAACATGACGGGCGGATTGGTAATAATTCGTGGGATGCGCAGCGTGTTGACTGATGCGGAGTGAACCATCAACGGATGGAGGAGTATAACGTCGCCGGTTTTACCTGTCATTTCGTGGAACTCGGAGCATTGACTGATGATTCGTGTGTAGAAACCATCCTTGTATTCGCCCTCAAGTTGACCGCCGCGAGGAACCATATGTGGTGAGACCCCTTCGGGATGGTTATACTGAGATGTATTAGCAATGAAGTGTCAATGAGGACAGATATTAACTCACCAAATGTTTCGCCATGTAGGGAATGGAGTCCGGACAAATCACCGTTCCACCAGCATGCTCGACGATATCATTAAAAAGCGGAATGACCAGTAGACCTTGCTCACACGAATCCAGGAAATGAATAAAGAAATCCCCATCGACATGCCATCCATACAATTCCTTTGGATGCGGCCATTCTTTCCCTTCAGCCTCCTTGGTACCCAAATTCACGATAAATGCATCATTCCATACTGCAGCCTCATCCAAAACCCGGTCCTCACCACCGACAACTTCACAGATCGCTGCCCACGCCTTTGGGGCGAATGTCTTGACAGGTTCATGTCGATGCGGGGGCATGTGGATTCTCTCGGATGTCCACGTTTCTTTATCAGTGGGCGAATAACCCAAGCGTGTCCAAATATCTTTGGTCCATTCGGCAGCTTTTTCACGAGTGAAGCAGTCAGGGACTCGGAGATAGCCGTATTTCATGAAATGATCTTTTTGCTCTTGGGTGAGCTTGTATTTGGTATTGCCAGCCATTGCGTTTAGTTTCTTCTTGACTCGGTCAAACATTGTTTTGACTCGAGGATAGTGAAGGAAAGCCGTACAGTGACAGAGAAGTTCACTCAGACATGGGCCCAACGTTGATATCGCCAGACTTGTCGTCCACTTGATCAGAGTAAGGTTCTTTTTGATAAGGTTGTTGATTGAAAGCGATGAAGGACGTACCGGAAACTTAGACCCCACCACGTCGTTGTCAACGCTCCGCAAGAATCGACTCGTTCTCGCCAGATTCACAGTTCTTGAGTTGATCCTGTCAATCCTACTATATATCAAACACGGCAATGAATCACTAGAAGAAAATAACGATGGAATAGATATAAACGTTGGCTGGTAGAAAGAGTTGGAAGAGTGATGTTTCTGCCGGTAGGCGGTTGCTTGGTGAGTGGGACATCGCTTCTTCCCCCAGAGTATGCCAGACATATACCTCAACCAACATACTCACTTCCTCATTCTTTCTTTTTCGACGCGAACACTGGCAGCATTTATCGATCATTATTCTTTGCATTCGTTGAAAAGCAGGAATTGTTACGTTCGAAATGGCTGCAGCCTGATACGACTTTCAGAGATATACCTTGGAATGGACTTAGGGTTCTGATGGACTGAGCGGAAGTAGTCAACAGCACAAACATATTGTTAAAGAGAGGAATGATAGCTAACTACCAAGTAACAGGTATTCTAAGAATAGGGAGTCTTGTGAAGGCAATAATTCTCCGTCTCCGTCTAAGCAAAAACCATACCGAACCTTTTTCTGCTAAAAAAAAAAAGCCGCAACGCCAGATATCTCGTCCGTTCTAAATCTAGATAAGAGGTCAAGCACCGTTTGGCTGATCATTGGTTCCATCATTCTCTTGATGCTCGGATCCGCCAGTTTCGCGATGGTTGGATTCATGATTCTTCTGATGAATAGCTTCACCGTTTGTCTGGTTACTAGCTTTTCCGTTCACTTGGCTGCGATATTCGCCATTTATCTTTTGACTGGCATGAGAGTGATCACCATTAGCCTTACCAGTGGATCCACAATTGGAGTAGCTGTTCGTCTGAGTAGTCTTCCGACTACTGTTGGCCATGGCAAGGCTCGTAGGCGGCTCTTGATGAATGTCTAACCATTCTGCATCCTTGAAGCCAAAGACATCTTTTTTAAGTCGAGGATGTTCAAGTATAGATCGTGGAATCAACTTCTTGCCAATCCGTTCCGGATACCTGGCCAACTTTCCAAGCGGAAATTCTACATTCCTTTCTCGCAGACCGCGACGAGAACGGATCAATTCTTCTTGCCATTTTTCTCCAGTGTCTAGCAAGAGGACGTTGAGAAGCTCCAAAGACACGGGACCTTGTCTCCACTTGGGGGTGCCGCAGTCGACATGCTCAATCTTGAGCTTGAAGTGTGATGTAAACGTGGCAAATTTCTTTCCACAGACATTGGTTAGCTACGTGAATGACGAGAAGACAAGAAGAGGCTCTGATCTTACACTCTGTGCGTAACTTGCGTCCTCAACTCGTCTGAATAGGACTCCTATGGAGGGAACGGTGTAAAGTCGTCCTCCATAATTCTTCTCTACCATGTCAATCCCGTTGGAGACATGGTACATCATGTGATATCCATAGGGATCACGAAGATATTTGATAAATTGGACGACGACATTTTTGAACTCGACCAGACTTGGTCTTGCACATGGGATGGAAGGCCAAATACGGCAGATTCCTAGCTTGTTAGAGTGGTCTAACCAGATAATTTATATAAGGATGAACTTACTCTTGCCATCAGCTCGATCAACTCTCACTGCACGGTTTCCAATGACGAAGCCAGATTCCTTGTCGATGTCCAATGCCTTTGCCGCGTCGAACACAGTCTAAGGAGATTGTCAGCATGCCCGCTCCTTCTGATAGTGTTTGGAACCGTTCTATTTGGGAGCATACCTTATATTGGATCCAACCAGTCGGCAAAGATCTTTCAACCCCCCCCGGTCCGCGCTTAGTCGTCCATATAACATTGATTTTGCATTCTCCGAAAGGACTGAATGTCTCTTTCAATGCATGGTATAACTGGTCCGTTGTCATTCTGACAGGTAGACTGGATCGGTCAGTTAGTACAGTTGTTAACAAATGAAGTGGTTCGGTACTTACTCTCCAACGAATATCTTTGCTTCAGGATCATCAAACTTCGCGGTCCGCATGTAATGTGGCTGCGCAGGATGCATCCACCGAGGTGGAGGGGGCATTGCCGGAGGGGGGATTTGACTGAATTCGATAGCTTGATATGGATGACCATCAGGATAAAAGCCCTCACCTCCTTTGTCAAATAAAGAAGGAGAAGGGAAAGGTGCTAAAGGGGAGCTCTGATTTGAGCGCCATTGCGATGGCGCCCCTGGCCACATCAACTCCGGAAGAGGAGCTGTATGGGGACGAAATGCAGGCCATCCGTCCATGAAACTCGGATAGCCTTGTCTGTTTGTCGAAGGAGGAAAGTTGTTGAATTCGTTCATTCCAGGAGCCCAATGATCATTTAGCTGGCATGGCCAATATTCAGCATTCCCGTTTTGCTGCATGTTATACTGGACATAAGCATCCGAACCATTCACCACAGGAGGACGGGATGGTGGCTGGCGATTGCTAGCACTAGGAGGGTGCACAGCGTGTCCATTTCCGTTCTGCATCTCCTGTGGCTGAGAAGCTGGCATTTTCGACTGTTGTCCTCGAGGCCGGAAAGGCTCAACGGGATAGCGCATTATTGTGGACGGCATGATTGATTGTTGTGTACAGGTAGCGAGTATTGTGTGTACAATTACTCAGCGAGACCAGAAGTTACTGTCTTTGAGAGAGGAAGGAGCAATTAAGCAAAGAGAAGCAATTCCGAGGTTGCCAGCTAATCCGAATCTCTTTATGCCTGAAGAGCAAGTAGATGAGTTGATATGGGAAGAAAGGCGATTTTCTTTTCTTTGAGCGGAGGTAATACTTTTATTATATGTAAATGTGCACTGTAGTTCCATGGTTGGCATCGCTGCCTATCTAAGAGTTAATGTGCTACTTTACTTATTCTATATAATCCTTACACCATGACAATTGCAAACGACAATCAAAACAATGGATTCATTCAAAGGCAATAATAATGATAATAAGATTCAGAGTTGTATGATGTGAATGTATGAACATGTCTAGGCAGCGAAGCCACATAGAAAGAAGGAGCCGGAACATGAGAGACACTAATTCACAGGAGAACACTGGGATACATACATAAATCTTCGAGTATATCCCATAGAACAAAAAGAAGACAATACGCAATAAACAGTCATACCTATACAAAGTAGTATGGTTGTAGGAAGCATAATCTAGATTCAAGTATGAAAAATTACTTATTCGGGAAATCTGTTGTTGCTGCCTTTCTGCCGATAGTTGGCGTTCCACGGTTTGCTTCAGAATTTGGGAACGTTATCCAGAGATTCCATCATTTATAGTATGACCGTTTACTCTGAAAGGTCTAGTTGCTAATCTACCTGTATATTTCCATGGTTGGTGCGAGAATCGTCTTGGTACGAAGTTTGATGTATAATATGCGGTCTGGCCAAGGATAAGATGCCAACGACCTCAGGAATAGGGGTTGAATCAGATACAGATTAGTAGCACTTTTACATATACCTGGGAAATTTAAGGTTCCAAGGAACTCATTGCTTGTGTAAGCATTATTCTTATGTATAAATCGCATAGCAATTTCCGCAAATTCTAGGTTGTGGGAAAAAAAAGGTGGCTGCAAAAGGTCTCGGAGGATGAGAAATGCTTTATAATCAGTTGGTAAGAACCCTTTCGGGGTGGATATATCGACGCCCACTGGCGAATGGCTTGGGTCTGGTCTGAAGACAGACGTAATTCTATCAGATAGAGACCTAGTTGACGTTGGCGATTTCCCTGTAAACGCTGCGTCGGGATACTGCAAGGCATCGATGTTCAAATTTAAATCCGCTGCCATGGTTGATTGAAAACGACTGACTTGGACTCTTGATGAGAGTTGGAAAGTTATTATCGGACACCGGAGGCTATTAAATAGTTCTTAGCACGTCCAGACACGTGATGAAAATACCAACTAAATTGTGCTTATACGGCCACAACGAAGATAGTACCAAGTTTCAGGTGGTCAGAGGAATGCCACCTATTAATCGAAAAATATTGAGTCATTGCTGTTGTACAATTTACAGGTTGAAACTAGAGTATTGCCATTGCATTTGAAGCACATAGCAGCCGATAGTTTAGTGCCACCAGCTGTCGCTCTTTGTTCTACCCCCCTAAGTATCATAATTGGTGACGGCGCTTAGGTATGCTAGTTTCATACCATGATGTACTGAATGATTTAAACACATTTTAACTGGCTAAATCTCATATAATCAGCGAGAACACGAAAATGGACCACCATCACATATACGGCGGTACAGCAGTATTCAACAGAATGTGAATAATGCACGGCCTGTGAAACCAGGATACACCGGAAGAAAAGTATCCGGACAAGTATCACAATAGAGACGAGCGGCAGCTGTTTCCATCCGGCGGAAGCTATTACGAAGTGCCTGCGAATAGGTCCCAGATCTTTCTGTGCAACCTGCAGAATTCACAGGGCAAAGTGATGGAGACCCTTCCTAACGGTACCAGATTTGAGGTCAAAGATGCCAAAGGATTTACCAGAACGGTTATCGCTCGTGATAAGGATATCAAGGGGGTTATATAGCATCCAGAGGGACAGAGCGGCCGTATTATGAGATTTGCGAGGGTAGAAGAGCTCTATGAGCCATCTTCCCGTAGGAGGAGGAAGTGAGAGGCCTTCAGGTATTTGCAAGACATTATCGTTTCATCGCACTGAGATTCGGAATATTTGTCCACTAATCATCTGTCTTAACTATATATTATACATTCTTCATAATTCCGCATGACCAATACCCACTGTGGAATATACAGATACCTATCTCGCTGCTAAAGACAATGGCCTCTCTCCTCGAACATTCCTCCAATAGTTGGTTGACCGAAACAGATCGTAGCATCCCTGAACTAGAAACCCCCATTTCTTCACAAAGCCTTCCGTAAGTTCCCAACCGCTCGGGTCCCATGGATCGGACCATACTAACATCCCAGGATCCTTTCTATCCTCTTGACCCATCATCCCAGTGAGGATATCGGACGCAAGATCTTTATTAGTAAAGAGGTGCTGCGTTCTAATCGCATTGTCTCTCATTTGAGGAGATGGAATGAGATCAACCCAATCCGGGTATGAGACGGTTTGCTGGAGAATGGTACGCCTTAGAGCCGGTGGTATACTAATGCCTTGGTAAGGGTTCGGAAAGATAGTGAGGGGACCATGAAAGCCGCAATTTTCATGGATAAGGTGCATATGACCTATTATTAGTAGGTTTGTGATTGTCGCTCGGTAGATATTGTACTCGAGAAGAGGTAGGAGATGATCCCGAGACAGTGGGTATAGATATCTCTCTGGGACGATACGTCCATTGACGCTGACATAAGATGGAATAATAAGCGTTGACGCGAGATGGAGTTGAGAGTTCTGCCCCGGTTCTCTATAATGTGTAATGAACTTTTCAGTGCCACTTTCAAGCCTTACCGCGCGCTGCGCTGCTTTACGCTTTCCTACAGGCAGCAAATTAGCTGATGAACTAGAACCATATTCCTGACACGAAAGGAAAGCCAAATACATACGAAGCGCTCGTAAAGCGAGCCGAGTTTGCCTTCTCCGTCGTTCGGCCTTGTCGCTCAGACCGGTCCAGTCGTCATCCTTGCATCGAGCTTCAGCTAATTGGGGCATAGGCGCCAACTCAACGGTAGCCATTGGCATTTCTCACGTGGTACAGATTATCGTAGTTTTTTGAGATCAAAACATGGAAAGGGAGATCTGGATAGAAGATAAAGAAGAGGGTGGGTCGCCTGAGGCTGCAACCGGCTTTCAAAGGATCCACTTATGCAAGTTGCTTTCACCACTAAGCCGTTGTAGGACTAGTATTAGGGCTAATGCGTCTATCTCTAATCTTTAGTTCGACCAATCAGAGGCGATTATAATATCGACTGGCTTCCCTTAAACCTGGCTTGCTCAAGTATAAAGAGGTGTTCAAAGACACTTTCGTACTCATATTTTTTAACATCAATTGTATTACAGAAGGCAAAAAGACTTCATTCGCAGCTATCTATCATTTTCCAGGTACAGCCATGGATTTCCGTGATTGGCTTCATTCACAGCTCTGCGTGACTTTACCAGTTCCTACGAAGCGGTATTCTGGCCTAACTATCATCGTTACCGGTTCTAATGTAGGAATCGGTCTCGAAACAGCCCGATACTTTGTCTTCCTAGATGCGGCCAAAGTCATCCTCGCCGTTCGGAACACAGCGAAGGGTGAGGCAGCTGCCAAATCTATCATCCAGTCTACAGGCCGTACCGGCGTTGTTGAGGTATGGCATCTAGACCTTGCAAGCTATGACAGCGTCAAAGCATTTGCAGAACGGGCGTCAAGCCTAGAGCGACTCGATATCCTGGTCAACAATGCAGGAATACTCGTGTACAAGTTTGAGCTTGCGGAAGACAATGAGTCTACTATCACCGTCAATGTAGTGAGCTCAATGCTGTTAAGCCTGTTACTGCTACCAAAGCTTCGAGAAACCTCGGTCCGGTATGGAAAAGAGAACGTTTTGACGTTCACTGGATCCTTTGTCCATTTCATGACAGACTTTCCTGAGAGGAAAGCCCCGAATATTTTCAAAGAGTTGGCGAATAAGGAGAGGGCTAATATGAAGAATAGGTAGCTTTATCCATTTATTCTAGTCAGGATATCATGCTAATAGTATGAAGATACTATGTCTCCAAACTCGTCCAACTCCTCATTGTCCGCGGACTCGCAAATCAAATCACCAACTCCACATCACCGGGCGACATCACAGTCTCCATTGCCAATCCGGGATTCGTCAAGACCGAAGTAATGAGAAACGCAAGCGTCAGCTTTCATCTCATCTTCAGACCGTGGCGAAAGCTCGTTGCTCGTTCGGCAGAAGAAGGTGCTAGGACAATCCTTCATGCAGCGGCTGGTGGGAAAGAAACCCATGGCCAATATTTGAGTGATTGCAAGGTTGCTGAGTAAGTTAAACACAGATGATTCCCCTCGGGGTTAAAGCTGATTTCACTCCTATTGCCAGGACTTCTGAATTCGTGCGTAGCAACGAGGGTGAGGAAGTCCAGAAAAAATTGTGGGCGGAATTGTCCACAACACTTGAGAGGATCGTTCCCGGTGTTATGAAGAATATATCATAATTTCAGTCATGTCTCTTCTGCAGTCTATTCAATTGGGCTACTCCATGTTCCAAGAAGACACCCTTGTGGAGCATAAGTTACATGTGCCGAAGCAAACCATAGAGGAAGCGATTGCCTCCTTACTGGCTTTCCCTGAACAGAAAGCCTTCATAAATTGTACACGATCGATTCGATAGCCTTATCCAAAAAAAAAAAAAAAAAAAAAAAAAAGAGTCACCGCTGATAGTGTAAAAGTCTTGCTGGCATCCAGTTAAAAAAATCAACAAGAGGATATTGGTTTATAGCCCGATGCGGGGGTCGAACCCGCACTGCGTAGACGTTAGCATCTATGTTATAGATATTTGCTGTGCATCGAGCAACTTACACCTTCAGGTTCTCATTGGAGGCAATAAAAGCCTGACACTCTACCATTGAGTTAACCGGGCGTTGATTGGTCAGGCTGAAATAGGATGTACTAGGGCTGGCGTAGATATACGTATATGGTTTGGTGCTCACTGCTAGGCTTACGGGCCCGCTTGCCCTAAATCAGGAGACGACATGCGATTCTCAGCTATAACTGTTTTCTGGTAGCGATTTATTCTCTGTATTAAAGATATGTCAGCAACCCTCTGTGGTCCGTTGAAGATGGGTAGGACGAACCTCACATAAATTCCATTCTGCCGAAACGGACACCAGATACCCAAAACCACTAAGAAGTCGAATTCACCCTGTTGCTGCTCGCTCGGCTTTCGTGGTTTATGAAGGAAACGTAACTCCTGAAGTTTGCTATGCACTCTCATAGATAGAGAGGATAGCATTCTTGGGGCGTCTCCTGTCGGGTTCTGGTGGATTGGAAGTTGGAGAGCTGCTTGCTATAGTTGTCAAATCTGTCCTCGGGTAATACTCCCTCCTGCTTCAATAGGCAAACTAAGGCGATGGCCGAATGGGAATCCATGTGATGCTATAGAGTAAAAAAAATAGATTTTTGATATTTCCTCGCTCTCATCTACTGTCACATCTCCTTTCACTTATTTGACAATTTATCACTCAGGAAATCAGAGGTGAATATGCTAGACACAGAGTAGAATGAGCCGGTCGCGTTAATCAATCATTTTGATATTCTATTAGTCGGATAGACAAACATCTGCTATTAGTCCTCTTGCTGCCAACATATTTTGGAACTACTGCATCAGCTGTCCAGGGTGTGAGGGTGCCAAGCCAGATCTCAATAACAATCCATTCCTATGCCTAATCTAGGTGCTATTCGACGAGAATACAAAACATAAGGAAAGGAAGAAAGAGAACGGAGTGCGCGATCACTGAGCGGTGTTGACATATTAGCGAGATCACGTGTAAGGCTCCAAGGCATCAATCAGGCATCTATTGACTGAGCCGTCACACAGGGAGGCCATAAAAGTAAGTCACTCAATACCCAGCGCTTGTTTTCATGGGGAATTATACACTGTAGCCAGCTAACATGATTATCTTAATACAGAATGGTTCAATATCAGAACATTCAGAATGCGCTTTAGATCGACTCCCAACACCCTACCAGCTGGGGTTTAGAGTCAGGATTATGCCTCACTGCATGACTATACCCAATACATGATCCTCTTGCCTTGCTATATAATTTTGTATAAAATAGTATGTGTTAGAAACTACTATGAGCCTTGGAACAGCTCAAATATCACTTACTAGAAAACGGATCCCTTTTGGTGGAACGGTATTCCAACAGTATGTGTTCAATTTATGGTCTAGTTGGTTCTAACATCTTTTGTATATCTAATTTCACAATTATCAATAGTGCTATTGAACTTGAAACTAACAATAATAACATATGATTCCATGTATTCCAAGTAAAATCAAATCGGGCCATTGTTCTAGGCAACTACAGATGAGGCTGAAAATTAAGGCATGTGGGGTATTTATAGCTTCACCTTCACCCTTTTATCTTTTACCAGTCATCCTTCCTGTATGCAACAGTTCCCGTATAAAGATACATCTGTTTATTATATTCATGTCCGTCAAGCACAGAGAGTGGGGTATTTATGAGAGGAGTCACTATTGTGCATGATGACTGGTATGTATCAGTTGATGGATTTGACAAATACTCTATAGACATAAGATGTTGACGATACCATAGAATCCATCTTAACAGCTCCATCTCTGAGCTTGCGGAGCAATATCAACCTACAATATCAATCCCCCCTATTCTCAGTACTTCCTGCAGAAATTCGATCTCTGATCTTCAAATATGCTCTGACCGACTACGAAGACATCACCACTCACATGTCATATGACAGGGATACTTACTGGTATCGCCCAGGATACATGGCAAAACGCCGTACAGCAACAGAACTTTTACGTACTTGCAAACGTATCTTTCAAGAAACATGGTTCCTACCTTTTGCTCTTGCAGAGCACTGTTTTTATCTGACAAATACTGCGAGGGCACCAAGTGAACACGTCACAGTGGCACGGATGAAAGAATACCTGACTACGCTCAGAGACTTTGCGCGGAACCAGGATGGGATGGAGATACCACAGATTGAACGTATCAGGGTGTTCGCTCAAATGTTCGTGTTGGAGGATTCGCCCAGATTACAGGAAGTACTTGATATGGAGGGCTTTCAGCCTAAACATATAACGATTACACTTCGTTACACAGATTTCTGGTTCTGGGAGCACAATTCGCCTATACACATTGATGCAAAATGGGTGAATACCGTGAGATTCCCAAAGTCGGTCGCCACGATCAGTATGGACTTCGAGATGGTCGACCGGCGAAAAGAGGAAATTGATTACATCACAAATCTTGCGGTGGATAAATGGTTCTTTCGGCGAGCAGATGGAATCGTCTTCAAAGCCAACAAAGAGGATATCAAGACAAGCCGATGGACAGGATCTTCAACCCTGGGAGATGCCCGGTGGATTAGAGATGAATCCAGAACAAACGAGATTGATTATTATGTCAAGACAGTGACGTGGAAACCTGTTCCGGAGTTTGATCCCTTTACTGGTGGTGGAGATGGTTGTCCGAATTTGGATATACCTCATGATTTTCCTCGCCAAACCCCACCTTTTGGGAGAATGCCAAACGTGCCGGTTGATGACCTTCAGTATTTGGACTGCTCTGACAATTTGAGTGCGCAGCAGGTTTATGATAGTATTCTGGGGATGGACGAAGAGATGTGGGAAGAAGCGATGTCAGAAGAAGAGATGTCAGAAGAAGGGATGTCAGAAGAAGAGATGTCAGAAGAAGGGATGTCAGAAGAAGAGATGTCAGAAGAAGAGATGTCGGTCTAACAGACGTCCTGGTAGACTCTTTCGGAATGTTTGATGAAAAAAATATGATGATGTATCTGAACATAGACACTGGAATAGCTTTATTATCATACATGTACTTAAGAACTTCGGTTAACTCACAACGGTTTTGTAGTTTACAGAAATCTACTTTCGTGACACGGTATTGACCTGGCAGTGAGATCCAGGACCTTAATTAGACTATATTCCCCACCCACAGATACCCTCTTGGGGCATCACCCATCCTTTCTTCATACCTAGGTATATACCATACTAGATCATCTAGTATGGGCGCAGCTATTTGGTCTAGTCGGTAAGAGTCATAATATAACCTAGAACCGAGTTGAGCAGGATATCGTCAAGTCATTCCCTCAGGTAACTGTGAGTGACTACTCTTCGGAAGCATTGAATTTTTCCACCAAGGGGAATAATGAGAAGTTTCGGTTAAATCGATTTCTTTAACCGTGGATCTGTCGTGGATAGATGTTCTGCATTATTTTTGGATTTGCGGAATCTCGGTGTTTTAGGCACTTCGAAGATGCTACTTGAAACATTTCCTAGACTTCAGAGAGGTGGAAATTAGGCTCGAAATATCATCATATGCTAGTTGCCCTAAGTCAATTTGTGGAAAATTTGTCTGAGTATCCACTCCGTGAGCCAGCGTTGAAATTGTTCATAAACATGAAACGACATAAGCATCAAAAGGGTACTAAGAATGGAATAACTATATAAAGCCTTTGAGGTGCCATTGAAACATCCTTTGTCTCTAAAAAGGCGTGGCAGCTGAGCATCAAGGATATTCAAACAATCTACTAAGAGTCATTCGGAAAATTACAAAATGCGTTCTATTGCTCAACTTACCTGGCTACTTTCTGTTGCAGTATCAGTACTGGCAGCGCCAACAGAGCTTTCTCATGAATCCTCGCTGGAAAAACGTGGTCCTCATAACTTTGTTATGGGCCCGGATCACCCGCTCATGATGGCTCGTCAAAATGCAACTCTGTCCCGCCGCTCTACAAACTACAAGCAGGACTATGTCACTGGTGGAACAGTGAATTTCTCTCCCGGAAATGGCGAGTTCTCTGTTTCTTGGAATACGCACGACGACTTTGTAGTTGGTGTTGGATGGAACCCTGGAAATACTTTGTATGGACCTTGAATCTCCCTATAAAATCATGCCTACTGCCCACTGACAGTTGTCTTTTTTTCCAGGCCAATTACGCACTCAGGCAGCTTCGACGTCACGTCTGGACTCGCTAGCCTGTCCGTCTATGGTTGGAGCACCGATCCGCTCGTCGAGTACTATATCATCGACGAGATGGTGGATATGCAGCAAGCCGGCACCCAAAAGGGAACCGTGTATAGTGATGGGGCCACATACACTATCTGGGAAAATACTCGCGTGAACGAGCCCTCAATTCAAGGCACCTCAACATTCAACCAATACATATCAATTCGCAACTCTGGCAGAACTAGTGGAACAATCACCGTGGAAAACCACTTTAATGCCTGGAAACAACATGGTATGAATCTCGGAAAGCTCAATTTTCAGGTTATTGCTGTCGAAAGTTGGAATGGCAGTGGAAATTGCAAGCAAACTGTTTCAAACTAATCTGGTACTATTTTATAATGAGGCCCGTCAATAGGTTTTGAGCATCAGGTTCACATTTTGGAGGGCTTGATTCCTTCTCGTCGATGAAGATCAGAATTCCGACTGGTTTGTGCATAAATAAAGATGCTTTTAATAGTTATTCAGACGCATTTGAACCGTGGAAATGAGGAGGAACAATATTTTGCCTTGTCACAATGAGATGTATATATAGTCCATACTGAACCCTAGGCTTCCAAGGTTATGACTCATGTTATGATTGTCCGGTTATATGACCCCCCACTTACACCACAGTCTCAACTTGACACGCCGTAATATAGCCTTAGTGCCTACAGGCTTCCTGATTATCAGTCGACTTCTTTCTCTCCAAATATTTGCTTATATCCACACTCAGGGTTGCTTCAAAAGCAAATGCTGCCTTCACTTTTCCCGAGATCCTGGCTGTGGCTTTCCTTTCACAGCATGTTCCGTCAAAGATGTGCGCTGTGCAGTATGAATTGATAGATTGTCTGAATCATAAGCCTAAAGAATACGTGGAGCTTGTGTACGGTGGTGATCAGGTCCTCAAGAACCGCGCTATAGTAGATCATGTCATGTTCAGGTTATTCTCTCGGAGATCTCTATAGGAAAACATGACTTGGTAGGTTGTGTTATTTCGATGCTTGATATATCCGAGCTTATAATCATTGTTGATGATAGGTACAGCAGTGGTTGGATCGAAGCGCAGATCTTGCTGTGTCCGCTTACAAAATGCTCGAAAAATCCGTGTAGGAGTTGGATGCCCACCTTACTCTATGCTCTTACATCGTCGGATACTCTGTCACTCTTGAGATGTAATCATATGGGCCATTTTTGTCGGGAACAAGGTTACCATCTCACTCAAAAGAAACAGCATCAACATCAGTCGTTTGTTTGATTTTGTTGAAGCTGAAAACCCCTAGATTTCCTCTGTGGCAGCTAGTTTCGAGAAGTTCTTGCGCAGTAAAAGAGCTGCATCAAGTGCAGCTAGGGCTAGATATAATATCTGGTTGAGAAACATGGGAAATAGCATAATCACCCGGTTCCCTCCCCGAGTGCCTACAGAGACTTGCCAGTTGAAGAAAGCCCCGCTCGCTTCATGGGCATGAAATGTGGCTCGGAAGAGGAGCTCAAATGGTATATTCGTGCAAAGATAACCATCGACAGCCCAAAAAAGCCCCTGCGTAACCCTCTCATTTATCGCTGCAATTTACAATCTCATGATAGAACGGGTACAAACTGGAAAATTTATCCGCATACGACTTCTGCGCACCATTCTTAGATTCGTTACAAGGAGTTACTCACGCATTGCGAATAAACGAATACAGAGATCGCAGTGTTCAATGTGGGTGGATGCAAAGTGCTATGGGAATTCGCTCAATTGATATATAAGATATTTCGCGGCTTGACTTTGTTAGGGCAGCTTTGTCAAAGAGGAAATTTACTACTCTTGTTGAGAATGGCGTTGTAAGGGACTGAGATGATCCACAAATGCCAACTATCCGCGGTATTCGCAGGCGAGGCATGACAATGCCTGCTTTTCAATAATTCGTCTTGAAACATGGCCCCAGTCAAAATATACTGAACTTGGGTTGGACAGTGTTCTGGGTGACGAATAAGAAGCGTATTGACCCCATTGCCGCTTGGTATACTGCAATCCGAAAAGAAGATGCGTTGACGACGACTGCCAGAGGCTTAGAGGCAGCAACCCTCATTAGGACTCCAAAGCACAAGACGAATAAGTCTTTAGTAACTAAAGACGTCATACTCGCCAAAGAGATCATAATTGACCAGAAGCCGACGCGAAAACCCTCAAGCCCAATGAAAAATTACTCTTATAAATTGGAGGAATGCTATTGTTTCCAATATTTCTACTGACCCGGCGAGTTGAAAAGCCACGGCTCTCGACTTGTAACTCCACCTGGGAGGTGACATGAGAAAGACTGAGAAACAGATAACATCGCTTGCAAACAGAGCTTAAATATCATTCCTGTGGAAATTGTCATTTCCGGCTAGCTCCTCACCAAAGACAAAATCGGAAAGGGAAATAATATCATGGATTTTGTGGCTGCCACGAGTGATTTCCGTACAGAGGAGTGGGCGGACTGTAATGTTTCGAATCTCTCTGAATACGATATTATGCAATTCGATTGCATTGGATACTATAGGGTAGATCGTGCTTATCATGATCAAAAGCCTGCAGTGTTCTTCAATATCCCTACTGGGAAAGGATCATAAGGTCTCTTTGTTACCTTTGAACTTGGCGAAGACGGTGGAAAGCCCTAGAGAGTATCTAGAGTTTGTTCAGAGCACATACAAGTTGAGAAGCTTGAAAGGGTGAATCTATGTCAGTATCACTTGCTATTACAGATTCGGTGAGGGTGGCTTGTTAAACAGACTCTCACTTACGTTCGCTAAACTAAGGCTTGCGCGATTTCTAGGGCTTGTGTGTAGGCCTGATTTTTAAGGGATAAGAATAGATCTTACTGTATACCTTGATGTGGATGAGGAGTTACCCTTAGTCCAAAGGAACAAAATTGCAGTAAACTCCCAAGCACTCTGTATGAACCCTAAGATAATTTTCCGGATTAGTTAGTGGGAACGTTTTGCTGCTTATTCAGCATGTCTTATTTTTTCTTCAGCCTATTCATATACTTTATCTAGCGTCGTAATCTTGCCTTTTCGAGACTCAGCAATTATTTGATTCAGTTTGATGAATCTATCGCAAAACTATGATATGTTCTCTCTTTATCCATCTTCCTTAACTGCTTTGAATTTCACGAATTGCATATCGACCTAATAGCTGTATTGTGAGACCCGGCATCAAAAATTTACCTGCATGCTATGAGGCAACCCGTGGCCACTGCGTTTTGAGCTTCGGTAGCCAAATTTCTCTTCTTGCCCTGACTATTGGTATATCTGAACCGTGACTATGGCACTTTCTTCCCTCGCCGTGGAAATTGTATTCCATCTTGCCAGCCATTTGTCTACGTCCGACATTGCCAGTCTCTTAAAAACCTCCAAATGGTTGCATCAACTTCTAGAAGCATACCATTGGCGAGACCTTGACTTCCACACCGGTTGGCAACACGGCAGGAGAGAATCTCTCACAGAACAACCCGACTCACCTTCTGCATCTTCGCAGCCCGGAGTGGACAATGACGACTAAGATGACCAAGAACAGATATGGTTTTCAACACAAAAATTGCCCAATTCATCAATGCCTGTGTTTTGAAGAACAAAAGACCCTCCTCGTGGTCTAAGCGTAGCTCTGCCGTACGCTCTTTGCACATTACCCTTCCCGCGCGGTCGGAAGCATGGAGATTGGATGGATCTAGATGTGTGGAATCATTCCGATCTCGGTCTCGAGAAGATCCAGAATCAAATCGACTACCTAGCCACGTTGTTGTTTCCGAATCTAACACTCCTAACGCTGAGTGAGTACGTCCCTGCAGATTGGGCACGTCAGCTCCTCAACGCGGCGCCTTCACTTGTGAATATTAACCTGAAGCTGCTAGCACCACCTCTTTACCCCCCCCCCCTCCCCGTCCAGACATGGCGCGACCTCCCTAGTGGTGCATACGCCTTTCAGCGGGGTCTGCTCTGGCCACCTTCCGGAAATGTATACACTAATGATGATGCAGATAGAAGAGTAATAGAAGAGGAAGACGATAAAGTAGGAGACCTGGATGAGCGATTTTCATCCGACGATGCAATTGCTTTATCTCCTCTCCCACTCTCATTTTCGGTCTCCCATTTCACCTCTATAAGCCACTTGTGTCTGTGTAAACCTGCCGCGCGTGACGACGAAAGGGAAATGGATCGGGTGCTTCACAATCTCAAGCAGGAGAGAGCCGTGTTAGAGGAATGGGCCGAGCTATTATGAGCAGCCAGGCCAACGTTGGAAGAGGTCATCTTTGATCTGAGACCCGTAGTGACGGAGATATGGTTAGATGGGATGGAGTCAAATGCCCCAGTTCACAAGGGTGGGACCACAGAGCCGGGGGACATGAGATTTATGGAAATTGTGCTTGTGCCTGTCTTTTTTGACGATGGTAATCCAGAGAGCAGGGAAAAGGGGAGTGAATGGCCGAAGTTGAGGAGTCTTACGTTTTGCGGCGTGGAAGTTGAGGATCTATTAGTAAATGGGCAGGCAGGTGGTGGAAGAAAGAGGCTTGGGGGAAGATTAGGGCATGCTGTAGAGATTCACTACCTCCCTGGATTGTATTCATTTATTAATGAGGGCGAGGAGAGAACTGGACGGGGGTATCTGCTTTAATTACACCAGAAATGGAGAATATTTACAGTGTTATAGCACTCGTAAGGTTTCAATTTAGGCTAATTCCCCGCCGCTTACCCCCTCTAAGATCGCCCGCCATTATGCACTCACAGCTACATGAGAGAGGGAAGCACAATGTGTTACAGTACACAAGAGTTGCACCATTAGCTAATTAGGAAGTACTCTTATCATGGCCAGATATTAATGATTTTCCCTTTCTTTCGTAAACGACCGGAGTAATCTGACTTTAATATTTAAGCTTAACTCAATCGGTAGTTGAGAGTTGATCATTTGATCCTCAGCCAAGCAAAGAGGCTTTTACAGACTGGACCTAAAAATTATTCACCATAGCTAATAAAATATCATAATATACGCTGTTTTCGGTCATACTTCTGAAGAGGCTTTTCTGTGGCTGAACTTGTAGAACCAAGTAACCAATAAATTCGGCGGCTGACATAGAGGACAACTTGAACATTAGCCCTAATTGGCTATTTCGCTCTACTAACGGTCCTTGGCCTCTGCGAGCGATATCACTCTATAATCAATGGATTCTTTTGGCGATGATACTGTACCGACGCCCTGCTGACAGTTTGTCATGCCACAGTTGAGGTTTTATTTCCTAATTGAGGCATCCATTATAGGGCTAGGATCGATTGCGTCGTGGAATATCGGTCGTTGGTTACAGTCATACTCTGGATACATATGTGAAGAGTGTTGAGGGTTGGTGACCGGAATTGGGTATATAAAGGCTGTTCTTCGCTGTTAATTGTTGGTTGAATAAAGCAAACAATTTGTCTGACAAGTAAATTTCCAGCCTGGACTTGTACAACCCCTAGTCAACATGCTTCACAAGTTGCTTGCTCCGCTCATAGCGTTATTATCGTTATCTCAATATGTCCTTAGTTTCCCCTTGACAGTGAGACTCGACAACGGCGCTCCTCTTCGAAATATAGTATACGTTCAGACCTTTACAGATTCCAGAGGTAACTGGTTCAATCTGACAGACCTCGTGACGCAAAAGAGTGGTATTACACATGTGATTCTTGCATCACTGCATTTGGACTCGCCTACAGAGATACATTTGAATGACAATGATATCGAGTCTTCATACTGGGACCCGTTGTGGCCGATGGTGTCATCGCTTCAGGCCGCGGGAGTCAAGGTTATGTTAATGATGGGTGGTGCTGCTCAGGGAAGTTATGCCCGTCTTCAAAACGATGTAAGCTTTATCTCCCCTCAAAAGTACAAACCAGGGATTAGGCTCTTTGCTGATTACTAGCAAGTTCGATACTTACTACCCCATCATCTTACAAATTTTAAGACACCACAACCTGGACGGATTCGACATGGACGTTGAAGAAAACGTCTCAGAGTCGATCCTCCTTAGACTTGCGCAGCAACTAGACGCTGACATGGGCACAAACTTTATTCTAACCGCTGCCCCCGTGGCCCTGTCAATGTCTAACAGCGGAAATCTGGATAATGTCAGTTGGCCTGCATTGGACAAAGTCGCCATCAGCTCAACACGACCAAACGGGAAGTTGTTTAATTGGTATAACACTCAGTTCTATGATGGTTGGGGTAGTGCTGCTTCGACTGGTTCTTATGATACTGTTATCAAGGCTGGCTGGGATCCGCGCAGGATCGTTTTGGGTGTTTTGACTGCTGCATCTGCTGGAAGTTCATGGCAACCGACATCTGTATTGGCCAGCACGATTGCTAGTCTCAAGGCGAAATATCCAAATTTTGGTGGTGTGTTTGGTTGGGAGTATGGATTAGCTGGGCAAAGTGATGGGCAAACTCCTGTTCAATGGGTGCAGTCGATAGGCCGATATTTGGCGGCTTAAAAGTTTTGTTATCTGGTATGTCTTGTCATGCCTTTACCTTGTATGTATCGAGTGATGTATCTAGTAACGATTGTAGGTAAATACATGTAATGTCTCGAAGATCAAGGAAAGCTCATTTTTGAACGGCAGTACCGCCAATATTGAAAACAGGATTATTCAAGCCCACCTTATTATCCGACTGAGCAGTCCAATGTGCCTTCTTGTACGCATCTAATTCCCTGGTGTTCTCGAATATACGATAAATATTCGGATATTCCCTCTTCAAGACCTCTATCTTCCTCCCCCAATCTCCTCTAACCCAATTCTCGACTGCAGGAACCAGCACAATATCAGCCAGCGTCAACTCGTCTCCAACACTGTATCGACCTGCGGTAGATCTGGCATAACGCTCATATGCCTTTAAACCTCGCGTATGGCTCCATTCTAGCCAACCGTCGATCACTTGAGACACATCCGACGTTTTCCCTTCTTCGCTGCCAGGGACCGAATGAGTTATGGTTGCATATTCGAGCGCGAGGCTGGTTACGTGTCGAACAGGCGAAAGATTCGCGAGCGGCTGCCAATCGGCTACCACAACTAAGGCAAGATTTTTGATCTGTGCCCTTTTAAGCAATGCCACATTCTTTTCCTCGACACTTGACGAGACTAAAAGAGAAGGAGGAGGAATCAAATGTGGTGTAGTATCCGGAAATAACTCCTCGAGATATTCCAAGATAGCCAGGCTTTGGGTTATTGTTGTCCTCGACTTAGGGATACCAGCTTGAATATTATCATGTTCTTCTCCATCAAATTCGTAAATCACAAGACAGGGCAATGTATTCGATAACGACATTTGTTCATATTCCGCTTTGAGATGCTCGTCACGAGCACAGTCAACATACTTGTAGGTGATAAGGTGATTGAGACCCTTGAGGTGAAGTGCAAATCGTACACGAGTGCTACACGAGGACCGGAAATAGCTGTATAAAGTCATGCGACGATTGGGTGTTGAGTTGGTTGGTTGAGTCGCCATTATACACTGCTTGATTTGCTGAATAGTTCAAATATGATTGTAATGCTCAATTTGCATACGTTGAACTTTGGACAAGGGGTCGATGTTAATTTCTCGGGCTTCATGGAAGGAATCGCCTACCGTGTCTATAGCACTATGACCTTTCTCTACCCGATATTGTGAGTCAAGTTCTGATTTAATTGTCTGACCAAAACGGCTTCATGTGTAACTTCATAGAATCGTAGCACAGGGCGTTGCACAGTTGTACCGGATGATATAGGAAAGAGATTTTACTTGATCATGCTCATTTTATCGGGACCAAAAAGGCGTGTCAAAACCAAACCCCTCGACATGGCATTATAAGATTTATAAGATTTTATCAATGCCCCATCTGACACGTACAGATAGGGAAAAAAGAATAAGTGCGCTGATTAATAGCGTGGACTTTTAACCCTAAAAAAGTCCGCCGCTAGCGTTTATTTGTCCCCATTTACCCTTTTTGGTATATAGGGGGCATGCTATTACTATAGCATAGTGCGAGTATATCCATATACAATTATTTGTGGCTAACTGAATGGGAGGTGTTGATATTTAGAATTACAACCTGTGGAGGGGTACTATTGAGGCAGTACAAGGGATTTGCTTTCTTTTCATCTCTTTTTGCTTGATGTAGCACACTCGTCTCTCATTGATTGAATATCCGGTTATATAGTAGGATGGGAAGTGGAGCAAATATAAACATGACATGTACAAACAGAGGAAACTGGACGACCTTGAAGTAGGCTGTAAGGACTGGTTCTCAAGGCTTGGTTAAGGTCACACAGCGCCGAGTTCGAGGAAGAATGTGTCAATACCTCTAATAAAGGCAGACTGCTATCTAATGTAGACATCGCCAAAGACTGCAGGCTGGGTTTTCCCTAGACTCTATATAATCAGTCTACTAGACTCTGCATAATCCACTGGAGCCCCGTTTCAGATAGTGTACGCAGATTAGAGCCTGAGTATTTCATACAGGTCCCTGTCCTTGTTTAATATTAGGACATGTAAGGCACCACAGGCGCTATGAGCAGCGCAAGAGTGTGAGCCTGCGACCATCCCGATTCGATAAAATAAATTAATGGGCTTTCATGGGCTTTCGTGAGCTTTTCTGGACAATACGCACTTAAGAAGGTGAAGATAAACAATTAGATAGTACTGATACTTCTAGCGGGACTTATTTAGCAGTAACCTTCGACGTCTTGAATAATATTGAATCTACAAAGCCTCAGTATTCCAAATTTCTAGATACGGTCTACCCTCTAAGTCTTTATTTCCTCTTTGACTCCTTTTTGCGCGGTGAGTCGTGATTATGTCTCAAAGTCAACGCTCAGAGAATCCTTCTTCATCTATCTATGATAGCAATTTTTGAGAATCCCGCTTACTTTACCCCTGAGAACGTGCAGTTAGATACACATGATCTTTCAACCAGCCGGCAAAAATTCGATTCTTTTGATTCGGAGTTATTCGACCACCACGACCTCTTACAGTTCCTTCTTCCCTTACCTTTGTTAGTCCTGGCCGGAAGAAGCCCACCAATTCTCCCGACCTCATCGCTCCATCTGCTACCTCAGCTCCTATGATTGCTACGGGCACTCTATCCTCACAGAATCAAGGAATACGATCTCATATTGAGTCGTCTTCTGTAAGCGACGGAGAAAGCATTGCACACAGTGTCTCGCACAGTGTCTTGCCAAGCTGACGACAGGAAAGTGACCAAAGCACAGCATCATTGTCATTTAGCGCTAAAGGATCATTCGGGAATGTAGCTACTTCACCAGATCCTCAAGGTCAGCCAGTTTCCATTGGGAATTCTTCCGCCCTAGCTCCAGAAAGAGCTCCGGCTGTCCCATCGAGACAGGCACAAACAACAAGGTTCCACAATGAGCCACGTCCCGTAAGCAGGGGAGGAGAAAGCCTTACGACCAGTGTCTTGCCGGCTGAACAGCGGAAACTTAGCCAAACCGTATCATCATTATCATCATCATCATCATCGTCGTCGTCACCGCCATCTCCATCATTAGGGTTGGGGCAATGGGTAGAATGGAAATCCCGCGGAAAAAAAATTCCGCAGAGTGAACAAATAACGACAAATTGGGAAGGATGGGGGTCTGGAAAAAAAGAACAAGCAGAGAACAAGAGTAAGCAAACTATGACAGATAATGTTGACCAACAAGTACAGCCGGAAGTAGTCAATGGGAGCCAATTGATTTGGATCAGTTAATTAACATGGAGCGCCAAAATTTGAAGCGTAAGGGGGAACAGAGGGAATATGCATATTCGTAGGTTTCTCTTACAAGTATAATTAACACTACCTAATTCTTATATTATGGACTCTTTGCATCTCTTATGCAATAATCTGGGCTTTGAGTCACGCTGTATTCCTTGGAGACAGCCATGATATGACTATTACACATTTTGTAATCTATCTTGCTGATTGCGAATAAGGACATGCTCTATGCGTACCATTTATATGTGGTTAAGAAAGCGTACAATCGAGGTGCTCCACGCCAAATATTTGCTAATGTGAGACAAATATCACGACATTCCAAGCTTTTAAGGTTGCCAGTAAACCAGATTAACTGCACTGTTTGCGTGCAGTTTCATTCTAGACTTCATCCCAGCCTTTATTTAACATGACATGGCAGATTAAACGAATAAAAATATAGACTGCATAAGTCCAGCCTAATCCTTCGTCAGCCTACTCATCTATCCCATTACTTAGCGCAGCGTTATGTCAGCTCACTGATTCCTGAGAGTGCGATCGAAAGCCCGAACGACTTATCATTGACCAATGTGCAAGTACCTTATTATAGATTTACGCATAGTATCTAGTAACACTTTTGCGTATTTATACCGGATACTGGAGAATAATATGCCACATCTAGGAATTTATAAATTGCCTACTTAGGAAATATCTAGCAAACCTACTAGTGATATATCATGCGACTCACTGTGTTGTATAAGAGGAATGAAAACGGTCTAAGTATCAGGTTGCATGAAATAAATAGCCATGGCAGCTCCTGTAGGACCTGCGCAGTTAACTTGACGATGTTCTACAGTGGCCTCTATGGGCGTGTATTACTCTTACATGCATCTAGTGATCACTAGTGGTTATTTGAGGATAAGTCACACCTAAACCCATGCGATCATTCTACAGTAGCGCTGAAGGATTATTCATATCTCAATAAAAAGAGTGAATATATCGAGTCTTTTCAATATCGGACTCAAATTCATCAGACGAAGTTACTTATTCTCTTCGTTCATTCATCTACTGCCCCATCAGAGCCACCAGTGGACAGCGTCTCGTACAGAAACGTAACAATGAGGTTTTCAGACCTAGCCAGTGATGATGGTTTGAGAGGTAGGGTTTCTATGCGATCTATTGCATTTGATCCAGACGGAAAATCAACTTTTTCTGGTGGGGTAATTGACTGGCCGGATAGTGCTCAACACCTTGCTGGCTTCACGGTCGTATATTGTCTCGTAAGTATGCGTTGGAACTTGAAGCATCTCATTTATGAAGGATTAATCTTAATTCCTTATATTATTGCTACTCGCTAACTCATGGTATTGATAGGTTCTCCCCGTCCCAGGCCGATGTCGCTGTATTCAAAGACATTACCTCTCATCCTGACCTCTCCCAGTATCCTCACGTTGCGAGATGGTACAAGCATATTGATACCTACAAATCCGAATTCGCGACCTTGCCCGGCGATCCGTTTAAGCCCTATACTACCTACGGACCTGAGGTTGACGAAGCTAGCGTTACCCGCGATGCTGACGACGATGATGAAGATCTCTATGGTAGAGAAGACGAAGAAGAAGACCAGGAAGCAGTTTGTCTCCAAAAAGAGCGTCTAGCAGCCTACAAAGCGAAGAAAGCAATCAAGCCAAAGCCTGCAGCAAAATCCGTAGTCACACTAGATGTCAAGCCTTGGGGTAAGTTCCGGGATATAAAAGAACTCGTCGCCAAATAAGATGTTAACAAAGAATATTCGCCAGATGACGAAACCGATATGGCCGCGCTAGAGGCCTTGGTTCGTAGCATTGAAAAGGATGGTCTAGTCTGGGGTGCTTCGAAATTAGTTGCGGTAGGTTTCGGCATTAAGAAGCTGCAGATTAACCTCGTTGTTGAGGACGAAAAAGTGTCGACGGTGGACCTTCAGGAGGAAATTGAAAGCTTTGAGGATTACGTTCAGTCTTCAGATGTTGTAAGTCTGCTCGTTCCTGAAGTCCCCTTGAGAGATCCTATTGGGATGCTAATTTGTATTATCAGGTTGCCATGCAGAAGCTATAAACAGTAATATGCAATCATTAACGAGCCCATCAGACTTTATGATGTGAATAAATATGTAAATTATGAATCATAAGGAAAGATTACTACTAATCCTAAGCTTGAGGGTCCCAGCAACTGCAAAGTATAAGAGAGGATGAAATATGCACAGAATCATCTTTTGAGCGTTTACGTATCTGAATTGGTATCGCTGCCGATAATGCAAGGTAATGGTATGAGGTTGATTTTAGTTCATCATCCAACATAATAGACCACTAACGAGTATGAATACGTAGCAAGAAGAACAAGTGATAGCGAAGAGCAGACATAGTTGTTAAGCTCTGGTTCTATGTTCTAAGATGACTATTCATAAATCACTCATTCCATGCAGCTGACAGACAGTCCAATACACAGCAGACTCCTTGAACTATGACAGACTCAGGAAGGGTATTCATAAAATCCTCGCCTGTTCTTAAATCCGAGTTTGCCTTCCTTAATCATGTTATCGAGATACTGCCGGGGCTCAATGGGGAGGCCCTTGCGCGAGTCTGCATAATGGTTTTCAATGTCCAGCACGACATCCAGTCCGACAACATCCATGAGCTCACATGGCCCTCGGGGTGTCTTTAAGACGTCTTTGAAAATAGCATCGATTTCTTTTGGGGTTGCGACGCCCTCGTGGAGCGCGAGGAGAGTTTCTCGTTTGATGGCCGCCCAGATTCTGGTTGTTGGTATTGATTATAAGCATTCATGCATCGATCGGATATTAAGGGAATTTAAATACACAGGACAGCTTACCGGTTATAAATATATCCAATTGAAGTTGATTTCACATGGTAGGGTGAGAAGCCGTGTTTTTGGGATTGGTTGAGCATTAGCTCAATGATAGAAGGATCGGTCTGATCGTGTCCCATGATTTCAATCGCTAGACAATGAGTTAGTCAAGGATTCGCCTCGGCAGAGATTAATGTCACTTACCTGGAGTCTCCGGTGGCCAGTCTTTAATCCGTGCAAAGCCCTAGATCAGCATCACCATCGCACACGTCGGCTGCTCTCACTTACAACAATGTGCGCTCAACACTCGGGCCGGGTTTTTGAGAGTCAGTGGTTCTATAATTTCGCTAATCACATAGCTACTAGAGTTGGAGGCGATAATAGTCTGCTCGGGGGCAATAGCATCGAGTTCGCTGATTACGGTTCGCTTTAGGTTGATGTTTTCCGGCACACACTATCACAACCAATCAAGCAGTCAGACCAAATGTCTCGAGTCAAGTTTATGCGATATGCTTTCTACCGACCTCAATTGCCAGCCAAGCCTGTTGCAATGCTGAATTAAGCCTATCTGGGGAAGACGTCGTGATGTTCCCCCAATTCTTGGAAATGGCAGAGGGCGATGCGCGGAGTTGTTGGACGTAGTCAATTCCTTCCGAAAGCTGTTTTTCTTGTCGGTCGACTAGGTGCACAGGTTTTCCAGTGCTGGACCACTACTAGGTTTGAAGCGCGCATCAGAAGTCAAATCCCGGAGTACTCTCATCATGCATTATAATCACGTACCATATACGCCAGACGCCTGCCTTGAGTGCCCGCTCCCAGGATCACCACGGCGTCTCGTAGAAGTTTTGTTCGTGCCATTTTTCATCTGATTGATTTTCTGCGCGTCCCGATTTACACGAAGAAAGAATATTTTGACTTGTTGAAATTAATGCGGAGTTCATTTTAAGAAGATACGCGATTTTGTACCCTTTGCAATGCGAATATGGTCGGTTCCGGGGTCGGATCCGACGTGGGTTGGGGTAGTGCGGAGTTGTGATTGTAGCTGTATAGTTACCTACTTGAAGTGGACTAGGCATGTTTAGTTGGGCTTGATATACGTACAATAGAGTTCAAGATGTGGCAATAGAGACTGGGTGGGAATACCCCAGACATTTCGGCATCTGGCATCTGGCATTTGCACTCGGAACAAGGTTCCACTGATATTGTTGAATGGAATGATGGCCAATCTCAGCTTCCTACGAAGCTTGCTCAAGTAAAGATATTCGGGATATATTCAAAGTTCACGCCATCGGGATTCGACTATACGAATCTGTGTAGATACGGGCGAAGGTAAACTTGGCAGATCCTGATCCGAGTTATTGATCAGTCACTTTTCAGCCGGATGGAGATACCACAGAAGCCGGCTTTTGCCCACGGGCACAACACGAATGATTACTGTGCGAGTAGTGAGATCACTGATCCACACCTGTCGGATCCGATGGCCAGCGACAGGGTCGTCCTTGGTTGTATCCTGGCTTTACCCCATAAAATCCCCAGTGGGCCACATACCCCGACATTGAGGGGAAGCTTGGCGATTGAGATTCGTACCAAACCCTCGTGTAAATATTTAAGATCCCAGGAACCTGGACTTCTTGTCTCGGATATTTGTTAAAAACATCAGAATTCTGCTGTACTGTTGATCTCTCATAGCAGAACCGTTCAAGATGTCTTCACCCAACTCTGATACCGAAAAGCCCACTGCGAGCACTATTGAAAATGGAACTCGCGCCTCGCTACGATCGGTCCCCAGCAAAACAGATGTCGAACACATTCCGGGGGTCTCGAGAGAGACGGAGAATAAACTCCTGCGGAAGCTGGACCTTCGGCTGATTCCTATGCTTGCCCTTCTGTATCTCCTCGCTTTCCTGGATCGTGGCAATATCGGCAATGCCAAGATTGAAGGCATGCTGGATGATTTGCACATGACTGGACATCAATATAGCCTCGCTTGTATGTTACAATTCGCATCTATCATCTTTGCAAGAAGCAGGCCAACTAATTAGCATGCAGTGACCGTGTTCTTCTTCACGTATGTTGCATTTGAGCTTCCCAGTAACTTGCTGTTGAAGAAATTGCGGCCATCACGATTGCTCCCTCTTCTCATGCTTGCCTGGGGCACTGTCATGGTATTATCCCATCTTCATGAAAAAGTAAATCGCATTTCAACTTACTGACTGCGGGTATGCTCAGACTTTGATGGGAATTGTGCAAAACTATCATGGGCTTTTAGCCTGCCGTCTTTTCCTGGGAGTGGCTGGTGAGTACATCATAGTTATCACATGAGAATAGGGCTGCAAATACTGACATGAACATACAGAGGCTGGTCTTTATCCGGGCATTGCGTACTATATTACCCTTTGGTATCCTCGCGACCGTGCTCAATATCGCCAGGCACTCTTCTTCAGTGCAGCTAGTGTGGCCGGCGCCTTCTCGGGCCTTCTAGCTTACGGTATCGCTGTATGTACTCATACTTTAATCATTGCTTAGCTCATTTACTAATGAACATAGAAAATGGACGGCGTCGCCGGTTATGCTGGCTGGCGCTGGATCTTCATCCTTGAAGGTCTCCTGACAGTGGCAGTCGCCCTTGTCGCTCCATTTGCTATCCACGATTTTCCGGAAACCGCAAAGTTCCTGAGTGAAGATGAAAGGGAACTCATCATTACCATGCTACGAAACCAGACGACTAGTGAAGGCTTCGTTACCTCCGAAGTAATCCAAGAGGAGAGCAAGTTCCGTGCCAAATATGTTATTGATGCCCTTACTGATTGGCAGATTTACTTGGGTTTATTCAGTACGTAACTCACACTCCAATTTCTCTTAATAACTATTTTTAACACGATTCCGTTTTTAGTGTACTGGGGTATCACCTGTCCTCTGTACGGCATCTCCTTCTTCCTCCCCTCCATTATCAAAGATTTGGGATACACTTCATCGACGGCGCAACTGCTCACAGTGCCTATCTATATCACTGCCGCCATTGTTGCTATTGGTGCTGCGTGGCTATCCGATCGCAGACAACAACGATCTCCCTTCATTCTTTTCTTCATGTCTCTGATCGCCATTGGCTTCATTATTGTCATTGCCTCATCCGGACGCGGAGTGCCAGGAGTCGTCTATGCCGGTGTCTTTATCGCTGTTGTTGGTATGTTGTATTCGTTGTGCAAAATTTTCATTACTTTTTCAGAAGTGTTTCTAACATTCATTGCTTGCCTCAGGTATTTATCCTGCTTTCCCTGGTAACGTCACATGGATCGCAGTCAACCTCGCCGGAGACTATAAACGAGCTGCTGGTATGGCAGTGCACATTGGTTTGGGTAATATGGCCGGAGGTATAATTTTCCCTTTTCTTTCACCCCTTCACTCCTCGAAGACTACGTCTTCTGCTCGTTTTTTAAGCTCCAGTAAGCTAACATTCAACTCTTTCACAGCAATGGCATCCAACTTCTACCGTTCCCAGGATGCACCCAAGTACATTCTAGGCCACTCCTTGGAGCTCGGATTCTGCGTGGTCGGAATCATCGCAGTTGTTATCCTACGTCTGTCTTACCAGAGAATCAATCGCAAACGTGCCCACATTGACGTGTCTCAATATGATGCTTATCAGATGGCACAGATGGGTGATCGCTCACCCATGTTCAGGTATATGTTGTAGAGTCGGGACTCTATCTATTTTCTTATGAGAGGAAGTTTAATCATGTTGTTAAAATGATGTGGCATTGAGTTATAATGGAGAGCATCCATTGATCAAACGTAGAATATCTGGAAGCAGAGCAGGTTCCTCATCTATCACTATGTAAGGACTACCTAGGTACTCTAGGTGGAACTATTTATATAATCAAATTCAACTTCAATTAACTCAACATGACAGATCGGTCCTATCTACACTGATACTACCTTGAAAGAAGTTTAATAACCTAAAGAGCATTTCCTACCGGGTATATATTTCCAAGGTTGGAGATAAAACCATGAAAAGCAAAGAAGCTAAACGATGGCTATATTCTGTAACTTTGCTTCTACTAGAATATAAGAAAGAAAAGACTCGATAGTCATTTATGCCGACCGGGCAATTTTCAATAGCACTTTCTACATGTTTGCTCGGGAAGAGGCTTGGAAGGAGTGACACAGAAGCAAAAAGTTGGTCGCGCTAAGAGGAAAGAGGCTGTGGGAATGAATCCAAAACATTTTCCGGTCCATTGATTGTAAATTCTGCAGTTGGATAATGCTGGCCCACATCTAATTGCAGAGTATACGATCCAGGATACAGGACCAAATCACCATTGGTAGCAGTTCGTGCAATGGAACCAATAGTGACATCAATACTCACGGTGCGAGTCTCTCCAGGCTTGATAGAGGAGGCTCGCGCATAGCTGATCAATGTCTTGATAGGATACGGTTTAGGACCTGCGTTATCGGTGGAGGCAAAGAGTAATGCGACGAAGTCCGATGTGACTTTCCCGGTATTCTTGACATTGACATGAAAGCTGTCAAAGGGAGCAGTGTCCTGGTACTTTGATTTCGAGGCTTTTGCAACGAGAGATGCCGTGTTGTAAGGGCCAAACTTCTTGTCGGCCCAGGAGGCGTCAAAGGTTGTATAGTGCAGACCGAAGCCGAATGGGATTACTGCGTCGTCGTACCAGCGGTATGTACGTCCAGGGGTACTACCATTTGGACGCAATGACATGTCCGTCATTGGAATTGCATTGGTGTAGTTTGCCGGATATTGTGTTACCGGGAGTCTTCCTGCAGGAGCAGACTGCCCCGTGAGAATGTCGAACACGGCTTGACCTCCGGTTTGGCTTGGGTAGCCACACCACAAAAGAGCATTCACATTCTCGTTTTGGAGAAGCGCAGAGTCGTCTAGCTGTCCACCACCAAACTGTAAGACGACAAGCGGTTTCCCGACTTGAGAGAGCTGATCAATAAGTTGGAGCTGATTACCAGTCCAGGCAATTGTGTTTCTATCCATTGCTTCAGCCTCGATTGAGTTGTCAATACCTCCCGCATAGATGACTATGTCTGCTGTCTTAGCGGCGGCTACCGCAGCAGCAAATCCAGACGTATCGGTGGAATTAATGCCGGTGCCAGCTTCATATTGAACGGTATATCCCATCTGCTCAGCACCCCATACCAGTGTTCGGATATATGCCGGAGTGCCGTAGTAGTTCCCCTGAAGCTGGGTAGTTGCGTTGGCATAAGGGCCAATCAACGCAATTGTCTGCCCATGCTGGGACAACGGCAGTACCTTTTTATGGTCATTTTTCAAGAGCACGATGCCCTCGACAGCAGCACGGTTGGCCAGCTGCTGTGATGCAGTAGTACCCACATCTGACCATCCGAGGGAACTGTATTGTGAATCCTCCGAGTCAAACCACCCAAGTCGGACTAGAGAAGAATATAGATAAACCAAAGCCGAGTTTAAAGTGGCATTTTTGAAAAGATCCTGGGCCGCGGCAGCAGCAAGATTGTTTGACATTGTGGTTCCACAATCCAGATTTGTACCGGCATTGAGAGCGTCAGCGGCGGCAGCAGCGAGAGAACTTGTGTAGCGGTGGTCAGAGTAGATGTTGTCGACCGCATCACAATCTGAAGTCACCCAGTGTCCTGTCTGGTTCCAGTTCCAATGATCACGAAGGATGGTATCTAACAGGTAGCTATCGGCGCAAGTTGGGATTCCGTTGACAGCATTATAGCTACACATGATAGCATCAACTTGTGCGTCGCGTGCGCAGCTTTTGAAGGGAGGTAGATAATATTCGGATAGATCTTGCGTGGAAATAATGGCATTGAAGCCGTATCGTGAATTTCCCTCCCAGTCCTCGATATCGTACCCTGCGAAATGCTTGCAAGTTGCCACAACTCTGGGATTGGCAGGTGCAATTCCATTTTGGAGGCCATCGACCAAGTTATACACGTAGCGAGCAATATGGTATGGGTCTTCACCCGGAGTCTCTTGGCCTCTACCCCAGCGTGGATCTCTGAAAGGATTGATATTTGGTGTCCAGAAGTCCAGACCTGCGTTCCCGTAGTTATTGAAGGCGCGACCCTCAATACTAACGACAGTACCAACTTCTTTTATGAGAGCATCATCAAAAGCAGCTGACATGAGAATAGGCTGTGGAAAGGAGGTGGCGTAACTGAAATTCCCAGAAGGTTGAAAAGTGACGCCAGGAGAACCAGCAACACCGTGTAATGCTTCGTTCCACCATTGATATGCTGGCAATCCAAGACGAGCAGCTCCCGGTGACCCATTTTGAGTGTTTTGAACTTTTTCTTCAAAGGTCATGGCATCTACAAGACCCTTTGCACGGGTGAGAGGGTCAAGAGACGTATCGCAGATTGGATTACTGCACAAAGGGTCCAAAGTGCAGTTGGGCTTCACAGAACCGGAAAGAGGAATTGGGTTGGAACTAGGGTTGGAAATCTGGTAGATATCAATCCTGTATATTCATATATTCTGATTAGCCAACATGCCAAGCACAGGGAATAGTTTATGATTTCACGTACAGCCAGGTCCCCCCACAGATTTTGGAAGAGTTTCCAGCGCAAGTCATAGTGCACGCACTATCCTCTTGTTTCTGCGCAGTACTTCCAATGCTATTACCACAGTAGCATTGACTAATTCCAGGTTAGCTTCTTCATACATGGTACATAATTGATAGTGAAGGTAGGGATCTACTCACCTCCCGTATTCTACTCCAGCATATGTAAACCCAGACAAGCCACAAGTATCAGCACATGTCTGGGGAGAGTTACCACCAGGTGGAGTGGCTGAACCTCCTTGTAGAACTCGCGAACTATCATCCGTGTAGCAACCTAGAAAAGAGATACTGGCCGAATAATTCTGGTTGATGGGAGGGAGACATGTTTCCTGTCGGGGCTGAATTGACGGGATTGCGACAGCGCGGAATACTCCCAAAAGGAGTACACTCCATGCTAGAAAGGCAGATCTAAGAACCATGACTGTTTCCGAAATATCCTTATATGAGTCTTTCAAGGTTCTTACCGGTTAGCGGAAACCTATCCTGGTTGACCTCCGAGGTATGGGATGTAAGCAGTTTATATACCTACGTATACATCTGGACTTCAACCGAATCTGATAATACCCTGATCATAGATTTGTGGAAGTATCACATATTTGCTCTGTCTTTCACGCATAATACAACGTTGGAGATCCGGAAGATTACAACTATAGTTCCGTGCGAAAATATCTTGCGGGTTCGATCCTAGAACCCCTCTGCACGATAATGCCCCCCAAGCCCGGAGACTTTGATATACGTAGAAACGCAAGCAGGGATTTTACCGGTCTTCCATTACGAGTCTTCCCCGCAAATCGGTTGCGTATGGACATGTTACGTTACATATCATGCATGCAGTTGGATAAATGTTGATTATCTGCCCCGCATTGTCATCATTGCCTACTTAGCCGTATAGAAGCAGAGGAAGCCAAGCACTAGAATTTACTGCTTCGATTCTAGAGAGAAAGTTGCACAGACATATCTACTCTTTTAGCGAGCGCTCTCTTTCTTATAGATCGATATCTAGATCCTGTGAATTTAGCCAAAAGTTGGTAGCCCAAAGCTTGTATCAAGACCTGCCTCTTTAGTGAAAATGTGAGAGGACTGTGCCCGATAGCTTCAAATATTACCATAAATAATCGTAATGACTGACATAGCGCGGTTCAATTGATAGTACAAGCACGGCTAATTGCAAATAGCAAGTTTTCATATTTACCGACTTCTGAACAAACCCACGAGTCGGTGAAGAAAGAACACCGTAAAGCATTGAGAATAGTCTAACTTAGATGCTTTTTTATCAAATATCGGCCTATCAATTGATGACATATTCAGTCGTGTCCATGGATGGCACGATGTCTAGCATTAAAGCACTCAGTGGCACTAATACGCATAAAGAAAATGTCAGGAGAGGTTCGTTTACAGATACAAAAGCAAAATGGAAGTAGTCAGCAAAAAAAGGTATGAACACGGGCGTACACTCGTCACTGGTCTGGTATCTGATAAGGCCCGAGGCTTTTTATAATTTAATAGGCTAAGAATCCCAGTCATGAATTGGTAGATTCAAGACCGCGCCGAACAGTCTACCTCTAATTATAGGCAAGAAAAGTGACATTTCTAAGGGGAAAGATGTATTCAATAGATAATTAGGACTCCAAACTATACATCATGGATATTAATTCCATTACACAGTGACTCTGAGAGATAGGAAGCCGCTATCCGATCAATGCCCATGGGAATTCTTGCAACTAGAAATAGTGTCTTTCGAAGATGGGGGTCCCGGGACCAGCCACTCTCCAGCAGTGACTGTAGCAGCAGGCAATCCGTAATATCCTCCATTCATGAAAAGAATGACGCTCTCATTTGGCATCACTCCCAGGCCCCTTGTATAAGAGACACCGAGCCCAGTCTCCACTTCATCCCATGAATCCGGGTCGCCATTATTCGTGTTGATGAAAACCTGTGAATAAGTGGAATCACTGACTACAATAGTGCCAGAGGGGCCGCCGGCGGGAGTCCAAACTGTATATGGACCCGCAGAGGAGATTGTGCCTGTATTGCGAGCTTGCAGTAAATGAGAAGGGGCACTGATGAATTCTAATGGACTGTCGGCAATTGAGTAATGTACCGCATACGGGGCGAGATCTCCCTGGGGAGCAAGACCGACTTCATGGGAGATCATCCATTTCCCATTTCCGATTTGCGCGACTGTAGCCATTCCAGGTCTCTGTGTGTAGTTGGCGAATGCCACGGCGTTAATGACTCCGCCCCATTGGAGAAGGTTGTGGCTTGTCTGTAACGAGAGTTTCTGTCCGTGAAGAGGGTCACGCTGATCTGAATAGTAAACCAGTACTTGGTTATCGTAGATGCCAATGAAAGGTTCCCAGACAGGGGTTGCTCCATTAGCGGTGTTTGGGGCTCCGCCTGTTGCTACAACGGACACGAACTCCCAAGTCAATCTATTTAAAGTTGTTAATACATCTTAAAAAGAGCCTAGTCCATCAATAAGGTTCGAAGGCTAGGAAAATACCCTTTGTCCTGGCTAGCATAAAGCTCGATATTTGTAGATGCAAAGTTTGCCGGAATAGCATTCCCCGTTGCAAGGATAGTGCCCGCAGGATATTTTCCAATCTGTTGAGGAAGCTCAAACAGAAAAGGTTGTAGGATAATCCCCCCCGTATAATTTCTATGTGTGAAATATACACGAGAGATCTCCGTCCAAGAGTAGCCGTAGTCTGTTGACTTTGCAATAGGAAGATACGGTCCGTCTGGAGGACTGCACGTCCAAGAAGCTAACAAGACATTGTCTTTCTCGCAATTCTGGTCTAGAAGAACACTGCGAGCGTAAGAAGTACTGTGGGATGTCCACGATTCTGGAGGAGCGAATACAGTGACATTGTTGAAGAACCGAGGTGTAGATGGTGGTGATGGCGGTGACGGAGCACCAAGCGCACAAGCAGTTATTAACGAACTTATGAGTAATTGCGGAAACATTTTGGATAGAAATTTGTTGCTTGACTGAAAGGTTTTCTTGCACATTTGGCTGTTAGTTGTGGCATCAATTGTTATTCCTTTATAGCTTCTCTCCGGGTAAATCTGTGGGTAAATTGGGGATAAATCTTGTGCCTAGTTTAGGGCAACATAGTTCAATGAGTAATCCAAGACCTAGAAACAGTCAAGCAAATATATTCTAATTTGACCAGCATAGGATCAGTACAGTGTTCATCTTCCGGATCCTTCTCACCTTCCAGCAAGGTCTTGCTTTAACCCATAATTTCCAATTGGTCATGCCAGTTCAGAAAGCAGGAAAAGACAACGTAAGTTCTTTCCCACACAGCCAATATGTTCATTGTACATGCTACAGCGAGTAGCTATCACGAGCGCATACAGTCTGTAGAAACAGGAAGCCTTGACTGTCCAAAGGCCTACCAAACAAAGACACATATCGGGGAAGAGCGGAGGCTTCAATATAACCGGAGTTGGCCAGAACAAGGCTGGCTCGCCTAAGACATGCAGTAGCGATCTGCAATAGTCAAAAGGAAGCATTGCTCGCTTAAATGGGATACCATGGAGCTAAGACTATGTTGGGTTACTGGATTGGATGGTATGTGATAGTGGAAGCTTGATTACTGTGATTCGGAGTAAAGAGAGAAATGCGGACGAGTGTGTATATATCTAGGGAGCCAGAGGCTGATTAAGACCTGGCCCTTAGACTTCATACACCTTTCAGCTCTTCATAAACGCAGCTACCATGTACCGCAACTTGTCAGATATATAAATTGCACCATAGGGTAGGAGTAAGTAGCTGAGGTTGTATAGCCATGGGAGGAATAATAGAAAAGAAAAAGCGGGGAACGGAATGTGGGGACCCCGGATTCCGAATGCTTAGTCACCCGAGTGCTCCGTAAGTTGAGATTGATAGATCGATAATTTTCATCCTCTTCTCATCCAAGTAAGCCATCCAATATCCACCATGAAAGACCATTTAGTACCCCGGCGCACGCAGTTTTCCAGCTGCGATGCATGTCGCAAATCTCGCGTGGCCTGCGACGCGATGAAAGGACGCTCCGCTCTAACAAGTCCCACATGGATGAATTCCTGCACCCGCTGTCTGAACCGGGGCCGGCATTGCACGTTTGAGGTAACACAACTTCTTGCGTACTTATGAAAGCTGGCTGTTAATCAAATTTTCCAGTGGATTGAGAAAGCTGCATTGCCCAATAGTAAACGAAAGTATGGTATGTTTAGAGACATTAACGGTCCTGCATCAACGCCACCGGAAGCGCTTGCGACGCCTGAGACTGTGGTCGATCGCAGACCTTCAGTTGAAAATATGAATATATATTCGATGCGGACGTCGATGGAAAGGTAATGATATTCTCTCGTGACTGGTACTGACTGCTGTACTGACGTGCCAAGTCCCGCATGCGACAGGAACAGTCCGGTGGCCGCATTGAACGATACGGATGAATGGCTACGCGAAATTTATGAGGGTATTTTTGAAGATGTCTTTGGCTCTTGGCTAGGAAATTATAGTTGTCCTTATGTGTTTGTTCTGGTCTCAATTCATCGTCGGCTTGAAAAACTGACCACTCTAGTAGTTTTCGTGATAATGGCCGTCAAGACCCAAAGCAACTGGCCTTGTCAGTCAGTATATCCAGGCTTTGCCAGGAATGTGACTACTGGATGAAGCGAGTGCAAGGCCAAGAAATCAATTCTCAAACTGATGAAGGACAGAGTCCCGGCGATATTGAGATCGACCGACAAATTAACCATTCTATGTCGCGAGCAATATCCGCCTTTTCTGCCCGGTGGCTACATTTGAAAGATCCACCAGGGTTGACTGACGACTTAGTTATGGATACTGTTGAGAGCCTTTGGAGAGAGGTACGACGTGACATTCTCCGAGTCATCAACCGTCCTTGTTATCGATCAGCCTTTACTTTGTTCCTCTTTGCGCTCACGCCAATTCCTGCTCGAGTGTCTGAAGAAGAAGAAAGTGACGGTATCCCAGCCCAATTTTGCGTCCAGATCGCTTTGCAACAAGTGCTCACATTACGTGCGCTGCAGAAAAGCCTTGAATTCAACGGATCCAAGGTGTCGTCAATATCATCGACAATATCAAGTACCACCAGTCCAGCGCCCGTCACGAAAGATTTTTTAGGAATTGAAAGTATGATTTACTGGGCAGCAATGACATTTGATACATCATCATCACTTACTCTAAATACAAAATCCCTGTTATCACCTGGCCTGAGTCTTCGCTTAGAGCAAGAATCATCCTGGCGACTCGTCCGCACCTGTACCAATGTTTTCCATGAAGATACTGAAACCTGGAGAGCGCAAGGCATCGATATAACCGAGGAAAGGGCAAATCAAATTATTGCGTCCGCTGCCTCATGGAAATTGTTTGTCTGGAAATCAGCCGCGCTGGTCAAGGAAGCTCTTCGGGAAGGACGGGAAGAAGACACAGTCCAACTAGCCTTTGAAACAGCAGCGGATGCAATAAATCAATATAGTCTTACGTATCACGACTTGCTGAAGGCGTGTGAGTGTCGCATTCAGTTTTTCGGTTATAAAACAAAGCTACGTTGGTGTAAGTCCAAGTCCCACAGACAAGTTACAGGCTCGCTCCGGCTAACTATTGCTTCTAGATGAACTGATATTACACTATAACCTCAGCATATTAATTATGTTGGATGCAATGGAAACTGCCGAGCGTATGGATCTGCTAGAAAAGATGAAAGTCGTCAAGGCTGGGGCGGAAGGCAGCTTATTCAATTGCTTGATCTTTGGACTAAATAATCATTTTTATGTCCCCTCAGGAAGGAGCAATAGGAGTCCAGAAGAATCACACAATATTATGCAATATGCGACTGCCGAGAGACCCGTATCCCTGGATTCTTCAAGGAGAAAGGTCCCCTTGATTGCCATCGACCCTTACCCCCACCACGTTGTTGCCGGAGTGCGAATCTTATGGAAGGCAGTTGAGAGGAACCTTGAGAATGACTGGATTGACCATAGTGTTGCGGAGAATATGCAAGACACGATGCTTAAGGCTTTGAGATTACTCCCTCAGGCGTCCAAGTCTGTAAGGACGGTACGACAACAAGCAGAAGCATCGTTTATAGGAAATCGGTATATTTTCAACTGTTAGTGTGGAGATCATGTATATATAATCTGTTATATATTTACTCTGAATCATAACGATTATACGAACATATTTTATTCACCATATGTTGCATCCTCACTAGCAAGAGTCTCCATTCTCCTTTCGTATGTCTCTGAAATCCTCAGATATAAAATTGCCTTCAGCCCCTAGATTCCCTAACAGATATTCAAACCCCGTTGTAAGCTGAGGTGGTCTAAGTACGAGAGAAGGTTTTCAGTGATTGACAGATATGTTTACCAATACTCGGCTTTGCTTTCTTTTTGACGATGGAGAGTATTTGGGGATGAAATAGGTAGTAGGGCGGAGAGCAGGTATCAGACGATGCCAAGGCAGTTCCAAGAACGCCATTATGTACAGTCACTACTTACACGTAAGTTGCACGCCTTTATGATTACTATCTCTGTGCTCTACAGATCTCGGAGAAATGAACAAAACACTATGCACTGTAAACATCAACCGAAAACTAGTCTTCAACGTACTTTTCGAAGCCCGTGCCCAGCTCAACAGTCTGTTGCAGTCATATATCCCCCAGGTCTGATCATTCACCAAATAAGGTATTAAGAATTAGTGGACCATATAATAACAGCACGTGGCTGAAACGTGGCTGCTTACCCAGATAGATGTACGCAAAAAGTCTTTACGTATATCTTGGGGAAGTGGGTTTTCCCCCGTATTTTCTCAGCTAGTCCGGACGGATGGATATAGAGAGATCCCCTGGTCGTGGTGGAGAATGCAGATTCAAATGCCGGTTGACCTCCCAAAAGTCAAGTTTCTGGACATTGTTGGGTGGCGGATCCGATGGTAATCCATAATCCGGATCCGAGAGTATTTCCCCATATATCGGATCCGGACTACCCCAGACAGATGAGTCGTTTAAACCCAAGAGAGCTATACGTATATTATCATCAGCGGGAGAGCCGAGGTACCCCAGATTTTGAATCTTGTTTTCTCCACAAAGTTGTAGATCTATGGCATGATTAGGGAGATTCTTCGCCGCAAGAGAAAGGTCTATCCATCCAACTTGATCCAAGATTGAACTGATGTTTTCTGATGATCCTGGATCCGACAACTCCCCTCTAATGTTACTTTCTGAAGAAAAAATGTTTACGAAATCTGGAGTTAGATGCAACTTCATGTCAACTATCGTGAGATTCATGTTGCTAACAAAGGGGTATATGCCTGCTAGTGATGCAGCTATATTGGATAGACGAACTTTGCTGGGAAGGCAGGGGAATTGTGTATGATATAAAACTGCGTTATCACCCTTCTTCAGGGTATTGATATCTGCATAGTTCTCAACAACAGAACAAGTTTCATTTTATATCTTAAGACAGAAGTACTTTCAATTATGTTTGACTTGGCTACAGTCGCCTGGTTCGCGGTACTTGGTGCTTCTGGCGCCTCAGCAACCGCTCTTCCAGCCTTCAATGTCAATCCAAATTCTATCTCTGTCTCTGGTCTCTCCAGCGGTGGATACATGGCTGCTCAACTAGGAGTGGCATACTCTGATGTCTTCAACCTTGGATTCGGTGTGTTTGCTGGCGGGCCCTATGACTGCGCTCGTAACCAATACGTATGTGTCCCTGGCTTTGTGTAGAATTGATCATTGAACAGGTATATGCTGATTGTATTGCGTCGTCATGGACAGTATACTTCCTGCATGTACAATGCGAACCCATCCATCACTACTCCAATCGCCAACATGAACGCTTGGAGTGGAAACCAGATCGCCAAAGTAGCCAATCTTGAACAACGAAAGATATACATGTGGGTTGGATCTGCTGACACCACAGTCGGACCAAACGTCATGAACCAGCTCAAGGTACAGCTAGCCAACTTTGACGAGGCTGCAAATGTCTCGTACGTTACGACAAGTGGTGCAGCTCACACGTTTCCCACTGATTTCAGCGGCTCTGGTGATAATGCTTGTAGCTCTGCCTCTTCCCCTTATATTAGCAACTGCAATTATGATGGCGCTGGTGCCGCTCTTCAGTGGATTTACGGGTCTCTAAATGCTAAAAATACAGGCACTTTGACTGGATCAGTAGTCTCATTTGACCAGTCCGGCAGCTTCGGAGCCAACGGTATGGATACTACAGGATATCTGTACGTGCCCCAGAGCTGTGCAAGCGGTGCCACTACTTGCTCTCTGCATGTTGCCTTGCATGGGTGTCTTCAGAGCTATAGCTCAATTGGCTCGAAGTTTGTACAGAACACAGGTTACAATAAATGGGCAGGTGAGAGCGAAACCCCGCAATCCACGAAGCATGAACAGCCATTTAACTTAGCTAATATCTTTCCAGACACCAATAACATTATCATCTTGTACCCTCAAGCCATTCCCGATAATACGATCCACAGTATCTGGTATGGAGGCGTGCTCTCTAACCCAAATGGTTGCTGGGATTGGGTGGGTTGGTATGGAAGCAATGCTGACCAGATTGGAGGTGCGTCTATCTCGCTTCTATTATATTGACTGTTAAACGTGGATTAACTGTCACATCCTTCATTAATTCAGGCGTTCAAATGGCTGCCATTGTCAGCCAAGTCAAGCAGATCGTTAGCGGGTTCAAGGGCACAAACACAACCCCTACTACCTCGTCCACGCCGGCAGGCTGCACTGCATAAAGTGGTAAACGATGAAGTTCGTCTCGAACAGATCTACTACGGATTGTTGGGGTTGCATTGTTCGGCCAAATATCTTCTTCAATATGTTGATCCACGTCAGCCTGGAGAATATCATGTCTACCGGTCACGTCAACGTTCAAAGAAGGAGCATATCAATATACTCATAAAATATGCCTTTGGCCTTATGCTAAACTTATTGTCGACAAGTGTTACGAATACTTGAATATATTCTAGGAAATGTTCTAGGGCATCTCAACTACATAACATTATATAATGGGTACTTAGTCTTCATTGGACGCATCCATGGATGTCTGTCTTCTCTCGCTTCACTTGAGAGACAGAAGAGACGACGAAATAAATGTGTGCAGAGTGCTTCAGCCAATCAGACATTCCGTAATCCATCTATACCGTTCTGGTCCTCGTTCATAGAGAACGCAACATTTCCAACTGACTGAGCCGATGGTGGTTGGCGTTTCCGAGAAAGATCAACTCCGCAGATGAGAAGAAATGCCAGTAAGGAGATCACCGAAGCAGCAAGAAAGGGTAATCCCAACCATGTGTCTCCTAATTTCATACCCCATTGGAACGTGTTGGCAAGAAATGGTTTAGCAAGCAATATTCCTACAGACTCAACTACTGCAATTGCAGTATATAGAACGCTGACTTGATCAGGGAGTACAAGGGAGGTAACTAAGCTTCGCGCAATGAGATGAACTGGTGTCCCGAGGGCGGCAACCACAAGACCAATAATCAAAATTGCTGGCTCTGGGGCAAGAGACATGAGTAGCAGTCCGATGGTGAAGCATAATGCTGTGGCTCGTGATAGCCAAAGGTCTTTGATCGTTGCGTTCACACCCATCCTCTTCAGCAATAGGCGGGACATGGAGGGGAGAATTACGAGAACTCCTGCAAGTTCGACAACTCCGTTGACTGAAGATAGAATAGTAGCCTGTTTCAAAACGTTATCGTGCTGCTGTATAATATGTAATAACACTGTCAAGGACGTGTGTTTTATCTTGCTATAAGACCAATGATACTTTCTCGTCGTGTACTGCAGAAGGGCGGTTGCTTGTCCACTCAAAGTGACGGCAAAGGAGACCAGAAGAAGAAATGTGACGTTCAAATCACTCGAAAGAAAGTATGTCAATGCATTGATGAGCCTTAAGTTGTCCCGTAACTTGCTGCCTATGATTTTACCAATAGAAATGTTTTTGATCGAACTGTTTTCGCTTTCGTTGTTACTGGTTGAAGAAGGAAGGGAGGCCCCTGGCTATCCAAGAAATCCCATCTGACATACATTGAGATATATATATATATCAAAAGCTGTAGTTAATTATGAAGCATCTACTATCTATTAGTAAGGTGGCTAATTTGAAGCAATCCGTAGATTAATCAATCGTTGGATCATTTAGGTGTTTTATCACTTATTACATTGACAGTGAGCTATTCCCTATATACATTATCCATCAACATCAACATCCTCATCGTTTTGGAATTTATTGAGTGTCTGTGGGTTCGCTTCTGCACATGTGCATACAAGTAGCTTAGTAACCAATTGGTAAAGTCATATTCTTCTGATTGTCTGTTCCCTTCTCTTAATGAGACCCCGACGCGGTCTATATAGTCCTTGCTTGACGAGGTCACGTGTACATTCACGTGACCTCTCCTTGGTTCGCGTCGGTGCCAGGAATCTCGATTGCACCTATAAACCAACAGTGTCTTTGAATTCTTAGTATGTCTCTTCCTGCATTGAATAGTCTCTCCACTGGAACCTCTAGGTAATCTCTAGTAGCAGTAGCCATTCTGGGATATTCACCCTTATTTATCCGCTACTAATTATATAACTAATTTGGATCCTTCATGTCATTTATATTGACCCGGGAGCTATTAAGATAGTAATCAATATCAGAAAGTAGAGATTGATTTCATGGCTGTAACCTCTTTAGTAACTAGGACTCTACATCACTATGCTTGGTGTTGTGCTCCAGTAGGGATTATCCTATAGGTGAGCTTGATTCCATAGTGGCGACTGAGTAATCACGGCGGAGGTTGTTATGGAGAGCTTAAAGGATCTCCCTCCTAGTAGTCTTATCTTCCAGTTTGTCGAGAAGAAGATCATCTTTGATCTGAGGATCCAAGATGAGGGCAGTATAGTATGTATCAGAAGTATCCATAAAGGTATAGTACTTTTTGTACTTCTTCATACCTTCCTTTACAGCCAATGATATATCTTCGTCAAGATCTAGGAATCTCTCCTTGCGCTCGGATGCCTCATCGAGTAAATCATGAAGTTCGTAGTAGATTAGGACGGTAAGACTAATTTGAAATTTCTTTTTTGACACAAACAGAGCTAACTCGTTGAATTTTGAAAGGATATTGTGGATCTGCGAGAGCCGAGATCAATCCATTATAGTAAAGAGAGAAAAATCTGTCTGGAGTTATAGAAATTTATCGACCTAGCATCTTGCCTTCAAGGTATTGTCTAACATTTGAAAAGTGGAATTCTATCTTGTATTAACATCATATTCGATGTATTTGCTTAAGAGATTAATAATCTTGCAGACCTCATTCCATTTTTGCCTTTGTTGGGGACTTTGGTGTATCCAAAGAGCTAGGATATAAATCCTTGCTAAAGGTTCCTAAGACCTAACAGATAACTATTCTCCTCCCTTGAAATAATTATATACAACATGCACTTTCTCCATGTTGCTAGATTTTAAAGTCTCAAGGATATATTTAACAATAAGATTTAATATATGAGCTAAGCAACAGACGTAACTTTCTGAGCCATGGAATAGAGGGTTAACCCCAAGTTTTTGCCTCAGATTTTAAGATAGAATTGAAACTATCTTCTCATTATTACTAGCATTGTCTCCTATTATTGTAGTTAACCTGGATTGAAGGTCAACTTCTAGGAGCATATCCTTAACTGCTGCAGCCAGATTCTCTCCACTATGTAGTCCTAAAAGTTCTTTGAATTTAAGAATGTTTTCTCAGTAATTAAAACTCTCTGTAAGCCAATGGCCGATTATCCCTAGGATTGGAAGGTAGTTTTTGCTTATCTAAATATCAAGAGATAAAGCAATTATTCTACAAAATAACCTAAGTTCATCCTTTAATTGAGCGCGTTGTATATCAAAGTCATCCATAAGCTGCTGTCGGAGGGTATGCCAAGAAGTAAATAGAAGTGCGACTCCTAGGATATTAGAGAAGATCCACTGAAATGCTGGAGATTTAATAACGTGTTTCATGGGTAAACGGCGCACCCGGGTAAGTGGCACAGCCGCATCCCACTTGGTTCAAAGAACTCGTACAATTTATATGCAAACAGTGAATAAATTAATATTTACCTATGTAGATATATTTGGACAGCGATTGCGCTTATGCCCTATTTCCCAGCAATTACTACACCTTGGGGGGGCCCGTTGAGCTGGCTGCAAAGGCGCGCTCCCGTTGGGTGGAGGAGGGGGTTGAGCCTCTTCAGGAAGCTCCTGAGCAAGCTCTCGGCCTTCAGCGACTGTCAAAATACCATCGGCTTGTAGGGCTTTTGTACGGCGAGTGCGGCGCTTCTGTAAAATATCATTTGCTTCGCGTAGGTTATGGTTCTCCCTAGCTAAAATGGCAGCTTGGTGCATCACTACAAGGGATCCCTTGATCAACTGGTTAAAAGCCGGACACGATGGCGAATTGCTGTCTAAATCTCCCATATTGAGAGATCTCTTGACAGATTTGGCCTGTTTTTCTAGCGTACGGGCATTGTAAGGCGTTTTTGGGCTCCAGGTGCTGCTGCTTGACGTGCTAGGGCGAATTGAGGCTGGAGTAGCCTCCCGGACAGCAATTTGCAACTGAGATAGGACTTTTTGTGGGTTATATGGCACAATCCCAGTGTGTGAAAAGCCGCTCTTAATATTTTGTGTGGTATAAGTTTGGATCCGTACGCTGTAAAGCATATCTAAGAAATCCAGCTTATCAACATGGTAAATCCCAATCCGAATCCGGCTCTCAACGGCGGCCCCGTACAAGCGCTTCAACACTGAAAACACCCTACATCTAGAGGCTGAAAAGATGAGATGATGGGAGGCATGCAACATGCAATAATATTATTATTTTTACATGCCTGATCAAATCCCGGTGTTAAATGGCTGCTATGGCCATCAAGTATCAAAAGCCGATAGGTACCAACTGTGAGAGGCCTCGTTTTTGGCTCAAATATCCTTTCTAGCCACTGTAAGCCGATTTCATCAGATGTCCAGCCATTTGGAGAGTGCGTAATTGACCAATCAGGGGGAAGCTTTGGGCTTGTATACCACTCAGCTCTGTGGTGCCGGATTTGAATATAATCAGGGGAGGCACCACAGTGCCGGTGCTTCCAACGCACTCAACAACAGTAACCCATTCACGATTTCCTGGCTGAATGAGGCTAGGTTTTCCTGAACGATCTGAGCTGCATATAACTTTTGCTGTAGAAGAGATCCCCATGGCGAACCCTGTCTCGTCAAAGTTGTATATATCTTCATCGGCAATCCCATATTCCTCTTTGAGCTGCTTAATCTCCTCAAAAAAGCCACCAATAACGACTGGATCCTCACAAAGAGCTCTAGAATAGGATAATCGGCGTGCGAATTTAGCCTTGAGATCCGGTTGTCGCTTAAGAAAGGTTGTTACCCAATTCTTACCAACCTTCTCAGGTATTTTGGTAGGATCTCTTTGAGCTAGCAAAATATTTGCCATTTCATGGAGCATATGCTGCCTAGGCGGAACGCCACGGCGCTCTAGTGAGAAGACCCAACCCCGGAGTACAGCTTCTTCTGTAGGGGTCATCTTTCTGCGTGTAATACCGGCATTATGCGCTGGAACTGAGCCCTTCAGGCGCCTTCGCAGTGTTGTTAAAGATACGTCAAAAGTGCGTGCGGCGTCGCGTAATTTCGTGATTTTTTCGTTATTTAGAGCATCAATAGCAAGAGAAAGCCTCCCTTCATAGCTAGGATCATTTTTCGTACGCGATTTAACCATTTTTTAATGCTGTTGGTTCTGCGGAAAGTTGTTGCTAGAAATCCGGATGGAATTTTGATGTGGTGTGCCACTTACCCGGGTGCGCCGCTTACCCGTGAAACACGTTAGTTGTAAAGGGTTATTTATTAATAATAACCCAGCGAAGGATGTCCTTTTCCAGCTATTGTTGGTAAGTAAGGGTTTCTTCCTTTTTTGCCTATAAGCTAAGCAAAGTTCCCTTTGGACTCCTAATAGGTTCGGTGATTGAAGCACCTAGAGAATAAATAGAATGCTTTCATAAGAGATAGAGCGTCATATTGCTGGTAGAACTCTGCCGCTTTAAATCTGTTGTAACCCAGCTACAGCACTTACTAGTGTCTTTATCCACAATAGCACACTAAATATCCATGTCTATTAACTTCTGTTTCTTGTACTTCTTTATATATCACTCATATGGAATCTTATACTTGCTGAAGTAAGACCAGAACCATGCTTCCTTATTAGCTATGGGTAGAAGATATTAAGTATATGAAATAATTGAAGAATCTACAGCTGTTGAAGTTGTTGGACAGGATAATGACTGTGATGTAGATTATGAAGGGTTAATCTCGACGTTAGAGATACCAAGGAATATTGTATTCTAGCTGTGTGAGTATAGATGGAATCAGCAATTCAGGGAGTGGACTTGAAAGTTGGTCTTTGGGTAATGCTTCGTTATCGTAACTGTCGTTCAACGCGAAATAGTTTTAACATTTGCCCTGGGTTTTTATTAGATAGGTGGATAGCAGGTAATAGAACCAAGCCAAGTAGAAGAAGCTATATAGCATAGTTGGTGAATATAGTATCTTGAATGCAATTAATTTAATTCAACAGGCACTATCATTGATTTATACATGAAGGATAAGCTGGAGAAGAGAAAGGATTTTATAGTGCGAGCCTGCAAGGTGTCCTAAACCTTCGCTACCTTAACAAATGTGACATATCACAATTAACTATTCCTGTCTTGTATACGATGTGGCAGTGACCACCTTGCCGTAGGCTCTGAGATTAAGAAGATTGAACCTATCCAAGCAATTGGTTACCAACCCATTTAGGAAATTTTTCTAGCAGCACGTGACCTTATAATCATGTTGGATATCTGATACGCTAATCCCATTCTGGACGACCTTACTAATCGGTGAATCCCCGGAAAAACACAATTGCCGATCCCAGGTTTGGCACAATATCGACAGCCCTACTTTTGGATTCAGGATTGCTATTTTGTCACTATATTGTGTATATAAAGAGGATCAAGATGCGTAGCTAGCTGTGTTTTTAGAGAGTGTGCAAATCAGAGTCAATTTATTCCTCACCCAGATTGTACGCTCCTATCAGAGTCTAACCCCGTTCGGACTAGTACCAAAAGATTCCAATAAATCATATTCTGTTTTTAATATAGTCAAATGTTAGCGCTGCTTCTGTAATATTTCCCTTTTTATCTCTTTCATTGACAATGTCTATTTGTCTGAACACATATTTGCGGAGGCTCTCGTACTCCGGACCTAATGCGTTCAGAAAGAAGAATGTTCGCTCAATTTTGGAAGTAACATAATCTGGGTCAAGGAGGTGGGTTTCCGCATGAATTTTCCTAATCTTGGCCCCAAGAGCTTGAACACTCCCACATTTTTGCTCTTGTGAGTGACATATACCGTCTCTGTAGCTGGACAAACGTTCCAGAGCCTTCTGGCTTGAAGTGATCTTTGACTTCCTTGATAAGAGGTTGCACTTGACTAATGCCAAAAGTGTTAATCCACTGTGCTACACTGTGGGTCAGTTTGGCCGAGATCATTGAGGAGTAGAATATCTAATGATGACTCCATTGCTCTGCTTCCTCCTCTTTAATTGGAGGGGCGTTTCTATCCTTTGCAATGGGGGATATACGGATGAATTCCTTAACCTTCTAGTTCTACTCAAACCAGTCATTGGCGTTATCAAGAATTGGAATAGCATTATAAAATGCAGCTAAGCCGATTTGTTCGAACTTCATAGTGTCTGTCATGGTGAAAGAAGTTATTCTTCGCGCTAAAAAAAATCTAAGCTCGAAGCGTCACTGCGGCAATCTGAGTTGGTAGATGGTTATTGGTTTGGAGGGCTAGGGGACTGTAGGTCTAGACAGAAGAGTTCTGAGCTTAATGGGTAGCTGAGTTGGCTCGAAACGATAGAAGGACTGCGATCCGACGGGTCTGGTGTAGGTGTATGAGAAGGAGGACTGTAGTCTCTGTCAGGAGACCCTTTTAGAGACAGACTGTCTTTATATGACTTAAAGGAGCGGGGAAAGCAGAAGCGATCAACTAGATATTGCGGCTACTTTTGCAGGAAGACTGTAGACCTGTTCGGTTGAAGATTGTAGTGGCCCTTGTTTAATGAGGTACCATAGAATTGCCCTCAGATTCTATCGAGGATGCAGTGGAATGTTTAATGGTGTTTTCGGTTTGAGGGATTAAACTAGGAATAGAAGTAGGGGCATAATGTTAGTAGGGTGCCTACTTATGGCAGAGGGTCATGTTCATGGAAATATAGCGGACATCTATTTCCAATTTTACAGGGCATTGTGAGTCGAGGCTGATTATGAACGACTAGTCCATCATAAGATGTATAATTGATATACTCCTAACTTTCTAGCAAAATCATCGGACTAGGTACGAGATTATAGCAAGGACGAAGTTAGAGAGACAGAAAACTGTCTATTCTAACAAGCCAATGCTCATAAAAGGCAGTTTGAATTATCGTCACCACAGCTGATTCGCGTGATAAGATATCGATCAACACCCTACACAGAAAAAGCAATACGAAACAGCGTACCTCGGTATGGGCTGCATCTGTTCCAAATCACAATTCGGCCGCTAGCGGTGTTGTCATCGCTCATAGCGGCTTTAACCAGTTTTCTGCATTTACCCTATTGGGTATCCCGCGGCGCGGGTTATTGGTCGTGGGCTCGGTGCTATCTCTTGATATGGTGTGACCATAAGCAGCTTAATTGCCATTTAATAGCTGAAATGCAGTGTTTCAGCTGGATCAAAGATACACGTTGAGCTTCGGCAGCAGAAACTAGAGCCCTATATCGGCCTTTAACTCCACACCGGCGTTTAATTAATGTCAGTAGTAGTAGGACCCAATATGCTCTAAGGTGCTTGATTAAGCCGAAAAAGGTAATTCATTGCCTGATATCTCAATAGACAATTGAACAATGGATGTAGCAAAGGTCTACGGCAAAGGTCTACGATTGAGGATGTTCTCTAGATTACCAGATTCTATGAAACCGAAACGAGATAAGGTAACCAACAATAAGATCTTGAAAAAGACAAAAATCCTCCCGCCCCGGGGCTTTCAAGTGGCGAAGGGGACACTTGTAGGACATTATTCAGATTCATTATATAACATAAGTACTGCATTATCATTATCATACCGGGTGATATACAGAAATCAAAGTAAAACTAGACTTGATGAATTAGAGCCCGACTTCAGATTGGTTTCCTGAACCACATCAGAAGCCGGCATCGAACACAGAGCAACCTGGGTATTATTCGTAGCCCCAACCTTTAGAACAAGCAGTTTGGTGTTATTCCACGCTTCGAGCCTTCGTTGTAGCTCCTCTACCTGGATCTGGAGACATAGAGCATTGTTCTTTGCGGCTTGGTAACTTTCTATTAGACGCATATGTTGTTGATTCATCTCGTCGATTTGGTGGAGTAGGCTTTGTATATAATTCTCTTTTCGTTCTCGGAATGCTCTTTGCGCAAGGCGGTTCTGCTCTTTTCGTCTCTGCGCATTCTTTAAAGGCAAGACAGAGCTTAGCTTGAGATTCTCATACGAGTATCAAGGTAGGAAAAGGCTGGAGACAGACCTTGCGACTTTTCGGAGTCGATGTGTCTTGGTCATAATTGGAATCTGGCGAAGAAAGGGGAGACTCTTCTTTTGAGGCTGTAGCAGAGTTCTGACGGTCGACGGTATGGGAATCACTATCATGTGCACCTGGATATTGCTTTGTAGTATCATACGCCGGATCGGTACAGTTATTTGTACTTGTGTTGCTGTGAGGACTTTGTGGATCTTGTAACTATACAAGGAGGACAATGAGATTGTAGTCTTTTACTAGAAAAGAAGTGGTGATCATACCTCAGAAAACAAGACACATGGTTCCGGCCATATATTATTTTCTGCAGTCCATCTGCGAGATATATTCTCATCGTACATGGACGCCATTTCTGACCATTCAATGCTCATTATTTTCCTAAGGTTGGAAGTACGGTTCGGTAGGAATGTGATCATGTACTGCACAATCGAAAGGGGCGTTTCAACGTAGCGAAGAGGAGCACTGTTTGAACTGTGGGAAATGTGAGATCTCCGGGGACATTGCCAACGCAGGTTTATATAATAAAGATCTGTGCCCTTCTCACCCTAGACATAAGGTGAATGGCATTGGACAACCTAAACTCCCATGCTAGCACCCAAGGGTAAACTTGTGGCGTCCGCTCCGGTCCACTGTCGCTAGCCGGTGCCACCAGTTGCCTATTTCGGCATTTGTAGGATAGACGCTGAAAATTCACCAGGTTATAGAATGCAGCCTCATTATCATATGGGATTGTCTGCTGGGTCATAAATATATTGGAAGTCGTCATTGAGTTATTTTTGATTCTTCCATACCGGAAAACCGGATGCTTTGCGAGTCGTCGATATGCGCACTTTTACCAAGGGATTAGTTAAAGATGCCAGTAACCGACAGGTAAGTCTCCATCTCTTAATCTTTAACCTGGTGACTATATCTAACTGACTTGAAAAGGCTACTAGTTACCAGATAATTAACAGAGCGGCCGTGCTGCGGAAGAACCGACTGAACGACAGCCTTTCCGGAATCTGCGTCCACAAACGAAAGTAAAACGGTTGGTCTATGGAACAATGATGTGCTGGAACTATATCTCCAAGCAAATAGATGCGCAGACTCGAGGTTAAATATGGCCTGTTATCGGCCGATTTTCTTACATCAGGTGACCGGGGCTAGAAGCGCAAGCGATAGGCAAGAAGCTTTCGGAGAACCATGTCTTCAATTCGCCGGTTCGAGGTACCTAGTACCTTCTCTCGCAATCCTCGATCGCGTGGGACAATCTGTTCGTGAAAAGATGAAAAAGAAGCTGTCAAGCGAAACGCGACCGAAGTCATCCTCGTCGAAACCTCTCGTTCTAACTTGGAGAGCTACAGCAGCACCTTCAAAGCAGACTAAGGCACGTTGAAGATGCGTCTGACGGGGTATACTTTAGAGAAGCTAACATATCATTAGAAGGCTACGAGCGATCGCAACAAGGAAAAGCGACAACCTGAGGAATTGCAGACAAGTTTCCAACTATCGTCATCTGGTTATATTGAAGAATCAGTGTTCCAATTGCCAGTTGTTAAACTTGCGCGTCCCACGATCCAGGAGATAAGCGCTACATTGGATCCGTTTTGCCAACTTCCTCACGACCTCAGCCTTGAAGACCGATATTTGTTTCATTCCTGTATGCTTCTTAATACTTTTTTGTTTTTTAATTTTCCAATCCTAACATACAATCCGTGTGTCAAAATTTTAACAGTCTACTTATTCTACAGATCTTCTCACGGTACCGAGCTCTGTGTATGGAACACGATCGGACGCTATCTTCAGTTCTGTCTGCGATGTCAGCTTTCCAATCTCTCTATCTTCACCAATGACTTTGCAATGGATGTTAATTGCGGCGCATGGTAGATTTGCGAGGAATGCGCTCCCCGGCAATCAGTCGCAAATGCAATTATCTTTGCTTCATCGGAAGGCTCGAGCTTATCAGTCTCTAAACTATGCCCTACAGCGAAGCCAACAGGCGATATCAGACGAGCTTCTCGGCGGCATTATTATGGCCATCATTACCGAGTCTCGCCTAGCAGACCCGAAGGCGTCTAATTCCCACCTACTAGGCTATGAAGCAGCTCTCCATCTTCGAGGAGGGCTCCGGAATATTATTCTCGCATCTTCGGCCAAGATGACGACCTATTTGTCTCACATCATGCCATACCTGGTATGTCCTCCGGTCACATCGCAGGGCAGCATTGGTGCCAGACAGGAACTTGCCAGTTTCCAAAAATTCTTTGCGACTGCAGTGGGCCTCCACAACAACACACAGCTGGAGATGTGGAACACTGACCTAATTGGAGATTACGACCTTAGCTTTACACCGCTCAGGTCACAAGCATTAATAACGGAATTTCTTCTTAATAGTGATTTAGTGGGGTTCGTCAAGCCGCGATTGGACGAAAGCTCGGTATACATGGACCAATCATCACAGTTCTTGTCGCTATACTTGATTGCGCTCACATTGTTTCGGCTGGAAAACTTTCAAGAGACCTACACCGAGCGGTTTCTTGTCCGTCTTTGCACGGTGCTAAAACAATGTTCCACGTTTGATGGAGCTGGAAAACCACTCTTAACGACCCAAGGTTTTACATGGGTTGTAATCAAAGCCGTGATGGATCTCGGAGATCTGTTTTATTTACGGGACGTGAGCTCCAACCACCAAGCTCAGACGATTGTGGACGCAGTCAATGCACTTAAGTTCTTTCGGGAGATGCAATCATGTCAGTCAAGAAAAGAAGTGGTATTCTTCTTGGGACGCATTTTTGGTTATACTTAATAGATCCGGTGGTGGGGGCTTTGAGGGAAAATTTGGGTTTGATCAAAAACATGAGATATGAAGCTACGATTTAATCACCGGAAATATCTACACAAGCCATGACTGTTCGAGTCACTTAAAACCGATGAGAATTCAATAATCGTAATTGTTCCACTGACGTTTACGAGAAAAATTTTGTATATCTATAAATTCAACATACAAGCAAAGAGCCCCTGCGGAGGATCGTTTACGTTGATAAGAAAGGGAAAGAGAGAGAATGTAACCAAAATCTTTTCCTTATCTAACCTATCGTCATACCACCATTGATTCGAATGTTCTGCCCGTTGATCCATTGACTCTTATCGCTTGCCATGAATGTTATAACATCCGCCACCTCTTCAGGTGTTCCAATTCTGTTTGCAGGTGCAAAAGTTCTCTGGAGCTTGATCATCTCCTCCGTCTTGCCAACGAAATATGTATCCGTAGAGATGGGACCCGGAGAGATCGTATTGACAGTAATACCTCTCTTACCCAGGTCCTTAGCCATGACACGCGTCATCTGCTCAACTGCACCCTTGGTCGCGACGTAGAGGAGGTAGTTGGGGGTAATTATACTGACGGCTGTCAGCGAACTCGAGAAAAGGAGAACTCGACCGCCGTCGGGGACATGGTTCGCAGCTTCCTGGATCAGGAAAAAGGGGCCCTTGACATTCGTTTGGAAGATCTTATCGAAAGCGCTCTCATCGACATTGCTAAGTGCTCCGTTTTGCCATAGAAGACCGGCATTAAGAACAATAACATCGATTTTCCCGAATTGCTTGACGATTTGTTGAATCAGGCTCTTTATATCGTCGATCTTCGACACATCTGCCTTAATGGCAACTGCTCGATCAGTGCCAATCTCTTTCACTACTTCTTCTGCGGCATCTGTAGAGGAAACATAATTGACAACAACCGAGGCGCCTTCTTTTCCGAGTGCTAAAGCAGTTGCACGGCCAATTCCTCGCGATGCTCCTGTAACCAGGGCGACTTTGCCGGTCAGACTGGGCGACATGTTCAGGATTCGATGAATTTCTGTTTCAGCTTGTATGTGGTTAAAAAAAAACTAAGCTCAGCTCTGGATTGATAGGACCACTTTTTCAATGGGGGTCTTTCAATAGATTGTGAGCAAGCTAATATAGGTATGTGGTGCAAATCATGGGCCCTACCGCAAACGACCATCAAGTCCGAGCACCCGTCATAAAGCCGTTGCTTACGGAATAATGAGTACATCGCAACCACATTTTCCAAATCAGGTGCTAAGTCGCGACCGTTGATAGCCCTAAAATGTAGATTAAAGTTCCCTAGCCAGAAATTGGGTTGTCTGCTGGCTAAAACGTGGATAATTTTAATAGATTTAAGGTTCCAGATTTAGAGTTCGCGCTAGCGGCCGCATCATGATCCGGATACTATCATTGGACTATCCACATGAGGATCTTGATTTGGGTTCGAAATCCGATGTACGTGCGGCCGCACCTGCAGCACTAGTCTACAGCCTTATCCTAGAAGCTAGCCGAGACCCTGGTTCTGCAGGTCTCTGGGGTCTCGCCGAAAACTATATAGTTACGTTTCACAATGAAAACACTTCATCGCTGAACAAGACAGTCCACAAATTTTACTAACAAGCCACCACCGGGAAAACTGCGTTTAGTCATAGACAACAAAGTGTCCATATGCCTGACAACAGCTAATCCTTATATGGTAGTACTACTAAATATAGTTTAGCCACGAAATTGCATATTGAAGCACAGCTACGGAGATCTGTTGTAATGCCGTATATACCTCCGAGTCAGCCTATCTAGTATACGCCTCGCAGCCATGTAATGCCGAAAGTCCTAGCATCAATTTCCGTTGAATAAACATCTGATGCATGCTAGTATTCGAATAAAATTATGGATATAAGCTTTGCGGACCTGATCGGGGCACTTAATTAGATGTTGGTATCATTATTTCTTAGATAAGTTTTCAAGAAATTGTCTCCCTGCAGAAATCACCGCTTACGGTTTAACATTTGTTTAATTTCAGAGACATCTTCTATGCTAGGATATTCGAAGACGGATAATTGAAACACAATCTCTCACTTTTATATTTCAGTCAGCATGTAAGCGATTAAGGCAAATTTAGCCCTAGAGTAATCAATTGTCAAAATTAGAGATGGAAGACCTCCATAGCGTAGGCTTATTATACTACGGCAGGTAGAAAGCCAATGAAGGAAAGCGCTATTACATAAACAACCCAGCTCAGCTGGTAGTTGCATAGAAAACCTGGCTATTCTCATCTAAAAGAGGATGTATACATACTGGTTATAGGTTCAAATATTTTAGAAGCATGAAAGAGTAATTTCAGAGTCAAGTTTTTGGCAGTTTTCATACTTGAAAATTAGCACACAAGCACTAGAAAGACAAAATGGCACATTCTGTGACAAGTCTACCCGACTTCCTCGAAGATTCGTATCCGTTTGACTATGTCATTGTTGGAGGTGGGACAGCCGGCTTGGTGCTCGCGGCTCGCTTGACTGAAGATCCAAGTATTCGTGTTGGAGTGATCGAGGCTGGTAAATCTAGATTGGGAGATATGAATGTTGACATGCCAACTGGAATGTCCGCTGTTCTACACAATCCCGAGTATGACTGGATGTACAAGTCTACTCCTCAGGTATTGCTCTTCCTTCTTGTGCACAAATTTAACATTTGCCGAAGCTAGCTAACAACGATATCTGATTTGAACAGGCTGGAACGAACAACCAAATTCACCACGTGGCTCGCGGGAAACTAGTTGGAGGATCAAGTGGTGTCAACTTTCTGGCTTACTGCAGACCCTCCGCCGAAGACATCGACTACTGGGGCAAACTTGGGAACAAAGGCTGGTCCTGGACTGAACTGGCTCCGTACTACCACAAAAGCGAGACACAAGACGAAAATAGCGGAAAGCAAGCAGCCGGCAAAGCGGACTTTTACAGTCAAGACTCCGTCTTCCATGGCCATTCCGGACCGATCAAAACTTCCTTTCCGCCTTGGAGAGTACCGGTTGAAGATTCCATTATGGAAGCATTTGATGAGGTATCCGGCGTTGCTCGTCCAAAGGATCCCTGGAGTGGGAATCATGTTGGTTTCTATGGTACACTCTCGACTATTGACCGCAAGGATAATAAGGCCGTTAGAAGCTATGCTGCTACGGGGTACCTACAACCTAATATTGAGCGTAAGAACCTCAAGGTCCTGACAGATGCGACTGTGACCAAAGTGTTACTGGATCAGGATACTTCTACTGCAAAGGGCGTGGAATTTCTATACGAAAAGGCCACTTACCAGGTTCTCACGACGACAGAAGTCATTCTTTCGGCCAGCTCAATTCAGAGTCCCAGGCTTCTGGAACTTTCAGGCATTGGTGATCCAAAAGTGCTTCAAGCGGCCGGTGTAGACTGTGTTATACAGCTTCCAGGTGTCGGCAGTAATCTTCAAGAACACCCCATGACCTCCGTCACTTATGAGCTTGCGCCCGATCAAATTTCCCTCGACTCTCTTTTCAAAGATCCTTCCCTCCTGCAGGAACATCAACAGCTTTTGGGCGAGAAAGGATCTGGTGCCTTCGCCGGCACAATGAGCCTCACCGGATTTCTACCGTACCCAACCATTGTCTCCCCACAGGAGGTAGAAGAAACTGCCGCCAAGATCACCAAAAGCACTGCTCCAATACCAGAAGTAGAAGCCGAAAACATCATTTCTCATTTACGCAGTCCAAAATCTGCTGCAGTACAGTTTACTGGTGTTCCTGCCAACTTTGACCTTGTAGTGGGACATGGAAATCAGGGTAAACTCATGCCTGGTGCACCCCCGGGTCGAAATGCATGCTACACAGCCCTTGTGAGCCTCGCATATCCATTGTCACGAGGAAGCACTCACATTCTTTCCTCGGACCCTTTCTTGGATCCCGAAATTGATCTTGGGCTTTTAGCTCACCCCGCGGATGCACATGTACTCGCTGCTGGCCTAGGCTTCGTTGATCGCGTGTTTCAGTCACCACGGATCAAGAAGAAGATAGCAGGACGTATTGACCCTGGCCCGGAGGTTGATCTTCAGGATCGAGAGCAAGGTATCTCCTTTGCTCGAGATCGAACTATGACCTTCAACCATCTGCTCGGTACCTGTGCTATGGGTATTGTCGTGGATGAGAGGCTGCGTGTCAAAGGTGTTAATGGCTTACGAGTAGTTGATGCCAGCGTTATTCCCGCACAAGTTGGAGGAAATATTCTCGCTACTGTCTATGCCATTGCAGAAAAAGCAGCCGATATGATCAAGGCAGATCGTACGTAATTTTGGTTGTTCTACTAGCTCAATGAAAGTCATTCTATTTTATTGTATGGAGATTTCTAATTATTTCGGCGATCAATCATACTAAGTGTCGGAAAGTAAAAACACAGGGATGGTGTTGTGGATATTCACTTGATACGCGGATCTCAAAGTAGGTATTGATTGGTATCTTAATTAAGCATTAAATGAATTATTTATTACACTGATCATAAATCTCTTGATTCACGACAAGGTGGTTGTGATCTCAAGCTCTCAACCTCCTTCCACAATCGCTCGCCTGCGCAGTCACATGAAGCACTCAACCAGAGCATAGCTTGAAGTCTCTTTTTAACACCAATCCATTGTGCTGTCGAAGTCAAAACGATGGTACCGAGTTTATTCACAAACCAGGGCCGTAAATCGGGTTGTGTTGCAGCAATCCCACCCAGGGTGAGAATCCAAACCAAGAGGGTAGTATGTTTAGGTTCCGATAGCATAGCCGTCACATCACACCGTTCGAGTTCTACACGCAACATATTTGCAAGAGAAGAAAAAGGCGCTTCGTGTCCCGAGAGTGGGAATATGACGCCCACACTGAAAATGATAGCAGAAAGACGGCAGGCCTCAGAGAGGTTCACCTGGCAGTCCGCGCGTCCAGAGGAAGGTCTCAGGGACATGAGACGGTGTTGGATAAGATTTCGCCGATCACTAATCTGACGCAGATCTGGATCCGGTATCATTCCCCTCAAGTATCTATCCAGCGTGAACAGGTGGACTCTCATGGCTTGATATATAGCGAGGAATTCTTCAGAACAACCCACACGATATAGTTCCGCGAACCGATCTTTGAGGCCATCGGTGCTGAACATGAAATATTCGCTAATGGTTGGATTCTTAATGCCTTGAAGTGAAATGAACGAAAACTGGGGATGTGATAGGCTCCTGGAGCAATTGATGAGCTCAAAGCTGTGCGATAATGTTAACCATAAAGAAATACACCTTTTTCATCTCCAGTATACACTTACAAACAGAGAACTGCACCCAGACCGGGTAGCTCGATCATTTCCAGTCCACCTCTAAGATGAATAAGTTGAATCAAGCCTCGCAAATGGACCGGATTTGCTGATACCGAGCCATAGATATCGAGCCACTGAAGGCTGCGAAGAGGGGCATGAAACGGGGATTCCAAGGAGTTGATCGAGACCGTGCCCCCATCTGCGGCGGCCATGATGAGAACATTGAGGATCATGTTGTCCGTTATAACAGGCTCAGGATCGTTCAAAGCTCTATTTATTTGCCGAATTCCTTCAACATAACACCAATCGAGCCACCGTACATCCTGAGGTCTAAAACTGCCATCGGCAGTCTGCCCTGTCAGCATCCACCGGCGCCGTTGATGCGATAGGACGCAAAGTAAAGTGGTAATAAAGAGTGTAGCATCATTATAGGTTGGAGTGAACCAATACTGAACAATCGGAATCTGTGACACGTCAGATGAGCGTGGTGTTAAGCAAGGAGCTAAGATAGATATTCCTAGAACAGTTGTATTGATTAGAAAATTTTATCACGAATCTCGGATATTTTTGCGCTACTAACGATAGAGATTGCAGTGGTTCACCAAATCCGGAGGAAACGATAATGGATGGGTCTGGAATGGGTCTACGATCCCCGCCCAGAACCTGTCTATTGGACCACATGGGCTATGAGAGCTGGCCGGGTTGCTGGATTGATTCCTAGTTGTGCAGCCCGGTCCATATACGCAAGGAACGCGATGCCTGACTATAAGTGAGTTTCAAAATTGAATTACTGATGGCATCATCGCTGTCATGATACCAAAGGAAAGATACAACTCACTTCGCACATCGGGAACAGCTGGGCCATGCCTTGTCGCACGCCCGCTTTTGAGACCGACAGCGCTCACATACCGTGACTGGCGCTTTAGCGAATCTATTGCGATGTGGCGTCCCCTGCCCGTCCTGTCGTCGAGGAAAGAACGATGCCGAGATCTGAAAGTGAGTGTTTTCATATCGTTTTATTCCCGACGCTCCAGAAGCCCCGTTCTGCAATGTAACAGTCCATGTGCTTCTTGCGGTTGACTGCGGCTCATGGTAGTCATACCGACAAGCGCGCTGTACTCTGATCAAACGTCGTGTTAGCGTGGACCGCCTCTGAAAAAACAGTAGGCTAGACTCTTTGGCAGCTCCAAAATGCCTTACCGGTCACAATTGGAGCAGCATGGGAGACGCTTGTCGCATTTCCGCTTTCGCATTTTGCATTGTAGACATACGATAGTGGCACGCTCTGGGACTGCTGGTGGTTGGATCATCTCGAATAGGCGTCACTGATATGCTATCCTAATATACATCAATGCTCGATGCGGCCGCACAAGCATGCCGACCAACAGCGATGGCAGTAATCCTTTTAAAGTGAAGAAACAGAAAGGCATGGCTTGCGCTGGTGGCGTGAAGCTATCGTGACTGGGCGTTGTTTGATTGGCTGAGAAGACTGCGGTCAGATCTCCTGCAAGCGCTAACCTGATCTGGATGACTCAATCCACTTTGCTCCATCCGAGCTGAGTCAAGACTCAGACCAATATCCATTCTTAGTAATAGCCTCAACCTAATCTCAATCTCGGTGTTTGGATCCCCTTCAAGGAAAGTGTACCAGAATGGAAGGCGTACTGCTTGGCCAGCGATTACAAATGAGTCTTCTCCCTCCATGAGAAGCTCACTAGAAACATAAAACATTAAACATTTTTCCTGTCCAAGTGGTCATATTATCAGTTCCTCTACGTGAACGAACGCTTGTCTTCCTGAGTCTATATATACGCAGGAGATTCTGATCTCTAGAATAACGTTGACTGCCACCGCTTCGTTGGGCTCTCCTTGGTAAACATCTTGCAGAGATGGCAAAGAGTAACTGGGCCGACGGCCCATTCCAGCTAGTCCCCAGCCCTAAGTTTACGAAGGGCAACGTGAGCGAGAACCCGTTCTTTGCAGGTCAAATCCATTCTGACGGCTTGATAGGCAGACGGCATCTTTGCTGTAAATGAAATGGCAATCTCACATAATATCTACATTCGTGGATTGAACGCCATCTATCTACAAGCCGAGGGAGTAACTACTCCTTCAGAGATCAAAGACTTCCTCACGTTCTGTCAAATCTGGATCGAGGTTGTCCATCACCATCATCATATTGAGGAAGAGTTGTTCTTTCCCGGAGTGGAGGAGGCACTGGGTCAGAAGGGAATCATGTCTAAGAATCTGGAGCAGCACCGTGCCTTTGAGACCGCGATGGAGGACTTCCAGAAATACACGAGCACGACTCCCGGCGGTTATAGCGGAAAGGAGCTCAAGAATCTAGTGGATCGATTTGGGAAGCCGCTTGTTGACCACTTGCACGAGGAAATTCAAAGTCTTTTGGACATTCAGAGCCAATTCGACCCGGAAGGGACAGTGCTCAAAACCCATTACCTTCGATTCGAGAAGGTGCTTGTCGCTCAAAGTTCACTGGTATTTACCCCTACATCTACAGACTCTCTTCCTATTAAAACAATGTTGCTGATTTTCGTTGATAGTCACGTCATCAAGCTTTCATTTTCGGCTGTCGCGATGTGACATTCGAGAACGGCGTGAATAAAAATTGGCCTGACGAAGCTCCCTTCTTCGTCCCGTACCTCTTGTCCTGGTTCCTTTCCCGAAGCTTGGCCGGAGTCTGGCGGTTCCTTCCAAGTGATTTCAAGGGAAATCCACGGCAATTGCGGTTTCTGCCAAAATCTGCGCCGGTTTCAAAATAATCGCCTTGTGATTCGGAAATTCGTTGAGACGAGCTTAGACTACACCACTGTTCTCTATTTTGACATTGGTCATTGGCGAGGGTAGCTTTTTTATTTTACTTTATTCTGTATAATACATATGAATCGTTCATTCCCTACTCTGGAGTCTTTCGCGATGTATAATACACATACATTATGCCTAGTATATAGAAATTGGATGAATTAAAGGTAGTTGATATATTTTCACTTTCAATCTTGATTCACTCCTCCGAGTTTCCCTATTCGTGTTGGGCCCAGTGTCTGATATATCATAGCCTGCTATTCTGTACATTATGTAGAAGCTGCAGCTTCTGGATGAGCTCCTTGACCTCCGCAGCCACCAGTTTAGGCTGTTCCAATGGTATGAAATGTCCACTTCCTTTCGCCACCGTCGGACCCTTTCGAAGATGCGGTGGCACCAATTTCGCCAGTCTCTCAAGATAGCGGAACCAGTTCGGAGAATTATAAGTCAGTGTTAACAAGGCTGGAATTCCAGTCAGCTAATTTGCGTTAGTAAAAAGGTTAACAATCAATATTTGTAATAGAACAGACACACCTTCCTCACTTGCTCGGCGTAAGGTGAAGGATCATGCGCCATGATCGCGAGAATAGGCGTGCCTTCCCAAGGACCTATCAGCTGCGGTGTACCGACTTCTGGTATGTACGTAGATAGATTGTCCCACTTGATCCCTTCTTTATTTGGTGTGTTGGGGTTATAAGGGCTAGCTCGCTGCTGTGCTCTGGCTTTGCGAAGTATGGCCGTTGTAACACCATCCGGAAGCAATTCGGGCTTGAAGTCGGATGCATCCGGGTCTGGAAACCAGCTCTCTCCATCAGTGTCGGTGGGTGATGGATCTAGCAACAGTAATGCTGCCACAGCCCTTGGATATTGCTTAGCATACAACTCAGCAATGACACCGCCAAAGGAGTGTGCTACGAATATAAGCGGCAGACCAGTGACTTTGTTGGCTGGTATTTGGAGATGCTTGTCAGCTACGCAAATAATCAGCTCTCGTAGATCCTTTGCTGCATCCATTGCATCGTGCGCTTCGGAGGTGTGTTTCTTTGCTGTCTCCCCGGAACCGAAGCGATCATACAGGAGCATTGCCGGTCGAGCAATGCCCTGCGGCCAGTCTTTGTCGAGGAAGCGCAGCACTGGTGTCCATACCTTCCTGGGATCGTGGAGTCCACTGAGGAAGACTATGAGATATCCCACTCCATGCTCTGTCTGATCGCCCCCTGGGACATAAGAGTAGTGGATCGGCGTCGTTGGCTGCGTAGATATGGTGACCTCGCCATGGTGAATGTTGTTAGACGCCATGGCTGCTTCACGATAATAGAGAAATTGACTACTGGACTTTAGGGGTCAAAATGTTCATCGCTGAGGTGCCTTCGGTGCTGGAATACCTAAATACTTAATGTACGCCAAGCCTAAAGGAGCAATGGGTACACAAATTATAAGGAGTATCCACATTAATAAAAATGACAAACTAAGTTTTAAGCATTTAGTGACTATTACTAATAGTCTAATTGGAGATTGATCATGAAATCTTGACCCATGAAAGCCTGTGTGAGGAACATTTCGGAATTTCCGAACCCTATTCTCTAAAAGTGGATTAAGGTTAAACCCTAGGCAATAGTTACATCTCTATAGTTGATGAAATTAAGCTAAGAGAAGGCTCTAAATGAACTAACATCTAGAGCAGCTGAGATCTAAAAAGGTTCCACCGGGCAATTATAGTGAGCTTTAATTTTGGATGTAGAAAATAAGGGATTGAAAAACTGGCCACTAGTCCGCTGGAAAAGAAAAGAGCAGCAATGAAAACAACGATAGAAACACCAACTAAATAGAATGAAGTAGAGTGAGGCTTTCTCGTGGTGACCGCATACTTAACTGTAGCTCCTATAACTGCAAACTGGCCTCGGACGATGTGCTTATAGGCTATAGCGATATCAATCTCATCAGTATCAAATAATCATAGCCTCATACAATGGATGATACGCAAGTTGACTGGGATAAATGGCGGCACCCTCTCGACCACAGCCTCCCTCACCCTTAGGTTCCCTCCTTCCTCTCTATCCGCGACCGCTATGTTCGAGAAGTCACAAACTACCTCTGGCTCATGAACTCTCTCTCATGCCCGACTATTATCTTTGAGCTCCACGACCCCTCTCCAAGCCATATCCTCTCGTTGGAGGAGCTGTGTTCCTTCTGCGGCAAGGATTCTCGGAATATACGCGATTGTGGATCTGAAAGCGAAGCTGGGCATGGAACCGAGGCAGAGAGATCTGTGTGGACGGATCTCTAGGGATTGGCTTAATATGGTTGAGAGTGATTCGTCATTTGAGGTTCGTTTTTTCGCTCGGTTTATGCAGACAGATAGCTTGGGAGTCGTGGATATTGTCGCACGTCATAGGGTCCTGAGCCAGCAGCTCGAGACGCAGATGAGAGACCCTATTGAGCGGGTTGTAGAGAGAAAGGACTTTGCCGCTAGTGAAGAAAGGAAGCATCATGGGGAGTGCACATTATTACCAAGCTTCAAGAATCTAGTCATCATAGTTGAGGAGCAGAGTTTTAGGGCTGATGCCTTACTTTTGGTTTTGGATCCTGGACTGGCGCAGGAGATTAAGGAGATAGAAGGAGCAGAACAAGATGAGATTAGGGGACAGAAGGTTGTTAGTTTAAGAGCGGCGATGGAAGATATCATGCGTGCTGTGGTTGCGATGCAGAAGAAACCTGCTACAAAACTTGATGGGATCGCAGGATGCTATAGAGAGATCTAAAGCAGAATCAACATGGACCGATAGAACTAAAGCTGGTCACTTCAATGTTCGGATTTGAAGGCGCCCGGGGCATCTGCTGCATAGGCCACATCATCAATCTGGTCGTAAAAGCGACTCTTTGACAGCTCTGGCAAGTTGACGCACGATATATGGATTCCCGGATGACCCAGCTGTAGCCTGTACCCACATATCGGTTAAATTTATGCTTGAGAACTGGTACCTAGGTAGTTCCCACGGGGCCTATTGAGGGTGGTTTATACCAAATCCGTGTTATATATCACCGTTGAAAGTATCTGTAATAATCAATAACATCGGAGACACAATCACAGACACAACCACAGTTTAAACGGTCCTCTTTCCTCTGCTCTCAAACGGCAATAGCAAACTCGTAAAGATCAGAGCACCATACAACCCTGCACAAATCCACAATGGAATCACAGTCTCTACATTAGCATAGCTTCCAACCAACACGCCAACAATACCACCAATACGATTCAGAACCACGCAGAGACCATATCCAGTGGCACGATGAGCACTCGGCAGGATCTCCGGTGTGTATGCATATATAGTACCATAGTAAATATTCGATGCTGCCGAAATTGCCGCTGACACTCCCACGTTTTGTGCCGGTGTTTTGATTTGCGTATATCCAAGCTGCAATGCAGTGGTAATTGCTGCTCCGACAGCAAGTGTGCCTCGTCGCCCAAACCACCGCCATCCCACAAGGAAACCGGCAATAATGGGACCAATCAAACCGGCTACTTGATTGATTGCATAGTTGCGCCAGGTCGTGTAGTTTGAGTTATCCCCAGTATCGGCACCGCGGGACGCAAGGTAGTATGGTAAGAAGACACCATATAAGGGCGAGACAGTCCCAATGAGAAGCCAGTTGACTATAATCATAACAGTAGAATATGCTAGTTTAGTTGTGCTGAACAGACCCGAAAAATGGCTTTTCAGCCGGAGACCAGACCATACAGATTTCTCCGTATGCAGTACACGCCCCTGAGCCTGTAGCTTTTCCAAGGTCAGCGAAAGTGGTCGTTTGTATGTTTCAGACAGATTCACGAGAATTGCATATAGTTCTTCATCTCGATTTTGACTCGTCAACCATTTGGGTGTTTGGACCATACGAATAGCAAACAACCGGAAGACACTGAGAACAAGCACCAGAGTGCCACAGGTGAAATGTAGATAGCGCCAGCCCATGTTATCTGATCGACGACACTCTACGGCATCCGCTGCGCAACTGAAGTTACTCATGAATGCCCATGCCAGTAGACCGGTAACGGTGTACCCGACGGCCCACCATACCGAGAGGAAAGTGACGAGCCAGGCATGAGATACGGGTAGGAATTCAAGGAAATTGGTAGCATCAAGAATGTAGTTTCCTCCGGCTCCAGCCGAATATATAGCAACCCTAAGAAAATAGAAAAGAAAGTTAGCATAACCATTCAATGTTGAGATGGTAGGAGTCTAGGTGAACGAACATTGCAGAGAAAGAAATATAGCTAGGCATACCGCCAGCAATCAGCACAAAAGCAGCACATATAAACAAGCTCGTATTGAAAGCGAGCTTGCGTCCTATAACGTCTGCCGAGAATCCCCAGACAGCAGCACCAACAAGAAGACCGACTTGTGAAGCTAGAGAGATGCCTGCAATATGCTTGCTAGGATTGCGAAATTCCTGTGTAGCTGCTGGCTGGGCAATAGATTGACACACAACGAGGAGCTATTATCACACAGTCAGCAAGATGTTCCAACAGAATATAAAGTATACAGGTGAACTCACTGAATCCACAGCATAGCCAAACCCGTTCAAGAAAAATAGCTTCCATTGAAACGGTGTCATGCCAATCTCATCGATTGCAGCGTTGACCAGAGCCATCTTTCGGGTAAGCACATCGTCAACCTTCGAAGTATCGATGAGTTCATTGTTCAAGTCAATCGAACTATCTATATCAGCCAAATGAGAGGATCGAAAATCATTGATTCCAGCCCCATCCACGTTGGTCGATACTGCGTCCTTAGAGTCGGCCATAGTGCTGCTCTCTGAGCAATAGAACCCGAGTAAGGAACAAGCTTATATCAGAGTTAGTTGGCCACTTGGTGAAGGTTACTTTACACTATATAACTATACTAACGGCTGTGGATATGTAGCTTAAGTATTCAAGATTGTCTCCCAATGTAGCTTGTCCGAAAAGCCCCCCATTTACGCTAAACTCGCATAACAAACTTATTTACCTAGCTAGATATCGCGATGAGGTGATAATAGATACCAATCTCGTAGATAACTTAAATACAATCCACCACTCACCCATCACCGCTTATAATAACCGACAATGTCTTCTTGGACTTAATTGTTATTCTTCTACTCACATGTGGAGAGAGTGCAATTCACCAGATGTAATACGGATGTCGTGATAACCGTCAAGTCATAGTCTAGACGACAGCATCCTAGTCAGGCATGGCAAATGCTCTTGTTGGACCGGAGAAATTTTTTATTCGTCGGTTTATCAAGGAAAGATAAAGATGGAGAAGTTCACTGGCTCTCTGGATCAAAGTCCATGTGGAATGACACCATGAAGACCGGGAATATCGTCAAGCCTGTAATAACATCACAAATTTTACATCTTGATGTTTTGACAAAAGATATTATTCAGCAGTTATCCGACCATACTTGGGCAGATCACATATAAAAGGATCCATTTTACAACTCATGGCGCATTTGCATGCATCTAGATCGTCGGTTCATGAGTATTATTGATAATTATTCTATTCCCATTCTATTACTATATCTTGACAAAGAAAAAGAAACGAAAACCGCAACTACAAAATGATTGGAGCTCACACTGGCCTCAATGAAAAGGTCCTCGCCTACAGACCCAGCGATCCCCCGGTGGAAGAAATTCGCCCGCCCAAAGATCGTGCATTTTTTGCCGATCTGGAAAAGAGATCTCTTCTCTCAGCGGTCACCAAGGTTAAGCACTTGACGCCATATATAGGGACAGAACTACAGGGTGTGCAGTTGAGTCAGTTGGATGAGAAGCAGAAAAATGAGTTGGCTCTGCTGGTCGCTGAGGTGAGTATTCTTGTCATAGCCCTACGTAATTACTGCATGTGGAATTAACAAGATGGTGTTATCCGATTATAGAGAGGAGTCGTCTTTTTCCGAGATCAGGACCTCACACTTGAAGGGCAACATGAATTCACGAAACATTTCGGCATTGTAGACTTAATTCATCTCTCTTTCTATGGGCGTTTGGATATTGACATTCCTCTTTTTAGCAAGACAGGGACCCTAACCAAGTCGATCCACGTCATGTCACGATTTTAGGTCGTGGAGGGTGAGACAGACGCATACTGTTGTCTAACTTAGTTGAATGGAAGTTAATCGTTACATTTGATAGTGACATTCGATCCTACGAACATGCTAGCAGTGCATTCGCCGAATTTCACTCTGATCACTCCTTCGAGATCAATCCACCTTCCTATACATTACTTCGAATGGTCAAAACTCCGGAATATGGTAAATCTTCTCTTTTCTTCTGTTTCTTGTCGTATGCAAGTATCAAAGATACACTTCCTATATTAACATCTCTTCAGGCGGCGATACTATCTGGACGAGTCAGACGGCGTTGTTCGATAAATTGAGTCCGACATTTCAGAAAACGTTCGAAGGGCTTCATGGGGTTCACAGTTCTGAGGTCAGTGTGTTCTCTTCTATCCCTTACAGCTCGGATATCTGAATCTTGCTAATTCAGGTAATAGCATACATACATCAACACTATCAACAGGGGCGGAACTACCTTTCGGTTGCCCGTACGCAGGGAGCATCCTCTTGTAAGTCCTTCTCTCTTTTAAGACTCATGTGAATGCAATACTAAAATAACAGCAAAATTTCGATAGGTTCGTACTCATCCGGTAACCAAACAGAAAGCACTATTCTACAATCCTGCATTCGTAATCCACATCGCCGAGCTGAAAGGTTTCGAGGCATTACATACTCTCAACTTTCTCCGCGAACACCTCCATTCAGCTGACGATCTAACTGTCCGCTGGCAATGGGAAGCTGGCAGCATCGCGCTTTGGGATAATCGAGTTGCCGTTCACCGGGCAGTTCCTGGTGGATATAACACCGAAGAGAGAGAAGGCAAGAGGACCGCGGTTTATGGTGAGAAGCCGTTTTATGATCCAAGCAGCAAGACTTTGAGTGAGTGGCAAGCCGAAAGAAATCAGAATGAAGTGCCGGTGATCAAGACTGAATTGGATGGGTTTTAATATTATCTAGGTATCATGTCAATAATAAAGGCAGCAGCCCTATGTCATTCCTCAAAATTCTTACCCTAGCTCTATGGATATAAGCTTACCTATAGCTTCAACTCCAATACTAATCTGAAGCAAATACGAGATGCTCGTTTCAAGATAATGAAAGTCAATGGTCACAGGTCACACTGCAGGTGTTGGTTTGTCTCTCGCTTTACAGCCTCCCATCAAAAGTGGGTTTTACTTCTTAGGGGTTGTTCTGGCCAGGATACCCACCCGCAATGCTACCATGGAGTGGAGGTCAGGAACAAGCGCTATACATAGTGTACTAACCCAATCGCCAATTGAGATCCCTCTCTGTGTTGGAACGGCTCGATCCCGTTTAGCGTACCGTTCTGATAAGTCACTTAGATATGGGCGTTTCATGCAATTCAATGATATTTACCACCGAGCTACTCCGCTCAAATCAGTGCTATTGCATCCAGCTCTCATCACTTATCACTCATCATGACTCATACAAAACACAATTTGATCATCCTTCCAGCTGCTAACTTATAGACGGAGGGGTGGTTGTATTTCTAGCTGACTAGGAGTACACTCTCCGCATTTACGCAGCATTGTCAACCATCACTAATCCCTGCTGAAAATCCACCAGCATATGGCTACCTCCAGCAACTACCTTCCCCCTGCATTGACAGCGGACAGCATAACGGATTTAATTCTCGCTCTAAATCTTCCCAAACCCACTTCCATCGAGCCTCTGGAAGCTGCAGCCTCCTTCCACTCAATATACCTTATTAATTTCTCTGCTTTAGTCGCCACTGACATTCCAGTACGCGCAGAAAAAGATGGTACTCTGGCCCTCGTCCTGCGCGTGTCAGGACGACAACTTCCAAGTATCAAGACGCTGAATGAGGTAGGCGTAATGAACTGGGTGCGCAAGAACACGCACATTCCCGTTCCAGCAATTGTGCGCTACGATGCCACTGAAAATAACCTCATTGGACATGAATTTACTCTCCTCGAAAAGGCACCCGGTGTCAGCGTCGACAAAATTTATGACACGCTATCCACGGAGACTAAAACCAAAATGGTCCACCAACTGACAGACTATCTGACTGAATTACATTCACATCCTTGGAAGTCCGGGTACGTGGGAGGCCTTACTCTCCGTGACAACGGAGAAATTGCTCGCGGGCCACTTCTTGACGAGTACTTCTGGCAATTACCAGATCTGGAGCAGTACTGGTCTTCTCCCGGTATGCATGAGACCTTAGACACGCTCAACCCTATTGCTGCGGATGGATTTCCAAATTACGTTTCGTTCAATGTCGCCTGTTTGGAACGGTATATCCATGCTATAGAAGTACATCCGTTACTTGATCCCTATCGAGACATGGTACCTCGGTTACGATCTTTCATTCTCGCGCTACAGACGTCAGTGAACATAGACGAGCTCAATCGGGTCGCTTATGTGCTTGCACACAAGGATATGCACTTTGCGAACATCATGTGCGATCCCGAGGAGCCAGGTTGCCCGATTACTGCTGTTCTGGACTGGGAGTTCAGTGGAGTTGTCCCAGCACCACGGTGGAATCCTCCGCGCGCATTTCTGTGGAATATGAAATCGACTCCAGAGGACAAGGCGGAGCAGACTCGAATGGAGGAGTTGTTTGAGCAAGTGTGTCATGAACGGGGTGCACAGTCGATCCTGGAGGAGACGAAAATGAATGCTGCACAGGAGTCGATGCAGACTGTGGTCAATCATGTTCGGGCGATTGTGGAGGTATGTCCAAGGGGCCAAGCGAGTGATCGAACAAGGCAATGGAGGAAAGTGGCTGAGGCGGCAATGGAGAAGTTTGGTGTTTAGCTGGGAAATTGCCAAACAGGCAGTAAGTATGTATATAGTGGCTCAGTCGCATTGCAGCAGGACCTAACGTACCGGATTTCCTTTGACGCTTTTCGGCTTTACCGTTCTGTTTTAGTGCTCACCCCCTCGCCAATTTTACTCACTGAGTAGTTACAATAGTGAGTTAATTATTGAACTCTCAGTTTTCTTAGTTATTCTTTAACATTTACTCCAAACGACAGAGATCTGGACAGCTAGCCAATTCACTTTCTCAATTACAGGCCAGTGGATATGTCTGCCGGCCGCAATTCCACAACACCTAGTTAGATGGTTGATCTTCGTAGCTTCATTCTCGCTAGAATATTACGTTACCAGGTTCTTGATTTATCTGACAATGCTGGAGACACATCTCATATTTCAGTAGTTCAAATTGACGAAGAGCGTTTTCGGTTCCGTATACTCGCGCAAAGCATGAACTCCACTCTCGCGCCCAATCCCACTCTCCTTGGTGCCACCAAAAGGGGCTTGCCGGAACGCCATACTCACCGCGTTGATACCGACCATACCGGTGTCGAGCTCTGTACTGATGCGCAGAGCACGGTTGATATCCTGGGTTAACACCCCTGCCATCAGCCCGTATGCCGTATCATTAGCTAAAGAAATGGCTTCCTCCTCGGTTTTGAAGCTGTTGACGATAGCGATAGGCCCAAATATCTCCTGCTGATTGATCTCGGAGTCCTTTATCACACCTGTAAAGACTGTCGGCGCAATAAAGTAGCCCTAATGACAGAAGTATCAGTTTTATGTGCTTTCAACTATTTGAAGATTCAAACCTTCTCGCCGATCCGATGACCTCCTGTCACCAAGGTGCCCTGCACGCGACCGCGCTCGATAAAGCCCATAACTCTGTCAAACTGCAGCTTATCTACCACGGGGTTAGTAAAGGTGCCAGCATCTTCGGGATCTCCCAACCATACCCGTCCTCTCGTTCACCAAGGCTAGGTATTTATCCATGAACTTGTCGTATATGCCTTCCTGCGCCTGTCCGCGATTTATCGTAATCGCATTCAAGCACCAAGTGACAGTGTTGGTTTAACTACGGTCCGTATCACGAAGCATAGACGGTAGTAAGGCGCGAACACGAAGCGGCCTAATGAGCCTGACAATATGAAGATATCTTGATTCCTAATATTGTGACTGATCCCCAAGAGTAAGGGGAGTGTGTGTGTGTGTGTGTGTATATTTAACGGCCGTGGTTCGTGACTTGCACGCTTCCCACCAATCCCTACTGGGACATAGGCCGCCGAGGGGTAAGCCTCGGGCTTCAGGTCCTATCAGATTTATATACAAATAAGAGACTCTTTGGCGCATTTCCATAGCTGCCGTGGTCTTAAAGGGAGATCCACTTCCTAGTGGGTTTTGGGTATTTGCCAGCTACAATGGTCCACCTACGCTCCATGACCCATCATTCTACCACCATCATACTTAAGCAGTGAGTTTGAAAAGAAGAAGGGAAGAAGGAAAGAAGAAAAGAAAGAAAGAAAAAGAACAAAGAAAAAGAGAGATATAAGGGGAAAGTAGGGCTGACTTAGCTAGGTGCTAAGGAGAGGTTGGCGAGGACAGATATCCTCAAAGAAATGGGTCTCTGCTAGCCATGAGGCTAGTTTTCGTGTTCCTTTCGCAGTGCCTAAAAGAAAAGAGATAACTTCAGAAGGGGGTCCAGGTGGACGAGAGGCTCATCTCTTAGCTATATGGTAGAAGAAGAAATGTAGAGGTGCTTTTCGTGCTCTACATCAACAGAGAAGATAAGCATCATCATGATTAAAGTGCTTGTGGTAATCCGCAAAGTCTCTATGACCAGTATGGGCCACTATGATATGGCCAAGGTCAAGTTGGTTAAGTTGAAGCTCTTCAGGGCGTTTAGGAGATATAGTTATTTCTAGATCTTGGTATATCTGTGGTGCTACAGTCTGCCACTATGTCTGAGCAGCAGAAAGAGATTAAGTCTTGGTGTATCTCTTTAGCGAGGCATATGAGGACTTGTATGGAGAGGGGGGGATAGAGATAGCTCCTTCCTTGGCAGCGAGATCAGCTGCTTTATTCTTAGGGATTTTAGTGTGTCCAGGGACCCATTGGATTTGGATTGATCTACTTTTGGTGTGTGGAAGCCTTTCGCGTAGTGGCTAGGCGGCTGCAAGGGTGCGAAAGGATTCAAAGACCTCTTAAGAGGATCCTGTAGAGGGGGATAGGAGGCGCGTGGTAACTTCCAGGTTGTCAAGACAGATCTATAGGTTAGTAGTAAATTAAGCTGTTGGGTATGCTATTGCTGCTTGAGCACCAGCTAGGGCAGCTTCTGCTTCTGTGCCAAAGACCTCTTTCCCATGTCCGTATGAGAGTGAGAAGCAGAGGAACTGATGGTGTGCTTGAATTCCAATATAGCTACCCCCTGCACGTCTGTCTATCAGCCTAGATCCATCTGAAAAGATTACAATATCCGAGCTAGGGATAGTGCATTGAAAAGCCGTGAAATTAGCCGCTGCCTATTCCTTAGTGCGTCCCATGGGAGCTCCTATTCAGGCTAGGGCACTCTTGTGTGACTCATGAGGGTACTAGGGAGCATGTTGTAGAGGGTTTATTTGTTCAGGGTTAAGAAGCGCCAGCACTCGGCGGGCAAATCGACTGGTTTGTCGGCCGTCTCTAGCTATCTATTCTACGCGTCTTCAGAGTGGGTAGTATGGATCAAGACGCCATAGGCAGACTGATGTTTGGAGGGCTATTTAATCTAGTTTAATTTCTGGCGAAGAGAATCCAGACTCTCGGTATAGAATAGATATTAGAGTTGTGTGGAAAACTGGAAGGACTGCTCTTACGCCTGCTAGTATTACTTTGGTTAGTTTCTCAAGATGTTCTCCAACTCAATTTGAAATTTAGGAAGGCCCAGGGCGAGTACGTCCTGGCCACCAGGTTTCTGCGCTATAGTATACTTTATAGAGTATACAGGCTGATACAGCCTACTATAGTAAATGAGGTTTAACTCCATGGATAGTATTCCCTAGAGAGCGAAGGGCATTAGCTATAGTAAGGGCTTTAGATGCTGTTTCATCAATGTGCTATTTAAACATTAGCTTTTTATCAAAGAGGATTCCTAGCTAACGTAGATATAGCCGTTTAGTATTTTCTGAGATTATGATAGATCCAGCTTTTACTGAAGGTGTACAGGTTGGGTCCTGGTCTGCTTTATATTGGGAGAAGTGAAGAAGCTCGTATTTATCTAGTGCAAATGTAATGCCCTCTGCAGCGCCCCAGTTTAGGGCTTCTTGTAGTGAGTCTGATAATGCTTTGTAGTTAGTACTGTTGCATGTAGAGCATGCCCAGCGGAGGTCCTTGATCGTTGAGGTAGTCCTACGACAGATAATTCCGTTTAATGATGTCGCACAGCAACTGGGCGAAGAAACAAAGGTTGACCTGCGCAAGATCAAGAAGTCGCAGTCCGCTGATAACTCCGCCGATAACTCCACCGAATGAACGACATCAAGCGTCCACGGATAAATGCTCCGCTGAACGGGACTGCAACCACCAAGTCAAGCTGTTGAGTATGATATCAGAATTCGATCCGAACAAGAAGGAATAGCTTATACCTTCTAAATATGGAAAAGCGGAGAGAAGTGTCCAGGCCCTCTTTCGCAAAGACGAAAAGACCGCAGAGGTCGCCAAGGAGCGATAGGCCGTGAAGACCGCCGAGCTTGTTCACGCAAGTACGGTACGTACATTCCGTGTCTCGGGTCACTGACCCAGCAAAAGATGGGCAAATGAAAGGGGTCCTATCATGTCGACACAAGAAGAGCATTTGGAGACTCGACGGTTGCTGTCTCATGGAGGCCTTATAAAACGGTTGACATCGCCCCAAAACTCGAATCGAAGAGCAACTCACTTTCCCACTACTATCTCCTTCCCTGGAGCACAATCCAGTTCATTGACAACACGCCAGAATTGCAATACAACAAATATTGGGCCATTTGCCATCAAAGCTCAGTCACTAGGGTTGTTCCAATTTTTGCCGCTGCTATGGGCCGTAGTACTGAAATCGCGCGAGTCATGCTCTCGCAATTTACCTCACTCCCGTATCCTACGCACACGTTCTCTGGTCAAACTATCATCGTTACCGGCGCCAATAGTGGTATTGGTCTTGAGGCATTATAACACTTCCTCCGCCTCGGGGCCGCGCGCGTGATTCTCGCTGTCCGATCGCGCTCCAAGGGTGAAGTGGCCGCAAGGTCTATCGCACAGAGAGCTGGGCGGCCCGCCGTCGAGGTGTGGGAGCTTGACCTTGCGAGGTACTCGTCTGTTATTGAGTTCTCCAGGCGAGTGGAGGTGGAATTAGACAGACTGGATGTTTTGTGCTGCAACGCGGGCATTATGACCACGGAGTTCAATGAGGCTGAGGGGAACGAGAGCCAGATTGTTGTGAACGCAATCAGTCAATTGCTTTTAGGGTTATTGGTGTTACCGAAGCTAAGGCAATCGGCTACGCAGTACGGCAAGGCAGGCGCCCTGTCATTTACGGGATCATTTGTCCACTTGGTGACGGACTTTCCAGAACGACATAACTTGAATATCCTGCAGACACTATCAGATAAGGAGACAGCACGAATGGCTGATCGGCGATTTTGCCCTTGACCCTGGTTTAACCTCTCCCTCCCTTTCTTCAGCCTCCTCACTCATGCACGCACTAGCACCGATATGATGAGCTGCACGTAGCGGCTCGTCAGAATATACGCGACTTGGAGGCCGATTGCTGATCGCGGTACACAATAGGTACAATGTCTCCAAGCTAGTCGAGCTCCTTTTCGTCCGTGAGCTCGCCACCCGAACGTCTGCGTCAAGCAAGCCGGGGAACGTTATCGTCAACATCGTCAACCCAGGCTGGGTGATAACCAATATGACCAACGGCGGCGAAAGAAGAAAAAGTTTTATGGGCTCATTAGCCACCAAGTTACTCGCACGCAAGACCGAGGTTAGCAGCCGCACCGTCGTCCACGGCGCTCACGGTGGTCTCGAGACGCACGGGCAGTACCTGTCGGACTGCAAGATCGGAACGTGAGTCTGGCCCCATGTTCCTTTCTTCACCTGTAGTTTTCCCCCTCATCGTCGCTAGCGAAATGACCCGAACACGTCGAAAAATGTTGGGAATATCACCTCACATCACATATCACCTTTGCCAGCTATTTACATCCATACTAGATCATCTAGTAAGCGCGCAGCTTTTTGGTCTAGTTGGTCAAAAGCCCAACAAAAAATATGTCGATCCTTTTGTGCTGAGTGCTTGGATTGTGTAGACTTTTGTTGGAACCAAGCTGATTTGTCACAGAGTTTCCGCTTTTGTCTCCAGTGACGAGGGCGCCGAGGTGCAGACAAAGCTATGGCTTGAGCTCTCAGACATCCTGGATAAGGTCGAGCCTGGCGTGATGGATATCTTATAAAAAGCCATGTAGAACGTTCTTTGCCCCATCCCCGGAGGTACCGATTTATTTATTAGTTAACACCACGTGATTTCCGCTCACTGGCATCCTCTATAATTTACGTGAATAAAAACTGTGTTACGCATTGGGCTAATGTAAAGATCATGTGACCTTCGGGCCGATATTTATCCGTAGGGGATAGAACACCTCACCCCTTAGATAGCTTCCTCTAACTTAAGTAATAGACAAGCAGACAGAGAGAATAAGAACATTGAGAGAACACTCTATCGAGAATCCATCATTTTCCAACAGGGAAGCGTACAACTGATATCTCTACTACTGCTCATAATCCTTGGTAACCAGATCTTTCTCTGAATTCTCTACAGCTAACATACCTGAGTAACGAGTTCACCCAAGCATACCATATTTTTGGTCTGTCAGCTATAGTTTTATACTAATTCTTTTCTTATTGCTTTTACAATACCTTATCAATATTCTGACCTATATGAATTTGTCTACGAGAGAGTTCTGAGCTTTAGGTTCCAGCAGAAAGAAACGAGATTCTAGTATTGCATAGACACCACTCAGGTTCAGACATGCTGTTCGTCATACTGTTCGGCTATCGTATCATAGCAACAATGCCACATCTTCATCAATAGATGACCTGTAAACATGGCTTCCTGTACAAAACACACGCTGTTACTGCGGGTATTCCCACATACCGACTAAATTGGAGCCTGGTTGCCACATTTAGCTTCAACCAATTGCAATAAATCCGATGTGTTCTAAATAACATGCTAATTTCTCTAGGAGAAACTAAGTGGAGCTATTCACAATGGGTGGGAGAACCCTATGATAGGCATATAAGTTGGTTTGCGCTGGCGGCTGCACTAACCGATTCTTGCTTATAAAGTCAGCCTTAATGAATACTGATGGACTTGCCCAGCACAAACACATGCGATGCAGGCACCTACTTGTTCAACTAACGAATTGTGGCCAAACTGCAGAGGATGAATAAATGCCATCACAAGATAGACCGGAACCAGTAATGAGGCCACTGGTCAAGTAGCTTCTACCAAAGAACCTTCCGAGGCTCTGCAAATATGTTTTTCAGGGCACTTCAGCCATCCATTTAACTCTGATCATTGAATAGTCCGTAACATGATTAAGGTCTCGCTAGTATCAATACTCCTTGGACACTGAAGCAATCAAACAAGTGACTGGTCAGCTTCGGATATGCACGCATCTGCAACGGCCGGTTAGCCTTGAACGAATGTCTGTGGCATTGCTTCTGTTGTGTCGTACGAAGTAATATGGTGAAAATTCGTTATGAGAATCGCAGGTGGTTGTGGCCAGTTGAGGGCACTAAAATACAGCGAAAGTTGTGTGCTATCTTTGTTATTAGAACCGACCGCATCTGCGGAGAATGCAGTTTGAGTTGGTAAATGGGGGCCAGTAAATTCCTCGCTTGAAACATAACCGGTAGGTAGGACATCGAACTGATAATTCCGGAGTTGCCCATCTTCTGTGGTAGGTTCATCCAATGGAGGGTTCGTCAACCACGCGTTCGTGGTAATGTCGTTGACTGGCTTCGGATTATGAAGCCAGTTGCGCTCTACCAGGATTGTGCCGAAATATAGGATTGAAAACCTTAGGTTATTGTCGTTATTGTCTTCTTTAGAAAACCCCCCAATATGCGTTTCCAGTAGCCTTCCCCTCAACCTGGACGGAATACCTTGCCCCGTTTGCTGCACGAGCCTCGATTGTTAAGAGCCCTTTTATTGCTTGCACAAAAGAACTGCTCACCATGTCTTTGTTTGAATATGATGGCTGTTCCGTGATTTTAGTAATATCATTTACCATACCTACGTCGTGGAGCCGTTGGTGTTTCAGCATATTGGAGTCATTGAAATCGTGTCCCTCAAGATGCGCTAGAAGAAGAGTCATGGAGGCAATCAATGCCTTGATATTGGGTCCATGGCAGCAATATTTTTTGCAGTTAACGTCGTGCAAGAGAATGCAGAGCGAGACCACTGCCCGGCTCGCCGCTACAGCAGTGAGTTTATTGTAAGTGTAATCATAGAGAGTCACTGGTCTTGCTTTAACTTCAAGAGATCGTAAAATATATGGCACATGCAGAAGTATGAGCAGGTAGGAGTGAGTCGATTGTGCTGTGAGCGACGCCTTCAACTCCCTCATATCTGTTTCTAACATTGTAGATTTCAGCCACCGGGGATACCGCCACTCTGAGAACATTTGTCTCGTCGCTAATTGAAGCTCAACATCAATATCTTGCGTCTCCTTATAATCATCATACAGATAATGATCATCGCATTCACCGCGGGCCATCTATCTATTCCTCGCAATAATGCGTTCCATGATAACAGCGTGGAGACGCTCTAGCCTCCCCAAAGGAACATCTGCTGCCAATGCACGTTGACTTGCAAAATGCTTATTTGTCGCAGCATACGGGACACCTAACAGAAGTGACAGATAACGATCGCCATAGACAAGACGAAACCATGAAAAGTCCGAGGTGTCCTTGCCAAACTGGTCTTCATGATCCAGACCTATTAGCTGCGCAACTTCCAATGCGCGTCGAAATATCAGCCAGCAACCTTGCAGGTCACCGGAGTTGACCTGGTAGAGACCCTCAAGCATAAGAGTTTCCAAACCATGCTGTGACATGACGAACCGATATTGGGACGTGACATAACGAGAGACAGCGTCAACATATCGGCGTCCACTAGAAGCAATGGACTTCGTAAGATCCGTTGGCACATTTTGTGTGGTTCTATCCAACTGCTGTGAGCAAATGACCAGTTCCATAAGCTCGCAGGATAGTACGCTTGGGTAAGACGCTGGCGAGGGCAGCAACCCAGAGTGAAGTGAGATATATTCGGCGCTATAATGTGTAAGGAGAGTCGAATACGGTTGCTTCAACATCTGAAGGGGAAAGTCATTGAAGTTTTCATGGTGCAGTAAAAGTATTGCAAGCTGTTGTGTAGGGAGGAGGGAATGGAGATAGCTTGCTAAGAGGCTCGTGGAGCATTCCATATGACTGCTCATGTTGCCGTGGCTCCGGTATATGACAAAGCATTTGGTAGGTATTAACATCGTCACTTTCAGCGACCTCAAGAGAGCCTCTCTTGCCTGACGGATATCGCCGAGATACAGCGACGCCTGTATTCACTCCTTCCCTTCTCAAGGGTCGGGTAACGCCGCGCTGGCCAAGGCTGGATTTTACCCGTGACTGCGGGAACGTAGCAGCAGAACTCAAGTGATCTCCAGTGGCAGTTTGAACCAGCTGGCTGACAGCCGCTTCGATGCGGGCCACGCGCCTTTCACTTCATTGGCATCGAAGTTCCTAACCCTCATTCCAAAATATCTGTCTCTGTGGGTTGGCTTATAAAGCCAATAAAACAACGTACATACGTCCGTACACGCGCTTCAGGTGGTACTCCAAGTACTATGGTCAAATGTATTCAATCGTCTGTCTTCTCTTAATGAGGCCCCGACGCGGTCTATATAGTCCTTGCTTGACAAGGTCACGTGTATTTTCACGTGACCTCTCCTTGGTTCGCGTCGGTGACAGGTGTCAGATAATCCGGCTTTAAAACGAGGCAGAGAGATCGACTGTTCAATCTTACAGGTCTAAAAGGCACCTTTAGGCATATATCTGGGCACCTAGATTTCAGCCCAATATTTACCCCTCCTGATAGCTCACAAATCACCCCGCCAAAGGTGTCTATAAAGGACCCGGCTTTGAAACCTGATGGATAGAGAGAGACAGAACTCAAGACATACAATCTTGCTAGTCACTTCTTTTCTTTGATCCTAGTAAAACACTCTTCAGGATTGGCCTAGAATAAACCGACTAATCCGACAACAGGAATCTCGATTGCACATATAAACCAACACTAAACAATATTTAGATTTGTCCGTCACGTAGCTAATTAGTCTAATCCATTCCTAGCTATAAAGTAAACAAAAAAGGTATACAATCTGTTAAACTTAAATACATGAAATGTAATAGTGCTACTCTTTCGTGTTATACATGACAAATAGGTAGAGCAATCATTCCAGAGAATTTCAAAGGAACTTAATGCTTGCAAAGGAGGAAGCGTTTCCTAGACTGCCTCTATCTGAACTATACGCAATGATTATATATACCATGCATTGGATTTATGATTGAACTTGAGAACTTCAGATATATTTCCCCATTAAGCCGAGATTCTCGTTGTTATAAGAAAAGAAGCACCTCATACGGTCAATATTATATCTGTATTTAGGAGTAATTAATACCCTTATGGCCGACATGAGATAAACTGAAGAAATTTGCATCGCAATTTGCTGATTCTGCGGCGGTTATATGTGTCTATGTAGGGCACGGTGTTTGCCGGCGCAGAAAAATAGTCCACCCGGGAATATTCATGAATATGGTCAATAATCATATTCATTTATTCATTTCGGAGCTCTACTCTTGTTAGAGCGATCCATGTACAGTACAGAGTATGTCGGAGAATTAGCACGTCATAGCCAATGACTAGTTAACATAACTAGTGGATAACTAATTTTAAAATATGGTTTATATATTAATTTGTTGAGATCCCTATAAAAGATGGAACTGTCATTGCAAAAAATCAGTAGCATGGGTTTCTTTCTTTTCTTTATTTTATTCCTACATACATTCTACCCATAAACAATCTCTTGTTCTTCAATCAACTAATCTCGGACAGAGGTGCTACCTTCAGTGCTTCACAATCCAACACCCAGGCCGATTCTCCCATAGACCACACCTACATACAAGAACTAGACATACAAGTCACCAACATGGATGCCAAAAATTCCTATCCATCTACTTCTCTGCCTGATGGTTCAAAGGAACAAGAACCCTCCCAACCGAAGCCCAGCGAGTCCCATCAACCCCCGTCACAAAGCTCCCTGACCTACACAAAGGCACCCTCTAGTACCGAAGCTTCAGGGCAAAGTGTGACTGCCCCTACCGACACCCCGCACTCATTTGAGAATGAAGCTAGCTTTGCTCGTCAGTTAGTAGATATCTTTCTCTTCTCCATATCTCCTTAAAGAGTGATGCGATGCTCAAGAGCGCAAGTCGTTAACTTGATTACCCAATTAGGCATCGGTTAGCCCTAGCCGCAGATCAGCAAGATCTAGCGCACGCCGGTTCATGGGCAACCATCGGACGGTTAGACGATATCGGAAACGATTCTATGCTATCCCCTAATTACCAAGCCGGTACCGCCGTCGATTCTGCGAGACGAGGAAATGGTTTGGCCAGTTCAGTCGTGGATGAGGCCGTGGAGCTCCTTAGGGCAAGTTTACACCGCAAGGTGTGAATGGAACCAACACAACAGTCATTTGAACTGTTGATACTTGGTGGTACAAAATAATTTTAAACTGGGTTTTGACGACTGGTTACGATTGATGGATACATGGCGCTTGGTACACCACAGGTAGTTTGAGGAGAAGGACGTTAGGGTTATGGATACTTTATTTCGCTACAAGCATGCAATTTCGGGTTTTTCTCAACTATTTCCTCCCGCCTATCCAACGCCCTTCTGAGTGGTTTCCCATTTCCAATTCTAAATTTATAATGAATTAGCTGCCGTCTTTGTCGCTCCTGATTTCGGGTGTGAAAGGACTCTGTATTCGTAATATCAATTCTATGATAGACCTGCTGGTCCTCATCGTCGTATTCTATAGTTGTAGATGATGTCGTCGGGAAATGTTTAATGATTGTTTCGTCGGCGGGGGAGTTTTTGATATATGCTGATGCTAGCTGGAGATCGGCTCCGGTTCTCTGCAGATTTCGTGTCAGAAAACTAGGATTGGAGAAAAAGATGTCATCGCATCATATATAAATGAGGTCTTGCTTCAACCATTCCAACTCCTAGCAGCGCTGCGATGAAGAGATTTATAAATTGTAGGAATCGCATTTTGTTTATTACGCCAGGAGGATATCTCAAAATAAGCTTTGGAAAAAGAAATGAATAGGTATCTTTTGTGAAACGTAAATATGTAAAAGGATTGAAAATTAACGTCAAGCCTGTCCTGCAGCCTGTATGAGCGTAGGGAACCGACTGCGCTATTGCCATGGATTGTATAAAATCCTTGATGCTTCATCTATGAGCGTCATTGAGGAAGTGATAGATTGATCGCAGCCGCTCTGCCTGGCTGAGTCTAGGCATATATTTGAAAGCTCGTTTCCTAGTAGGAGCCTCCGATGGGGCGGGGTGCCAATACGCGTCTGTATTTAATTCCATTACAGTGGCCCCTGCATGGAATCAATAAGCTCCTTCAAAAACTGCTCAGGCAGTGCATCACTCTCGTACAACCTCACGGAGTCGATCATAAGAAAGTTACTCATCATCCGGATATTGTTCTCGAATCTAATCCTTCATCCAATTCCATACTGCTTCAATTGGATTGAGATCAGGTGAGAATGCTGGCCAATAAATTGAATATATCGCTCGAGAATGAAGCTCTTCGAGAGTCTCTTTACTAGTATTGCCAGCTGCCCCATCCTGCATAAATTGAAGCCAGGTATCCTCTCGTAATAAGCGAATATAGCCATCAATAATTGGTATAACCCGTTGAAAATATCTCTCAGAATTAATAGTTCCTTAGTCCTTCTCCTAGAATGTTGTGTATTAGAGTGTGTGCAATAAATAATACATGAAAATCCCTAGCTCCTACTTCTTGTTATTTGCCTATATTCCGTATTCATCATAGCGTAACCGAGCTCTAACAGTTATGAGCCTGGGATTGCTGTGAGATAGATATTCTGAAGCTATCCACAATCCTCTATATCCAAAGCTGGTTATCGAATTATATCAATCGAATCCAAACCTTTGGTAACAGTTCAAGCTCTATCTGAATCTGTTAACCATGGACGAGAAAAAGACGACTGTGATCCTAAAAACCTTGGACGATTGGAGAAAATGGATGGGATGATTAAGAACAAAGGTTACAAAGGAACGAGTTTGGGAATATGTGAATCCAAGCGCTATCAATACCGGGGACTTGGAGCCAGCATCAACAAAACCAATAGAGCCTGTCCAACCTCCTAAGCCAGATCTATCCAGCAATGGAAGATATTGCTATCAAGCAATTCAAGCTAATGAACTGGTAAGCTGACATGGCGGCTCATGATTCACAAAGACGGATTTACGAATACAATAAGACTCGATATGAGAAACATATAGAGCGAATGACAAATATCAAGAACTATATCCTTGATACAGTCGAACTTGGCCACCAGTCAGAAATCCGGCCAATGGAAGATATCCAAGAAATAATCCGAACGTGGAAGAAAATGTTTGCTCTCAACAAGTAACGAGAGAATGACCTGCTCCTAAGCCGAGAAAGAAACCTCCTCAATCTGAAGCGTACTCAAAGGCCGAAGGAATGGGCGAAGAAATGGAGAACTCTCTTGCTGGACATGAAGCTTGCCAATTTCTATGAATTGTCAGATACAAGATTTGCACGAGACTTCATCCAATTTACTGTGGAGATTGCGCCCAAGTTTCACGACATCTGGAGCATGAGAATCCTCGAATACGATATGGGGTCAGACACGGCAGGTCTAATGGAGAGTCCAGAGATTAGCGAGATCATAGGAACGTTCGACAAGTGGGTTGAAGCCAATAACAGACGTGATATTGCTTTGATTTCTCGTCTGTTTCTCTTTCTCTCTTTTTCATATATGTATTCTACTTTGCTATAATCTTATATTGAATTCACAGGCGGGACTAGCCCATAACATTAAGTCAAACAGGCGGGAAGTTACCATTCTAATCCACATGCTCACGCGCATAGGCTATTTCTATTGGCTGAACCCCTGCTAATCCCATGGAACTCCCATGGGATTCCCGGGGGATTCAGTCCCTCCTATCAATTCAGGGTCCAGACTACCCCCTGTAACGAATGCTCAAGCTTAACAAATCCTATTGAGAGGGTAGCGGTGTTGACGGAGAAAATTAAGCATGAGGATCTATCTAGCCAGGGGATATGGCCTGTCTTTATAGACCTTCATATCCCTACATGATGCATACACAACCCTGAGGGTCGGGTCGTGGCGAGGTCTACTTAAAACTAATACAACCAAGGTCCTAGTAGCAGTCAATATTAAGAATAAAGAGACAGGGAGGTAAGTATATGAAAACAACCTCACCTTTGATAAAGTTATTTTCTTGTTCCAGATGAGTCGGGATCTGGAGCGCCCGCGCATGAACAACATTGATTGCCAGCATGGTGTCTTCGGCTTTCACAACAAATCTATAGCAAACAGACAAGTATTAATTAGGGCCATTATTATATGTAAATGGAGAAGAAAGCGCGCACGAAATGTTTATCTCGCTTGCCCCTTGGCTGATCATGTAAATATTGATTTTTGCGGATGATAGTGCCGAAAATATCTCGTCTTGAAGTAGATCTGTGTCAGTTGACTGCCTTTCCTTCTGATTATTGCAACTCTTGCAGACAAGACTTACTTGCAGTGCCGACCATATTGCGCATCCTCTGGCCAATAACAGAGACAATATTCATGTTTTCCAATATCGTAACCTTTTTTTAACGATGAGTTATAATAGATCTGCTGTATAGAATAAGAATGGACAAGGACTAACAGATCCAAATTCTTGCAAATCCCTGGCGAGTTTATCGTTTGATGCCTGGATTGCAAGACTGACATTTCGCTCACTTGTGGTGACTAAATCCGGAACTATGCTATTCCGTTCAAGCTGCGAAAAGATGGAAGTCAAGAAACTTTGTGACTTGGCGGTCCGGCTATATGCGACATTGATCAGAGTGAGGCCTTCTTTGTTGGTAATAGCAGTTGGGCGTCGTCTGCTTTGAGGCTGCCCGTGGTATCCGTTGGAAAGCATAAAACTGACGCACTCCTGCGCTACTTCATTCACCTGGCAGTCTGTCTTGGGAGCGGATGGGTAGATCACAGTCCCGGACCCGCTGGGATTGAATACGTTTTTCAGTCGCAAGACAACCCCCGACTTATATAGTTGCTCCATGGTAAGGGGGTGGATCACCTGCATGAATGGACGGTGTAGTGTTAGAACCCAAGTCGTCATCCCGGCCAGATGTTTGGATATGATATTCTGCTCTCCGGACCTTCTTACCTCGCTGCCAAAAAAAGTCAGTTCTGCAGCCTCCTCTGCGGTAACGGTAGCCAGCACCCGCGCTGATGGCACTTTTCTGGGATCCGCGGTAAAGATTCCATCAACTTCTTTCCAAATCTGGTATTCTATAGCGTTCAGTCCTGCCGCACACATTGCGCCACAGAGGTCGGAATACCCCCGACCAACACACCGGAGGAGCGAGTTAGGCATGAGGCCGAAAAAACCTGGACCCATGTGCCATAGTGAGTTGATCATGTAATCACACTTCTATATGTATACTTTGATATGGTGTCCATACCAGTGATAATAGGCACCGCATCTGTAGATTCGGATACTATTGATCCAATCTTCTGCGAGAGCCGATGGTAGAATCCAGTTCCAAGGCGTTCGAATTCAGCTTCCTGGTCTGGCAGAGATGCGACAATGTTGTCCAGATTGATTACTCGAGCAGGAATTCCCTCCTATCGATAGACGTTAACAAGCAGGAACTTCCATCTTGGAATGGCACAGATACCTTGATGGTCAACGCAGCTGCCACGACATTACACGCCAATCTCTCTCCTAATGAGAGCACCCGATCTTTGGTACGTGGGGACAGATCTCCTACAACCTGGAGACATAATAATTCAGTACAAAACAAAAGGATCGCGACCGTTGTTATTTCAATAAAATGACATACCTGGGCTGCAAGAAGGAATTTCCGAGTTTCTTCGCAGTCGTTGACCACACTGACAGCAGTCTCATTGAGCAGCGAGTCGCCAATGTTGCTGGAATAGGCTCGAAATGAATGCAATTTATTCAGATGGGCATCACGGATGCTATCAATCGCCGCATCTATGCAGCCTATTGATTCCATACCGACCCCCTCTGCATATTGAAGACAGTCGAGCAGCAAACTTGTCGTGCCAGTGGCCTTGGTGGCCCCGGATAATGCAGAGCAGACTACGGCAACATTGTTCCTGTCAAGATATGATGGAATGATTGTCCCACACACCTTGTCCAGTAATTTCCCAAGGCTTGTACCGCCATATTTTTGGACAACCCACGGCTTTGGCGCAGTGCGAAAGTCCATTTTGATTCGCTAAATGCCAGGTTATCCGTAGATAGACTTATCTCTAGAAGAATAGAAACAAAAAGCCAATAACCGCCGAGCAAAGTTAGCTATCATATATTTGAAATAAATTTACATTCTCGGAAAGTTCATAAATGTCAATTATTGCGTACAAAATAAGTTTTTTTCCCTCTTAAGCCACGAAGGGTGACGGTGTTTGCAACTCTTATCTGCATCTTTTGCCTCGCCCGGCGGCAAAGACCGTCGATGGGCTTTGCATCAGGGGATTGTCATGGAAAGCCTCGGCCTTTGGGTTAAAGACTAACCGACAACAACAACAACAACCACCACCTGCTTTGGCAATCCCAAATTCTGGCGATATTCAATAGAATTATACGAGCCAGGGATGCTATATGTGGTGTCTGCTCCAAGAGGACGTTTTTCGTTCCTTAACCCAGAGAGGCCACAGGTTTTCAGTTGACCGACAAAAACACAACCGTAAACCGACAAAATCATGAACCACTCAATCAAGATGTCCCAATCCACTCCGTCGCAGCCCCCAGCATCGTAGTTGGAAGTCCAGTACAGCCTCAGCAAGACCTTTGCCAATCCAACGCCAATGTGAGTATCTCCACCGATGTGCTACGGAAACTTGTTAAGGCTCTGACAGTTATACAAGTGCCGTGCTCGGCCTTGCGATAAGCGTATCGACACTGGGATGTAATCATATGGGATGGAGGGGAGCTAATGGTGACGACGCGGTGTCGACGTCAGGTTGCCTCTTTTCGCAACTTTTTGTTTCTCCTTGGTGACTGCAGAACTGTGTCAACTAACTGATTATTGTCCGTAGGGGAGCTTATTTCTTCATGGGTCGGCTTCTTATGGTATTGCGTGGATTTCTAGAGTTTATTGCGGGAAACACATTTCCATTCGTTTTATTCTACGGTTATGGTGAGTGGTTAAATATATGTCCGGCTCATAAAAATCGCTTCAACGTGAACAGGCAGGAGGTGGTTGACCTTCGGTGCCACGCTTCAGCCCTTCTATGGAGCGTACAGAGCCTACTCGCCCGATCCCTCAAGCCCCTCAAAAGGTCTTAAAATGTCTGGATTCAATGCAAGCTTTGGTGGGAGCATCCCTGAATGGTTTCTCTCTTTCCTGTTTTCGATAAGAGAGGGAATGGGCCACCAACGTCCTTGTTGACGATTCTCTACCAGCATTCCTGCTCGTGTTCATCGGGATCTTCTCTCTCGTGTGTTTCTTGGCCTCATTGAAAGTACATATCGCGCTTGCTGTGGTGGAGTTGAATCTCACCATAGCCTTTGCGCTCCTGTCGGGGGCGTTTTGGGAGGTCGCTGAGGGAAACGCAAGTGTCGCGTCGAACCTCCAGACGGTAAGCACAATGACATTTGATTTGATCCACTTGACCGACCAAATTCAAATCTAATTATGTTTCCATCGATATTAGGCGGACGGTACCTTTCTTTTTATCGCGGGAATTGCGGCTTGGTATATTCTCTTCGCGCTCATCCTGGGCTCGGTGAGATTTCTCCTTGCACTCCCCGTGGCGACCTCAGCGGCTTCTTGACAAAGAAAGGAAAACCTAGCTCTGACGCTTTGACTTGAAAGAATGTGCTCCTGGGACACGAGATTTACAACCAAAGGAGATTATAGTTCCATAATTAAACTCGAAGATGGAGAGGTACCTATCGCACTGCCTGCGACGGGAAGAATGCTAAAAGCAGAAGACACTTACTACAATATCTTAATATCAGAAAAATTGAATCTTAATCTATAGCATACAATATGATATCTACCCAGTAGTGATGTTTTATAGTGTTAGGCTACCATAAGAAGGATAAAATGAAAACGTAGTCTCCCTCGGTATGAGAAGAGGAACCATCCCATCGGCCTTTTAGTATGAAAAGAATATCCTATCTCTTTTACCAAGTGCTCTTAGAAGTATTGATAGCTTCAGGCTCATACAAGTTTGATGGATTCGTTCTGCATATTATACCTCCAAAATGTCGGATTATCTTCCTCGTTCCATTGAACGACTAAATGATATGAGTCGCGTTTTGTAGCAACTTCCTATGCATTGTCCCGTCAAGTGTGTTGTAACTCTTGAATATTATTTTCAGTTTTTCCAGTTTCACGTTTGACCTAGAAACAAATCTTGAACTCTACTATACCAATTATATAATGTGCTTGATTGGTCAATGTCTCTGCTCGAGTGCCCGTTATACCAGGACGAGCGCGACTGCATGAGAAGCGCTCTTTCCGACCAAGGAACCACTCTCCGCCGGGATGAGATTCTGACCTGGCCAAAGGCTCGTGCAATTGTGACCGAATTCATGGTCAAATCCGGCCTCCTAACCTAGTTTCAGGCAGTAGATCCAACTGCTCCAGGTGTGGGAGAGAGTGATGAGAAAGACTGACCCTTCAGGACAGTGTGATGGAAGGAGAAGGACGGTGCTCAGTAGGAGTGCAGTGCCAGGTCCACTGTACTGCCTTGATTGAAGTGAGCACGCGAGTGGCAGCCGACAGTCTGGATGGCTGTACAGAAGTAGGTGTGAAGGAGATAATTACGAGGAAAGTGATCCTGGGTTGTGGGTTGTGGGAAGAATCAGGGATAACGCTCGTTTTGTATTTCCTACTTGTTTACGGTGATTGCATATGTTAGCATACATTCGAGAACTACCAATCAAGAGATCGCCCCGTGAGCCTCACGAAACAGTCATTCAGTGGGCTGGCAACCACTTTAAAGGCTGTCACAGGGCCGATAGCGTTCCCGCATAGCAGCATATATTAGGGAGGAGCTACATCGGGCAAATAAATTATTCATCATCATCATATATCCAGATTGAACCATGTTGCTTCAACCGTAGCATACGTAAATTTCCATAGTGATATACTGATGTTCACAGACATAGAAATTGATTTTCCCCCACACCAATACTCATACTCGTCACATGTATCCCTTGATTGCGGCGATTTCAGCATTCAGAATGGACGAACCCGCGGCACCGATGACCGTATTGTGTGAGAGGCAGACAAACCGGATATCGAAGTGGCCACCCTGCGCACCTTCACGAACACGGCCAACACTAACTGTGTAACCGTTGGATATATTGCGGTCCAGCCTCGGCTGTGGTCGATCGGGCTCATCGAAGACTATGATTGCATCCTCTGGGGCCGAGTGAGCACCTAGCCTCTGGGCCTCGGACTGGTACTCTCGCAACACATTCTTCACTTGTTCAGCAGATGGTGGTGGTCGGTTCTTGAAGCGTAGTGACACAAATGCCATGTGGCCGTCTGTGACCCCAACACGGGTGCAAGTAGCACCAACCCGTAGATCACTCTGCTCCTTGAAGGAGTTGGCTTCACTGTCTAGAGAACCGAGAATCTTCTGTGCCTCGTTCTCGAGCTTGTCTTCCTCACCACTGATAAACGGGATTACATTATCCATAATGTCCATAGAAGGGACTCCAGGGTAGCCAGATCCTGAGATAGCCTGTTCGGTAAAGACTTCGACTTCCTCAACCGGACCAAATTTGGATTGTAGAGCAGCGAACGGGATGACGATACCGATCACTGCGCAGTTTGAGTTACACACTATGAAACCTTTCTTTAAATTGAACTCCTTGCGCTGGTGTGGGATCATGTCCAGGTGCGACGGATTAATGGTTGGAACGACAAGCGGCACAAGTGGATGCTTGCGATAGTTCTTTGCATTCGAGAAAATCGGGATTTCAGCCCTGATAAATTCCATCTCTGGATAGTGATCAGTGAACAATCATATAAAACAAAAGAACAAGATGTAGGAAAACGCACCGATGTCACCGGCAACATCGCTGTCCAAACCGGAGAAGACTACATCACAATCACTAAACTCCATAGCTCTACAGGCTCGGACAACGAGTTCGCCCATATTTTTCGAAAGGGGAACCACTTGCTTCCATGCGACGGCGTCTTTGTACTTCTTGCCAGTCGAGCGAGATGAAGCTCCAACCTTGTGTAGGATAAGGAATGGGTGATCTGCAAGGAGAAGGAGGAATCGCTGACCCACGGAACCTGTCGCGCCGAGGACACCTGTGTATAGTCAGCGATAGTTCCAACGAGATTACCTCAGAGGTTCCAACCTACCGCACTTCTTCTTTGTGATTAGAAATGACATGGTGCGAATTGTGTCGGATTCCAGGCTACCTTTGGATAGAGAAAAGATACTCAAGTCCGTTGACTGAAAGTGCCAGACAGATATATAAACATTATCGGCCCAAAGCTGAGAACCTGTGTCCCAGTGATTTCCGGGAATTGGCTCATCGTGGGTGAGTCTATCAGACCATGATAGTTTGTAGATTTTTTTTCTTCTAAAAAATATCCTCGAGCCTGCTGTCTTGGCCAATGCTTCGTTCCCATGTCACAGCAACTGTGTTATGGACGATCTTACGTACCACAACTTTAGTTATCTTTCCTATCCACATCATGCAACACCCCGCGCCGCTGATAAGCAAATAGTCCGAAGATTGCAAATCCCGCATATCCCGGAAATGGATTATACAGGCCGGCCGACTGAACCCACAGTAGCTACGCTTTCATCTCTACATGTCTGTACTGAAACCAAAACGAGTGTCGGCTTAGTTACTCGTGTGAATCCCGATGGACAAAGAAAGCTCTGGGAAGCGAAAACCGAGTGGTGTTCGAAAGCGGACGATAGCGCCGCCGGTCAAGTTGGCCTGCTTGGCTTGGTAAGCTCTGTGTTTCTCAAGTGCTTGCCGATGTGCAGTATTGCTAGGAGGCTAACTTCCCAGTGAAGTAGGCGCTCGCGGACACGCTGCGATGGCAAAGAATTATGTACAAACGTATGTTCTTCTAGATGGCTAAGTAATCACAACTGATCGTTTTTTAGTGCCAGAGAAAGGGCCAAAAATGTGAATATACGCCCAGCAGACGTGGAGGTGCTCGGACAGGCAGCCGTTTCGCGCAGGACGGCAAACATAACAACGATAATAAACAGACCCAACCGTGTAAGTACTCTTATGGAAGATGGAAGTCAGGCAGCAGAATAGAGAGAGTCGGGTTTGGACCACGCAGCTAATAAATTAAAGTTCCAATCGAACAATACATTGAGCCGGGAGCTGGGCTTCGCAGCCTCGAAGATATTTGCCAGGACAGCGACTTTATCTTTGATAGCATCTTTCAGCATGAAGATGCTGTCATATCCGAGTCTCAACCATTTCGACTGGTGCCACCATTGGTGCGCTCATACCAGAGCAACGGTGACATGTAAGCCACCATGGGGCCATGAGTCCACCAAATATCTAACATTTCTCCTTAGACTAGACGCATATTACATCTACATCCATCCATATTTTCCAATTCTGCCTCCTCCAACTTCAGCGCCAACTGACCGACCCATTGCAGTTTCCGAAGATGATCAGAATTTGAATGAAGCCGATTACGAGCCTTCTTCGTCTCTCAGCCTCGGCATTTTGACCATATTATCGTTAATTCCTCATCCAGATGACCCGAATCCCTGTAGTGAGGACGCCGTTGTATTCCGCAGAAAGTATGCTGAGAGTTTGGCTCAGGCAGCCTTGGAAAGCGTCAACATTGAAACTGAAGTACCAGCCTCCTCGACATCGCCTGCACAGGTCCTTTCTGAAGGCTCAGATGCGTACCTGTGTGTGCCTTTTCACCCGCATGTTCCAGTCGAGTTAGAGAGCATAATCGCCCTCTCCATCTTGAGCGTATATGAATATGCACAGCGAGGGAACATCAAAAGAATGCGTCAACGAGCAGGACAGGCCCTCATGGCAGCTATGGATTTGTCTCTCCATCGTGAACCAGAAACCGAGGAACCCGACGAATTCACAGAAGCAAGGCGTCGGGCTTGGTGGATGACAGTAAGCTCTCATCTCCAACACGGGAATATATTCCGCAGCTAATCCAAATTTCCAGTGCATCTGTAATTGTCAGGGATCAGTTGTCAGCGTCACTGTAGGTCGATGGCCCTGTGCCACATCTTCTATTTGGTTTACGGCTAAGTGAAAACAATCAAGGAACCGACAATATCTATGGATGACCCGAGATTTACTACTCAATATCCTACTATTCGCGCAGACTCAAATGTGAGCATGGGCCCCGACGGACTTGCCTCTTGACCACGACTCTAGCTAACATCCCGAATACTAGGCATGGTCCTTCTTCATCGATGCTCAACGAGCGATCGTTTCCGCAACAGTGGCTGTAGTCGAACTAAATAAAGCTCTGAAAGATGGAACTGGCGTGCAGTCTAAGTTGGAACGCAATCTCGAGCTTGATAATGAGATAAAGTTGCTAGCTTCGAAAGCCGATACTTATCTGACTCCATATCCTCCAGCGGGCCTACTCGACCAGGGGGAGTCTGTAGTTGCGGAGAGTTTGATATTGATAGGACGCATCAAGGTGAACAGGTTAGTCGCCACACGTTTTTTTCTTGCGGCAGAGGTAATTTACATAACACCACGTTCAGCGCGAGGATCAAACTCCATCGATACAGAGCTTTCTTCGACGTCCCAATTTTCCATCAGAAACACTGTGACCTGACGCCGTCGCCTAGACATGGGGAGGACCCAGGATCAAAGAAATCTCCGACATGCTTATGCCCCACATCTACTGCTTCATCCATTCCACCTGCGGGTTCGTCTTTGCCAAATACATCGTCACCGATGTCAGATGTTAGCTCAGGCGTCAATGATCTTCTCAGACTTGGCAACCAGTTGTCGACCAAGATTTGTCTCAAATCTGCATTGAATATTTCTCAGTGCTTTGAACGACTCCCATATCCCAACACTTTTGGCTCATTTGATGCATTTCTGTCTCCGTCACCCCAAACTTCGGCATGGAAGATCATTCTGCCTCGCACCATGCCGTCCTTTGCATGCTGTGCAATGCAAAGTAGCTACTCAATGTTGATGGTCCGTCGCAAAGTGGAAATTATGCACCCCAAGAATACTATGGCCAACCCCATGGTCGACCAATTGCTTAGTCAATTGCAAGAGGGTCTAAAATCTGTCCTCGGAGCTCTCGAGAACTATTCCATCGCGTTCGAAGCGCTTGCAGGTATGAGAGGTATGTACAATAACCCACAACCCCCCAGGCACAGAGAACGTTATTTGACTGGGCTTTCAGATCAAATAAAAATGATGGTTGATTCTTCTAATTCACCTAATGAGATATGAAAAGCTAGAACCTGCGAAGTCGACGAGAATGGAATGAGGCAAGATAGGGAACGGGAGCAACTGCGGAATTTGTGCGATTGGAATGCGATTTTCTTCTTCCTATAATCCCTATATACCATCTTGTAATTACGAGTGTTTGCGAAGTTTTCAGATTATTTCAGTCTTGACTCTTCGAGGTGTCGTCTCTCTCCTCGTATGGGCGTTTCCCTTTCTTTCCTTTTCAGTAGTTCCTGGGTACTCTGTCAATCCCAGAATCGGTTTAACACCAAGTGGTGATCTGCATGTCCTATTTATCCAGCAAGTTTTCCTTTGGATCACCGAAGGCCGTCAGGGCCGTCGAGCAGATGTAGTGGAAACCCTTCCGAGGCATATCTTTGTGAGATAAGAAGTACCGTGATAGGGGTCTGATAACAAACCCCGTAGGGAGTTCGCTATATACATGATGTATCGTTAGGAACTTCCCGACCGTTGAGTTGATGGCGAATTGATTACTATTCACAAGTATAAGGGGCAACTCCTGCCGCCCTCTTTCGTTGAATTAGACGGAGTTACAAAAGACCGAGACCAATGTGGTCCTGTTAAGCGGTCGGTGTTTGCATATGTACAAAACTGGTGTTTGGGAAACACTAACTCCCTTCAGATAGATGCATGCTGCGGCAAACACCTATCAATGCTGAGATGTTGATTATAGAGTGACTTGACTGATTACGTAGGTACTTATACAGCAAGACATATCGATTGTCTCAAGTGCAGGTGCAAAGCGAACACATTCAACACCATTCAACAGCAATCGTTCTCGTGATAGTAGCTCGCTCCGTATTTATTCCAGCAAGAACCATTTCTAGCACAATGCCTGTCTCGGGATCTCTCAAGGACGTCACCAAGTATGCATTTTCTTTCCATCTCCTGATTTTTGAATCAGCGAGAAGTGGTTTCAAATCTGACGAATTTCATTTAGGGCACCTTCTTGGACGACGGTCTCGCTCCACGGTGGCCAGGAGCCGGACCCCGTTAACGGCTCCCGTGCCGTTCCACTATATCAAACCGCGGCATACAACTTTTCTGATGCTGCTGACGGCGCTAGCAAGTTTGCATGGTCCAAAGATGGATATGTGTATACCCGGATGGGTAATCCGACCAATTCGGTCTTCGAGACGAGAATGTCCATGTTAGAAGGCGGCGTTGGCGCTGTCGCCACTGCCTCTGGTCACGCTGCGCAGGTACGTTTCGGATTCCATAGGCTTTCCTTTCATTATTCTCCTATTTAGTCACCTAGGAGATTATCAAGCGACCAAAAAAGGAAAATTCAAAACTAATTGGTTATAGTTCATGGCTATCACCAATTGCTGCTCGCCCGGCCAGAACTTCGTTAGCACCAGCTGGCTGTATGGGGGAACCTACAACCAGTTTCGGGTCTACATGAAAAAGTTCAATATTGATGTTAAATGGGTACATGGCAACGATCCGGCTGAAGTTGACAAGGCAATTGATGAGAACACTCGGGCAGTGTACATCGAAACGATCTCCAATCCTAAGCACAGCGTGCCCGACATTGAGGCCATTGCTGCCGTTGCACACAAGCATGGTATCCCTTTGATTGTTGATAACACGTTTGGCATGGGCGGCTATCTGGCCCGACCACTTACATTGGGCGCGGACATTGTGACTCATAGTTGCACTAAATGGATCGGTGGACATGGAACCAGCATGGGTGGCATTGTCATTGACGGCGGCCACTTTGACTGGTCTGCATCTGGCAAATTTCCCGGCTTCACAGAGCCCGCAGATGGCTACCACGGCCTTCGCTTTTGGGAAACGTATGGCTACAAAGCCCTGGCTGCCAAGCTCCGAATGGACAGCATGCGCGATCTGGGTCCTTGTATGAGCCCATTTAATGCGTGGCTGTTCCTGCAGGGTCTGGAAACACTCAGCCTGCGTGGAAAACGCCATTGCGAAACCACACTAGCTTTAGCAGAGTGGCTTGAAGCTCACCCTTCCATCAACTGGGTCCTCTACCCAGGTCTGAAGTCACACCCAGATTACGAGCATGTGAGGAAGATCATGCCTAACGGTGCTGGCGGCGTCCTTACTTTCGGCGTGGTGAGTTGAATTTATCTCCTTTTCAATCGCCCTTCCCGTAGGCACTTGAATCCTGGAGCTAACTAAATAATTTGACAGGCTGGAAGTGTCGAAGAAGTCCGAGCAGTCGTCAACAATCTTAAACTATGCAGTCATTTGGCTAACGTTGGCGATGCTAAAACACTCATTATCCACCCATGGGTCACCACGCACCAACAGCTGCCCGACGAGGAAAAGATCAAGGGTGGAGTCACCCCGGATTTGATCCGTCTTAGCGTCGGCCTCGAGGATTTCGAGGATATCAAGCATGACTTCGAGCAAGCATTCATTGCGGCAGGACTGAAGCCAGCTACGAAGAATGGTGATCCGTTTGCCAAGGCCCTGGCCTTGGTTAAGGATGGGTTCATGAAGGACCTCGGCACTGGGGCGCCCAAACCGATTGGATCTTGAAGATTCTTAACTTTTTCCTTTATACTTTACAAGCATTTCTTCTAGTTACTATTTACGTTTGTAATCACATTCTCCACATGATACTAGATGCCCTATATTCGTACAGTAGTCTATACGTACCAGTTATTGTTTACTGAGAACGGGAAATTCTCGACTCACTTGACTTCGATCTGCTTTAACTTTCTAATTGTCATTACCTCTTATTTTTACTTGTGAGCATTTGGGAGTACCATTAACTGCTTGGGATTTCAATCACTTATGATATATAAAAAATCAAAAATGCAAGGCCCCCATGCCATCTGTGCTCCATCTAGACAGCCCCTTATACCTCTTCAAATGCTACATTTACCCCGGGCTTTTTGCTCACGGTCAATGTGCTAGAAAAGAAGTCATCAGTTTCTCATCACGAAGTCCACCAAAAGTAGATAGGCTGTTTCCTTACAAGATATCCGGCCGCGAGTAGCTACCAACGGGGTCAAAGTCCAACTACAGAAATCGAATTGCGGTTAGTCCACAGCACAATTTCGAACATCTTGGCATTGAAGCTCACCCGAGCCTCTATAATATCAGACATTTTCAACGTTGCGAGGATTATTTCCTCTTTGTCCCACACCGGTTCCGAAATAAAGGTACCAAGAGGCCCGACCACACAAGAACCGCCATGGCTCAGGACGTCTTCTGCCTCCCACCGAGACCCGTCGGGCTTGCGGTCGTGGTGTTCCGGCGTAAATGGAGGGTAGTCAGAAGGAAAATCAGATACCTTATGGGGACAATTTCTATTAGCGAGCGACCTTTCTTAAAAAGGGATATAAGGAGAATGCAAAAAGAAAGTTTACCTTGCAAAATTGATTTACTGATATAACAAAGCATCGCCCTTCTTTCGCAGTATGTTGCATTGTTGCGATCCAACTCGGCAAATCATCGGCGTTTGGTGCAATGTAAATCCTGATGGTTGAATTAGGTTCAAGGACATCGCGATGTCAAGTGAGAGTTAAAATGAGGAGAAGGAGGCCTAACTCGATCCCTTGTTGATATAATGCCAGACGTGCAGCAGGCATATAATTCTCCCAGCTAAATGTATGATTAGAAGGAACCATATAATCATCTAGAATAGAGAAGTGGCGTTGTTACCAGATAAGCCCTCCGACTTTGCCAATATCAAGGTTCACGACGTCCAACCCATCACCGGCGCCTCTACCCCAAACCAACCGCTCAGCTGCCGTTGGGATCAACTTATATAATCAATCAATCATTCTGCTGAAAATAATAGACAGCAAATACGGAGTAATTATTGTATACCTTGCGATGTCGGGATAAGACGGCACCATCGCGACCCAAAAGCAACGCTGTGCAGTAGAGAGTTCCGCCATCCTTCTCTATGATTCCCACTTGAAGGTGTACGTTGTTATCCCTGGCTATCTCACATAGTCGACTCAGTTCTGGTGAAGGAATAGCAACAGCTGAATCGTAGTATCGAGCGTACCACTTGCGGCCTGCTTTCTGTATCAGGAAAACATTTCATGATGGAAGACAGAGACCATACGAACCTCGAGGCTCTCGCGTGCCGATTGTTGCGTCAAAGGCATACCGCCATGGATATGCAGACAGGAACCCCTCCCTAGACTCCCATTAGCTGCCATACTTCGTAGGCTACGAGAGGACGAAACACACGGGAAAACGACGAGGTCAGCACCTGCGGCTGCAGCCTGCGAGGTGAACTCAGCCACTTTTCCTAGGCTCTTTGGCAGATCAAATGACACAGGAGCAGCTTGGATGGCTGCAACCACGACACTACTGGATAACTGAGGCATCCTTGTTTTTTTTTTTTTTTTCCAGAGTCGATGTCGACTGTAGAGAGACGGCACCGATGTCCTGTGGGATTTAAAAGAAAGGTAGAACACTAAAGGCAGCTATTCTGCGCTATTTCAGTCAACGTCAGCCCTCAAAAAGACCAAAAAAAAAAAAGGAAAAAGAAACTTGAGATTGCCGGAGGCCCAAGTAAAGGTGCAAGTAGTTTGAAATCCACTCCGCGGTGATACTGATAGCGAGTTCTGCGGCATCATGGAGGTTTACTTAGGGTTAAGGTTGGGTATCCCGAGCCAAAATTAAACACCGATGCCGGGCTTTGCAAGACAAACCAGCAAACACCGAGGGCTCTCCCGGTATTAGGTATCACATTGTTTCAGTCTATACCTATGGCCGACAATGGCAATTTTCGTACCTGCACAATGCGAAAATCAAGCATAAAAATATGCGCCGGAAGACGTGCTCTACAGCTCACGCAATCAATACACTTCTCGCAGTGCTCCTAGAAGCCAAACAGCTATTATGACAATCGGTAATTTCTTAGATCTCCCTACATGTACCATTGGCTATTATACACGGGACTAATACGAGCTTACTAGCACTTGATTACAAACCAGCGCAGCCCAATCTTTTTGCAGACCACATATCTGGTCAGCGTATTGCGCTGATCCCGTCTCTAATACTTGAATCTGGGCACGAACTTAAGTCGTGCCAAGTGGCCTATAAAACTTGGGGCCAGCTCAATGCTACGCGGGACAATGTGCTGATCGTCTGTCATGCACTCTCCGGGAGCAGTGATGTTGCTGATTGGTGGGCGCCTCTCATGGGCCCAGGAAAAGCCCTGGACTATACGCGGTTTTTTATCTTCTGCGGAAATGCACTCGGATCGCCCTACGGAAGTTCATCGCCCTTAACAGCAAATGCTGAGACTGGACGACCCTACGGCCCTGAATTCCCACCCACCAGTATCAGGGATGATGTGATGTGCGTAATAAACTTTTTGTCCCTTGGTCTATGAGGCTCTCCCCGCTAACGTAGCTGTGGAAGAGCACACAAGTTAGTCCTTGATGCACTGGGCGTTTTATCCGTTGCTGCCGTAATTGGAGGATCCATGGGAGGCATGACAACGATCGAGTGGCCCCTCTGTACGCCGCCCGGGTTCGTGAAGGCTGTTATCCCTATTGCAACCTCGATTGCTCAGAGCGCTTGGGGAATTTCATGGTCTGAGGTCCAGAGGCGCTGTATTCTTTCGGATCCTTTGTTCCGTGACGGTTACTACGAGCTGAACCAGCAGCCGACATCTGGCCTTGCGACAGCGCGCATGGTGGCCATGTTAACCTACCGTTCAGGTGAGAGCTTCGAGAAGCGGTTCGGCAGGAAACCATCCAGCCAGCGCAAGCACTTCATACCACCTACAGTGGAACCAGCATGTAACGGTTCATCAACTCATCCATCAGTAAATTTACCAGCGCCGCCCTCGAAGACCCCTATGAGGCAATTTTCTGCTCAGGATTATCTTGATTACCAGGGAGCGAAGTTTCTGCGTCGGTTTGATGCGAACTGTTATCTCCACTTGACTCATAAAATGGACATGCACGATGTTCGGCGTGGTCGTGTGCCCGAGGGTTGTCATTCCAATTTGAACGGCGAGGGCAGCCCTCCCGACAACATCACAGCTGCCGTACTCTCGCGTGTACCGTCGCATGCCTTAGTCGTTGGCATCGAGTCTGATGTTCTCTTTCTCCCTACCCAACAACATGACCTAGCCACTTCCCTTCCGGATGCCAAACTGGTCATGCTCAAGTCGCCAGATGGACACGATGCGTTTCTGCTCGAGTTCGAAAGATTGAATCATTTGATTATTGACCGGCTGAAATCGCAGTTCCCAACCATGTACGAAGGATTCGTGGAGAGGGTAGCAAACGTTGACATGTCCACTTTGACGAATGGGACCAGCGTGGGTGAGATGGACTGATGAAAATGGTCCATGCTTCAAATGCTATGTGTAGATTGTTGGCATAATATTGGAATAATTCTCGTACTAGCACCAACTATGATAGGCTAGACTAACTAAAGAAAAGCACGAAGTAGGAATTTTTAGGTATTTATTAACATTCTTTAATATATAGTTGTATCATGGCTCCGATGAGGACAGGCCCGTACTGGTTCAGAATATACCCCAGATTGAAACCGTTCCAGCGACCCACGTTATTGATATTAATAGCGGCATATCTCCCGCTTGTGATTAGAGCTCCGAAATGAATAAATGATCATGATTATTGACCTTATTCATATTCATGAATATTTCCGGGTGAACTATTTTTCCGCGCCGGCAAACACCCGTGCCCTAAATCGAAGCATATCAACCGCCACAGAATCAGAACGTCCTGCGGAGAGCTACCCGCCAAGCGACAAGACAAGATTTTGGATTTTCGACAAGCCATTTTGACAGTCGGTTCGACGACCAGCCGGGGATGGCGGACGCGATGGTGGAAGAGCCGGCGGCGACATCGCGTGCGGGACGCGTGATAACACCGTCAGCATGGGCCCAAGAGGCCTCGGGCAGCGACATTATCAGCGCCGTTAGAACGTCCAAGAAATCTATAACTCAAGGGGAATTAACAGCGGTAAAGAAAGCCGCTAGCCTTATTGAGGAGAAACAGAGCGGCAAAGACGGAAACAGGGACATGCTTAAAAAGATAGCCCAGTACCTGGAAAACACCTATTAAGAGATCAAAGGACTAAAAGAAGTTATTATTGAACAAGGAAAAATAATTAAGGAGCAGTCTGAAATAATTTGAGAATAGAGCAGTACAATTCAAGCGCTGCAGACCCAAGTAGAAGCAATTGAAAGCCAATCTATAGAAGAATGCAAGCAACTCTGGGAGCAGCTAGACACTATCGCGAATACTCTAGCCAAGGCAATATACGCGACTATAATTGATAGACAATCTAGACATCAACAAGATACACCACTAGTCCCCCTAGCCCCTCCTACATTAGCTAATACGCTATTCTGCACCATCGACACGTCCCGCGTTGGAGAAGAAGACAAAGCTAAAGTCTAGATAGCTAATATTAGACAACAGATCGAGAAGAAGCTGCGAGAGAGTGAGGAAACAAGGAATTGGCATTACGCAGCAATAATCAAGGACCCGAAGAATGTAGACCGAGTCAAAGTGATTTGCAGGCATGAAGATAAGATCTAGCAGGTTAAAGAAGCTGCACAAAAGATTGATATACTAGGAATAAGAGTCCTATGAGACCAGCTATATCCGGTTAAAATCGACAATGCCAACCGGACGGCCATCCTGGATGCGGATGGGAACATTCTACTAGGGGCAGCCAAGGCCTTGGGAAAGGAGAATAATGTTAACATTGCTAAGATCTCCTAGCTTAGCAAGAAGGACTCTAACAAAGTATACGGATCTATGGTAGCATATATCACAAAAAAGATGGACGCCAAACGTTTAATAGATGGCAACTACTTTGATATAGCAGGAGAATCCGCGTACACTTGAATCTTTGAACCACTGATAGGACCAGTTTAATACTTCAACTGTCAGGAGATGGAGTATAAGGCCTATTCTTGTAAAAAGACTTAGACCTGCGCTAAATATGCAAATAAGGGACATCATCACAGCACCTGCCGGGCTGCAATTCCAAAATGTGTTCCATGTGGAGGACCACACAAGTTATTTAGCAAAAACTGTCGAGTATGCCTCATGCAGTCTCATGTATAAATTACTTCGCGTACTACAACTTAATGTGGGCAAAAGAGACACGATACAGCAAAGCTTGATGAACAACAACAAAATTAGAGATTATAGAGTAATAGTAATATCCAAGCCATACGCACAGATAATTGAGAATACGATAATGACAAGCCCAATGGGACACAGCCACTAGACAAAGATGATATCTACAGAAAGATATAAAGGAAGATGGCCAATCTAGAGCATGCTATGGATTCAGAGCGACATTAAGGCAGAACAGATCCCGGTGGCATCACCAGATCTAATGGCCGCGATACTACAACTGCCAGACCAGGCAGTGTTAGTGGTCTCGGTCTATGTGGAGGGAAATAATAAGGAAGTATTAATATCTACAACTAGGCTATTAAATGGCCTAGTAGTAGATATCCGTGACAGAGATGGAATACGAATAGACATTTTAATTATAAAAGACTTCAACCAGCACGATTAACTCTGGGGTGGAGATCAAATATCCCCAGCGAGACAAGGGGAGGCAGAAGTATTAGTTGATTATATAACTAAGCATTCTCTCCAAAGTCTCCTACTAAGAGGCACAAAAACATGGCATTCAGGGGATATAGAAATAACAATCGACTTAGTCTTAGCATCAACAGAGTTGGCAGAAGAGACAGTTAGATGTGAGATACATTATACAAACTATGGATCAGACCATCAAGCTATTAAAATAGAGTTTGATATATCAGTTCCAGATCGACCCGCTACCAAGAGACTGCTCTAGAAGAATATGCCTTAGGCAGAAATTAGAGCGAGAGTCACCACCAGCTTACAGGCATTTCCTGTGGATAGCTCAGTCCAGCAGCAGACAGATCACCTCATAATAGCGGTCACAGAAGCGGTCTCAAAACTTACACCAAAGGCAAAACCCTTACTATACGCTAAACAATGATAGACAATAGATCTGACGCAGCTTCGCCATATATATACCTACTAGAGAAATCAGGCCAGGTCGCGGCGTAGAGCAGGACGTGCAATCCCCGAGCTCAAACAACAGCACGTGAAGCGGTAAAAGAATATCATGATGCAATTAGGAAACAGAAGAAGGCATACTAGGAGGATTTCCTTGCTGATAATGCTAATATATGGTAGGCAACTAAATATCTAAAACTCAGTGGTAACTCATTCAGTGACAAGATTCCATCATTGGTGAAGGGGGATGGATCTACTACCAAAGATAAAGTAGAATAGGCAGAAGAGCTGCTTGCGATATTCTTTTCACTGTTACCAACAAGAATTGAAGATGAGGGATCCTAGCAACAAAGAGAGCCGATACACATGCCTAATCTCACTATAGAGGAGATCGAACAGAAAATCTTTGAAGCTAAGCTATGGAAAGCACCCGGAGAGGATGGCCTCCCAGTAATGGTGTGGAGGCAGCTCTAGCCGGTGGTTAAAGAAAGAGTATTCTATATCTTTCAGAGATCACTTCAAGATAGCGATCTCCCTTCCCAATGGAGAAATGCTAAGATCATACCGCTAAAGAAGCCAGCAAAGGACAACTGCTTACTAGCTAAGTCATAGAGACCTATATCACTGCTCTCTACACTAGGCAAGATCCTGGAAGTGGTTATTGCAGAAAGGATATTATATGCCATTGAAACATTCAGTCTATTGCCTACAAACCACTTTGGAGCAAGGAAAAGGCACTCGGCAGAACAAGCACTGTTACTACTTCAGGAAGAAATCTACAAGGCCTGGAGAAATAGGAAGGTACTTAGCTTGGTCAGTTTCAATGTCCAAGGGGCATATAATGGGGTCTTTAAAGAAAGACTGCTGCAGAGACTGAAGGCAAGGGGAATAGTATGTCACGAGAAGGTTGTTGGCTGCGCTTCAAACCCATGCAAATGCTCGACGCTACGATCAGGCACAGAAAATCAAGGCCAAATTTACCAAGTTCATGCAAGACAAGGGATTCCCGGTAGCATTGACAGAGCCGATCGAAAGACCACCAATCCCGAGTTATCAACAGGTTGAGATCGATCAGACTATTAGCGACAACCAGGGAAGGGCTGGTTTTAACACTGAGCTCGAGCAGACAGTGAGGGACTTTGTGAAAACTGAGAATAGCGCTGGATTTTCGAAAAAGCATGTAGAGACTATCGAGAAAGCGCTGAATGTGTACAACAATCTCGCCGAGGCCTGCAAAGCAGCATGATAGAACGCTGGTGTATCGCATATAGCAAATCACACACTTGAAAGTCATACAAAAATGCATTTACTTCAAGCCTCGAATCTCCACCAACCAGCTTTAAAGTCCTCACGAAGTCGACCCTCTATATAACACTCATTAGTACAATAATGCACCATTATGTGCGGCCGGAGTATGGGCATTTTCTCCTTTGCTTGCTTGACCCATGGATGGCTTTCATTAGGCGAATAGTCACGCATTCGGACCCAATCGCGCTCATACAGTGGAGGTACCCAAAGAGATGCCATATCCAGTCCAACAATATTATCACTTAGTGCATGCTTCCACATAGTTGAAAAAAGGAGCCATTCCGCCTTTCTTTTCCAGACTTGCACAGCTTCCTGAAATCGAGGACTCAGGAGTACTTCAAACATCTTTTGAACTTTTGGTTCCTTGTCGTACAACATGTGTTCCTTGCATATTGCTTCATATTTTCTCAACCGAACCTCATCACCAACGTCAATCAGCTGTATAGGCGCATCGCCTAACAAGCCAAAGATGCCTGATTTTACAGCCGATTCCTTGGTGATGTGTAGAGAAATGGCTGCCATGATAACGTCAATGCTGAGTTGATATCCTGGCCAATACGCAGTATGGTTTATGATTTCGGATAATGCAAAACTTTCATGCTCTCGATATTTGGTGATTGGACTCTTCGGTATAAAATCATCCCATTCATCATAGCTGTCTCGCAGCGTATTTAAGTTGAATCGGTAAATCGCATCTGCCACCATAGAGCGTTCCTTGGTAGGAAGCTTGAGTTCATGAGCCTGGTATAGAAACATGTAGACCCAACTACTACCATCGTCGTGTTCGAATCGATACCAATAATCGCCACGCTCCGGGGTCCAATTGAGATGCAGCACATCGCGCCGGCGTTGGAACCAGAATGACTTGATGACATTCCAATTGTTTTCATCTCGTAACCAGCATCCCTGTTCCAGTGCAACCTGACGAGATTCAGTGCTGACGAATGCTATGACTGGCTGTCTGGTGTTTTCAATCGTGACGCTTTCGACATCGCAGATTTGTTGTTCGGGTTTTCTCCCGTCAAAAAAGACATCGCAAGGATCTACTTGTGCCACACGATAGGGTAGGCAGTGCTCCCAGATCATACGACGTAGTTCTGGTGGCAATTGTGGAAAACAATGAAATGTCTCGTTGGCCATTTTATAGATGAGTTGGTAACTGACGAGGGAGAAAGATCGGGTTTGTTCATAAATAGTGGATTTTTTACAAGTAGAATGTACCTTTAGGTGCCGGAACTACCAAAAATGGTGGTTCTGGGACCCCTGTTCGCGTAGCGACGGCACCGCTTAGGCACCGCTCACTTTACCCAAATTGGAGGTTCCCACTCGCCGCTTTAGCAGTGTCTTCAAGGCGTCCGACTTGCACCAACTTTATCTAGTACATGACTAGGATCCAGCTTTGGCTACCCATGCGTGTTTAGCGCTCTTCGTAGACTTAAATAGGACAATCATCCTCGTGTCTCTCAAGTCTCAGTGTTCCACGCCATGATTGATTTCAACAGGCGTCAGCTTGTATCTTGTGACTCCTTTCTTAACACATCGCACAATGCATAGGTCTCCGGCAGCCCAAAACTCTCGCTACGTTGACCAAGGAACAGAAAATGCAGACTCGTGCAAGTCTCTCAGCGAACCTCAGCGGCAGAGTACTAAACCCAGTGCCTTACCTAAGCACTACAAGCTGCAAAATTCTCATCACAGAGGCTTACCCAAAACTCAAACACAAGCTCAAAGAAGAGAGAATGGTAGAAAACCGCCCAGTTTCTTTATCAAACGCCGTAAGCAGCACGCTGCAGCAGGGCCAACTCCTCCCAATGATGCGGATAATACCAAGGTGTCGAAGAAGTCTGTTCAAGGGAAGTGGGATAGGTACTGTAATCCCTTTTTTTAAGCGTTGCTCTAGCTGGGCCTAACAAAAATGCCTAGGTTCTGTCTTGATGAGTTACGAGAGGATCCTGAAGCAGTGATGCAGAACTTAGGACCGGCTGAGATCAAGACATTCTTTGACTGGATTGGAAAAAACTTCAGAGGTTCTGTGAAAGCGGATTCCTCCTTTAGTAACTACTGGAGGGTTTTAAAAGGTTTATATTACGAAAAGACTTTCAAAACACTGGATGAAGCTACAATCAAGGACTGTATTAATGTGATTTTGATCCATCTTTGGGTGCTGTTAAGCTATTGCTAATAAATCTTGTAGTACAGGAGAGAAGTCTTCAAGAGAATGGGCCTCCGAAGGCTACCAAAACCAAAGCCGGTATCACGAAATGATGATCTACTTCACTTCCTTGTTGTTCACTTGGTCTGGGATGACTCCGTATTCCCAGATGAAGCACAGCGATTCTATCTCTTTGTCGGCCTGAATTTGTCTAGCGTGACAAGCTGTCGCGCAGTTTCCCTCTTCGACACTCGAAAGGATACGATACTGACGACTGCGAGTCCTCAGGAACAGAAGAAGGTTCAGATTGTGGGAAAAGCGAGCCTCTGACTGAAGACCATTCAATCGATGATGCGGCCTCCAAATTCGACAATTATGACACCCTGGCGGAACGTGATCCGCATGTTCTTCATGAGGAGGCAGTGATTGCAGCCCATAGAGTGGTTGAGTGGGAGCGTACTAACTCCAGTGCCAATTGGGAAGACATAAAGTTGAGTGAAGTCGACACAATGTGTGACACACTCTGCGACGATGTTGACATGGATGTCGATTACGAATCTGATATATCAAGTGTCACTGATGATGGTTATCTTGGTGGCGATGACGAAACTAGGACTATTCTCTGGAGACATATCAGTTTTCGCATTGTGCGCAATCCACAGCAGGGGATGCCTAACCTCCTCATCGCGATAGTTTCCCTTGTTAATACCAAGGGCCAGGATAGGAAACCAAGAGTGTAAGTCAACGTCATCTAACTATTTGATCGATTTCTGATCCACTATAGCAAGCGGTTTGTGATTCAACATGAAGATAATCCTTTATTCGACCTATTAGGCCAATTGGTAGCGATGGCCTTTCATGACGAAGTTTTTGTCGCCGAGTTCAAAGATATAGAAGAAAGTCTATTTGCAGAACATTCCCAGCCACAGAAGGGGCCTAGAACTAAAAATCAAACGTGACAAATTGGATACTCCAATTTTTCGCGAACCTGAGCGGTCAGATTGCGGATACCGAAGCCGCAAAGTATCCCGTTCTGTATCTAGAGCTGCCTGAAGCCCCTGTGAACCCACCGAAAATCACAACACCTGCAAAAGACCCACCTGTAAATGACCCACCTGTAGTTGCCAAAGGATATTTTGCAAAGATGTGGGGATTCGATCCAACGATTTCTACTACCAGGGAAGCCAACTTCGCAGAGGGCTTCTCAGCAAGCGGGAATCAGATCATGCGGTATAAAGCTTTCTTTACTCCGAGCGAGAAGAAACAGAAAGAAGGTAAAAAACCAACGTACCAGGTCCTGACCTTTCAAGAACCGAAAGATGGCATGCCTGCACAGTGGAGACTTGAATCGGGAAGTGATGTTGGGGAAGATGCTGTGGAAGCATACGTGAAGAATTCAAATGCATTGAAAATGAATGAATACTATGGTGAGAAAGTCATGCAGATTAAATATTCCAAGGAATTCTTTGCAAAATACCATACGGAGTTCCTGTATGCTCTTCGAAAGTCTGACCGGACCAAGAGTGGCAGAACCATGCCTCCTGAATATTGCATCCTGGGGTTCAACTACAACGGGAAGCAATGGTGGGATCTGTTCTCTCGGTCAGCCTATGGCAATTTTTGGGGCCATAAAAGAGCAGGTATTCGTATTGACCAGTGGTGGACCGAACGTGGAGAGGAACCATCCTATCGACTAGAACTAGAGGGTGGTCCGAAGAGCTCAAGCGTCCCAATGAGCGGATATTGTCGACAAATAAGCTGCGCTCCGACTTACGAAAAGAGATTCTAAAGGAGGTGGATACAAAATTGGATACGATGAAAACAGACATCCAAGAATCTCTCGATAACCAGACTAACGCAATTTCAACCTCGCCCGATTGGTAGGGACTTGACACGACGAGTAGGAGTATCACCAATACCGACATGATTTATCAACAGTCAATAGGATTAGGCAGGACTGGTTCGAATTTCACTCCTTAGATAGCTTAGATAGGAATAATTCCAGTGACTTTTCCACAAAGTGAACTATCAACGATAGTCACCCATAGCTAGTAATCAACCCTCATTGGTCAATGTATAAGATCGCGCTACTGGGAAAGCTAATTTATGAGCCGCACTCTATTTTACTTTCCTCGATGGCTCCGTTCGCAGGATCCATATTTGAGCTAACATATGTGAGAAATATATTGAATATGAAGGTCAATTCCGTAGCCATGTTCTGAGTCAGTCAATCAACTCGTGAGTGGTATATGATCACTTCAGTCCTAATTTGGCTCTGCCAGAAGTCCATTTTGGCTTACGTGTAATACTGCGAACCAAAATCGGATCCAGGGATGCTACTATTTATTACTCAATTACTCCGCCCTCTGTTTCATGGCGCCGTCAAAGTCTGTCATTGTTCAGCGAAAGCTAGCTAGTTACAATGACTCGCAGAATTACAAAAGAGCAAAGGCTTAGAAAAAGACATGTGCGACAGCGAAATGAACGGAGAATCAGTTTGATGCATAAGGCTTACAAATATGGTACCATTTGCCACGCAGACATCTTTTTGGGTATCAGACTTAAAGAGAACGGCCATGTGTTCACATTCCAGTCTGACAGATTGGGCTTTTGGTCGCCGATGACCACACATCTTGTAAGTAATGGGTAATAACGTGAGGAATCTAACATTATTAACGCTTGCAGAAATCCTACTTTCCTGTACCGTTTTGCATGACATCCGACGATTTTGAAAAGCCAACAGAGCTAGTACAGACCAAGCCCAATCATCTTGAGATGGAACTCTCAAGGCATTCGCTTTTCTCACCAGTCGAATAGTAGGTCGCTTAATAATATGAAGGCGATAACGACGACTCGTACAGGTGGATAGATAGGACTCAGTAGGAGAACAATGTTCTATATCCAGTTTTCCCAGCAAATATTAGATGCATTATATCATCCTCAAACCCCCATAAATATGTACATGATACAATAAGGAAGAGAAGGCATGATGATTGTGAACTAGCTAAAGAACGGGAAAGTGCTGGTGCTCGCCTTCAGGACCGTCTCGGTCTTCGACCACGACTTCAAGCTGTACATAGCACTGGGATGATCATGCGAAAGCAATAAATGCAAGTTCTCATAGATGAGGAGCATGAGTTATCTCTCGCAGCTCCTATTAGCACGCTTCCTCAACCGTTCGCTTCTTCTTGGCGGGTTGACAAGCTGCGATTGATTCCCGTGTCTTCTGTTGTGTAGCAATATGCTCCTTCTATTTGGATTCCTACTGGACTTTTGTTGACCATCTGATTGTCTCTTGACTTTGCATCGTCTGGATGAATGAGTAGCCTGGTGCGCTACAATTTGCCTATCAGAAATATCATGTTGTTTATTTCTCGACTTCCGAACCTTGTTTGATCAATTTAGATTGTGTAGATTCTTGTGTGGATCCAGTGTAGTTTGCTGACGAATTCGAGACGATTTCCTGAGTATTTTCGGACTTTCGCCTCTGGCTGCAGTAGCATAGCTACATGGTACATCGTCTAACTTAGAAGATAGTTCGCCATTAGTGTGATTGGGGTTAGTACGCTTGCTTCTTTTCTGTCCTTGCGATAGGGGTAGCCAGAGTCGACCCCAACTAGGCCGTCTATTAAAAAAACTAGAGATTCAATACAGTACTATACTTGGAAAAAGACTCGTCCAGGGGACATACATAGCGCAAACTGATGTTCCCAAATTTTCTGAACACATTGGCGTCGACCTTCGTGATGTGATACGCCGCGCAGAAATCTGGAAGAACACGACAAGCGCTTCAGCTGATAGCAACCACCAGGGAGAATGCTTCTCACAGGATATTGAAACCCAGAGAAACACAACAAGCGATTCAGCTAATATCCATCACCAGGGAAAAGGTCTCTCACGAGAGATCGAAACCTGGAAAACCGGGTCAAACGCTTTAGATACTTCTGATATCCAGGAAGAAAGTCTCTCGCAAGAGCTTCGTGACAACACTTCGTCTTCCCACACAATGGGGGGTTGTTGAAAGTCAGGATGTCCGATGACCCACAGAAAGTAACCGACTATGGAATCTCAATGTTTCATCAGCTTCATTGCTTGGTACTCCTTCGTGAAATCATACTTCTCAACAGTTCATCGGAACACGCAGAACATGATCCCAGAATGGCTCGTGTACATTGGGCACATTGCTTCGATTATCTTGCTCAGGTAGGCTGCGCTCAAATTTGCAGACAGAACCAAGATGTATGTGACCAAGCTTTGTCACTATTATGGGCATCCAGGCCATCCTCTGCGCCGCAGATGATACTCTCGAACCTCCACAAACAGTATTGAATGGGCAGGGTCAGAAGATTCAAATAATTGATGGGGTCGGGCATATCGCTCATCAATGCCGTGATCCTGCTCCATTATGGCGTGCAGTGAAGCAGGGTAGTGCCCGTCCGTACGATGAGGCTATCCTCGGCCATAGCGTCGGGGCTAGTGGCCTTCTGACAAGTACCGAATATTATCAAATACCTGAGTTATATAGGGCCGGATAGATTCATCTGAAGTGGATTATTCTGAGCACCAATTTGTTATATTGGCGGCTTTTACTTGACTCTTTGCTACTTGCAATATTTTTGTTCTAAGCATTAGAAAATCTGATATGGGTTTTTTCTCCTCTTTAATTTTGCCCTCTATATATGGATACTTCATCTATTTATTTACATACCTAGTAAACGTTACTCAGTGTTTTGCCCAGGAAATCCTCCAATGTGTCTCTACTATATAAGCCACTATTACTTACCAAGAAATTAACGACCAATTCTGTGTGAAACTACTATATAAGAAAAACTAACGGAATCGAGAAGCTGCTTGCACCAAAGGCGATGCTCTGAGCAGGCGCCGGGAGGGAATTCCTGTTCCGTCAGATCTCAGGGTAGGGCTCAAAGCCCTATTCAGCTTCGAATCTGGGAATGACCTCAGGCGATGTCTAATTGGGGAAAGGTAAGTGTCTCGCACAGAGACTAAAAATACCCCCAGGATGGAGTCGGGTCTACTTTACTTATTTCTTTCTCTATGACTTGGTATTCTCTGTGGTCAGGGAGAACTAGTTCGTTCGCTGTGAATGCACCTGTTTTAGCGTCATCGTCACAGATCATCAAACAACTACTTTTTAGATCTTTGTGGTTACCCTTCTTCCATCCATGTGCAGCTCGGAGATCACGGACTTCCGTCCGTGCAATTATTACTCATTTGTTAGCCTTCGACACCCGCAAGACTGCTCCATCAAGAACACCATATGGGCTCCTTGTACGCCGATCAATACATTTCTTGATTGCACTTATTTGTCCCTTGGATTGACGTAAATTCTAAGGGGTTTTTATTCAAGATAATTGTATAATTACTTGATCTGGTACGGAACCAGTTCCTGTGAAGCAGAACAGTTTGGGCTTATACGCCATCATACGAGCCATTGGAATTGTAGTAAGAAAGCGCATTTTGTCAATATCATTGAAACCACCTAAGCCTCATTTGCTGCTCAACAGCCGGTCCACAATGTTACCCTTACACAGAAAAGCAGCCAACATCAGGAGGCTGTAAAAATGGGAAGAATGGGCAAGAATACGGCCTGGAATGTTAAATACACATTGAGAAACAGAAACACGAAGGCATGGGTCGCTTTACTCATTTAACCGGCCAGATACCAGGTTCAAGATCCTTTCCGACATTTCACTTACCGCATCAATTTGGTGTGTAATTTGAATGATTGTGTAGACTGTAAATTCTTTTTCAATGATCTGAAGCATTGCTCGCTCGGTCTCCGCATCGGTGCTTCCGGTGAACTCATCAAGAATTAGTATCCCTCCCAGACCGCCAGTAGTCGCATCCCGCGTCCACTTCGATATCAAGGCTCTTGCAAGTGCGAAGAGTCTCTGCTCCCCTTGTGACAATGAATGTGAGCTCAAATCTTCTCCGTTCAAACCACCACGAGATTCAACCAATTTATGGAGGCCAACCCTCTCAAGAGCAGACAAGATCACTGCATCCGTTGCATGTCGATTCGGATCGAGGTTTAATCGGATGGAACAGCCGGGGAGGGCTGGTAGCGGATCTTGTGGGATAGAAATGAGACGGGAGCGGAGGACGTTACGGGGAATCGTTGTGATATCTATATCGTCGATCCGAATAGTGCCAGCTTTGTGGTCAATCAGTCGCAGTAGCAGCGAAATAAAGGTACTCTTTCCGCTTGATTATAAATTAATACCACAAACACAATGAGGGTCGTTATCCAGTCGTGGACGTCACTTACCTGCCAGTTCTTCCACATATTCTTACTTTCTCTCCCGGATCGATCGTGACGTTGATATTCTCCAAGACATTCCTCACGCCGCTGAACGTATCATTGAGTTAAACGGTTGCTGCTCAAAAAGGAAAAGAATGTCTTACTCGTAAGATGCAGTAACAGCTTGTACATCGATCTTACCGCGGGAGGGCCACTCCGACGGAGGGACAAAATCTTCTCCATGTTGATGCTCACTGGCAGTATTCAATTGGAATGATCTCGTTCTCGAAATTGCCCCTAGAGAGGTCTCCATCGCAGTCCAACTGGTCACCAGCTCCTGTAGAGATTGGTTAAATGCCATGATAGCTGTAAGAGAAACTCCAAGCTTTCCCGCGTCCGTGGAACCACGCAAGGACGTCGCCAGCGCAGTCAATATTATCGCCAAGATGGCAACCATAAGATCTAGGACGACATTGAGCCATCGCTGAATACAAAAGAGTAGATAATATGGCCTCTGAGAAATGTCGAGTCGGCAGAGACATTCCTCCAAGAACTTTGTCTGCCAGCCAAATCCTCGAATGGTAGATAGACCGGTTAACGTCTCCGCAAAATGTGTATAAAGAGGGCTTTTCGCTTCCAGGTCAAGGAATCGGATCTGTCGAGATGTTCGCAGATATACTTTCTGTGCAAAATAAAGAACGATAAGTGTTGGAATAATAGTGATCGCCATGTAACTTGACCCTAATGATATCAAAGCCGCTTGGGCTAGGCATTGTGCAGCACCTAAACGATCAGAATTAGCTATGAAAAGTGACATCGACTTGTATTTGGAAACAAGATAGCGCATTTACCTAGGAGTGTCCCAAATGTCACAGTGGGCAGAACCGCATCGACGAGAGTCATATCTTGGCTGAACCTATTCAAGATTACACCTGAATCAACTTCCGCGAATACATGCATTGGCGCATTCATCACGGCACGAACAAGTATGGCATGCAGCGCCAACCCTGACCTGACAACAATATTGATCATGATTTGCCTTGAAAGAATTACGGTCAATAACATCGAACACATCGAGGTCACATCAAATAGACGTACCATATCATTAAACCTTGGGATCCTGAAGCAGCAACGGCCAGCAAAACATAAACACCTATAAATCGACTGGGTTGTACACCATCATCGTTGGTAAAAATGTCCAACCAAACCTCTATCAGGCCCTTCAATCAGCACCAGAGTCTGCAGCCATGGGGGACAGTGCGAACTTACGGGGAAAGTTAGCGGAAAAGGCATATACCACAATAATCACACAGGCCCCAAGCACGAGGCGCCACCCAATGGCTCTGAGATAATATGAGTAGACAGCAATATCGCCAGTCTGACGAGACATATCAGAGATGATTTCAGGGTTAGTGTTTTGGGAACTGCAACATCTTTTTCCGTCGTAGACGAATCACCATTGCGAATTCCGGGGAATTCCGACTCCTCAGTTTCTGTTACTTGATCTGCGGATAGCGTAGGTTCAAAGGGCCCTTGTTTCACGACCTGTCCCTGTGCGTTCAACACTAGGACCTCGTCGGCTAGACCAAAATATTTTTCTTTGAAAAGGAAGTTAAGTTTGAGTACAAATATAGACTTCCAACGCCCAAGCGACATAGAATTGTGACTTACTGGAGTGTGCTGTCATTAGCACAGATATGCCTGCATTTCGACAAAGTCCATTGCTACCAAACACCCGCTCGAGTATAATTTGCTCCGTGTGTTGATCAACCGCACTCAAGACACTATCCAGGACGAGGAGCCGTTGTCTGGAGTACAGAGCACGAGCCAATGCAATGCGCTGTTTCTGTCCACCACTTAATGTAATTCCTTGGCTTCCCACAAGCGACTCATCGCCATTAGATATCCAGGCAAGATCGTCTTCGAGAGCACAGGCATGTAGGACTTCATGATACAAGTTCAGGTTGTCTCGACCTGAATACCCGCAGATGTTGTTCCGAATCGTCGTATTTTGCAACCAGGGGATTTGACCGCAGAAGGCAATTCCTCCGTCGTCATAAACTGATATGGAGCCCTGTTCACAGGCTATTTCTCCCATTACCGCTTTCAATAAAACAGATTTACCACATCCCACAGGGCCCGTGATTATTGTGATCTTTCTTGGCTTGACCGTAACGTTGATATTCTGTAAACAAAACTGCGAAGTTGGGCTTGGCCTGATATAAGCCTCTGACACAGTTAAAATCGCGATATCAGAAGTTATAGAGGGGGAATAAAATGGTCGCCCATCAACTCTGGTCGTATCCATTTGGATATCGGAGGTGAATGCTTGATCGGCCCTTTTCCTATCTGACGCAGGGAGTACACCGGAGTCTTGGAAAAACGCAGTCTCAGGATTGTGATCCACCTCCCTGCCTGTGTAGGAGCACGTTAAGAATCGATGCACGCGATCGAAAGCTGCCACGGAGGCTGTTAATGCAGGAATGGATGCCAAGAGTTGCAATGTCGGAGAAGTGATGAGACTGATAATGGCAAGAGAGGTGAAAGCCTGTGCAGTCGAAAGAGGCTCGGACCCGTCAATCTGGGATCGAATGATGAAAGCTGCGAAGGTCACCAAGGAAGCGCACATTTGCGGTAGGCTAGCTGTTATGTAAAGTAGTCGAGTCAGCTAGCGTTACGTCCAGGTTCAATGCACACCCACCGACTACGTTCAGCCACACAATCAACCATCGAAATTTTCTCGAGAGGTCCAGTTCACGCAGTCTGCGCGCTTGTAGCAAACCACTTAAATGGTCTGAATAGCCAAGCATCTTGATGCTTTTCATAGATCTCAGTGTAGTGGAGATTATGCTTATGCGTTGTTCTATCGCTCCCATCCACAACTTCTGTCGTGTTGACATGAATGTTGCCATATATGTCTGCAGGGATGTGCAAACTGGAAATTGAAATCAGATACCATTCAATGTAGGGATGCGAGTAAGAGACGATGATCTGTACGTACTCATAATTACCAGAACTGGAGCTATACAAACTGCTCCCAGTTGTCTTTCCAAAAGCCAGATTCCGATGGCAACCTCCAAGACACGCGCCCACAGTTCGTTCATTTGCTCTAACGATCTGGCAATCATGTCTACATCCGTACTCATATGCGTAATCACTGCTGATTCGTCATATTCACCTTCCCGAAGAGTAATACAATGGTCGTAGATCAAGGCAACGAAAGCCCCACGAAACATGGTTATCATACGAAAAAGTCGGTGTTGGTAATGTACGGTTGATATCTTTCACCAATTAATATGGAATTCCATCAACAAGCAGAATATTCAATTGTACATACCGCAATACCGCCATATATAAGTGCTGCGGCGCCAATCAATCCATAACCATCGTTCTTTGAATCTTGAGTCATTGGCTCATTAAGAAGTCTAATTGCGCGCTCAATAAAGAAGGTCTGGGCGTAGCTGAATCCAATCAGACATACGCGTGGGACGATGAGTTGTAGAAGAGTCCACCGCAAACAAGACACGGTCGCATATATAATGCTAAGTGAATTACTTGATTTGTCTAGGCCACGTGGTAAGTCTTAGTATTGTTTGATCTGTTCAGACACTCTTGACATTTTCGACAAAGGTAGAGAGGGAAACAAACACTTGGCCCATTGTACTTTCAAAGCGCCCATCAAGAGATTGGAATGCATTTTATTGTCTGTAGGGAACAGATCATCCAATGTCAAGATTTTACGAAAGCCTCTAAAAAACAACTCGTTGAGCCATAAGAAGATTGTCCGAGCAAACACCCCACTCAACTCCTCTGGTGGATATTGTTCGTGGTCTTTAAGGCTTAAATATTTGCCTTTGTGTTGAATTTCGATGGACAGGAGGAATGTTTTTAATCCGACGGCTGTAGCAGCCATGGCCGCGAGGTTATTAGAGTAATATGGTCGTAGAAATAAGGTCCGAACCTGAATCGAGTCGAGCAGGATGGTAACCAGCAGGTACACGCATATCAAGGTTGATGGACGAACCGATCGGCTGTGTTCGATGGCCGATAGGACTGTGATGAGGAGCACGGCTAGCAGAGATAGAATGGCAGACGGAATAGCAGTACGAACTGTGTTTTCTTGAGCCCATAATGTCAATATTGCAATCTGAGCGCCTATGAGAGATACTGCTATCGTGAGTTTGAGCCAAAGACAATTATTGACGAGCTTGGTAGTCTTGATACTTCTCCTGTAGAGATACAAGATTCTCAAGGGCACGAGCAGCAGGAACAGAATAGAGGGACCAATGGAGAGGATGCTTTGCTCGAATAACAAGGTAAAATCGAATACATGTGGACAAGACACAGTAGGACCGAAGAATTGGTCAGCTGATTGGTGACAATTACCACCCATTGTGAGTTACTTTGATGAGCCAGACTGTATGGATGTACGGACGACATGAAGAGAAGTGTGGTTAAGGGGACGTACTTCTGTGCTCAGCCGCCCTAACTTAGTTTCTATCGGAACTTGCTGTGCACTAGCACAAACTCAGTTAAGCTTAATACTCAAAGATATCTTTATAGTGGAAATATTGATATTGACCTTCTTCTGCGCACTCTTCTATCTACATCTTGAGGGGATTGTTGGACACTATTTATGCTTGAGAATCCCATCCACGCAATCTCAAATAGAAGATTCTCGACACAGAGCTGTAAAGTTGATTCGTAGATTCAATCTTGTGACTTCAATTCTCGAATTTTCCTTGTATCAATGTTGTAGGCTTTCCTTGATTAGGTTTAGCTTACCTAATCCTCAACATACCCCCCCAGGAATGGAAGCTTGAAGCTTTTATTCCTGCACTAGATCTGCTATATCCACCAATCCCTGGTGTTTTCTCCAATCCAGGAACTGCTGTCCATGTAGGACCTTAGTAAGGCTGTCTGCCACCATTCGCTTTGTATCAACCCATTCAATACGCAGTCGCTTCTTGGAGATTTCTTGTTGGAGCCAATGATGGTAAATATCAACGTGCTTGAGGTTCGTATGAAACTGTGGTTCTTCGCTAGTCAGTAGTGAAACAGTTTGTTTATTGTCACATTGGATTGAGAGTTCTCTATCAGGCTTGAATTCAATAGACCTAAAGACTCACTTCCAAACTTGAAGTCTTTTGGCTGCTTCAGTAGCTGCACGGAGCTCAGCTTCAGTCGTTGATGTTGTAACTAAGCGCTGCTTTGTGGCTCTCCAGTCAATTGGGCCTCCATACAATTGGACTAAATACCCTTCAGAGCTTGTATGGTCAGGGTTGTCACCAAATGAGGCATCTGAGGCGCATATGAAAGCGTCTATATTGACATTCTCTAGTGGTGAATATTTAATTGCTAACGAGCGGGTGTTATAGAGATATTGGATGACACGTTGGATCTGCTAAAAGTGAGCCTTTGAAGGATTCTTGGTGTGCTTAGCTAGCTCGTTGACAGCTTTGGCCACATCAACCCTAGTCATTACAGCAACATAAAGAGCTGATCCCACAAGTTCTTGATATGCGTGAATCTCTTCATTGATTGCTTGTTCGGTTGAAGCTTTAATATTGCCAGATATGGGTGTCTTGATATTGTTCGTGGCGTTGATTCCGAATTTGCTAGCCATCTTTTTGATCTGGCTGTCCTGGCAGAGCCAAATCTTTCTCTGAGCACGGTCGCGAGTGATCCTAATGTTGAGAAACCACTCAAATTTCTTTATTTTTCGAAGCTCATACTTTCTCATAAGGCCTTTCTCGATTTCCTTAAAAGTAGCTTGCTTTGTGGCCTTGTCGTAAAATAGCAGAATGTCATTAACATAGAATAACAGAACAACACTATTCTTAATGAATAAACATTCTTCGTCTGGAATCTGTGTAAATCCTAGGTTTAGAAGGGTCGCTGTAAGTTCTTTCTGCCATAACTGTGGGCTTCTTCTCAAACCATATAGAGCTCGTTGTAACTTTATTACCTGCCCATCTTGCTTGAATCCGTCTAGAAAGTATGTGTAAACTTCTTCATCAAGGATACTATTCACGAAGGCATTCATGGCATCATATTGAACAATCTCAAGATCGAAGATAGCTGCAATAGCCATCATTATTCTGAAGTTTCGTGCTGCAAGTGTAGCTGCTCGTTTTTCAAGGTCATTTGGTTGTTGCAGATCACCACGTATATAAATACGTGCTTTGAACGTCGCAAGCTTGCTGTATTTATCAAATTTGTATTTGAACACCCATGTCAGTGGTAAAATCTGCTTATCTTGAGGTTTTGGAATAAACTCAAATGTACCTTTTCTCTTCAGAGCTTCAAATTCCTCCTTTGCAGCTTGGGTGAACTGATGCTTGAACTTGTGCCTTAAAACTCCTTTCCAATTTTTAGGCTCTGGTGGAAGCTGTACACTAAACGGTTCTTCAAGCTTTTCCATGGCGGCTAAGAAGATCTTGTTAGTTGTTGAATCTTGGAGTAGCTTCTGCCTGGCTAGAAACGCGCGACTAAGCTTTCTCTGCCTTTTTCTCGATATAGGACTTGGTTCTGGGCTTCGATCTCTCTTTGAAGTTTTTGATGGTCCTGCAGAGATTGAGGTAGGGCTCAGAGCTCGGTTTGAGGCTTTTCGAATCCTTGATCCTGCCACTATATTTGATTCTGACAGGTCGGCGCTTATTTCTTGTGCTCGAGGAGCTTCCTGTCCTGTAGTCTGATTTGGCGGTGTAGTTGGCGGTGTGATTAATTGGTTTGTTCTCATGTTGTCATTGTTGTCGTCCAACTGATTTGAAGTGTTTTGACTGGCAGAATCTCTCTCAGGATTTGGTAATTGGCGAGGCTGATTGGTCGGATTATTAGTTTTTCCATCTAATTTGGGAATATCCTCATCCTCGGCTTCCTTCTCCATGACATCGACTTCGTTCTTATTCTTATCCTCATTCTTATCCTCTACCCCCCCAGCTGAGCCAATTTCCATCATGGAATTCTCATGATTATCAACTTGCGCTTGATTTGTTCTATTTCCGTCAATTTCTATATTTCCTGGCTCAGTTGGAGTATCAATTTCCATCTCCTGTGGAATCTGAGTCTGTTCAACTGACTCGGTCGATGTACTGTCGATTTCCATATTCTGCGGCATATCCAAGGGCTGAGTTGGCTGCTCAATATTCGCATGCTCATGAGGTGACGTGCTACCTCCTGTCATCGTTTTTCCTAGGCTAACAGAGAATTGCTGTAGCCTCATATCATTGTCAACTGAGTCGAATACGATATTGGGGTCTGCTTCGTCAATGTTCGGTATGTCGATATTGCCAACATATTTGGTTATACCCTCTTTGACAATTTCTTTTGCAAATGGATGATCAGGGTCATATTTCTTAGTCTCATCAAAGACTATGTCTCGAACTCATATAACTTTTGATCCACTAGGACCTTAGACCCATATTCTCCATATATTGTGAGCTTCATAACCAACTAAGAATCCAATTTGGGCACGCAGAGCCATTTTGTCGCTTTTCTTGGTGTTGATTTTAACGTATGCCTTAGATCCGAAGAGAAATAGATTACCGATATATGGTTTCTTCCCAAAGGCTTTTTCATATGGAGTCATATAGCCTAGTGATTCAATCGGGGTTCTATTCATGATTCAGACTGCTGCTTTCATGGCCTCTGGCTATAATCCTGGCGGTAGATTAGCTTCCTCCAACAGGCTTTGAGATTTCATAGTGATGATTCCACCGGCTCGCTCGCTAGGGCCATTCTGTTCTGGTGTATATGGCACAGTCACTATCAGCTTGATTTTTTGCTTATGACAATATTCTTTGAAGCTGATCCCATTGAGTGAGGACTCTCCATCTATATGAATCTCATCGACTTTTGTCTTGAAGGTATGCTCAATCTGTTCAATCAATGTTTCAAGATCGAAGTTCACTGACTTCGTATGAGTTGTCACTAGGGCATGGAACTTAGTGTATGGATCGACTGCATGTAGGGTGTATGAGTCCTTGTTGATTGCCATACCCGGCAGGCCTTACCTTTTTTGTGGCGCAGCTGGGGCTAAGCCTAGAACATGCTTAGTTGATGAGTTCTGAGATATATAAGTACTTCATGGTCCCTCTTTCATAGCTATTGACCGAGAAAGCAGAGTCGGATTTCTTTTTACTGCTCAGCTATCGGTACTACTCAATCGAGCTTTGATGACTGTTTCATTATCCGTACGATCAATCATTATCGTGAGCACGAGTTGGAATTGAGCGGCGACCATGACGGACCAAGAGCTGAATTCGTATTTGTCTGAACTCTCTCTTGAACTCGTGATTATCATTTCAAAGAACCTACCAGACTTTGACAGCCTCTTTGCTACTATTCGGACCTGCCGGCGTCTGTATGCTTGTTTCGAAGGCAATGCTTCATGCATAATCACTTCAATCTTCTCCAACATCCATCAACACGCTATTCAACTTGACTACCAAGACTACCTAGCGAAGCCTTTCCCAAATCGAGGTTCATGTTTGATATTCCAGCAGCTAAGTTTTGCCATCAAGAACAACTATATACAAAGAGATTTTGTCCGGCAGTTGTTTAAGAACGCCTGGACTTTCTTACACGACAAAGGACTTGAAGAGATACTTATTCCGCTTGGAAGAAAACTGGCATCTTCTTTGTTAAAAAATGGTCGCCAGCAAGACGCTATTGAGCTTTTACTGCAAATATTACGCAGAAAACCACCATTTAAGCTATCTACCACAAACTTTCCCGAACAAACTGCCGACGATTATGTGTGGAGTGCACCAATATTTGCACCTATTGATTATCTGATCTTCAGAATTGGTCCGGTGGATTCGAATCTTCCCCAAGAAATCGTCTCTCAGGAGATTGAGAGCCGCATTTACCTGAAGTATGAAAGGCTACAGCTACTTCCAGTCGTTCTCATCACAGCTGATGGAATGCTGTTCTTCAAATCCCGCATTCATCTACCAGAGGGAATCTACAGTGGGAGTGGCATTACACTCGTAAGACTGACCAACCCTCCCTGGAGAGTTAGAGGGCGGCAGGAGTTGAGAGATCTTATACCGCGACAAAAGTTCGCTCGCCTGATGAAAATACTCAAAAGATTAAAAATTGCGACGCGCCTTGAGGATACATCATATCTAGATTCCGCTCGCTGTTGAAAGATTACCAATACCCGCAGCAGAAACAAAGTAGAGACCTGTTTACAGTCTAGTCATTATAGTCAATGCAAATATCATTCATACATGTGAGCACGAGTCGGGATTGAGCGATCATAAGAAGCATAGCCATGGACGGGCCTGAGGGTGTTCTACCAATACATCTCGATAGAACGTAATCATAGACACGTCGCATTCTCGACATTCTTGCAGTAGGTATTGAAAGGCCATTTGGTCTTGTGGTCATCGGCCTGATGCATGAGTGGCGTCAAGCACATCAGTCAGTGGCTTGAGACCGGTTTGCCAACTCATTCTTGCAGCTTACCCCTCATAAAGTTGTTGAAAAATAATCTAGAGATTTCTGCCCTTGAACTCTTCATCTGCTATTTAGCTGCTAGTCCTTGACTCCGTATCAGCAAGAGAGCCTAAACCCCCCATGATTTGTAAAACGAAGTCTGAAAGTGGCAATCTGAATATGGCCGATTACAAAAAGTACCTTGCTCCAAATACATTGCATTGAGCTGGTTACTGACTATAAAACTTAGAATTATTCGATCATCACAGTTTATTTTCCTGGTTGGCAATGAGAGAACTCGTTTGTCAATTCATGCCGGTATTGTGCAAGCTATCTCAAATCCTCTTCGTGCTCTTATCGATAATGGTCATATGACGGAGTCTATTGCTGGTTTTGCAACTCTGGACGATGTTGAAGAGGAGACATTCATAGGATTCTGTGAATACGCGTATACCGGTGCATATTTGACTCCAGAGCTCAGCATAGGTCAAGACTCTGAAATCACGTCAGATTCTGGCTTAGTCAAGTCTACCAAGGAGTCAAATGGCGTATCAGTGGAACAAAGAGAAGAGCCGGCTATTGAAGATGCAGAGCTAGATCGCACTCCTGACCTGGACGACTGGAGCTTGAGCAGCGCGAAAAAGTCAAAGAAATCCCAAAAGAAGAAATCAGCTTTTTATTATCATGAGATCGAGGAAAAACAGCCTGAAGAATCTCCTGGCCAGATCACAATCATTTACCCATATGAACAACTCTGGGAAAGGTTTCGACTCCGTAAATTTGACAGCGGACCAGCATCGTTCTCGCCAAATCCCAATATCCTCTTTCACGCTAAGTTATACGTTTTTGCAACCAAGTACCTCATTGAGCCGTTACGTCAGCAGTGCTTAAGATCTCTTCACAGAGACCTTAGTAGTTTCTCCCTGAATCGGAAGAATCGATCGTTAATATTTGACCTTCTCGACTTCACATACGCGCACACGGGGCGATTCGAAGCTAATGGAAGATCCACACTTCGCGATATAGTCATCCATTATGTCGCCTGCGAAATACGAACGCTAGCCGACGATGAAAAGCTCACAGAGCTTCTAGACTCTGATGCGGAGATTGGTTCGGACCTTGTCATGAAATTAGTCACTTAGACCAACCCAAATGATTGCTATTCAGGCTAGTAGTGAAACATATCTGACATCTGGGAATTGCTACTCTACGCATCCTGCCTTGGAGTGAAATCTGAGCCTTATAACAGAGTCACGAGTGGCAATGTATAAAGTATTCTCGTTGCACATAATATGCGAAGCTTCGCCATTAAGAGATTCCACGTCTATAACACATCTTGAATGACACTTTCCTTCAGATTTTTTGACCGCCTCGGCTGTCAACCACTCGATAGTGTAAACTAGGCCATTTGCGGGAGCGTTTGCTGATCGTGATCGCCCGTCACATTCGATTTGTACTTCTAGTGATCCTGCGGTATATAGCGGAGACATGCTCTTCATCTGCTTCGTCAACGAGGTTCCTGGATAGAGGAGGTCAACAGCTAAGACATCTGAATCAGACGAGCCGTTCAAGCTCAGATCATCTGACCCCATAATATCTTCGGTTACAGAAATATCCACAATAGAGCCCGTACTATCGATATCCAGCCTATGACCGTGATTTCCATGGACGTGACTCCCAGCGGATGATGAATGACTATCTTCAGAGGTTATGTTTTCCGAACGCGTTGATAACGGACTCAAGCCAGGCACAATACTTTCCAGCGTTGAAGCCGAGGTGGGCAGCGTCAACAGTGTGCTTTCTTGTGGGAACGGAAACATAATTCGCTTTTGCTTTGACAACATGGCACTCAAACTATCCTTGATTACAGTCTCAAGGTAGCAATTTAACCGTCGTTCCAGGTTACTCAGATGCGGAATGAATGGGAGCCTCCAGCCAGGATATAATCTGCCATGACATCGGGGCGCATGCGCTGTACCATGCATGGAAATAAAAGCATTACACAGATAACAGGCATCCTTGCTGGAAGCAATCACTCGAGGAAACTTCAGCAGGCGCTGAAGCTCGCAATGGAAAATAAGCTGTACTTCCGCGTGAATCTTCGCTTGATATAATGTGTTCTTTGTTTGTTGTGAAAATCGACGAGTAGCCTCTGTTTCGGTTGTCTGCAATAAATGCCAAATTTGACTGAGGTTGTTCGCATTCATATTCGGTGCTATCCGCAAGACGGTTGACAGAAGTTGAGGTTCGCGCTCGTCGAATGAGAAACGTTGAAATGCGTCTTGCGGAAGGATGACAGTTTCGACTCTCGCTCGTCTGACCATAGGGAAATTTTTAGCGGTGCGAACCAGAAATCTGGTCGCCTGTCGATATCTTGCAACTTTACTAATCATGTTCACTAGACTTCTTCTTGTTGATGGGTCCATATCTTTATTTGGGATCAGACGGAGTGTCTCGTGGATTGTCTGCTGCTGGTATAATCGATGTATACCTTCAACAAGGTTTTCTAGTCGCGCCGTAGTCTGATGGTTGCACCAGGAATTTATAAGCTTGATCAAATCCTTCGCTGCCGTTACGAACGACAAGACAACTGTTTTTGTGTGTTGGTTCTTGCCATTACCAAGGCGTCTGGTGCAGTCGATAGCTTCAGAAAGGCTGTCCTTAACAGACTTTCTAGATCGCTTCCTCCCTGGTATTAAACCTAGTCGGCTTAAGATGCGAGATGTGCACATGGACACTATCGCGGTAAAAACTTCACTTTCTGTGCTGGAAGCATCACACTCGCCTTTTCCTGTTAGAAGCGAGACATTATTCATATTAAAGTGGTTTCTTAACTTACCATCAAGTCTTCCTGCAAGGATATGAAATATCTTATCGAAACCTTGTTTCAAGTCACGGAGAATGTTGGTGCCATCGTTGAACCCAACTCTGTTGACAGCGAGAAGAATTCCCATACAATTTGAATTAGGTTCCTCTACAACACAAACCGCAGGTATATGATCAGTGTCGTCTCGTATGCTCGAAATGAAAGCTAGCGTACCAGCCAAGCTGCGTTCCTTATCCAGGGGCAATGCATACGTATAACTTTGAGAAATAGATAGACAGCTGGAAGGATTTTTTCTCGGCTGTATTGGCACAAGATGCAAAAGTGACAACAAGGAAATATTTTCAGCACCATCAATTTGAAAGGCTTCTTTTTTGGTCATTGTTGTTTTCACTCGGGGTGTGGTGGAACAGACCAGCCGTTATCCTAAAGGAAGAGTTAGTTTTGTAAATTTTCAAGGAAGAGAGAACACACTCGAACATCAAGAATTGTAGTAGAAGGTTGGAACAGTCGGTTGTTCACAATCAGACTGTTGAACTCCTAGTTGGGTGGACTTCGAAATCCGGAAGGTAACACAAGTATTTTAATCAGGACCTAACCCCTCATTTTTCGAAGAAAGACGAATGCATTCACCTGCCACATCAGAAATATACATGCGTTAGCTTTGATCACTTTCTAGCTACGGGGACTGATTCACAGAGACTGATGACAATAGTGCCCTCTATACTCTAATTGCTAATCAATGCAAATATTTCAAATTCTTGCTCCAATAGACCTGAATAGTGCCTTGCGACCTCCCCGGGAAACGTTTTTCGAACCTCCTCGCTATCACGGACCATGGCAAGCCATCTTCCTTCAACTGCACGAGAAGTTTGATCTCATCGGGTTCCCATGCTTTACCCTTCCTGGACTCGGTTGAAGTGGGGCATGTGCGATTACGGGCTGCTCGGGGTCGACGATGTCGTGATTGAGCAGGTTCTACACGCTGATCTGACGCTTTGACTTGTATGAAGGGAAGTCCAACACTGGCTGCAGACAATGATTCGAATAAGCCAGTCTTAAAGAGCCAAGCAAGGAAATCGAGGCGTTCGTGAAGTGGCGCCGCTGAGAAGCATGAATGCAACGTACACTGGTCTTCTGCCGTCGGCGAGCCACTCCTACAGTGTTTGAGGGGGGGTTCCACCTTGGTTTTATCGCTCAGTCGCCTTTTCGATGATAACCGCTGTGTATCCGAGTTTGCATTAGAAACAGGTGCGGTATCCTCGACAATCTGAGCCTGTCCATGTAGCGCTAATGATTTCGGCGACGTAGGATACGATGAGCCAGAGCAGTCAAGCGCAACATTCTCATCCACATCTTCCTCGCTCACGTTTTCTTTTCCGAGGATTGCAGGGTCGATCGGAATAATATCCTCAACCGGTTCGCCTACCGTCACATGATTTCAGCCACTAATAGCGGAATATGAGGTCCACGACTCACGAGATACAGATACAGACCATTCCTGCTGGCCGTTAATGTTCCCCTGTGATAAAGCTTGCGGTGACCCGTTTATCAGGTCCTCATTTCCCAATTCCTCGTCGCCTGATAACGAGAATATATCGTACAGAGATACCGGTTCCTTGCCATGGATATGTGCATCGAAATTGGTATCGTGACTGAAATAAGGATCGATCGGTTCTGGTGCTTGCTCGATCGCCATGCCACATCTTGCGACAGGTAAAGCAACGTTAGAACCAGCTTGCTTCTTGCGTGATACGCGTTTCGAAGGGTCTTCAAATATGATATTATCCATATTGTTCCAAAAAAAGCAAAGGTACACACGAACGGGACGATTACCCAAATGTCTGGACTTGTTGCGAGACAGGTGGAATACTAAGGGTTTATGAGGTTTAGAAGACGATCAAGTCACGTTCCTTGGGAACGACTGGAAACCTGATTCTTGTGGATTTCCGACACTGCCGTTAGAAGCTAAACGTACTTTCAAGCCCCCTGCCCAAGTACCATGAACCGAGGTGGAGCGGAACTCTGGCGGTGAAACTGTTGTTCAGTTTCCAGCCAGCTGTAATGCGTCATTTTCGCTATTGGGCGAGCAGACAAGGAAGAATGACGGTGTCTCCATTCCTGCGTCAATACAGCTTCGGAAGAGACTAGTGTAACTTCATTGGCCCTCAGAAGGAGCTACCGTGCTATGCAATGCAGGATCCTCTCGTGACGGTCTCGATGCAGACGCTCAGCTATCAAGGGGCTGTGCAAGGTAGCTCAATTGGCCGAAACCAGTACCATTGAGAGTATGCAGACCCATTGGCTCCTAGCAGCAGTCCAATCCCCCTTGGACCGCACCAACAGATGCAGGTCTCAATTTTGGCGTAAGCTAGGCCGAAATAACAGAGCCACAGCCTGATCAGCGCAATCAGCATGTGGATTCCACGTCAGCAGTGCGTCGTAATCGCCGAGACAATCGACAGGCAAGGTGACATCGTCCACTTGGCGCATCCAGTCGGGCTGGCTGAAAATGGGGAGCTGGGATAGTGATCATGAGACAAGGCAGAATCCCGAATCCAGCCAGAACCGGACCCGATTCACGGCAATTCGGCGGCCAGTGAGAGGTTAACGTGGAGAAAAAGCACAAGGAGAATCCACGCTGTTGGGGGCTGGAGGATGGTGGAATCGTCTGAGCCGGCCATGTAATGAGCGCTTTCCATTTTTAGAAAGGGCCTGAGAGAGCAGTCGAGACGAGATGACCCGAGATCAGGCGAGAACCTCCGAGGAAAGCATGGATCTTGATGTAGGTGCCCAGTTTAGGAGCTGAATATCGCCCAAAAAAAAAAGAGACCTGGCATGAAATGAGAAGTGGGTTGGTGAGGGCAGCACCGCCAATCAGTCGTTGCTGTTGCCATCCAAAATCATGCAGTGGCGGGTCACGCGGCAGGACCGCAAAATTCAGACCGTCGGCTGAGACAGGAGGGCACCCTGACGGAGAGGAAATGAGAAGGTGAAAAGAGGTTGAGTTAAAACAGCGAGGGACGCTCATATTTATAGATGGGCAGCTGGTCTCGACGCCATGCCCGAACGGGCGGGCCGCTAAACCGAACCGGGCGCTTCCCGCCGCACCAAACCCGATCAGGCTAGGCGCTAAACGCGAAGCGGAAAACAGCCCCCCTTTCACCAGGACGAAGATTATTCTTTATATACAATGCAGTCCGATGAAAGCCATGTAGATACCCAGCTTAGGAAAGTGCTAGAGTCTAAGTATTGTGGTTGACTATTCTATCTTCGCAGGCGGTATTTTAACACTGACATACTTACCTACTTAAATGCTAACTATGCCTAGCACTCTCAGCTTTTCTAGACATCTTCCTTGTAATCTATCCCGCAGTGATACTGTGGAATCTCTAGATAGTAACTAGAAGAAAAATCCTACTCCTTAGTGCTTTTACTTTAGGATCCTAGTAAACGTTATGGATATTATCTAAGGAAATATATACTAATCAATGCAAGTGCTGCTATTGTGGCTATTGTTAAATGTACTCATATTCCAGGACTAGCAAATGAATCTAACCCGACCTGTGAGTAGCATCAATACCAATTATAGCTTATATAACTAACTATAGAATACAGATAGCACATCAGAACTCGTTATCTAGACAAAGTAATATATTCCTGCTCTGGGCGTGGCATTGCTGACCTAGCCTAGTGTTGAGTCCAATTCAATTATTATTGCTGCTTGCATCCCCTCGTGCATACCTCTAATTAAGATGTTATGCTGCAAAAGAAGGGCAGAGTTTTTATAGTAAATAGGAGATAACGCCACCATCGAGGAGTAGGACCTCGCAGAAACTAAATAATGCAATGGATAATCAACTATTGTTGTCTGAGATTCGAAGAACCGATGAAATTTTTATCTTTATTGAGTAGAAATTTGACTGAGGGAACGATGCTATTAATAGGAAGAAGGTATATTGGATAAATGCTCCATTCTAGTAGATAAGTCAGGGCAGGATAAATACCAGATTTTCAGTGGCGTCTACCTTCTGCTGGCATAATTACCTCGCTTAACGCTCAACTAATAGAGACGCATGGATTATTATATGAGTCTCATTTATGAGACACAATTGGCTTAGAAACTTAGGACACCTTATTTGAAAAGCCAGCCACACCAAATCTCTTCACAAAGGAAAGATATCCATAACATCTGCGGAATTTACACTTTCAGTTCACTTTTCCCAGGTGGCATGGACAGTATAGTAACCAGGATCTCGTTGGTATTATAGTATAAGCATCACTATTCCTCTGAGTCCAACGAATTAGCCATCACTACAGAGTAGCAAGAGCTTTTTTCAGGTTATACAGTTGCAGCATGAGGATATCTTATCTCTCATCCTCCACCACAGCTGTAACATACAGCCAATCTAAAAGAATAATGTTGGTTTAACACAGTCCCAGGACACGAATCAAGGATTGGTGCAAGGCTGGTCCAACAAGCCTATGGGGTGAGTTCGATCAATATGGTAACATAATTCCTCATTGATAACTGATCACTAGAACTATCTCATGGGGAACGCAGGCCATATTTATGCCTGCGTAGGAACCTACGTTGGGGATTGAGTAAGGACTCAATCCGGCAATTAAGACATGTACAAACAACAAGTGAAGTATGGATATGAGCTCACAAAGGATTTTGTGAGCTATGCCGAAATCATTAAACACGTATAACAAAAACTCCCCGCAGCTTCTTGCAGTGGTGCCAAATTCCGACAGGATGTTGTGCGTGTACAAACAAATAATATTCACTAACTATGGTGCCTGCATTGACGAGAAACTGAGTATGAAAAGGGAAACTATCTATCGAGGGAAGATAGCCCGTATTTATATGTCTCCATCGACGGTACTTCCCGTCTGATACAAATATCTATGGCCTCGCCGTATCTGTAACAGCGCAACAGCCTACAGGGTTGCTGTGGCAAATCATATCAACTCCAAGTAGACAGGTCAGGCTTCCTGTCAGCAGTCCACCGAGTTGATCTATCTCATGCCACGAAACAAAGCCAGGTAGGCTTCATGAACAAATCGTCACCTCTGCCAATTTTTGACATCCCGTCCCTCGAAGCTATAGACCAGCTCGCTGGACGGATTGATTCATCCTCTTTTCATCCGATTTTGATAATTGGGATTGTTTCTATTCCAATGTATAAGCAAGCTCAATGGTACCTTGTTCAAGTCTTCTTGTGCCTATTTTCATTGCAACAAGCTGTTATCAGAGGATATTCTTCAAGCTATAGTACGCCGACTCGAGGATTCTGATGTTGGAGTGAGGCGGTCCGCCGTTCATGCCTTAGGCAAATAACCCGCTTTGTCAGAGAATATTTACCAAGCTATAGTGCTTGTGCTTTTCAAGGATGTGTTTCTGGAAGCGTTTCAGGACGAGGCTTTGGCTTTGGAAAGGCAACCCACCCCATCAATAAGATTGCGTTAATTTATTATTGATCATCTAATTCTCTGTATTATTCTTAATATCTACTCAAAAGGAGGGTCAGGGATGAGTGGTCAATTTATACGTAGGATTCATCGCCACCCGGATACTTCGAATGTTCTGGCAGTGTTATGGACTGACCCCATGAGATAGAGGGTCGGTCCTGAGCCCTCACCGAGTGAACGTTCGATTCCTGAAGCTATTCCTAAATCTGCCGGCACCCTCGGTGCCGACCTGGCTACATGCGAATAGGGGTAAATTGGAGCGCAACCGAGGACTCCCCTTTTTCCGTGTAGGTTGGAATCGTCAGATAATGATCCAATGCGCGGGGCTTTACCAGCCTCTGAGATGAGTCATTTAAATCACACCAACCACCTCGTGCCAGACACGGTAGACGCGCTTCAGCTGCCGAAGATAGGATATTGAACACTTAAAGAAGCGACTTTAAGCCAGTCTACCAACAAAATTACTGTCGGAATATCAATCTCATGATTCGGTGCTTCCGCACCAATCTGACGCGCACGTACGCACATGTACGCGCAGCGTACGGAATGGGGATACTATTCCCCTAGCGCGTATGTGGCAACCCCCTATATAGCTAGTTAGACACCCCGATCCCCCGTTTCTTGGGGATCAGTCATCAATATCAGGAATTCCATACCATATTGATCAGGCTCGTCAGCTCGTCGGAATAGCTGTTCTACGTGACTAGTGCTAGCGACCTAGACGTAGATAAACCGACAATTACTAACCCACGAGAATCCGCTACGATACTGACAGATGAGACGACATATGCTAAAAGTGAATTTGTATGGCCTATAGTTGGCTTTTCCAGAAGATAGTCGCACAATGCTTCCAATATCAGTGGCCTGATAATTAGATGCTGCCCAGGGTGGATTGGGGAGCTTTCGCACTTCCAAACAGTTTTGAGGTTTAATTGAATATAATCAACTGCTTTTGGGCTATACATGGCAGTACGCGCAATCTGGGATACAGTTGCTTGCTCATGACTTCTTAGCATACCACTTATGAGTTGAACTGTTGATAATGCAAGCCTTGGCGCCATCCTAGTGTATTATACGTTCTAGTGATTATTCTAGGGAAAAGAAGATTGAGCTCCGTCTACATATGTGGGAGGGCAAGAAAACGTACCCAATTGATACACGTAATTTACAGAAGTATTAATTCTGGGACCGCGCAGTACCACAGGGAGAAAATGCCCTGAAACGACCGAAGGGAGAGAAAGGGAATAGTCAACACGGCCCTGCGAGCGTCCTCCACCAGAACACACTGGGTTTGTAGGCTGGGTTGCTACTGCCACGCGCGTTTCTCATTTGTTGAAAAATTACTATATCAATCCTAGCGGTGCTTGGCATATTGTTTTGTATGCGGGCTCTGCATATCTGATGCACGCTTCTGTCCCCTGATTGACTGCTTTGAGCCTGGTACTGCACTACTTTTATAGTGACGCCCTTACCAGATATACTCACCAGCTGCCTAGCTACAACTTCTAAGCTTTTCATGTATCAGAGCCACAGTAGCTAATTCATTTTCTTCTAGTGTATTTCTTTTCATTTATTATCATTACAGTTGTTTGCAAACCTAGTGTACGCTTTTAAGAATTTATTTGTTCCCCATTAGTCTTCATTTGGCAAGCGTTGGATTAATCAAATCGTATACCAGAAGATTTACATAGTATTAATTGTGACGGTTAGCGGGGCGCGCATTTCGGCCCCCGACCAACCAGAGAACGGAACGGAAAAGAGATTGCCCGATCCCGTTTAGCGCGAGGTCGTGGAAGTATAGTGTATACTATATGGGGAATAGCGGTCCTCTCGCCGCTTTAACGGGAGGCGCCCCACTCCGCGAGGCCTATATAAACCGCAAGTGCGTCCCTAAATGACGACTGTCAATTCTACGTCCTTTTTTTTTTCTTAGCTCTTCCTCAGCCGTGTCTACTTAGCAAGAAACTATGCGAATTGCTAATCCAAACATTTTTTACATCCCCCCTGCGCGGATCCACCTCATTCCTGGGCCGCCTCCCCATCTGCACTGTGACTACTTTTGAGTAGTTAACAGAAATTACAGCTTTGGGCTTCTACTGCAGCAGTAAGCCATCATCCACAGTCCAGATTACTAGAAGATGACTTGTATCGAAAATTTGCCCTCTTTGTTCGCTCATTCTACCGCCTATGGTGAGACCGAATTCCTCTTAGTCCTGAGTTTACTAACACGAGTGTGGCCGCTAGGAACTTCAGCATTGCAATTGATTGCGGGTCTTATAGTCTGGTGATTCAATCATGTGGTATTTGGATGAGAGGCATCCTGATCCCGGACGCGCCAGAAATGAGCCCATCTGTGCATGGTTGCTATTTCACCAGTAGAAATGCTGCGCAATTTCCGTTTAATAGCGTCATATCCACTGTTCTAGCCATCACATTTATTGAAAGGCAAGTATAGCCAATAGCGAAAATGCTGCATTATATAAGCTGGCATTTACAGCTGCAGAGCTAAAAGGGGCTAACACATTCATTAAAGCAGATTTGCGAGGATGCTAATCCAATGTTGGTGTTACAAGCGTCAAACTCGCTTGTAAGACGCCTTGATTCATGCATGGCAGCAATGACATGGTAATCTGGATGACTTTATTCACAGATTGGCCAGTAATGCCTCAATTGTGGGACAGAAGCGGAGTTGCGCATGAAACTGAGTAGCATCGGGCGTGCTACTAGATCATGTCTCATTTTTGAGCTTAGATTTGGGTTGTCTGATTGGAAATCGGCCAGTCCATTGATTACAACGACTGCATCGTCAATATTGCCGTTTGCTGCAGGTGGAAACGACAGTGACAGAATATGTTAGTAGCAGCGATATTGACGTTCGAGGAGAACTAATAGTCTCTTTGCACATTTTGTGCCCTAAGGAATATATAAAGACCTCAGTGCTCAGCAGGATGGAGTGTAACCATTGGATATCAGTTTCATTTTCCTAACATCTCTACCTCTCTACAAACATTGCACGATCATAGCTATTACCTTGGAAAAAATTAAATTCTACCGTCCTTATTCACTTCCTGCACGTTCTATACAGAGCATCCCTTTAAATAAGAGTTTAATTCCCTTCCTCCACCCCTCAAAAAGAGTCAATCCAAAATCTTCCATTCACTCAAGCTCCCTCACATCCTTTTGACAACCAGCTTTGCACCATACACTTCCCCCTCGTCCACCAGCTGCCGTCTCCTCCATTCACAGTTCAGAGAGTACAATTTTACTAACTACCTCAAGCACATCTAATGCACTTCATATCCATCCCGCGTATTCGAATGATTCTTCAGTCGTGGAGGGTGGAAAAAATGAGGAGAAAGAGTCTTTGGTTTGCTTACCTATGAAAGGTATACTCCTTATCCATGCAACCTAGTCGTTTTTGGCTTACATATACAATTAGGAGACGAAGATGACGATAGCAGTAGTGTACATACCACTTTGTCGGATCGAGGAATCCCAGCTGAATGTGTATCGTCCGTCTCCACCGCAGAAGCGCCCTTGAAGGCAGTAGAAAATGCAGATCTCTCGCAGCCACTCAGTCAAGGTCAGGCAGAGCTACAGGACCAAGCTAGTGATGCCACGCCTATACTAGATCAAAGTCTATTACCATTCTGCATGCCTGAAACAGCAACATCAGCACCAGTCCTCAAGGATTTTACTCTAAGAGATATGGCGACGCTATCTTCTGCATCGGGATCGCCTACTGTTAGTCCAGGTCAAACTCAGCAAAATTTACCTACCATCATTGCCTAGCACTTGGAGTCTTAAGGAAGCAGTTCGCCAATTGAAAGCATTGAGTTATAGGATATTCTGGAAGATTTCATGCTTTCTACTTCATATCTATCAGAAAACTTTTCAAATTCGTTGCAGAATGAAACAGCACGCATTCCCAGTTCCCCGTTTCAACCATTTGTAATCCCTGATTTGCCTCGTTTCTTAGACCTGTTACAGAGATCACCTGACTGGGCAGCGTCTCATGATCAGTCTCACTGCGCGAGTCAGGTCGTCGAAGATCTTGACGTGTCTGTGTCTAACAATGGGAACAAGAACGACGCAGAACATGTTGGCAACATCGATAGAGACGAATCAAGAGAATACTTGCATCCAGTGAAAAGGTTAAAGATGAGTCATATACTGGATACGGTCTCATCAACTTCTCAAGAAACAGCTCCACGGCTATCTCCCGAGTCTCCATGCTCCAGATAGCCTGAGTCGCCACAACAAGAGGCAAATCAGGAAAGCGAGTCAATCCCCGTCCAGGGCCTTCTCAAATTACGATATATTGAATCCGAGGTCGTCTACTATTTAGAGTTATCCCAATCCTATATTTCGTCATTATTTGGGGGGGGACAAACGAATGGTATTCAGCCATCTCAATAGAAAGGCCATTCTACGGTTAGATATCGAAAATTCTCACCAGAAGAAGATGCATTTATCGTTAAACTGAAAAGCAAGAAATTCAGCTGGGACATGATAGAGGATCAATTTGCGCAATGATTTCCACACCGGAGTAAGTCGTCGCTGCAGGTGCACTACTGTACTAAATTAAAGGCGTCGACGAAACAAAGTAGAAAGAGGTGGATTAAGAGCCGTGGATAGCCATCATTTTGTCTTGATAGAGACACGGCATCGTAAATCAGCCTGGAATGGTCAAAGCAATACATTTATTAGTCACTTCTTGTTTGTATGTGAGCCATATTCCACCGAGTCGTTGGCAAACAACTGTAGGCAAACTGAATGTATATGCTAGCCTTCTAAGTGCCGCCAAGCATTGCTCTGATATCAGCCCACTTGAATAACATGTACTCATAAGCTGACAGGCGCAGCCACACCAAGAAGTAACTGTTCATCGTATCTCAGGTAACAAGGGAATATAAACGAGGGACGAGAGGGCAGCCAGATCAATTGAGATATAGATGAGCGCGAGGCAAATGGGAATTTGAAAGCGGCATGACTCCTGAACGGGAATCTTCAGGCTGCCAAACAGATGTTTATATTACTTACCGATCAGTATCGACTCTTACAAATGGAGTAAGACTGGTGTATCGAACCGACAGGCCAATCAGCTGACAGTGTCAGCCGACTATCTGACCACTATCCGACAGCCCCAAAATTTCTTGGCAAATATTTACATCTCTCTTTACAATCTATTACTACCGCTATGTTTTTAGCAAGTTCATAAATACAAAATGGATAAAAAGAGATTCATGATAATATGAATCCGAAGAGTTGCAACAGATTGCAACACCAACTTACACTTGTTTCGCTTCTCTCCATCAATCACTGCAACGAACCCCAGAAAAAATAGAGTGCATCTAACGCATAGCTGGCCTTTCATGCCCGCCGGCACATTAGGCGGACCTGATCCGCATCTTTCATCCGCAGAAGAAGCTGCATATCAACATTTCTCGTTGTAGCTAGAACTCTTGCGCGCGTCTCCTGGGTAGTTTCTCCTAAATTTGGGATAGCATACACGCGATGACTGCGTAGAAGACTCGCCATCACCGCTACGAATTCGACCTGCGAGAACTTGTTTCCAGGACAGTTTTGGGGGCCGGCTGACCATGGAAAATAAGTACACCGCGGTGGGGTGACAATCTGTTCATTCGAATTTAAAGTCGCCGTTGGATGTATTTGAATCCACCGTGAGGGCTTCCAGGTCATAGGGTCTTCCCAATACTGAGGGTGGATGTGCATGGTGAGAAGGCTCGGATGAACTCCGACTTTTGAAGGAATCATGATGTTTCTATCCCCAACTGATAGTAGTTGCGGCTTGTCGCTGGTCCACTTGGGCAAGGATAGGATAGGAGGGAAGAGGCGAAGGGTTTCGAGCTGTAAAGACCAGTCAGCATATCAAATATAACAAGAGGTTAGCTGGACACACCATGACAGCTCTACAGCGACTGAGCCTGGGGAAAATATCGGCGTAGTGACCTTTGATGTCGTCGCTAAGAGCCTGCAGTTCCCCAGCCACCCAGTCTTGAACCTCTGGATATGCTGCCAAAAGCAGCAACGCGAAACTTAGGGTATTAGCCGTCGTATCATGGCCAGCAAAGTTGATGACGAAAATATTCCCGAAAATCTCGTCAATGGTAAGCCCTTTGAGTGGTAGGGTCTTCAAATCTGGTTTACCCTGAATGTCCTCTTTTTGCTGCAGATCCATAGCACGCACAAACGATGTCATCAAGCCGCCTGTACCAGGCTTTCCCGTATTCAATGCTTTGATCTCCTCATCCAGCATTTGAACCATGTACTGCTGAAAATCAGCAGCGGCTGTGCCGAGCCGACGCCATGAGTTCGGGACGAATGGAAGCGTAAGCCATCTCCGTGGCATGACCATCAATAGAATACAGTTATCAAGTACCATCTGGAGGGCATCACGGTAGCCAACTGACTCATTTTGGTCACTCTCATGCACTATTTGACCTGGCTGTCCCCTGCTGCTGCTCTCATTATTTGCACTACCATGGAAAGGGAATGATTTACGGAACCCCGTGGCGGCAAGGACGTTGAGCGAGAGCGTGCGGGTATCCTTTGCAACGCTGGGAATTTGATGGTCGCTATGGGATAAAGGAAGCCAAACATTTAGCATCTGACGAGTTTGCTCGACACTTTCATCCCACACAAAGGACATAATGCCTTCGTTAAAAGGAGTGGCTAGGACTTTCCGGTGACGCGGCCAGTCCGTCCAACTAGCGGTCGAGATACAGGGTCCATAAACTTCAAGAACCTCTACGAACCCAAAAAGATCAGAAAAGATTAGAAAATAGAAGCTCTTAGGTAGAACCACTATCGAGCAGCGTTGTGTCGGGACATACTGTACATTTCACTGGGCCGAATGAAATCCATTCGTCGCTGGAAAATATCATGGATCGCCTCTGGGTCCGCGACATTAATGTAAATATGCCGGGGGCTGACTATCGCCCATACAGAACCGTAGAGTTGATGTGACTTGCCCCTGTCAGCGAAGTACCATCCGCGGCGAGAGTAGCGACCAAAACTATAATTGTTCCAGTTGATTGGAAGCCGGTCGAGCCATGGCCAGATGATCGGTTCGCATACCATCCAGAGCAGATTCTGGGGGTCGATATAGAGCCGCACTAGGGGGATTCCCATGGCAGACGCGCGACGATAGTTAATCTCCAACGCCACCAGGCTCCATGCAAAGTAGGCGAGGGCTAGCAATCCCAGAAGTTGCAATATCATAATGATAGTAGAGTGAAAGTGAGTTGGCAGAGAATGGACTGGAAAGGGGGATGGAGAAAGAAGTTCAGTGAAAGAAAAGGAGCCCCTCAGGAAGGTCCCAATGGCGTGGGGTGGGATGTCAGGACTAGATCAAAACCAAAACAACTCCGTACGCCAGTTTCACTAATCCAATACTAGTTCGTACCATACTGTCCCTCGGAGGGTATCTATCAAACCGGGGAAGTCCCTTGTTTATTTGCCGGTTGCCGAGATAACCGTCAGCACTAATGAAGCGGGGTCGATAAGTTTGGGCATCAGCACTTGCGAATGCTTGTTGTTCCGCGGATCTGCTTCTAAGAGGATACCCGCAGCAGCTCTGGACGATTTCAGCTTCTGCTTGTCTAGGAGCCATCCAGGACTAGCTACTTCAGCCGAGACCCGCCCCTGCACTGTGGAGTCACTGCAGTGGTAACTCCACTCGACGTCAACTCTACCAACTTACTATCTCAAGCCAGCGAACACGAGCATTGCCTATATTATGCATCCATCAGGTGACAGCATTGTTCAACGGTTGCATTTCCCCTCTCAGGCTGCTTTAGGGGCGCAGTTTAGAAGAGAGAAATAAAACCGAGTATGCCCGAACCTGAACCAGGGGTTACTCGATATTCGTGGCGGCCCCAGGCGCGTAAACACCGAGAAAAACTACCTAGGTACTATATAATCTCTTCTCAACAATAAATGAAGACAAGCCAGCCCTTTCATTTCGTATTTCCCGGAGAGAAAATGTTTGACGATTCCCCAAAGGGTCTTTTCCACATTGATCATCAAGATAGAGCTGCTGTGGATGAGGGATGGCTTTATTATCCTACATATCTCCTGTTAAGCCTGATCCTCGCATGGCGACTGTGGGCTTTTACCATCTGCCCGCGACTCTACCGCGACCGATTAGAGTACTTGCCATACTGGATCCCATGTAAGCGAATAATCCCATTCAATTCAATGAGCATTGACAGCTGACTCTACGAGACTTGGGTGGGTCTAATTGTCTGTCTTCTACTGGTAAGCAACACTAACCAGCGGCCTAAATACCCTTGAATGAGCAGGCCACGTTGTACCGTTTCTTTGGAATTCCAATAAATTATTTGCACGGGCAAAGAAAGACTTCAACCGCAAGTTATGTACCCTGCGTATCGCTGGACAGGACATTGTGATGGTTACAACAGCTGCCCAGATAGCCGTAATCGACAAGGAACGTCACATTTATGCCTTTGAGCCCTTCGTAGATCTAATATACGATGAGGTCGCTAGGGTCTCGCCCAAGAAGAAGTTCATTCTATGGCAGACCCCTGCCGAAGGTTATGTCTCAGTCTTCCCAAACCCCAGACAGATGACGGCTGCGCACACTGGGATAGCTCTGCTGCATAAACAATTCACGCAACCAGATGCGGTGCACCAATTTATGGCAACCTCACTGGCATGTGTGAACAACACACTGCAGTGGGATTCTTTCTATAAGACAAGCGTGCTTGCCTCGACCCCCACAATCAAGGTCATTTCTCTCGAATTCTTATGCCGTGACGTGATAATGGATGCGCAGGTTACGTCTTTCTTCGGTCCACGGCTACTCGAGCTGGAGCCCAATCTGCGATCCCTCCTCAAGAAATGGGACCTCGAAAGCTGGCGGGTCTCGTACAAACTCCCGTCTGCACTGTCCAGGCGTGCAACGTGCCTCAGGGATTATCTTATTGATATTCTCACTCAATACTACACCTTACCCGTGGAGCAGCGGGCGGGGTCTGTCGCATTCGTGAACGAGGTTTATGACGACTATAAGCATGCGGGGCTCTCTGATCGAGATATAGCCGGCATTGTCTTTACTATTCTTTGGGGGTTAGATTTCTCACCAAACGCCCTCTATTTCTGACCATATCATAACTGATCATAACTGAATCAACCACTTGCAGACTCAACACGAATGTCACTGTGGTCTCGTATTGGATGATTGCCCATCTCACGAACAACCCGACGGTTGTCAATCAGATCCGTGAGGAAATTACACCTGTGATGCAAAAAATTGATGCGAACCCCACGATCGACGGGCCTGCCTTGGCTGAGCTCACCAAGAACCCTCTCTTGAATGAATGTTTGATTTTCAACTCCACGTTCAATGAGACCATACGCTTTACTGCCACGGGGAGTAGTTTCCGTAAAACCACACGAGACACGACCCTGGAAGGTCGCCGTATTCCCAAAGACACCACGGTCGCAATCCCGCAGCGGGTGCAAATGATGGATGAAGAGGCTTTCGGCCCAGATTCATATACGTTTGACTGCTATCGGTTTTTCCGAAACAAGTCTCTCGTAAGGAAAGTAGAGTTCCGCGGATTCGGCGGCGGCACCACCTTGTGCAGCGGCAGAACAGTCGGCAGACATCAGGTGCTCGCCTTCTTGGCTATATTGTTGTGGAGATATGATTTGGAGGTAGTCAGACCTGATCAGGAAGCTCTCGGTGTGCGAGGGAAAGCTTTTCCTAGGTTGGATGAAGCAAAACCGAGTCTTGGGCCCGGGCGGACGATGGATGGGGATGATCAGATTCTGAAGATGACTCGTAGGAAAATGTAGAGAATATTTATAGTTACAACCACGATTATTCATGTTGTACTTTTGCATCTTCTTCATATTTTTGATGCTTCTGATGGGCCAATTTATGTAGGAGCTAGTTATAGTATTCAACAAAGACCAAATGTGACGGTGCCAAACCTATGCATTGGAAAACTATCTAGTCTTTTTAAACCTAAATAAATTTGCAGTAGCAAATTGTTCATTGTTACTTTCCACATGCCGTATTGTTGGTTTTACACGCTTTCATGTTTTGGACTTCTCAACTGATGGTTACATGATATAACGTTACTATCAGGTGCGTATAGTTCCAGGTCCCGCCCATAGAGAAGAAATAAAACAAAGCTTACATTCTACCCGAGGCAATATAGAAAGTCAACAAGTAGGTAATGGTGTCTTATCACCCATCCACTCAGCTTCAATGATCGACATTCTTGCCCCAGGAGGCATTGAAACGCCGAGAAACCGGAATCGTGAATCCGCCTCAGTGAACAAACTTTCCCACGCCTCCACATCTCTCTCACGGGCGTTATTGAAGGCTTTCATTGAGATATCCATGTATCTAAGATTAGCAGGTGTATCTTAGCCCAGTACTTCACATTTCACCGACATAAAACCTCAATGCAAAAAGAAATGGAACAGTCAAAAGGGACCCCTCACCTTAAATCACGTTCCGCCTTTATGCCCAGCTGCCCCGGCTCGGGGATGGAGATATCATTCACAACGATCCTGGCTCCTTGCTTCAGCGCTGGAATGAGATTCTGTAGGATCTTCACGCAATATGCATCTGACCAATCATGCAGAATCCAACGCAGAAGGTAGATATCCGCCCCATGAACAGGCTGTGGGGTCAAGAAATCATGCGCCATCCCGGTCACTCGGCCTTTAAGCGCGAGGGGTACCTGCGATTGCAACCCGGCGATAGTATCTGGGAGATCCTGAACGATGCAGCTGACATGAGAATACCGCGAAGCGATCTCTATAGCCACCTCTCCGTTCGAGCCGCCGATGTCGACGACTGTCCTTGTCGATTTATCGTCACTACCGGTATCGCCAAATTTGTAGTGGTTGAGCAGATAGGAGATATTGTAGTCCGGGTGGAGGTGGGAAAACCGCATTGCTGTGATGAATTGTTGGTGCCGATGATGGTCTTTACGGATTTCATTGAATGGGTTATCCCTCGTGCCATGCGCGAGTGAGTAGCCCTATACCAGCAAAATTGGCTCTATTTAATTATGGTGCCAGACGAAGTAATTATTCAGGGTGAATATTTGGCTAAGAAAGGGGGTTTTCTTACAGTCTCATTAGGTTCTTCCGACCCGGGCCACTTCTCTGTAGCGTCGACGGTCCGCGTGAACGCTGGCCAGAATTCCTCGGCGATATTGAGTAGCCAAGCTTTTAACATTGGATTCTTGCATAGGAGTTTGGAAGCAGCGGTGTGACCAATGACTCCCTTTTTAGGCTCCTGGAAGACATGGCGGCTGATGGCCACACGAAGAAAGCGGGTGAGATCCTTCGAGTTCAGCTTCGTTACTTGAGCGAGCTCGTCGAAGGTTATGGTATCTTCTAATGGCACATTTTCGGCGATCTGGTGCCGGTAGATGTATTGGAGGCTTAGAAGCAACAATTGCTGTTCCATGAGGGTCAGAAACGGCCGGCGATACATCAGCGGGGAAAGGACGAACATCTCCAGGGCAGCTCAAAAGAAGCCCTAGAGGACCGAGCAAAAGATTATGGAGCTCGTAGGTAGCCTCAATTGCCACCTCTTTGGCTTCCTGCACTCCGTGTGGTAGGCGTAACCCAGGAACAGACCCATCACCGTGCTGGTAAGATGGCTCTGGCAGCCCTTGAGATTTCACAAAGTCAAGGTATATCTTGGTGGTCGTCTGGATCTTTTCCAGCAGTTCCGTGACACTGCCAACAGCAGATTGTCCCGACGAACAACGAACCTGAGGAATCTGCCTCCTGAAAAGGAATGATGGGAATGGGTGACGATGCAATCGCCGCGGAATAAATTGGGTAAGCAACATCTGCGAGGTAAAACGTTGGCATGCCATTTTTATTAGGCTCGACGGGTCTGGAGGTTGTAAAGTAATATGAATCGATAGAGTAAGTAGAAAATTAAAAGGAAATATGTTCCTCCTAGCCTCATCATTCTGTAGGCACCCACTCCATACCCATCAGCTAGCTCAATTTACTACATGACCGGTTACGTCGGCACAACTAAAGCAACCACTGTCATTGGCTTCTTCTCATGTCAATCGGTTGCTATTCTCATACAGCGGATGAACGCGTCTATGAGACATATCCGCGTAATGTCACGGTATGTATCCGTATGTAACACAGTAATGTAAATCGGACAAACGGGCCCGACCCGTTAGCCTGCGTCGGTGGTGGCTGATCTGTAGTGGGGGCGACAGATCCTAGTACGGAGTGGTCTCCGCTGACCTAATGTTGGTTTTTATGGACCAGATAGGGGCCATCTCACACTTCTCCGCACGGAGATGCATACAACCATGGCCCAGATGCCAGAAAGGGGACATGTTATCTCGTGCTTCCCGCCCAACCAGATACAACCCGTCCCCATCAACACTATCACCAGCGTCTCAAAATGGCTATCACTGACTCCTCACCCAAAGAGACGCCTTATCTGGAAGGATGGCGACTAGCCGTCGTTATTACCTGTCTGTTCTTTGGATCTTTCTTGATCGCCCTGGACGCCAATATTATCAACGTCGCCATTCCACAGATTTCGTCCGACTTCCAAGCATTGGATGATGTAGCCTGGTATGGGACTGGCTATCTGTTGACCGTGACGGCCTTCCAGCCTGTCTACGGATGCTTCTATCGATTCTTCCGGACCGATATTGTCTATCGCGTGTCAATTTTTATCTTTGAAGGTGGGTGACGGCACCCTTCTCACCTACATTAGAGCACTGACGTTGAACGAGACATAGTGGGCACCATTCTGTGCGCGGCAGCAACCTCCTCGCCTATGTTTATTGTAGGGCGGGCCATTGCTGGTTTCGGTGCCGCTGGAGTTCTACAGGGGGCCCTCAGTATTATTGGACAGGTGGTGCAGCTGGAAAAGCGACCATTGTATATGGGAATAGTCATTAGTGTCTTCGTCATAACAGTCTGCATTGGCCCTCCACTTGGGGGGGTTTTTACTCAACACGCGACTTGGCGATGGTGCTTTTGGATGTACGTTTTCTTTCTGATGAGCTCTTCATTCGGTAATGTCTGAGGTGGTCTGATATGTCTTCGATCATAAGCAACCTACCCTTTGGTGCCGTCGTTCTCGGCGGACTCACCATCTTCCTCAAAGTTAACGGGCAGGAAAACGAGGAGCGTCGATTACCTCTGCCCACTAAATTGGCCAGCATGGATCCTCTCGGTTGCGCTATCTTTCTAGGCGCGGTGTGTTGCCTCCTGTTGGCCTTGCAATGGGGTGGCCAAACGAAGAGCTGGACTTCGTCGACAATTATTGGTCTACTCGTGGGCACAGCCGCATTAGCCTTACTGTTTGTCTACGTACAGTCGAAGAGAGGCGACCGAGCCCTGATTTCATTGCGTGTATTCTGCCGGAGGTCCGTCTTCACGAGCGCTATGGTCCTCTTCTTTCTCGGCGGATCGACATACCTAGTGAGTGGTGCTCCAATATTCTGTCTGTTGAGAAAAGATTCACATGTCCACAGGATACGTATATTCTTCCATTCTACTTCGAAGCCGTTCACGGGATCAGTCCAGTCTCAAGTGGGGTGAACTTCATCCCCCTAATGCTATCTGAAATGGTCACATTGGTATTCATTGGGGCCGTGGTCAAACAGTGGGGGCAATATGTAAGAGAGGGCGATAGACTTTATTCAACCTCCTATCGAATATATTCTAAACCACTCTCCTGGCTTTAGGTACCCTATATCCTTGTCGGCGAACTGATTTGCATTGTGGGCACGGCTCTTCTCAGTCAACTTCATCCACTCACCCGAACTGTTCAGTGGGCCGCGTATCTGGTGGTCACCGGTTTTGGCCTAGGGCTAGCGATGCAATTACCCTATACTGCTATTCAGGTGACACTGTCGTAAGTACCCGTACGAGAATTCGCGACTATGGTCAGTATGATTTTATTGATCGAGAGGGCTAACCGATGTTTACTTTTTCACCAAAAAAAAAGATCTTTGGACCTTCCTATAGGAAACGGTAGGCCGCTTACCTCAAATTCTATGCCCCTGGCGATATTTGTTTTCCTATCTAATAAGCAAACCGTGTAAAACTCGCCAACAGCAATTGCCGTGCTTTTCTACCAGCTTGGGGGGTTCGTCAAGCCGCAATCTACCCCGTTTTGTTGTCCCCAGTTTAAAATAATTGTAAACAGAGCAATTGCCATTGCTATGGCCCAGACTGTTGTCCTTAGTACGATTACCGAGGATCTCCAAGGACAGATCCCCGGCCTCACAAGTCATGATGTTTTCGAAGCCGGTGCCGCGAATCTCGAGACCTTAGCGCCGACACCGGCAGATCTCACACTGCTGCGTGAGATTTGGAATAAGGGTATACGGCGCACTATGATTCTGTCAGTGGCGTTGGTGGCGGCTGCAGTGCCGTTCACGTTGGGGATGGAATGGTTGAATGCTAAGAAGGTGGCGAGGAAGAGACAGGCACAGGAAGAGGGAAACAAGGACAAGGAGGAAAAGGGGGTTGATGTGACTGTATTCTCCCCTACAGAGCAGATGGTCGAGCTCGAGCAGCTCTCAAAATAGCCGAAAGTCGGGAACGGACGGTCATCACTGTAGGTTGGTAATCTACCAGTGACTCATGAAATACTGACTCCGAAGGAGAGCAGGTTATAAGCATGCTTGAGGACTTCAGTGGTATCAATGTTGTGATATGAAGAGAAAATAGAAGGATATGGAACAATGGTTCTGTCCAGGGTCATTTCGGTGTACACTAATTCCGGAGAAAGTCAAGAAGAATATTTACTCGTAATTAAACATATTATTCCAGTAGCCAATTCAAATGTTCCCATTGCACTTAGAGTTAAATAGCACCTGAATGGACTCCTCCTCACATCATTCGATATATCCACTTTCGGATATGCACTGTACCTACAGTGCACATGTAACATCAGTTTCTAATGTTAGGTAAATTTGGCAGCAATTTGAATCTCAACATTCAAGGATTGACGAGCACAATTATTGCTGTCGCGTTGTCAAAAAATAATCCACTTATTGGCCATCATTTCTCTCCAAATCCGGGGACTCTTTCACTCCCACTCTCTATTCAGAGGCGGTCTCTTGGTCGCCGGAACATTCGCTACCTCGAACTCTTTCCGAACATAGAGGACATCTAAGGGAACGATCGTCGCCCCAACGGCACTTCTTTGCGACTCGGTGTTGCCTTCCCCCCTCGGGCCGGACTCCCCCGGACCGTATCCTTTACGTCCAATGTTTGGAAGCTTCTGGTAGGGTGTGCGGTAGGCGGCTTTTCCGTAAAGGTGCTGGTTCTGCGACGTGACGAAGAGTTGACGGAATGAAGCAATGCAGGAAATGATGATTGCTGATGTTATATCTGGTTAGTAGAGAGGAAGACCTTCCAGGTAAAACCTGTATTGATTATCGAACACACCAGTTCCCATCTCAATGAAACTCCAGAAGTAGAGCCAAGAGATATCCACTGAACGATCCAAATCAATATTGATGACTACCCGGATGATAGCAACAGCCATGATCAGAATCGTAGCGGAGAAAACAGCCAACAATATGAGCTTCTTGCCGATTGAGATACGGATGTTCCAGAGCATGAGCACGGGGATCGAAAGGACTATTGATAAAGACAGTTATTTAGCAAATGCAACTTCTTTCATGCCAACCTCAAGAGAGAAAGAGGAGCTCACTCAACAGGTCGGTAATCACATCCCCCGCACAATTAGCCCAGAAAGTACGGTTTTCGTATTGTACATGACGTAGATCGGAGCATTGGACTGTTTTAAAGACGTGCCAGTATCAGTTTTTCATTCAATTTAGGTCTAGATGTCTGGAGTTAGGCACTCACTAAGAATATCCTCCAACCCCCCTAGACTGCATTTGTAGTCGATGTCGGCCACCGATGATATCCAAACCGCCGCTGTAACAGCTAAGACCACGTACCACCAAATACGGTGACTCTGGATTTTAGAGCCGAGTCGGAAGAAAAAGGCCAGAAACGAAAATTTAACACACCACAGGCTCGAGTAAAATAAGATTGTCAGTGGGGCGATAAACCGCATGAATTTTAAGAACTTGGGCAGAGTGTCGGGAGTATAGGATTGCGTGCCTGCGGAAATTGCGTATATCTCATACAGGACTTGCCCTTGAATCTGCCAGATGATGGCAGTAGTCAGCATGATAGACCATGCGAGGAGGACGAAGAAGTCATCCAGATAGAGGCGGCGGAAGGATCCATATCGGACAACGATGCGAAACAGGACGAAGAGAAAGGAGACCGCAGTAAAAGCCCACAGCATGCCCTGTAATCCGGGAACATACGAAGAGGACATGTAAGTATACTGTTAGATAATCTCAAAAGTGTTTAACAGCCGCTCACCAAGAACACCGGCTTAGACACTCTGGCATGCATTGTAAACACTGGTTCGTCCATGTTGTGTTCGCACTTGGAGGATGTCAGCTCTACCCAGGTGGTCTTTTGGCTATCAGTTGCGAGGGCTTCGCCCTGGTTACATATTCGTGCTGGATGCCAGACGTCCCTTCAGCTGTTCATCAGTCACCACTGGACCCTGCACATTTGCTTATTTCCATGGGGCATTTCTGTACCTTGAGCCAGGGGTTATTGAAGGCTAGTTTCGGATCCTATGGAGACTTACACACCACATATGCATTGCGCTCACTACCTATCTGATACAGCTGTATTTGATTATGAACCGTCATCATGCACGCATGAGACCCCTCTTTTATTCTGCCCAGTTCTAGGCGCTGATTGCTCGAGGTGATATTGGCTTATCGGGTATTATGGGCCTCAGTCGGCTCCGAAGAGCAAGGCTGCTGAGCGCCTGCGTACGTTATAGCGTAAATTGGTTCGCTAAATGGCTCATGTAGCCCAGTGTCTTCCTGCTTTCCTGAAAATCATCCCACGAATACTACGGGTGCAAACAACTCATGCAAAGGAGCAATAACATCATGCTGCAAATCATTCTTCCTTGTCTTGCAGCGGCGACTGTAATGCTCTTGATAATTCACGCTCGGGGAGTACTTGACAAGAGTTCTCCCACCACTCCACAAACCATGCCTTACACTATACCAATCCTAGGGAGTACCCTATCTTTTGTGTTTGATGGGCCCAAATTTTTTCTCCAGGCCTCGTGAGTATTCTACCATTGCCCACCGTATCAAATCCCCAGACTGAGGACGATCAGCGGCTTCTGTCAGGGCCGTTGGCCACTGCGCGTAAATCTGCTGAATGATGAGATCTACCTAGTCCAAGGGTCTAAGAACATAACATCTGTCTTCAACAACCCGGTGGTCACAGTGACGCGAGCTTATGGTATTGTGCTAAAGTATTGCTTTGGAATGGACCAGAATGCGGTTGATGTCTACGTCTCTGATACGTCAGGTTCGCGACATCAGCCTATACCAGGTAGTCAAACGCCATCAAGCCGCCGCGTAAGTTACCATACACATGAAAATCTTGTCCAGGGTCTTCTAGGAAGCGGTCTTGGCCCAATAACATATCGCATGGAAGCAAGTCTGTTAGCTTGTTTAAACAAGGCAGTGCCGAACTCACCTGACTGGACATATGGGGAGGACCTAACGACGTTCTTTGAGGAGCATCTCGGAACAGCCATTCTGCAGACTCTTTTTGGGCCTCTCTTATTATCAGAAAATCCGAACTTTAATCGAAATCTATGGCAGTACGATAAGCAGATCATGGCTTTGGCTAAGCGCTTGCCGGCCTGGCTGATCCCGGGCCCGTACCGTTTGCGAGACGAATTAATCCGTGCGGTCATGAAGTGGCATCAACGGGCAACCGAACTCTCAGAAGCAAGTCCAGAGAATACACTAGCCAATGAAAGCGAGGTTGATGCTTACTGGGGCTCAGCCATGATGCGCGAAAGACATCAGATGCTGCTGAAGATCGAAGGGCAGGACCTTGAGTCGGTGGCATCCACAGATCTAGGCTTAATTTGGGCGTATGCTGTGACATTTCCCTTTAAGTTCCCCGGGCATGATTTATTTCTTGCTGTGCCATGACTGACTCGTTCTCTTCCCTCGAGCCAGTTCTGTCACAAATGTTGTCCCCTCCACCATGACTCTTTGTACTCAGATATATCGGGATGGATCCCTTGTCAGTGACCTCCGCTCTGCGCTGCGCGCATGCATTCGGCCAGGGAAAATTCCAAGTTTTGACATCGAAAAGATTGGGAAGCAACCGCTCCTACTCTCTATGTACGCGGAAACTCTGCGCTATGGGGTCCAGATCCATATTCCCCGGTGCTCCCCTCACCAACCCATAGTCATGGGAGGTGCCATCATCCAACCTCAAAAACTAGTCTTTATCAATACTGCGCTGGCGCACAATGATGAACAGGTGTGGAACACCCAGGGGGGTCAGTATCCGCTGGATACTTTTTGGGCACGGCGATTCCTCATCGACCCGACCCAGAAGGACAGTGGGCCTTTGAAATGCTTCTCCTCTTCGTCCGACCAAAAGACAAGGACAGATCAAGACCAGCGCACAGAAAAATTCACCATCGAAGGATTGGAAGGCATTTGGATTCCGTACGGAGGTATGTGAGATTGTCTCTTCCAATGCTCCGGCTGCAACATTTATCTCACCTTCCACCCGAACCACTCCCTGCTCTTACGAGTTGCGATAGAGTGAGTACATGCAGGGCGAAGGATGATAAATGACCACACAATATCATGCAATTTCAAATTCAGTATTGCTCCCATTAACATACATTCAGGCGGGCAACATGCATGTCCCGGTCGTGTTGTAGCCAAGCGCATTATGTTGCTCACAAGCGCCATGATGGTAACCATGTTTGACGTTGAACTTCTCGCATCGGTATCGGCTTTACGCTTTTCATCGCCGCGATTTGGGTTTGGGGTTCGGAAGCCATCGAAGCAGGTGCCATTTCGTATTCGGCGTCGCACCGACTTAACAAAGAAGGGTGAGTGACTACTGGTCAGCGCTCACTTTGTAGGCCAAATGAGCAGTAGTTACTGCAGATTGGTCCACTGATATGGTAGTCAGATACTAAATTTAACTTCATGTCTCATTTTGGCCATTGCTGCAGCTGCACCAATTAACATGCCTGAGCCTGAGCAAGAGACGGCTATAATCTACGCTCCCTTTCTCACCTACGAAGATTAGTGGGTATACGATATCTCCTTATTCTGCCTCATCACAACTACAACAACCGGTATTCTCTCAAAGTTTGTCACATCTATGTACAATCATGTAAACTATGGAATCGAAATATGTCCATCTTCAATCGAACAATCGGCGACTCTGCTGGGGAGTAAGAAGTTGGAACCGCACTAAACCTAGAGCGGGTTGAGTTTGGGGGTTGGATTTACCATCTCTACTTACGCTGATCAATATGCATGGCCACCGGAGATACCTACGAGTTGGGCGGTGGTTTCATTGCTGTTACGTGTTTTCGGAGCCTAAGAAGAAAACTAGCTTGAGTTTCTGTGCTAAGCTCCAGAAATACACCATCTGTATATGCAGCTATATTAACTAACTATATAAGAAAGGATGTAGCTGGACGGGATTAACTGGGCAGAATCCAAACATGTTTCCAAGGATTCATGATGAAGCTGATTCTCTAGATGCATGAAGAATAAGACCATATATCCCTGTGTTATCCCCTGTCCTTATGTACCCGAGATGCACTGTAACTGTAGGAATGTAGGAATAGCATATTCCCGAAGTATTCAATGTGGGAGGAGATAACTGGGGAGGTAAAAGGAAGTGAGTTAGAGGTGGCAGCTGTAGTTAGCCTAGTTTGGTTAGATCGGCTTTGTTTACCTACACGTAGGTAGCCGGGCTCCCTTGATAGAGACAACTGAATACAACAATAACGAACCTACACTTTACCTGTGTGCACACCCCTGTGATACCAACAGTAACTTACTAGTTTGCATTTTTGTTCAGTATGTGAAGAATATGATCACAGGTCACGTGATGACTAGTGATTCCGAGGCTAATTATAGTCTCAACCCCTGAGTTGTATGTAACAAGGAAGAAGTAATACACAGAGATTCAACGCATCGAATCAACTCCTTATCAATACTAACAAGCAACTGATCATTAATCACTATTACTAAATGATATTATTCCTCTGAGTCTATACGATCCATTCACCGAATTCTTTACACAGTACGATTCTAAAATCCAAATTGCGTAGGTAGCTAGTAAAGACCCAGTTATGAATTTTAATATCTACGGGTATCTTATGAGCCAGGTAATTTAGACCAAATCGCTGTAACCTCTGTATAACATCGTTTGTGATATATACAACTTTATTGGTGACCTCACTTAGTCAAGATAGGCAATGTATATATATAGTTTGGCCGCAACGGGTCACCTGTCGTTGAGGTCTTACGCACAAGCGTATGACCACAACGTCAGAGAGGGTCCCGTCCGCGCTCCCTTGTAGGGAGGCAATTGTCTGTATTGTAATGGCACTATGAATCTATGTACATAGGGAGGTGGGTGGGAAAATCAAGTCTTGACTGCGTGAGAGATAGAGCTCCGAAATGAATAAATGAATATGATTATTGACCATATTCATATTCATGACTTATGAATATGATTAAAATGAATATTATTCATATGAATATGGACCATATTCATATTCATATTCATATTCATGAATATTTCCGGGTGGACTATTTTTCCGCGCTGGCAAACAGCCGTGCCCTACATAGATACATATTAACCGCCACAGAATCAGCAAATTTGATGTGAGCTTCTTCAGTTTATCTTATATTAGCCATAAGGGTACTAATCACTCTTAAGTATGGATATAGTACTAGTAGTATGAGATCCTTTTCTTAAAATAACGAGAATCTTGGCTCAAGGAGAAGATATATATATGAAGTTCTCAAGTTCAATCATTAATTCAGTGCATGGCCTATATAATCATGGTGTGTAGTTTAGATAGAACATTCTAGGAAACGCTTTCTTACTTTGCAAGTGGCAAGTCTACTTGAAATTCTCTAGAATGATTCCTCCACCCATTTGTCACGTATAACATATATGACTAGCACTATTATATTTCATGTATTCAACTTTAACATAATGTTTACCTTTTTTATTTACATTATAGCTAGGAATGGATTAGACTAAGTAGCTACATGACGGACAAAGCTAAATATTGTTTAGTATATAAATTGGGGGAATTAGGCTCTTCCAGATTCCTAATTCTCTTTTCCAAATATCTGTCTCCGAGTATTTCACTTGATATTCCTTCTTGTTCCTTATTTATTATAGAGCTTTGTTTATACCCTCTTCTCATAGCTTTTTCTCATGATTCATCTCCTTGAATAACTCGAAAGAGACCTCGTCGCGATTATAATGCCTTGAATAATGGCATAGTTTCTGACGCTTTTCCATGGCGTGATGAAGCAGATACTCTTGACTCTTCCTCCCCTGAATCTCTATCTTCTGATATGTCTACTCTATCTAATGAGCCTGTGCCTGCATCTTATCAAAACATATCTTCTGACGAACTGAGTTTGGTATTATCTGAATCAGCTTCATAAGGATTGAAGTCTCCTCAATAGAATTCAGACAATTCTTCTCAATTGGACCAAGAGAGTGAGTTCGACGAGACTCCAATGAAAAAAAGAAAGAGATCATGTACTGGCTGGACTGCCGACTATTTTAATGTTATAGGCCTTGAGACTACATGGTGTCCTAAAGGAGGCTATCACAGAAATGATAGACTTCTTTTGTGTAAGTGATGTAATTGGTTATCAAAGGACTCTACTCGACAGGGTGCTATGACCAATTTAGCTATATACCTTTACAAAGAACACTATATTAAATAGAACATAATTATACCTCTAGCTGGGCCTCTTAATATGTTCATAGAACCAGCTAAGTCTAGACTTAATCCTATGCAGGCTCTTCTTCGCTGGGTGATTGAAACATAGTAGCCTTTTACAGTTGTTGAACATCCTACATGGAAAGAACTCCTTAAGAGTCTAAATGCTAACTGTCCTATCAAAACTGCAGATACTCTTTGAAATTGAGTTTAGAGTGAATATTCGAGTTGGAGGAACCAGTTAAAGCAGGACTTAGCTAATACCTACCGATCGATTTTACTTTCACTTAACATCTGGACGTCAGATAACTAGATATTATTTCTTGCTGTTATCGGCCATTGGCTCACTCTAGAGTTTAAGCTTCGAGAAGATCTTCTTGAGTTTAAAGAGATTAATGGATTGCACTCTGGCGAAAATCTGTCTACAATTGTCAAAAGTGTACTTGAAGCATTTCAAATCAAACATAAGCTTCTAATAATCACCGGAGATAATACTAGAAATAATCTAACACTCTGCGATTATCTTCATGCAGACCTGTTAAAAGATTTTGACGAGAAAGATAGTCTATTCTGTATAAAACCACTTATGTGGTTCTGGGGTCGGAATAGCTTCATTGGATGTCTTGCACATATACTGAATCTTATCTGTAAGGATATTCTGGTATCCTTAAAGACTGGTACAGTCTGTGATGCACATATTATACTTAATAAGATGCTATCACAGAAGGATTATTCACCTAAAACACTGATTTCAATGAAAGGTGCTATTGTTAAGATCCGTCTTTTAGCCTTATAGATTAGTAATAGCCCCCAGTGAAGGCAGGCATAGAAGGATATCTCTCCCTGCAAGCAAATCAATTATAATATTGATATTCGCTAGAATTCAACATATAATATAGTCTCTGAAGCTCTTCAACTTCGAAAAGAAGTCACTCAATTTATTTGTGAACATCCAGACATTCGAGAAATGTAACCAATAGATAGTGACTTGTCAACACTAAGACAAATTCAGAAGATCCTGAAGCCATTCTAGGACCATACTAACTCTATCTCGAAACATTGCCCAAGCATCACTAAAAGTCTTCCAATATACTGGAGTCTTAATGATATTCTTGACGATATTAAAAATAACGAAGGCGACTTTCAAGAGATTACTAAGGAGGTTCAAAATGCTGTTGAAGGAGGAATCCAGAAAATGGATAAATTCACCAAGAAGATGGATTCTAATATTATCTATTACGTGGCTGCCATTCTTGATCCACGGGTTAAGACCTCCTTCATCCGAGCTCAAATAAGCAAGTCTGATGCAGATGTGATTGTTTCTGATATACGTGAATATCTTAAGAAATAATATCCTGCAAGCCCTACCTCTTCCTCTAGTGCAGAGCGTCCACTAGGTATGCTAGGGACATTATAGAAAAAGCTTAAAAAAATCCAGCCTCTACAATCTGTAGATATAATATCAGACATTGATTGGTATCTAGATTTAAGCTCTAAGATGTGGTCTTATGGTATGATAGAAGATGGGGATCCTGACTGGATATTGAAATGGTGGAAAGTAAATGTCTTTAACTACCCCCTAATATTGAAAGCTGTACAAGACTATCTTCCTATTCTGTCTGCTGAAGTAGGCGTTAAGAGATTGTTTAGTAACGCATGAGATATTCTAGGTATTTGGAGACACTGCTTGAATTCTGAGATGTTTAGATGGCTGATGTTTCTTAAGGGACAATATGGTAAAGAATGCCAGGACTCGGCATAAAAATGTTTAGGATTTAGGAAATGGGGTTTTCATCGAATTTTAGTAAGCTTGCTATTTGTATATAGTTTTTCTGTAAGTAACTATTCAAAATTGATCTTAGGAGCGAGTTCAAGATTCAGCTGCCTCCCTCATCTTTTGTGGATATTCATGAATATTCATATATTCATGAATTTAGTGAATATGAATACGGGTCATATTCATATTCATTTAATTCATATTCATATTATTCATATTCGCAAATATTCATGAATATGAATATTATTCATATTCGTTTCGGAGCTCTAGTGAGAGATGACGAGCAACTTGCGGAGGGGAGCGGCTGATTCTCATGAGGCAGTTGTAAGAAGGAAGAACCCCGCAGTACGCAGGACGTTTGGTGAAGACTAATCTGCAGTGTGATTGTCATGTGAGGCAACCCCAATAAAACAATCTCATATATACGCACCTTATTACGGTAGATTTCCTTCGCCACCTTACTTCACTGAAGAAAGCTAAATGAATTGAGTCGCGGACAATTTGGTAGCCTCAAGTATCTGCTCTTGTGAAAGATAGTAAACGCGACGTACGTCTCCAATGAACACTAATTTTGTCACACAAGCTGTCATGATAATGAATAATACCTGAAAAACCAGTGATCATTAGACCTTGTTGTTCTGTCATCACGTAAGCTAATAACAACTACGCACCACGAGTGGATAGCATCATCCAGTTATCATAACCAACTCCGCGAATAGAAATTCTCGCATAGAAGCGCAAGAATAATAAAGCACGCAAATACCAGACTCAGTCCAGAAAATGACTATTAGCTGTGGCCCTCGGTTTTGATCAACCCACCGGAGGGGTCATTTGGGCTGTTTCTGAAGAAGACGACATGTGAAATGGTTTGTTGGGCAATCTTCAGACATGGAAACCTCGAAAGTCTTCGATGGTTCAAGTACGGTTGTAAGCAAAGGTTGAATGGAGGACGCCGAATGTCTGTACTCTTCGTTCTACCATAATCATCATCCTGTACCCGTCTAAAATCAATGACATCCATGGATGCTTAGCCCAGAGGGATGACATTCAGGTAGTCACCTCAAGGCAGTGTTACGTCTGGGGGCCGTTTTATGGACTTCAGCGCTCCGATTAACTCTGGCTTCAAATTTGATATTTGATATTTCCGTCAAGTTATCTGGTGCAGCGTGCATCGGTCTGGGTTACATGGCATGACCCCGATGTACGTGAATCAACAAGGCAGCATGTTGTGTTACTAGTTCATTACAATGCAATATTCCGAGTAATTCACCATTTCTATCTTGGGACATCACTCGCCCCGCTCCGGAATATCGCGAGACAGAAGCATATGAAGACCCTGGATGACGGACGCCAGTCGGAACTAAACCCAGCTATCTGAACTTAAAAATAGGTAATCAAGTAGATGCGGAGCTGAGTATTCTACTCCGTACTCCCTGCGGCTAGTGCATAAGTACAGGTACGGGATGCCAAGTATACCTGCCGAAATACTCGCCGATGCTGATTATCCCTGCATCTTGGCCAATTTTCGAATCACAACTAGAATTAAGTAGTACTGTCTTACCCAGATTAGCCCCTTCAGCATTGTCTAAACTATTACGTAGTACAGAAGTCAAGCATGCCTTATAAATAGTCCCTAACGCTGATAACCCATGCAAATTCGAGTAACATACTATTGAAGGTAATAGCATGTTGATATGGTGGGTTTTCCTTTGCCTAAATGAATCCTATCTAGTACAGTGTTGTCTTTAATTAGTCAATATGGATTTGTTGGATTGTACGTAATAATCTCAAGCGATATATCTCAACGTATCAAATTATGTATGTAAGAGTATGGAATCCTTGATTCTTGTTGTCCTTGTTCTTCTCTCTAAGTACAGCCAGGGTGGAAGATATCTTTTACCCCCTATTCCGTGGATCAGTGTGTGGCTCGCTGTAATGACCGGGTTGAACGATAGTTCGAGTACGAGGGTATGGGTTACGAACACTTGAAGAAGCGAATACTAAGGAATCCACACACAAGAGATACGAACTAAGATAGAGCAACAGTAGCAGATGGTACGAGTAAAATTGTACGAGAATAATCGCTTGACCTCCGAGGATTCCCTGCGAAGATCTACACTCTATATACACAAGCACTCATGCACCGGTCAGGCGCCGAGAGGGGTAAGGAATAACTACTATGGTCTACCCAGGTAACCTACAGTATCCATCGCCGACGAAGAGGTCGGAGTACGTAGCGCTATTTTGAACTAGGCGATTGCGTAGTCATATTTGTGTGACGTTCGCTTGTGTTGGACATGGGGATTATTTCAGCATAATCTCTAGTTAATTACACCTTGATTTCGGTTTGGTCTGTTTTGGCTGTCTATATAAGTACAGACTTGCGGTTGACAGGCCTGACAGGTGTGTCGAACCGACAGGCCAATCAGCTGACAGTGTCAGCCGACTATCTGACCACTATCCGACAGCCCCAAAATTTCTTGGCAAATATTTACATCTCTCTTTACAATCTATTACTACCGCTATGTTTTTAGCAAGTTCATAAATACAAAATGGATAAAAAGAGATTCATGATAATATGAATATATAATTAGTTACGCCACAAAATATTATAGAAGAGTATCTAGAATTCCTTGCGCGGCCCAGTCCTTTGCGCATTCTGATGCTTCAAGCAGTCGTACACTAGTCTTCGTACGATCCCATGGGACACGACGACGAGTACCTGAAAAAACCCTCTCTGGCTTGTCACTCATTCTGGGTATCGAGAGAACTTCGATTTACTGGGTATCGAGAGAACTTCGATTGCAAGCTGTGAGAGCCGTGGATATCTTCCATGCTGGATAGGCTGACTCCACCATTGAATGGCTGTTGTATCATTATCCAGCATAACTGGGTTTTCATTAATATAGTTATCAAACTCGTCCTGGCTCGGTGGACGAGTTTGCTTCAAAATCTGCATTCGGCGAACTTTATGGAAAGCAGAGAGATTTTCCTCTGGCTGGAGAGCATGCTTGCCTACACTTTCAGACTCGTATAGCGCAGCTGAAAATGGTAGTTTGTCGCGGAATCTCTCCCAGAGCTTCCGTACGATATAGAGCTTCTTTTCTCCTTCGGTGATGATCCTCCCATTCCCATCCTTTAAAAAAGCTATCCGACATTGTGGATTGAGAATGCGCGCTGCTAGATAGTATGGAGAATCGTCTAATCTCTGGACGTAGGTTGCACACTTTTCCTGAGCACGCTGGAGTCGAGGAGCCATAAACTTGTCTTTAGCTTTATTAGCTGTCTCCTACAAAGAGAGAATTAGTTAAAGAAACATGGTTAAAAGTTTAGTACGACTTACCAATGTAGTTTGTATTATACTCTGAAGAATGTCAATTGATTCCAGAGCCCGTTCTAACGTTGTGCGATCCCCCTGAAGATACAGGGTTGCTTCATGAAAAGATTGAAGGAAATCATGAATTGACCGAAGTTGTACCCATTCACTTGTTGTAAGGATATCATCTTTCGAGATATTATCTTGATAATGCTCCACGTAAAGTTGAAGCGCAGCCTTGACTTTATCCTCTAGAGCCACGCTTAACATAGTAAACCAGCTATTCCATCTCGTACGGTTGTCAAGAGGAATGATTTTACCAGCACGATCTTTGAACCATGTTGTGCGATTAGCGGACTTGCGGATATGCACAACATTGTTGTGGAGTTTTCCCATTGGTCCCATGATATCTCGAATGTTTCTACCATTTTCGTCAGGCAATAGCTCCCAGCCTATTTCCTCATTTTTCTTCCTCCTCCTGTCTTTCGACTTTGCTGGTAGTGGTATTGATTGTAAGGCTTCTTCTTCAGCCTCTTCTCCTTCCTGTTCCTCATCTTCCTTATCGTATAACTCCATGAGCTTCTCGTCCTTTTTTGAACTGAACAGAAAGGCTTGAACGATGAGATTGATGACATGTCCTTGACAGCGAATTCTTTGATGCGTTGCGGTCCACGCAATCTTATGTTTGAGGCTAAGATATTGGCCTATCATACGACAAAGGACGTCATTTGATCCAGCATTATCTCCAACCAGGGCTCCAATCTTCGTTTCAATTCCATACTCAATGAGAACCGGACGAAGCGCCTCCCACTGATCTGCTCCACTCTGACTATGTACTGTACGAAGGGCAATCAGAGAGTTCTGATATTTATCCTGGATATCGACAAAGCTGGCACATATTCCGAGAAGAAGGGAATGACTCGGAGAAGTCCAAATATCAACAGCAAGATGGATGTTCGTCTTTGCTGATTGAAGTACTTTTCGCACAGTATCCTGGCTTTGGGCGAAGTGTTCAACAATCCATTCTGTTATTGTTGAATGATGAATAGGAATAAACGAGGGCGATTCTCGATTCAGTGCTTTAACGAAAGCGTGAAACTCCGGCCATTCTACGCAGGAGAATGGAAGACGTCGCATGATGATGAGATTTAAAAGTGTTCGTTTCACGGCATCTTGCTGTACCGTCCGCCTTAGAACTTCACCCTCAAGACCCTGAACTTCTGCCTTTGTTAAAAGCTTTCCATATAGGTCGTGAACCGAAATCTCCCCGAGATTTCTCGCCGTCGTACTAACACCATTCTCTTCCGGGCTCCATTGAATCCCATGGTCTCTCCGTAGATGACGTTGCAGCCCTTGGGTTGATGCATGGTGTCCTTTTTCATCTTGCGGAGGGCAATATTTGCAGAAATATTGTTTTTTAGTTCGGGTCTTTTCCTCTCTCGTTGCAGTACGACAATGTTTGTGGATTGAAGAGGATAGTCTCGGGATTGGTGTAGAACGACTCGTTGAGATAGAGCCCACATCAGCTTCGGTGTCAGCGGCGCTCAAAAAAGAAGAAGATGTATTGTCGGAACGTGAATATCAAACCCTACGCGTTTCGGCACCAGATTAGTTAGTCGGACGTGGCGCGTGCGTGCCTCGTATATATCTAGCTAGCTATCCCCATCCCCCTCGTTCTTGGGGATCAGTCACAATATTAGGAATCAAGATATCTTCATATTGTCAGGCTCATTAGGCCGCTTCGTGTTCGTGCCTTACTACCGTCTATGCTTCGTGATACGGACCGTAGTTAAACCGACATGTATTTACTTCAAGAAAATCATTGTCGTTCAGAATTTCACTATGGTTAGCCATAATGTTTTTGTTTTTCAACTTCTCTTTCCGTGAGGATTCTGAGGAATAGTTGCCAAGCCCTGTCGGACACTGTCGAACCGACAGGCTGTCAGCTGATTGGCTGTCGGTTCGACAGTTTCAACTCGACAATCTGTCAACCGCAAGTCTGTATATACACACATATGTGTGCACGGACCACTTCCTTATCGGAACAACACATCCACCGAGATATCTATATTCAACAGTATGGTTTTAAGGAGACAATAGTGCCTTTGCACCTGTGTGTATTAGCATCAATTAAGAGCATTTGCACTACTTCTGTGTCCATACTCCATAGTGTCTTTACATGATTTCATTGCTTCTACACGGCTTTCGTGCCCCAGCCCACTTGTGTATTTACGTAATATGGTACCTGCATTATAGTGTACTGACTCTCTTGTGCATTCACACTACTGTGCTCTTCCATTCAGGTGTTTTAGCACACTGGTGTTCTTGCACCTTGGTGTCCCTATATCAAGGTGTGTCTTCACACATGGTGCATTTGCACCATCACCGTGCGTTTCCACTTCCCCCGTGCCTTTACACTGGGGTGCGTACACAAGGAATCAGTGTCGTTGCATAAATTTCAAGCGGCTACACTCAATAGTCTTTCCACTAGATAGTCTCTGCACTATTTTATGGGCTTTGCTCTTTTGACTCTGGACACAGTCATGGTGTGTGATTCTTTATGTAACCTATGGTTGTCTCTGCATTGCAGTGGCTTTGCTCCTTAGTACCTTGACACAGTTATAGACATATAAATTTGATTGCTACCATTTGGGTATCTTCCATTCTTTAGAACTTTTATTCACGCAAACATGGACTCTACAACCAGTAAATTCGATAGAGAGCGTTATTTCTATGGCTACGCGAAAGTCAAGCTTCACCACCTCAAATGTCAACCTAACAATACCATTAGGATTAGATAGCTAGATCCTGACAATATTAAGCGCCTGGTCAGGGTCTTTGAAATAGAGGGCTGCAATTGTCTGGAGCCTGAACATCATATTGCAGTTCAAATCAGTGATGATATCCTTACGCAGAGTCTATCACGAACACATATAAGTCTGGAACAACTCAAAGAGTCTTCCGATCCGCCTCTATTAGACCTCGGACCTGATGTGAAACTGCTATGTACGCAAGGAAAACATCGACTGGAAGCATGTCGTCAGTTTGGAGAGTACTAGTGGGTGGTAGAACTGTACCGTCATAGTTGGAAACCCTAATCCGCAAGATACTGAATAAAACTGATAATCCTAGATCTATCAAGCACCTTATGGACCCAGCTGTGTGAGGAGTCGTCAAATGAGAAGCCTTTCAGCGATGGTGATATATATCGCGCCTTTCGCCAGTATGAGATACTCGGGAATAGCAATTGAGCCCAAAGGTGGTTCAATCGATTCGGTTCGCTGGAGAAAAAAAAGAATGTCAAATGTCTACAGCACAAGCCACAACTTTGCCATGGCTTCGACCAATTACTGCCGTATGGGGCGCTGTGGAAGGGGTTCACGGCAGATAATTTCCGCACCGTCCTTGACATGGGTCATCATGAAGTAGGCTACATGCTGCCCAACAGATTGCACACGCTAATCAGTGATTATAGCAAGTCTCTTATTACCTCAATCGAATTTATGAGCTGTGGTCAGCGTTCTTGCCCGAAGCGCAGGGTACAGTGGGATGAATTATGTGTTGGCACCCCCCTTATCCGAAACTCCACACCGCCCTTTATTCTGCCGACAGAAACGCGTACACATCGCGTTGCACACAAATTTACATATATTCTCTATAAATCTAAATTTTTTTATATAAATGCCTCCACCACAGCAACGTACAGCGCGCAGAGAGCTTGACCCCTGTATGAGAGCTCGTATATGTGAGCTCCATACAGAGGCGCACTGGGGTTATAAACGGATACACCGCGCGCACCCGGAAATCCCTATATCAACTACCGTCCCTCACCGCCTGAGGAATAACCCTACCTGAGGAATAATTTCAACGGCTTACTGTACAGAATATTTTGAAGCTTTACAACACCACATAATAATTAAATGTTGGGCTTTTGACCAACTAGACCAAAAAGCTGCGCGCATACTAGATGATCTAGTATGGATGTAAATAGCTGGCAAAGGTGATATGTGATGTGAGGTGATATTCCCAACATTAAATATAGTGAATTTCTGGTGTAGCACTAAATAAGCTATGGCGAATCTAAAAAGCATAAAAGTTAATCGCGAAAACGTGCAGGGGGCCGTATCGCGCGGCCCCTACGGTTTGTAGTAACAACCACCTCATTATCCTCCACATGAGCCTCAGGTTGCACTCTTGGCTTTGCTTGCCTAGAAATTTGCTTTGTAGGCCTTTTTGAAGCCTTTGGAGTTGATATAACATCATTTTGAAGCTGTAAATCAGCTAGCTTAGCCAATTCTTGCTCGTCCTTAAGCCGTTGCTTTTCCGCAGCCTCTTGCTCACGCTGCTCGCGTTTTTCTTGTCGGATTTGAGCTCTTTTAACCTTTTCAGCCTCTCTAGCTTGCTTTTTAAGCTGTTGTTGAAGCTTTTTATCATCTTTATGAACCTGCTTCTGCGCGGCTTCGTCATTTTTTTGAGAAATAATATCACGAGCTTGCTGAACCTTAGTAGGGCTCATAAAAAGCGCTCCACCATCTTGTTCTGATGGTAAACCTAGTAATAAAGGCTGTTTCTTGTTTTTAGGCTTCTTTGCATTTATGAGAGCTCTTTTCAGGCCTTGATTCTCATTTTGAAGCAAGATAAGCTGAGTAGAAAGATGTGACACCGTTTCTCGAAGCTGTACAGCCTTTTCATCATAAATATTGTTAACAACAGTTTTAACAAGCTTCTCAAGCCGTCTCCAATCTTCTGGAGGAATAATTGAAGCTCCGGATTCGCTTGAGGATGGCCGGCTGGTGATTTTCTTGTTGAATTTGTTGATAACAATCTCCGGATCAAAGGGATATAGACCAGTCGTTCTGAATGCTGAATTGATATTCTTGCTTATAAAAACCTCATTCCAGCTAGCCCAAAAAAGGCGAAAAAAGTCACGTTTAGTGAGCCGGGTGAAGCCTTGGCTATCCCTTATAAAATCATCCAATTGCTTCGTATAAGCGTTAGAAAGAGGCGAGAAAAGAGCGACATCAAGAGGCTGTAAAGTATGTGTTGCATGAGCCGGAAAGATTGCTAATAGAATTCGATTCGAGTCGCAGTATTCAAAAACTTCATTGTAACGTGGGATCCATGCCCATCGAGGATAAGAAGGCGCCATCCCCGGCTTGCTTGAGATTTTGTCTCTTTATCAAAAACATCCACCAACCAGCGATATCCGATATCATTATTAGTCCACCCTGACTCTGAGGCTGCAAAGAAGCATCTCTGTGTTTGGGGATCATAATCTTGAAGCCAAGAATCCTATATAAAGCCCGATTTTGCCATATAAATAAGACTAGGCGCTAAAGCAGTTCCATTGGCACAGATACAACCAATTGTTGTAATCCATTCTCGATTTCCATCCTGAAGATGCTGCTTATAGCCCCCTTGCTCATATTTGCGCCGAGTAAAGATTCTTTTCCGTTTTGTGCTTACTCCAAGCATGAAGCCCTTCTCATCCATATTATAGATTTGCTCTGGGCCGAGGTTATATTGCTGTATTTTCCGTCCAATAAGCTCAAAATATAAAGCATATTTATATGCCGAATCTGCCTTTTTTCTATCCGAATCAAGGCCCGTTGAATAGCGAGAAATCACCTTATCCGAATGAGCCTTGAGCCAGCGTGAAGCCCAGTTTTTCCCAGGCTCTTTACCAGATATTTCTCTTGCAAAGTTCGCTAACATTGAATTTGTAGGGGGCAGGCCTCGCTCGGTGAGTTGATTTATCCATTTTATAAGCGCTCTTGATTGCGTGGTGGTGAGTATTCGTTGCTTGTCGTATTGCTCTTCTTTTGAGCCTGTAACGCCGTGAAAACGTTTATAAAGGCCCGATTGGCTAACGCCGTATGTTCTTGCAACCAAACTAATATTAGGCTTTTCTCTAGGATCCGCTGAACGTAATGCTGCAAGTGCGAGCTCCATTGAAGCCATATTGGTTGATATATCGCGGTGTGAAATATTCGCGATTTTTCGCGTTTTGGGGTAAATTTATTCCTCAGGTGGGTTTATTCCTCAGGCGGTGAGGGACGGTATTACGGCGGACTAAATGCGGATTTCACCACTTAATTCAAATTTCCATTTTGCCGAAAATAGAGTTTGTATTATCCGTAACACTTTGTAATATTCACATATCGCCACATGTCAATTTTGATTGGATCATATACTCACCGCCCTAATAACTGCCATCGTATTCATCGTATCGCTTCATTGAATCGCTTCGTTATATGCTTCATCATACAAGTATCTATCTGTCAGCGTGAACGCTGTCTGTTGCGAATGCGTTCAGTACGTACTCGAATGCTACAAAAATTTCTGATCATTTGAAATATAAAAAAATATAGAGCAGGAAAAAGAGCAGGGATTTAATTATTAGTAAGCAGAAGTAATAACGACAGCAATTCCAACCTCTCAAGCAACCCCCTTTAACCTTCCTTCTTGTTCCCCGTCCCCCCAGAAATAACTTAGAAACTGAACCTATAGTAATATTAGTATATGATGTTACGATGGTGTTATAAGAGCTATGCTTACTCGAAGCATGCAGAATGAACACCGAAACAAAGGAGCTCTCGGCGGAGGGCAGAGCTTTGAAGAATCCAAGAAAGAGTTGATAAGTTGGTTGTGAAAGGTGTGGAATAGCGGAAAGAGTACTTATTTGATGGCCCCATCGAGGTTGGCCCTTCAGTTCTTTCACAATGGCGACAATGTCTTTGACGACATCGAGAATATCCTTGACAAGAGTCAAGAACTCCAGGATCTTAGTGAGGACAGAGATGGAGCCGCCGAAAAGGCCGGGCATGGCTCCAAAAGCAAATTTGAGCATTCTGAGCATGCTGGTAATGGTGGTGGTAGTACTTGTGTTGCAGGAGCAGCAGCAGCAGCAAGTAAGGAGAATCTCAATGGTTGGAAGTGATTTATAAGAAGAAAGGAAGCAGGGGAGTTAGAGGAGGATGGGAGATATTTATTCCCTAACTTGGGAATGTAAACCATGCAACCTATACGAACGACGCAAAAACAATGCAATATATGGAATCCCATGGAATCGAGGACGCTCGCTATAGGAATCGATGATGTATTGGGAAATTGACGATGCCATGGGAGATGCTGATGCAACGAGGAATGTAATATGATACTAATACATATAGATATTAGGAAGTTAGGTCAACGCTGAAGACCCGGATCTTGATTAAAGTTATATAAATCTATAGACTTCATCGTAGTAGAAAGTAGGCAGTCTAATGAAGCGATCTAATGAGGCAATACGTATCTATATCTAAATATAAAGTGGATACTTCAATGAAGCGATCCAATGAAGCGATATACGTACCTATATCTGAATATAAAGTGGATAACTTAATGAAGCGATCCAATAGATTATTATTTTGTTGATAAACTCCTTTAGCGTCCACATAAGCGGACTAAATGAAAAATTAATCATAAAATTATTTTCCATGCACACATGAAATCCATTTCTCTCGTATATCTTCCTCTTATTTCTCTAATTGACGGGTATCACTAATAAGTTAACCGAAAGCGTGGGCCACACCTTTGTGCGGTCAAAATCGTGGCTTCGTGCATGCAACTAAGTGTATGTCTATGGTAGCATGTCCCTGGTGCGGTCAAGCAAACCCTAATAAAGGGAATGAAGAGAACCAGTCTCAAACTACTACCACATTTAAGGACTCTGCTTCTAAAAGCCGAGAACTCCGACAGAAAGCCATTGTAACTGCAAAGAAGTTCTTGCCTGGACGAAACAATATTGGATCATCGCTTCCATCAGCAGAAAAGGAAAACTTGACAAAGCTACTATCATCATATAGTCTGTTTGTTACTCTTTGGAAGCCCCAGAATGGCGAAGCCCTTTGGTTCAATGGTAAATGGCTAAATGTTGGTATGTTAATGGCAGGGTAATGGATAACTATCTTATTTACTAACACTGCTGTTCAGATAACTTCACTATCTTATTATCTGAATCCGATGTCTTTATAATCAATACTATTAATTAATTGGTCCACGAGCTCAAACCTGGATGTAGGGAGCTACGCCAACTAGTCCAATCCAAATTTCAGTATACTGCTCGACTTGCATTGACAGCATCCGAAAAAAAGACAGAATTCTTATCAGATACAGTACTTCGAGAAGGATTCAACAATATACTTCTAAATCTAGAGATAGACACAAGGAAGAAACGAGAAGCCAGCGGTCCCCAGTACAAATTGCATATTTGTTTTGGAAAATATCCTGAATCACAAAGTGATGGAGAGTGTACAGTCAACATCAGTGATAACATCCCAGATAATGATATCAACTATTATACCGATAATACCGACCATATTTTCACTTCACTCGATTTCGATTCTCAATCTGATGCATTAAAATGAAGATGTGCTTCATCGGCTTCTTTATTTCTAGTGTCTAAGCCAAAGAAGATCCAAACACAATATGAAACTAGCGCTGATCCCATCATCAAGAAAGAGAAGGAACCACTTGGAACTACACATACTTGAGTTGATTATAAGATAATCAGTATCTCTAGTAGTGATGAAGAAGCAACACCTAATGATGATGATGAGGCAAAACTCAGTAAGGCATTCCGTCTTTTTAAGAAGGTACTGAGATAGACAAAGAAGAAATCAAGTTTAGCAGAAGGTCAGGACAAAAAATTGAAAGTTAAGCATGAGCTAGGGGGGGAAGCCAATCTATCAGATATCCCAGTGGAGAAAGCCAATCTATCAGAAGAGCCAGCGGAGGAAGCTAATCTATTAGAAGAGCCAGTGGAGGAAGTCAATCTATTCGAAGAGCTAGCAGAGGAAGCTAATATACCAAAGCTATCAAATTTAGCACAGGATGGACCAGCATCTAACACTCAGAGGCGGCATGGCAAGTCATTCCCTAAGAAACATCTCCTATAGTTCTATATTACAAAGTGTTTAGACTCTTTTGTTTTTAAATCTTACCTAGATTTTATATTCCGCAGTTTAATATCTATTCTTCAAAGATCGCTTCATTTAGTTGCCTCATTTTCAATATATACATCTCCACTACCTCGAGAACCATGGTTGATTTGTTAAATCTGTAGCAACCTCTTTTAGATCCTGTTGCAATTGTAGTTCCTCTTGGGTCGGCTTCTCACATTCCTTGAGCTGGGGTTCTGATTGCGTTGCTATATGTAGATTAATTTGATCCCAGAGATACAAATATGCATTAAAATGCGTAGGTTCTCCATTTTCACTAAAGTCATCTAGTTTTATTCTTTCAAAACCCCCTGATTGCAACTTTTGTTGACACCAATTCAAAGTATCTAGCGGCAGATATTCATCGAGTTCTATAGATTATTTGATTAGTTTCGGTGAATTGGAGATAACTTTAGAGAGAACGAAAATAGTTTACCAAAATTATGCTCATCAATTAATTTTTGCAATACCGCTTGATTAGGCTTTGATCCATAATCTCGTATACTGTCTGCTGGTTGATAGTATAAAACATTGGGTTGACCGTTAATACTATTCACGTGATGAGACTGCTTTCTGATTCCGTGCATATTCCATATATTAATATAAGAAGCAATCTCTTCACGAGCCATAGGCATATATATTGCTAACATCGTAATTCGATCTGCAAGGCTATGTTTTTTGAAATATCCATCATTGCTGAGTTTCAGGAAATAATCCTATTACCCAGTATCAATAATGAAGCAATCTTATATAGCAATTGGATAGCATAGATCTTACCCAGAATATAAAAAGGAGGCTTTTTGTAAGCTGTGACTACCAAGCTTCTATTTGCTGGTTTGCTGTGCTTATACCATATAGATAACAGTCTTGAAGAAGAAGATTCTCATACTGCTCTTTTAGCAGTAGATAATATGCAGCTGCAACTAGAACTGTTTCGCCCTCTTTATCAGAGCGTATATAGCGAGGCTGAATATTTATTTCTTGAAGTACTTCAAGAAACTGTCGCAATACACTGATTTAAGTGCGGTTGCTAATCTTAACATAGCACCAAGTAACATATTGAGAGAAAGCATCGATCGCAGCATAAATTTGAATTCCCCAAAAGGCCAACTTATCATGGCCGTCCATAGACCAGATATAATTTGGGCTAGGAACTACATATTCACCTCGTCGCCAGTAGAAATCATTTTTCCGATGCTGAACCCCATCCGGATCGAGTTCCTGAACAATACTAAATAGTCGGTCGCTATCAGACTGTTAGAAAATACTTTAAATATTGTAATAAAGACTTACCGAGCTATATTATAACCCTAGATTCAAAAGAATTGGTAGAGATAGCCTCGCCCATAGCCTTTAATACGCCCACTGTTGAGTTGTTCCCGAACTGCTTCCCTGACAATATCATCTGTATGTTGAATATCTTCTAGCTTGATAACCTGTCGCTGAAGCCCAATCCGGAGCTGAATTGTTGTAAGGGTGGATTGGGATATTTTTATACCATCCCTTTCTAGCGCACGTATGATTTCCTTGTTACGTAAACCCTGTTTGAAATACAGTTCCTTAATCTTATCCTCTAACTCTCTAGGGCCAGGATTCGTACGTGAAACACCCCATTGTTTAAGACGCCGTCGAATTGTCTCGGGATGAATAGTGATCTGATATTCATCAGATAGCATCTTTGTAATATTTGATATGCTCTGGCCATTCTGAAAGCTAGTAGATATCTCCTGTTTATATTGATCAATTTGACTGGGTGGGCGTCCTACAGGCATGATGGCAACTGATTCAAATCATCAAATGTAGAGGTTTTAATATATATTTTGGGTAGAAAAGTTAGTAAGTACGGCAGCCTATAGCTATTAAGATATAAAAAGTCACATAATCAATTAACTAACTCATTCTATTAAAAAAACTCAAATAACTAACCTGATTGAGTTAGCTAGTTACTAAACCAAAAAGAGTATTTAGGAATGAAGCAATCTATGAAGCGATCATCTCTAGACTGATAGATAGAATTCACCAGGGTTCCACCTCATAATTTGGAAATTCTTTAGAATATTGACTGGTGAGTATTCAATGAAATACTTGCACGCCATTTTATACCCAGGAATTTTGCCAACATCAATGTCCCACCCATGTCTCCCAAAGTCATATGAATCCAACCACCAATCCACTGGGCCAGGAAGATCGTACCATTTGCTAGAATCAGCCAAGACGAATGCTTTAAACATAGATATCTCCTGAGCTGAATAGTACTTATGAGGAGGAAGATGAGGGGCTTTTTTCCTAGTCAAAGCTTCTTTTTTCAAGGCTTCTCTAGCAACAATGTACCAGAAGCTTTTCCAAAAACGAAATATCATAGCACCAGTTTGATTCCCAAACTCAATGAAGGTCTAAATCATATTCTGACTAATTGCCTCTTTGAAGCGATCTTGGTAGCCATAACGAATAAACAAGACCGGTTTGACTCCTCTTTTCTTGATAACATGTCGCCCATTATCCCAGTTGCGAAACACATTTTGGTGGATATAGCTGGGTAAGTATTTCTTTAGAAGCGATAGAAAGATTGGCTGTAATTTGGAGCTCGTGGCGACTAGACGATCAGGATACATTGAATTTGATTTAGCCATCTCTATAAGAGATTGGCTTTCGAAGATCGCACTGGGAGAATTTTCAATGTCATCATTCTCGCCTATCAAGTTGTCCTTCTCCAAGATGTCTTCCCAGTCATTGGAAACATCTAATTCGTGTGCATGGCGTTCCGTAAACCATTTAACACCTCGACCCTTCAAATATCTAAATAAAAATTAGTAATATTGCCTCAATATATCGCTCTATTAATAAGGGAAAAGATCATACTGATCATGTAGAACTTCCTCATAGAGTTGCTTTTCCATGTTTTGTTGATCAACATTACTAGCTTGTTGATAATTTGGAGTATTGACAAGCTTCTGCTTTGCTCGGTTAAACGCTTGATTATCATTGCGCTTTTCACGCTCAAGCTGTACATGTAGGGATCCTTTCTGCTTGAGGGCTTGTTTGCGTTGACGTCCTCAAACGGTGTGTATGTTATCTGAGAGTTCGGTCTCTGCCTTTCTCTTTTGACCAGCTGTAGCTCCTGGAGCAGGGCCTTGTAGGCGTGGTATCACTTCAAATTATTGCCTCATTAGTATCAGTAATTCAAAAGATAGAGGGCTTCTAGCTCCTTACCATTAGAAGAGTCCATTGTTAATCTTGAGCTATTAAGAAGGAAAAGATTAATCGTAAGAGATATTTTCTAGGAAGAGAAATCAAGTCAGTGGGTCAAAGATCAATATAGAAACTAAATTAGGAAATATAAACAAACCTAGATAGGTGTTACCTTCATATAAATCTTATACTAAATTGATCTTACTATCTTTTTGTTTGTACCAGCCTCTTTTTAGAATCTCAACTCGCGTAAGCTCACTTCCTCACTCTTTCCAATCAACAATCTCTCATTTCAATCCTACCTCACTTCAACCTTCAGCTTCGCCATAACCTCAACTTAATACGCTCATCTTAATCTCACTTTAGCCTCAAATCTCTTATCCTATATTACCCTCACCTCTTTGTTCTTGCCTCTCACTTAAGGTAAGTGACTAACTGAAGCTAAGAACTCTTATATCAATATTTAAGACATAACTAATCGCTATAATAGATTGCTTCATAACTCATCTCTCACCAACACTCAATTTGAACCCTTGATTATAGCAAGTCAAAGTAAGTAAGTTGTTTACTAAACCTCTATTTCACTATTGAAGACCTTACTGATCACTACAATAGATCGCTTCAATAAAAATGGCTAGAACGAAAGTGTCAGCTAGAAAAATCGCCAAGAAAGAAGCAACAAAGACTCTACCTGGAGGAAGCAAACATCCTATGAGACGTGTTCCTATTCAGGGTACTACCAGACGAAGGTGTCCTCACTATAAATGGGGCAGTAAATTTATGATTGCTTCATTTGACTGCTTCATTTGACTAATATCATTTTTAGCAACAGCTCTACGCGAAATCCGACGATACCAAAAATCTACCGATCTCATAATACCAAATCGCCATTTCAAAGACTTGTGCAAGAAATCGCACAAGATATTTCTTTGACTGCAGATCTGAGATGGCAGTCATCGGCGATCTTAGCTCTTCAAGAAGCTGCTGAGGCATTTCTTGTCAAGGAGTTTGAAAGTAAGTCATTTTGTCTTAACGTTGAGTATCGGAACTAATTATATATCAGTGACAAACCTCTGCGCAGTACATGCCCATCGAGTTACTATTCAAGCTAAAGACATGGAGCTAGTGGACAGACTCCGAAGAATCATGACTGGTTCGGGATATAGATTTGAGAACAGGAAAGCTTGATTGCTTCATTTGATTGCTTCATTCCAAGATGCTTTTGTTTTTAGTTTAGATACCCAGATACGGAAATACCCAAATCAAATTTAAGGTTGCGTGGAAATTAAATATCGCTATTTGGTCATATATAATTATTCTTCTGTATCTCGTATTAGGCACGTATGCGTTTTGATGATTTGGTATTTTTTAATTAAGTGGAATATTCGGGATTTAGTCCGCCGTAGGGTATTGACAATGTTCAATATTGATTGAATCCATATTGACTAATTAAAAACAACACTGGTTTGGAAGCGAGTCTTCAGGTCTATTGGATTCAAGCCTGATAGAGAACTCTCAATCCAATGTGATAATAAACAAACTATTTCACTGCTGACTAGCGAAGAACCATAGTTTCATATGAACCTCAAGCACGTTAATATTTACCATCATTGGCTCCGACAAGAAGTCTCCAAGAAGCGACTGCATATTAAATGGGTTGATACAAAGCGAATGGTGGCAGACAGCCTTACTAAGGTCCTACATGGACAGCAGTTCCTGGATTGGAGAAAACATCAGGGATTGGTGGATATAGCAGACCTAGTGCAGGAATAAAAGCTTCAAGCTTCCATTCCTGGGGGGGTGTATCGAGGATTAGGTAAGCTAAACCTAATCAAGGAAAGCCTACAACATTGATACAAGGAAAATTCGAGAATTGAAGTCACAAGATTGAATCTACAAATCAACTTTATAGCTCTGTGTCGAGAATCTTCTATTGAGATTGTCTGGATATCTTCTATATGGGATTCTCAAGCATAAATAGTGTCCAACAATCCCATCAAAATGTAGATAGAGGAGAATGCGCAGAATTAGGTCAATATCAATATTTCCCACTATAAAGACATCTTTGAGTATTGAGCTTAACTGACTTTGTGCTAGTGCAAAGCAAGTTCCGATAGTGATTATTGGAACTTTTCCGTACTAGTTCTAACTAGGTTAGGCCAACCAAAGAAGTTTCTTAGAGTAGGGATTTTTCTGATATTCGTGCACACTATCTAAAACTTCACACTATCTGACAATCTTGATCCTTTTTATACTCACATTCTCAATGAAAATGACATCACTAAATACCACAATCTGTGCTCAATCGAACTTTCTAGATGTAGGTTGTGAAGCTGATTTGTAATATCAATCTTGTCACAATCTTGTGTTGATATGCGAAGTCGGTATAGAATCTGATTCTCGAAATTTCCTGTTGATCAATATTCATACGATTCTCTAAATCCTATTCCCAAAAAGGAATAGCGTAGTTTAGTTCCAACAGTGATTCCGAGGCTAATTATAGTCTCAACCCCTGAGTTGTATGTAACTAGGAAGACAAGTAATACACAGAGATTCAACGCATCGAATCAACTCCTTATCAATACTAACAAGCAACTGATCATTAATCACTATTACTGAATGATAGTATTCCTCTGAGTCTATACGATCCATTCACCGAATTCTTTACATTCATCACGTGTCACGTGTACACACAAGCTATGACATCTTGATCTTCAATTGTAGCTCAATCGCCAAATCTTGACAGCAACATAATTTGAAACACCTGGAGGGCGTTCGATGACCGTCACAGCCAGCAGCTGACCGTCCTGTGAAAAGGCAATACCTCTTGAACCCAAAAAGCTTAAATACCCCGTGATTTCTGCCCGCCTGGAGCTGGAGGCAATGTCCCAGATCCAGGCTTTCTCTGCTTTAGCAGAAGCATACGCCAGAAGTCTCCCATTAGGTGCGATTGCAAGGGCATTAATCGGGTGCGCCGAATCAGCAATGATGGAATGCATGCGGTTGTTAGTCCAATCCCACAGCCGTACCGTGTGATCATTGGACGCGGACACAACAAGTTTGCCGTCCGGCGTGAACTGCACGTCGGTGACAAAAGATGAATGGCCTGTGATCTCCTTCTGGAGTGTGCAAGTAGCTGTGTCCCAAATGGCGAGCGGGGCCCGGGGGGGTTTACACCCTGCTGCGACGAGACTGCTATCTGGCGAGAAGGCAGCTGGCCAGTGCCCACCTTCCATGGTTCCTAGCTGACGGCCCGTTGGAATATACCAAAGCTGATCTTGCCCGACGAGTAGCTTGCCATCGGGCGAGACTGCTACATTATAGGAGTTCTTTAGAAACCCCGTGGATACTCCGTACATGGGCATTGTGCTGGATCTGAGAAGCCACCGCGACACCATGCAGCGGCCGTCTACAAACCAAACAGACTTTCCGTCTGGTGCAGGCGCCAGCATGACAATCCTGTCAGGAATAGAAGCCGATTCCTGCGGAGTGCCAGTGATTATATCCCATCGTTGGAGGTATCCTCTGTCGGTTCCGGTAACCAGAGAGTTTGTGTCTGCTGGTAAGAAAGTGACATCGCTGAATCTGCCTGTGTTGTAGTTCTCCCTGTCTAGAGTCTGGTACAGCTCGTGGGCGAACGACGTAGTCGGTGTTTTTTGACCAATGTTGGGACCGACTGGTGCTGCATTTTTATCTGCCTTGTTTTTATCTCTCTCCTTCTCTCTCCTATCGCCTTCAGCATTATCAAGCTTAAGTAAATTGAGTAAATCTGCCATACGCTTATTCTCTTGGGCCAGATCGGAGAGTGTCTTCTGTAAATTTGCACGATCCTGTGAGGCAAGCTCGATCTCTTCCTGTAGTTTTTTTTTTTCCTCCTGGAGAAGCTCCTGCATCAGCTTCGCCTCTTGATCCGCTTTCTCTCTGGCCTGGCGCAGGTCCTCGTTCAGTTGGGCCAGTTCTTGATCCCATTTTTTAGACAGCTTATTGACATAGTCCAGGATCACCTTGCCTGCGGAGGTCTCTCCCAGGGGCAACTGCTGATCGACCGTCTCTTCCTGGATCTGCAGTATAACCCCGTTATTCTTCATAATCTGCTCCACGATGTGCAGATATTCCTTCCTATCGGTGTGATCCTCGATCCGTCCCACGGAAGCCCCAAAGGAAATCATCTCATTCCAGAATTTAGCCTTGAACATTTGTTCGGTCTTTACTCCTTCGTTTTTAGACGCCAGCCGGTCCCACATCGTCGTCACCAGGGCCACGTTTCGCAGCCGGCCGTCCTTCCCTGCAAGTTCCAGCATCATCCGAAGGTTCTTCAGGGCGCTTCCTCGCATCCGGTTCTCCAGGATGCTGTGCAGATACACCACCCCGTTCACCTTACGGCGCTGCAGTCGTTGCTCTGCCAGTGCGTTTGTGATCTCCTCTAGGACCTCTGTATCGCGGAGGTACGTGTCGTCGAAACCCGGAGTATCCAAAAACCAGACCTCTTTTCCGCCCATCGTGGTCTTGTAGATCATGACTTTGGAGGTTTCGGATTCGATCCCGTGGCCGACACCAGTGGAGAGGCCGGTCACCTTTTCGATGAAGGTGCTTTTCCCTGTACCAGTGACTCCCATCACCGCTATAATGATGGGAGCTTCGTGGTCGGCTGAGGTTGAATTTGTCCTAGTTATATTAGAATGATCAAGTAACACGAGGAGATAGCCTACATGATTTCGCAAAGACACTGAGTGATGGCAGAACAAGGCAGGGACGGTTATTGTGAGAGGACCACAGTTTCAGGAGTAAGCTGTTATATACAGCCACTAAGCGGGGTAACCTCCTTCGTAAACCTGTGACTTCAATGAGTAGGGCGAATAGGAAGGTTGCATGCCATCCATGCTCGTTTCCGGCCAGTAGCATTCTGCTTATGCCTTCGTGAAAGCGACCGGTGCAACGCTGGCCGGGGAATTGATACCTTCCAAGAATGGTGTATTGATACTCTGGGTAGAAGGGAGCAAAGCTGAAGGACATTGCTGGGACTCTGGCCTGGCAATCGAAAAGATGTATACAAAAGTCATCAATCTCAAGTTCGTCGACGTCGCCAGGAATTGTTAATGCAAGGGTAGCAAGATGGTTTAAATTTACTTGCTTTCAGGCCCTTCTTTAATAAAGATAATAGAAAATTAAAACTGAATGGAATTCAATGAGTTTCTCGATGACTTAAAAGGGATTCCCACACCCATAAACCAACCGATATATCGGGCTGTTGACGGTGGCAGCCAATAACATATGCATGAGCAGCTGGGCTTCTTTTTCGGATAAAGGCATTGATTTTCGCCCATCTGATGTCTCAAAATATACTTTTCCATCGCGTACATAGCAGGCGAATGTCTCATGGATACTTCTTTGGGCCCAAATTTTGCACAACCCTGAGGCAGCATCAGCACGCAAATTGAAGAAATGAGAAACGAAATCATCATGTTTCCACAATAGAGCTTCTATTTTGGACACCACTGTCCGGTCTCTGTCGTCTAATCGGCACATGACTGCCTGCAGGATCTCGGGCGGCCAGGGAGATTGTTGCCTGCCTCGCAAGCAGTTATCATTGTCCAATCGGCACGTAATTGCATGCAGGATGTTGGAACCGTGGGCACTTCGGACTCCCCTGGGCCAATTCCGGTCCATACTGTGCCGCACTTCGGCGTCTAAACACCATCTGGTGTCTAAACACTTTAGTGTCCGGACTCTCCTGGTGTCTGGACGCTTTAACGTCTGGACACCTCGGCGTCCGAACATCTTTCTAGACGTTTAGTCTCCGGACTTTCGCTGATGCGACTCCGTAGGGTTGCCAGCAGATAAGCCTTCGGAAAGCGCGGAAAGCCGATATGCATAGGTAAGGTATCATGCACGATAGCAATTTAGGTCAAGGCCTGTTGGAGTCAGTCAATTCCGTCCTTCGCATTTCGTCCATCTAATCATCAGTCGCTCATGGGTTGTGGGGATGTATGACTGTTTAGGGTCTAGCGTGTATATGAAGTAGGGTTAAAATGTTCATTCCCAGAAGTTCTGCCTCTCTGTTTAATACAACTCTGAACATATATTGCAAATCCAACGGCTGATCAAGCTAGAAGTGCCTACGTCAAACACAAGACCATTCCCCAGCACTCTGCGCTTCGACACTACATACATGTTTCGTCATGATGGAATCCTATAGAGTAATCTTGTGTACCGTATGCAAATGAAGTTTATACTTGGAAAGGGTGTAGAAGAGCTCCTCGCAACCAGGATAGTCACACAGACGCCCCTTTGGAAATTTTTGTTTCAGATTATGCGTTTCGAAGTGCCTCTGCAACGTATCTTTACGGGCGTAGGTGTATCGTCTTGCGCGAGGATGCAGGCCAGGACGACCTAGGCATACCGGGCACTCAAGCCCACTTTTGCTCTCAAGTGGGAGGGTATCCGATATTTCCGGGCAGCTTGCCATTTCGGGTGAAGGTTCACGGAAATTGATCTGTTTCTGCAGTTCTTTGGGTACCTCCAAGTCATAGAGAGCCAGCCGCATCTCAAGAGATCGGATACGATCCTCAAGCAGCTCAGTGTCACTGATCTTATCCACGTCCCGATTCTTGAACTCAAGGTCAGCGAGAGCTTTTCTCGTCGGGCTCGAAGGTAAGCGGTTTCCCCTGGTAGTTTCCCTCGACGATGCGGTTTCCGACATGCTTGAAGAAATTTCCATACTGCTCATCTTTGGCTATTTTATGTAGCTTCTTCCTTTCTGCTCTTACCCGTTTCTGTGCTCTTTCAAATTCAGAGTATAGAGCAGTCCCTCGAGCCCTGTGCAGCCGTTGATATTGTGCAATCAAATGGCGGCGGAGTTGATCACGCTTGCGCTTTAGATCACTGAGCTCAGTGAGTTGCTCGATTTCTTCTTTCTTCTCATCGCTCAAACGTTGCGGCACAGACGCATCTCGGGTCAAACTTGAGTTTGTTGCCAGCTTAATCAAAGCATCTCTATTAGGGGTACCCATGAAGGCGGATTGGGTATCGTCCTGGACCTGAACATAGTATGCGAACGTGTGACTCCGGCTATGACCCATGATAATATTTCTGGTGTGCTCATCTAGGTGCCCTTCACAGACATTAATACCTGTATGATTTTTCTTCCTTGAAAGACCTACTAAGTTTCGCAGCAGCCCCTTTGCGATACTTATATAAAGAACCGAGTTCCTTGGACCCGTCTGACCTGCTCGTCGCAATTTCGTCTTCCTGGGCCTTTTTGTACGTTAAGGCGCGTGTGGGATGAGTGATCCACCTTCCTTCCGGAACTTTCACTGCGCGGCGGAATACTGGAATCTCTTGGACTTCCTCCTTAAAATGAATAGGAGTGCTGAGTCGGTCGTTCGGTACATCGGTGTAGCGCCAGATATCCCTCGGCTTTTGAATATATTCACTAGCAAATGCACCATCGCGAATGGCAAATTCTAATATGTCTTGAATGACACATAGACCTAAGTTGTCATTCCTTTCAGTATAAGTGAAAACTGGGCTTGTTAGGGTTAGCAAAGTACATGAGAAGAGGGTAGGACACTTACGCCACACCTTTGTTTCTTTTGCCTTTGTTAAGCCGGTGCCGAACCCTCATAAGCAGAGTCTGACATGCTGGATTTTCTGGGTGCTTCACCATGTAAAGCTCGATATCCTTCCATTTTAAAAAGTCGTTACTCCTCATGTAACCGGGAGACTCAACTAATGTTCCGGGCCGTGCGGATGTCGACGACATCATCTTCCTGAGGCAACTGTGCTGATGTCGACACCGAACAGTCGCGAAATGCACCTTTGTGTGTGCCATGATATGATACGTTTTGTACAGGAGATCGTCAATATTAATAGGCGGCTGCGTCTTTGCCCCCATATCAAGTTCGTACTCATCAGTAAGCGTTGTGCATACCAGCTAAGTAAGTTAGCTTCTAGATTTGATGACTGATGGGTAGTAACATGCCCTTGTCATCCTGCGTCTGAGGTCGTAAGGGAAGAGACTGTCCATCTCTTCGCACCAGAAGATCCTGAAGTATCGGGCGAAGACCAAGTATCCAGACTGATACTTCACATTATGGGTATTGAGATACCAGCGCAAGAAGCCTTCAATTAGCCTGAGCGTGACATTCTTGATCCAGTATTCGTAGTTTGGCGGCTTCAAATTAGACGAAAATCTGGAATGAACATTGAATCAGCAAAGGCCACCTCAGAAAGAGGAAGGACAATACTTTTGAAAATTTCGCTTCACATGGAGGATGTGATTCTTTGTGGTATCCTTGAAATCACCTTTTGTTTTACTATCAGGCTGCTGTAACAACGTTACGAGGGATATGTATAAATACGTTCGAGAGGGATCACTGAAGGCAAGCACACAAGGTAGGGTATGGAATGTCAATGTACTGAAACCTATCTCTCCTGCTTCCGCAGCATGCATTCTATATAAGAGACATTGATGTTGCTTCGTGGCAAACATCATTGTCCACAGCCAGCTGAAAGTTATCCATAGCCAGCTGAACATTTGACCATGACCAGCTGAAGTATCCACACTTTTGCCACTCTCCGTTGAGTCTGTCCTCGTATCAAACCAAACCTAATCCCTAAGAGATTGGACAAGCATGTTGATTGTTACAGCTGCTGAATTCGATATCCTCGGACATCTTCTTGGCTTGAGACATGTTGATGAAATAGCACACTTGAAAACGTTCCAGGAGATAGAATACAGGAGAACTTTCACTATTGTACGTCTTTCTATAAACAAAGTGATATCAAATCGTAGATCTACGAGCCTACATCCCGGCTTTATATGTTTGTCTACTCATCTGGTTATGCGCCGAGTTGATGATGATGATGATGATTTATTACGCCCGGAGGGACTAACCCTATACCGTCCTTCACCGCCTGATACCCGTTACTACCTGATGCCCGATTTTGGAAATATTTTGAAAATTTACAACACCATATAATAATAAAATATAATATTTTGTAGTGTATTAGTAAATAAGATACAGGAAATCTAACAGTGTCAATTTTATCTAGCGATAGCGTACAGGAAGCCGAATCTGCCGCCCCCTACGATTTGTAGCAATAACCTCCTCAATAACCTCTTCTTTGGCCTCATTACTGATTTTCGGCTTGGATTGCTTCGAATTTGGGTTCCTTTGATTTGTACAGGGCTTGGGAGTAGTGAGGACATCTTTTTGAAGCTGTAAATCAGCTAACTTAGCTAATTTTTGCTCCTCCTTTTGACGTTCCTTTTCCGCAGCCTCTTGTTGGCGCTGTTCTCGCTTTGTTTGCCGGATTTGAGCCTTTTCAATCCTTTCCAACTTTTGGGCTTCCCTTGCAAGCTTTTGTTGAAGCTTTTTATCATCTTTACGGGCTTGTTCTTGTGCGGTATTCTTGTCTTTTTGAAGTTGTAGATCTCGAGCTTGTTGAACCTTGGAAGGGCTAAAAAAGATAGCACCACCTTCTTTTTCCGAATGTAAATCCAATAATAATGGCTTTTTCTTGTTCTGGCGCTTTTTGAGATTGACAACAGTCCTTTGTAAGCCTTCAACTTGTGCTTTAAGCAAGGCGTTCTCAGCTTGAATACGATGCACCTCATTGCTCAACTTTTTTGACTTTTTATCATAAACATCGTTAACAGCTTCCTTCACAATCCTTGAAAGACGTCTCCAATCCTCTGGTTGGATAATTGAAGCTGTAGATCTACTTGATGAGGGCCGGGATTGAGGACTTTTGGTAAAACGCTGTATAACGTACTCAGGATTGAAAGGATATAACCCTGTATTTTTAAAGGCGGATTTGACATTGTTGAATGTGAAAGATGATATCCAAGCTGCCCAGAAAAGCCGAAAAAGTCACGTTTAGTAAGTCGTGTTAATCCTTGATAGTTATTCAAAAATTGCTTCAATTCTTCCAAATAAGCCTTGGAAATAGGTGAAAATAAAGCGACGTCAAGAGGCTGTAAAGTATGGGTTGCATGAGCTGGAAATATTGCCAATAATATCCTATTCCTGTCACAGTATTCAATAAATCGCATGTTGACGTGAGAGCCATGGCCATCAAGGATTAAGAGGCCCCACCCCCTGCTTGCTTGAGATTTTGTTTCTTTATTAAAAATATCAACTAGTCATTGATATCCAATCTCGTTATTGGTCCATCCTGACTCTGAAACTGCAAAAAAGCATCTTTGTTCTTTAGGATTGAAGTCTTGAAGCAATGAATCCTGGATATTGCCTGATTTTGCCATATAGATTAAACTAGGCGATATAGCTTTTCCATTGGCACAAATGCAAGCAATTGTAGTTATCCATTCTCGATTTCCATCCTGAAGAAACTGTTTGTGGCCTCCTTTCTTATATTTGCGCCGAGAAAAGATTCTCTTCTCTTTTGTCATTATCCCAAGCATAAAGCCTTTTTCATCCATGTTATAGATTTGTTCTGGAGCAAGATTATATTGCTCAATTTTCCGACCAAGAAGCTCAAAATATAACGCGTATTTCCATGCTTTATCTGCATTTTTCCTGTCCATGTCGAGGCCCATGGAATAGCGAGAAATAACCTGGTCCGAATGAGACCTTAACCAGCGAATAGCCCAGTTCTTTCCAGGCTTTCTACCACATATATCTCTTGCAAAATTTGCCAGCATCGAATTCGTAAGTGGTAGGCCTTTTTCGGTAAGATGGTTTATCCATCTTATAAGTGCTTGAGATTGACCTTCGTTCAATAGTCGTTGATTGTTGTATTGTGCTTCTTTTGGGCCCATAACCTTGCGAAAAGGTTTTCTAAGATTTGAGGGATCAACACGAATGTTCTTGCAATCAAAGCAACATTACGCTTTTCTCTTGGCTTTAAGGAATGTAAAGCTTCAAGTGCAAGCTCGTATTTATCCATATTGGTTGATTTATCGCGCTTTGAGATAGACGCGATTTTTCGTGTTTTGAAGCAAAATCGGGCATCAGGTGATAACGGGTATCAGGCGGTGAAGGACGGTAAGGCACTAGTGCTCTAAATATATACAATTCATGTGTTTCCGACCTCTCCTCCTACAAGCCCCTGCTTTTCCTGCTTCAACATATTTATCTTGGTATCTGGAGTTAAGGCCTCCTTGGCCTGTGGTTCCTAACATCTTCTGTGCTAAAAAGAATTGATAGACTGGCTTAAAGGCTGTCTTCTTCAAGTGTGTAGTGTCCTATCCTTGGTGGCTGCAGCGGTATCTATTGTATGTGAGGATGGGAGTAATTAGTTAGTGCTGGCTTTGCTGTGATTGACTTGGTTCCTATTCCTACTCTGTGTTAAGTCTTCCTATTAATATTGTATATCTAATTGTCGTTTGTACCACTTTAATATCTAGTTGCCATCGCTTAGGATCAGATCATGCCTTTCCTCCAAGGTAGAAAGATAGACTCCCTCTTCTTATTTCTGTACACTGTAGCATACCTTCTCTTATTCCTACCCACTTTGTGCAGCGAAATAGAAAGTGCTCTATAGTCTCGCTTGCCTGGCCACAGGCGCAGAGGTCTGACTCTACGGCTCCTATCTTATTCAGGTAGCTGTTAAGCCTAGTCATTCCTGTCCGGAGTTACGCCAGAACCACAGCTTCTTTCTGCTTTAGCCCATCGTATAGGCTATTGGTGTGCTTTCCTAGCAACGCTGAGTCAATAGTCTTTAAGTATTTACCTACTCCATCTGGAAGGGCTCTCTTATGCCGTTGTTTAGCAATAGCAAGTCTCACTGCGGTAGGTTTAGCCTGGTACGATTGCTTTTCTAGTTCATATTCTTCTCTCGTTAATCTTTGAGCGGCTATTTTTGCCTTCAATCTTAATGTAGAATCAGTATATACTAGGACCCAAAGTAGGCTGATCACATTTTCCCTTCCCCGAAGAAGCTAGACCATTATATCTGTTGAATCACTCTTTGGCTAGACTATTGACACAGTTGTTCAATAGCATCTAATGCTGATCGATTGCTACTGAGGATGATCACTTACCTATTGAAGACCCATGGCAGAATATATTTTAATCCTATAGCTATTGCTTCTAACTCAGCTATGTATGGATTCTGTTCTGTTCAACTTAATAGTGTTATAGTGTAGCTAGTCAGTACATCATCTACATTACCTAGATATCCTTAATGCTTCCTCCCATGCCTACTATGTTACTCTTAGTGGATAAGCTAGTAGCAATAAGAATCCCTTCTGCACTGTTGGTAATTTCAATAGCTTTCTCTCTATCCCATTCACCTCTCATATGCAGTCAATCTGTCCAAGATAACACCGTATATGTGTTGATGGTTTCTATACCTTCTATTGCATCTCTTCCTAGTGTTTACGCTATACTCTATGGTGGAGAGAAAAATCTCCAAGTTAATGTGACCCTTAGCTTCCTTAGGGGATTTGTTCTAGGGAGTGCATAGATATTAGTTCACAGTTTTGTTACTTTCTCTATGTGTCGCTCTCTAAATGAGCGAATGTTTGCTTCAGCTTCTACAACTGCCGTCGTAACTGTCTGAAAGGCTCCTATAACTACTATACCCCCTATCTTCTGCACTCTATTTAGATACTGTGTTCCATATGTCTTGCAGGCATGTATCCACACACTGGAGATATAGTCTATTGTAGATGCCACTATTGCTATAAATAGTTGCCTTGCAATCTGTGGGGAGAGTGCCTTCAGCCTTCTTAGTACCATGGCGGCCTTTAGCCCTCTTGTTGCTGCTTGAGCAATATATTGTTTATAGTGTAGTTGAGAGTCCATAACTACCCTAAGAATCTTAGCATACTCTTTTGGTTTAACTAACTCTTCTTTGACCATGAATGTGGCTCTACTCAACTAATCTAATTTTTAAGTAGACCTATCTAATCACATTAATGGTGGTATTTTATTGCTAAATGAGCTCCTACTAGGCTTTAGATACTTAGTTACCTGCCATATATTAGCATTATTAGCAAGGAAGTCTTCCCAGTGTGCCTTCTTCTATTTCTGGATTGCATCATGGTATTCTTTTGCTGTATTTTTAGCCTATTGTTTAAGCTCTAGATTTGCGTTTCCTTTTCTGTGTTGAGATCTAGCCTGATTTCTCCAGTAGTTATATATATGGTAAAGTTGTGTTAGATCTATTATCTACCATCGCTTAGTATATAGTGAGGGCTTTGCTTTTGGTGTTAGCTCCAGGACTGCTTTCGTAACCACTGTTATGAGATGGTCTGTCTGCTCTTGTACAGAGCCGCCTAGAGGAACCGCCTATAGATTGCTGGCGACTCTGAATCTGATCTTAACCTAAGGCGCATTTTTCAAGAGTAGCCTCTCATTGACTGGTCGATCTAGAACTGATATATCAAACTCCGTCTCAATTACTTGATAATCTGATCCATGATTTATATAGTGTATACTACACTGTATCATCTCTTCTGCTAGCTCTATTAATGCTAGAACTAAGTCGATTATTATCTCTCTATCCCCTAATTGCCATATTTTTGTGCCTCTAGGTAGGAGGCTGTGTAGAGAGTTTTCGCTCATATAGTTAATCAGATTATCGGCCTCTCTCTGTCTTGCAGAAGATATCTCATCTCCTCCCCAGAGTTGGTTATGCCTATTGAAGTCTCCTATTATCAACACATCTATCCATATTCCTCCCCTACCCTGGATATCCGCTACTAGGCTGCGTAGCAATCTAATAGCGGATGTCAATACTTCCTCACTGTTTCCCTCTACATAGACTAACACTACTAGCACTGTCTGGTCTGGGAGTTGTAGTATCATAGCTATTAGATCTGGAGATGCTACTAGAATCTGTTCAGCTTTGATATCACTCCAAACCCAAAGCATACTCCTAATCAGCTATCTTCCATCATGTCTCTCTATAGGTATCATCTTTGTCCAGTAGCAGTATTCCATCAGGCTTGTCACCATAGTATTTTTAATTACCTATGTGTATAGTTTAGATACTACCACTACTCTATAGTCTCTAATTTAATTATCATTTATTAGGCTTTATTGTACTGTGTCTTTTTACCAACATTCAGTTATAGGATATAAAGTGATTTATGCATCAGACTATAAGAGGCGAACTCGACAGTTTCTACTAAATGACTTATGAGGTCCTCCACAAGGAATGCATTTTAGGACTAGGGCCTAGCAAGTACTGTGATAGTGTCCCTCCTTTATACATTTACCACATATCTGAGTTTTTTTGCATGAAAAAGCCTTATATCCTATCTCTTAGTAGTTATAGCATTGGAATAGTCCTATATGTGGTTCAAAGGCTCGAGTGTATGCAGATTCTCCTGCTATATCGAAGTAGTTGTCTCCTAGCAGGCGTTTGGCATCTATCTCTTTGGTAATATATACCACTATAAATCTATATGCTTTATTAGAGTCCCTCTTATTAAGCCAGGTGATCTTGGTAATGTCGATGTTATTCTCTTTTCCTAGGACTTTAGCTGTTCCTGGTAGGATATTACCATCTATATTCAGGATTGCTGTCTGGTTAGCATTATTGATTTTAACTGGGTAGAGCTAGTCTCGTAACACCCTCCATCCTGGTATATTTAATTTTAGGCAGCCTCTTTGACACGTAGGATCTCATTCTCTCATCTACAAATAATTTTAACTCGGTCAGCATTCTTTAGATCCTTAATTACTACTGCACAGCGCTAGGTCTCCATTCCTTCATTTCCCTGTATCTCCTTTTTGATCATTTGTCTAACATTAGCTATCTGCGCCTTGGCTTTGTCTTCTTCTCTAACATGAGACGTGTCAATTGTACAGAATAGTATATTAGCTATTGTAGGAGGCACTGGAGGGCCGAGAGGGCCTAGGCGTATACCCTGCTGGTGAACAGATTAACTATTGATTATGTCTGCGAATGATGGCTATAATTTAGTCTGCATAAGAGCTGTGTTAACTGACGCTTTCGCGATGGTATCTAGCTGCTCCCGGAGTTGCTTGCAGTCTTCTGCAGCTTAGCTTTAGATTACTTCTATTTAGGCCTGTAGTCTCTTGATCATGTCGTTTTGTTCCTAGATAGTTTTTTCCTATTTACTAAGCGTTTCTTTCAAAATTTTGACCTCCCGATAGATGCCCTCCAAGTACTGACACATCTTTCTAAGTATCATTTGGTTTTCGTCCTGAGCGCACTGTCTCTCCTCAATCTGATTAGCAGCCTTCCTCACTGCAGTTGGCTTCACTTTTGACGTTGTCCTCCTAGTTGCAGTGGTGGCATCGGTGCTGTCAGCACCTTCCAGAGCTTCTCGAGCTCTCGTTGACGGCACTACGACGCGTCCTACGCGCGTCGTTACGGCCGGATCTTCCTCCATCGCGCCTCTGGCCCTCTTCGTCTTTAACCCAGCTACCCAGGGATCTCTCCTTTGATCACGCAGATCGTATTTCGATAATCAGAAAGATCAGTTCTATTTGCCGATTCTCTCGTTGCTTTTTCTGCGCCGAGTATATGAAAGCGCCCAATAGCTTTAACCCGCAGAATTGGCCCTAGAACAAACTGGGTATAGCCTGCCTGAAATATTTAAAGCACCAACACGCAGCGAGGAAAGGCCACGCTTTTGAATCCAAAAACCACGCACAACCATGGTCTTTCCGCCGTCACCGACACTTACTCCGTAGTAACTATAAGTTACATAGTAGATCAAGGACTGCTGACCAATGGATGATAATCTCCGGTAACTAAACCAACGAAATGCCGATACTTCCCACGGTCTATTATTTTCACGTGGTTACATGCAAGGTCAAGGTAGCTCGCACTCTGTTATGCGCCATACGTATAATAAGCCTACTGTTTCATTGGTCTTATTTCGGATAAATCATCCTAGACGATCTTGAACATCACACTTTCTCGCCTTATTGTGCATGAATTCTCCACAGGGAGCTCGTCTATAATGGAGGATAAAATATTGAGTCGCTCTTGCAACTATATGTGCATAAACCCCTATCGAAACTGTTATTTAAAGTTTGGTTGCTGATTGCTAACATGACACGAGAAAAGTCTTCCTGAACAACACCCGCCACATACAGAGAATGGACGAACATACCACGGATATCGCAGTGCGATGAGCAAGAACAGGATCGCCTTGATTTGCTACACAAAGCCATCACTGAAGCCAGGATAGGCGATGGGTTGCTATACGCTCCTCACCATTCCAATGCACGCGTGCTCGATCTTGGCTGCGGCACTAGAGTATGGGCTGTCGATGTCGCTAACAAATATCCCGAGGCTTTCGTGATCGGAGTGGATCTTACAAAGATCCAACCACCCAACCGCCCCCGAAATTGTGACTTCTATGCGCCCCATGACTTTGAGGATCAATGGACTCTAGGTGAAGATCAATGGGATGTGATCTATATGCAAATGGGTTGTGGCAGTGTCAGCAGTTGGTCCTCGTTATATCGCAGAGTATTCATGCGGTTCCAGTCTATACATCCTAAAACAGAAGATGACCCTTCATGGAAATTAAACGAAGCATATGTCTACTAAATTCGGGATACACTGTATCTGAGTCGCTATATACAAGGTTTGATTGCAAGAGGAGAAAAACTCAGATGCATCGTTTAGTGTGACGTGTCCTGCTTCTCTTGAAGAGGGTTAGGTGAAATTGAGCGTGTCAATTGTAATGAATGCGTGCTTGTTGTGTTTGTGCCGTTAAACGAGAAATAGGACCGCTCCGTCTATGTGAACTCGCAGAGTTTTGGAAGCATGATAGAGTGCCGATAAGTCGGACCTCGATCTTCGCTAAACCATAAGTACGGAGTATGCCTATATAAGAGAGGCTTCATACGTTTTCAAATACCCGCTGTAACACTTCAGCTGGAAGATCCATCAACTTCTTCCTTGTATAGTCTCCATTCTTCACGCCCAATAACATGATCAATCGAAACAATCCAGATATCTCATGAAGCATGTATCTGTACTGTTGGTGGGCCCTGGAGGTACCCGCACTGAATCGATCTCGACCACGCTTTCCCAGGGGCCTCAAATCGTGACCGGCTGGTGAGGCCAAATATGGCTTCACACCATCCCATTTCCCTCGCTCGAGCTAAAACGCCTAGACTTACCGCCATGTCCCTCTTACCTTCTCATCCTTCCCCCTCTAGGAACTCGACCCTCCGTCTCGTCCACTTCCCGCAATCTCATCTCACGGTTCGATATGGGTCGCGAAAGATTTTGGGAACAGTCACGCTGCAATCGGGGGGATCGTACACAGGCTGGTCGGCTTCTGGCGTCTGTTCCCGTGAGGCCTTGCAGCAGAAGTATGATCAAGCTCTGACGGAGACTCATGCGACAACGCTCTACGCTGAGACGACAGAATGCCATATCAAACGGATGGAGAAGTTGTGGACCGAGTCTGTATTCTCTACCTGCATAATCTAAGTACGCTACTAATGAGGTCAGATATTGCGCTATCTTGCGCTATCTTCAATCTTGAACCTCGCGAGACATTGAGAGAATGTCAAACTGCTCGCATAGAGAACTTCCTCCACTGGGTGCTGAGAACCTGTACGATCAAGAAAACAAGCGCAGTCACAACCTACTGGCGGCAACTAAGTCAGCTACACATCACTTGGTGGCAATGCCGGATCTCACCCCAAACTCTGAAAGAGATCTTCGTGGTATGAGTCCTGATATCCGCAACTTCCGTATGACAGCCTTGGTGTTGATTCATGTCATAGTTTATTGAAGGTCCTTTGACGAAAGAATATGGCCTGGATAACACTGAAAGTGAGAAACCACTGCTCGAGGCCGAAGAGTTCATGGAGGTCATACAATGCCACTGGGCCGCTGACATTAATATCTTCCCCAACGAGCGACAACGTGTCCAGGTTGCGGCCATTCTTCTGCTGGCCGCTTACACTGGCTCGAGGCCTGGAGCACTTCTCCACATCACATACCGTGACCTACGCCTGTATGTGGAGAAGCACCGCAGGACCGGCAAGCATGAGCTAAAGCTTAAGGTGACGCTGACTAAAACAAAATCGGGGCAGAAGCGGAAACGACCGTAAGTTATTGATATCCACTATGTTGACTCCGAAATACTGCTGACCTCGACCGTACCTGGTACACACACACAATATATTAACGCCCGGCGGCCAAGCCGAAAGGGCAACTATCACTAAACTACTATACATGTCCTAATATATATGCTGTGTCTCCTTGGAGCCCATACATGATTGCTTTTAGTATATGTACATCATCTCATCTGTCAGTATTGTAGCGGATGCTCGTGGGTTAGTAATTTTGTTAGTAGCTGGCTTGAAGGCGCTTCTTCAAGTGTTCAACATCCTATCTTCGGCAGTTGAAGCGCGACTACTGTGTCTGTTACGAGGTGGTTGGTGTGGGTTAGATTGGGAAGAGTGATTGATTTGTGTTCGCCTACTTGGTTAAGTGGTGTTGAGTCGGCTTGTGGCGATTGCAAACTATATTGAGGCCCGTACCGCTTCTAAGTTTGGGGTCCAGTTCTGATCATCTAAAGCTAATTTTCCTCCCAGATAGAAGGATATATTGCCTCAGTGGGTGTTAGTACATTGCAGCATTTCTGTACAGTACGCCATCTACTTCTGACATCGAAAGAGGAAGTGCTCTATGGTTTCTCTTGCTTGTCCACATGCACACTAATCCGTCTGCACTATGTTGATTTGATAGAGATACGCATTTAATCTTGCCATGTCATCCAGAGTTAAGCTAGCACGCTCGCTTCTTTCCACGATAAACTATCATATAGCTGCCGAGTATGTTTGCCCGGAAGCGCCGCATCCACTCTTTTGATGTGTTTGCCCACTTTCTCAGGCAATTCTCTGCTGATATCTTATTGGTCTCGTGCGATATTAAGGGTTGTTGATTTTATTTGGGGAACCTGTGCTTGTAGGGTAGCATTCTCTTGGGTTGCTATCCTGGCCTGCTCTTTAGCCAGGCCTAATAGCTTTTTATCCTTACTGGTTAAGACCCAATGGATAGTGATCTGGTTTCCATTTCTTCGTAGCCTTTAATCAACTTGTATATTTGGCAGACGTGTCCCTGACCCCACTGTTGTCGAGGGTTCCTCAGAGTGAGTGCAGCTGCTTTGTTGCTCGTCAGCAGCGTGATTCTATACTGCTTTAGTGTTGGTAGCGTGCTCAATGCGTGTACCATTGCTGCTAGCTCCCCCAAGTATAGGTTCTGCTCTAATCTTATGCCTAGTGTGAAGGAGAAGGTCTTTAGTTTTAGCTTTTTATACTGGGGTGGTTTGCTTTGGATTGCTCTACTACACCCTACTACCTCGTTATGTGCCGAACTGCTTACCACAATCTGCATAGATCCACCCGCTTCTGTATGCGTCTTTGGGGTTTCACCACTATTAGTCTGCACGCACTCCTCCCATGGTGCCAGTATAAATGGGTTAATGGTTTCCAATGTGTCCATTTCGATATTCTTCAGCGCGTCTACCACCTGGTATAGCGGTGAGCGGTAATATCTTCTGAATTTCCTGATCTGATCGGTACACCTGCAAAGGGGGTTGGTTTCTGGTAGGGTGTAGATGTCCATCTATATCTTTATGGCCTGTCTCCAAAACTGGCTTTGTGCAGTGGCAATATGAGCCTCTGCTTCTGCCACACTGATTACAACGGTGAGGAATGTTCCCACAATCGCTTGCACTCCTACCCTTTGGACACAGTTAATTGGACTAATAGCCTTGTCTTTGAAAGCGTGCATCTAGACATTAGAGGCGTAGTCCACGGCTGTGGTCACAGTCGATGTAAATAGCTATCGCGCTGTTGACAGGGATAGACCTCTAAGTTGTCTGAGCTCCATTGCTGCTTCTAAGCCCTTAGATGCGGCTCTTGCGATGTGTTCCTTGTATTTGAGTCTAGTGTCCATTATTACATTAAGAATCTTGACATGGTCTTTGGGTTTGACGACTTATCCCTTGATGGTAAAAGGCTCCTGTTCCGCTTTGTGTACTTTGGGAGTAAAATATATAATAGCTGTTTTCTTGGCTTCAAAAGTCGCTCCACTCCTTCTTTCCTAGTTAAGCACTTTAGTGATGATCACTTCAATTCCTTCCCGGTTACTTTGTGCAGTAGGCCTAGTCACCCATGCGGTAAAGTCATCTACGAAAGTAATCGCTCTGCCCTGGCTATCGATCTGCCGTTGTACTAGGTCTGCGTTGAAGAAGAGAAATAAGATTGGGGATAGAGGAGAGCCCTGAGGTAGTCCCGCCTGTAGGAGGTTGTAAACTTCGGACTCCTACCCATTAATCTGGATGGTCGCCGTTCGTGCTAAACAGAACGCGTTGATCCACCAGAGCAGCTTATCTGGTATGCCTCGCGCTTTCATCCTCTGGAGTAGTCTTTCTTTGTAGACCCCATTGTAGGCTCCTTTGACTTCGAAGCTGATCAAGCTCACAACTCGACGGCCACGCCAGGCTATGAAGATTTGCTCCTGTAGGAGCAGGAGTGCCTGTTTAGCTAATCACTGTTTCCGAGCTCCAAAGTGGCTTGTGGGGAGTAGGCTGTATGTCTCCACTGCGTGGGAGATCCTTTCTGCAACCACGGATTCTAGTACCTTACCAAGTGTCGCTAGAAGCAATATTGGTCTCTAGGCCTTTGTAATGGTGTAGTCCTCCTTATTTAGCTTTTTGAGTGGTATGATCTTTGCATGTCTCCACTGACTTGGTAACGTGCTCTCTTCTAGGGACGTGGAGAATAGGTTAAGGACCCTATGTTTGACCACGGCCCAAGTTATCTTCCAAACTATCGCCGGCAGGCCATCTTCTCCCAGTGCCTTCCATGATTTTGCTGCAAATAGCTGTCACTCTACTTCCTCTATGGTAATAGTAGGCATCTCTATTGGTGCTCTCTGTGGTCTAGGTCCTTCATCATCAATATCGTCTGGCAGGGGGGGAAAGAATTTAGCTAATAGTTCTTCTATTTGTTTCTCATAGTTAGTAGTGATGGTTCTATCTGTTCTCTTGAGCTGTGGTACTTTCCCAAACGCTATATTCTCTCTAGACTTTAGGTACTTGGCGGCCTTCCATATATTATTATTGTCTGCAAGGAATTCCTTCTAGTGCCTTTTCTTTTGTTGCTGGATAGCATCATGATATTGCTTAGACGCACTTTCGGCCATCTCTTCCAGGTGTGTAACGTCCCGTCCTGCCCGTCTCTCTAAGCGGGCGTGATTTCTCCAGTATATATATATATATGATGGAGCTGTGTCAAGTCTGATGTCTATCATGGCTTTGCGTATGGCGATGGCTTGGCCTTTGGAGTTAAAGTGTGAACTGCTTCTAAGACTACAGACATTAGTCTATCAGCTCTCTATTGCAATGTGCCTTCTGCCGGAGTGCCATCTAGGGTTCATGCGATTCTGGCATTAATCTCCTTCTATGGCGTGTTTTTCAGCAGAAGTTGCTTCTAGTGGTTTGGACCCGGCCTTGGGACATCAAACACAGTTTCAATTGCGCGGTGATCTGAGCCATGCTCTGTCCCGTATATTGCGCACTTAACCATAGAATCCATCAAATTCTCAGAGGCGAGGACGAGGTCGATAGTGGACTCATAGTCTCTACCCTACCATGTTTTTGTGCCTTATTTCAGTAGACTAGTGAGAGCAAATTCATTCATGAAATCAATGATTAGATCCACTTTGCCCTGTCTTTCTAAAGACATATTATCTCCTCCCCACAGTTAATCATGTCGATTAAAATCTCCCATAATTATTACCTCCACCACTGTGCCCGTGGTTCACCTTACCTTTGTGATTGCCTTGCGTAGGTGATTGCACGTGTCACGCAAAGCCTGGGCATCTCCTCCCTCCATATAGACTGATGCCATAAAAATCAAACGCTCGGGAAGCCGAATGACCGCTGCTGTCAGATCCAGAGATTCTATCGGCACTTGTTCCGCTTCTACATCCTTATTAATCTAGAGCATGCTTCGAATTACCTACTTGCCTTCTCTCCATGTGGAAGGGACTATCTTCGTTTATTTGTGATGTCCCATTAGGGTTGTCAAGAGTCGGCCTTGAATCATCCTCACTTGGGGTTCTTGAATCGCTAATGCTACTGCGTCCTGAATTTCTTTGTTGTTCATCAAACTATCATGCGCTGCGCCCTGTTTCCTTACATTCAGCTGGATTATTCAGAGTATTTTATTCATGTTGTACAGGGTAGAACTTCCGACAGTTTTTGCTATATGATTTATATGGGCCTCTGCATAGAACACACTTAAGGACCGTTTTATAATAATTGCTATGGTGGTGGCTTTCTTTGGTGCATTTCGCGCATTTCTGGGCGTTCTTGCATTGGAATGCCTTATAGCTAATCTCTTGGCAATTGTAGCATTATGCTGGTTATAGTCAATATTTAAAGGCGCTGGTTACGCCAGATTCTCCCCTAGTATGGAAGAACCTGTCGGCCAGAAGCCTCTATGCGTCAGTATCTTTAATTAGGTATACTACCACAGAACTATAGGCCTTCGTACTCTCCTTACTGCTAAGCCATGCAATCTTGACAACTGTGGTGTTATTCTCCTCGATAAAGGCTACTGCGGCTCCAGCTCTAATCTCATTGTTCTCATCTAGCACTGCCGCCTTCCTGACACTATCAACTTTGATTGGGTAAAACTTGTCACGGAGCACTCAGGCCCCTGCGCTAATCTTAGCTTCTGCAACTTTCTTAACTAGCTGGTGTTCAACTTCATCTCAGCAAGCAATTCTAACCCAGTTGGCGTTCTTTGGATCCATAGTCACAGCGCGACATCTCTAGTTCATGTGGTTTTCCATTGTCCAGATCTCTTTCTCAACTGCTGCCCTAATTGAGCCTACAGATGTTCTCTCGCTTTCATTATCTGCCATCTTTGAGATATCTATCGTGCAATATAATGTATCAGTGAAGGTTATCGGCGTCATGTTAAACGATAAGAAAGTCCATATATTGCTTGGTTAACTGGTCGGAGGCGTGCAGGCAACATCCATATAGGATAGATTTATAGAACCTAGGGTAGTGATTGAAGCGCGCAGGGATTGGATTTCGCGAAGGATATTATCATGACTGTTTTGCAAGCATGACTCAGGGCAGGATTGCAGTGTCAGAGTTTACATCTCCTGTCGAACCTCTGCAAGGGTGGCACTAAATTCTTCTTTAACTTTCTTTAGCTCTTCCTTATGTAACTTATCTTGTCATCTAATCTCTTTTCTGAGTTTGATAAGTTCTTTCACGAGTTTGGCCGTGCCCAGGTCCTCGCCCAGGTCCTTGCTCTCCGTTGCAGATTCATCTCCAGTTGATGCGTCATGTTGAGTTGTTAGCCTAGTCTGAGTTTTCCTCTTCTGTTAGGAGCGCGTGTTTCTCTGCTCAGTTTCTTTCTCTTGCTCTTGTGCATAGTTATTGGGTGGTTTAGTGGTACGCTTCGGTCTCAATCGCGGTGGTGAGTTTTCATGTTCGTCCTGGTCGGGCGGGCGTCGCCGGCGCAAATCGAAAGACTCCTAGTACTAGTTTCTGCCTAGTATCATGCAAGTTGTTTTCGTAACATAAGAATACGCCAACCCTACTAGGATTAGCCGCCTTGCGCCAACTTTGGACCCACCACCAGCTCATCTGTACTATGTAGACTATAAGAAAGCAGGAACCGCATTCCTAATTCCGGCTGTGGTTACTAATCCATATCGATAGTTCTGGAATGCTAACTATAAGAATATATAATTCTCTTGGCGGGATCAGCCAAGTTCTGCCAACAGAGTACCGTACCTGAGGTTAGCCAGAATCCACCGGACATGCTCCTCGTCCTATACTCTGTCCCCGTCCTTGCCGCAAGGTCTCAACAACATGTCATCCACTCAGTCGCAACAAACCATAGTCGTCGTTGGCGCCACGGGAATCCAAGGCTCTGGCGTCGTTCGGGCATTATTGAGCGACAAATATGGTGGCCCTTGGCTTGTCCGAGCTCTTACCCAAGATCCCAGCTCAGGCAAAGCACAGAAGCTTTTATCAGAATACCAAACTACTGACAATCGTCTGAGCTTGGTGAGTGGCCATGTTTACGATGAAACAAGCCTACGGAGTGCCTTTATGGGTGCACACGGCGTCTTCGCCATGACCAGTGAACGGTACCCTGGTAAAGTTATTACTGAAGAGGAGGAGTTGAAACACGAGATCGATGCAGGGCGTAACATCATCTCCGCTGCCAAGGAGTGCTGCATCAAGCATTTGGTGTTTAGCAGCTTACCTGATACTGTCAAAGCGAGCGACGGCCAGTTCAAACGGATACATCACATGAACAACAAGCATACTATTGAGCAATTGGCAAGAAAGGAGCTTGATGGCTTTACCTCCTTGATTCCTGGTAAGTACTCCGTAGCGGGTATCTCTACTACTCCGAAAACATTCGTGGGTTACTGACGTGTTCGTCATGTACAGGCTTTTTTTACACCAACTTGGTCTGGTCACAATATTGCCGGCTTCGTGGTTTGTATCCCTCTCTTATTCTCCAAGTTTCAAATGACATATCGACACCAGAACTAATGAATTTGTTCCTCAGAGGATGGTGTGGTACAATTTTGTATGCCCCTACCCGGGAATAAAATGGTCCAATGGACGGATCCTGCACACGACATGGGAGCCTTTTCCGCAAGTAAGAGCTCACCACCACATTCAACAGCTGTCTTCCCCTAGCAAGTCAAGGCTGACAATCACTTGAAGAGATATTTGGCTTAGGTGTTGAAAAGACTAAAGGGAAAACTTATCTTGCTTTGGGTCCTAGGATAACTCCCGAAGGCATGGCGAAAGCTTTCACGCGCATTACTGGAAAACCGGCCGTTCATTCTCCAATCTCGTTTGAGGAGTTCGGTCACTTGAGCTCTGCGCTCGTTGGCCCAGCATTCAAGGAAGACGCCATTGAAATGATGCAATGGGCTGCTATAGCTCCAACCGACAAGACCTGCTATGGAGCCTTTGAGCTAGAGGCTGAGCAATCTAGCGAGGAGCTAGGTCTTACTGCTAGCTCTTTTGAAGATTGGCTGAGGCGTAGCGGATGGACTGGTCCTTAGGAGGTGTATTTATTCTCCGAGATAGAGTTCTGAACTGAATCATCCAATTATCGCGGGGACTACATAGGCTTAATGACCACCTCGATTCAATCTCAAGTCGTCATTTATCTTGTTTTCAGGCTCATGTAGTGGGCTCCTGCGTCATCAGGTAACCGCGCTGTCTATGAGGCTTGAGGCTGTAACACTGTAACAGGGATGCGTACCCCACCAGGAGGTGACACGGGCCACGGCAGTCTATACGTACCACCTTGCCAAAATTCGTTTTGTTTTGTAAGACTTTCCCTTCCCAGCGCAAGATAGCCTCTTTTACAATGGCTCCTATGCATGATATCGACAATAACAAAAGAAGTCGTGAGCGTGTCGTGGGTGACACGGTGACCCCTTTACGGAGGTCACATGACTCTCGGAGCATAGTTAACCCGCATCGGAGAGTTATCCGCGAATGTAGCACGCTGACAATACTAAGTTACCACACATAACGTAATCGGTAAGCGAAGGGGCATTTTTTCCCGAACGCGTACACAATCTTGAATCCAAATCTCAATTTCTAGCCCACATACAAATTATATAACAAAAATTAATTACTAGTACGATTAGGACATCTAGTTATTTTATGTCCTTCAATGCCACAGCCACTGCAGCGAAATTGACGCCGTACAGGTGGATGAGAGACTGGAAGCTCAGGCTCGGCCGGAACAGTAGTAACAGCTTGAGATGCCTCAATCTGATCTTGTATAAGCACCTGAGCCTCCTCCGTACTAATTCCTTGCTCATTAGATACTTGCTTCTTAGATTTTTGACGTTTCTGTTTCTCTTTTTCATGTGCAGTCCGTAAATCATGATTTTCTTTCCGGGCGAGTAAGAGATCATTCATGGTTGTTTCATAAGCTTTTGATGCCCGTGTAAACACTTCATCAATAGCCTCAGATGAACTTCTCGTATGCCGGCTTATTCGTTTCTTAATTGTAGTCATTTAGTGCTTGAATTGACGTGGATTTTGAGGGATTTGTAAGCAGGATGATTGTGTATCACTTGATCGACTTGGGGGGGTGTTGGAGTCTTCAATTGAATAGTAAGCTGTTGATAAACTTGATCTAGATTAAATGGTACTAATATAGTTGCTGTAAAGCTATTCCGAACAGTTTGAGCTTTATATGCCATTGTACGAGCCTTTGGGAATGCAGTGAGAAAGTCGATTTTGTCAATGTGATTGAATCCAAGCCTCATTCGCTGCTTAACAAGCTGTCCATACTGTCGCTTTAAAATAGTAAAACAGCCAACATCAAGAGGCTGTAAAAGATGTGAAGAATGAGGAGGTATACAGACTGGAATAATATTATTCTCGGTGCATGTACGGTCAAATTCAGCAGTTAAATGGCTTCCATGACCATTAAGAATCAATATCCGATACTTTCCCAATGTACGGCCATCGGTAAGACGAATAAAATGGATTTTAAGCCATTCTAATCCAATCTTATCTGTCGTCCATCCATTATCGCTAATACGGAGGGAGACGGTGAGAACGTTAACGAGGCCAAGGTGCCTGATGGGGAGACGGCCATCAGTAAACCTTATCTCCAGAATCCAATTGTGTCACATTGTGGTGAAGGTAGAAATAGGCGATTTCTGGTATGGCAATCTGAGGAAAAGTTGAAGTTTCAGAAGAGCGAGTGGCTGAAGCTTTATTGAGAACAGCAAGATGTGCTGAAAAAAGCATCTAAACTCCCCGCAAGCAAAGCAACTCTTCCCCAACGGAAAAGATATCTATGAATTAGATTTGAGGATTAGCTTTTGGGTTAGTCTTTTTCGTCTTGTTTGGTTAGTCTTGGCTAGTTAGTTGAATACTTAGGGTTATTGTTTTAAATATGAAACTAAGTTAGCGCTTTGGTTAACTAAATACGTCATAAGCGATGAGTCGAACGGGACCCACTTCATGATCAACCACGTTTTACAATCTCGGTCGACGTTTTTCATTTCCTGTTTGCAACCCACGATTTTTGATACCCACGATTTTCTGAGCCATCCCATTATCTTTGACCAGACATACATTTGGACGACCTCTAGTCTCTTCTTCAATGTCACAAGCTACGCATGGTTTTCGTGGCCATGGTTTCTTCCGGCCCTTCGATATCCGATAAACGTCGCAGCGTCTATGTATTTACTGGCAGCGATCCCATGGTTTGCTGGTAAAATCCGTGGATTCTTAGTAAGTTGCGATCCCCTATGCTCTAGTATCCCTCATGGGCGCCAGACCTTTCATTGGGACGGTGGCGGCCCTCATTCCCCTGCGGAATAAGAGACCGCGTGGGCTACCACGGTTTGATCGTCGCTATTGTCCCATACGGGGTTCAAGCTCCTATAGGCTGCCACGGTTTATTCCAACCTCATTGTCCCATGGGGGTTTCCAGTCCCTAGGGGTAGCAGCCCGCATGGAATGGTCAAACCATGGCAGCCCATGAGAGCTTGAACCCCGCATGGGATAGTAGCTCATATGGGTTGCCACGGTTTGACTTTTGCATGCGGGCTATTGTCCCATGTGGGTTCCAAGCCCCTGGGGTAGTAGCCCGCATGCGATGAGAAAACCGTGATAGCCCATAGGGTGACATCTCCTCCTACGGGATAGCAGCTCACACGGGTTGCTATCCCATGCGGGCCTCAACCTCTCGTGGACTGCCAGGATTCGTCCATCGCGCGCGGGTTGTCACCTCCTGTGGGCTATCGTTTCTTGTGGGATAACGACTCCCATGGGAAGCCATGATTTGTCCATCCCTCGTGAGCCATTGTCTCCCGTGGGATAGTGTTTCATGCGGGTAAACACGATTTTGTCTTCGCGCGCGGGCTGTCAACCCTACGGGCAACGATCTTTTGAGGGATGTTATTTCACATGGGATATGATGGTTTCTCCATTTCCCACGGGTTGCTGACCCATACGGGATAGCGTTTGAAACCATGATCTGTCATCCCCCATGGACTCTCGTCTCATGAGAGACAGTGCAGCTACAATGATTTGTCCATCAAACGCGGGCTGCCGTCCCATATGGGCTCGGTGTGCGGCAACAGACCAAGGAGGTACTCTTCATATTTAAATGTCATCTATTAATTGCGTCTGCTAAAGGTCAATCTAGCCTCATATTCCACTAGCCAGTTCTACCGCTATACTATACAATGGAAGAAGTTGTCTCTTGCCAGTTGCTATCTTGTATGCCTCAATTATCGAAAGGAGCTTCAAATGCTGTGTCCTGGATTCCGGCATAGATTCTGCTCTCCCACAACATTTCTACCCACACCCTCACCGCTTCTGGGCCCATGGCGTCCTCGTCTTCTGTATCATCGCCCAGCCAGTCGCCGAAATTATCCAGGGGATCAAAATCATCGTATCGCACGAGAATGAATGTTTTTCCTTTGAGATATGCGAATTCCAAATCTCTTTTCACTAAGCAATAAGCCGGTCGCCTCCCATTTCCACTCTGATTTTGAAACCAAAAACCAACGAGTACGCCTTCATCGATGAATATAGGAGTTGAATGCGCCTCATAACCTGGATTATATTCATCAAAAGCAATATCTCGTTCCAAATAACTTTCTATCTCTATCGAGGGGAGTGGTTCGTCTGGATTATTTGATGGCATCAAGCATCGCATCTTCTGTGCAGCGTGCTGGTCCAAATAACTCGGATTCTGTTCTCGTTTGCGATTTGAGGATGAGCGGCGAGACGACTCGGAGAGAGACCACTGAGTTGGCCTTTTCATGTTTCCTGAATTTTCACAGCAATGGCTTGAACAACTTCCAGGGCTTCTGGACAGAGTTGATGAATAGTTCACAGACTAGTACGCTCTACGATCAGCACGCTTCTTGCACGGTGATAGTAGGCACTATACCTCTAGTCTGATGTCACTGGATTTCTTTCAACGATGGGGGAGATGTGAAAGGAAACAGAACAAAAGTGCAGAAGGAGGCCTTTATATTGTCCAACCACCAAGTATTTCAGCATCCTAAAATGCCGAAACCCAAGCCGTGTCCGCAAAGTTAGAACCAATCATGGATTCAGCGGAAGCCTACGGTGAGGTAGGTTGGTAGAAGTGACTCGCGATCAGGTCATACTAGTACGGTTGAGTACAACAATATTATAATCTACTTAGATAGATCTAAATTAGAAAATAGCCAAACAGGCAGTAGGTATGTCAGTTTTCTAAGCCAGCTTCTAATTCCTGCGTGGCTCAATACCCCTTGGGTATAACAAAGAAGTCTTTGACACAGAAGCAGAAGCAGCTCTTGCTAGATTAAATGCTGTAATGACACACTCTACCGCCTAATATGCACCAAGCCTATGGATATGCCTTAACAACCTCGAGGTTGCCATCCAACTCCTCTCCGCATCCACGGGCTTCTCCCAAGCCATCTTTGAGTCATTTAATATACTCGCTACTATCTAGCTATCAAGAAGGAGACTCCCCTATACTAAGAGCGGGACAGTCTGAATCCGCTAGGTTCCAGGACATGCGAATATCCTAGGAAATGAAGCAGCAGACTGCGCTACTAAAGAGGGCGTGGAGAAAACCATTTCTACCTTACATCTATAATCATATACAGCACTCAAGCAATATACCAGATCACAAGCCATCTTAAGAGCACAGATGTATTGGCAGTCAGCGGCTCCGCAGGCCTATTAAGACCTTAAAATCACCAACTTCTTAAGATATCCAGCAGAACTCCAGCTTCCCTATTATATCTTAGAATGAATCCTTGTAGCACGCACAAAGCACAAAGACTTCACAGACTACTATAAATAGTTCAACCATATAGATGCCCCCATCTCTTATACTAATATGGTATAAGAAAGTCCCTAATCTATTTTATTTTCTACTAGATTATAAAAAGGAAAGCTTCTAGATTCCCTAGACATCCTTCAGAAGTCATTCCTTTCCTCCTAGGCACCCCAAAGGGGGCCATCATACTAGCCAAATAGCTTACGGAGACCCAATTCTTTGAGGACATCTGCCCTCGACATCCCCCTCTTAGTACATAAGCTAAGAGACTTATAGCTAATTTCCTTTGTTTTCATTGTCTTTCCTTTTCTCTCTTTAAAGCTACATTAGTGTTGAATATGTTAGATTTGGTTATGGAGAGTAGGCGGACCACTGCAGCTGGCAGCAACATTCTCCCTCTATATATAGAGGTTATCTATCTAACCACGGCAGTCATGTAAGTGCGCCAAAGAGTCACATCCTATATATAATTCTTGACACCCAGGGCTTACCCCCTGGCGGCCTTTGTCCCACTAGGGAATGGGTAGGCAGTGATTCATCACGGCCTATGGCCGTAAAATAATGACACACACACACACACGCACTAACCGCAGCAATGCCTCCTATCTTTGTGACCATCATTGTTGACGATTGATGCGACGATTGACACGATATTTATGACGAATATCCTTTGAGATCAAATACCGTTCAAAGGCGGCTTCGAAAGCATGGAGTTTTGGTCTTTCTCTAGGGTAGTGAAGAGTCCCTATGATACTGCCATCCCAGCGATTGTTGATGATTGAAAGGATCATTATAATTACTCCCTAAAAAAAGTTAAATATAAGAGATTATATAACACGCGGCTTGCTGTTTCTTGCAGTGAGAAGTGGATGATCTTACGAGTCTCGCAGCCGCCGTGGCCATGTAGCGAACAAAGCCGCAGGAATGATTGGCTATGATATGCGCAAAAAGCACTGTGCGAAGCTGTTCGAGCCAGCCTCGCCAACCTCACCATATTGTTCTCCCTCCTGATGATCTTTCATCGATATTGTCATTTCGCCAAGAAGCCCGTTTGCAGCATCTGGAAACTGCGTTTAATCACGTACAATGGCTGCCTGGACCCGCCGATCGCACAAAGATTACACAGTCGGATGGATATGTGCATTGCCGGTGGAACTGGCGGCTGCAAAGGTCATGCTCGATGAAGTCCACAAAGACCTACCGGTGTCGTCCACGGATCACAACACGTATATTCTCGGAAGTATCAAAGACCATAATGTTGTGATTGCTTGTTTACCAAGCGGTGATTATGGCCTTGTGTCGGCAAATACAGTGGCAATGCAACTACTATCCAGCTTTCGCTCGATCCGGTTCGGTCTCATGGTGGGAATCGGAGGAGGGGTACCCAGCGATGTCGCTGACATCCGCTTGGGTGATATAGTGGTCAGCAAGCCGACTGGCTCATATGGCGGAGTGATACAATATGACTACGGCAAGACCTTGAGTGGTGGATTTGAACGAACCGGCATGCTGAACCGCCCACCCCAGGTCCTGCTAACGGCACTCTCTAAGTTGCAATCGAATCATCTCACCGAGGGAAGTAGGATAGCGGAGTTCCTCACAGAGGTTGAACAAAAGAATCCCCGACAAGCCGCTACGTTTACTCGTCCAACGCAGGAAGATCATTTGTTTCTCTCTGATTATCACCATATTGATTCTCGCTCCGCAACTTGCAATGCTTGTGATCCCACTCAGATTGTTTCGCGGCCTCCTCGAGACCATGACGAGCCCCTGGTCCATTATGGACTTATCGCGTCAGGCAATCAACTCGTGAAAGACAGCAAACTACGGGATCAATTAGGCCGTGGGCTAGACGTTTATTGTGTGGAGATGGAGGCCGCAGGATTGTCCAATAACTTCCCGTGCCTTGTTGTTCGCGGAATCTGCGATTATGCCGATTCTCATAAGAAGAAAGAGTGGCAGGGTTATGCTTCAGTTGTCGCAGCAGCATACGCGAAAGAGCTCTTGATATGCACTTCTGTTCTCAGCATAAATCAATCAGAGACTGCACGAGAACCTTTATCCAATGGTATGTTCTTGAAAATATTAGTTGAATGCACATTCATCCAAGAAATTATTAATCAATAGTGCTGCTCTAGCAAGAGAATTTCACGTCCCATTCGATCTTACCGGAGTACCTGCAGTCGAAAACTTTTTAGGACGATACAAGGAGCTTGAGCATCTTTGGCATCATTTACAACCAGAGGAAAAGGGACCTCGGAAAGTCGCTGTACTTCATGGACTAGGTGGCATTGGCAAAACACAACTAGCGGCCCGCTTCGCACGTGAGCAGAAGGAGCATTTTACTGCTATCTTCTGGTTAGCTGGCAAAAGTCGCGAAACATTGCTGCAATCGTTGAGCTCAATTTCGTCTCGGTTACCTGGCCAGTCCAGCAAATCTGCTGAAGCGAATGACAGTGAAGTAGAGCAAAATGCGAAGCGAGTGTTAAGGTGGCTCGCATCATCGAGAAACACACGATGGCTCCTCATCTTCGATAATATCGATCAGTATTCGCCTGGGACCGACTATGGATACGACATCGGCAAATCTTTTCCTACAGCGGATCATGGGTCGATTCTAATTACTTCTCGACTTCAATCAATAACCGAGCTTGGACGGCCGTTTGCCGTTCAGGGGTTTGATTTCGAGGACGCCATTTCATTACTCTGGCAGAGCAGGAATCAACCAGCCCCAGATACTGCCACAAGGCAAGACCAAGGTAATTGTTCTACTCTATAAGCCTTTGTAATACCGCTGACCGGTGTAGATGTCGTGGACCTGATCAATCGTCTTGGCGGGCTACCATTAGCGATTACTATCGCGGGATCATTTATGCGTGAAACCGGTACCAGCGTCAGCGAGTACTTACAATACTATCAGAGATCCTGGCACGATCTGCATTCGGATACTAAACCAGGACGTCATTATCAGCAGGGCAATATTTTACGAACATGGTCAGTTTCGTATGACGAAATTCGAAAACGAGATCCAGATATTGCTGAATTGTTGCTATTACTTGCTCACTTTGACAATCGTGATATCTGGTACGAGCTACTAAAATGTGGCCAACGCAGTCCAAATCCGCCAGCATGGTATGCTGATGTTATATCAGACAGCCTGACCTTCAAGAAAAGGATAAGGATTCTGATAGAGTTTTCATTACTCAGTGTGAACGAACAAAAAGGCAGCTACATGATGCATCCGGTTGTGCAGGACTGGTGTCTTGATATGGCTAGTATTGAGGAGAAAGCAAGAAACAGACGATGGGGCGAGCTAGCCTTGGCCAGTGTTGGGCATGCGGTACCCAACTGGGATGAACAAGAGTTGGCCAGTGTTGAGCATAAGATACCCAGTCCGGACCCCAAAGCTTGCCTCGAGTTTTATCGGCGATTGTCAATTCAAGCAGATTACACGCGTCGGTTTTGGAGGGGTGATGAGCTGACGGACAACACTGTGATCTTAGATGCAATTCATAGCTTTGGGCGTCTCTATGCTAATTCGGCAGAGTTCAAAAAGGCAGAGATGATGTATTTGCGAGCAATAGCAGGGTACGAGAAGGTACTAGACCCAGATCACACCTCCATCATGGATACTGTCTATCATCTTGGGGTCCTCTACAAAGAGCAAGGAATGTGGGATGAGGCAGAATTGATGTATCAGCGAGCGCTAGCAGGCTACCAGAAGGCTCTAGGTGCTGATGGAATGCCCACTCTCACCACCATTTACAGCATAGCGGTTCTCTACAAATATCAAAGAAAGTGGAAAGAGGCAGGGATGATGTATCAGCAAGCACTAACAGGCTACCAGAAAGCACGAGGTCCAGATGATATTTCCACGCTTAATATCATTGAAGGCATGGCATTTGTCTACTCCTTTGAGAGAAACTGGGATGAGGCAGAAACGATGTATCAACGAGCACTTACAGGCTATAAGAAGGTTCTAGGTCCGTATAACTCTTTAACTCTTAATACCTTTGACCGCATGGCGACTCTCTACAGAAAATTGGGAAAGTTTGAAGAGGCAGAGATGATGTATCAGCAAGCCTTGAAAGGGATTGAAAAGACATTTGGTTCGGATCATATTTTGCATCTAGTTGTGGTTAACGCCCTTGGAGCTTCCTATATACAGCAGGGAAAGTGGGAAGAGGCAGAGGTACTGTATCGGCGAGCACTAGCAGTCTACAAAACTACACTGGGCCCAGACCACTATTTTATCGAGAAAGTTATGCAGAGATTAAGAGAACTAAGGATTATGCATATCATGTTCAACAAGTGGTTTGTGATTAGGGGCATAGGCGAGCTTCTCGGTCTCCTTTTCTGGGCATATGTCTGGTACTATTACTAGAGTCTTGAATTAGCTAGATAGAAGCTATTACCTCTGGATACTCTTACTACGTATACTCTCTATATGTAAGGAACTGACAACGAGAGGAAATCTAATTCTGATAACTTAACTGAGGAACTAGAAACAAGGATAGAAAACAAGAGGACTGCTGATTCCCAGGACAAATCTATGGGCAGGATGGGCTCCTTATAAGTTTCATTCTGCCAACATGGATTTTCCTAATCAGTAGAGCAGTGAGATCTAAAATTAGCAAACAAAACGGCTTTGGATGTACAAAGATGATTAAAGGAAACGAGATACATGTAATGACCGGGTTGAACGATAGTTCGAGTACGAGGGTATGGGTTACGGAACACTTGAAGAAGCGAATACTAAGGAAATCCACACACAAGAGATACGTACTAAGATATAGCAACAATAGCAGATGGTACGAGTGAAATTGTACGAGAATAATCGCTTGACCTTCGAGGATTCCCTGCGAAGATCTACGCTCTATATACACAAGCGCTCATGCACCGGTCAGGCGCCGAGAGGGGTAAGGAAAGACAATGAAAACAAAAGAAATAAGTAGCTATAAGTCTCTTAGCTTATGTACTAAGAGGGGGTATCGAGGGCAGATGTCCTTAAAGAATCGGGTCTCTGTAAGCTATTTGGCTAGTCTGATGGCACCCTTTAGGGTGCCCAGGAGGAAAGGAATGACTTCCAAAAGATGTTTAGGGAATCTAGAAGCTTTTCTTTTTGCAATCTAGCAGAAGATAAAGTAGATTAGGGACTTTCTTATACTATATTAGCACAAGAGGTGGGCATCTATATGGTTGAACTATTCATGGTAGTCTGCAAAGTCTCTATGCTTTGTGTGTACTACAAGGATTCATCCTAAGATATGGTGGGGAAGCTAGAGTTCTGCTGAACGTCTTGAGAAGATAGTGATTTCAAGGTCTTAATAGGCCTGCGGAGCCGCTGGCTGCTAATATATCTCTGCTCTTGAGACGGCTTGTGATCTAGTATGTCGCTTGAGTGCTGCATATAATTATGAGAGATAGGGACAGTTTTCTCCATGCCCTCTTTAGTAGCGCAGTTTGCTGCTTCATTTCTAGGGATATTCACATGTCCAGGAATCTAGCGGAATTTATACTGCCCTGCCCTCAATTTGGAGGAGTCTCCTTCTTGATAGCCAGGTATCAGCGAGTATATTGAACGACTTAAAGACGGTTTGGGAAAAGCCTATGGATGAGGAGAGAAGTTGAATGGTGACCTCAAGATTATCAAGGCATATCCACAGATTTGGTGCATGTTGGGCTGTTGAGTGTGCCATTGCAGCTTCCAATCCAGCAAGAGCTGCTTCTGCTTCTGCGTCGAAGACTTCTTTGTTGGGCCTAAGGGGTATTGAGCCACGCAAGAATTGGGAGCCAGCTTGGAAACTGACAAAGCCACCACCTGTTTGACCGTTTTCTAATTTGGATCCATCTGAGTAGATTATGATGTCGTTATCCGGGATGGATTTGACTCTGTTGTGTGTGTGTCATTATTTTACGGCCGTAGGCCGTGATGAATCACTGCCTACCCATTCCCTAGTGGGACAAAGGCCGCCAGGGGGTAAGCCCTGGGTGTCAAGAATTATATACAAGATGTGACTCTTTGGCGCACTTACATGGCTGCCGTGGTCAGATAGTTAACCTCTACATGTAGAGGCTGGGTGCTGCTGCCAGCTGCAGTGGTCCACCTACTCCCCATGACCGAATCTGTCCTGTTCAATACAAATTCAACTTAAAAGGGAGAGAAAAAGGAGACAAAGGAAACAAAGGAAAAATAGGTAACTATAAGTATCTTAGCCTATGTGCTAAGGGGGGAG